ATATTTATTATATTTAAATTTTTTTAATTATATAATAATTTATTAATATTTATAAAAAATACTTATAATAAATATAAATCTATAAATATAAATAAATATTAATATAGCTATTTTATAAAAAATATATATAAATAATATATAAGTTTTAAAATAATAAACTATTTTTTTTTATATTTAACTATTTATAATTGCTTTTATAACTATTAATTAGTATTAGCTAAATTATATATTTAAATATAATGTATATTTAAGGATATTAGTATTTATTTAGGTATAGGTTACTTATTTAGTTATAAAAAGCAGCTAAAGGCTGTATTCCTTTAAAGCCTACTTATAGCTGTAGGCCTAACAGACTAATCAGCTTGCTATAAACGCTAACGCTACGATTCACACAGGCTGGGCATTTCCATAATGAAGAAATCTGATCGACGACCGGTTGACTCGCCAGTACGCCACTTTTGTTTTTCCTCATCGTCTCCGACCCAGGTGGCCTCCTGGCAAATCCGGCCGTCCATTCCCTTTCCCATCTCCCTCACATCACACACGAGTCTCTAAGGGTTGGCTACAACGGGAATTCAGACACCATGACGTCCTCAAAACTTTTGACGGTGTCCCTTGTGATGCTGTCGGGTGCTCTTGTCGTCGGCCGTCGCCATCCGCATCCGCCAAGACCTGTTCTCGTCAACGAACCCCGGGATGATTCGGGCCAGACTTTCACAATTCAACAAACGAGGAATAACGGCTACAGGGGGAAATCTGGCTTAGAAGCCATGGTCGATGTTTACAAGAAGTACGGAGTGGAGCTTACACCTCAGTTGAAAACGGCCGTGCGAATCAACGGAAATTACGCAGCAACTCACAAGAGTTTGTACTATGCCACATATTGAATTCAGGTGCAGTTATACTAAGTGTTCGATGTAGGGCAAACGGTCTCAGCAATCCCTCCAGAGGGCTTGGACTATGAGTACGTCTGTCCGGTGCAGATTGGGACACCGCCTCAGACGTTGTATCTGAACTTTGACACTGGTTCTTCAGATCTGTAAGCGCTTTTGCGAAAATGGGCACCCGACATTCTTTATTCCGTCTAACAACAGTAGATGGGTCTTTTCAACAGACACGAATACCACCCAAGTGAATGGCCAGGGTATTTACAACCCCGCTAGTTCAACGACAGCAAAGATCCAAACAGGCTCTACCTTCTCAATCGGCTATGGGGACGGGTCGGGGGCGGAAGGTATTGTATATAATGACGTTGTTGAGGTGGCTGGCTTCGCTGCGACTACCCAGGCTGTTGAGTCTGCCACCGAGGTCACCGAGGAGTTTACCGACGACCCCTACTGTTGGGGTTTGCTCGGTCTGGGGATGAGCGGTGGAAACACCGTCCAGCCTGTGCCGCAGCTCACCTTCTTTGATAATATCAAGTCCTCCCTCGCGCTGCCGGTGTTTACCGCCGACTTGAAAGCCGGAACACCTGGAACCTACGGCTTCGGCTTCATTGGGAACACGTACTCTGGCAACATCCAGTACGCCCCTATCGATCAGACATCGAACTATTGGAAGTTTGCAATCACGGGATACCGTGTTGGTAACGCGACGGTAGCAGGTAACCCGAATTCGGGATATACCACGCTCCCCTTCCTGGCAATCGCAGATACGGGCACGACACTGCTGCTGCTGCCGGATGCCATTGTCAACGCCTACTGGGCCACGGTGGCAGGGTCAGCCTACGATGCGACGTGGGCCGCGATCCTATTTCCATGCACGGCCACTCTGCCGGACTTCACGTTCGGGATCGGGTTGTACAAAGCTCTCATTCCCGGACGATATATGAACTATGGGAGGGTGGATGAGGTTCGGTGCTACGGCGGTTTGCAAACCGAAGGGGATATTGGATTTGCTATTGTTGGGGACATTGCCTTGAAGGCACAGTACGCCATATTCGATTCGGGGAATAAGAAGGTAGGTCTGGCGAATAAGCCCTTGACGACTTGAGCCTTGTAAATTATTTGTATAGCATGCGTTTAAAAACGCCGTTGTGCCACCAGATGTTAAAACATAATTCAACGATTTACGCGTCTGTAGCAAGGAGGACTCGGGTTGGTAAGTGTTTGTTTCGCCGCAATGTCTGCCTTTTCCTTATTCCACGCACGTGAACAGGTCATATCTTGGCTTGAACAGGTTTGCTCTTCCCAAGAAGTACTGTGGACTGGCCACGACGTTCACCTTCTTCAGTTCAACAATGTCCCCTTTGGCGGAGACAGCTCGTCTGTTTGCGGGTCATAATGCCGTTCGGCCCAAAATCTTAGAAAGCGTATTAATACATTAAAGGGTTTCCAAGTCCTGTAACATGACATCAGTTTAGTGCGATTCTGGTACGACGGAGACGCCTCTGTACCACTCTAGGCAGATCTATCCACATAATGCTTGCAGGGATGGGCACGTCGACATCTGCTTGTCTGTGTCCATTCTGTGACGGCCTGCTTTGAAGACTTTGGTACTGACATCCCAGGAGACAAAGAAACTCACGTGAACGTAACGCGTCACATCGAAACACGTTCAAAATGGCTCTGCCCAGACAGATATCAGCGAATATTAAATCTCGATCGGCCTGAGTCTCATCAAGGGCACATCTCGAGGACCCCGTTTTTCGCACTTGGTTTGTTGTAGCAAGGTCCACATCGTAGCCTGGCACGTGCCTGGAAGCTCCTATACATGGGTACGGGCTTAGGTGCTTAAGCTATGCACGATGTCCACCTTCGGAACCGGGATTAGCCCCACTTGAATGTAGAAGTTTGGTTGTGCGTGCAGATCCAACTACAACCCATCCATTAGACTGAATGCTTCAGACCGCCTCCTCAACGAGAAAGAACAGTCCAGTGTATAGTATTGACCAATTCAACTGTAAATTGGGATCGCGATGATGAGGTGATTTATCACAAGTTCAGAGGGCAGAAATAACTAGACAAGTGACCCAAAGTTCTTGCTCTCCGAGTTGCTCCGATATATCTATAGAGTTTCCGCCCTCCTCATTTCCGCCCACCACATTCGGATACATTTAGCGAGAAAACTCTGAGGCGCACCTGATTGACCGTAGCATCTGAAGATCTCCGCTTCCTCACACTGGAAGTCAAGTGGATAGAGTGGGGATCGGCTCCACTAGAGAGCGATCGCGCCGGTGTAATACTGTCTTTATCAGGCGATGAGAAGTCGGTCCGTCCAAACTCTGAGAAGAACCTCGGCTTGGCTTTACAGGCTATGTAGTATTTAGCATCTGAAATCTTCCATCTGCCGAGTATCGCAGGTTTCTATGACGATCTGCGGTGTTGTGGAGACTTTTTTTCAGCCTCTGTTGGGTCCCCGTCGATCAGTGATCGTGGCGCAACCCTGTGAATTAGGGCTGAAGGATGGCTGAGGCTTCTACTACGGAGCTTGTTTCGACGACTTACATCATCAATTCATCCTTTGCTGGGCCACTATGGAGGCAATTCATCATAACAATACATGAGATTCACTTACACCACCAGCATGATCTACATCTGGGCATCTCTCCGAACTCCTAACGATGCAGTGCTGGACGCGACACCGATATTCTGTAAGCAGCAATCTATGAGTCTCTGGTGAAGAATTGATGTCTCTAAGAGATACGTACTGCATCGCATATCTATGACCTTCGGTCTTATCGTCATCATTATCATTACAATACAAGCACCGCCTTGATCTCAGCATTCCACCTTTGGTATGTTTTCATTTACGAAATACTATTAGAATTAATATGTAAACAAAATTCTTCACTATTCTCACGGTGCTTGCTGATGTAAGTACTTCTTCTATCTCTTGCTCCGTCAATAATGTTGCGGAGGAGACTTGGCTGACCAATCACGGAGTGCTACAACCTTCCGCTGGCATGTATCAAATATGTGGCTTGGGCTTCCCCGCAATACGTCCAGCCCTACTATGCTCACCAGGTTTCATATCCTGGATTTTCAGACATCGGCAAGGCTATTTGCTACGTCGACGATGGCCGGAGTGGTTAAATCTAGGGTGGAATTTGCAATGAGCTAGGGTCGGTATGCACCAGCTATTGGGCCATCAGAACCCCTCCGGTCTAGAGAATCACGAAACAATAATATTGTCCATCGGTCAGAGTGGCTACATGAGACGATGCTCCGTATTGGGAGCTCTTGGGACTGAACTTATTCGCCAATGTTCTTCTACGTGAAATGAAACTCACTGGGATTGAACTCATTAAATATTTGTTTGCCCCCCCCCAAAGAATTGTGTTGTGTTCTTGAGCGAAGCTTGGGAACAGGTATACATACATTGTTCATGTCACAAGGAGTGGCAAAAATTCAATTTCGTGATGAGTTGCAACTATTCAGGGTATTCAGGGTATCTTCAAATTATGTACGTCGATTTTGGTGTAACCAGTATTGCGAGTTGGCTTGGCTGGCATCTTCCAAGTGTTCGGTCGGTGTCGAAACCACATCCAGGGCGGTCAAAGGTATCCCCCATTTACCAAGCCTCTCCAGCTTTCAATATCTCTCATGCCGCTCAGGCCGTACGAATGACCTCGGTCGTTGCTTTGCCTCTTCGTCCACTGTAAAAGCCTCGGACAGGCGGTTCCTATGGCGACAAATCAGATCTCAGGCCGAACATTCGCTGATGCTGGTTTTGGCCGCAAACCCTTTGGAGTCCAAGTCTCTTAGCTGGACTTGGCTTGACGCTTCGGCATCGTGGAACTGGACGGTAAATCCTCGGGAATATTCGATTCCATTGCTCGGTTTCTTTCCGTTGTCGCTTGGCTGTTCTTGGCTGAATTCGTTCGTTCGATTCCGACTGCGCTTGCCCCTCGACTGGTTCGTCCCCCCGTTTTTTGCGTAGTAAGCCTCTGTGCTCCTGTACGTTGACGAAAGCCGTGGGAAGGCTCGGAGGAGAATAAGTCGTAATGTCGGCATGCAACACGTGATGATGCCTACGTTTATTTCGATCGTGCTCCAGAGTGAGACCTTCAAGTTGTTCCACGTCGGGTTATCGGTGTCTCCGAAAGTAATGAGACTTTGCAATCTGACAACAGATATGACAGTCACGAATGTGCCAGTGCAGAACATAATGGCAACTACAAGACATCTGGGTTAGCACCTGTGGTTTGTGAAAGAAGGCTGAGAATGATCCAAGATGGGATTGAACAAGAGTGAAGGCGGATAGAGCCATCAGCACAATAAGAAACACGATAGAGTTCGAAACTTACCACCAATCTTCTTTTTCCAATGTAGTTGGAGTGCATGAAGCTGGGAGAGTGGAATTGCTAGCATCCACACGTCTTCCACAATAGAGATCGCAGCTTTTGGAGTGTTAGAGCTCTATCGAAGTTCATGTCACTAGAATGGGCTTACCGTTTGCCCAACCGAGAGAATTAGTATTGATGGGGCAGAAACCGGCGTGAAGCCCATCCCACTGATCCCAGAAAAAACTAATAGGTTTGCACTGGAAGACTGCGAGCAGTGCAAATAAAACCCCCCCTGTAACAAACAAGTTTAGCGACTATTCAGACAGGAGAGCAATGCAGTCGTGGATGGCGTTTAGAAAGGTAAGGAAGACCCATAGGCTCTCACTTTGGTGGCCTTCAGAACAAAACCATCTTGATTCGAAGCTTGGACAGGAGAAGCATCATTTGCTCGGGTTGAACTTACATATTCCATTGAAAATAAGAGTTCCCCAAAGCAACCATCGTACGGTTTTATTGGGAAAGATTTTGAGGTAAAAGAACAACAGAGATGTCTTGAGCAGGGCCAACTGGAGGAAGTAAAGCCAAGCCATGAAATAGAAGTAGTGAATTACCTATCAATCAGGTCAGTCACGAAATGGTGAGAGAAATCAATTTTGTAAGAAGATTGGGACGGCGACCCGAAATACGACGTGAGCTGCGCCAGGGCCACATGCCGATGTCATTCGCAGCAAAGGAGGAGACCATGGTAGAAGCCTGTCCCAATGAACTACAACGCTGATGGGAAATTACTTACGTTTGTGATTTGCGCAGGTGTGAGCGTCCATATATCTCTTCCTAAGCCGTTGGGGATCAGTCCTTGCGAAGTAATGACGCTGCTAGGGACGCCGACGAGGATTGTTGCTAGTATGAACCAGTCGTCGAGGCCGAGACCAGTCTTGGCTATGAACAGTTTGAAACCCAGTCGCATGATGATGACGGCGCCTGAGATAACTCCCAAGGTGATGGAGACGGTGTCGTAGTGCTTTCCTTCATCCCTCACCGGCACGCCACAGGCTGTGCTGGAAATATTTTTGACAACCAGGGCATCCGGGATTGTACAGTTCAAGGTAACGCAAGTGGTGATGCTCGCCATGAGCTTCGTATCGCTGCACACACACGCTGCGTCGGTGCATTTCGAGCTTGCTAGATCGGTAATGAAACATTTCAGCTATCGCAATGTGAGGTCAGTAAAGCACTGAGAAGCCTGTGCGTTTGTGAAGCGTCTTGTCTTACTCCGCAAGTTGGCAATGCTGCTGCCAGCGCAGCGAGCTCAGAAGATCCATCGCTACTGGACTGGGCGTTGACAGATGAGAGAGCCAGGGATAACAAGGAGAAAACCCGAGAGAGAAGCATGGTCACGATGTTGGCAGGAGTTGACGTCCCACGGTGGAAAGCATCAGGCTCGACGGGGTCGACGGGACTGACAAGAAAGGACGAAGTGATCGGCCACGGCGTGCAGGAAGCTCGGAGAATTTACATGCGGATATGGGCGATTCGATTTCTACTAGCGCAAGATGAACACGCGAGTGGAAAGGAGGCAGTTGTGGAGCATCAACCACAATCCTACTGTGTATGGTGCTGGTGGCGCATCATCTAAGCATGGCTAGACAACCCCGAGGACCGGATGCCAATCTTTTCATCAAGTGGACACCCTCCATCAGCCATGTGGTCTTGGGAGGACTGGAGGGTATGCTGATCTCGGCGACCCGGCCGCCACCGTGTCCGTATATTTCACATACAGGCCTTGGTTATGGGCAGGGTTGAGCAACAACGGTTTTGACACGGCCGAGTGCAACCTACTAGACCTGGGGTCTCCCGACGCACTGGAATGCAAGGCACAGGGGCACTCGGACCAGATATCCTATTGTGTGCAACGTCGTAATTGACATGCCAAGATGTTCGGCCCTTTGCAACGCACTGCAACAGGCCACTGGCGAATTGCAGGGCAGCCTGGGCAGTTCGCGGCGTGCTAAAGCAGAAGAAACGCACCAACGATATATGCAAGCTAGGAAGCCGTTCCAGGAAAACTGGGGCTTGTGGGCCTCAAACGCAACCTTGGTGCGAAACAGGGGCGAACTTTCGTGCCGGCGTGGCCAATTCCTCGTTGATTTCAAGCCACCTCTGTCATGAACGCACCTCAAGATTTGCCCGGGCATATTTCAAAGCCCCTGACAATTCCACGAGTGTTCTTTCACGTCCTACACGTGCAGCGTTGCGTGGTAAGCCGCACAGGGCGCCCGGTATGGAAGCCAATGACGAGCCGCTTTCCCCTTCGAGGTTCGAACGACGCTTGCTGCCACAGGGTCCACCAATATCAGAATATCGCATCCGACTATATACAGTGCGGCACGTTAACCTCCTGGTACTATATGTGAGCTGTCAGCTGTCACATTTGCACTACCCGCAGGCCCAGCAACGTCTGGAGAGATTACAGGCCTAGTAGACGTGAACCCCTTTGCGTTCCGGATCGACGCGGCCGTGGGTCCGGTGAGGCCTGCTAGTGGAGCCTCAACAGGGCTCGGGAATCGTCACGGAACCTTCCGACTCATGTGCAATTGTGTCCACTGTCGAGCTGGGACAAACCTCGCGACTCCGACCTGAGAGCGATCAAAACCCTTGACAAAAAGCCATTGTAAAGTGGTTCTCAATCGGTCACATTTGTATCTACGATGCCTACAACTTCTGAGGGGTAGATCTCTCGAGAATGACTCGCATTTTTTCGCGGTTGACAAGGGGCTCAAGCTGAACATTAAGCCACATGACGTTTAACGCAAATAGCATCTGGGCGATCATAGGAGGATCTTCGAACTCAACTACCGCGTATCAGGAATGCCTTAGCTGAGATACATAAGAGCGTTTTGAGCAGTCGTCAAACCAGTTTGAGGCGCTCATGCACCACACCCCAGTGCCGGTGCTGTCGGCAATCCTACGGAGCCCTTCCTCATACATGTAGTCATTGCCGACATGCAGGGGCGTTTCCTTGGCCAGCTCATCTGCACATTCTGACAGCTCACTGTTTTGTGTGGCTCGCTTCGGACCTGCACCATTTCGTTACACTCGCCTCCCAAGCCGTGAAACACACTTTTACATACTGGATTCCAGCCTCCCAGTGCCTTGGATTGCGATCTTACTACTTGCCTCTTTATACAGTAGAGACGTTCTTGTTCAGCTTCACACGTCTCTTTAACAGTGACATTGTTTTGCGAAGTTTCCCGAGCTTGCACTTCATGTGCCTGAGCTCGTTCCCACTGTGGACTGCACTTGGTGATGGGTCGCGGTGACGGGGCATTCGATAGTCTTCCAGAACAGGTTTAACATCTGCCGAACGAAGGAACTGTAACATCCTGAACAATACCACCATCAACCCCCACGTGCCAGCTCCCATCACACCTGTCCAATATTTACAGGGGACTGATCCTCGTGCCAGTGAACCGGCCGTCGGAACCTGGCGAGTCTGGCGTTTCCACCATTTCGACAGATTAACCCGGGTTCTATACAAAAAAAGCTCGGTACCGAGTGGTCATTGCATACGGTGCACTACCCGAACACGTTATATTGGTAATAATTTGTATAAAGTTACACTAGGATCGATGTTATCAGCTAGAGCCGCGAATTACTACTCTCGGGTGGAGTGCCGAAATCTACAAACTATACGTCAAGACCGAAAACTACCGCGTTGGATTCGTAAGTCATACGCTATGAGAGAAGGCCAATCTCTCACCGGCCTTCACCGGCGCTGCAAGAATTGCATGCACCATTACAAATCTGCACACAACCAAGACTTGTTTGCGCTACAGCAGCCTATGGGTCACAGTTACTCTAGGCTAAGCCATAACAGTTGGTAGGAGCTGTCACTAGCCCAAAATCAGTCCCACCCACTAAGAGGTCAAGCACCTGTGTGCTGCTTGAAGAGCCCCAAGCAATTGAGAAAAGCGTTGTATTTCTCTTATTGCGCGTTGTATTTGACACGAATAAGCAATTGCCGCGGGAACATGCAAATATCCCTCAGGTAGCACCGTCGATCCAGTCCGAGCGTACATATAGCTCCCACGACCGGACATCCGGTTTTGAGTGCCATTTTGTGATACTGGAGTTAGGATGGTGAGTGACATTCGCTTCCACCTGGGCACTTTGGGTTACACTCGTCACATGCAGGAAAGCCGTTTACAAATGCACAGCACTGTCGACAGTGCATTAGCCTTGGAACGGCTGTATTGACATTGGATGAAAAGGCAGACTTATAATTGTTGAACGTGGTTAACCTGATACATGCGACCACGTCCGCAAGAGAACACCAGGTCCTGTCTGTCCTCTCAATTGGTAGTTGCGTTTTACTTTCGCTTTACTTTCTATTTAATTTTTTTGTAGTGATCGTGAATGGGGTGGATTGTGGATCAAGTGGATTCAACTTCGTGCTGTTGCCTCCACACTTGCGCCTCGGCCAAGCCACATCCGGGGCAATGGTTCCTCTCGGCTGGGTCCAAGACGAACTCAGAGGACCTAACCAGTTCTGGCAGTTCAATTACGCAGGAGCTCGATCACGCCGCAGGGCATGTGTGTTGAGTACTCACACCGCACTGTAGTCTGCTGTCGCAAGCAACATCGTTCCTCGGCGGCCGTGACAACTACGGTCTTGGCCCACGCTCTAGCTAGACCGGTCTAGTCCCCTGGTGATCGAGCAGAGGGATGATCGAACGGACTCCACCGTCAGCGTAGATCCACCTGCCGCCATCCGCGACGCACCTGGAATGCGGAATTCAGCATGGTCCCGCAGCCACCTCTGAGGGAGGGATTCGGAGACTCAAACTCAAATGTTGCATCAGGTGAGGATGGCAAACTAGGTTGCGCTTCCAAATTTTGGGTGACAGGTCAAGAACCATGATGGGACGCCGGCTGATGCAGTCTTCGACACTACTTATCACGCGTAAGAGTTGCAATGCAGATGTCGGCTATGGGCCGACACCTGGAATTTGACAAGAGGCAGCGGCAGAGCCCCAGTGGTATCGGGTAGATCACCGGGTGCAACCTGAGGATAGTCACGGACCAGACAGCCTCTGCTGCTATGGCGCTTGTCTTTTGAGAACACGCCCAATGAAGCCCTACCAGTCCGTAGCCATCCTGAACTTGCCGGGTCTGACGGGCCAGAATGCCAACTACACAATTGCCGTGTTGAGCGCGTTGAGCGCGTACATGACACCGTCTGATCACAAACGATGTCACACGCCACGTTTAAACGTGGATATTGAGATTCGGGCGGAACTCCACCCTCCGGATCTGCATGGTTTCAAAAGCATTGTTTAAACATTGTGATTCAAATCCCAGGCGTCCAGGACTCAACAAACCAGCCATCATATATACCCATGAAACACAATTGTTGCCAAGGGGCTTCTCTGTAGACCAATAGACCATACAACTATGATGTGTGAATAGAGTTGTGACGGTTGTAAGAGGCTAGGCATTGTATGCATGTAGTATTGTGACGCTCCTTCGCAACTACATTTCCATAGTAACTATGTGACATTGTGGGTGGTTTTCACAGCATTACTGTAACACGCGAGGCAGTGTATTCTATCGCATTTCTGTTGAGAAAGAAAGAAGACACTAAGTGGATGTTAAGAGTCTGGCATTGATGCATGATGCAATTTCCATTGGTTACAAAGAACGCCATGTTTGCTAGCACTATCCGGTACATACGGGCCGAGAACATTTGAAGTTACAAGATCCAGACACTGTGTGAGAAGCTCGAACCGCTCGATGACTGCCACGACCTCATACACTGGACACAGAACAAAAGTCCTCTGATGGAGGGAACGCTTGCGCAGTGCCAGGCATATACCCACTGTAAAGTACGGACACAAAGCAAAGTGTAAGTTGTAAGTTTAGAAGTCCTTCGTCTGTGCTTTGGGGCATCAATTCAGCAGACTATTTATGAAGCACCGTGGATTACACGTAGCGAGAGGGTGAGCGTAGATAAAAACGTTGTTGTTCTAGCTAAGTTCTGTCCGGCCGTGGGCGAGCCCTCGGAGCGCAATTTATAGGGGCTTTGCCGAGTGCACACTCCCCTGTAGTAGCCTCCGGCAGCTCGCACGCACGCTCAATTTGCGACACTAGTTGATTGTCAGAGGAGCGAAGGATCATGAGCAGGCCAGTGATGCGCTCCATGAAGACGTATATACTTGTGGACCACATCTGAACAATACGAAAGCGGAACGAGGCCGAAGATATTCACAAGAAAGATTCATGTGGGAGAATGAAGGGTGTTGGCAATGGATGCACTTCAAGTCTTTTTCTCGGACCGACGTGCAGCCTCCTATGCTGACAACTTGCCTCCGCCCTCACTGCCTCCTCAATGTATCTATTATTCAGCTGCTTGAAATGGCAGGAATACAACCGACGATGGCATAAGCTGAAATTCAACTGTACTGGGACTTGGGCTGAGATTCAAAGAACAGCTCGTGCTCTACCCGATACGTTTTGTCAGTGTATCAAAACAGTCCATGGCACAGCAAGGCCTGGTTTGACAGTGGGAGCCTCTTCTCATATTTACATTGCTGTCTACAGTAGTAGTACGGGCCGACATCCGTTGTCAGACTCAGCCAGGATCCTGAAACCTAAAGAGACTCTATCTATCTGCACTTGCGGTGGCACAACAGAATCGTGCGACGTACAGTACATGCATATATGCACGTCGATCCGCAGCTAAGCATGACAGGCAATGAAAGTCTGAGACTTAGCCAATCGGCAATTCATGGCATCAAGATTTGGACATCTTGGTGAGACTATCGTAAGATCAAATCCGGCATTGGAGGCAGATGGCATACTCACCATGCAGGTACCGCCTTCTCAAGGATGTTATAGAGACTCAACTTCTCTAACGGCCCACTGGCTTCTCACAAATTTGAAAGGGTTACAATGATCAGTCGAGTGGAAAGATCTGGATCGCAGAGGAGTGCACTCTGTTATAGAATGGGGTGAACGTCAGCATAGGCGCTCTGAAGAACTATTCTTGAGAGTGAAGACAGGTTATCTGCAGAATCGATTAGAGAAAATCACATCAGTAGCTCATTTGTTGTACAGATTTAATATCGTTAGTTTTCTTGAAGCCTTATGCTTGAATTTTCCCTCAACAGCGGTGAGTCCCCTTTAGAATGTTAGCAGGTCACGGTGGCTACCAGTGACGACCAAGCTGCTGTTGTGCCATCCGCATATCATCGGAGCAGGCATTTGCAACGAGCAACGACTCTTGAGTAAAATACCGCAAGCTCAAGATTGCAAAATCTACGGAAAGGCCTTTTTGTATCAATTGGGGTCGTCGTTAATGGTGATTGAGGCACGCCAGTTCTTCAAAAGAAAAAGAAAGAAAAAAAGGAAAAAAAGGCTGTTGGCATGACTACATCACTTTAGAAAGAACTGGCGTGGAAACAGAAGATGGAAATCTGCAATAAGCCTCTACGCGCGAATACTGTCGAAGTAAAGCCCCATATTGATGGGTTTGTGTTATTAGAGTCACATCACCTTGGCAATATGTAAAGTGACTCCTGATTTTTGGGGCAAGAACTCGGGAGAAGAATGTGGCGAAGAGAGGATAGAACAGTAGCATCAATCTAAAGCACCTCCAAAGGTAAGATTGACAACCAAATGTTGCTATGTATTGAGAGCACGAGGGATCGCCATCAGACCGCATTGTTTGGGAAGCGGTAGTTCAATCCATCGAGCTGGGCATTGATGTAAGACTGTTTGGAAATGTATATTCGTCTCTTCTGTCTTCAAACTTTGTCTTCATGAATGTGTTAAGGCTCACTTTCATGAACTCCTCGAATGCCGTATGTGAATCTTTCTAGGGACTGCAATGAGTCCATGGTAGTAAGACCACGCCAGCATATCAGCACCAAACATACAGGGCAAGGCTGGTGAATTCTGAGTCAGTTCAGGCCAGACAAGTATTCCCACTTCTAATATGGTAGCTCTATTATTTCTCAGCCTGCACTAATGTGTATTGACCCAAGCCGTCTATATCCCACCCATGCTTCCGAATTACTGATGAAACATTACATTCGTACAGAAAACACGCTTTGTCATGTAAATTCATAGATATACCAGTGAGTTGGCTTTTGTCAGCGGGTTTATGGGACAAGCACTGCAAATCCCACACCCATAGCCAATACCTTTCAGAATAGTTGCACCTTCTGGTCAACCACCCATAGCCAGCAGTCACCGGCAGAACCAACCATATTTTGAACCCCTCATCATATGTGTGTGTTTGTGTGGCCTTGTAGGTTATGTGGAATTGAACCCACAGCAGTAGCTTCGACCCAGGCCTTAGTAGTTGAAAATCATGAGAGACGGGTTCAGAACGATAGGCGTGAGAGCGTGACTGCCTAATACGACTGCCATAGGCACAATTGCTGTGAAGTCCACTATCTCCCAGCCTCTAGGTGCGAAGAGTGACAAGTAGATCATACCACCCGTGAATAGAATCACGAAGACATACCTTTGGAGCCCGTTAGTTTGAAGCAGATACATTGGAGGTCAGCAAGGCGATATTCAACTTACAAGTACTTGAATGACTTCAGAATCTTGGGCACCTCTTGAAAGAAGTTCGAGTTCTCCTTCTCTTTGGATGTCGCCCCCCATTGCATGTTGATGTGTAGTAAATGGGCGAGCAGGGCACAGCTGACGTGGAAGGACAGACCACCAAAGAAGATCGCCATCATCGGCGTCCACTTGAAGTTCTCAACAATGGAAGCAAGAAGTGACCGCTCGCCGGTTCGATATCGGATGACTGCAAGGGAGAGGCCACCAGCAAGGTTGAAGACAACCAAGAGCGAGACGAAGACTTTCCACGAGGGGAGATAGAAGTGGTCCAAGCTATCATCGAACCAGCCAACCAGGAAGTAGTTAAGGACTGTCATTGGCAGGCCAACTCCGATGGCGAAGTAGGAGCAGATGTAGGCAAACACACTGATCTTGGATGACAACATCATTCGTGAGCCCAGGAAGGTCCGGATGAGCTTGGTAAAGGGACCCTTGGTCGGCCACTTGTATAATGGGTTGAAAACCATTTCACTGCAACCGTACGCATACCTAAATAGACTGTTAGTGTCGGACTTCATCGGGAAGTTGGGAGGGTTTTGGTCTTACTTTTGCCATCGAGCAATTTCGTCGTAGATAGTCAAGGAGACGCCCTCCTTGAATCCATCACCATGGTAACTAGCAATGCGAACAGTGCTGCCCTTGATCTGCATTCGGAGGGCGATATCGAAGTCCTCAGATACGTGGCTCTCGGACCAATAAGCGAGGTCCCCATTTTCCTCGACGACACCGACATCTTGAACGGCGGCCCAGCGCAGGAAGGCATTGTGACCCACGAAAGGGGCCACTTCACCAGACCCGATAGAGAACCGAATGGCAGTGTAGACCATGTTAGTGAAGAAGGTAATGCCATTCTCGAAGTAGTCCCAAGCGACCTGCATGACACCAGTCGAGTGCTGCACGATGGCAACCTCAGGAGAGAGGAACATTTCTGCCGCGCCGTAGAGCAGGCAATCAACGGGCTATGAAAAGTCAGCAGTGACCTACAGTAGGGAGTCTTGAAACACTTACCACACGGGTATCAGAGTCGACGATAAGGATGAATTCGCCAATGCGGATGTCTCCCTCCGCCATGGCTCTGGGATTCTCCCTGAGAGCACGGCCCAGAGACTCATGGTAAAGATCGTCCAGCTCCTGCTCTTCCAGCATCGCAGGATCCGAGTCGCGATGCCCGGGCTGCCGTGCGCATCGAGCATCGACTGCTTCCTGGAGATAACCTTCGACTTGTTGGGATAGATTCAGGGCAAAGTTCATGTTCGAGGCCTTCTTGAACTTGCCCTTTCGCTCGAAGCCGTCCTCGCCGTGCTTCGGCCTCGCGACCCAGCCGATGTTGTTGTCGTGATAGAAATCTCGTCGGGCCTGGGCTTCGTCATCGGACATGCCGGCGCGCATGCCGTCATCATTGATGAAGATTGACGCGGTGCCTCCGCGAGACTCGTAGAAGGAGATGGCAGCTTGTAAGGACTTGACAGTAGGTATAATGACGCTTTCCATGCCCTCCTTGTAGACGGGCATCTGAATCGTGATGTGGGGTGGGCTGAATCCGAGGGAGTAAGCAGTCTTCATGGACGGCTTGATACAAGAATAGTGCCGGGAATTCGTCTTGAGGCCGTTCAGAGGACCAACCATTTGCCAAATGTCGCCAAAGATGACTTGGAAGAAGAACAAGCCGGCGAACATCAGGAAGGGGCAGGCGGCGATCAACGCCAACCTGATCCATTGGCCGTCCATCATGCATTCGGATACCAGCTCGCCGATTGAGAAACCGTAGACGAGAACGATTGCAAGGCATACTCCCATGCCGACGAAGAAGGCACTGTGTAACATGAAAGGTCGATTGACAGACTCCGGGCGCTCCGGTGAATCCTTTTCTTCGTCCTCGTCGCCGACGTCCCCATGATCCTGAACCTGAATGCCGACGCCTCCTTTCTCAGGGAACATTGAAAAGTTTGACACGGAATCTGATGGCGACTGGAATGGACTGGCGCCAGCAAAGGGGGATGCTATGGGAGTGTGCATTCCCGAGTTGCGGCCCCAGACGTAGGTCAACAGCTTATCCTCCATCCTCTGGGCATGGGCCAGGATGTGCTGGATCTCATCCTGCCAGACGAGGAGCACTCCTTCGTGTCGGAGAATCGCGCCGTATTGGAATTTCTTCACTCCAGAGGATGTGACGGCGGCAAGGGAGTCGAGGATCTGGAGCTGAGAGCCTCCTTTTAGTCGAAGTTCCTGTTGGCCTGGATAAAGATTGGCGATGATACCGGCCAGCATCTCTGGCTTCATGGTTACGGCAACCCCGACATTCAGGCGCTGTACTGCAAAGAGGAGCTCGTCGTAAATGTTCTCTGGGCAGCAGACGTAGTTTCCTCTGGACTGTCGTAATAAAACACCAAGGCCATGTGATGGGTCCTTAATAGCCGGCTGTGGCATCCATCCGTTGGCAGATACTCTGTTGGCCAGGTAGCTGACCATCTATGAAGGAGTCAGCAATAGTAAAACGGATCGAGGAGGACCCTACTAACAGTGCGGTAGCGAAACTCATCATCGTAGCCATTGCCTGATGACGATCCAGTTGTGTGTAGCGAGGCTGGCCGTGAGCGAGGAGGAGTCCTGGATGAGAGACTTTCGCGTTGGAAATGTGCGCGAGGAGGATGGATGGGGTGGAAGGCAATATGATCTGGATCTTGAGAAGCACCAGGAGTTTGAGGGAGAGTACTCGGCCCAACCGCCCCGAGGATAGAGCTGTCGATAGAGTGAGTGGGAGACATCCTTGCTTCCAAGCCGCTGGAGCAACGAGGAGAAGTGATGCCTAGAGATGGTTGACTGAGCGACGTGCAGTGAGGCCTTCAGACTTGAACTCAAGCGATCGTCGGAATGTGTCTTGTTAAAGGCAAAGCAACGTGGATATAAACGACGGGACAGCCTCGACTGAGGCGGGATGATAAACGAGTGGGATATCAGCCCAGCCACAACGTGCAGGAAAGCTCACGATAGGGAAGGGTGGAAAATAGACGCTGCCGCTGGCGTGCTACTACCCAGGCTCCCCCAAATAAGCAGTCGAGAGCAAGAAAGCTGATCTGAACTATTGATGAAGCTGAAATTCTCAAGCAGAGAAGTCTGGCGGCGAGACTTCCGGAGCTGCAGAAAGGCCTCGGTGGCACCGAGCAGCCGGCAAATATTGGACACTGCAGCCAGACCTAGAACACCTGGACTGAAGGAGACGATAAGAGACCAGTCTGGTATTACCTAACCTACCATTGGCAGCAGCTTTGGGGCCCTGTTGACACACAAGGGCCTGATGCTTGCATAGTGTCAGAGCGAGGTGTGGGAGTGCCTTGGGCAGACGCAGGTGAGCGTGGTAAGCTTAGCCTCCCGCGGTCCTCTTGATGTCCGCAGCGTGTGAGAGGTTGAGAGACTTGATCTACCGATATCTGGATACGAGGTACATCTGGGCCATGCTTTATCAGGTGCTGCTGGTTGAGTGTGGGAGCAACATAGCGATCGCCCTTCACATGCATGCAGCCTGTGCAGGAGTGGGTTGGCCCAACTAGGCACCAGCATCGGATCTGGATGGTCTCGCTGGCTCTACATGAGCTGAAGCACTGAATCGAGTCACCATGCCCAAGAGAAGCCAGGACAGATCGGAGAATCAGACGGGGCGCTGCAGATGGAGGCTCCCCGGTGCCGCCTGTGCATCGGGCAATTCGAGGTGATGGATGGCCAGGCCTGGAAGCAGCCGTCAACGATGATGATGGTGGTCCAGGTTCGACGGGGCCCACGGTGACATTGTTTTCCGAGCCGCCACGCACGTTTTCACGATGGTTGGTGATAAGCTACCACCTTCGACGGAAGAAACCAGCATGTGTCGCCGTCTTGGTCCAGGGAGCAGCTAAAGTAATTGGGCAATTGACTTTCGCCCATGTGGGCTAGACCCTGACGGATCATCATCCCTGTCATGTAGAGGAACTTCGACCAGTCGCCCCAAGCCCTTCCCGTCCGGAACGTCGCCGAAACGGCTGCTTGTCGCTAAGAGGAAAGAGTGCGACGCCACGGCCAGGAACGCGCATAGTGGCTTGCCCACAGAGCGACGTCGATCCTCGACCCAAGATTCAACAGATCGAGAACAAGGAAGTGCTCCAAAGGCTTTGAGGATGAATACTGAACCTCGCGAGACGATACATGCGTGAATATATTGGAACCGGGCGTTCGGGATTACTTCCAAGTATTCAAGCAGGCACAGTAGCTCAAGGATGGGATGCATGTACTTGATGCAGCCAGGGTAGTAAAGGATTTAGAGAACCCGAGGGGTGCGGCTGGCTAAAAATACTGTAATCAAAAGATATGGTCTTGGCCACAGCCAACGTCGTAACGGAAACCAACCCCGGCCTTGCCTCTCACACCGATGTATTTTTCACGGTACCGAGCCATGTACTGAAAGAGAGAGCGAAGGAGGGCGATACGCCGCCGCCAGCGCCGCCAGGCTTTGCTCGAGCTAGTGATGCAGCATGCAGCTCCGTCGACACTACTGCACCATCACTTTGGCTTGATGAAGGAACACTCGGTCAAATCCTCCCGCGCTTCCAGCACCACCGCACCAACTGCCAACTTCCAAGCCTCGGTCACACCCAGACACCCACAGGCCCTGCTGAGCTGTCAACCGCAGTTGCCATGCTCCTTTGACACCGGAACGTGAGCCAGGTCTTGCTGGTCAGCGCCACTGGTCCAAACAAGTAAGCAGGTCGGGATGATATCCCCGATGAGCCGTGCAGTTGCCGGGGTCCCAACAGAGGCCAGCCACCTTATGACCTTGATCAACTCTTGGTTGTTGGGAACATGGAAAGCAAACCCCCCTCCCTCCCAAGAGCTCGGTCCCGACAATACTGCCACCGTACCAGAGTTTTGCTCCGATAGTACTGCCCGCGGGCACATCCGCAAAGGTTAAATTGTTTTGTGTGGTCCAACATGGTCAAGGGGCCTCCTGCTCAAGGTAACCTTCTTGGCTGGAATTTCGAAATCTCAGGAGCTTGCCTGTGAATCACTCAATATATCTGAAGGTGGACTTGCTTGTGCTAAAGTCAACGGGCAAAATGCAGTAGCTGAGCGATTGCACGGTTAATTTGGAAGCCAAGTACCCCGCAGGCGGTCTTCTAGAAACTTGGTACGTAGGAGCGATCTTTGGTCTAACAAGGTACTCAAATTGAAGATCTCAAGGATCTCGGGCGCCAAAAAGGGGGGCAAACAAACAACCAGGGGTATGTGTCTTACTCATCCCTGGTCCCGCTCCAGCAAAACGCGATGTGACCATCCCGGAAAAACATCAAAACGCCAACTCTATCAGCAATACGAGATATTAGGTGTACCTTTCATCATCACCGTCATCACAGCTCAGTGGCGCCGCAGGCACCAGATCTCCACATCTTCACGGACTGTACCGTCATCCCTCGAGAGTCTCCCTCCCCCCACGTCGGCAGCCACTTGTCAGCATCATCCCAGAAGGTCCACTGGGCATTGGTCGCCGCATCGACCCAAGGCTTGCCGCCCTTACCATCACTACAAACAGAGCATTCATTAGCTTCACGTGTTGCCTTTTGCTCGCGCGGAGATTGAAGCTTGAGGACTTACTCGAACCATCCGTTCCTGGCTCCGACAGCAACGTTCAAGATGAGATAGAATTCTTGGTCGAAAGGCGCATTGCCCGTTGTGCTCGTAGTATTTGCCCACGGGTTGGCAAGGAGAGTGTCGTTCTCAGATTTCTCGGAGAAGCCCCCCTTCTGCCACAGGGTCCTGTCGGTGTGGAACTTCGTGTAGAGGACCTGAGTGAGCCTGTTGTCGAAATACATGTAAATGTATTTGTCCGTCCTGCGGTTGGCGTCAGTAAAAAAAGCTGTGGCAGGTGATGAGTTGACGGGTAGAGCTCACCACTCGAGTCCGTATGTGTGGAATGAATCAGTGAAGTCTCCTCGGCGCTGAGTCCTCACGGCCATGGTTTTCCAGTAGGTGTCAAGGACAGAACTGGGGCCCCAGTGCAATGTCGTGTAGTAGACATTACGGCCGCCTGGGTACGAGACGTCATTGCCTCGAGACTCCATGATATCCATCTCGCCGCTCCTTGGCCACTCGCCGTACGCAGAGTCCGTTGGCATCATCCAGATTGCAGGCCAGAGCCAGTCTCCCTTGGGGAGCTTGGCGACAACTTCTACTCGCCCGTACTTGATGCCCATCTTGCCCTTGGTGTTGATCCTGGCCGACCTGACCGGCGGGATCATTTCTCCCTTGGTCGAGTTTGAGTGAGCAACGCATGACGAGGCGCGGGTCTCCGTGCAGGTTCCATCAGCAGTGAGATTGAGGGTGTAATCGTTCCACATTTGGTCTGTGGTGATGGATGTGGACTCATTTGTAAGCGTTGGCACGATATGGAGTCCTTTCTCGTCCGTGTAGACGTTGGCCTTGTCCGTGGTTGTCCAATCGAAGGTCCTGGTTCCAAATCCATCAAGAGCCACTTCATAGTTCCAGAATTTGTCGTCCAACTTTCCCTGATCAAAAGTGTCCTCATATACAAGACATATCTGGAGATTCAATCAGAAAGATGGTCTGTATAAGTGGCGGGCTCGCACCTACTGGGCCTGATATTGCAGGTCTGATCTGGAAGTATGCGACGACACCTGCAGCACACACACCCAAGAACACGAAGACGTAAACAACGTAATTGTTGTACTTTGTCCTTTTGAATTTGGGATCCTCTAGCCATGGCTTCTCATATTCTCCTCGAAGTCGATAGGAGACAAAACGCTTTCTGGTCCTGCCGGTGAAGACACCAGAATGATGTGTCGGGGTTGATGTGCCGGTGGGGCTCATGGTGAGAGAGAATGGGGGCCTCTGGAGAAGCCAAGTCCAGTCTACAGTCGACAGGGAACAAAAAAAAACAGGTCTTGTGTGTGGACTCCCTTGGACGATGGCCTAAGACTAGGAACTGGCAAAATTGGCCGGATCCAGGTGACTTTTGTTCTTTGCAGGATACTGGACGATCAGAAGCAGGTCTCTGAGGAGACCTGAAAACCTGCCAAATACGATTCGATTTCGTAGTCGCCGATCCTGTCGAGACAAGAGAGAATATCTGCCTGTCCTGCCTGGCGAATCGTTCCCGCAAATGTTCTTGTCGACTTCTGGTCTAGACTCGAGGGATACCCATGTCCACACCAACAAACCCCTGTCCGAGCTGCAGATACGGATACATTGGCAGGGTGCATAATCGGGAATAGGCCGATGCACTGCAGATGCCCGACCGCAATTGCCCACCTGCCCCCACCTGCCCACAGGTATTGGAATTCAGCTTTGCATTTTGCATTCTATTTCCTCATCATGGATACATCGGGCTTCAATTCTTTCCATTCCAGGCCATGAAGATTGTTCCTGCCTCACCGGATCGAGCCGAGCGCTGCGCATGTGGCGGCAAATACAACCCTCCCTCTCTGCTGGGCTCAGGCCCGCCTCTCCTGGGTACAAACGCCAATCCAGTGGTGCCCTGGAGGACAGAGTACCCAGCCAGGGCTTGCCAAACCCATCGAATGGCAGACTGGGTAGTCACTAATCAGCATTTTCTGTAGCCCTGGTCGCATGGTGTTAATTGGGTGGGGGTTATATTGAGGACATATATGACAGGGATAGCCGCGGACACTTGCATCACCGCCATTAACAGGACCATATCGTCGGGTCTCACAAGGCAAAAGAACATCAGCGTGGCTCTCATGCATCACATTTCCCCTGGAAGAGCCAGGACTTCTGACCGGGCTCACAGCCGCCTTCGGGTCTCATTCGTTGGATGATGTCTAGCCACGTGCCGACGTGGAGCAAAGCAGGACTGTCCGATGTCCAGTACTGGCCATGGTTGGTCCTGTCGGTGCCACGTCCGACAACTTGGTTATCTTCTGCAGTCATCGCTACCAGGTTTGTTTGTTGTCAGATTACTTGAGCCGGCCCGAAACACTGCCCTCGGGTGCTCGTCAAGCGGAGGCTCCATAGGTAAAGTAATGTGTGGGAAGCCAACCCGCATATTGAACTTTTGGAATCCTCGGTCATTCATATAACCAAGAAATCAGGCCATGGGCAGTCACCCAAATATGACTAATTTCCTGGGTCCCAAAGGAGCCTCATTGCCGGACCATGAGGATCTGTAGCTTTCAAGGTGGGTCAATGTCCAATTTCTTCCTCTCCCGCGAGCTTTGTGTTTAACTTTTGCCTTGTTTTCTTTCCTCCCTCTCACTCTTTGAAGGCATCCGTTCCTCACACAATCACCAACTGCCGTAGTAATTCAATATGAGAATCAACTTTGCCACTTCATTCATTCTTAGCGTTATCGCCGCTCAGGCTTCAACCAATGGTCTCTACCAACGGGGAAAAGGTCTACTCCTGCCGGCTTCTGCATATAGTGCCACCCTTGTTGCAGGCAAGCGAGACGAGGCTACAGCTTGCGTCGAGCAAGTCGGCAATGGCGCTCATGTGGAGCCTGATACAGACGCAAGCTTCCTTGCGTATGAGGCCTTCTCACAGGTTGCAACAGCCGCCGGTACCAAGCCTCCAGATCGGTATTCCGTCGTTCCGGGCTGGGTCGATCTGAAGGCCTCCAATGGAGATGGTACCGGATATCTTGGATACATGCTGTCGGAACTCTCAGGTTACAACCCCGATCAGTGTGCCGATCTGTGCAGCAACTGGTCAGGATCGACTTCATGTACATCATTCGTGATCTATCACGAGCGTGACCCGGAGTTGGTCTGGCCAACTACCAGAGCCCCCTCACCGGCTTGTCCTGCGGCTGCCGACTCACCATCCGTGACGCTGATCAAATGCGTCTTCTACTCTGTGCCCCTGTACTCGGGCAACGCTACCAATGTCGGCCAGTATCAGGATGATTTCCATGTAGTCATCGCCGGCTCCACCGCTTTCAATCTAGAAGCGCCCGCCGTCAGCGGTTATGCGGGTCCAGTCCCCCTTCACAATGCCTCTCTGGATATTCCTCCTCCGGTTGGCGAGAATGGATACATCCGTGTCCAGACCTTTCCTGACACTGCATACAGCCCCGGCACTTGTGCTGACAACTGCGCCGCCATCTCTACATACAACCTCGAGCACGGGAGTTCTGAGCTGTGCACCTCTTTCAACTCTTACATCCTGTACACAAACGGAGCAAGCGGGTAAGGGAAAGTCTTGATCTTTAAAAATAGTAATATTCCGATTGCTAATGTCGACCTATGCTCTAGTGTCTTCACCTGCACTTATTACAACACCAATTACGGTGCTTCATACGCTACTGTATGTCCCCACGTGCCTGTGTGACATGAAGACAAGAGCTAACCATGCGGTAGAATACTGGCCAATATGACAACACTGGCAACCATTACACTATTGGAAGCAGCTACTCGTACTACCTTGCGGGATCCTCTACACCCCTGGAGAAGCGCAGCGTGGAGTTCACTGTCTGAGCTGAACATAGTCCTTTTGCGGAATGGGAGAAAGCATGGCTGCACCACTTAGCCCCAATATTGTTCGGAGACGGTGAATTTGTCACCTAAAGCCTGATTAGCTGCATACAAGGTGGACGCAGAATTGTTTTTGTGCTGTAACCCTAGTATCACTAATTTCTTGTCCATGTAAATCAAATACTGGAGCTCTGACCAGGCACTTCCTTTTGCCACTTGGCTTCGTGCCTTGTTTTCCTGTCTTGTCGAGTCTAAGCTGACGGCCTTCAACAACATTGAAGCTTTTGTCTCAAGGTTACGTCCAATGGGAGTTATGCCCGGGCGAAATCTCATCTTACTTGCTGATCAGTGTGTGAAGTCGACAGTCATATTCCTGCATCGATCTTATCATCTTCTGCCAGAGGCTCCAATGATTCCGCCTGTACTGAACCATGTCACTCGAATACCCGCTTATCTCATGCCGTGTACCTGGTCTGACGCAGAATCCAGAACACTCAGTATCTATCAAGCATCATCAATTAAGGTTCGCAAGTGCCATCCATGATTATGTCATTCCTCCGAATCACACCTCAGTTGCAAGACTTTATCTGCCACTGGTTGAGTGCCGTAAGCTTATGTCTTGGCCGAGGACTTTTAATCCCGTTGCAACACCCATTGACAGCTACACAACATTACAGTCAGACGGCAGCCGAAATTGTATAATGCTCCTGTTGTATGGTTGTTGCGAGGCTGTCGGATCTCGCAAAACTGCGCCACACGTGGGGTGAATAGTGGCTTGAGTGGGTGGTGTCGTATTCGATTTCATCGCCGCTATGTTGGTTGCGCCGCCAAGGATCTAGCATTGGTAGTATTTCCGTTGGATTCAGGGAACGGAAATCACGACATGTCACATCGTGAAGCTGACTTACATGGCTAGCAGCTGTTCGAGATAAGGCGGATGCAGTGAGACCCAGGATGTGCAAATTTCACTCGCGACTCTCCTGCCCGAAGAGGACTAAAGGGCCTGCATGTGCTAGGAGGGAAACCTGGGAAAGCTTGAAGTTGCGAAAGTCCAGAAAAAAACGTTGGACGTGGAAGATACGAAGATGATGTACCGGTACTTACGCCCTCCCCCCCCCAAGTACATCCTTGCTAGGACAGCATCCATAGCCAATGCATGCGGATGGATCCGACCCACCAGTCTGACAGTAGAGCTAAGCTTATTAGGACTCCAGATGCCAACAACACTCCGCTAATCGAGGATCACAGGCAGCCTGGAGCCTCTTCAGGTGCTGTACCTGACTATCAAACAACTTGTCATGAACGATTGATGGAGTCCTCAGATGGCCACGTCCAGCCTTTGTGGATTCTCCCACTCCACCTTGAAGTGGCTGGACCTCGCTTCTCGACATGTGCTCGTTCAGCGTGGCGGTGTTCGGCGGCGCCTTTTCCTCACCGTCCCTCCTCGTGCGGAAGCCTGGGCTCCTTCCGCAGTGTGTTTTTTTCCCGCATGCAACGTCAAGGCAGTACTACTTGTCGGCGCGCCGATATCCCGGTCCTCCAAGGCCCCCCACCAGTTGCCACGTAGATTAAATGTCTCACTCAGCACGGTTCGCCTCCGCGCGCACAGCTGAAACTCAACACCTCATGGGTGCATTACCAGCCAGGCTGATAACCTGGTGATCTCGACCCGCGGGCTCCTACCCTGTGCTCGGGGCCCACGCTACGCCCGCGACCTTATCAGCGCGGCAGCGCTTCGAGAAGCTTTCTGGTCCGCCACAGCCAACCAGTTTGCTTCATCTGTATCTTCGCTGACCGGCTGGCGCTCTAGCTGAAGGGGCACTCAGCCGTCTCTGGTCATCTGAAGACTCGGACACGGGAATCTGCAGATTCATAGCTCAGCAAAGGCTGTCGCGACACCTGGATTGTGGCCCCCACATGCTGCTGTCTCTCATCACAGATATCTTGGTGTTGCGGGATCTCGTGGGTTTCACTGAAGTCTTTTTCATAATGTTACACCCCGGTTCTGCGGAGAGTGGTGGCTCTTCATTTTCTGCCTCGTGGAACCGGTTCTTGTCTAAGACATCTTGTCTTGCCGTTCGACACGTGCATTCCGTCACGCCACCCATCATTTTGCTGTCCCGTCTTGGCTCTCTTCGGCCTTCCATTTTCCATTTCCTGTCATTTGATGTGTCTTTTAGAGAGCTTCCGTCTTGGGACATGCTACTATCGAATGTAACACATGATTTCTCTTGAAGGTCCGGTGTGCTCCGGGTTGAGTTGTAACACTATAAGCCATTTGTCAATTCTAAGGAAATACACTTGATGCTTTTTCGTTCCAGTTATGCCATGTGTCCTCTCATGATTGTGCTGAACAGTGAAGGCAATGGGAGGCTATTGTGCTGTATGCTGTTGAGCAGAATGGGCCACTTCGCAGTAGAGCCAATAGATGCACGAGAAGCAAGGTTCCATGCACGGCATGGACATGCTTTTGTTGATGGGGCTATGGGGGATGAATGGAATGCCCATAGCTCTCCAGGTGGCTCACCAGGGTCCAAGTTGATGAAATCCTCGTGAGGACACAATTATAGCTTCTCAATGGCACTGGGAAGGTCAATCATTTTTACCTGTGCCATAAGTATAATTGAAAGACTTTTTACATTTACTACTCTGTCACATTCTGTGGTTGAAATTACAAATGTAGTGTATTGCGATGTCTACGCGTGATCTCTTTGAGCATGAATCTGCTGGTAGGTATTTGCTAAATGGAAATTCTGCTGTAATTCTTTTTGAGCGTGGGTTCTCGTTGTCAAATTTATGGATAGGTACGTGAAGGTTCGAGTCCTTCGATGGGTCCAGATGTCTCTAAGGACATGCCCGCCAATTGTCACGCATTCAGTCTCCGTAGAATTATACTGTCATTATGTGCAGACTCAACTAGATGTTTGAATGGCTTAGCAGGCAGGTATATGAATACTTTGGCGCGATAACGACATAACCTGCCCACTATGGTCAAGAAAATGTTGATGGCATGCAGTTGCATGGATGGAAAGGCAATATTTCTGTTTTTACAGCATCAGTTCAGAGTTCAACCCTTTTGTTTCATATCATCAAGTCATTCAATATTCTACGGTCTGTAGGAACAGACTGATAAATTCAAGACTGCTTTCTGCATATGCAACACGGCGAAATGAACTCGTGCCTTCAAGCTATTGAAGTCGTGATTGTCGCTTGCATCCCGGCGCCATACCGGGCCTCTATGGGGTCCACTGTCTTCTTAGGGTATAATCAACTATTGGATGCGGAAAGATGTCTTCTTCTAGCCTGAGTGGATGCGACGCTCGATGACTCTACCAGTACAGTTATGAGTATCAACCGGGACAATGCCATCTTCCAGGTGATTACCTGGAGTTCACGTCGCCAAGTGCTATTCGCGAACAAAATTCTGACCCCTTCAAGTCAGAGAAGAGTGCGACAAGCCCAAATTGGAAACGCTTGCGTAATTGATATGGGTAAATTGCTCCATCTAGACCTCAGCTTGCCCCTATTCGTTCATGGTTCAGAAGCATCGAGTCAACAATACGTAGTCTTATAATATGAAGATTTAATAAAAACTCATATATAAGTTTAAACCGATGTATTAGAAAATATTTGATTATATTCTTTGATAAGATATGATTCCAAGGCTATTAACAATTAAGCTACGTATGGACTTAAAGTACCTCCAAGGGCGCCTGGCTCACGAACCACGTTCCATTATTCGTGTCAATGGTAATGTTCGTTTGCTTCGTCTGACCTCCCTTCAAGCTCCCACTCTCTACAAGTCCACCAGCTACCGGCCTCTGCAACTTGTTCGCACCCGCCTCGACAGTGAAGTTCGCGAGAGGGATTTCCCACCCGTTCCTGCTGACTACCGTCGGGAGTCCAAAATAGTTGGCGGTCACACGCTGAGGCGAGATGTGCAGCTCGTAATAGCCTCGGTAGTACAGGTCCTGCCACTGCAGCTCCTCGTTCGCGTTCTGCAGCAAAGTAGAGGCCTGGTTTGCAAAGTCGAGGGTGATGTTTGCGCCGTATGGGCAAGGAGAAGTCACCGCTGATCCGGCAAACTCAACTCCGATTGAACCCTCGCCACTGGCAGAATCGTAGTTCTTCTCCCCGAGCCACACAAGGTCCGACACCCAAGATGCGTGGGAGTCACCCGCGAGAAAGATGTTGTTACCGATGCCGTTGTTGTATAGATGGCTGTACGTCCTGTTTCGGTTTGATTGGTACTGTATCATTCGACGTTAGCTATTGATGCATTGTGGAGGCAACTTCGCACACAAAGGAGATGGAACTTGACACTATCTTTCCATAGCCGATTTCGCAACTTGCGTCCCAGCCAAAAGCGTGAAGGAAAGCGGGAAGAAATCAACAAGAATAGCACATGCTTCTCCCTGGGAAAATGAATACAATCTGGAAGGCTGCTTACCCCGTCCCAGGCGTCATAGTCCAGAGGATTCTCATCTCCGTAGGCTATTGACTCATTGATCCGACTAAAAACAATTTGGCTGCCAATAATGCGCCACGTTGCACCGCGCTTGGAGGAGGAAGACAATTGGTTGTAAAACCAGTTCTCTTGTCTCGATCCCATGAGCGACCGGCCAGCATCGTCAGAGATGGCGTGGACGTAGTCCGTGTTCCAGTACAAATCAGTAATCGAACGATCATACTGCCTGGTATCGAGCATGATCAGATCTGCGAGGTTACCGAGTTTGAACGAGCGCCAAATGCGCAAATTGTCGTCCATCTCAACTTGGCGAATTGGCATCCACTCAAAGTAAGCGCGGACGGCATTCATCTTGCGCTGGTCTACAGAGACCCCGCCGTCTTTGACAAACGAGTCTTCGGTGTTGTTTAACTCAGAAGAACCGTCACGGTAGGTATTGTCTGCGACTTCGTGGTCATCCCAGACTGGAATCCAAGGAAAGGCCTGGTGGCTGGCGAGGAGATCCAGGTCAGTCCGGTATGTGGCAAGACGCTTCCTGTAGTCGTAGAGACTGAAAATCTCTTTGTCCGGAAGTGGTACTCTGCCAATCGTCTGGCCATAGCCATAGTCTCCATTCTTGTATTCGTAAATGTAGTCGCCCAAGTGAATCACGTAGTCGACCGAATCCTTGCGCACTGGGTTGCCGAACGCGTTGAAGAAGCCAAAGGGAAAGTTCGAACACGAATAGACGGCGATTCCGATTTCAGTCACGTCATCGTCCTCATTAGGTGTGGTTTTCGTCCGTCCCAGAGGGCTCTTGTTATCAGAACCGCACACATTGAATTGGTACCAGTACGTGGTGAATGGCTCTAAATTTTGCGCTTCAACCTGTCTCGGACTATGAATTAGCACAAAATCCACACGGCCACAGAATCCCGGGTCATCTAACCTTGACCGTATAATCGATGTCCGAGCTGGTATAAAGCGTGCCAGAGTCTACCACGTTTGCCAATTGCTCATCCGAGGCGACCTTGTACTCAACGCAGACCGGAGCCTTCGACATGGAGACATATTCCTGAGTGTCGTGGTTGTACAGGGGCACATAGCCGGACACGGTCGCGTTGGATTTGTCATTATCGACTGCAGGGCTGATGCGCGTCCAGAGGATGACGCTGTCAGGGTATGGGTCGCCTGAAGCAACGCCATGAGTGAAGTTCAACTTGGCCGGATCCCAGGGGCTCTGCGGGTCATTTCGCTTGACGACCCTATGGATCGAAACACCGAGGGATGGATGGTGCTCAGAGGGACTTCGGTAGTTGATGTTCGACGTCCAGGAGGCTTGCACAACCCCGGCAACGGCGAAGAGGGCAGTGGCGTGAGACTTCATCTTGACGAAGAACGAAAAGTGATTGTCCTGGGCGGTGCAGGCAGTCAGGTCACTGTTGCCGGCACACCGTGATCTGCGTCGTCTTATATTTCCCATCCTACATCCCATCTACATCATTAGGTAGCATTGCGTCTGCCAGAGGGAACTGCTGGCTAAGCTTCATCCTTGCTACGTCCTGCAGCCGATGTTCCCTCCGCATCGTTAGCTCGGGATGTTTTCCTGCTTCACCAATCACGTAGACTCGATTAGGCATGCCTGGCAGCAAGCAACAGGCGTGGACCTGAGCAGTCCTGGCAGTTCGGTGAGGGTTCATCTGATTTACGAAAAGTCCACGGTGGATCTGGGAGGGGGAGACCAGGATGTCGTCGTCATAGTCAACGTGCTAGATCCTGTCGCCGGCTCACCCGAGGCAGAGAAGCTTTTACAGACCGACCGCGTGCCTCCACTGACGCGTTCCATTGGTTCCCGGTGGAATGGGTACCAATCTACAAAAGTGGCCTTGGCAGGCACGTTGACTGCTTGACCAGGGGCTCATGAACTTCTCAAGGATATCCGGCACTCTGGATATATCCATCTAAATTGTTCATTATCCAGTGTAATTGCACAAACATGCCATGCGCAGCCGTCACTTGGCTTAGTTCTCGAGACGCATTTGGGGTCGCGTGCTGCGTCCCAGAGTCCCGAGGTTTATCTTTTTTACCCCGCCCCAACCTACAATCCAGCCCTCTTGCATTAGCTCCAGAAGCGAAGTCATGCATGGCCAGCAAAATCATAAGCAGGCATGACAGGCTTATGTCTGCTATAGCGAGACATCCTCGACCACCAAAACAACCTTGAAAGTGAAACATACGCAGAGCTAACGGTTGATTTTGCAAAATAGTCCACCTGTCAAACCACATTGGGCTGCATATGGTCTCAGTCTGCCCATGATGTATTGTCTGCCATTGCACTGGGCATAAATGATAACGATGCGTACTGAGGATTGGCAATATGTTTGAAGTGGCTAGTATTCGTCGCAACTTGGGCGTGTACAGATACAGGTTCAGAACAGTGGAACCGTATGTATGCAGCCCCACTTCATCAGCATACTGTGTATTGCGCCTCGATACGTGTGATCTACTACAGTGTATGCTTCGAACCGGATCGGAACGGAATTAAAGATGTTGCAGATCCAGCTCGTTGATTCTGCAACGCAGCTACGCTCGTGCGTGGGTAGGGGTTTGATCCTGCGCCTCACGAAGATCCTCGCAGACATCTCGGAAGGCGCCGGAGCCAAGACCACTTGCGCACGTTTAGTTGTGCTACAGTACCTAAAGATACGACCCAATGGGGTTCAAGACACTCCTCGCCCGATTAATATACGCTCAGAAATTTTGGCTGATTTTAGTACTTGTCCCTCTTCGCAATGGGTAGAATGCAGTCCCAAACAGGCTTCAGGAGCCGGATGGATTGCCAATGGCCTCTCGCAATATTAGAATAAAAGGCGGAGGTCTGAACCACATGATCCGAGTCTCGTTCCAATTTCAGCTTCATGACATTCCGTACGAGCTGCAGCGAACCTCTCAGTGCCAGGTCGTGGCTTGCTCCGCCACAGCATTTAGGTAGACATCGAATTGTTCCACGCCCCGCCATTTGCCCGTGCACCCGGGATTCTGCTCTGGCACGCTTCCACCAATGCTTTTTGGCTTGCAGGCTTGCTCGTGTTGGAAGCCGAAAGCAACCCAGCCCAGCCAATTATGGCTGTCGGACGGCAGATGATTTCTTGATCCCCAGCCTGCAGTGCCGTGTGGGGCCCCATCCCAGAAGCAGCTGGCCGCCTCATCGCACAGTGATGTGGCGCGACTTTTCCTTTTTGCGTTCGTGGTCATCCACGAAGGAACAATGTGAGACCATGCCCAACGAACTTCTTTGATGCCGTTGATTTATCTGAGGCAGTGTGATATACCGTGCAGACAGCCACTGTCACCCACTTCAGTACTGTCAGGGGACGGGGAAATGCATCAAATGCAACTTCCACTGCGCGATGAGGTCAAGTGAGGGCTTCGCTGCTTCTTTTCCCACAGCAAGCTAAATAAGAGCGGAAAATCGTCCATGAGGTTGGGTCGCACGAAAAATACGAATATACGTCTGTCCGTCTTCCCCTCCGAAGGCTGATCACCATCCGCTATTCATAAACACTGTGTCCCAGAAGCGATGGCAGCACAGCACGCAGTCTTGGTCTGGCTCAAGACGATACCTATCAAATCATACATCTCGTCCCACTTCATCGTTCATTGTCGAATTTCACTCGCTTAATTCCTCGACAATGTACTTCAGATTCCGCCCTAGGGCCAACTCGTCTAGTGACAGCGGCAACCAGACATTAATAATTGCAATTTCTGTCGCACTTGGAGTCGCAATCATTCTTTCTGCAACACTCATCGGACTCAAGATCCTGAAGCGTCGTCGCAAGACCAACAATCAGTTCAGGGAAGCTCGGCTTCGCGACCCAAGCCTTACTTGGGACGAACATGACCGCAGATGCAAGCTCACTCGCTCGCGACTGGTGGTCGAGGAAGAGATACAACGGCACAAACTCATCCGAAAGACCCAACAGAGTCGGGCGTCATTACGAAAAGAACTTGAGCGGTCAGGTAGTAAATACAAGAGACCTACTCGATCGCGTTCAAAGACGTGGCACGGACGTGTGAAAAGTAGCGAGAGGGATGTAGAAGCTGGACCTGAGCTTGAGGAGCGGTGTTTGGACTGGGGTTCCGCTGAGGCGCACGTGTTGCGGACCTTTCAGGTATTGAATGGGAAGAAGCATCCATCCCACAGGCCACGGACAAGCGAGGACGATGGCAACGTGCCGCGAAGGCCACCGACAATCCGGTTGAAAACCCCTCCTCTATTTTCACATCCGATGTTCAGGACCTCAGACCCGCCAAAGCACCTGAGCCTCCCCACAGAGCTGATCCGCATGAATTCTGACCCAGGACCTATTGTCGGCTCGAACTTGAACGCAGACAGACCACGGGACGACGTAGCATAGCCTCAGCTCACGAGACAGCGGGTTGCTGGTATAGACTGGCTGGCCAGTGAGGCATCAACATGAAGATGTTTGGACTAATTTGCTTGAATTCACACGTGCATGAAGCGCAGCTAGCATATATAGCATCAGGACAAGATTGAATACTTAACTCTAATGTCAATACCATGGCGATTGACCATGTTCGAATTACCTTGAACCGTAATCACACCTGGTGCATTGATAGCTATTCGAAAGCTTCCAGACACAGAAGGTTGTTCGTGGCCTGTCGAAGGTCTGCCAGTTCTACGCGGAGAAACTGGACCAATGTGAACGTGCTTCTATTGGTTGATTTGATGCAAGGGTCTATTTGATTCGAGACTGATAGATTGAGCGACTTCCGAGTGGCGACTTATGGCTTTGGTGCTGCTAGCCGCTGCTCGCAGACCTCTCTGAAAGTCTTGGGCTTCTTGAGTGTGAGCTTTTGCACGTCATCGGAAATAATCTCAAACTCTCCAAGTCTTGTCGCTTTTGTGAAGGAAACCATATCTGAACTGTTCCATGGGTTGCCACTGTTGAATGGAAAGTCAGTCATCTAGCTTATGAATCGTCCTTCCTGATGGAAGAGATCACAACCACTGCCGTATTCAGATAGCCACAGACCAAGATGGGGTCTAGTTTCCACTTACTCGACAACAAATCCATCAATGGGCTCCCTTGGGATTCCCATTGCATCAAAAATCGCAAGCTGCTCGTCATCCGTCAAGGGCTCGTAGTACAGAGTCTTGCCGACAGTCTCCCCCATGATCCTGGCTGCGTCACCCCAAGACAAGAGCTCAGGGCCTGTGATGTGATATGCTTTGTTGCGATGGGAAGAAGGGTCAGCGAGAATATTCACGGCGGGCGCAACACAGTCATCTCGGCTGATGAACGCCATTTTCCCCTGCCCGGCGTTGACGCGCAGTACCCCTGCTTTAAAAGCTGGGGGTCCAGCCACATCAGTGAGGGCCTCCGAGTATTGAGCGTCACGAAGTGCAGTCCAGTAGAGACCACTAGCCCGTAACATTTCCTCTATCAAGCAGGGTTAGTTTACTTGTCGGGACGGCAAAAATGGCAGAATACTTGCCTGTAGCCCTATGTTCTTTTGCGACAAGGGCAGTCGGATTTTCCAAGTGTGCGGACAATATCGAAGTATACACAATGTGCTTAATGCCTGCTTTGACAGCGGCGTCCACGGCCGCTTGATGTTGCGGTAGCCTCTGTCCAGCTCTGGACGTGCTAATAAAAAGCATGATGTCTGCCCCCGTAAAGGCCTCCGCGAGTTCGTCTATGGGATCATCAAAGGAGCCCTTCCGAATGTATGCACCATTTGAGGCGTAGTCTGAGAGCTTTGCAGGATCTCGGGTGAGGAGGAGGAGTGACGACGGAGAAATTCCCTTCGCCAGTAGTCCCTCGATAGCGAGACGCCCGTACTGGCCCGATGCCCCAGTGATGAGGATTCTATTTTCAACGCTGCCCATGATAATTGCTCGCCACTCAAAGTCGTCTTTTTAAGGGCCTTGGAATGTTCGTTGCGATTTTCCTGTAGAGTTGTGTATACAGAAATGAAAGTTTGATAAGGTGATTTGGGATGGTTTTAGTTTCAGAAGTGAGCACAGGCTCAATAGCTCTACGCTGTTTTGTTCCATGTAACAAAGTAAGCCCTTCAAGTTGTGGAGCCGACCCACTATATTGAGTCGTAATGGTCCCATCTTGTCGGATTGTTGTTGCATACCGAGCTGCGTCCATTATGCATCATTAACATATGAGGGTCACTAGCCAATGGATTTTGTACTAGTTTCCCCTTGCAATCCAGTTTTGAGTCCTGATTCGTGAGACGGATCGCCGGAAGACATCAACAGCAGAGTCATGGATCAGAGATCTGTCTGTGGCAGATCTTCGGTTGCTTTGTAGATACCACCGAGGTAGTACTCGGATTGACGGAGAATATTTCGTTTCCCACTGAAAATGATTTTCGTATCAGTTGATACGACCCACGAAGTTGGAAATCGCAAACGTGGCATGCTAACGCTCGCGCCCTTTTCAGACCACTAGGACTTCGCCAAATCTTTTAACTAGCTGCTATAGCTATAGTGTGTCCAAATTACGGCAAAGACCAATTGTTTAGTCTCTGCGGAACGGACTGGATCTTGAGACGAGACCGAAGCTATGCTTCCTCGTCAAAAGCTGTTGTTGGATGGAGCGTTTTCTCTGCACCCAAACATGGTACACATGTAGACGACAGAATCAATGCAATCAATGAACATGTGCAACCAGATTATTGAAGTGCGAGTGAAGCTAGGCGGATTCAGCAGACTCGGCAGAGGTTGGCACCACACCGTATTTTCGTGTTCAATTCACCACGCAGAAGATAAAAGGGGCGCAGCACACAATAAGCAGATTGAATTTCGAATTACACAATCAAGAACCTCGATTGTTCCACGATTTTGAAACCCGCAATCCAGAAATTCCCAACGCGAGCATAGCTGTTGCCAATCAGTGGTCGTACAGCCATTCCGGCCCAACGAATCTTCCCATCCCTTCTTTGCGGGCTCTGCTCGACCATAAGCCCCAGGCAGTGTACCATTATGCCTTCATTTCGATGTGATGAATCGTCTCGCTGAAATTGCGGCGTAGTGGACACATTTGTCTGGGATGCGTCCATCTCAGCCGGATCATCCACCGTTAGCAAGCTGACGAACCCACCTTCTGCGTCAAAAAGCTGGAAGTACAATTCGCCAGTCTCTTGGACCATCGGTCTGGCCCATAGTGTCATGTAAGGGCATACAATATCTAGGTGGCCAGACACAACCTGACCAAACGGATCGTCCTCCACACCTGGCTTCACAGTTTCACAGCTTTGAATGCAGACGATGTCCGGGGCATACCCGCCTGGTAACGAGAGGTACATAATGCTGCCGTCCATCGAGGCCCACGACCAAGACGGGGCGCGTCCATATTGGCGACCTGTCTTGGTGGGGTCGGGCGTCGCTGAGATGGATGAGATACCTTCCTCACGGACCCAGAGAAGATCGCCGATGAGACTGCGTCTCCACAGCCCGGCAAGGTAGTCGCCGGGCTGCCAGCCCATTAGACTTGCATACCTCTGCGCCATGCCAGATAAAGCAGGCAGCTTGTCACTCGGCTCGGTCATGCTGCGGCCACAGAAATTCATTGCCATGGTCTGCCAACTGTCATATCTGCGATTTCCACGGTCTTCCATGGCTGCGACTTCTTGAAGGGATCGGGGGAATCGGAAGCCGTAGTCTGGATCAGAAGTGTCGAGGACGTATTGGTCGCATGTGTAATACACCCCTGTGCTGGCGAACACGAGCAGGCGGTTGGATAAGAGCCATTCCTGGAAACACCACGCGCGGCTGGAGATTGGCTCGCAGCCTATGGGAATCTTTCCCTTACCTACCCATTCCGCTATTTCGTCATCAGCGATAACCCTTGGGTCCTATTTAGACCAGCTGTTAGTGTTGCAGGCGCAATAAAATAGATCCCAAGTATGACGGGCATTTTCCCATGCGTACCTTGTGCATCAGTCCCTGGTCTGAGTTCGAGGCCCCAGCAGCGACGATGCAGAGAGAAGCATTTCCATAGATCCAGTGCATGCGTGCCGCCTCATATCGCCAGTCCGCCGCCGCTACAGTGTCTTGCCGGCTCCCCTGAAGGATGCATAAGGCGTCAATCCAAAGATAGCGATATCCTATGTTGCGAGCGACCTGGACTGTGTCTCTCAATGTCCGAGGCATTCCGGCGATGTTGAAACCCTTCAGCCGGCTGCTGAGAGTGGCGGGTGTGGTAGTGAAGGCAGTTGTCGTTCCCCAGCAGTACGACAGGACAACATAGTCGATTGTCTGATGAGATACTGCCAAGACCTCATCCGTTACGACGAGTCTGATGCGTTCTGGGCTTTCGGGCCAGGCTTTGAGATCTACAAGGCGCATAGGCAGTTCTGCATTCCGTGGCCCCTCGCACTGGTGACTTCCAATGCAGTCATCGAGCTTCACCTTGACATGCACCAGGCTCTCGGCGTCAAGCCCTGGTGAACTGGGTACTGATATGGATTTTGGTCAACCTTGTACTATTCATGAGGCGTGCCTCTAACTTTTGACCTGAAACTGTGCAATACTCACCTTGAGACATGCTGGACCAGCAGACCATCCAAGTTGACGGACAATGTCTCTTCCCTCCGGACCTCGAGGAAAATGAGGCACCAAAGTGGTTGCGAAATTTCCGTAGGGCCGATTATCTGAAGAAAACAGGCTTTTAAGCTGAGGGCAATGACAGACCACGGCGCTCAGGTGGATGAATGTGAAGGATCAGATAGCTCCAGCGCAACGTGATTGATTCGCTGTGGTTTTCTTGTGACGGTTTGGAATTGGCCCCCTAAAACTCGCGTATGCACGCCACACAGCATTGTTCGCCGGCCTCCAAATCCTCTGACCTTTTGTGACCTAAGGTGCCCTGCTGCCGCAGATTCTGAAGTGAGCGAATGGACGGGCGTATTACGTGTCTAGTCAACGAATTTCAAAGATACATCTCTTGCAGATAGTCCGCTCTACTTCTCTTTTCTATGAATCATTGCCAGGCACCGACAAGTGCTCATCATCCTGATCTCAAGGTGTCCCAGAAAGACAATAGAAGAACGGTGGCAGGCCGCTGGGGCCGAGGCCCCGGCCAACCCCTCCGGAGGCCCTCCTGGGGGCGCCTACGGCCTGGGCGATCACTAAACCACAGAATTGTTCCGAAAAATTGTCTTGCTTTCGATTTTCGAAGCTCTTACAGCGAAGTGTTAGACACCCCGAGCAGAAATACGTCGCTACGCATTCAAATCGACAAAGCACGCGTGCTTCAGACTATCGTCGAGAATCCCCCTCATGGCCGGCCAGTAACGGATGTTGTTATATTGTGAGGGTTGATAACACCAAATTGCCAGCTTCGTGTCCTGAACAGCTGCGGTTGGCCGTTTTGCGATGAATTTTCAAACACCAGGGGAAGTCATTCTTGGAGCACGAAATGCTCTGAGGTCATGATGCTCATTAAATGACTTGCTGCATTTGCGAAGGTTATTGTTGATTGGGACTACCTAGACTTGTCGCCTAAGGTCTGGGTCTTACATCGTGGTTGATGATCAGGCCAGTTTCTCGAGCTCGAGCTGGATCTTCCAATTCTTATCGCCCAAATGCCCCCCGATCTGTCCACCCTTTTTGTTCGATTTGAGCGCGACGTTGACGAAAACGTCGCCAACCCCATTTGCTGAGCTGCCTGGCGCAGTCTGAACCAAAAGAAGAGTAGCCTGCGATGCTCCTCCTTCGACAGCCTCTAGTACTCCAATGGGCCAGCTGATTGCTCGGTCACCCGCAGGTTCATCGACTTCCGTTCCCTTGCGGCCGCTGAGGGCATCGTATGTCCCCTTCAATGTCTCAAACAAAAGTTTGTCTCCGACAAGAACAGATATCTGGTGGACTCCTACCGCACCTGAGGGATGCGTGACGTTGTGACCCACGTGAAAAGGTACTCGATTGTCCCTTGGGGTCCGATCAAGACACCAGAATGGAGCCTCCCCGCCAACAAAATCATTAAGCCCAGCTGCCTTGTCCAGGTAAGGAGATGAGATAATCCACTTCAGTTCGGTACCATCAGGCTTTATTCTGCCCCCTGGAGTAGGGCTTGTATAATTTATGCCTGTGCTCGCGGCTTCTATCCGGCTTCTGATGGTGTTCAGGTCATCCTCGCTATGAAGCGTATTGGCCCAGTCGACAATGTGACCAGGCCGCCTCCCGCCCCACCTGTGAGACTTTCTCTCCTCTTCTTTGCCAGGAACAAATGCAATAAGCTCGAAGTAGACGCCATCTTGAAGTAGGATCAGCTTGTTCTCCGTGACACCATCGGCATGGCGTCCTCCTTCCAGCACAGTGAAAGCATCTGTGACCCAGGACGGTAGGTTGGTAAGGGTCTCATGTGGCACAAGGATGACAATATGGTCCAAAATTGGAGTTGGCGCCATCTTGTCGTTAATGGAAGATGATTGCAAGCCGGTGTCTTCGAAAGGAGTATGTGCTCTTGTTGACGTGAATCGAGTATAGGAGCACTTTGAGGGGGGCCACTCCCGAGGTCGGGAGATACCTGCTTAAGTAAGCACCTGCACCTCTGGAGAACCTTGCGACATTTTGCGCAAGTTTGCACCATCTGACATCGTCGGCAGACATCTCCGTCTCCGGAATCAATTCTGTCTTAAGCTGAATCTCGTATTCTCATGTGGTAATGGTTGAGCTTATCAATTTCATAAGTCTTTCGAAGCACATCATCGCACCCTGGGTGATGAGTCCTCGCTGAAAACCACAAGTCGACATTGGCAGAAGAAGTGGGGTTGGGGCTGCAGTTCTGTTTCCGCACTCTTCTATCATCTGATATCTTGTACGCTCTTGGCGACCTTTTACTTGTTGTATTGAATGAGGATGTAGCAAGATTTCTAGGTAAGCAAGAGCCAGAAACGCCAGCTCCCTTCTGCATCATGGGAGCAAAATATGATACAGGGCCACACTTTAGCAGAAGTTTCGTTGATTTGCTATTGAAGCCATTTAACTCATGTGTAATTGTAACAACGTCAAAGTCTCGAAGAAAATTGTGCCACATAAGTCACTGCTGATATTCACCGCCAGTCATGAATAGATAGCCGTCACCATTTTGCATGTTATCGAAAGTTAGGGACGGCTCTGAGTCCAGTATCCGAATGTAATCTCATCATTAGTATAGTCAATGCACACAAAATGATTCCGAGGATGGAACGAGATGGAGCTATGTTGTCTTGAGGGTTTCGCCTACTCAGTTCCGCCCACACTCAGAAAATTCGACTGAGATCAATTAATCATAAATTTTCATACCCTGTACTCTGCATGTTCGAGTGCTGGGTCTTGGGGAGTCTTCACCTCTTGATTGCGATATGTTACTGCCTTCAACGGAAGCAAGAACACGTTATCTAGGCAGAAAACGTTCAAGGCAAGATCAAGGGCGGAGTGACCAGCCTCAAGGGAGGGCACGATTGACCAGAGTCTTACGTTGCTGGCCCGCAGGCAACCACTTCTTCAATGCACAAGCAAGATAGACCACAATGATCACATTCGAATTTTCTACGCAATTTTTGCAATGCCATGCTCCGGTTAGAATCTATCAAATTACCAAATTAAGCTATGATTCCCCTAGCCCCACCTTTATGGCAGTTCCGCATGGCCCCTTTGCAGTTTTGCAAATCAAACCTGCCTTAGCCAAACCTCATATTGTTGTCTCCCCTCTCGAGATCGTGTAAACTGGTCAACGGCCGAGTAACTCTGAATTCCCGGACCATAACGACTCGGAGCCTGGTGACCATCGCTAGGCCTATTCCTTCTCTTGGCCCTCTCCTGCGGCGATATTCCCCAGGTTGAAGGAACCTCCTCGTACGTACTATATGGGTTGCTGTGACCCGTTCTCGGCCGGGTGGGAGTGCGATGACTATTCTGCATATGGTCGCTGGCTGGTTTGAGGCGAATTGTAGTTGGAGGCGCTACCGGCCCGTTGAACCTTTCCGTGTAGTATTGTGTGGCTTCGTAATTCCGAGGATCCCTTCTAACGTTTCCCGAGGCATATTGGCTGTGATTCCGCAAGGTGTTTTGGCTTACTAAATGAATAGGGGATGATTGTCAGAAATATATGTCGTGATATTTATAAACTTGATTGGAAGGCAACGCATGGTGCTCAGATCCTAATTTACGAGACACAAACAGAGAGATTACTGCGAATTGTGGCAAGTAAAATACATTCCAATAATAAAAACCTCAAAAGCACCTCATAGCAGTATTTGATTCAAGGACGCTTACCTTGATGGGTCGTGCTTTTGGATTTCCTGCCGAAGAGCCTGGCGAAGAACCCGGGTTTGCTCTTTCTTGTTTTATGGGCCATAGTATGAAGACTAATTTGCGAATATGCGTATAACGAAAGTGGCTCGAAAGTGAAAATGACTTTTGATTTCGTGTCTGAAGTGAGACTGGCTCCGGCGGCGAGGTGTGGCCTTTTGAGGTAAGACAGAGCCTACAACGGACCACTGTCATTTTTGAGCTCACACACGTTGAAGATATCATTTGGCACCTGACACAGCTTGTCAAAACCTAAACACCAACTGGCATTCGAGGCGGCCAGGCCATTGGTGAGTAAGCCCATCTAAAGGCCGAGGACTGTCTGAGTGGAGCGAAGAGAGCGACATCTTTTGGCGCAGCTTGATAGGAGTCCATTTACTTTGTTTTGAGATGCGAATGGCCTGTCCAGGTCTTGGGTCACGGAGTGGGACCCGTTTCGGCCGCATGTGGCCACGCACGCGACGCCAGTCGATAGATTCATGTTAGAGGGCCGGGGCTCGGGTCGGACCTCACCCGTGGACAGGGTCGGTCCATTGGCCGATTACACACCCGTGCCCCCGACGGCTCGACTTCGTTCCAACACAGGAGATGGTAGCAAATGAAATCAAACACAAATCCATGAATGCATCAAAACGGCCATTACAGGCCGTGGAACGAACGATGTTTGGTTTGGATGTCACCTGTAGACTGAAGCCTGCATTCAAATTGTGGCCACGCGGCCATTATGCGAGGCCTTGCAGCTATGGACTCATCTAGTACGTAGTCCAATAAATCTAATTACACCCCATTGATATGCATTCTTTGAATCCTCAAGCATCTCGCCGGCCCGTCTGCAGGTCCATCTCCTCAGGGCGAACCCTCTTGGTCTTCTTGAAAATCTTCCACCACAGAACGTTGAGCACGTAAACTGGTATGCCGATGTAACTCGTCAAGAACTTGTCGATCTTGAACGGCATGAATGCAGCGAATCCGTTAAAGATAATGACAAGGACAGTGATCACAAACGCGATATACGCTCCCCACGGCAGCAGCGGGTTGCGGTACGGCATGACGCTCCTTGGGATTCCCTGAGCCTTCATCCCCTGCAGCATGAAGTGGTAGCTGACGAGGATCGAGATCCAATTCAGAGCACCAAATACGGTAACCAGGGAGACGAAGTATCCAAAGACTGTGCTGGCGTCCTTGGTCACGTTCATGAAACCAAGGGCAATGAAGAGCGAGGAGGCGGCGACCGCAGCGATGGGCACACCGCGCTTGTTAGTCTTGTGGAAGATCGCAGGTGCCTGGCCGTCCTTAGCCAAAGCCCAGATGGTTCTCGCGGCGAGATAAATGTCCGAGTTCGCGGCGGAGACGGTGAAGACAAGCAGGAACGCGTTGATGACACTGTCCAGCTTGCTAATACCGGCGATCTTGGCGGCGATAACGAAGGGAGACGCTGCGCCGCTCGTCTTCTGGGCTGTGCCGCTAATCAGTCGGTCGTCGTTGTAAGGGACTGCCATTCCGAGGCTGATGACACCGGCGACGTAAAAGAAGACAATACGCATCAGCGTTTGCCTCACAGCGCGGGGGACATTCTTGCGAGGGTTGGGCGTCTCGCCGAATGCAACACCGACCAGCTCGGTACCAAGGTAGGCGAAAGTTGCCTGCACGACGGAGGCCCAGACACCAAGAAATCGACCCAGATCTCCTTCAATGCCGTTGTATTGCTTGAATGCACCTGGATCCTGCCAGTACCTGAAACCCCTTCGGTGGTGGTCCGGACCGCCTCCCAGAGCAATAATGAAGCAGATCAGGATCAGCATGCAGATGACAATGGCTTTGAGGAGCGACATCCAGAACTCTGCTTCGCCAAAAAAGCTAACATGAAGGAGCTGCAGTTGCGGTCAGTTTAAACTCATTTGGAGCGCGTTTGCGAGCGCGAAAGGAGGGGAGCTCCGTACATTGAGTGCGATAATCGCAATACCGAAGACGACAATCCAGATCGAGACATTGAGGTCAGGTCGCCAGTAGGCAATGATGATTCCGGTCACGGTCAAATTGTTCGGCAAGACAATCACGTATTTGAAGAAGTAGTTCCATCCCGTCGCGAAGCTGTAGGTAGATGTCTGTCAGTAAGAAGGTGTGACGCCAGATGTAGGCTGGAACGGCGTCTAAATAGAACATACCCAAGTGCCGGATCAACGAATCTGGAAGCATAACCCGAGAAGCTCTTCTTGTGTGGCAGCCATGCACCCATCTCGCCAAGTGCCACCATGACGATATAGACGATGAAGCCCATGAGGATGTAACCAATCAACATTGACCCAGGGCCACCGTTCTTGAGCGCAGTTCCCGATCCGATGATGAGACCTGTACCAATGGCACCAGCAATAGCCATCTAATGAGCACACACTGTTAGCATGAGATCCGAAGTACAGCGTCTAGGCGACAGGTCGTTTGCGTGTTTTATCCCGGAGGGGCGCAACTTGCCATATCTGCAGGTCAAGGTTAGCAAAAGGCTCCACACGGCTCAGGACTGTTGCGCCAGCTGTATATTTCTCGTTCACGTACTCAGCTGTCTTGGTTTCATGCCACGGTGCAGGTCATCGCCTGCTTCCTCTACCTCGCCGACCTCGCCATGGGAGACGACGCGCTCGTCCTCGATCGAGGAAGCGCGCTTCTCGTCGCTCTTCACGAAGTCGAGGAACCCCATCTTCGCTGAGGAGTCGTCCTAGCTGTCCGTGTGGAAAGTGATCGATCCCGGTACGATCTCGGTCGAATCCTTGCTATGCCGCGGGATATCGAAGTCGTCTGCGAGGGACGGGCGACAACGAGGAGGACAGGAGGGATCAGTCCGGAGGCAATAAATTCACTCCGAAAGAACGTCGTTGGGGCTTGACGCGGCTTATAACGGAGGTGAATAAACCCCCCACCCGAAAATCCCATCTGCGCCCAGAAAGCTACGTACAGTACATGCCTGACCAGCAGGCCAGCAATGGCGTGCTAGGCACATTCCTCAGCGAATGGCACCGGGAGTTGGTTGCTTCCTTCAGCTTGGCACACAGGGATAAGCTTGGGTCTGGCAACCCTGACAGGCAATAAATCGCCCAACAGAGGCTGGCTGTTGCACCGTTGGCCTGTCTCAATGTGCAATCAAGAGTTCTAATGGGTGTCCAGCAAAGGCAGGTCCTGCCAGTGAGAAGCTGGGGAGCGTCGCACCGCCAAGAGATAAAGCGGCGGCGCTGATGACCCAGTTTGTCACGCCCAGCACCGCCCCCCTGCCCGAATGCTCGCCCGTCGTCAGCTTATCGTGGTCTTCTCCACCTGCGAGTCCACTGGCAGCAGGGGCCGGGACGAGTCGCGTGGTAGTTGATGATATGGGGCCCAAATCTGGGGAAGCATAGTATTTGGAGATTGGATTTGCTGATAGGACCCGTTCTTCTGGGAGTGGGCCTCGGTCTAGAAGCTCTGTCAACAGACTTACTACTTGAAGCAGCGAGATTTGTACTGAACAAATAAGCACCTTGGACAAGAGAAGCTTCGACGAGAGCCCAGCAGCACAAGCCTCGTTCCTGAGCATGGCGAAGCCACCCAAGGGCGAAAAGCATCTCTGCCCATGAGACTCGGGTCTTGGTGTTTCTTAGCCCCCGTATCTAGACTAGTTCGCGCAGGCCGAGCGATTTACGAGGGGCATGCCAGGAACGCCTCCGCAGTTTTGCCAAGTCGCCGATGCTATCCAGCTTAGGTCACATCCTGACTGATTACTTTATGAGATCCCATCAGAAAGATTCCAGAAGGGCGCTATCGCTTGGCTGTGCTTGGCACTGCCATAGGCACTCTTCTTACTTATCGGATCCTTTGCCGACCATGTCATGTCGGGTCACATGCATGCCGCTGCGGCGACACCGTTTGGGTCGCATTGCCTCTATCGACAGACGCAGCAAAGGTCTTGATTGGTTTGGGGACTAGCAGACATTCCCAGCTCCGTGGAACCATCTCCGAAGAACCACCTGGGCTGACATGCCACGGCTGAGACGACCAGTGAGACACAGCAGGCCTCTAAACCAGTGCGACACCAGTTGACATGGTCGCATTGGCTAGACTTGGGGCTGAGTGAGGCTCCCGCTCGTTCTACTTGACCATGCAAAGAGGAGTGACAAGGCAAGGCAAAGCAATCAGAGACGACTCATTGACAAATCCACCGTGATGGAGGCGAGTCAGCCTTGAGTGGGCGTATTTTCTTGACTTTCTGCTCCCTTCAAACTGTTCAGCATTGCAAAAAAGGCGAGGCCCTTGGATGTGGCAGAACTGAAAAGGGTGGGCCACAGGCCTCACTTCTTCAGGCTGTTGGAACAATTTTTTCATCGTCTTTGCGATGGAGTATTGGGGCTGGGACTGGCTATGCAATACTACCTCATGGAGACTTCAGTGGTCTAGTCCAGGCTGTGAAGCTGAGACATTGTTGCAGCCATTCATCAAATGCTGCATGTCATGGTCTCTGCTTTGAACAACATATTGGCTCTCTCATACCAGCAGTGACATCAATGAGACTTTTCCATTGTGCTCTATACGCATCGGTGACCCATGACGCCCAGAGAATGTATACTTATTCCCTCTCAAATCCAATTTTGGAGCCCCATGCGCTCGCTGATCCGATAAGGACGACTCTTGGCATGGGAGTCCCGCCGAGTACCTTCGTAGAACCCAGACTGTATTTAGTTAAGACCAACCGTGCGTGGCAGAAAATCTTTTGCAAGCTCTTGCCAGGAGATAACACGACCGAATCTATAATCTGTTTCTGCACTGGCAACCAGGGCGATTGTGGTGTATACAGCCGCACCAAACCAAGCTTTAACCTCATCAGATCGCGACACGTAATGATAGTCGCGTACAGTGGCTAATGGCACAACGCAAACACAAAGCCGTCTCCCAGAGAGGGCACGTCACACTTTGCTTGGAAGCATCTTTTATGTGCATCCTCTGGGCATCCCAGCTTCTTTTGCGTGATTCATTGTTTCCCCTTCAGGAACGTATCTCGATTCTGACTAACTCATTTTGATTGTAGCTCTCGCTGTGCCATGAAGAGAACTTCTCGATCTGAAAAGCACACGAGCGACCGTACATTTCCCGGCGTAGACAAAATCTATCATTTTGTTCAAACACTGGGCACCATAATGTCGCGACGACTTGACCTGCCAGTGTCTTTCACACCCCACCTGAAGAAAGCATGGTATTTGAAAGACTCGTCTATCCCCTGCGAAATTTGCGACAGCCCGCCTATTCAACAGCCAAGAATATGGGGTCGACCCGTGAGAAAAGGCGGACTGCAAGCTCAAGTAGATGTGCAAGCATGGATCAGATTCTGAATAGTTTCGGTCGATGCTGGGACCAATTGGGGAAACACACAAACGTGGTAGAAGAGCTCATAGGCCGTCGATTCCAAGTGGACTTTCGTGTGCAGTTCCGCGCTCAGTTAAGCTCGCACAATGACTACTGGTCGTCAAAGGGACACTTGAGAGTCGACGATGTTATGTCAACTTTGGCAATTCTACGGAAGATCTACGATGATCTCAGTCTTCACGCGTAAGTTGAACTAAAATCCCTGCCCTGTCAACTTCGGGTGTCGAAGTTTGCTGGTAATGCATGATTCGCTTTCCTGGCCGCAATTTGATGCGGCCAGCGTTCTTCAAAACCGAACCAGCGCAGATGTCAGAGATGTCAGCCAGTCACCTCAAACATTTCGTAAATCAATCGTTCCCACAATGTGAACTCTTGCTATAGCGTTATACGCCGCAGAGGTTCACAACTGAAACTGAGCTCTCGTGGCCAGCGAATAACTCCATATTGTCGGGAGGCAGGATGGGACCCAAGTGGCCCGGATGAAATGTGACAGGCCGGGAAGACATGTGCACCACACATTGTGCCCGTTGAAAGCCCGACTGTCATGTCAGCCAAGAGGAAACGAAATGTATGAGCAAAGAAAGCTTGAGTAAATTAGGTCTATGAGCACTCTGAATTTAGTAGACACCAAAACTACCACAAAGCTGTCTCCTACGTCGCTCGCGCCTTGATCCAGACCCGCGTCGATGATGTCGGCCGCTTTGTACCGACACCATTGCCTTGCTTGGGGAGCTTCCAAGGCCCTCCACCAACTGGTTCCATGTCATAGATTGAAAGGATAGCGGCTGAGAAAACCAAGATTTCTTTGATGGCGAATTGCCGACCTTTGCACATGCTTACTCCTCCACCTACGACAGGTGTCAGTAAAGTCACACTTGAAACCACATGATTACACTAAGGGACGACTCACCGTATGGCCTCACAACGCCCATGTCTGCGCCAATGGGCCGCTTCTCTCCCTTTTCATTCGAAGTATCCCACTTGATGTGCCGTTCGATGTACCACTCCTTCGGCTCCTCGAAAGAATCTGGGTTCATGTGGTTCAGCTCATGGGCTCCGTGCGCGTACGTTCCCTTTGGCAGCAGGAACTTTTCCGACGATTCATCCTTATCACTGATAATCGCATCCTCCCGGATCACCTTGAAGCTCCACGCGCTGACATCAACCCTGAGAGTTTCGATATATGCTGCTTTAAGGAGAGGGCACTTGTTCACCAAACCCTCTACATCGATGCTTTCTATCCTCAGAGCTGCTTTGAAACCGGAGCCAAATCCGTGCGCCGGCTTCTCAACGACGATGTATGGTGCGATTTCTTCCCTGATGCGGGCAAGCAGGACCGCGTCGGAGTTGATCCGCCACAGCATCCAGAACACAAGCGGATTGGAGTTGGCATTCATGGCCCAAGCCAAACCAAAATCGCATGCAGCCCGCTGATCGATGGTCAAATCGTATTTTCGAAATACGTCATCCAAACGACCCTGAATCATTGGGCTGACATTGTCGATATCGGCCCATTCGGGGCCAGGGTTCTTGCCCTCACGATCCGCGTCAAGCGCGGTCTCAAACGCGCGGATGCTCGCCATTGCTTCGGAACGAGCTCGGCGAGCAGCAATTGCCGGTCCGATGGGTAGCCACGCTGGGAGGTCCGCTGCCAGGGCCATGAACCCCTCATCAAAACGCCAAAGGTGTTCCCAGAATCGTGGAAAGTTCTCGACAAAGTCAGTGCCGAAGAGCGAGACATTAGCTGTCATGGCGATGAAGTTGCGCACGAGATCGAACAAGTCGGCTTCGACAACCTGCTCCCCCTTCTTGTCCTGAACCGTTGTCGCATCCGCGTATCTCTCCCATTCGGCTTGGTCCACTTCGCTTTCGTTGAACGTGACGAAATCGGCAATGTTGTGTCGCAACCGCTGTACTGTCCTGTCTACCATTTGGTTCAGGGACGTCTTAGAACTCAGTGTTTTGTAGTGAACTAGCAGATCATCATGCATCTTGTCGTAAAGCTCCAAGCTAGCCTTGTATCTCGGCCAGCCAAAATTGCTCTTCATCAGGTGTTTCGCAGAGGCATACCCGTCAGCGATGTTCGCCGGATGATTGATCAGGGACGTGATGAGACCAGGCTTGAAGATGACAGTGTGCACGCCGCCGAGGAAGTTGAGCGAGAATGCGCCCCCGGGATAGAGGTCCCGAAGGCCTGCGAGAAAGGCCTCGGAGTTGAATGCCATTTGTGGGATATGACCGAAGTATGGGATCCAGTATGGTACTGCAGGAGCGACTTTGGCATCCTTGCTATGGGAAGTGTAATTGGAGCGGCCATTGTTGCCACTCAGAATTCGTGTGCTGATACAAACAACGGTGAATGTGACAGCGAGGGCAATGAGGTGCTGCTGCTGTATATGCGACAGCAAGCCCTGGACAAGACCCAAGACACCAGCCATTGTTGGAGCTTGCAATGCCACAGCAACACTGCGGACTCAGTATCGAGGCAGATCCAATGCCCGCGCCCAAAAGGCCCTCAGGTCACACAGGGAAATGTGAGGTCGATAGCAGCAGAGAACAGCCTCAAATGCATCGCTTGTTGAAGTTTGTTGGCTTCGTTGACAATGTTCTGGCCACCACACCTCGCCCAGCTGGAGCTGAAGGACCCTGGAAGCTGACGATCGAGCGAGCTGGCGTTGGTCGGAAACAACGGGACCAACGGATCATTGACGGACCGTGCACCAAGGTTTGGAAGGATCACACTGCGACCTGTGATGAGGTGAACTTACGTGGACGCCTAATCCGCCGACGATCCTCTATTGCATTATTTGACGGGTCATGTCATTTTGAATGGTGTCGTAATATGACCTCCCAAATATTGAAGGTCGAATTTGGTAAAGAAGCTCGCCAAAAGAACCAACCATGCAGAAGACTCCTAACCCTATACTTGGATGAGATCCGGTGGGGGAGGGGGTTGCGGTGGGTGGTTCTCTAATCCAGCAGCTTAATTCATGCTATCATCAAGCTTGGGATTCCTGGATCCACCATTTGGGAATGAATGTCACTACTTCTGGCCACCGTGCCTCCACAGATATACCTAGGCATAAGGGCTGGTCGAGTCTTTATTTCATGAGTGCTATAATACCCTTGAGGCCATTTGTCGCCTGTCTATAACAGGATCAATGCACATCTCTCAAGGTGGATGATATCTGCGAGGCATGCAGGTGCCCATATGATCCTGACAGGGAATGCTTTCTTGGATTTACATTTATATCAATTTTTATAACTGTTCCGCGTCATAGCCAGGTGGTTCCAGTCTTGTTATGCAGCTCTACAAGTATGTTTGCCTTGAGCCTTGGTCTCCCACGCCAGCGTGGCTGGGACACTGCGCATCATGAAAGCACACTTCACAGCAGTCTACAAGGCGCGGCATTTCTTGTTATCAAGTCTTCTTGGGATATTGATGGCTGTCTTATAATAAGTAGCCTTCTCCTCACATCGGCTGGCAGACTTCTGCCACGGCCCTCCAACACAGATTGGGAAGCATAGACAGAATTATGGTGATGCCGGAGGCTTGCTTCAGCAGGATGCTCACAAAAGAAGGGACACCGAGTATTGCACCTTTGAACACCAAAGATAAACTATCGCTGCCTCTATAGAGAGATGGTTGCCGGTCACACACATGTGTAGAGATGCCAGAAAGGATCCGCCCTCCCACACGAAGACACACACAAGCGTCCTTTACCCCACGTCGAAGAAGAGGAGGATACCCACTACCTATTACAAAGCAAGAAATCCGACCGAGATCTCGGGGATATATATATCTATCAGGCCGAAAGATCGGATGTTGTCTTATCAATCAAGCCAACTACTAGTAATCACTATACGTACCTCGGTGCGTGCGGGCGCACACTGCATAGACGTGGCAGTTGCTTGGTCTAATCTATAGGCTGCAAGCACACACTACTCCCCCGAGTCCCGAAGATTTATTCGCTGGCGTGAACTAGAGTTCAGATGATGCAACACACTGCGTGGGACGACATCCGGCCGATCATCGGATTTTGGTGTAAGACGTGATCCTAACGCAGCTGGCGCCATCTGCTTCCCCACCATGCGATCGCTATGCCTGGTATATAATACACTCACGAAATTGAACTTGGCGGCAACATCAAATAGATATGTTTTCATATTAGCGTGAGATTGAACAGGGTCTTCTACCAAAAAACAAGCCAAAATGTCTTTTGCCGAATTCATCTCCGTGACTTTCCCCAATGCCTCTACTGAGCTCAAGCCCATCCCTGGGGCCAAGGCGGACCCAGACTTTATTGAGCGTTATTCTCGTGGGCTAGACGACTATGACTTCAACTATACGCTCATTCCGTACGGATCGGGCGGTTACGACCCTTTCACGATCGGGGCTACCATCCTCGCCAGGACCAAGAAGCTCAACATCATCATTGCTCTGAGGCCAAACACTATGTTCCCCACCGTTGCCGCTAAGATGCTCGCCACCCTAAACCACCTCGGCAGAGGTCGAGTCGTCGTGCATTTTATTGCTGGGGGCAGCGATGCTGAGCAAGCCAGGGAGGGTGATTTCCTCGACAAGGACTCAAGATACGCCAGGCTCGAGGAGTACATCAAGATTCTCCGCCGCGCATGGGAGTCGTCCGAGCCCTTCGACTGGGACGGCCAGTTCTATAAGTTCAAGGACTTCTCAAATGCTGTTCAGCCCGTGGGCGGAGCACGTGCCATCAAGATCTCAGTTGGCGGCTCGTCTCCACAGGCGTACCAGGTCGGCGGCTCCCTGGCAGATATTTTCGGCCTGTGGGGCGAGCCCTTGAAGGAGACCAAGGAGCAGATCGATAAGATTTACGCAGAGGCTGATAAGGCTGGCCGGGCTAAGGATGACCGGCCAAGAATCTGGGTCACCTTCCGACCCATTATCGCGGAGTCAGAAGACCTTGCATGGGCCAAGGCCTACAGGACACTCGATGCGCTCAAGGGCAATGGCGGTGCCGCATGGGCAGGGCAGGGCAAGGCGCCACCAGCTACCGGCACACCTCAGAACGTGGGCTCTCAACGCCTGCTAGAAATTGCCAAGCGGGGTGAGGTGCAGGACAGGTGTTTGTGGTACCCTACTGTCACTGCAACAAATGCGCGAGGCGCTTCCACGGCTCTCGTCGGATCATACGACACCGTCGCGGAGTCGATTTTGGACTATGTCGATCTTGGCGCAGATCTGATCTCTATCCGTGGCTATGACAACCTTAACGATAGCATTGACTATGGACGGTATATCTTGCCCCGGGTCCGGGAAGGCTTGGCTAAGCGGACAGCAAAAGCTACTCAATAGAAGTAGAATTTGCTACTGGGGATGGGATGTCAAGCCCTCTCAGTCAAAGGCTTACATAATTTTATACATTGTGATATCCATTCCTATTTAAGTTGTTTGTGTTCCCAAAAGGCGCCAAATACCCTATCCATCCAGAACTCTTTCCTGAGCAGTGAACTAAGTGTTTAAGTGGTGGATTTTACGACATGCGACTCTAAGGAATTTGCCAGTGTGAAGATGATCACAAAGAAGAGGCCGCTGACTGAAACACTGCAAACCCTTCTGGTGGTGCAGCGTGAGTTGTAATTCGTGATTGCGAGATATTTTCCCATGACTACAAAGATCTTGCGGGAGCATTTCGAGAACCAGTTATGACAGACGATGCACTGCCAACTGGTGCGTGAGTGTCTCATTGTACTTATCAAATCAAATCTTGATGTGTCATCTCCTTTGTCAAAAAGCTTGATAATTACTACCAATTGGTACAAGTATTTCTCCTAATATATACATTGAATTGATTAAGCTCGACATAACTGTCCGCTCTCGGAAACCTTCCATGATTCAGAACCGACTGCCTTGGTTGAGTACAACAGTCCACTCGGGTCGTACTTCTTCTTGATGCCCAAGAGAGACTCGTACTTGGACCCGAAGAACGTGTCCTGGAAGTTTGGTTGCTGGAAGTCGCCTTCGTTAAGATAAGCGCCAGATCCAGGAGTCGCAGCTTCGATGGTAGGAATGACAGTATCAGTCATGAGCTGTTGGTTGGCCAGCATTTGGTCCCAGTCTTCCGGATCAAAGGACCAGACGGTCGTCAATGTGGCGTGCACGAGAGCCTTCCGCCAAGCGGGCAGCACGGCGTTCTGCTCATCAGTCGCGAACCTGCTGACGTCTGTTCCTACACCAATCCAGGTGACACCCTGCTCTGCAATAGCTCGGGCGGCTTGGTTGAGAGCTGTGCTGTTGCCCTGCACGACAGAGCGAGGAATGAGCCTGGCACCGTACTGAGCAATTCCGACCTGGATCGCACCGACGGGAAGCGGGCCGAAGTAGGTATCGTAATGTTTGTAGTATGAGCATGATTGGTTGTATGACGCCGTGTGCGTGACATTCAGCTCATTAAGCTTCTCGATGAAGGGCGCCATGATGGCCTTGACCTCTGCTGCCGTCTTGTTGTAAGCTGTAAGCGGCGCAATCTGGAAGAACTGTGATGATGTCAGCCATGGCTCTGAGCAAACTTGAATCATTTGTCAGAGGGATGGAAAACTTACAGTGGACGTGAAATAATACACGACCATGGACCCTGCGTCTACCATAGCGGGCAACGCATTGTGGAAGGCGTCGATAGCCTCGTAGAAAGCATCCGTTGTTGTATCAACCGAGTAGAAGGCGAGAGTGCCTGCTCCAACATACGTATCTGGAAATGTCTTGACAGTCATTGAAGTCACGACGGCATAATTGCCTGCGCCACCACCGCTGAGAGCCCAGTACAGATCGGGATTCTCTGATCGAGAAGCTGTGACAAGCTGGCCATCTGCTGTGACTGCCTCCCACTCCAAGACATTGTCTGCAGAAAGACCAAACGATGTGCTCAAAGCAGAGTGCCCACCACCCTGTGTATATCCACCAGCTATTCCGACTGTCGGGCACTCGCCGCCAACCACGACAAGACCCTTAGCTTTGGTGGCAGCAAGGATCTCGTAGCCCTGCACGCCTGCGCCAACCTTGACGGCACTTCCGGTATAGTTGGCATCGTTCCAGTTGAGGAACTCAATGTCCTTGAGGTAGTGAGTCCAGACTGATAGTGACCCGGCTCCAGTTGAACGACCGAGATAATCGTGTCCAGTGTTTCGAATAACGAACCGGATATCGTTCTTCTTGGCAAACGCGATGGTAGCGGCTACATCGTCTGCATTTGAGACATTTACTGCGTAGCGAACGTAGCTACCGAAATCACAGGCCTTGTTCTCGGCAGTGAAGGGGTCACAACTGAAGTTTCGGGGAGGCGGAAGTTAGTCACTGATACACTAGTTGATATCCCCTCTCTCAACTCGGCACTTCTTTGCTTACCTCTGATTGGCAAAGAACGGGGCCATGACCGAAGACGGGTCAGACATGCTGTTGAGTTGTTAGCTTGGTTCTTGAAAATGCGTTCACTGATGTTGTCCACTCACTGTACTGATGGGGATTGCCATTCGCTCTGGAGTGCCGAGCAGGTGGCATTGTCGAACTGAGGATCGTGGCAGCTCCTAGCCAAAGGAACAGTCTCAATAAGCCTACCACCGACCGTCGCATTCAGAGACTCCCAGCTCTCGGTGGAAGGCCAGCAGCTCTCCCCAGGGAAGCATTTGCAGGTGGCGTTTGAGATCGCCAGAGAAAGCGTAGGAGTGGCGCAAACGCCGAGAGACAGGAGAGAAGACCTCATATTGTTGAAGACCGACGCGAGACTGTTCTGCTGGAGACAGAGGAAAGGGCCATGAATGAGGCCAGCGTCCGTTTAATTGTCTCTCCCACTAGCTATTATAATGCTGTCAGACCGCTGTGTGGCTCATTTAGTTGCCGTCTAGCATAGATCCCAACGCCAGAAAAGACCGCGATATGGGGCCCCCTAGACTCGGCCATTCGAACCGGTAACGCGCGGATGGTGGAGCCGGAGGGACGAGGGCCCACTGCGGAAATCCTTGACCTTGAGGTTGGTTGTATAACACAAGATGCCGGGACTGTTAAGGCTCGCAGGGCTTAGGTTTGCTGATCCTGCCATTAAGGATGATGAGAGAAGATGTTTTCCGATGTACGGGTAAAATGTGTAGGCTTGCCGTAGAACACCCGAATCAGCATCGTTGCCACAGTTCTCGAGATCGATCCCCGTGTCTAAGTGGTGACCAAGACAGTACCCCATCTCCAGCCAATCACTACTTGGAAACTAAATCAAGGTTTGGGACCCCTGTGGCTGGTACACCCTCGCTGCAGCGACCTCGGCACTTCCGCGGTTTGATGGAGTGGCTGGAGCGGGAAGCACTGAAAAGTCTGGCTCTGCTGTGCGTGCCGAGCTGCAACTCGCTCAACTTCCGATCCCACCCCGAGTAATACCAAGCAATACGCGGAGACAATTTACAAACCGATGCTCAGGAGAAAGAAGGACTATAGCATGCCGTTGAAATTTGCCACGTGGATGTTCTCCTAGAAGCCAGGAAATGTCTGCGAATAGTCGAAATACACCTTCCGCATCCTGCCTAGACCAACTCGACGACCCCTGCCTCCGAGTAGCGCCGGCCGACCTGCGCGGAGTACGTTTGATACATCGTGTCATTCCGCTCACATAGCCCAGTTGCTGAGTCCACTTCGATAATAATGCAAGCGGAGTATGATTGCTACATCGGATGAACATGCCGAAGGCAGTCTTCTGCCCCGATTATGCAGGTTTTCATCCTTGAGCCAACAGCCTCTTATTCGCCCTGTCGTGGTTAATTAACGATGATGTGGGTCTGCGCCCGGCTGCTGGTACCAGATTGAAATGATCTTGCGAGTGTTCAGGTGGCGCGCCCAGACTGATCCCTGGCATACCTCAGGGAATTATGAGATCCCTCGACGACAACCGTCGGGCCAGCGGCACCAAGCAGATTAAGCTCCCTCCTTGAGACAAGCTTTGTTCTAGAAAGTTGACCCTGAATCCAGAATGCTAGAGTGAACGGAACGGTTCTACCAGCCCGGCGACCGTTGAAGAGACGTCCTCCAATAGGATAGAGCTAGGACTGCCCAAGTATCTCATGTCCTCGTGTTTGCAACACATTTCCCGAGCGATGCTTCCAAAGATCGGAAACCTCGGCTAGTCCACCTTAAAGTCCCCGCTGAACAAACGACAGAGGGAGTTGCGTCGAATAATGGTCTACAGATGGCTTACGACCACAATTAGGTAGTGCTTGTTCCTCTGGCGGCAAGCAACAACAACGGTTTGTACACATCTCAAATATTCAGCCTGTAGCATTTCCAATATAGCAGACTACGTGCTTTGGGCACGAAGAGAAGTGAGGAGGTTTTTGCCTCAGGGCTTGCTTGCGACGGTGTGCCTGCCATTGGCACTTTTAGGTGTGGACACATCGTTAGCACAAAATTATCTCGGAAGATGCTTGCTCGGAGTGGAGCATGGGCATCCACCGAAGCGACGGGTTTGGTCCTGGCTCATGCAGGTACGTGAAGTGAGCCAGGGCTGCAGCAAGCTGGCAATCTTGAGGTATAAACTGTTCCAGCGGTGATTCAAGATGTTGTTCAGGTCGATCCGGGTCTAGATTGGGTTGGCGTCTTTTGCGCCCACTCGACTCATATTTGACGCTCTCCGCTGTTTAGAACAACAGATTAAGTCTTTGTGGATTCTTTGACGTCTCTCCTTTTAAAACTCGTTCGGCAACCGCTTCGTTCCGGATCGACATCCGATCTGAAGGTCCCCATATATCACGACAGCCTCCACATACCCAGTCGTTCCGAATCTTGCGTTCTCTCCGACATTGACCGCGCCCGGCAAAATGGGGTGGACTTTTAACACCGTAGACCCAGATGCACCAACGGACGGGCCCAGAATATCGGCTGTAGCTATCGTGATGACTACCTTAGCAATGGTTGCTGTGATTCTGCGGGTTTATGTTCGTCAATCAATGGTCAAAGCCTTCGGAGCAGGTACGCTCGGACCTACTTCACTTTACATTCCTAGGTCATTGATTCTAACAGCGAAATTCGCAGATGACTGGGTGATTATCTACGCATGGGTGAGTTGATATCACCTGTTTCGGATACAGAGTACACTCCGGTGCAAACACTTACACGTCCCAGATTGCATCTGCGGGCTTTGCCGTGTTGTCTGTCATTCGTAAGAAACCGCCAGCCAATTCACCTTTTCATGTTTAGCAGCATCAAACTGACGATGACAATGCACAGAGACACGATGGGGTCTTGGCCTCCATAGTATCGAAGATTTGCCGACCGAAGACATTTACAACTTTGGCCTAGTGAGTTCTGCCATCATCTCCGAAATCCTGATAAGAGAGCTGACAGACAGTGCAGCTACAGTACATGGGCGCTCCATTGTAAGGATACAAAAGCCAAATTATGTGCACTATCGTCTTTTATGACCAAGCTGACATAGGCGCGGAATAGTTATATCACAAGCATTCTGGGCTTCAAACTCAGCCTGCTGCTATCGTATCTGCGATTTATGCCAAAAGGCGCCTACCGCTACACTACCTACGTTGTCATACTGCTCACCGTTCTCTTCCACCTGGCGTTTCTGCTGGTGCAGATCAATCTTTGCCAGCCTGTGAGTGTTGGATCTTGGCCCGAGCCGCAGATCCTGTGACTAACAGTCAATACAGGTTCAAGCGCAGTGGGACCCTAGCATTGTTGATAAGACGTGCCTCCCTGGTGTCCCGGTCTACACAGCAATGGCTTCCCTGACCATTTTATTTGACGTCACTGCGTGAGTCTGTCCCCGTCTGGCCATTGATGCCTTTCCCTACAGAGAGATTATGCCGCGGACACGAAAATGCTAATGCTTATGGCTTAGCATGATCCTTCCATTTCCTGTTTTGATGAGCCTCAAGATGCAAAACCGGAGAAAGGTTGTCCTTCTCGGGCTTTTCGGCCTAGGCGTCTTCATCACGATTATCCAGATTATTCGAATCCAGACCGTGAAACGACTCGTTGTCTACACCGACAGTGCTCCACTCATCATGTGGTCAGCTGTTGAGGCCAATCTGGGCGTCATTGTCGCCAGCGTCCCATGCTTATCTCCCCTGATCAAATACTTCAGAGAACGCAGCACGACGGGCTCCAAAGGAAAATCTGGTGGGACAGGCCACCTTGTTGGTTCCCAATATGCTTTGCGCACCTGGAAGTCGACAAATAATGCACGAGACACGCATCTGGGAGGATCCGGTTCGGGACATCGTGCAAAGGCCGAAGCGAGCGTCGTTCGCAATAATACCGACAGCACAGAATACATACTGGAGCCAACTAAAATCATGGCGAAGACTGAGATAACGGTAACGAGAGTATAACGTTGTGCGAAGGGATGAATGAGAGCTCTTTAAGAGAAAAGAGCAGCGACCAGATTTTTGATACCATATTTCCTTGAAAATTGATCTTACTGAATTCATGCTACTCACGAGCACCGGCCCGAGGCTGCCCGTTGAGCCAATTACCAACAATGCCTTTGTTCGCTGAGTCTTGTTGAATCTAGTGATCTCATTGGGAGCAAGCTCGCTTCTAGTCTCGTCCGAGACCCCTTGGTGCGCTTAAGCCTAGATTCAAGACCTATTGTGCAAATACAAGGAGTTGGAGATATCATTTATTAGTGAATGATAGAGCTGTCCTATGTTTTAGCCCACGAGCAGTTGGCAAGTATTCTCTCGCGTCTTTCAAGATTATTCCTGTGTGTATTTTCAAGTCACTGCCAATAAAGTTTGAGAGGGTTGGCTAAATAGATAGTCTTGCAGGTTTTTGGTCAATATTTCCGGGTTTTCGAAGCATTCAAAATGCTTCTCGGACTAAGCGCAGGCGAGCCGAGATTAGATCGCCATCGCGTCTAATCAAAATCACGTACGTAATCTGGTCATATGTATGTACTCGAATTCGTGCTCAGGAGGAGCAGAAACAGAGCAAATGACCCTAGTCGCATGGGTCGTTTTGGTGGCGGGGACGATAGGCTTACGTTGCTTTTTACGAGCTCAGCAAATGAATATGCATGGCATCTGGAGGGTATATCGTCTCCTCTGGAGGCATGACCTATCCGGGGGCCATTCATGCGCGTCAGTGCTCGCATTTCGCTTCCTTCAAGACGGATCCCAGGTTCCACAACTATTGACGTCCAGAGCTCTGCTGGATGGTCCTGATAGAAGTCTCAGCCACAGTGCGCACTTCCATAATGCCATATTCTATGCGTAGCAACGATGTGACCTTTGTTATAAGTTAAAGCAGCATGAACTCCCTTCGTATATGGGATGATAAGTCACAGGGCTACTGCTGCTTGCGACAACCAGTCGCACTGCAGCGCGCTTGGTGACAACGGCCTGGTTCCAGGTGTCCTTGAGCAAATCAAGCCGGGGATTCACCCTCCACTGTGAGGAGTCCCCTGCCCACCCAAAATCACAAGTAAGACCCGATGATTGAACTTCAACCAATCTTAACTCTAGTTTATTGCTAGCGCATGATGACGAAGGGAAAAGCTGAGACGTCTGCCACACTGACAGCTGATGGTCTAGACCGATAATAAGGGAACATGTTTCGCCACATTATCTTACCCCTCCAGCCACATCTTCCCACCTCATTCCATCACGGCCTGCATCTCTTTAACGGTCTATCATCAATCCATACAAATACCCCTGGACAATTCCGTCCTTACCTGCAGGATCCACAGTTGCAAAGGCCTGTGAAGCTACATGCTCTCAGTTAACATCCAGCCATGGAAGGCCTAAAGCTTATCGCCCAGTCGACTTTCGACAGGCATCAGAAGTTCCGGAGTGGCAACGATGATTCGCAGCGCTATAACGTCATAGAGATCGGCGCCTTTGAATCGCCAAATGCACAACTCTCCACCTCAGGCACAGCATCAAACCGACAGTCTATCGGGAGCATCCCCAATGCACCCTCTGTTTCTGACGGCGGTACAGGCGACACCAAATCACAGAAAGATGCATCTAAGGCAACAGGCACGGGTGCGAGCGACGCTGGTGGAAACTATACCACTTTCAATGAATGGACGGTGCATGAGGAAGACTTGGTCGCATTTATGAAGATGAGGCCTGTTGAATCAGTTGTAGTACGCACAAAACGATCTGTTTCCCAGCTACAACAGGCAGACCCAAAGAAAGCGAAGGAGCCGAGCCAAGCAATAGAGAGTGGAACGGCCAGCACCGTAGGTCACTCAAGGAGTGTCAGCCTGCAAAGCAACAAGACGGCGGCGACATCGATCACGACAGCAACGACAGGCACATCACCTGGCAAAACGAGTGATGAGGCTCCCAGGAAAGCGAAGCAGGAAGTGGAAGCCGCTGCATCGCTAAAAATAGTGTGCATCCAGCGCGCGGCCCCTGAGGAGGTTGACGGTGCGGACACGAATACCTTGGCCATTTCGCGCGAGGCTTTCCTCCATCTTTATGTGGACACTATGGACGCAGATCACGGTGCACTCTATTTCATTGCTCGCGACTATGATGGCTTCCACGAGTACAACGACACGACCAAGGGCATTGTGACGACCTTTATTGGCACGGCAGATTATGCACTGGTGTGGACGTTCAATCGCCGCAGTCTGGAGACCAGAGGATTACTCATTGACCGGAAACCCCCAGAGAAGGCAAAGGATCCAGGACCGGCTCCGGAAGCCACAACTGCGAAGAAGAAGACAAGCAAAGGAAGTACGGGAGCAGTGATTCCAAGTGAAGCCTGGGTGGGCTTCAGGAATATGCTGAAGATGTACCGCGGCTACATATTTGCACCACCTCTGCTGAGCTTTGTCTCATGCCTACACATGCTCCACTCATTTGATGACCAGCTCAGCGCAAGCGATCTGCCACACGTAAAGGATATTGAGAGAAAAGTTGGCAACGGGACGACCGAGATAACCAAGACTGGAGACGGTGGGAAGACTACCCGATCTAAAAGCCAACCTCTTTCACGACAGTCGTCCAATTACGCGACAAAACTATCAACAGAGCCGAGTTTTGTCGACTTTTCACCGGGCACGCCGACGCAGAAGCCCTTCAGCATCGACAAGCTGATATCCTGGTCGCAAGCATCTGGCGAGATCGCGGACAGCGCGGCCCGCAAGCTACGACAGATCAAGATGGGGAAGGAAATATTAGAGATGATATCGAGGGAGCACGAGACACTGGTGGCAGACGTTGTTGCACCTTCCTTCCTCGACCGGTATCACAGGGCGATGCAGGGCATGATCGAGGCAATACCCGCGGTCGAGAGGCACATGGCCTCGCTGGAGGAGACACTGGTAGACTTGAAGGCACGGACGGAGAGGCTGAACGGGTTGGTATGTGCTCTTCATTGTCTCTCGGCCTATCATCCTCTTCAAGGAGGGTTGAAGCTCACAGCGAGTGCGTACTAGATATCTGCGCTGTTCTCGCGCGAGCAGGCCAATACTGATGGTAATCCAATGGCATCCTCTTTGGATTTGGCGTTGACGAGCGAGGACCCCGGGACCTCGAGTGTGAACCGCATGGCTATGATGAGCACGACTTTGATGCCGATTACACTCTTTTCTGCGGTGATAGCTATCGCCTTGATAAGATGGTCTGTGGTTCTGCCGTGCATGATTTTCTTTTTCTTGGGTTGGTCAACGGTCACACAACGTGAGTGGGTGAATGAAGCCTCGGGGCGATCCTACCACGACGATGAACACTCGCTGAGGCCTGGAATTATAAGCCAGGTGCCGGAAAAGGTGCTGCAGGGCTGAAGCATTGTAATTTAATGGGCGAATTGTTTGAGTTGAAAATATCCGTGAATCGTAGGATTAACGATTAAATAAGGTTTACAGTATTTAACGCTATCAGAAATACTCCCGCAAACCCATGCTCAAATCATCAACGGCCTTATGCTAGGTGTTGAATAGCGTAAGATGTCTTCGAAAGAGAAGTGAGAGTGGTCAAAGCCTTGCTGCTTGAGTAAGGGATCAACTGCAACGTGTCGGTGCCGGGTGTTCAGGGAACGGGCGTTGACGCATTTGAGTGACGGGCGAAAACAGCCAGCTCAGTTACTTTTTAGAGACTGTCGCCGCTGCCAGACAGAACATCGCTTTGTAAGTTGTGTTCTTGTGCCCTTTCGATCCGTTCTTGCCTCGTCTGCCTGATGACTGTTATGCGTCAGTCGCCGGCTGCAGAGCCCGAAGCGATGTATTTTGGAAGATTCTAATGGAAGGCGGATGGGTACCCGTAGCGGAGGAAGGCTCATACATACCACTTGAGAAACCCTTGGCCACCATCGAGCACTGCTTAATCACAGCACACTCATCAGGCTCCAGTGTTTCCATGATTTGTTTATGTCGCTGGCGGCCTCTGGGTTGCCGATTTCTGATCCAAGACTTGCTCCGTAAATAAACCCTCAACACGAAAGGAACCAAGGCTGTACAAGTGGTACGAAAGCCTTTGCTCTGAAGCTCTTGTAGGACGCGATCGCACCACTCGGAAGTGACATCCCATGTAATCCAACCGTCCGCAGCGATGTCAAAATCGACCTGCTTGGCGAGCATCAGGCAGCACGTCTGTATTTCAAAGACTCGATCCGCAATTGCGACCCAGTCATTCTCAATGATTGTGTAATCCGAGTCCGTGATACCAAGCGCAAAGGTGATCTCGCCGACGGGGTTGCCAGGGCGAAACAGCCTCATGTGCGGGTCCATGCCTGGAAAACGCAGCAGTTCCTCGAGTGTGTTCTGCCAGTGAGCTGATGTTGCGGCGATCTGCGGCGGCGACGCTGTCGGCAGGTCATCTGTACTCAGGTCTTGACCGTCGACCTTGTCGGAGTGAGAAGTCGTGTCTGTCGCGTCTGGTGTTGCCATGTTCTCTACCTCGATGCTCAAGCTTGCGGTCTTGGTAGGGCTGCCGCGCGAGGGTATTTGAGGCACGTGAACGGTCTGCGATTGTTCAATAGAAATGGTTCATCGAACATAAAGTAGGAGTCAAACTGTCTGGTGCTGGCTGATTTGTGGAAAGGTACACTAGAATTAGGTGAATGGTTCTCTGATGAATACACGGATGAAGGGAGATTGATGGCGAATGTCGGGGTCGATGCTTGGGAAGTCGCAGTCTGCCGTTCGTCCTTCAAACCTTTTCGACAGTTGTTTCGCACGCCAAAGCTTAGGCTTCTATTCTAGTTATCTGACTGTCTTCAACTATTTTATGTTATGACCTTCATTGAATCGTGGCAGTACTCAGCACTTCCTAGCCACCAGGGTACCGAAACAATATGCCTGAAATCAGTTCAGAGGTTAAATCAGCGTCTAAGTGTTTGCAAAATTCAAGCAGATAAACCAATACTATTAATCCATTGCCAGAAACTGGACCACACCTTGTGGGCAGCAGCTTGACCATGGAGGCGACCTCAACTAAACCAGCTCGCCGTCGTCACCAGTCCCAAACTCCAACAAGAAGGCCATTAAGATGAGTTTTGAGTCACCTGAAGTCTACATAGCGTGGCTGTGTCCTCTCTGTAAGCTTCTGTCACAGGAAGAAGCGTCGTCAAACAACAAAAAGCTCTGCACTTCACTTCTGAACCTTACGATACCACAACACAACCACTCATCGGCCGAATGCAGTAACTTCACTCCATTCCTCCATTCTACATCACTTACCGTAACTCATGCTGATTTCATCCAGCTTCTCGGCCGTGTGTCAAAGGAAGATGTGACTGGCGCCCATGGCTACAATATATATTTGGACGTCGCGGCACGGCTGGAGCTTTTGTCGACGACACAAAGGTCCGGAACAACTTGATTTGCCTTATGTGTCGCCGCCTAACTGAACTTCTCTCGTTCTGAAGACTACTCAATTTTTGAAAATTAATCAACCGAGATACGATACATTCGTCTGTTTGACGTACGCTTCTGTGCGCTAGACCCATCTTCAAAGGAAAATATGTCCTTCGACACGAGAGCAGAGGATTGATGTGAAGTAGGCTCCCTTGGAGAAATATCTACACCGGTCTCGTTCATCTGCTCATCAAGCACCCATGTCCGCATCCAACGAATTCCAGCCTATAGAGTGGTCGCTCGATTTAGTACCGCAACAAAATTTCTTATCGAGTGATTTCATTCACATAAGCCTGCTCAGAGCCAATGTCGACGTGTATCAATCAGTGCGCAATAAGAAGCTCTATGTCCGAAAGCTTGTACACAGAAGGGCAGGCGTAGTGGACCAAAGAGAACAAGATGAAGATGGATTCAAGGGCGATATTCCACCCGAGCTGCGCGTTTCGACCTGCCCGCAAGCACTGGCACGTTTACCTGATGAGGACTATTTCCCGAGGCTAGTTGGCTGGCAGCGGTTGAGCGAAACACACTGGGGAATCTTCACAGAGTAGGTGTCATTACCGCGAAATTTGAGTCTTGCAGAAGAAAGGCGGGCATGCTATATAACACTGATTAATTATCATTTGTGACTGGCTCCCAGCACTGACAACCATCAACAGATTTTATAACGGCGGGAATTTGAACCACTTCATACAAAAGCATTTCGATTATTTCGATGAGGAAACAGGTCCAGGCGAGAGAAGAAGCATACCAGAGCATTTTATATTGCACGTTGCAGAGCAGATTGGCGAAGCGCTTGTCTACATGCATCTCGGCAGACCGCGTGGGACCTCTGGACCCAGGGCCTGCACACCGTTGCCAGGCTGGTTGCCAATTTATCATCGTGACATATGCGACTCGAATGTTTTCATTCATTACCCTCTCACCAGAGGGTCAGACCTGGAGATGCACAGGACTCGAGCATTTCCGCAGATCGTGCTGGGCGACTTTGGCGAATCAGCTATCCACGAAGACGACCCTTTAACTGTGCAAGACGGCATACCTCCAGCGTCTTCAATAAGTCCAGAATTAAGACAATGGACTGATGTGCACCAGTTTGGTTGTCTCCTGAGGCTTCTTTGCATGGCGCATGTCGACTTGGACGAGTATTCGGATGACGATGAAGAAGAAGGATATGGGATACAAGATAATGAAGAATCGTGGGAAAGAGACCGACCAGACAGCCAGATGTTGAAGTATTGTAATGATTACGGAAGGCAGGGGATATATTCTGAGGGGCTCATACAACTCCTTCAGATGTTCGAGAGGCCTGATATGGACACCAGTATTTTGGAACAGACGGATTGTGTACCAACCATGGAGTGGGTCGCCAGCATCTTTCTACCAATAGTCAGAAATCAAGTTCAGCTCCTTCGCCAGCCTGCGGTACCAACGGTGGCTTATTTTCGGGAGTTGGACGTCTCTTGGACGAAGCCCGCGGACCTGATCGCCGCTCACACGCGACCCCGGAACTGACGAAGGTAACATGACCCTCAAAGTGATGTATTACCCTACATATAGAGGATGGCTGCCTCATTTTCACCAGGCCATGGCTAAGTTTCATGATTTTATTCTTCTAGGCACCTCCTGGTGTATGCCGAGCGAGCTACGCCACTTTGCGGAGAATGTATTGAGGGATTTGGAACATTGTGATCGGGCTTGGAAAAATGATAATTCGGCAGCATTGTTGTTGAAGCCGAAAGTTTGCTGGGGAAACATATCCACTAAGAGCCAATAAGTTGAGCATAACATCATCAAAAAGCTAGGTCGCTCGAATCGAGTCTGACGGCGTATCGGTGTCCAAAAGAGTTCATAAGACTGAACTCAGAGCTATTGCTAGGATAGTCTGATAATGCACAACTATGAATCTTATTTGCAGGGGACGTGATGGTATGCCAGATTTGAGTGTGATACAGCCCTCTGTGTCTTCGATCATACCTAGGTACCAAAGGGCATTGGATGTGTCTGAGAAGGCTGCTAAGCTACGTGACTCTCGTCCATCGGAGGGTCGATGAGTGACAGTGGTAATTTGAACAAGGTTTTCGGCAGAAGGTATCTCTCATGGCTCGCGCATTTGACTCAGTGGAAGCCAATTTAAATTCTCCCAGTGCTGCATTCAACTATCCGGCGGACGATGTTACTGAAGTCCAGTAACGTCATTGTCAATGTAAACGAGAGGTTCGAACCCACTGGGTGTTGTCCGGCCGGATGACTAGAATAGACGATGCTTGGCTATCGATATCAGGCACCACTTTCCCTTTCTAGCCTCTCCTTCTCTTCCCTCGCTTTCTCAATCTTCAAACTCAGCTTGACCGGATTGGACCCCGGTGTCTCGAATATAGTGTCAATCTCTTCCAAATTCAGCTTACTCGTCTCTGGGAAGACAAAATAAGCCGCAATTAGTTGCAGAGTGTTGTACACGATGTAGACAACCCAGATCTTGTACCCAACCTTTTGGATACCCACGCTGATTCCATAGTTCTGCACCACACCAGCAGCACCTTGGACCATGTTGTAGAAACCCATCCCCTTGGCTCGAAGCGGGAGTGACAGGATCTCGACAGGGTAAAGATTGTGCATGGTCGCGATCAGCGATGCGCTGCATACCTGGTAAATGAAGATCCAGACGACGGTCAAGACGGCCGCGGCATGCGACTCGTGAAGCGAATATTGCCAGCTTGTGATTGTTGCCGCGAACTGACAAAGGATGAAGGTAATCAGGCCAGCGAAGATGAGCGTCCGTCGACGGAAGATATCGACAAGGAAGGCGCCCACGAACTCAAAAACGAAATAAACCATTGTGGAGCCCAAATTTATGCCTAGTTGGTCCACTGCCGCGGTGATGCCAATCGTGTCTAGCGCGGGCGAGAGGTAGTACGAGATGATTGCGCCGCCATTCCATTGTTGGAAGATTGAGTAGAGGATCAACACGAAGGTCCGATAGCCGACGGCCTTGGTGAAGAAGACTCGGTAGTCGTATGCGGCCCATTTGCCCGTCCGGGACGACTCGATGGACTCTTCCATCTGCTGCATGATCAATGGGACAATAGGGGCGTCGACGTCGTTGTGAGTCGTCATATATTTGGCAATAACTCTTCGCGCTTCTTCTCGCCGACCCTTGAGGATGAGATAACGGGGAGACTCGGGGCATAAGAAGTAGATAGTGCTACAGACGAGCAAGGGGAAAAGGGCTTCCAGGATCAGTGGGATGCGCCACTGGTAGTTATTGTTCCCTATTCTCTCTGACTCAGCATGCTGCTTCAAGCCTTGAGAGGTCTCGAATCGTGATAGTTGTCATGTCTTATGTTCCGGAAACGACAAAGAGCAATGAACCCACATTTTGTAAAACCTGTCATAGCACCGATCATTATGACAGACCCAAATTGGAAGAATGTGCCGAAGAAGCCGACTAGTCGTCCACGAAGATGCATGGGCGCGATCTCTGCAACATACTGAGGCGCCGATGCCATTGAAGAACCGAAGCCAAGGAGGAATCGGCCAACCATGAGGGCGGCAAGGTTAGGCGCTAGGCCTTGCAGAAGAGCAGCGATGATGACGATCACGTTGCCTGCGAAATTTACACCTCGTCGACCGATGACGTCTCCTAGTGCGAGCAAAGGTGCACCACAGAAGTTTCCAATGGTCATAAGGCCGTTGATGGTGCCCAGGATAGCACCACTGTTAGGGAAACCAAAGTAATCTTTTACACATAAGCTTGCTGCCCCGTCATGCCCAGCGCAAATGTAGACGGAAGGACTCACCATGAAAAGTATCGTACGAGTTAATACTTCCAATCACTCCCCAATCCACTCCGTACCTATGAGAAAGTCAGTCGCCAAGGTGCCTGGCACTATTGTAGAGCAGGAGCATACCCAGCCATATTGAAGCCCATGACGAGCGTAATCAAAGCAATGCGATAGCCTGTTGCAGAGTGGATATCCAGGCATTCACGTGAGATTCGTACCAGATCTTCCTCGGAAATTCGAGTAACAACAACCTCCTCCACATCCACGCCAAGCTTCTCAGCCTCGAGGGCATCGTTGCGGTGGACGTTAGTCACGCCGGAATTGGACACCTCGATTGGCGTCGGCGTCGACATGCTGGGCAAACCTGTGCTTGCCACTAGGGAACGTAGATACTGGTGAGCTCGCCAGACCTTGCGGAGGAAGTGGACAAAACGCGGTACTGTCCTGAGGTCACATTTCTTCTGTGGCTGCCATATATATGTCCACGGCAGCAATTATCAGTCCCATACCCTCGGGGCTGCTGCCGCACTAGACCGGTGATCGGTCTAGGCTTCCGAGAGAAACACTGCACGAGACCTTACCTGCTGGGTACTTGAAGCCGATTTGCTGGCTCTACGGGTACTGAATGCACAATCCGGGGAAATCCAACAGATCGACCCAGCAACACGAACCATGGGGTGATGTGTGGCGGCTATTGGTCTAGAACCTCCAAGAGAAGACCCGGAGTGTGGGGATGGCGGGTGAAGTTGGGTTAGTAGACGCGTGCAGGGTTTCTTCTCCACGGCTTATTAGGTTGTGATTTCGATGTTGGATATATTTTCCATCCACTTGGCCCCTCCCGTTGTCTTCGAAATGCACTAGCCCGCTGATCAAGAAGGAATAAGGCGCGGGGAAAGATGCTGCACGCCTCCAGTAGGATCCACCCGACGGTTATTTACCATGAACCTCATCAAGCATTGGAACCCTACGGCAGACCTTGGCGTACCGACACCATAAAGGGCCCTGACTGTCAGTCTCATGATCAACGAAGCTATACCACCACTTCGACAGGTGCACTGTGTCGCAGCAAAAAGAACGGCCCGGGACTTCGGCGCGACTTGCCTGAACCCCCGATCCTACGAATTTGAGCCGGTCTGGCCCTAGTTCGACACCGGCATGGATTCGAGTAGTTCCCCAACCGCGGCTCAAGATATACACGCAGGCGCAGGCGAGCAGAACGCGCCGATCACAGAAGACCAGCCCTTACACCTTCACTACAACCAGCCCTCCAAAGAATGGTCCGAAGCCCTTCCCGTCGGCAACGGCCGCCTGGGTGCTATGGTCCATGGCCGAACGACCACCGAGCTACTACAACTTAATGAGGACTCGGTTTGGTATGGCGGACCGCAAGACCGTACGCCACGCGATGCCTATCGAAACCTTTCTCTGCTTCGGCAACTCGTCCGAGAGTGTCGGCATGCCGAGGCCGAAGAGCTGGTCCGGACCGCATTCTTCGCGTCGCCGGCGAGCATGCGGCACTATGAGCCCTTGGGTAACTGCTACTTCGAATTTGGACACGGTGATACATCGGGATATCGAAGTGCGTCATTCACATTTACGATCCCCTATTGCTTATGGATGCTTCTTGAAACAGTCAAACTACCAACTCCGCTGACAGAAGTTGAATAGGATCACTGGATTTGTCTCGCGCGATCTGTGAAACTGAATATCGATTCCATGAGGGTGTAGACAGCGGCAAGCAGACGCATGTGAAACGACAAGTCATTGCGAGTTTTCCAGACCAGGTGCTGCTCACGAGAGTGACGGCATCGCGCCCGATTTGTTTCATAGTGAGGCTGAACCGTGTCAGCGAGTTCGAGTGGGAGACAAATGAGTTTCTCGATAGTGTTCGCGCGCAAGAGAAGCAAATCGTGCTGAAAGCGACTCCTGGCGGGGAGCATAGTAACCGGCTAGCTCTCGTCCTCGGCATCAGCTGTGACGACGATGTCCAGAGTTCTGTCGAGGCTGTGGGCAACTGTCTTGTTGTGACCTCTTCTGCATGTACCATAGCCATTGGTGCCCAGACAACATTCCGAGCATCAGACTTCGAGAAGGCTGCTATTAGTGATGTCAATAATGCACTACGTCAGCCATGGCAGGTGCTTCTTGACAGGCACGTTTCTGACTATCAGTCACTCTTCGGCCGCGTTGATCTCCGCATGTGGCCGGATGCCTCACACATACCGACAGATCAACGCATCAAGAACCGCTGCGACCCGGGGCTTGTCGCTTTATACCACAGTTTCGGGCGATACCTACTGATCTCGTGCAGCCGTGATTCACACAAGCCACTGCCGGCTAACCTGCAAGGTCTTTGGAATCCTTCTTTTGCACCACCGTGGGGAGCTAAGTTCACCATCAACATCAACATTCAGATGAACTACTGGCCCGTGGCTTCGTGCAATCTGTATGAGTGCGCCTTGCCATTTGTTGACTTGTTGGAAAGGATGGCAGAGAGAGGTCGAAAGACAGCGGAGACTATGTATGGGTGCAAAGGATGGTGTGCCCACCACAACACGGACATTTGGGCAGACACGGATCCCCAGGACAAATGGATGCCAGCGACTTTGTGGCCGCTCGCAGGCGTCTGGGTCTGCGTTGACATGATGAAACTGGTGAGGGAACGGTATGATCGGAGCCTGCACGAGCGCCTCGCGCCGATTCTCGAAGGCTGCGTCGAGTTCCTGCTTGACTTTCTTGTCCCATCCGAGTGTGGGAAATACCTCGTGACGAATCCATCCCTCTCGCCGGAGAACACATTCGTGTCAAACGGCCAACAGGGCATCCTCTGCGAGGGGTCAACAATGGATATGGCGATTATAGACATGGCCTTCGAGTACTTCTTGTGGACGGTCGAGAAGCTATACGGAGGGTCTCATCCTTTGGCTGATAAAGTCGAGGAGGTGACACTGCCGCCAGTGCAAATCAACGACAAAGGTCTCATACAAGAATGGGGACTAAAAGACCACGATGAGCTTGAGCCAGGCCACAGACATGTTTCGCATCTCTTCGGCCTGTATCCAGGCAATACACTCCGCACCCATGAGGAGATGGAGGCTGCGAGGAAAGTACTTGAAAGGAGAGCAGCACATGGGGGAGGACACACTGGATGGAGCAGGGCGTGGCTGGTCAACTTGCACGCTCGCTTGAGAGATTCCGATGGTGCCGGGAAGCACGTGGAGCTTCTCCTGGGATCCTCGACTCTCCCAAACATGCTGGACAACCACCCTCCATTTCAGATCGACGGCAACTTCGGGGGATGTGCAGGCATCCTAGAATGTCTTGCGAGGCGTTGGGAGCCGACTCTGTACGGTGCTGGTGTGACACTGCTACCAGCCTGTCCGAGAGAGTGGGAACATGGAACACTGACAGGGCTCCACGTCCGTGATGGCTGGACCATCTCTTTCCAATGGAAGGATGGTAAGGTGATTGATCCTGTGACGGTTCGGAACTCTACTCATGATGGCTCCTCGATGACTATCAAATATCCGGATGCGAAGATTGCCGTTGTCCGAGGGTTTGGGGAGCACCGGATAGTGCACGGTGATCTGAAAGCCAGAGAAGGGGCATGTGGGGATTTTAGATGAGGAGTCCCTCTTGGAAGAGGAGAATGATTCGAGCCATCAAGGAATGACACAAAGCCAAGATAATGTGCCATTGAGCGCACAGAGACCTTCACTCGGCGGCAGTGTTGTTGGGATGATGCCGTCTTTGCTTCTTCCTGGCTGCAGGCAAACATGCTGCTCAAAGAGGCCGAGAGGTTGGCATGCAGACCTGACGGGAGGCTGAAAGCTTGGCCCGCTGTGCCTGGACTCGCAGCAGATCTACGGTTCATCCGAACCAGGTCGCATAGCCGTCGATACTTGGGTCTGGGTGGTTTCTTGACTGGCTGACGGACTAATCCTTGGCCTGTGCCATACCTGGCTGTGGACTGAGGAGAGACCAACTCAGACTTTAGAGAAGGAGATGCGCATCATCTCAATGAGGAGCATAATATATAACATGGCCAGTGGAAAACGTGCTTTGGTGTGCCATGACATTTGACGTGAACTGAGGGTGGTTACAATGGTACGTAGCAATCTTCGATCGTGGGTGATGCTCCAATGTTCCCCCCATGTGAGGGTTCCAGCAGATCTGGTGACACGGTCACTTGATTGGTTGCAGGTCAGGAACGTTGGACTGTGCACGGTTGCCGTGACAGCGGGCTTACCATAGGCAGACTAGCGCCATGCCCGCGTCAGGAGGGACGTGGAGGGACAAGCGGGAAGGGGCCAAAGAGGCAGGAGTCAACAGGGGAGGAGCCACCCAGGCGTGCCAGGGCACCAGGGGACGACAACTGCAGGCGCGCACGTCCACAAGGAAACAGCGCTGGACGTGCTAGACCAGGCACGACCAGGGAAACACGGGCTCTGCTGGAGCAGCAACATTCCTCGTCATTCCAAACCCGCGACACTTTCACCACCACCACCTGCACCCACTGCGACGAGGCTTCACGACAGCCTGATGCAGCGTGTCAAGACGGTAGGTCATCCAGCAGTCGACAACCCCGACGGACATCACGCCTGACGGCCCCGCGACGACCCTCAACCCCCCCCATCCCCATCCACCGACCGCTCCCGTTCTCCCGCTGCGCGCGACGACCTGCCAACCTCCTTGGGGCCCTCTATTTTGCGCATGAACCACACGCAAACGGAGACCCGAGATGATCCTTGGGTCTGACTGAAACAAGGCACCGCCAACCACTCCCGTCGCATCGCATCGCATCGCATCGCATCGCGTTGCATGAAGGACGAATTCCATTCTTCATCATCGCGGTCGGCTTCTTTTTTGTTTTCTTTCAACCACCGCCCAAACGAGTTCACGCCCTCGATCCTTTTGCTGCCGACTCACCCCTTTTTCCTTATCAACAATCCAAACTACCGCCCCTCTTTTACCGACCACCAGATCGGCATTTCTCAGTCCAACCAACAATCACATGCAACTTTTGTAACGAGTGGCGCACCCTCGTCACATTTTACGATTTCACTTCTTGCTCCATCCAAAGTTCATCAACATGTCCATGTCCGAACCGCCGTCATCCCCGCCGGGCGGAGACGCAGCGCCGGAAGACTCACTCGCCTGGTACAAATCGCAATACGAACAGCTAGAGACAGAACTTGCCGAGTTCAGGGTTTCCAGCGAGGAGCTCGAGAAGGAGTTGGAAAAAGACCTAGATGCTGCCGAGAAGAGGGAGAATGCGCTGAAAGAGAAGGCAGAGGGCCTCAGCTTTGAGGTTGACGAGTGGAAGGTAGGCTCACCGCTTCCCGATATCTGCTGCTACTGTCTGCAGAGGCCGAACGTCGCTGACTCCAACTTCGCAGAGGAAGTACAAGGAATCCAAAGCCGAGGCGAACGCGGCCCAGAACGCCCTGGAGAAGGAGATCACGACTTTGAGGGACACAAATCGCACGTTGCAACACAAGCTCCGCGATATCGAAGTTGCAAATGATGACTTTGAGCGACAAGCACGGATCACAGGCTCCTCCCTCGAGGACATGGAGTCGAAATACAATGCGACAATCGAGAGGTCGGTCATGATGGAGGAGGAGATCAAAATCGGCGAACAAGAACGGGAGCAGCTCAGAATAGAAGCGCAAAGACTACGAGAAGAGCTATCCGACCTCAAGATCGAAGCCGAGATCCTCCAGGACAAGTTCAAGAAACAAGAAGAGCAGCGCCATCTGTCCACGATATCGACAGACCTTTCTATTCCTGAAAGCCCCATGTTCGACAACAGCACCATGTCCGGTGCGAGCTCCCCTCTCGTTTCAACACCACCCGGATCAGTATCATCGTCAAAAACTCCAGTCCACGAGCCTCCATCACCACCGATGTCGGATGCATCTGCCCCGATCCCCAAATCGAAGCCCAAGGGCCCGCCGACGAAGACACCTGCTCCTGCGGCTGCGAAGCCAAAGAGATCGAGATTGCCTTCAATGGACTCGAGTGTCACATCAAGACCCCGAGTATCGTCGACAGCGTCGCGATCTAGTACTGCTCGACCTTCCACCACGAACACCGCACAACGACCCACACCTGCCCTGCGCAGAACCACGAAACCTCTTCCCACCAAAGCACCTGCTCAGAACAGGATACCCCCCTCGACGTCCCTCACCCACATCCGAACTCTTACTGCCCAGATGCAGCGTCTCGAAGCTCGAGTTCATTCTGCACGCTCAAAGCTCCCCGCACCCACGGTAACGCCGCCACGTGCCTCTCCTAGATCTGTCGCTAGCAACAGCAATGTCACCATAAGATCTCGAAAGCGAGGAGTCTCGTCCGTGTCTTCTACTGCGACCAGCACAACGCCCGATGATGCAACGCCGACCGGCCACGGTTTCAACAGGAGCACTAATGGCGGCAGACACTTACCGCGACTTAGTATATCGGGCGTCAACAGGCTGTCTTTTGGTCCGCTCCCTAACCGTGGCCCTCTCGACTCAGGATCCGAGGTCAGCCGTCCCAGCAGCCGAGCCAGCACCTCGAGTTATGCGCGGCCAGTCAGTCGCGCCGACGGCAGGAACGACAGCATGATTGCGCCACCACGCCCAGGAAGTCGCGCAGGCGGTGCAAGGACGCCTCTGGGCCGGCCGATGAGCCGGACAAGCTTTGGTAGCAGTTTCCACGGACACTCAGTGAGCAGCCTTAGCCTCAGTACGGCAGAAGAAGTCGAGCCGGAGGAACGGACGTATAGGACACCTAGCAGGCGCGGAACCTATAGTCGGTTGGAAGGTGGCAGCGGCATCCCAACACCAAGCGGGCTCCCGATGCCAACTTCAAGGCGGCAGAGCTTAGCAAGCGTTCAGGCCGAACCAGTCAGGAGACCAAGCTTAGGCCCCACGCTGGTCAAGAAGGCGTCAACGCAGCCTCTGGGCGATCTGGGAGAGACCTTCTAGAAGAACCCGGGGGATAAGGAATGAACCCGGCAGATTCGTCTCGACCGTGGCTCAGCGTTCTATATTATCTTCACATTGGCACCAATATTCTTTTCATTTGTCATCATACCCATTTCTTTTGTACACTACGAGGGCTGCGATCATTGCGATAGGGTCATTTACACGGGCGAACCGGTTCGGCGTGGCATGGCATACGATGGGTACGGAGTTTATCGCATTCCCGTGTGAGTGAGATGCTTTGGTTGGTTGGTTGATTGGTTGGTTGTTAGGTTGGCAAGCATCCGATCCCAGCGTTAGAGTGAGACTGGTTGCTGCCCGACCGAGGCTGTCTGGCTCGTCCGGCTGCGTGGTTGACAGCAGGCTCGGATAGAGATGTGATGGACGGCAGGAGACCAAATTGACGATGAAGAATGGATATCATAAGGATAGAAGATGTCCTGAGATGGTAATATCACCACTGGAAGAGTAATATATCCTTGAGGTATCATCGACCGACTGGCTGCGTAGTGAACCCGATACTCACTTGTGAACTGTGATACGTGACCTGAGCATGAACCGGTGTCTGCGAGGCTAGTTGTGACGCCCCAGCTGTCAAAGCATGCTAAACAGGCAGCAAGGAGTGCGGCTGATGGACAGCTCAGGGAGAGCCCACCCGCGCTGCGACGGACCCCATCGGCCATCTGGGAGTTCTTCCAACAGGAGGAGCACGGCCAGACGGGTGCCGCTGGGGGGAGATGACGTACGGGGCGGGTAGGCGTGCTTCCGCTCCGCTGCCCGGAGGATCTGTCCACGTCCACAGGCGATCTTATACCGTGTCTGCAGCGATCGATGCGACGGGTGGGAAATGATGCATTGGGCTCTCGAGTCGGGGAGGGCATCACTGGGTGGGGAGCTGTGGGGGCAAGGCTGAGCTTAAATGGCTGCCCAGGCCGGGCAGGTGATGTTGGCGAGATTGGAGAGGAGCAGGTTTACGACTGTGCTATTGACCGAGGATGTCTTGTATTGAGGCCAAGGGAGGAGGAGTTCCACTCTCGGGCGCCAACCAGTTCTCACTTTGGGAACGAAAGACATCATTAACCACAGATATTCTGATATTCGCATACACTTGGCTGGCTTGGCGGCTGCAGGCCGTATGCAACTTGCAGTACTCGCTCAGGCTGGCCTTGCCTGAGCGACATTGCTCGGTGTTTCCATCGCCAGTCTCGTCGCCGTGCCACCATGCCCAGGAGGCTGTTGACTACGGTTTCAAAAAAGGCTCCTGGACGCAGTTGTTGATAGTTTTATCAGTGGCTGTCCCTAGTATGACCGAGCATAACAGCCTTATTTGTGTAAGTGAGAGCGCGGTGCATGGCGCTTGTGTTTCTGCGGGAGTCAAAGATTCAGGTGCCAGTCCAAAATCATCGGCTCTTAGCCTCGCCGCGGGCGGACAAGATGTTGGGGATATGCGGGTGGAAGGGCGGACCCTGGCCGCTAGCGATCTGGCCTCCCACCCCGCTGGGAAATCTTGGAATTTTGGAGGACAGGGGTCGCGGGCGGACGGGGGGCAACCCAGAGAGGCGTGGGAAAAAGGGCAGCCTCAACAATTGGGGGGATAGACAGACAGCTCATCTCTTTTTTCCCCCTTCCCTGGCAGCAAACGCCTGCCATCAATGCATGCAAATGCGCTACAAAACAGCGCGGGTTGTGCCGGAAGAATTCAAGGGGAAATTTTACTCAACACACTTTAAGCCGGATGAGCGGAACTACGACTCTGGCCGGCCGGCCGACCTGCCGACTATTCCTCTTGTTGCATGGGCAGTGCATGGCAGCAAGAGCACAGAGTCCCTGGCCTGAGAGTCTGTCTGATGAGTGCCGTGCAGTTTAGTTGTGTGTGGCTGTCACAAAACTCCGGAGATCCGCTAGACTGGGGTGGCCGCGGATCTTAGCGAGACGGGAATGTTCGATTTGGTTGAGAGGTTCCTTTTTTTCTTTCTCGCAGAGCGCAGGAACGTGGGGAAGAAACCTCGATTGACCCATATCGATAAGGAGGGGGAGGGATGTACTCCGTACTGCGGTACACGTAGTAGTTCGTCGCGCCGTCGTATTCCTCACTGCGACGCTGTTCCCGGCCTCGAGATCTCAGGTTGCCGATGCCAACGAGAGATCGGTAACAGGAGACGCAATCGGCAGCAAAGTGTAGCAGAAAATCAGCTCGAAGACATGCGCGCCGGAGTCCGGACAATCAGCCGCTGGAGGGCTCAGTAAGTAGCACGGCAATGCAGTCAGAAATGATGGATTGCCGAAGGACACGGGCCCGACATCAAATCAGCCGTGCGTGTGACGGTGCCAAACCTCCCCAAGATGGAGGGCTTTCGGGCACCGAAGGTTTGGCCCGGGGTGGCGCTGGGCTGGGCTGAACCACTCCAGGGCAGTGGAGCTGAGAGCGCCCCGATTGACTCATATTGACATTACCGAGGTGTACAGCATCCATGACCATTTATCTTGGAATTAGATATGATGTCTTACTTCTTCTGTGTCTGATTCCCATGCATGCATGCGATATGCACCGTGCAGGTGATTCTCGGGAGAAAGGGTTGAAAATTAAAGGGAGAAGGGAAAAGAAGATGGGACTCTCTTCTTATCGACTTTATCGATATGACGCCGTACTTGCGGTACGTACCTACCAGCTCGCCGACGAGGCTCTGTTTAGATGCATAAAAAGGCAGGGGCCCCACCATCCCACCAAAGATCCAAATGGTCCCCCAACGAGCCGGGGCCGCCTGATGATTGGGCGCACGTAGCTTCCCGCTCTGGTTGAATGATGGATGATGCAGGGCCGACCAGGGGGTGGGCACGAACCTTGTCCGGTGAATCGGGGAAGGGGTGGAGGAAACGAGGAAGGCATTGGACAGCATTGGTTCTCCTCGATTGAACTGGGCTGAAGCTGGAGAAGAGACGGCCGAAAAAAAAGTCAGCCCGTCTGTCGTCTGCCTGTCTGTCTAGCTGCGAGTGCTACTGTGTACGTACGGTATCTGTGTCTCGGGCCTCGTCCATCCCCAGGACCAACACAATTACTATATCAGTCCCCGGCTGCCCATCCTCTGCCAGCTGCGCCCACAGATCTTGGATGATTGAACCTTTTCCTCTCCCCTTACTTCCTGCATCTCCCTACTGCTAGAGCTCCCAGCTACGCGGACCAAAGACCTAGACGACCTCAAGGTCCACCTGCAAACCAACAGCCCAACACTTCTCCTCGAAAGACCCTATAGAAGACCACCGTCCGCATAGAGCTCGCAGGACCACGCATACACTGCAGTCTCCCTGTGACAGATAGAGTGTGTAAGTTCGCGACCTGCCTTGCCTCTGCCTGTCCAAGCCGGAGAAAAGTTAGCGGGGTGTCAGCACCGTAGTCATGGTCGACATCGCCAGTCGAGGCCAAGAGCTCCGCGCTGGTGCATCAAGCAGCGGCTTACTTGAATCCTGCCCGCTGCTGACCCAGACTTCTCGAGACCCATTATTCGAGTTCTTGACGCTGATCCTTCTACGATAAAACCAGGCGTTTCGAGCTGTCCCCCACCCCCGAATTCCGGCCTTCCGATACCAGCTACTTTCTCGACGACGAACGCCGCGCTTTTGCTAGCTCCGGCGACTTCTCAACACTTCTACGTCTCACGGCCACCGCTTCCTTGACTCGAGACTCGACACCTCAGTTTCCGAAGACCCATCGCTCTCTGTATCATTAATGACCTAGATACCCCATTGTTGCCCACCCACCAGCGACACACTCTTCCCTCCCTCAAAATGACCGAAACAGCCAGCAGCGCGCCCCGAAATGGCGTCGTTGTGCCCCAGAACAATGGCAAGCAGACATACGCCGAGCTGCACCAAATCGCAGACCACTTCATTGGAGGCAACAAATTAGAGAACGCGAAGGACTCGAAAGTAAAGGACTTTGTTGCTGCAAACGACGGGCACACAGTCATTACGAATGTCAGTGGAATTCCCGTCCCAAAAAGAAGCGCTGGACAGCGCAGACTTTGGCTGCAGACAGACACTCCGGAGCTACATCTGGCAGACGTGTAAAAGCTGACCTGTACGCAATTGACAGGTCCTGATTGCCAACAACGGTATTGCTGCCGTCAAGGAAATCCGATCCGTTCGAAAATGGGCGTACGAGACATTCGGCGACGAGCGAGCCATCCAGTTCACAGTTATGGCTACCCCTGAAGACTTGCAGGCCAATGCAGACTACATCCGAATGGCAGACCACTACGTCGAAGTGCCTGGCGGCACCAACAACCACAACTACGCCAACGTGGAGCTGATCGTGGATATTGCTGAACGGATGAACGTCCATGCAGTTTGGGCAGGCTGGTATGTTTGGACGCCCATCAGATTCTCTACATTCAAGCCACTGTTAGAATCCCGACTGACTAATTTCTGCAAACAGGGGCCACGCCTCAGAGAACCCGAAACTACCAGAGTCGCTGGCTGCCTCTCCAAAGAAGATTGTCTTCATAGGACCTCCCGGCTCTGCGATGCGCTCCCTCGGTGACAAGATCTCCTCTACAATTGTCGCACAACACGCCGAAGTGCCATGTATCCCATGGTCTGGCACTGGTGTTGACGAAGTTACTGTCGACGATGGCGGTATCGTGACCGTGGCCGACGATATTTACATGAAAGGCTGTGTCCAGTCCTGGCAGGAGGGTCTGGAGAAGGCTAAGCAGATTGGCTTCCCCGTCATGATCAAGGCTTCCGAGGGTGGTGGTGGCAAGGGTATCCGAAAAGCTCTGAGCGACGATGGTTTCGAGCAGCTTTACAAGGCTGCGGCAAGCGAGATCCCTGGCTCTCCCATCTTCATCATGAAGCTTGCCAGCAGCGCCCGGCATCTGGAAGTTCAGCTTCTTGCTGATCAGTACGGCAACAACATTTCACTGTTCGGCAGAGATTGCTCAGTCCAAAGGCGTCACCAAAAGATCATTGAGGAGGCACCTGTCACAATCGCCAAGGCTCATACCTTCAGGGCCATGGAGGACGCCGCAGTCAGACTCGGCAGGCTTGTCGGATATGTCTCCGCAGGTACCGTCGAATACCTTTACTCCCATCATGACGACAAGTTCTACTTCCTCGAATTGAACCCTCGTCTCCAGGTTGAGCATCCCACCACCGAAATGGTCAGCGGTGTCAACCTGCCTGCTGCTCAGCTTCAGATTGCCATGGGTCTTCCTCTGCACCGCATCCGCGATATTCGACTGCTGTACGGCGTGGACCCCAAGGCTGCGACAGAAATCGACTTCGAATTCAAGAACGAGGCCAGCGCCAAGACACAGCGACGACCTACTCCCAAAGGTCACACCACTGCTTGCCGTATCACCTCTGAAGACCCTGGTGAGGGCTTCAAGCCCTCTAACGGTGTCATGCACGACCTGAACTTTAGGAGTAGCTCAAATGTTTGGGGTTACTTCTCCGTCAGTACTGGCTCCGGTATCCACAGTTTCTCCGACTCGCAATTTGGCCACATCTTTGCCTACGGTGAGAACCGGCAAGCTTCGCGAAAGCACATGGTTGTCGCCCTCAAGGAGCTGAGCATTCGAGGTGACTTCCGAACCACCGTCGAGTACCTCATCAAGCTCCTGGAGACGGAGGCTTTCGAGGACAACACCATCACCACTGGCTGGCTTGACGAGCTCATCTCGAACAAGCTCACGGCCGAGCGACCCGACTCAACCTTGGCTGTGGTCTGCGGTGCCGTCACCAAAGCGCATATTGCTAGCGAGCAGTGCTTCGCTGACTACAAGGCTGGTCTGAACAAGGGTCAAGTACCCTCCAAAGACATCCTCAAGACGGTATTCCCTGTGGACTTCATCTATGAAGGCTACCGCTACAAGTTTACCGTGACGCGGTCAAGCATGGACAGTTACCACCTCTTTATCAACGGCTCCAAGTGCTCCGTCGGCGTGCGTGCTCTCAGTGATGGTGGACTGCTCATCCTCCTTGATGGGCGCAGTCACAGCATTTACTGGAAGGAAGAGGTTGGGGCCACTCGGGTGTCTGTCGACAGCAAGACCTGTTTGCTGGAGCAGGAGAACGACCCTACTCAGCTCCGGTCGCCCAGCCCCGGAAAGCTCGTTTCCTACTCGGTCGAGAACGGCGAGCACGTTACCGCTGGCCAAATCTTCGCCGAGGTTGAGGTCATGAAGATGTACATGCCGCTTGTGGCTGCAGAAGACGGAGTGGTGCAGCTCATCAAGCAGCCGGGTGCCACTCTTGAGGCTGGTGATATCCTGGGCATACTCGTCCTCGATGACCCCAGCCGTGTCAAGCAGGCTCAGCCTTTCCTTGGCCACCTGCCTGAGTTCGGTCCCCCAATGGTGGCCGGTGATAAGCCTGCCCAGCGATTCTCCAAGCTCTACGACACCCTTGGCCACATTCTCGAGGGCTTTGACAATACTGTTGTCATGCAGTCAACGCTGAAGGAACTTATTGAGGTGCTCAGAAACCCTGAATTGCCCTACAGCGAGTGGAACGCCCAGTTCTCAGCCCTGCACAGCCGTATGCCACAGAAACTGGATGCACAGTTCGCCCAACTTGTCGAGCGTGCCAAGCAGCGCAATGCGGAATTCCCTGCCAAAGCTCTCGCTCGTGCCTTCCAGAAGTTCTTGGACGACAATGTTGCGCCCAATGATGCGAACACGCTTCGAACCACACTTGAGCCTCTCACTACTATTCTCGATCTCTACAGCGAGGGCCAGAAGGTCCGTGAGCTCAAGGTCATCGCGGATATTCTGGAAAAGTATTCCGAGGTGGAGCGCTTGTTTTCTGGCAAGAAGCAACAAGACGAAGAAATCATTCTTGCACTTCGAGACGAAAACAAGGAAGATGTGTCAAAGGTCGTCACAACTGTCCTTTCTCACAGCCGTGTTACCGCCAAGAACAACCTTATTCTTGCCATTCTCGATGTCTACCGTCCCAACAAACCAAACGTGGGCAACATTGCCAAATACCTGCGGCCCGTGCTGAGGACACTGGCGGATCTCGAGTCCCGTCAGACAGCCAAGGTTTCTCTCAAGGCGCGAGAGATCCTCATCCAGTGTGCTCTGCCGTCGCTCGAGGAGCGAAAAGCGCAAATGGAGCACATTCTGCGGTCTTCCGTCGTCGAGTCCAAATATGGCGAGTCCGGTCTGGACCATCGCAACCCTGCCTTGGATGTGCTCAAGGAAGTCGTTGACTCCAAGTACACGGTCTTCGATGTGCTGCCTCAATTCTTTGCCCATGAGGACGCTTGGGTGGGATTGGCTGCCCTGGAGGTCTACGTGCGCCGTGCGTACCGTGCGTATGTGATCAAGCAGATCGAGTATCACTCAGACGAGACGGATAACCCGTGCTTTGTCTCCTGGGATTTCGTGCTTAGGAAGATCGGCCAGTCAGAGCTCGGTTTGCCTATCGAGTCGGCTGCGCCTTCGTCCCCGGCCACTCCCGCCACTCCCGGCAGGAGTGACTACGGTTTCGGACGCATCAACTCCATCAGCGATATGTCGTACTTGACTCGCAAGGTCGGAGAAGATGCCGGGCGGCGCGGCGTCATTGTTCCCTGCAAGTACATGGACGATGTCGAGGATCTGCTTGCCAAGGCTCTCGAGATCCTCCCCCTCTCCCAAAAGAGCCAGGCAAAGAAGAGCAGTATCATTCCTGATTTGAGCGGAAAGAGGAAACCTCCCGTCCGTCGTGACTCTCAGGACGAACTTTCAAACGTGGTCAACATCGCTGTCCGTGACTGTGAGAGTGGGAATGATGCCGAGAACTTGGCCCGTATTGCGGACATCATGGAGCAATTCAAGAGCGATCTCGTCGCTCGCGGTGTCCGCCGTGTCACCTTCATCTGCGGACGTTCCGACGGCTCTTATCCCGCCTACTATACCTTCCGTGGCCCTACTTACGAGGAAGACGACAGCATCCGACACAACGAACCAGCACTGGCCTTCCAGCTGGAGCTGAATCGGTTGTCCAAGTTCAGAATCAAGCCCGTCTTCACCGAGAACAAGAACATTCACGTGTACGAGGCCGTCGCCAAAGAGAATGAGGCTGACAAGCGCTACTTCACACGTGCGGTCATTCGACCCGGCAGACTTCGTGACGAGATCCCCACGGCTGAGTACCTGATCTCCGAGGCGGATCGAGTCATCAACGATATCTTCGACGCTCTGGAAATCATCGGCAACAACAACTCTGACTTGAACCATCTGTTCATCAACTTCACGCCCGTTTTCCAGTTGCACCCCCGCGAGGTTGAGTACTCTCTCCAAGGTTTCCTTGATCGATTCGGACCACGAGGATGGCGTCTCCGTGTCGCACAGGTCGAGATCCGCATTATCTGCACGGATCCCACCACTGGCACGCCATACCCGCTGCGTGTCGTCATTACCAACACCTCTGGATTCGTTGTCCAGGTTGAGGTATATGCTGAACGCAAGTCCGAGAAGGGTGAGTGGGTCTTCAACTCTCTTGGTGGCACCACCAAGATAGGGGCAATGCACTTGCTACCAGTTTCTACACCCTACCCAACCAAGAACCAGCTGCAGCCCAAGCGGTACAAGGCTCATCTTATGGGCACACAATATGTGTACGATTTCCCTGAGTTGTTCCGTCAGGCCATTCAGAACTCCTGGGCCGAAGCCGTTAAGGTCACCCCTGCGCTTGCAGAGAAGCAGCCCCCCGTGGGCGACTGCATCGACTACAGCGAGCTTGTCCTTGATGACACCGACAAGCTTGCTGAGGTATCTCGTGAGCCGGGTACCAACACCCACGGTATGGTTGGATGGCTTATCAATGCCCGCACACCTGAGTACCCTCGTGGCCGGAGGTTTGTGTTGATCTCCAACGATATCACCTACCAGATTGGTTCTTTCGGTCCCAAGGAGGACCACTACTTCAACAAGTGCACTGAGCTGGCACGCAAGCTTGGCGTACCCCGTATCTACCTGTCTGCCAATTCTGGTGCTCGTCTTGGCGTTGCGACCGAGCTTATGTCTCACTTCAAAGTCGCGTTCAACGACCCCAACAAGCAGGAGGCTGGCTTCAAATACTTGTACCTTGATGACGAAGCGAAGAAGCGTTTCGAGAGCTCGGTCATCACAGAGGAGATTGTTGAAGACGGTGAGAAGCGTCACAAGATCACTACCATTGTCGGCAAAGAGGATGGCCTGGGTGTTGAGTGTCTCCGTGGCTCTGGTCTCATCGCCGGTTCTACTAGCCGTGCTTACAACGACATCTTCACTTGCACCCTCGTTACATGCCGCTCTGTTGGTAAGTCGCACATCCTTGTCATACACACCAATAACATCTTGCTAACCTCTTCTCAGGTATTGGTGCCTATCTTGTCCGCCTTGGTCAACGTGCTGTCCAGGTCGAGGGTCAACCGATCATCCTCACGGGTGCTCCCGCCCTCAACAATCTGCTCGGCCGTGAGGTTTACACTTCCAATCTGCAGCTTGGTGGAACCCAAATCATGTACCGCAACGGTGTGTCCCACATGACCGCCGAGGACGACATGGCTGGTATCTCCAAGATTGTCCAGTGGATGTCCTTCGTGCCTGACAAGCGCAACAACCCTGTTCCGATTGCGCCCAGCGCCGATACGTGGGATCGGGATGTTGTTTTCACCCCCGTTCCTCGACAACCGTATGACGTGCGCTGGATGATTGCTGGTAAGCAGGACGGAGACGACTTCCAGCCAGGCTTGTTCGATAAGGACTCTTTCGTCGAAACCTTGGGAGGCTGGGCACGCACTGTTGTCGTTGGTCGAGCTCGCCTTAGCGGCATCCCCATGGGTGTCATTGCTGTCGAGACCCGGTCCATTGAGAATGTCACACCAGCTGACCCTGCCAACCCCGACTCCATTGAGCAGGTCAGCCAAGAGGCTGGTGGTGTCTGGTACCCGAACTCGGCTTTCAAGACTGCTCAGGCTATCAACGATTTCAACTACGGTGAACAACTGCCTCTCATGATCCTTGCGAACTGGCGTGGTTTCTCTGGTGGTCAGCGCGACATGTACAACGAGGTGCTGAAATACGGTTCGTTCATCGTGGATGCTCTCGTCAAGTACGAGCAACCCATCTTTGTGTACATCCCTCCCTACGGCGAACTGCGTGGAGGGTCTTGGGTCGTTGTCGATCCTACCATCAACCCCACTGCCATGGAGATGTACGCCGATGTCGAGGCTCGTGGTGGCGTCCTGGAGCCCGAAGGTATCGTCGGTATCAAGTTCCGTAAGGACAAACAGCTCCAGAACATGGCACGCAATGACGCCGTGTATGCTTCCCTCAAGAAGAAGCTGGCTGAGTCGCAAGCGAACAATGCCAGCAAGGAAGAGCTGGAAGCCATCCATAAGGAGATCCTTGCCCGTGAGGAACTGATCCTGCCCGTCTACACCCAGATCAGTCTGCAGTTCGCCGACCTGCATGACCGATCGGGACGCATGAAGGCCAAGGGTGTGATCCGGGACCAACTTGAATGGGTCAACAGCCGTCGCTTCTTCTACTGGCGTGTGCGCAGAAGACTTAACGAGGAATACATTCTGCGACGCATGGCAGCGGCTGTGAGCACCGTTGGCTCTGTCGCCAAGGACCCGGTTGCCATCCGCAATCACCACCTTGCCAAGCTGCAGGCGTGGAGCGGCGTGCCCGAATTTGACACCAAGGACCGCGAGGTGGCGGTTTGGTATGAGGAGAACCGCCAACAGATTAACGACAAGGTTGCGGCCCTCAAGGTCGAGGCCACACAAGCGCACATTGCGGAGTTGTTGGTAGACAAGACGGCGTTTGAAGGTGTCCGGGCAGCGCTGAGCACGCTGCCTATTGCAGAGAAGGAAGCTCTGCTGAAGCAACTTTCTTCATAAACAAAGTCGTTAAGAATCGGCTAATTTTCTTTTTATGTTTCTCACTGGTGTAGTGTACGAACACGATGGCGGTCACCTGTCCTTCTTGCACGGCGTTTCCATACAGGCATCCCTTGATTGCACACGAGAGCAAGCTTGATTTGATGGGCGGTGGGACTTTTGGTTTGGGAACTGCAGTCTTCTTACAGTGTTGCGGCGTCAGGACTTGGTAGAGCTTATACACCTTGAATGATATACTTGCGTTGCCAACGAGAATCAGACCTTATCAAATGCTGTATTGTGTCTCCTGGAGTGGCCAGTGATGGTAACATGTGCGCTGCCCGATGCTATGTGGTATGACTGGAGACAGGAGAACGGTACTGCTTAACCCATACTTGGTCGTTGTCACAGTTGGTGCCAACAAAGCAGCAGGGACCGATCATGGATGAGCCTCTCTACCGCTCACCATCCAAAGCTGGTGAACAACTCTTTGACGTAAATGGCCCAGAAGTAAGCGCCTGAAGAATCAATATATCTGAGCCACAGAACGATGTGGATCGCGTTGACTACGCCCAAGATTTTAATCATGGATAGAAGTTACTCACTCTCATTGTTCGACGAGCTCCTAGTCATTTTGATATAAGATTCTTGAGCCTTGTCAAACGTAAGTCAATACTTCAATTTAGGCCTTACTGTTGTCATGTCAAAAAGAAAACATCCTTTTTGTTCCCGAATCGAGTATGGATAGACGCAGGCACGATTGCGATTATAACGTGCTTGAGTAGAGGACCTTTCATTGTGAGGCATACTGTCACAGAGCAACGGAATTGGACCATGTCCTTAAGAAATGGTGTCTTATTTTATCTAGTTCTCTAGATGCAACAACACAGCTGTATTGGATCCCAATAAGTTGAGTTCCTTGTACCAAACTTCCAACTTTGCATTTCTGAAAGCAGCAAGGCTCAAGACAAGCTATAAAGATCCACGACGAGTCGAGAAGCTGAATTACAGATATACCGAGCTCTAACTAAGCTCGTGGATCGTAAAGATTGTAGTTTTGCAACGTCTGCAGAACTCGCTGCTCAGAACGGCCTACCACCTGTCAGTATCTATTCCAAGTGAGTGTAAATTAATGACAGCACAAGTTGCTTACTGGGTCTTGCAGGCGCAACGGCTTGGTTGACCACGGTGAACTCGTTGGTCGTCTTCCCACCCACAGTCATTGAGAAGCCTTCGGTATAGCTCAACGCGTTGACACAGATGGTAAAGGTGTAAGTGCCCGGTATGGGGATCGATAGTCCCTGGAAAATGAAATATATCCACTTGTGCGCGCTCTGGCGGCTGCTGCTGCCACCGCCGTGGCTTCCACCGTTGCTGCCATGAAGTGTGATCGGCTGCCCCTGGGTGCTGTAATTTCCATTCAGGATGGCAGTCTGGTCGTCTCCGTTACTCGATGTAAGCATTGCAACTGCGAAGACATCCTTGTTGCCTGCGAGATAGTCTTCAATAAGTTGTGGGTTATTGGTGCGTGCCACCACGGGTGGAATGAGCCTTCGGTTGATGCCGACCGAGGACGGGGGTTGAACCTCGATTTCGACCTTGACTCTAGATCCCTGGTTCTGGACAGAGGTATCAGATGTATTAGCTGGTGTTTCAGTCGACATGATTAGAATGAATAAAACTCCTTAAGGACTGGTTGGAGGGGAGATAGGTGGGTTTCTGGGTATCGAGTGTAGAGTGATTTGATGAGATTTGTTGTCAGCGGTGTGAAAAACTTGTGCGTATACTGGTGAACAAGCTCGTGGAGAATCAAATTGGGAGTCTTGTTCTGGGGAGAGGTATTGCTGCCGAGATAAATTATCTGGAGTGTGAAGTATTTATGGTCGAGAATGAGGACCTAATTTCAGAGCAACTGGACTGACGCGGCCGACAGTTCAAAGTCACGGAGCCAGCTACTCACTTACATATGTTGCCAACTCCATTATCGTCCAATACTTCACTGAACCAAGTACTTCACCGTGAAATACTGATGCTCTTTGTTCAAAATGTCACTGCTCAAAGTGGTGCACGCACACATAGATCTGCTTGTACGGATAGACGTGAACAACAGCAGAATTAATGAAAGTAAAGATGTTTCCAATGGTTCTTCTTCAAAGAACAAGTTAGAATTGCAAGGGAAGCAAGCAAATTATACACCTTGAGTCAGGAACACCGTAGCAGAGGTTTCCGCGGAACGCCCCAAGGCTTGTAAACCATTCGTGTACATTGATGTGCTCCCGAAAAGTCTCGGGTGTGGATACTTTCTCAACCTCACATACCCCTGAGCAGAGCCGCACACTAGGCCGGAAACAAAACTGGGAAGACATGGTCTGTATCACACACGTCTTGGTTGATGCCCGAAGCGGGTCACTATCTGTTACGTGGCTACTTGAGGTGGTCAATGGGAAGTAGGAGCTTGGTTACCCGGAGGTTGGTACGGTTCTATTCTGGACTTTCTGCAGGCCTAAGCCTCAATATAATAACAAGCTCACCTTAGCGGAATGCGGAAAAGGAGCCCCGTTAGTGGCACTACGTCTACACGTGAACAGGCGATGCGTGCGTGTGGTCCGTCAGACTCTCTGCGAGGCCATTCATTGCTTCTACTGCTGTTCACTGAACGCAAACACGTTCATCTACGTACTATAGTATACATCAAGACATCGGACTTTGCACTGAATTTCCCTTTCGAATAGCCATTGCTCCATGATCCTATAATATGGCAGAGAGTTCTGATTCGAGTAATAGTTCGTTGCCAATGACGAATATGTGAGGGAAGCCCAACGAGTGGTCATCGTCAATTTCTCCGCACCCTGCTTCCTTCGTCGTCTCATGATCATGCAGCGAGGGCACGCAAAAGAAACAAAAAGTAACAGTTGCAGATAAGCGGTGACCTGCGGAACAGACCCGCCGGGTGACAAGGGAAAAGATCCGCGTAACGCTCTTCACGTTGTTGTTCAGCGAGTCGTTGTGAAAATGGTGGGCCCATGATGGAGATCTCAGACGGCTGACGGTGTTGTTACGCACGATCAGGGCTGACGGTGGCTGGCGCCTCGCCGCTTTTTGGTGACGCAATAATATGATGACTGCTAGCAAATAAGAACCATCTAGGCTATCTTCTCCGAGTATTGGCATTTATTTCGCATTCGGCTCATATGCAAGTAAAATCGGGGGAGCCTCAGGTCAACGATCATCATGCATATCACGAGGATTCGCTGGAATCCTGCAGTCGAGGAGTTGGAATGTTTTTTTTTTTACAAAAAAAGAAAGAGAAGATGAAAAAAAGGAAAACGAAACAGACGAGTACATGACCTAGCATTGTAAGCTGCTTCCCAGTCAGACTCACTCCAGGTGAGTCTAAGCAGTTAGTCATCGCATCCAGCCAGTACGACGAACCGCCTTACACTACTTCTAGTCTGAACAAGAAGCTGGAAAGTCACAGCTACTTGGCTGTGTAGCGTGCAGAAGCTGTCCCTTGCGACATTGTTTCGCTGCATATGACAGCTCTCTCCATTTAAGCGTGGGGGATCAGTAATCAACAACAGCTCTGCCGTTCCATGCGAACATCGGATCTCGCACAATGTGACAAGTCCGACGGGATCCGCTGCGACTACCCCCAGACAGACGTCTCGGAGCAAGGGCCCCAACCAGGTGCCTTTGGCGTCGAGATATGCAGAGGCGTTGCAGGGTCCATACATCGCTTCTGCGAGATGCTGCGGAGCACAATCTCGGATAACACTCTTGCCTGTGGCTCTGACCTGCATATGCAGGGTCCAAAATCCCTAGCACGATAGATCTCGCATTTCCCAAATTGAAGCCGGTCTTTCGTTGAGGATTCAATATGACGGCGCGGGATGTACATCAAGGACTATCCAACCGGAAGAAGAACCTGCGTCATTATGCGATCAGTCAGATTTGATTCCATACCAGTCTCTGCCATTCTTCTCTCTGCGACGCTTTTTTCTACGGTAGTCTCCTACCGGCGTATTTTGAGCTGTCGGGGATGGAGAGACCTGATGTCGACCCTAGGTCTCGGTCGAGGTGTAAGCGCCATAATGTCGGCGCAGTAGATGTCTCATCCGATTGGCGTCGGAGATGCTGGCCACAATGCTTTGTTACACGACACTATACAAGGCTTGAACTCCGATTCGAGGTTTGACCGAAATCGCTCAGCAAGGATAGACCGGCGTACCAGACGGGAAGATCTGGACCAAAATTCCTAATCCGTAGAGCCAGCCATGAGGATGGTAGTGTGAATCGTCAAGTTGGGCCACCCATCGTCCCTGATCTGCATGTTCCAAGGAAGGCAAAGACACCACGCAGGCGATACTACAAATCAATCATGAGTACAAATATAAATTCACTATAGAACGCCATGAAAAGGTCGAAGAGATCACTTTTGTTATGATTATCAACTTTCATGGGCTACATACTGCCCTTAGTCTTGTGTGAGTCAGATTACTCTAAGCAGGAGTCCACTACAAAGTTATTACCGATTTATCGTTCAACTGGATTCATTGCAGGAAGACCTAACGGGCAGTAGACAAAGTTTTTAGTCTGAATCTTGACAGAGAGATCCTTCAGTTCAACCGGTTTTGTTGAATTTTTGTAAGATCTTTACTCAACAACACCCGTGTTTTAGGATCTGCACCTCGCACGTGCTTTATTGTCTCCATTATAAGAGAATGAACAAAAGCATATGGCTCTTATAGCATACCAGTGAGATGCCTATAAAAACGTGTTGATCGGACTCGTAGTTGCATTTCATTCTGTGTCTCGTGCCACATTGCAGAAATTCGATGCCAGCCAATCCCAAGCACAAATCAGTGTTCATAAATTCTGTCAGTGAGTCAGAACACTTGCACGATAGAATCTCGAACAATATCCGTCCTGTGCTGCCGACAACCATCATGTCAGCTCAAGACGAAACTCGTACACCAATAGGAGGTACTGATCCCTCACAGGTACAAATTCATGCTCCACAGCCTATTAACCTGGCAGCACAACACCGTCTTCAGGTGATGCTAGAACTTGATTATCCACCTCTTGCTAACAGCTCGGGTCTAGGTGGCATCGCATCCTCTGTGGATGCGTCAACTCCGAACTCAACATCTGGCGATCTCACTACCACGTATCCTGCTACGCCGCTTCAAAGTGTTCTTCCGTGCAATAACCTCTCAGAATCCTCGCTACATCCAGATTCCGACACGGTCGGCGGAATCAATACAACTGTAACGGCCCAAGTGGGCACATTCAAGCTACCAGAAGAGATCACATTCTGGCCGGGGCTCAAGGACTGTCTTGATGATCCAACCCTTCCATACCCAGAACCAACATGCATGATTTGTTTTGAAACAGTGCTTATAATTGGTTTCAATCAAGTTGTAAAAGAAGACGATCAACTCAATTGTGAGAATTGCCTTGTCCTTCCATGCGGACATCTTATTGGGGACGACTGCTTCGGCAAATATCTTTCGAAGCATTGTGAAGAAATACAAGCAAGACCCCAAGATAATCGAGTTTCCTGGTACCCTCCTCTGGGTTGCCCCGTTTGCAGAACGGAGGTTGAACTTCGTATTAGTAAGTGTGGACACTTGACTGTGGGCTGTAGACTCCCAACTTTGGTCGAAGACAATATTTCCGGCGCGGGGTCAAGCCAGAAATGGTCTATGAAGCTCTTGGAAACTTGTGAGGGATGCTTGATAGAGGGATTGCGGTACTAGTATTGATTGTGTGGCAAGCATAGGTTTGCTCAACAAGAATGGCAACTAACATCTTGGACAGAAAGAGAATGCGTGTGGGATCTGGCACATGCGACGGCCAGAATCTCTGATGATTAGAGATTGATAAAGTACAAGTTGACTATGCACTTGTATTGATCGTCATTGATAGAGTTGACTGAATTCTACTGGGCTTTTCACTTCGCTTTTCTGAAGAGCTACTGCTAATCTGCTCGAGATCATGGAAGCATAAGCCTAGACGAAATTGAAGTACGCGCTGAACGCCTCGGGAATGTTGATGGTTGAGTGACGAAGCTGGATATCTGGATGAGAATCCCTCACAGCCAAAATTGTAGCAAAGCCCTGCAACTTTGGACCGGATTTGGTTTGTAGAAAATGATCCTCACTCCCATCTACAACATCCGGAGCCCTGACCCAAGATCATATCTTCAAATTATCTACGCTAGGGAAGACAGTTCAGGAAGCCTGACGCTCGACCACATGTTATTTGTGCTAGACTATGAATAGAGCTCGTTTTTTGAGCAGTCACAGCATATTTTGAAGGCTTGACATCATGTCTCATCATCACGACGACCCTCGTGGCGATGTGGAAGATCTTTTCAGTCAAATGAGCTCCGAGTTAGATTTACATTAGCATGCCCCATAACTGCCTCCTACTTCGATGCCTCTTCCTTGCCATCTCCATCACGTTCTGCCGGTGTCCCAGGTATACTCGACCCAGCCAATGACCCCTGCCAAAAGAAGATACCCAAACCGGCCGTTGTCAACACGATCGTAACCCTCAGTAGCCAGCCCACTATCCTTCCGTACGAGAATATCCAGCTCGCCAACCACTTCACTAGCGGCGTCACCAGCTCATCCCTTTCCCTTTCCAGCTCGGGGTTTATCGTACAGATCACACCGATTAGTGCGAGAAGGACGAGGCCGAGGAAGACGCAAGTCAGGACCTCAATGCAAGCCAGAAGGATAGAAATGTCCTTGGTCGTCTGCAGGACCTGAAACCCCGCGGCCACGAGGGGCGTGACTTGTTCGAACGCCTTGTTGATCTCCCTGGAGTAAGGGATACCCATATCTGGAACAGGCACGTTGTGCAATGACGGTGTCCGATGTGTATATTAATTATTAGGAGTATTATCTCACAGTAATTCTTAGTTTTGGCGCGGTGAGATTTTGTAGAGGCCCTTGCATTCAATCCAAATAGCCAAACACAGGATGCACCAGCATGTTATAGAACGCTCCCTCATAGACAGGCGCATGCGTATATGAGTGATGTCATGGCTGTGCAGCTTGGGGCTGATGCATCGGAAGCAGCCACTTGGACATGGGGATTCGAGGTGCGATTGGAGAAGGCCAACAGTAGCGCCACACCCTCGAATCTGCAAATGTTCCGAGTGGCCAAGCGACATAGACTTATTACGCTTGGTCCGTCATTTGACGTAGAAGTCGCTGTTGATGGGATGATTGAGTTTGTGAATGAGTGTGGCGGGTTGTCGATGTTGCAGGCGTATGTTGCCATGCATCAATAGGTCTGTTGTGGCTTGACCTTGGGTAGGATTTCTTTCGCATAGTTCGAGGAGGAAAGGAGGGGGGGGGGTGGCTTGTGACAGTCCGCGTCGTGGCTGACTTGAGTTCTCTCGGGGAGTATGACATAAGCGGTAGCTCCCGTCCTTCAACGTCCATCGTTCTCCTTGCTGGAGAGGAGCAAACAAACAACTCATCTTCTCACTTCCTGCATAACGCAAAGGCTTCGACATGTGCCTCGCAGATTAGATCAAGACTTCATTGAGTAGAGACATGACTTCGGGGAATATTAAGTGTCAGTCTCCGTAAAGGGTCGTATCTCACACAGTCCCGTCGTCTCTGTGGTGGCCCTCCCCATCGCAGCTAATTATCAAGATTGTGCCGGTCGGTGACTTGGTAAAGAGTTGCACTCGGTGTTGATGCGTGAAAATCGGATGAGAACGACCTGGACAGCCTCATCCAGGTAGAAACAACGTGCGTGTTACCAGGGGTGGACAGGATCTGCCCAGATGATAGCGACAGTACTGTAGTTGGTCGGCCACTGGAGGATTTCGGGCCAACGTGCTATTTTCGTATCTTCTCTTGTATCTCATGAAGTTCATAGGAAGATACGTTGCCATGGTATGACATCCTAGAGAGCCAACGAGGGCCGTCCGTAGGACACTGACGTGGTCAAGCCGACCACTCGTCCCTGACTTGGAGCGGTGCGATGATCCTGGCGGCTAGAAGCTTTCAATAAGAGCAGAAGTTCGTGGCTCGAAAGGGGATCCTTGAGATATCGCTCCAACAGACGATCCCGGCAGACGAGCATTGTATATGCTACCATGCCCCGCCCAACATTCGCATCCTGCCCTTCTGTGGATCGGCATATTTTACCAACATTCGTTTGACGGCCACAATAAGAAGCCTAGCGATAGGTGTCGGGTACTTGCCAGCCGCGGGGCTTCATCTTCTGTTGGATGCCGTCGAGAATCACACAGCAACCCATCCAGCCCAATTGGGAGAGCTTGGCGGATCGAACAAGCTGTGTTGTGACGATGAGACGTCGTTGGAGCTTGTTTGCCTCCTACTTCCGCACTGAATGCCAGCAGATTGTTGTACTTGGGCACAGGCCAAAATCAGCCTGGTCAGGCCGTCCGGCACCGCGTCTAGCTTTCTCCAGTCATTCTTCCTCAGACACGACAAATCCCGAACCAGTAGCGGTTGTTGATGAGCTCTTTTGCCCGTCTTTATCTTCCAGCGTCATAGCGGCAAATCTAGTATCGATATCCAACTCGAAGTCAGAACTGGTCAGGTGGAGTGTGAGCGGTTTCCTATGTCGAAGCGCAGCTACCAGAGGCGCCATCCTCGCCCAAGCCTGTTCCATCTCATGCTGTCGATTAAGGACGTTCAACCTGAAGATTAGGGTGTGTAGGATGCTCAACTTTGACAGCCCACATTTCTCTGTACCGACCAGCTCTGTCGGTAATCCTTGGGACTCGGCTAGCTCGAACGACTCTTTCAGCAGCATAACGCAGTCAGCGGGGTTGCCAGCTCTCCACTCCAGCTCCGCCATCCAGAAGACTCTAATCGCGTCGGGTTCTACGTCCACGTGTCTCAAGGAAACCGCCTCACTCAGGCAGGATGCGCCCTCCTCACTCCTTTTTTGCTGCAGCAGGAGCTCTGCAAGGGCTAGTCTGATCTCTTGAGCGCCGGGGAGTAGCGCGGGCTGTGACAGCGTCTCGGCAAGACCCCGCTGCAGGGCTTCTTCGTCCCACTCCCTCACCCTGCTGGGAATGTACTTGGACAGGTCTAGCGCGCCGATGTCGAGGCAATTGCTGCTGGCGTAGAGCTTCGCCCCCAGAGCTCTGTACGACTCGAGGTAGCGCTCGAAGAAATCCGACCCTTGTCGGGACTCCAACACGTCGATGTGAGACGGCCACACGCCGTCTAGGGGGTGCGACGGGCCGTGGAGCTCGCGGTACAGAGCACTGAGGTACCGAATAAGCAGGCAACACACCTTGAAACAGATCTCGGAGCTCGGGTACTGTTTGAACGAGGAGAAGCGGGCTACGAGTCTGTGGTAGACGGCCGGGTCATCGAAGCTGACGAGCGCTCTCAAGTGGTCGAATGCCTCGCCGATGTCCGCGAAGGCCTTTTGTGGCTCGAGATCACGGGAGAGATTTTCTAGACCTCCGATGAACAAGGGAAAGAATTGATCATGTTCCCCGAGTTCTGCTCTGTTGGCCAACCAGGTTTTGTTCGGATCCATGGTAAAGTGCATGTAAACGTCGACGTCGTAGATGCTTTTCTCAAGTGTCTCGAGATTGCCGGGCGCCTTGAGCCGAGCCGGAACAACCGAGACTTGCTGCTGCCTCACAAGGGACCTGCCTCTAGGCCCTGGATGGTCTTGCTGGCCACGTGGATGTTTTCGGCCATGTCTTCCCAGGTGGCGCGCGATGCGGCGTTCATATTCGCGCCGCCTCGAGTCCGGCCAGAAGTCTTGGGCCTTCTTCGCCTGGCCAGATACTATTTCTCGGGCTTCATACGATCGGAGATTCTTCCGAAGGCCCCACTTCCTGAAACGCGACTTGTACATCTTCTGCCTGGTTGTCCATCATTTAGCACATTGACACATGTGACTGGTCTTCACTTGAGCAGGCTCCTTACGTTGCTTCGAGGCCGTGTTCGCGCCTCATAATCTCCTGTACCTGTTGGACCGGGAGGTTCTGCTCCCAGTACAGCCATGTAATCTTCTCACGGCACCATGTCCATTCATGATCTGTCGGGTCGTTCCGCCCGATGGATGGCTCGGACGAGCAGGAGCTCTCCCTCGCCGCCCATGACGGGCGTTCACGGTGCCGGGCGGCCATTGATTAATTGTGGAGTCCGGACGCCGCCGCGTGTGAGCGGGAGCGGCGGATACGCCGACTGCTTATCCCCGTGTAGGATTGGGGGCCGAGTGTTCTTCTGCTGTGCGTATCTCTTTTATAGCGGTAGATCTTGGCGTGGGTGTGAGCGCGGGGAATAGGAGATTTGAGTGCATCGCAGCTTCTCGGAGTGGGTGGTGCTGTCCCCTGATCTGTTCCTTCGCATCATTTGGGCTTCAGGTGCGAGAGTGGGATCGGAGCGGATTCAGTCCCCACTTTGATTGACTTGGCTCCTCCTTGCTGCATTGAGACGCCTGCCGGCCGTTGGTCCTGCAAGACCTGAAGCAGAAGCGCACATGTGGTACTCAGGGCACTGTGTACCGACCACAACGCGTGCTCGTTTGGGCTTGCCCACTGTCAATTGATTTAACGCGTTGTGCGCGTCGAGAGGATAGTGCTGTAGACTGACCCTCGTTGCGATGAGGTGAAAAACTGTCCACACGTTGTGAAGCCACTTGGCTTTGCTCAGCTGCGGTGAACTGACGCGATGCGTGCAGATAACAGCCAATGATAAGCGGGTCTGGGGTATACCCACGCTGAGGGAATCCTTGTGCCAGACGGCTGGGGACACATCGTAGATCATCCCACGAACGTGAACGCTCTCTGTGCCTGGCAGGTCTCTGATCTGAGCATGATCACTGTCAACGAAACTTAAAAGAAAAGCAAGCCTGTAATTCCTGGCTCAAATGCATAATCTCTGTTGGGCATGCTTCAGAGCGACAGTTTTGAACTCTGCATTCGAGGACATGCTTCCGTTCGAAAAAACCCGTGTCGGCTTACGGCAGGACCAGGCTGGCCGGCCACTGACAGCGGCGATCCTGAAGATTACTCACAGCGTCTGGCCAAGCGAGCTGCGAACGTGGCGGCTAACACCTCACTCCCACCACTCAGTGGGCAGCAATTCGAGACCTGAGCACACCGGTGATCCGCGGTACAAAATGCAGACTGCAGCAGTCACTGCTCAGCCACAGCTCGAGAAGAGGCTTGGCAAGGAGTGCGCAGGTCGCACACAGTTCCTAAGAGTCGCAGTGAGCTCGTAGAATGGACGAAAGATCTTGGAAGTAGCAAGTGTGTTGTCACCGCCGCACTGTTGAACCAAAGTTGCCCCTCATAAACTGCGGTCACATGCATTGATTACATCCGATCATAGCCTTGTGTAGTAGGCCTCTTTGCAATAGTGCGACTGCACATGCAGGCGGCACCGAGCAAAGCTGAGGTGCAGTTGGCCCACGACCGCCACTGACCAGCCGTATGCATAAGGGATGTCGCCTTGTGAATTGGAATAGCGATCATACCTGTCTTTCTACTGTAGCTGGTACTAATAGCTCATCCCTAGTTCGTGCTTCGCGAAAGCCCCCCTGGGGTGTGTATATACTCCGTGCATGACGGCACAGGCACCATCGAGTGGCAGATGAAGCATGATTCACGATGCCCGGGCCTAGACTTCAATTTTTCTTGGGTCAGCCATACACCTAGAAAGATCCATAACGTTTACGTCGAATTGTCAGCATGAGCTTCTATCCCGTGCGAGATGGTGCAATCAAGACCAGTGGCCATGTGGCCAACATCTTGATTGAGGCAATGTCGTCGCAAGTAAACGCGAACGCGATGAAAGCGACGGCTCCACGGCTCGGCGGCTGTCGGTGGGCGGGCGCCGGACCGGAGGCGAGCGTGTGGGCGAGAGGACCGGAATTGCGTGCCCGGGTTCGTCCCACCGCAAAAGAAAAGGAGTGTCATCGGATTGCAATTTTCAGCATCGTGGAGCCAGCCCAGCCCGCCGACGCGCAAGTGAAGCCATCACGCCATCGGTCTCATCGCCATCGGACCTGACGCGGTCCCCAGAAGCAACGGACGAGCGTGACAGCTGTATTATGGCTGCTGTTCCTACTGTGGGGGACTAATGGGGCTCTCGGGCTTCACGACCCTGGATGCGCTCCAGATACTAGGGCGCCCATCTTTTCTTGAATCCTCCCACGTGTGGTGACCGAACTATCAAAGATCGAGAAGCGGTCCTGAAGTCGGATGTGGGTCCCAGTGGTTCGGGCGACAATCGACAGGTGAGATAACAGCACGCCTGCGGAGTACACAACAGAGATCTCCTGCAGTGCTCAATAATGGGTGTGCCATTACACGCAGAAGAATATTGCCCGTTATGTAATGCAGCTCCAGATTTTGCTGAGAATTGTTTCCGAGTTACAAACCTCCAATTGCGCAGAGGAGGCCATCCCACTGCGAGACATGAGGGATCCTAGGATAGCCAGACCAGACCGGTGGAGCTGCAGATCAGTGTCCATGGCGGTCCGCTTCGGAACAGGCTGCCGGGCCAATCTCTACTTTTTTTTTGAGTGTCTATTGAGCCTGGTATTTCGTTGTTGGCATTGCGACTTGTCGCCAGACACAGTCAATTCAGCTTCCACTTATTGATGGCTTGTCGAACTCGAGGCCGACCACATGCCCGCATGTTCTTTGATATCTGAACCTAGATAAGATCGACGAGTGTGGCAGCCCACTCAGGGGCGGATATGCAGGCGTGACCGGAGGAGCGGCCCACGGCAGTTACTATTAGATAGAGCCCTGGGAGTGGATCATATCTGCCTGTCAAGCGGCGGATGTCGGGGCGGCTGATCGGGCGGCTCAACGGCTATCCAAGGCGTGATTTTGGAGACGAATTTGCAAGTGGAGCGGTCACGTCAGCCGTGCAAGTCCTGGCGACGTTTGACTCAGAATTGGACCGGCCGAGTTTGACTTTGACCAGAGATATGCTCAGAGACGGCGCATTTCGTCAAGGCTGAGGCAGCTGACGAGAGTGGCACGCAAGGCGATGGACAGTGTTTTCCGGGGAAAATGGACACGATGCCGTAATATCTCGGGGAAGTACTGTACCTAGGTAGGGCTGGATGCAGTTGTGAGGAGCACAGTCGGTGCTAAGTACAGTCGACTTGTGGGGAGAGCAAATAAGGTAAACAGGGGGCCCGATGATGTGCTCCGCGCCAGGCCTGTCCCGACGGGTTCGACGGCCGATCCTAGATTTGGCAGGATTTGCTTGGATAGGGAACAAACGAGGACCTGGCTGGCCACTGGCCTGACAGCCTGAAGGGGAAGGTTGTGTAGAAAGGAGCGCTGCGATGGTGCAATCCGCATTGGCAAGCAGCAAATGCCCAAGCCCCCCAGTAGAATGGACATGGCGTGGCACGGCGTGGCACGTTTGTTGTTCGTTCATTCAGGCCATTGCTGGGGACAAGTCATCGTCAAGAGGAGCCAGCTGTACACGGAGATGGTCAGACTCTTAGAGTACGAATTCAAGATGAGGATGAGGATGGTGATAAGCAGTCAGAGTTGAGTCTGGAAGGAGGAGCAGAGGCGGACACAGAGAGAGAGAGGAGTTGTGATGGAGAATTGCGCTATGTACACACTACCTTTCTGTTGGGTATAGGTTGGGTAGGGTGGCAGATTGCGTAAGGTAGACGGTACTAGGCCGCTCGTATGGCTTGGAGTCGCCCAAGGTTGGCCCATCACTGGTTTGGCCTCCTGCCCCTCTGTACCTAGTACCTGCCGCCATCTAATCTACAATACAACCTGCGACGGAATGGTACATGGACTCACTGCACACACACCCTTGCGAAGTCGCCATTTTGCCGCTTCATCGCACCTCCCAGCCCAGACCGTGTAGTCTAGTCTCTCGTCCTTCCCCAGATTCCACCACAGCGGCACGCAGTACTGCAGCATACACAACCAACATCATCCACTCTCCTCCTCCTCCTCTGCCTCCTTTGTCCCTGCTGTCCACCCTCCCTGCTACATGCTACCTCCTCCACCCTTCGCCGCGACATAGATCTCTCAGTACCGACCCGACCACCGACGCAGTCATCCACTCTTTGTCCTGGAACTCACCTCGCCATCCTCCACCACAATTCGCGAACGCACGACATCCATACCCTTCTGGTCCCACCGCCATCCCCTGCCCTGTCAAGACGCAACCCCAGGCGTCGGACGATCAGCGACGTTGGACAAAGTCTCGGCTACATAGCACGGGGACAAGGACAAGCGCGGAACAAGGACAAGGACGAGACGCCGCAGTACAGTACATTAAACTGGCTGAGGCACGACATTGACAAGCCGTCCTCCACCTGCAACTATAATACATACATAACAGTACGGCCGCCTCCTGATTGCGGAATCTACACTCTGCCATTGCGTGCCCGAAGCTCAGACACAGCACAGTCCATCCCTCCTCTTGCGCTGCCCTCGCCCTCACCACCCTGACTGCCTAGTCAAACCATAATACTGCCTGCCTCCTACCCTCCCCGAAGAAAACCACCGGCAGAGAAGAAGACAGTCCCGAGACAGGATTCCAGTTTCATTTCTTTTCTGACCAGCCAAGTCCCCGCGCGCGAAGCCCAGCGGCCACCAGTCACCCCGCCTACCCAGCACGCCATCTCCAGCTGTACCGATCTCACCGTCTACTTCGCTGTCCAGACCCTGCTGCAGGCCTCTCCAATGGAAGCATAATTCAACAACTGGCGCAATCTTCTCTCAAGGGCATTGGACAGGAATCAACCCGCGGCCCCTGTCCTGCACAACCGTTCCCCAACTTTGGGTCTCGCACACATATACCATGGAGCCTCCATCCACTTCTCTGACGGCTCTTCCACGTCGGGCCTCGCAAAACAATGACGCCTCCTTGCGCCCTGATGGCGCTACCAATTCTATCCACAGCCGTCCTGACACTCGCCCACGTTTCCCCACGAGTCCACCGCACACCGAGGACGGTGAGGTAGACTCTGCTCAGGAGGTCAACGTTACAAAATTCAACAAGCTGCTCAACTGCGATAGGAGACGCCCGGAGGAGGAGCAGGAGGACAAGTCCCGCCTCGTCAACATGTCGTCCACTCTAGTTGGCCAGACGGTCACGCCCTTCCTTAAGGAACATGTCCCGAGCTTGTACGCTCCTGTCTCCAAGATCGAATCGGCATACCCAAACGAGCCATCGAGGCAGAAGGAGTACAACAGCAAGTTCTGCTACCGGCACCGACCGGACTCGAAATGTCGGAAAGCTGCCGACGAGAACAAGATGGCCATGATCCAGAGTGTATGTTGTCCCCTCGAAGGAGACACAGGGAGAGGGAAAAGCCCTGGCGTTTACTGACATTGGAACAGGAACTTGAAAAGCTCCCCCAAGCTGACCAACAGGCCATCACGCACGTCTGGAGTCTCTTTTCTGCTGCACCCTCCAAGCACAGAGAGTTAATGATTCAGGGTATCCTCTCATCGTCCTGCTTTCCTCAACTCAGTCTCGTCTCTCGCGAGGTACAATCTCAACTGAAAATCGACTTCATTTCCGCACTGCCCAACGAGATCTCCATCAAGATCCTCTCTTCACTTGATACGGTCTCGCTCTGCAAGGCAGCACAAGTATCTCGCCACTGGCGAGTTCTGGCGGATGATGACGCCGTCTGGCACCGGATGTGCGAGCAGCACATCGACAGAAAATGCACAAAGTGTGGATGGGGCCTTCCGTTACTGGAGCGTAACAGGCTACGTAACTGGACTCGGCAACGGCGGCTCGCAGCAAGCCAGAAGCAAGAGCCATCCGAACGGGTTATGCCTCTGTCACCACCCACACTTCCCCTACCAAACACGCCCAAGACACCCGCGTCTCCAAAGAGAACTGCAAGCCCTTCCGAAGAAACCGGCCCCTCGAAGCGTCAGTGTGTATCTCGAGTTGGCTCCACCGAAGACGCCGTCGAGCACAGGCGCCCGTGGAAGGATGTTTACCGGGACCGTTGGCAGATCGGCGTGAACTGGAAGCTGATGCGGTACACTCAGAAGACCTTCAAGGGTCATACAAATGGTGTCACATGTTTGCAGATTTGGGATGACACCACGCTTGCTACGGGCTCTTACGACAACACAATCAAGATCTGGAACTTAGAAAGCGGCGAGGAAGTGCGGACCCTGAAAGGGCACACTCGAGGAATCCGTTCTCTCCAGATGGATGATACCAAACTTTTGAGTGCCAGCCTGGACGGTACTGTCAAGGTCTGGAACTGGCGCACCGGGCAGTGTATGCGGACACTTTCTTCCAATTCGGATGGCGTCATCTCTGTGCATTTCCAGGATGAGTTGGTTGCCACGGGAAGCATTGACCACACTATTCGGGTGTACAATTTCTCGAACAAGGAGGCATTCTGCCTAAAACACCATGTGGACTGGGTCAACAATGTCAAGGTTGACACGAACAGCCGCACCCTATTGTCCGGGTCTGATGATTGCACTGTCGTTCTCTGGGATCTCGATACTCGCAAGATCATCCGAGAATTCATTGGCCACGTCGGTCACGTGCAGCAGGTACTGGGATTGCCAGCTGATTTCGAACCCGACGAGGATCCTGCCACCGCTGGCCAAGATCCCACCGAGACCATGTCTGTATCCAGTGGGCATAGCTCGACGTCGGCGCCGGGGCAATCCGACTCCAACCCCAGCGATCCTGAACTCGAACTCCGGGCTTCTTACGGGCCAGGCTTCATCGATCAGCCTGATCGCCCATTGCCCGCCCGATACATCCTGTCCGGAGGCCTCGACGCTTCTCTGAAGTTATGGGACAGCTCGACTGGCCGCGTGATCCGTAACCAATGGGGCCATCTTGAGGGCATCTGGTCTGTTGAGTGCGACAGTCTCCGTATGGTGACTGGAGCCAACGACAGCTTGGTCAAGACATGGGATCCACGATCCGGCAGATGCACCGGTACATTCGCTGGACACACCGGACCTGTGACATCGGTCGCTGTGTCAGACGCTCTAATGGCGTCGGGGAGTGAAGATGGAGAGGTGAAGTTATATAACTTCAAGTTGAGTGATGGGTGCCGACGATCCACCAGCCCCGTTGAGCAGTCGTCGCAGTGACATTGAATATCTGGGTCTATTTAGTTTGGGATCGCTTTTGGCGCACTTATACCACTTTGATTTGTTTGGGGAGCTCGGGAACAGGTAGCATAAAGGCAATGGCGTAAGGGATTTCACAATGATTATAAAGTTCCGGCCATCAAATGGAGGTTCAGAAAAGGGTGTTTCGGAAAACAGGCCGGCACACTAAAACAGTATGAGGTCAAGCATTTTCATGGCGTTCAAATATTTCCGGATTTACCAAAGGGAACCCCAGGCGTTGCCTGCCCGAGTCGATAGCTTGTTTGAATTCAAAAACCTAAACATGACAACGTGCTCTCAAACTCTGCCGCGGAAATTTGGGTTACTATTGGCGAGGTCTGATCATGCATGTACAGCGCGAGTGCTCAACTGTTGGGTTGGGGATGAGTCTTACAAGTAAGCGCACGTACCGGACTTAAGTTCCGCATGGTAAAAGCTGTTCTCCAAGGCTCAGACCAGCATTGAGGTAACTCGAGGGAGCGAGTCGATAACAGTATTTGAGACAAGATGTGTAGTATATGCAAAGTAAGCTCTAAATTTGAACCCCAACGCCTGGAGAATGATCTGTTTCCGGTGGCTCTTTTGTGGCCGGTGCTGGCAGGCGATTCGAGTGCCTGGCTATGCTGTGCGTAAAATGCTTTTCCCGCCTGCGACTGGACATGCTTACAAAAGAAAATCATGCTATGTAGAACGAAGGTCAAAAATGCTGCTTGCAGCACAAGGGCTCATGTGTCGCCACAACGCTGATCACCAGATTGCTAAGAGCAAGCGAATGCCAGCGCTGCGCAGCCTCAGCTCGAGACGCAGAAATCACGAAGCCAGGAGAAAAACTAACCCTCCACCTCTGCCTCCCCCTCGCCCACATCACCGTCCTCCCGGCCATCCTCGGCAACGCCGCCCAGGCGTGTGCCGCGGCCGAGGGGCTTGCGCCTCCCGTCGCTGTCGCCGCGGCGCACGAGGCCGACGTTGGCGGCCAGGGTCTCGAACCAGAGGTGCAGGATGACGAACGTCAGCGGCACGATGAGGGTGGCGATGATCCACCACCAGTAGGTGATTGCGAAGAGCAGGCCGTCCGGGCTGAAGAAGACGGTGCTGAGGAAGGACATGGCCAGCGTGGAGACCGAGGCGCTGTTGCGCTGGATGTGCACCGCCACCTCGATCGTGAAGTTGCTCAGGCGCCTGTTCAGCTGCGGCAGGGAGCCGCGGCGCCGGAGGGGGATTGTCTTGCTTAGGCGGTAGGTCTGTTTTGTTGTTGTTAGCGTTGGGCTGTTTGTGTATGTCCCGCTTTGTTCCAAGCGTTGGAGAAGAAGAAGGGTCGGCCCGGGGGGGGGGGGGGGGCTCTCGAGGTGCAGTCTTACCGAGTTCTTGATGCGATCCGTCGTTCGATCGAGATACATGTTCACACAGCGGGCCCAAAAGTCGCAGGTCGAGAGCTGCAGCTGCAGGATCTCCGTCGCAGGGGGCCCGAAGACATCGCTGGACTTTTGGCGCGTGTGTCTGTGGAAGTTGACCTGGAGATGGGACGAGGCTGCCCGCTCCTGCTTCAAAGCTGACCTGGAGTCGGCCACAGAACGCAGATGGTGGATATGCGCCTGCATGTCTTGTATATCTCGGAGGATAACACGCCACTGTGTGACCAACTCCTCCAGCTTTATGGATAGGTCGGTGCTGTTGGAGTCGTCATCGTTCTGGCGCAGGCTGTTAGCAATTGCAATACTACCCTTTGTAGGGATGTGTTGTGCGGATCAGAAGGAGGCCGGAGACTGAGGCACATTTGTGGGACTGGGAGACTGACAAGTGCCAGGAGCTGAGCCCGGTGTCTTTTGATTGCGTCGCGATAGAAAGCTATGACTTCGTCGATTATGAGTGTGTCTAGAAAAAGCGGGTTCTTCGCCAAAGCTGTGAGACTGTGGATTGTGTCCGATATGCGTTTCTGCAGTGCTTTGGGGAAGTTGATACAGAAATACGTCGTCGCGTCCTGATCTGCCAGAGCCTGTGTGGTGGAACGGATATACCGTGCCTCCCAGACCCAACTTTGTTTGAAGTGAGCTGCCAGAGGTCAGCGGCAGAATAACGAGCTGGGACAGGTCACTGACCTTCTTGCTCATGGTCCGTCGTTTCGTCCTCTTCGTCTATCCTGTCAAGTTCACTTCTTGTCCTTCTTCCACGGGTCGTTATGGCCGACTGGCGGGGCGAACTCGACGGCGAGACCCATTCATCATCATCGCTATCATCGAAGTCGTTCCCGGACTGTAGAGCGAACCCAGCCTTCTCACACAAGAGCTCCGCGAATCCAACCTCGGGCAATTTCTGGGAAAACGGCGTCCTCTCATTACCGCCGTCGCCGGAATATGGAAGAAAGCTGAGACCGAGTTAGGATGCAGTGTCCGAACGACATGAGTGTACCCGGAGAAAGTGACAGATGTGCCTGCTCACAATAATCTGAGGGATGTAGGTCTCTTGGACACAGGTTCGTCCCAGAATGGGTCGTCGTCTTCCTCATTGCGGCGGTCCAGGTAGTGCCTGAGTTCCTGTGGGCTCCGGCATCGACATGAATCTGGCTGCCCCGTCAGACCATCGCCCAGAGCACGTGCACAGGGGTATCAGGAGGATTCACCAACGGGTTTCCGGCCCCCAACTTCAAGAACAGTCACTTCGGGGTCGTGGTCGGGCCAGCCGAGGTCGTTAGGGTCTTGATTCATAGAACATTGTCGTTGGAATAGCGATTCGATCAAGTCACCCATTCTTCTTCATGTGGCGGCCCGTGTGCGTGTTTGATGGTGGACATCTAGCTTGGTCGAAACGGGTGCCAATAGGTAAACGGCAGTGAGTGAAGTGCGATGGACGTTGGCCATGGAGCATGAAGTCGGTGAGGGAAGTGGAGACGTAATGAACGTCTCGAGCCAAACACGAAGCTTTCCGGAGTGGGCTCGTGCCTGGGGGTCTGAGACCCCTGCAGGGCCAATGACGATCATCAATAGTAACATCGAGTAATCTGCGAGGCCAAAGACATCGAGAATGGCGCAGGTCGACAATCCAGATCTCCATAAAGCTGTGGCGAGGAGCTTGTGCTGATGGACACAGAGTCAGTGAAGAGACCTCACGGGCCGCAAGCAGTCCGCCACAGAGCACGCCACACCCACAGGCTGACGGCTCCGGAGTCTTGGCAAATGCAACTGTCGATTACTTTACCAGCCAGCATGCATCTCCATCAGAATGCTACCCACATATAGGATATAAAATTCGACGTCCCACTCGTAGACATGCTGCTCCTCTGGGGTGGCGGCGGCCTCAGGGCGAAATTCTACGGTTGCGGAAGCCAACTTGCAATGACATTGAAATGAAGGCAACGAGACACACGTAGGCATCAAAGAAATTGCATGGCTTTCTTAAGCCTTCCCAAATTCTGTAACAGACCCCGAATTAGATGTTCGCTAACACAGATTACCTGCAGCCCTTCGAGTTCTATGAACCTAGGACAAGATACTTTCAATCAGGTCTCCGGGCTCATCCCAGAAGTCCACAACAACAATCCCCATTCTTTCCCCCTTCAAACTCTGGATTACCGGGAGAATTTGCTGGTTGACTCCACCCAGAGGTGTGGATGAATTGCCAGTCCCAAGAGCCATTATCTGAGGCGTCACTGCCACTGGAAGTGCAGTATTGTGCTCTGCTGATGCGAACGTGATAAACAAGCTTCGATCATAGTCGGAAGAGCCCGAGGTCGCCTTCACCAGATGCGAAGCCGTGGCATTCACCTTGGCAGCTATGTTGGCCGCTGCCGTGGAACTGTCGCCCAAATCGTCCGGCTCGTAATAGTCCTCGATGTAAGCGGTCAAGTTCATCACGGTGTTGTATGTGAGGGATATGTCTCTGCTGTCATCCGTCCACAAGCTCGGAGACAAATGCAGGCCAGGCAACGCAGCTTCGTACTCCTCTGGAAGTTCGTCCAGGTCGAAGCGCTTGAAGAGCACAGCCTTGCCACGTGCTTCGCCAAGCGTGGGCAGATAATCGTGCGTTTGATCGATATACTCGGCCGCAGTGGTCGAGTTGAGGATGTCAAATATCAACTGCTGCACCGTCGCATCGAAAGTTGCATTGGCGGTTGTGGAGGTTTCGTATTGGAACGAAAGAATCACCGTCTCTGAGGGATGCAAGTCCAGCCAGTAGTAGAAAGCAGTGACCACGTCCTCTACCGTCGCGCGTTCGGACATGAGGGCTTGCGAGTGCCAGAAGACGAGCTTGGTGCCGGCAGGGTCCAAGGCAAAGCGCAGGTCAAAGAAACGTACACCGGCGCTCAGGGAATCCATGATACTGGCGCTCTGGCAGCGGAAGACCTCGGGTGGGTACATGGGCTCTCCATCGCCTGCCGTGATATTGGCCAGGGCATCTTGGGTAGCTTGTGTGTAGTTCCAAGTTGCCGAATCGTGCGTTCCTGGGATGTTGATTTGCGTCAGGAGCGTCTCGTCCGGGTATGTTGACATCCAGGCTGAAAGCGTGCCATTGTCACGAACAAAGGGGCCAAATATCTCCGTCGCATTGCTTGGGAATTCAATGCCGCTGGCGAAGCCAATGCTGCTGATCCAGCTGGCAGCGACCACGAGATGAGCTCTCATGCTGCACAAGGAGACTCTTGCTGGCATTCACTGGCGGTCGAGAAAAAGTGAACCTGGCTGTCGTTAACGTCTGTGGTATGGATTGTCACTTTATACGGCTCTGTTGAGGAGCTGGGGATGAACGCGTACTTCACTGGGCCCCCTACCCCTGAAAGCTCAAGAGAACCAATGAATTTGGCGGCTGCACGCACGCATGTGCCCCTCAGGTGAGATCCGTCAGGAACTGGCGACTACAGCAACTGGGGCCGGCACAGAGAGGCTCTGGGAATTGGAACATCAGTTACTAGTCTACCTAGGTGTATGAGACGCCTTCGAACAGCCTGACCGAGCCGGCAACGCCGTCAAGATGTTCGCCTGGAAAAAGTTGACGATCATGGTTCAAACACGGTCGGGTATAAAGAGCGCCTCGGTTGGAAATCGGCCGAATGAGGGCCCGAGCACGCGCAGAAGCAGTCCCACTTCCCCACCGCAAGGTGCAGTCCACTGTAACAAGACGTCACGATGTATGAGAAATCAAAGCTCTAAGGATTAGATTTCAGACTCATCTTTGGAGACCCTCCCTTCACTGTCCGGTTAGCACAGAAATCCTCCAACCTTGTCAATACATACACACCTCTCAATATGTCTATGACCATCGACGAAGTGGCGGCTGCGCCCCGCGAGCATAAGCCGGTCCCCGACACCCCATCTAATGTCTTCGAACAACTCAGCATGAAAGGACGCGTGGTAGCCATCAATGGCGCCTCAGATGGGATCGGATATGCAGCAACAGAGGCCATGGCAGAGGCAGGGGCTCACGTTGCCTTGTTATATAACAGCAATGATGCTGCCATAACCAAGGGAGAAGCCCTTGCTAAGACGCACGGTATTAAAGCCAAGGCCTACAAGGTCGACGTGTCAGACCCAGAAGCAGTCAAGAAAACTATAGATGCTATCGTGGAAGACTTTGGAAAGTTGGACGTCTTCGTGGCAAATGCGGGGATGGCCATCTCCAAGCCCATCACCGAGCAGACGATCGAGGAGTATAAGAAGCAGTACTCAGTCAACGTCGACGGTGTCTTCTACTGCGCCAAATTCGCCGGCGAGGTGTTTAAGAGGCAAGGCTTTGGCAACCTGATCATCACTTCGAGCATCTCTGCGCGAATAGTCAACGTGCCGGTTGACCAACCAGTCTACAACTCCACGAAGGCGGCCGTGACGCAGCTTGGGAAGAGCCTGGCTAGGGAATGGCGCGAGTTCGCGAGGGTGAACATTGTCTCGCCGGGATTCTTCGACACGAAAATGGGTGCCTCGCCGAAAGTCATCAATGAAGGTATTCGCATGACGCCTCTGGGCCGTCAGGGACACGTGAAGGAGATCAAGGCCCTGTACTTGTATCTCGCGAGTGATGCATCAAGTTACATGACGGGAAGTGACCTAGTCATTGATGGAGGATATACTCTACCTTAGTCTGCATCGACTCGATCCATGGGAAGTAAGACTTAATGCTAGTCATTTTATTTCCCTTTTTCTTCCTCGATTCAGTCCTAGCACCATGAATCCTTGGGCTTCGTGCACATTCAAAGTCCAAGACTTCCCTGTTGCTTCAAGAAGCAACTTGGTTCACTGCTCAAGATCCGACATTAAACCAAATTCCAGGCTCATGTTGGATTGCTCAACAGCCTCTCTTGCTCGACTCCTCAACTCGGTGCAGAGACGATACATCTGTTCTGCCTCCTCAGACTGCGCGCACTGCCTCTTATTCCCAGCCAAAATTTCAAGCAGCCGAATGAATGGCTCCACGATATTAAGGTCGGAAGATGCCTGTGGGGACCCAGGGTGACGGAGCAGATTGTTGAGAAGACCTTCAACAGCCGCAAAGAAAGAGTGAAGCAGAATCCTGCATGTTCTAACTTTAGTCATATACTTGGCGCCAAATGAGTCAATGTTTCTTACCAGACACAGGCGTAATCACCCGGTGGCGTGATCTGGATCAAGCGGATTGACTTCCGCGATTCAACTATGCAGAGGCTTTCTGCGAACATGAATGATTCTGTCAATTCAGGGCGTGGGTTTGGCGATGTGGAATCAAGTGGCGGTAAATGTCGATCGATCATGACAAGACAATTGATATAAGTGAAACGTAAAATAAGCATATGAATGAACCCGATCGAAAGAGGAGTCTGGAGCGGCGCCACAAGGTTGTCTTCAAAGTCAACTGGCACACTGCTTCTCCAGTAAGCCAGCACAGAATTCAACTCATAAGCTACCGCCGCTTTCTGCGCCTCGGATTGTCTTGATGCTTGAACGGAGTACAATCTTTTGTAGATTTGTCCCTGTATTACCGCGAGTCCGATTCGGGAGTTGAAGAAGTTGAATTTCCGGAATTCGTCTCCGAGACCGATGAGTGTTAGGTCAGTAAGAGTTTCTGTAGGTAATTCGATGTCCATATCGTCATCATCTTGAGCAAAGGGCTGACCCATACGGAGACTGATATCTTTGTCGAGGAAGTAAGCGATCCAAAACACCCGTTTTCGCTGCTCAATCTGTCTCACAGAGAAAATCCGATCTTGTGTCTTCCTATGCAAGCCCATCGCTTGAGCGAGTCTCAATGCAGCCGAATTGAGTACTGAGGACGCCTGTGGGTTGGGTGTTCCTTGGAGAATAATGGCCATGCCCACAAGTGCTTGAATTGCGGGCAGGCTGTGGCGTAATACACTAAGCTCCGAGACCACTGCAAGCGCGTTATGGATATACCCACAAGACTGAGTATTTTCATATGCTGTTTGCAGGGCTTGCATCGCGCGGAATCGATATGCCAGCGAGAGGACGACGTTGATGCAGGCCCACCAGGCCGGGTTGCTAGGGCTTGTTTGTGAGTACTGGTGCTGAAATTGTTGAAGAAAGTCCTCCTCATCGAACAGCGGAAAATAGCAGTTGAAGTTCCTGAAGGTTTCCTTCACCAATTCGAGAGCAACTGGTTCGGCAGGAAGCTCGTGAAATGATGGCAAGGAGAATGGCCCAAGCTCCAGACTCCCTTTCCAGGTGAGCGAAGGCTGCGCAGGAAGGCCAGGTGGTTCGTGAACCAGCGTGGTCTCGCCCAATACCTGGTCGTGACTGGGAGACTGAGGCAAGCCCAAGTCACTGTCAACAAAATTATTTCCCACGAAAGTACCCTGTTGGCCTTGCGGACTAAACGTCACCCCCCTTGTGCTTGAACGATGAAGGTTCGATTGAGTTTCCTCATTGGTGTCCAGATCCAAAATACGGAATGGCGTGTGAGCCTTATCTGCTGGGCCGACTTCTGGAAGGCCATTCTTTTCGAGTGTATGTTGCAGGAGATCTTCCAGATGTTTGAGCCTTTCTTCGAGCTTATTGATATGTTTGTAGCTATAGCCATGTCAATGGAGAATTGGAATGCAATTAGACCAAGCAGACTCACCCAGATGGCCTTCGGGTTGTCTTCCTCTTCGAGATAGGGGTAAAGTGGCAGTTTGCCCTAGATTTGCTGCACTGTGCGCAGCCGCTCGGGGTTGGTTCACATCTAATCTTTTTCTTGCGGCACATGTCGCAGGCCTGGTAGGTAAGCATTATTCAGACTAATTAAACCCAAGACCGATACATCCGCATGACTGACCTTTACGATAGCCTTTTCCGCGTTCGGCTCTGATGTAGCTCTGATTGTGCCGTCCTCCATCTTTAAAGGAGACGTAAAGAAGGGAACTGATGCTCAGTAATGGCTTGTGGATTGATTTCGGATTTTCAGTTGGACCCAAACTTGTGTTAGCTACCGATTTTGACGTTCTCAAGACTAGGAAGAGTCAACAAGTTCGACGGGTGAAGCTTCAGTAGAGCTGCTTGACAAAGGAGCACAAGATATCGTATTACAAATCAGAGTGGTGGTTCCGCACTAAAACGGAACTAGGTTATGCGGTGAGACGGGTCGACGGTGGCCAAATGAAGTGTATTCTGGCATTCAGCCACTGACTGCAGAGCTTTCTGTTGCTATTGTCCAGGGAGACTCAAAAACCTAGAACTTCTTATATCCAACACCTTTGACAAATGTCTGATGCCATGGGCCCTGTGAGGTCCCATCAGCGAGCTCAGTGTAGAATACACCGTGTGCAGGTCCGTCGATAGCCCTATACACGGCCGAGCCATCCGCATTCCTTTCATCCGCATAGTAGAATCTGAACTGCATTAGCAGAAGAAAGTAAATCACTCAATTGTATTGACGTACTTGAACCCTTTATCCTTATAACCTTCTGCCGCGCAATGGATTATATGGGCGGTGGCTGACTTGCCAGCGCCCTGGCCCATCAGCGCTACAATGGGAGCGACATTAGTGCAATTCCCGGTGAAGATGAAAGTCCTCGATGCAGACTTCGGAAGCTGCTCGAAAGCGAGCACAGCTTGCTGAGCCGCTACGAAGGCGCTGGTCGTGTTGACGGCGAAGTCACGGTTGAAGTCCTTTAAAGCAAGACCCAGTGGATTCTTTGCATCATAAGGGGTTGCAGCACCAGCTTTTCAAACCAGGTCAGTCTTTATGTCTCCACGATGTCATGATAGGGGCCCTTACCGTTATAAACTACCACCGATGGGGGTCCAAGCTGTGTCTTCACCTTCGCGAAGATCTCAGCTACGGAAAGCGGATCTGTGAAGTCGCCCCGGACGTGCACCTGCGAAGGGGTGCTTTCTTCTTCTTTCAGGCTTCTGGATGCGAATGCGACCCTATAGCCTTTGGCAGCAAATGCTCGGCCAACATTCTGTCCGACGTTGGCGCCAGCTCCGAGAATGAGGGCAACAGGTGAACCAGATGGCATTTTGAAGGACGTTTGGACTTGAAATGGATGAATAAAGTGATAGATGAATGGTGAGTTCAAGACTGTGGTGCTTTCCTGGTCTCAGTTATGGAGGATTGGTGTTCAATGTTATCCATTTCTGAGGAAGAAGAGCAGCCACAGGCTGTCTATATATGTATTCAGTCGTCGTTAGGACAAGAGAGTTTTGGCCTTGATGATGAAGCCATAGTGGACGCCCTTCACCAACCTTGGAGGCTGACAAAACTGGTGTCTTGTACGTTGATCAGTGCCGGCGCGGACGTTTCGAGTGCTCCGGAGGTTAGTGCCGGACCTAAAACGCGTGCTAGGTAAGCAGCATAGAGCGACGCGGTTGGTGAGGTCGATTTAAGAATGCCAATCTGCGATGCTCGCTTGGTAATTCAATGATATCTGTAAAATTGCCCACTGTAAATGTTCAGAGGATTTAAGGCGTTATTGACCATGTCTCAGCAAGATGAGCTCTTGCTTACTGGGCGGCTGCGTCAACAGTACCATTGACGGTCTCAAAAAGGGTCCTTGTGAGGTTGAAGGCATAATTGTAGCTTCATTTCCAACCACTAATGGATTTTTGCATAGAAGCATAATATCTCGTCACCACTAGGCTGCATGAGTGATTGGCATAGATCCTCTCTCTCAAGCCTCACGAGTAACACGACGCATCGTATCAGGATTGAAGGTATGGTGTATGAACTCAATAGATGAGATAGTAAAGTAGCGCTGCGTTGCCCCGCTTACTACCTCTTCAAGTTAGCGCTGCAGTAGTCCAAGATGCGAGACCAATGACTGGCCATGTATGGCAGCCAAATCTAAGGCCCCGAGAGCACCTGCAAACACTGCTGCCTCCGTCCACCGTCATCATTCATTGCCCTTCAACATGGACACGATGGGCCAATGGCGGAACCACGTACACGCTCAGCCTTGTACGGGGATCTGAACACTTCTTCTGCTCAAATCCGCCTCATCAAGTTGAGCCGAGATGACACCATCAGGAGCGGACACGTGAGCGGGGACCTCACGGCCTACTCGCTTACTGACCCAAGCTGTCCGCCATTCACGACAGTTTCCTACACCTGGGGCGTCGTCAAGGACCATCACGAAGAATTCATTCGGCTGAATGGCCATAATAAATTCGTATTGCGAAATGTACTAGCGCTTCTTCGCATGCTTTGTTCTACCTCATCCGAGTCCTTCGACCTTGCGGAAGACTGGTTCTGGATAGACTCTATATGCATCGACCAGGACAACATCAGTGAGCGCACGTCACAAGTCAAGCTCATGGGCCAGATATATCGCCAGGCCAAAGGCACCATTGTCTGGCTTGCCGATGGATCCGATGACACAACTACAGCCATTAATCTGCTGTCACATCTCGCCGAGCGAAGACACGAGTTTCGCCGAGATTATAAAAAGCGTGCCCGGAAATCCATGCCTGCGGACTTGATAGACCATCCTGGTTGGAAGCCATTGGAAAGCCTTCTGGATCTTCCCTGGTGGCGAAGAGTCTGGACGCTGCAGGAATTCATATTAGCCAAAGACTTGACCTTCTACTGCGGTGCCCAATCTATATCTCGCCATGAATTTCGGAGGGGATTACACGCACTTGAATTATGCGGACCTTTGGAGCAGTACATCAAGACCACTGTATGGACCACAGCTTGGAATCGCAGGAGGCTCCTTCAGTGGTACGAACATGATCAGAATCGCTATAAAATGAGCCTAGTATCCTTGATGGCGTTCTGCGGAGACTATGAAACGACCGACTCGAGGGACAGAATCTGGGCGGTGCATGGCCTCGCTCGTGAGGAAGACCAGCAGATGATTGGCCGTCCGACGTATTGCTACGATGCAAGGACTCTCTACACCGGCCTCGTTCAAGCTTTCCTGGCCCATTACAGAAGTCTGGACATTATATGTTTTGCGCAACTCTTCCAAAGCCACGATACGGACTGGCCAACCTGGCTGCCTGACTGGCGCGTCCATTGCCCGCCATATGTGGTCCCTCTTATGGTCAGCCAGAGCGCCAATGAGCCCTTGGCCAACTTCAGACCTGTCACCGGGCCACCAAGATCAGCAAAGAAAGTGAAAAGGATATCAGCTTACAAAGCTTCTGGTGCTGAACTGCCCGTGGCGAATTCAAGCGACATGTTCAATCATCTGAAATGTCGAGGCGTCATGATCGACTCTATCGATGGGCTCGGGGGCATACCATCGTCGGACGGTCGCTTCGTACCAAGCACTGCATCCACGTCCCCAGTCAACACTACATTCACGAACGAATCAAGTAATGGGAACACATATAGAGGGCTTATCCGTTCCATAGTACTCGACCGACAAGATAAATACCTTGAATTCCGTGCGCCGATTCCACAGTACGGAAGAGAGTTGAGGCAGCTCGTGATGACCGCAAATGAAGGCAGTGAGCCTGGAGCAGCAGGACCACCCTGGTTCCTGGAATGGTGGGAGCTGAACAAAGACCTCCGTATACATGGACTGTCTGTGAAGGATATTTGTCAATTGCAAAACACCGCTTCTAAATCAACTATCACTGGAGAGCCCATTTTGAAACATTCAAAAAGCGCCTTTTCTCGGATACGAGGCGTCATGGGCGGAAAGATTCGTCGCCTCATGGTCACAACTGATGGCTCCATTGGAGTAGCCCCCAGAAGAGCACAAAAAGGAGACATTGTTTGTGTGCTCTACGGATGCAGTGTCCCTGTAGTCCTACGAAAGTGTGGTACTGAATTTGAATCTGTAACTTTGTTCGAATTTATTGGCGAGTGCTACTTAGATGGTTTGATGGACGGAGAAGTCCTGAATTTAAACAAGGAAGCGAAAGATTTCATCATCCGATGAAAATTGGCACATGAGATCTTATCTGTCTGGATCTCTTCACGATCTCTGCTAGACCTTCAGCCTTGGGATTTTGAAGGGGGAAAAAAACAATCGAACAGCTGGGCTTTATCTTCGCACCAACTTACAGCTCATTCACGCCCTTCTCATTCACGTGAATCCCATTCACGCCATTTGCATTCTTTGCAAAGGTATCCCGGAGGACAGAGATCGAAGGCGAGAAGAAATACTCGCCACCCTTCGGAACTACCCAAACCTGGAAGCCTAGGTCCAGGGTCGCCGCAACGTTTTGCGGGTTTGACCCAGTCATTGACCTTTGGCCTTCGTTGTGGACCGTGTTATCGACCTGTCCAATGAGAGGGTCGAAGCCGGGGAGTTGGTTCGGGGGTGCATCCGGTGGGAAGTTGGTCGCATTGGCCCAGCCTGTGTTGTCCAGGAAGTCAGCATACTTGGTACTCGCTGCCCGACTATGAGAAGCAGGCTCCACTTACGCTTCTGCAGAAACTGGAATCCATTTTCGAGGCTGCTCTGGTAGCTGACAAACAACAATCCCCTGTCCTTCTCTGTCTTGTGTTGCTTCCTCTCTCTGTCATTGACCTCAGGCCCATACTGGATACCCCGGCGGATGACACGATGCGGGTTGATCCCATTGACCTGGTCGATGTCACCACGCGGGTTCATCTTTCGGACGTGGGCTGCGAAGGGGCATTTCTCCTGGTTACCATTGTCGAATGTGAACACATTATTCCTGGTCGGGTCTGCCGCTAGCTTCGGGTCGTCATGAAGAGGTGTGACCTGAGTGGGCGCGCCAGACTTCCAGCGGCCGGTGAGGCGAGCACCGAGAAGCTCAGCAGTGTTCACGGCAGGATCGTTGACCCGAGGCGCGTTGAGTTCCAGGAACCTGTCAAACTCAGGCACAAGCTGCTGCAGGAAGCGGAAGGCTAGAAAGCTCCCGTCTTTGGTCCAGCCTTGTCGGTCCGTGACAGGATCGCCATCGCGGCCGAGCAGGATGACACCAGGTTGAACCGGTCCCTGGCCCGATAGGTCCTTGTTGACACCAGCCACAGCCGGGTTGGAGATACCGTCCAAGAACCCGAAGCTATTCAACGAATCAGTACATGTTTATCTTCGATATCTGCACCCTCGTCACGGAGTAGCAACATTATTATACGTACTGTTCATGACCGTCTTCTTTACCGGGGCGGACGTGCCCGGGGATATTGATCACTTTGTTGACTGTATTCTTCAAGGCACCGAGGACCTCATCTAGCTTCTTGTTTACGCTTCGCTCGCAATCTCCCGCAACGACGATGACGCCGTCGATGGACCCCTTTTTAAATTCAGGAACCCACTTAGGATCGAAAGGCTTTCCATCGGCTGATGTCCCAGCGTCACCGAGTTCTTTCGCATCTGGCAACATGCCGGAAGTGAAGCCGGTGTCCTTGGCTCCTGCTGCATCGATTCCGATCTGTTCATAGGGCCGTTAGCTGTCGGCCCACCACCTAGAGCGAAAAAGGATGGTAAGAGGTTTAAGCCTGAGGAAAGCAGAGCATCGCACCTTGTTGAGACCTTTTGAGGAGAAAGCAATATTTGCGAAAGCGAGAGACAAAAGGCCTGAGTGACTCTTCTTGTGCGCCACAATCTGTTCCCGACCAGACGAGACACTCTTGTCGGAGGCGATTAAAGGCACGACGTTGGCCAGCTGAGCACGGAACGCATCAACATGGTTTTTGTCAATCTCGAAGAAGTAGAAAGTCTCGGCTTTCTTGGGAAGTCCAGATCTGGAAAACCATTGTCAGCTCTCCACCGAGGTGGCTCGAATCTCAAGAAGCGTTCAATGAACGAGACTCACAGGATGTCCCCTTGGATGTTGTTGAGATCGATGTTTGAAGTCATGTTGTTTGATTTTCCCTTCTAGAAGATACTAGCATTAAGTTACAAATTTTAAGACAATTATGATCACAGAAAAGAGACGGGCAGGTGGCGGGAGGCAGCCCTTTATCTCCCACATGCCCTTCCATTCTGTACGAAGCATAGCCCGCTGGAATAGTAGGCCTTCGCCACAACCCATGTTCAGGCGACCCATTCCAAAAGTATATGACAACCGTTCAGCTGGCTGATGAAAACGACACGGCCCGTTATGCCACCGTGATTCCAAGTTTAATCGATGACCAATTGTAACTGCCTGGGATTTGTGCTGACCAACATACCAAATATGATTCATCTCACTAGCCCGCAGCGTACTCATCGCGTGGGCCGCGTGGATTGTTAGGGCTGACTCCGGCTGACTGCTGTTAAGGCTGAGACGGGACACAAAGCCGTCGTCGGTTACAGCTAGAATGAAGGCCCAGCTTGAAACGACCTGCTTACACCGACTTTCAGCTTCAACAATGATAGGCTATTGAACGCAACCGAGGAGGACATGTCAGAATTATGCCCAGGAGTAGTCACGAGAATGCGAACAGGGTTATAGCAGACTTCCTGCCTAAGCCAAGCATACCGGTCGTGTTCAGACCGCCATCAGCGCGGCCAGAAGGTCTTCTGATTGGCAATCGCCCACTTCAGCTCGTCGACTTCTTTGTCACACAAACCAATGCTTTTTTCCAACATACGCCGATGTGCATCCCCTCTGAGCTCGAAGCACATGGCACGCTAAACGAGATATCTCGGAAAGAACCCGCGCTCCTTCACCTAGCCAGATGTTTTGCTCCCTGGTTTGTTTCCAATATGCAGGGGCAGTTGAACTGTGAGCTTACTTGTGTTACGCCACATAAATGTGACCATTGGTCTCATAACGATTGGGCGGACAATTTTAGCACGGTATCACAAAATATGTCCAAATTAGGTGGCAGGAAGCCTGCAGAGCTGTTTCGATGTATGTCACTTCTGCTGATTCATAGTGACCTCCAGAAACATGTGAAAGTTCAATTTGGAGCTTCGTATTCCTTCAATCGCTTACTCCTTCGGATCAGATGATATTTGTTGCCAATTTTGCGCCCCTCAGCCGGAACTCCGACCCAAGTCTAGGCATGATCCCTGACACGAAAATGCCTGCCCTGCAGTGAGGGCAATCAACATCATGATTACACCTCCTGGACAGGTGTTCAAACAGGCATCACGCTTAGCACTCCATCAGCAAATGTAATTGGAAGCTGCTCTCGAAACTCTTGGCCACCAAGGTATGCGTGCTGACTGTTGGGAGTTTGTGGGCCGAAGAGCAGGCTAAGGAAACTTTCAAGGTACCGTTCTGATTATTTTGGGCAGAGCGTCTTCTCTGGGTTGGAGGCCCGGGACAGTACGCTGCGGCCCGCTATTCACTTCAAAGAAGCAAAATTTTGATATACCAGCGTCACAGGGAGGGTTTTCATAGCTGTTCAAGTCAAAGCCCTATTTATTCCGCCCTGAATTTGAACGAGCGAGACTCAGAGAGCGGAGCGCACAGACGCTCCGCTTTCCAAGACAACATTTAAAGGTTGAGTTCTTGCAGCCAAGGATTTCAGTACCCGCCTTCAGTTTTGGCCGGGTAGATGACCCGCATTATGATGCGCCAGGCTGTTGTGAGGTTTTGCTCCTCACACAGCCTCTCTACATAGACTCTGTCCACATATTCCTGTAAGTGATGAAAGGGACAAGTGATCATAAATCCGATGTGTGAGGCTCGAATCGCCGATCACTTCTTCCGCCTCTCAGCTAGAAACTCGCTATGAAAATAAGTAGTGAGGCGCATTCGCAAATTGTCTAACACGATGAAGTGCTCGCATCTGGTGGATGCAAGGTACACATAGCGGGATGGGAGCAACATGACGAACAATTCATAGAAAGATCATGGATCGCAATACATTCATACGTGCCATTTCTAATGTGTCCAAAACTTGAGCCTTGTTTGGTACCCGGACCGCATAATCCGCCGAGCCGTTGAATTAAGAAGGGGTGGCAGCTGCAGCGGCTACCTATGGAATACAAATGCACGTTATGAGGTGATACATAGTACAATTAAGTTTGAATCCGATTGCTATTATCTTTGCTGCAAGGGGAAAAGCAAGTGTGGGATGGACAACAACAGTTGGCTCCTGGAAAGTGTCTCCTGTAAGTCGCCAAACCTGCCAGCACTGCAGGTAGCCTCCCCTATCTGAGACTCCCGCTGCAATCCAGCCTAAACAAGGCAGATATTAGAGTCACCTTGGAACGGTTCTGGAAGGTCTCCGTTTGTTGCGTCCCAAACTCTTGTGCCCCATCATTCTGCAAAACTCCAACGATGACTCTCTGCCACCCACTTGCCCCTCCATTTGGTTCTGTTCACAACAAACTTTGACCTTCAATCACTACCCAACTGAACGACAGAACACTCCTGTTGTACCCAGACACAGCCGTCAATCATCAAGCGAATCGTGTTTAATTCTACCAAAGCACTTGATATCCTTACCTTCTTACTTTTTCATCACGATCCAAGAATGGATTCCAGCGACCCCCAAAGCGCTGCCTTCTTAGGCTATGATTTGTCTGCCTCCTCATCCCCTTCTAAGCACCACAGGGGAGGCCGTGAAAACGGCTCAGATATTGCTCAAAAAGATCTCACTCAATCTTCACAGCACTTCAACGACTCTAGCTCCGACCACGATTCATGGTTCAGCTACCCATCTCGTCACACCCTGCCTGAAAACGCAGCGATGGCGGCACCTTTCGAAGTCTCCAAGCTCTGGCGCGAGGCCATGCAGTGCGTAAGCATCAATGCGGGCCTCTACCCGAAGCAAATCCTCCAGAAGTACTACAACCTGTATCCCTCACAGGCCAGCATCCACCCTGGCTACATCGAACTCGACATCTGGCGATCTAAACGTGCGACAGTCCGCGGCACCAAGTACGTGCACATTCGATACCTCGACAACGACCCCGGCAAGATTTACCTTATGGTAATCTTCGTGGACGAGGTCGACCCCAACACCAACAAGCCCATCGTCCGACTCGTCACCAACACCTCGATTCGACACGTGCTGGAGGAGCCGTGCGCGAACTGTCCTCTTTGGCTCAAGGTCCACTCGGACGCCGGACCGCATGCAAATTCGCCTTACCAGATCATACCATGTTGCGACAAGTGGGTGGAATCCGCTGACTTTGAGGCTCCCATCTCCAGCGAGGAGAAGCAAGTCCCGGAGATGGTAGCGAAGCTGATCGAGGAGGTGCAGCGGAAGGCGCTCCTGCTGCATGCGAAGGAGCGAGAGATCGAGGCCAAGGATGATCAGCTTCGACGCCTGCGCGAGATGAAAGACCACAGCTCGGATGCTCATGTTACCGACGCAGCCGTGGCACAGCCGCGGCATCTGCTACCCACCTATAAAGTCGAGTTCGGCACACCGGAGCAGTATTGCTGGGCTACGGCTGTTTTGGCTATCTTCTTGATGCTGTGGCTTTTGAAGTGATAAAAATGGCGATGCTCACTGGGGTTCCGAAGATGGGGACGGGGAAGGAATTCCAGATGAGCGTATGAGTACATGAGAAAATACCGAAGATTTGGGGGACTCATTGCGCTACTTGAGGGAGATGACTTGGCACTTCTCTGTCGGAAGGGGAGTTCACATTCAACGTTTGAATCAGGTTCCAGAGCGCAGTTCATGACAGCATCATTATCATTAAGATCCATAGCAGGAAATCAAACCAACTGATTAACACAATTTGGAGCACTCACATAAAACGCCTCCCCAAGAATCTCACGCAATATGACCATCGCCGAAGCTGCCTCTCCTCTCGGTCTCAATCTTGTATACAAGCTTCTCACCACTGATAGGTCTCATGTGGAGTTCCGTCCTGTTGTGGCCGCGACTCGTCACGCCCGTCCCCAGCACGGCAAAACCGTCTGGTACAACCTTCTCCAGTCCACCAGGCATAATTCGCACTGGGTTGGGTTGCAAGAGGCCTCCATCGGATAGCCACTTGTAGAATGCCGTTGCAAAGGACCTCTTGGCTGGAGATGTACGTACCACAAACTTTTGGTACTCGACGTCCTCTCCTAGGCCTTCCCAGACTGCTCCATAAATCGCCTCTGCATTCACGCCTTCTGTCTGCCACGCGCCAGCCTCTTTTGATCTCACGACCGCCAGTTTCCCTCCTTTCCGAAGGGTTGAGCTGACTTCTCTGACCGTTGCACCCTCGGAAATCGCATCGTAAGCATAGTGCACTCCGCCAGATGAGGCCTTCCGCACTTGCTCAGGCCAGCTTCGGTCCCGGTAGTCCACCAGGTGATCATACGCGTACGGCTCCTCTTTCAGCATCTCCCAATTCCTCGGGCTCGCCGCCCCAATCAACCTGACCTTGCGGCCAGTGTGCTCGGCGCTCCGTCGCACAAGTTGAGCAACGTACAGCCCCACCGAAGTCGAAGCGCCGGCCACGAAGAACACTATATCTCCGCGGCGACCCGCCTCGCCATCCTGGCTGGTCTCGCTCCTCACGCGCCTCAGCACGCCCTCATCCGATTCGTCCTCCCACTGAAACGGCGCGTCTAAGCCCAGCCGGAAAAACAGGCCCTGCGCGGCCGTCAGCCCGCACAGGCTGACGCTCGCCGCCTCCTCGTACGGGACGTGGCCCGGGATGCGCCAGACCAGATCGGCCGGGCAGACGACGTACTCGGCGAAGGCGCCCGGGCGCTCGTTGACGCTGCACGCGCCCTGCAGGAACCCCGCCACCCGGTCGCCGCGGTTGATGGTGGTGGAGAGCGCCGTGCTGGAGCGGCGGAGCCTGCTGGGGCTGCCGCCGTTGGACTGCCCGTTCCGTGTGTCCGACGATGATGAACCCGCGGCAGGCGGGCCGCGCGCGACCACCAGGCCGGCAAAGTCGCTGCCTACTACGCGGCCGGTGCTCCCGAGCGGCTGGAAGGTGTAGAGCGCGTCAACGGGGTTGAGGGCGATGGCCTTGACGGCGATGAGGAGCTCATTTGGGCCTGGTGAGGGGAGCGGGAGCTCTTGGACGGTGGCGGTTTTCTTTTCGGCGTCGAGGGTGAGTGCTTTCATTTTGGGGATGGTGTCACTGATGTGAGACTATGGATGGCTAGCTGAGAGGGGACGATATCAAGTGCGCATGGCTGTATAGTTCATCGGAGTGTGGGGTCAGTTTGGATTGATGCCGAAGTGGTATCGATGAAGGGGGAACGTTGACATGTGGTGATGAACGTTACACAATCTTGCCTCTCTCGTATGTTTGCTCTCGATAGATGGCATTAATTAAATGCTTAAATGGTGTTGGCTGTAGTCCTGAGATGAAGAGCGCCATTGGCCGATCCAGGCATTTCTTGAACTTTCCACCACTGGAGGGGCAGGACAGCAAGCTTGCAAAGCATGGCGATGAGTAATTAATTATGCCCTCCATGGGCGGTATCAGAACGACCCCAACGAAAGCGTCGGGGAATCTAGATTGTTCCCGCTGACGCGATGCGTTTTGCAGGTGGGTGCAGTGCCACCTGCTGAATGCATCAAGATGGTTCTGGAAATCGCATGACAATTCAGCATTCTTTGACCTGCAGGCTCGGATGCAAATCGTACCCCACTAGATGTGTGCGTTCTTTCATAGGGTAGAGGATTACCCGGAGGCAACGTGCCTACTCAAATAGATGCTGAAGCACATGCATTGAATATGCCAAGTGCTAGGCTGTCATATAATATACAGTCTGATTGCCAATACAAGAATAAGGTGAAGTATTGCATACCTAAATTGTCTTGGATCCCACATCTGATCCGGAAGGGATGACAAGGGTGTTGGCTGGTGTATCCAATAATAACCTATACAGGAACTCAATTTGGAATACGAATCATCCAATTCCTTCATTTTGAGCTATCGAATTTGATGTCTGCAGAGGAGGAGTTCGAGGTCTTCCGCAAGCGCTAGCCCTCCGAGAGACCTAGATTCCCGGCAAAGTTGCCTCATCTAGGTCCTTATCGACTTCTGCAGTCGCCCATGACTACATAGTCTTGATGATCATGGCCCAAATTGGTAAAAGAAATTTAACAGGCAGATTCATTGGAGTCAGGGCATCCGAGAAGACGACAAAATATCACAGGAGCCTCAAGAAGCTTATGCTTAGATCCGTTAGCTGTTCGAGACCTCGGCAGCTTCCCTTGCACGTTTCATCCGACGAATGACAACGGAGCAATCCATTTCGTCCCATCAACAAATTACGTCGACTAGGACTCTCAAGATCCAGGCGTAGCTGGGGTCGGAACGTCCCCGTGCCCTAGAAGTCGTCATAGCCTATGTGAACAGCAAGTGTTGGCTCTAATCGGACATTCCATGCGACTGGCGACTAGTACTGTAGTGCATGCAAGCGTAGCGGAATGCATTATGCTGAGAGATATAAAAATGTATTCTGTATCCTGTGGAGTCGAAATTCTCACTCTCGCAAAAAATCAGTCTATCACAAGTTCAGTCAGAAAAAGAATAAATCTGCACTGCAAATATGGGGTTCTTCAGCCTCATCCTAATCGTCGTTCTCCTTGGTGCAGGCGCCTTGTACCTGAACCTGGACCGAATCGTCAACTATGTAGCCCAGATCCTCGTCGACGCCTCGAAAATGGATATTACCTCCATTGAAATAACCAATTGCGATGAGACTGGCTTCACAATAAACCTCAGCGCAAAGATCTACGACACCGGGCCCCTGGAAGCCACCATCTCAGACATGACTCTCTCGATGTTCTCCACCAAGTCGGGCAAGGAATTCGCCAGGGTCAGACTCCCGTCCATCAACGCAACACCGTCAGGGACAGTCTGCGAAGTGTCCAACCAGCGTGTCGAGATCCTCGATTTTGACGCCTTCAACACCTTCAACAGGAACCTGCTGCTGCAGGAGGAGCTGCCTGCGTACGTCAGCGGCAGCGGGACGCTCACCATCCCGTGGCCGTTGCGGCTGAGCACCACGGTGCGGTACGAGAAGGTGGAGGTGCTGCGCGGCCTGGACGGCGTGCACATCAGCGTGCTCGAGACGAGGAAGCCGTCGGGTTCCCTGCTCAAGGGGAAACCGACCGAGATCGAGGTCGACGTGTGCATCGCGTCGGGCTCGCCGGTGGCGATCCAGATGGGCGTGACGCAGGTCTCGATCGTCTACTCGGGCATGCGGATCGCGACCGTCGAGGCGGACCTGTTCCTGAAGCCTGGGGAAAATCTGGTCACGTTCACGGGCGAGATGGACTTCTTGTCGATTGGAAAAAACCTGGGCACTGGGCTGAAGTTTTTGAAGCAGGATATTGCTGGTGATCCGGACATGACTGCGTTTGTGAAGGGCGCAAAGGGACCTCAGTGCTCCTGGCTTGATAGGACGATTCGGTTGATGGACAGTAAGATCGTGATGGGTTCAACTATGGCGGACCTGGTTAGGAGTATATCCAAGGTCGAAGGAAGCCAGTGAGAGCGAAAATCGAATATGGTAGACATCATGTCATGGCAAAACGGAGGGGAAATTCCATGTGGTAGCCAGCCTTGAAATATGAATTCTTAAGATCCGCGAGCTGTTGGGGATTAGTGCTGCATCGTGCCGAGTAATGTCGAAATTCGGATCAGAAACATAATCTGGGCAGAAACCATAGATGGCTATTGAGCCCAAGACGTGCTGTTGACCGTCCTTTGGTGTATCCTCTCGAAACATCACGCCCTTGTACCAGCCTGTCTCTCCAAAGCTTGGATCCTCTCGTCTAGCAACCACATAGCGTAAGCCCTGTGCAACCTTGACGTCCACTGCGGGATAGCCTTCTGATTCTTGCCCTCACTGTCAACTAGCTCGTAGTCATGGGCGGAGCCGAACCGCACCTCGATCATGCCGTTGTGGTCCTCGTCACCAACGCTGAATTCATGGCGGCCGCCGCTCATGAAGCGGAAAGGGTAGCCCCAGTCCGTGGCCGCCTTGTCGCAGAATGCCACGAGCTGGGGTGGGAATACCCACTGGACAAGCAAGGGTTCGGGATGGGCGAGCGGACGGAAGATGGATGAAGGCTGCGATGGTGCTCTCAGGACCTCGAACCCGCCATTGAGAAGCTGCTGACCCTTGTGGAAGCCATTCTCACCGGCGTCGCCAGTCCCCTTAGAGAAGCCACCAAAGAGCTTGCCCTCGAGCTGCAGCACGGGGGACTGGAGGAAGAGGCGTGCCCATGCCTCGTCTGGGCTCAACTTGCGGCCAGTCAGGGGGTCATTTTGATTGTGTAGCGCTTTGGCAGGGACCTTTGCACCATAGATATCCACATGAGGAGTGTGGTGCTTCCCAGCATACTGGTAAGCGTTATCTGGAGTAGCCCTGAAGGCGGAGGTGGAGGCAGTTTCGGGCTGGAGACGCGGGTATCTCGCCTCGAGACGCGTGATGGTCGAGTGGACGTAGTAGGCTGGCCCGCCAACCACTACAGATGTTACGACTAGACGGCGCAAGAATGGCATAGTGCATGCAGTCCGCGTTAGTTTGCAAGCATTTGTTCAGATGCGGGTTGGTAGTGAGTGAGTGGGTGACTCAGTCAGTACGGTCAGTGGTTCGCGTCCGGTCCGATGTGAGTAGCCCCCTACAAGGGACTGAGCAGCCGAGGCTGAGGGGAGCCGTGGGTAAGGGAGAGCTGAGCCTCGGCATAGAACGGAGTGCAGACAGCTGGTGTTCCCGAGAGTGCCCGACCTGACAGAGCCCATGTCCTGGTCTGCCGATGTCTTCCCTCAGTTCTCTCTGCTGTACCCCAGATTCCCAGCCGACGCAGGTTGCCCCACCATACGGCCAGAACTGCCAGACAGACCCCTCCATGATCATCCCTCCATCCCCTCTGGCCCCTCCAACGCTCCCAAGGATTCCCCGCAAGACTCCAACACGGACGCCTGGAATCACAAGCTCGGCTTGCTGTCGGCTAACCCCAAAACGGCGACGTCACTCGCTGGCAGGGCCGCATTCAGGGGACTGAAGACTGACGGGGCTGACGTTGTGAGCCTAGACGGCTTCAATCACATGGGAAAGTTTGTCTGCATATCTCTCGTCTGTGTTGAGTCGATTGTCGTGCAGCCAGCGCCTCCTGTGAGGCAGGTCAGTTCGAGCAAGAAGATCTTGCATTCAAGACAGATCCGTAGTCAATCAATTGGCTCGTTTATGTACTGGCAAAAGGTGTGGATGGATGGATGTCTTGAATGCGCCCGAGTGTGTGTACTGTATCAAGTTGGAGTCGGTTTCTCCGCTGCGCCGAAGCCATCCCCAACTCTCGTCTCTCCCGTTTACTTCCCAGCCAAGTCCCTGTGTCCGACCACCCTGCAACCAGTTCGCTAATGATATTACTGCTACTAGTGAACTAATTGCCTTTCCAAGAGTACCTTGGGCCATGTACCACCTTCTCCCGCCGCATGAATGGTGGGCACTCGTTCTCTCGGGTCACGAGTTGTACCTCGCTCCAGCCCCGAAGCTTTTCCTAACAGCCGCGGACCAAGGGCATTTCCTCCTTGAGCCGCCAACCTGCTGCTCTCTTTGAGTCACGCTGCCCCCTTCTGTCGGCTTGTTCCTATCCTCTCCTGTCTAGTTATGCCTTGCTTCCTTGCTTCCTTTGCTGGTCTGTTCCGGTCTGGTCTATTATAGAACGGGCCGTCCCTGCCCCCTTCTCTTCCAAGGCGAAGAACCTCTCTGTCACATGCTTGTTGTTGACTCTTGATATCCTTTTCCTTACTCTTCAGTCTCCTTCCCGTCGCTGATATCTCCTCTCTGCCTCACCTTCGCTGTTTGACTGGTACTAGTAGTCTTATCGAGCAGTTTTAGAATATCCAGGGAGCATCTTTGTTGTCGCGAAAGTAGAGACGGGCGCAAGCCAGACGGAACATTGCCGAGGCAGGACAGCATCAAAAGCAAAAGATACACACGACCACAATGGCGACCAAGGTACAAGGGAAGGATGGCAAGGCACCACCAGGCGCCGCTGTCAACCTCATAGCAGGTGGAGGAGCAGGCATGATGGAGGCTTTGGCTTGCCACCCACTCGGTAGGTTGACGATGGGCTCTTCTTCCCGGTTGGACACGCAGCACATGTGCTAACACTGTCCTTCGCACCATACCAGACACGATCAAGGTCCGTATGCAGCTCTCCCGTCGAGGCCGCGTGCCAGGATCCCCAAAACGTGGCTTCGTGCGCACCGGCATCGACATCGTGAAGCGAGAGACACCCCTCGGCCTGTACAAGGGCCTCGGCGCCGTGATGACGGGCATCATCCCTAAGATGGCTATCCGGTTCACCTCGTTCGAGGCCTACAAGCAGATGCTGGCGGACAAGTCGACGGGCCAGGTGACGGGGCGGGCGACGTTCATGGCGGGGCTGGCGGCGGGCGTGACCGAGGCCGTGGCGGTGGTGACGCCCATGGAGGTCATCAAGATCCGGCTGCAGGCGCAGCACCACAGCCTGGCGGACCCGCTCGACATCCCCAAGTACCGCAACGCCGCCCACGCCCTGTACACCGTCATCAAGGAGGAGGGCTTCGGCGCCCTGTACCGCGGTGTCAGTTTGACGGCCTTGCGCCAGGGTTCAAACCAGGCTGTCAACTTCACCGCCTACACCTACTTCAAGGAGGCCCTCATGGCCTACCAGCCCCAGCTCGAGGGCAATGGCCTGCCCGGATGGCAGACGACCTTGATCGGCCTCGTCAGCGGAGCCATGGGGCCTCTGAGCAATGCGCCCATTGATACCATCAAGACGCGCCTGCAGAAGACTCCGGCCGAGGAGGGTGTCAGTGCCATGAAGAGGATCACCGTTATCGCCGGAGATATGTTCAGGTGAGTCTTGTTTATTTATGCCCGTGCTGATCCATTGGCCACTGGCCATGGTCGCGCTGTTTCTTTATTTAGTTGTGCCAGAGACTGACACGCAGAGGGCCACAGGCAAGAAGGTATTCACGCATTCTACAAGGGTATTACGCCCCGGATAATGCGCGTCGCCCCTGGCCAAGCTGTTACTTTTACCGTGTACGAGTACCTCAAGGACAAGATTGAGAGGAGTTCGTGGACCTCAGTTGGTGGCAATTACGAGGAGTAACTGTGCTTTTCCCGCTCGATACCACGGCCACAACCAGCAAGGAGGCAAGGACAAGGCAGGGCATCTTTCTGTATACCTAAGGAACTCGGCGCTTAGAGCAGCAGCATATAGCCTGTATTTCTGCATTTTTAATCAGGAATCATTTGACAAACGCCCAAGTATAATGCATCGCGTGCTCCTCTCGCGATTCGTTCTAGGCTGCCCGCAGCATTCGAGCGTGCGTCTGTCTTAAGGTTTTGGCCAATTCTGCATGATTGTGTCGTAAGTGAATCTATGCTGCATTCCTCAACAAGGTTGACCCATCTACCGACCAGGCCTCTTCGGTCTGCTGAAGCCCTTCCGCGCCTCAACCTTGGGATGCAGCTCGGAGATGACGACGTCCTCCGTGATCTCGCTAGGCTCCTCAACCTCGAACTTCTTTTCTACTTCCAGACCGCACTCGCCACTGGCCATCTCCAGCACCGCGCGCTTCATCAGAGGGTACAACATGCGGTCCTTGATGGCCCTGCGGCCAGGCGTGACGGGGCATGTGTAGAAGAACAGGAGCGGCGCGCCCTTGTATCCGCCGTATTCGTGCTCGTAGCGAAAGAACGTGAAGCGGGGCTCGGTGGTCGAGATGCCGGACACAAGGTCGGTGATCGAGGTTGGTGAGGACGAGTCGGGGACGAGCTCGACCTTTTCGGTTTCTGGGTTGATTTTCTGGCAGAGGGACATTGTTAGTTGGCGCAACGGCCGACTCGCTGAGAACCCCACCGCAGGGTCAAACATCATGACGTACCAGCGTGACCAGACTCCTGCCTCCCTCGGTCTTCAGCTCTTGGAGAGCCGCCAACGCATCCTCCTGCACGGGCATGTTCATGCGCTGGCCGAGGTGGATCTCCCTAGATCCGGTGCCCCTGGAGCCCTCGGCCTCGGCCTTCTTGACGCCCTCGAGGCTCCTCTCCTCCTCGGTCAGTGGCGCCTCGAGCTGCTCGTGCTTGTCGTGCTTGTCGAAGCCCTCGGGCGTGAGCTCGTCGCGCGTCGTGGCGTAGATGGTCTCGCGGAAGTGCTCGCGCCCCAGCTCGCGCACGAGCGTCAGCCGCGTCGAGGCGAACAGCATTTTCTGCCTCACCTTGGCCGTGTCGGGGATGTAGCTCACGGCAGTGAGCCGCGGCGCCGAGTCGTAGCGCTTGAGGAGGAGGTAGAGCGGCTCCGAGTCGGCGAGGGCGGGGAGGACGAGGGAGTTGACGTTGTCGGCGAAGGTGGCAGATGATGACGTGGGGGTCAGCAGGGAGACGGGAGTGAGGGATTCATTTTCGATGGTGGCGAGGAGGCCAAAGTGTTCGTCGGACTGAAGGAGGTCGGTGAACTTGGAGGTGAGCTCCTGAGATGCTGTCGTAAAGCACAATGATTAGCAAGAGACGGCGTCCACGTGGAGGGCCACAGCTGGGAGCAAGAGCTGTGTAATATTTGGCATACCAGAAATTCCTGACTGCATCTTGACAGGCTAATGTAATAGGGTGTCGTATTTGTTAATCGTTGCTGCTTGGACTAGCAGTCTCAAGGTTGCCTGTGATCTTATTGCGGGAGGAGCATGTGAGCATTGGGGCCTGGGAGCATCGTGCGACGTATGTAGCTCTCAGGGGCTCCATTTGGCGGGGTCTGTTTCTCTGTGACCTGCAGGCAACAATGACGCACTACTCTGGCACCCAGGTGCCCAGGTATCGCCTGGACGTTGCGTTGCCAGAGCAGCAAGCAACTTTGGAAGCTCCTAACCCTAGGTCGCGCATTGGGGGTTGTTTGATGCCATCCTCTTGTTTTACTTTAGCGAGGACATCACATCGTCTTCTTAGTACTTACTAATTCTCAGTCGAGGGGACACCTCGACTGGATTGATCATACGGCCATAATCTCCAAACTTGGAGTGGTACCTGAATCCAATGCGATTGGGGCAACCCTCTTCCTTTCATACTGTCTCTGCCTCGATGCTGATCAGTTAGGCCACTCCTCCATGACGGAGCTGGCTGTGCTGGGGTCAAAGGGCGACGTGGTGGGATGTGGCCATCAATATTCTCGTAGGATTATGAACAGAGGAATTATGTCATCGCAACCATTCAACAGCGCGCCCTCCACTGACATTACCGTTGCAAAATAGGACATACTCTCTCCCTGACGAGCAGGGCCTGCTTATCCCGGCGATCGATGATCGTTTTCACGGTACAGCCAGTCGCCGTAGCAAACTCTCAGCTCTTCAAACCAGGACTAGGACACCGGTTCTTCTGACGGCAGTCTCTCCGATGCTCTTACCGGTGCAGGTGCCATCATTGTGACGCATCGTGCCCTTCGTCTATTTCCCAGAGTAGGTTGACAACAGGAACAGCCTTGATCACCTGACGACTTCAGCATAGATGCCAAAAAAAATCGCCTGTGTCAAGACGCGTGGAGCAACGGCCAGAGCGCTGCTATTTTCAAGACTTGTCAGACACACGCGCCCCTGGGATATGAAGCTTGGCCGGATCGACCGAGTAGCCTGCTAGACGATCAAATGACTCTTTGCACACCGTTGAACAGCCTGCCAGGCCCTCACTCCGGCTTCCTGAAACATCTCTTAGGCCAAATATGTCGAATACAGGTCTGGCCGGACTCGTAACAGTGCTGACATAGTAGCAATCCCGGATCGGAGATTTTTTGACGACAGAGGCAACGTCGAGGCTCCCCATTTGAGTCAGTCCCACAGCTCCTCCCCCTCGGGCCTTTCCACAACCTTGTTTATTGCCCGATGCTAGCTCACTCTTGGTTACCACTCTGGATAGGCTGTTTCGCATCGCCGAGGCAGTCGGTCAGTCAGTCAACAGGAGTGACCACTCGATGCGCGGTCGTGTTCCGACATGGCAGTCAATATCAACGTCGAATCGTCAAGGTTGAGATATTGACCCTAACCCAATGAGATTCGTTCTCGCTTCTGCAAGCTCTTGACTCTAGAATGGGAATGTCTTCGAAACGTTCCAATGACACGACTCGACGAATGGCACCTCGACTTCAGGCTGGTTGTTTCGGCATCCTACGTATACACTCGCTAGAACACGTTGTTTCGTTTCATCGTGGTGTGGGTCGTCTTCAAGTCTTGCAGCCGACCCGAGCATTCAGGGATTCAGGGATTTCGGCTCGTTACTGCCCAAAGGAGAAATCACCCTTGTCCTGTGGTCAGGGTTTAAATTCAAGGGGTAATACGAGCCCACTGTCCTGGAGCGTGCTCGTACAGGCTGCCGCCGACAGTGGAGGCCCAAGACGATCCAGAACCAAAAGCTTTCTGGACTCCATACAGGTTGACGTAAGGGCCTAAGGATCGATATCACCTGAATAAGTCCCTGGCAGGGCAATTGCAAGTCGTGGTCCTTCAACACTACAAACTCACGCTCTCCTGACAAAGCACAACTTCACCGACTTTAGGACCACCTCCACAGCCCAACATGTCAGGACCTCAAGAACTGGCCACTTTTTCCGACTCATCAAGCTACTCTAGAAACATCGACAAGGATTTACCTCCCTCGCCACCCAAATCTGCAGCTGTCGAGACTTTTACACAGGCCCAACTGCAGAAGCAGATGCAACATGGAGAACATCAACAAAGCTCCGGCGCCCTTATAGAAATTGTGGACCTGCCTGCACCGCACAGCGGACACATCAGGATTCTGCAGATCAGCCGGCCATCAGCCTCTAATGCAATTTCGTACGCACTCTTGTCCGCCTTGCGGAAAGAGATCCAGGCAATTCAAGCACAGTATAGTCAATTCACGGGCGCGGAAATGCCATGGACCGAGGGCGATATAAAGGGTCCCACGAGAGCCTTGATCATTGCTTCGGCAGTGGATTCCTGCTTCTCTGCAGGCGCCGATCTGAAAGAACTGATAAGCTTTACTCAAGAGCAGTGGGTGTTCCGGAGCAACAAAAGAAGCAACTCTTGAATCAGCGACTGATCATATTGGAGTAGAATAACTGGCTTTTTCTCATCCTTGAGAGACACATTGAAAGCCCTCTCGAATCTTCCGATACCCACTATATCAGCAATCAGCTCGAGCGCATTTGGTAGCGGCTTTGAGCTTGCCCTTGCGACTCACTTCAGGATAATGTCGTCGAACTCGTACATCGCACTTCCGGAGACTGGCCTGGGTATAATTCCGACTGCAGGCGGCACGCACCGGTTAGCTACGCTCATAGGCGTATCTCGAGCCCGAGACATCATCCTGACAGGCCGACGAGTGACGGCCCCAGAAGCCGTTTCTATGGGGATCGCAAACCGGATGGTGGATATGACCTCAGAAGAGCCCGGCCTAGAGGACTCGACCGTGCACGCGGTCGCGCGGCGGAAGGTCCTAGTCGAGGCGATTCGGTTGAGCGAGGAGATCTGCGAGGGTGGCCCCGTAGCTGTAAGGGCGACGATACAGGCGCTGAAGGAACCGGGGGAGAAGACTGAGAAGGCAATGACGGAGAGAGTCGTGACGAGTGAGGACTGGATCGAGGCGCTAAGGGCATTTGATGAAAAGAGAAAACCGGTCTTCAAAGGTAGGTAAACCTAGGCCGATTTGGACGGATCTGGGGGCTATGTAGGTATACCGCTTAAATTGCCTGCTGAATATCTGCTCATACATGAAGACGGCAATTGCTTTGGGTAGTTGTGCTGTTGAATCAGCCTGCAAGCGTGCCGACGGTTGGTGTAGATCGAATTGAAATTTTATGCTCAAATTCATTTCTGTACGATGTAGATCAATTCATCATACGTGCTGGAATTGTCCGAGCTTTGTGTAGCCTTGTTGACTTCCAGGCATCTGATGGCCGAAGCCAGGCCACATTGACTGCCCGCCACTTTGCAATTGCCCCTTCACTGGTCCCAGTCTGTATTCAGAAAATGACCTCAGAGTCATGAAGCAAGAATTCTCTGGCAGGATGTGATTAAGTCATCAGACAACACTCGGAGCAAAGTAGAAAGGAGGGGGGTTTTTAAAAAGGAGCTCTAAAGGATAGACTAGGGACAAGGGGATCAAAGAGCATACATGTAGAAAGACAACAATGGGCAGGCAAATCAGATGCAGTCTGTGGTAGCAAACACAGAGTAACAACCCTTTCAGGATGTTATGAACTCGATTGAAACTTTTTCACTCTCCCCATCATACTATGAAAGACATCAGGATATCTTCGCGTCGACAAATCGTCGCATAGGTTGAACTAAGCCACCCCACATACCAGTCAGCTGGTCTTGATTCACATGCGTTACAAGCTCTCCATTTGCAGGTATCGTTGGGCGTCGCCTCTAACAACACAATATTATTTGATTTGTTTAGAACAATATCTGGCTAGGAACCTCAGATTGCATTCAAAGCTGAAAGATGTTGCTGTTGAGGTTTCTGTTCGCCAGCTTTATTGGGTGGAGCAAGGAATTGATACTGGTGATTCTATTTAACAGTGAATATGCTCCGTCCCGTTCACTCACTCCTAATTGAACTTCAATCGTGAATCAGATGAAATTCGCGACGCTTTAATTTCGTTCATATAAATATCAGAGTAAACTTTCATTTTCATCGAAACTTTTCCTCTGCCCACAACCCAGTGCAGTCTTTGCAACCACATCCTGACCAACACACATTCTTTCTCAGATAGCCCTTACCTCCGTTGTCAATTGACTCCTTCCTTCTGGCAATGTCGGGCCTTGACTGTGAGGACCTCTCGGACGATTCGAACGATACCCTCAGTGTAGGGTATTCGTTTGACTTACCGCAGTACAATCTGCGCGGTCTGAGGATCTTTTGGGGACCGCGCCGCCGAGGCTCCGTTGACAAAGATGACAGAATTGAGTGGGAGACGTGTCGCAATAGAGATGCTCATACCCAAAACAGGGAGGTTGATCGTAACCTACCCGGCCGACGCTTCCTCGAGAGCCACGACCTCGTGGCCCTTCTGATGGGACAGGCCATCGACCTCGCCCTACGTATGATGGAAACTGAAAAATCCGTCAACATCATGTCTAGGGTTGCCAAGCGTTTGGTTGACGATTGCCCAGAGAAAATCAAGCACATCACACCCCAAAGTTCACCGCGGGAGGTCAAGACCTTGACCAAACGCTGGCTCGAAAAGCTCCGACAGCTGGAGTTCTTCAAGATTCAGTTGACAGACTTGAGTGGCTCCCCAGCAGCAGTGTGTTACCGCGCTTGGACTAGAACCACTCGCAACGAGCCTGAAACCCTGGCCGACTACTACCCACACAATGCCGGACTGCTGATAATCGAGCCAAGTTTGGTCAAGAAGCTCGTTTATCATGCTACATCCCCCCATGTCGACTCTCATATCGAACGACAGAAATGCCTCTTCCATTTGGCTAGCTTGATCATCGACGAGACTCAATGTTTCTGGTTGGCGTTCCTAATGCCCAAGATGGCTATGCCAGGAATGAAGCAGCCTGTTGCAGTGCACTCCGAGGCTACTCGAGGTCTACTGGACATCTATGCACCGAATGTCGGCTACCATTGGAAGGCTGAATTCTTCGGAGGACTGGTGTCCTTTCGTCATTGCATAAGCAGTCCGCGTGCCAATTTCAACGAAATTGGCGGTTTCGGTCGGAATCTTTCGGTCGGTCATGTGTATCTCGACCGAGCAGATAGCACTGAGCAGCAAATCGTGATCAACAGCATCATCCGATGCGTACAGCACGGTAAGCATAACCGTACGAGGCTACCGGCGAGAGCTACTACGCCGGGCAGCGATTAAACATGGGCGCTAACAATGGCAGGAAGACTTCTCCGACGTTCTACCCGCAGGACTGAGAACATATGGAAACAGGGTTCCTCCCCTTGGCTTCTCATTTGTCGACTATAACAGCATGTGAAGGGTCGAAGCTGCTCTAATACCCTCTTGCAAACGTGTACGATTGGATCTCCCTCAGCTTGATAGCGCAAACTAACCTGAGTCACCGTATAAGTACATCACTGCTTCGACATACCAACCCCTCCAACACGACGTCTAAGATCAAAAGCCAGCGACTACAAGCGAAACACTCAAGGTAAAGCTGAATACTGATGAGAATGGGAAAATGGGGTGAATTTGCGGAGTCTTGAAGAGAGGCAGTGGAGAACACAATGCCGATATGGTCAATGGTATTGCACAACAAGTGAGGTATCTGTGGTTGGACTCTACATCAAATGCAGCAGTCAGCCTTATATCTCCGGTTCATTGGACTTCTACTATGTCCTGGCGTACACCACGGTCCAAAGTTTTGGCCCCAAACGGAAATCAGTTTCGTCGTCAAAGGTAGAAATGAAGGAGACGTTTTCTTACCGCGAAATGAATCATACAATTTCCCAGAGGAGGCATCGGCGCTTCTGCTGTTACGAACTGCTGAATCTTTTCTGTGAGGATGGCTGAAAGACTTTGAATGGTGAGGCAGTCAAGAGCAAGGGCCTGCAAGGAATGCTGCTGAGAGGTGTCGAAAAGTATCATGAAGTAGATGTAAAGGATGAGTCTTGCTGACATGAGCGAGTGGAATTAAATTGTTGCAGGATGAAGATGTCCAAGGAGGGAACTCAGAAGGCCGGCGAGGAAGATTCTGTTGTACCATGGTCAACGGTATTTAGGATTATCAATAAACCCTGTGATGCCGACCACGAACCACCACAGGAAAGCCCTTCATGTAAATGTCATGGACTGATCGAATAATACGTCTTATAATAGTTGCGTGATGAGAGGATGCACTTTCGAAGAGCACACGTGTGTGACATTGTCTTGCTTGTGACGGTTGAGCTAGAGGCGAAATTGATGTGTGCAGCTTCCAGGCTCTCGCAGCTCGGAAGGGGAGAGATAGAAAGCGTTCACTGTTTACCTGTGCCGCGTTGAAATCTACTGACCTCAGGCTGAATTTTCAGGGCAGAGCAATTCCTACGTACAGCTGATAAATTTATCATCAAGGCCTGGAGAAGCTGAACAAAAATGGGTTGGTGACACTGCATGTGGTCCGCGGACGGTGTCGCATTCCGTGCTTACCAAATCACTTTGTTAATCATCGATATGACATATGAGGATGTCAACTGGGCACATGATGACGACCGAAAATCAATTACTTCCGGGAGCACCTGAAGCTGGAGGCTCAGAGATTTTTGTTTAAGAGGTTCTCCCATCGAAGTTGCAGGAGGAGAATCATATCAGAAGTCATTCGGAGGATGTGAACTCAAAGCCGGGGACGCGGAAAAAGCCAAATTCGGAGTGTCATCTCACCTTAGTGATCTGCTATCCTGCTCTCTATCACATTGCCACGCTACCTTATTGGGGGCCAAATTGTTTTTTTTTTGCATTTGCCTGCGTACTCCACATGCAGCTGCCCACGGCTTTTTCCTGTCCAATTGTGATCTACACGGGTATTCTAATCTGCAGTAAGTGCATTCCATTACTTGTGTGCATCTGCGGCCCCCCCCTCTTGCTTCGCAATAGCACCCATTCATCGGCTCACAAGCTGCTTGTAATATCCTAGCTGAACCGTGGGTGGTAGTTGATACCAACCCTGATCAAGCAGCATGAATCCTGGCAGAGGCCACTCGAATTATTTCGCTGCGGCCTGAGTCCTATCATGCCATAATCGTAGCCTGATCCAAAATCTGTTAATTAATTAATTGGGGGCCTGAGACGTGGAAGACAGCGAAGCTCGCCGGCTGCGAAGACTCCTCAGTAGAACATTATAAAAGTCAAGCTGCGAAGTCAAGTCGGACTCTGAGTATCTCGAGATTCTGATACTATCCTCATGGTGGACTTATCAGTTTGCAAGCTTCCAAGTCCTCTTATGAATATCAAGTTCTCTTGTTATATCTACTGCAACGTGTACCGCTTTATTCCATCATCCTCAAAACTACTTTTCGTTACATTTAACAGAGAATCTCCCAAGTGAGAGCCTTTCACCAGACCAACACGGCAGAGCCATGTCTTCTTTGCAGCAGGATCAAGCACAAAAGCTCTTAGACAGTCGTCCGGTGGAGGACTCGGAACTGACCCACGTCACGCCTGTTGAAGAAGTCCCCCATCAGAATGAGCCTTCCTCCTCTTGCGAGGCCGACCCACCGTACCTAATGGGAAATAAGGAGCCTTTGTCAACACTAGATGGAGAAAATGAGATGTTGCAGACGGTGGAGATCTCTCCCATCTTTCGAACTCAGACCGCTGGGTCTCGTACCTCATCCCCACAGATACTTTCACGTCCTCCACTGGAGGTCATCACCAGCTCCTCAAAACCTATTGTTATCAACTACCAGGTCTCAATGAAGTCGAGTTCAGTCTCACTAAGAGACCCAGAAGGCTCCCTAGGTGGAGAGACTGTCACTCAGCCATCGTCAACCCCTCCGTCGACAGCGACAGCACCTCCAAAAGGTCAAGATCCGGACCACAAAATAGTCGACATCATGCAAAGACTGCCCCTATCTCATTCACTAGGCCTTTGGGCTTGTACCGTCATCCTAGGGGGAACTATTCTCACTCTCGCTGTTCTTGGACTTTTGATATTTCTTTGGGCTGGTGAGGGGCCCGAAGGGGGCGAGAGCGCTACTTACATCTGGAGAAAAATAATGCTAAGCGAAAGTTCGTCAACACAGACGATCACCTGATGCTCGGTTGTTATCAGGACGATAGCGGCTGCGCAGGCTGTTATTTGCACTTCCTTAACCGCAGCGCTCCTTCTTGAGCGACGCTGGCTGCCACTGTCGAGAGCAGTCCAAGTATCCGTCGCCAGGGGCGTCAACGATGGCCCGTTCAATTTTGTCCGGGAAGTTATCTCATGGCGAGCTCTGAGAGCATCCTTGAGCCTGGAAGTTTGCTTGCTTATCATTGTTACTGCGGCGACCTTTGGAACACAGTTCACTTCCACCATTCTTGTCTCCGGCTTCGACGCAACGACGCTGGTGCAGTTCCCCGAGAAGCTCCATCACAATGTGATCCTGTCAGTCGAGGCAGCCCAGAATGTCAGCAAGATCAATTCGTTCTCGCAGTTCCCTCCGTCTTACGCCATTTTCGGCGAGGTGGACACAAACCAAGCACCTGACCCTGGCCCTAATGGTGTTTCGGATACAGGCGCAAAGTCTCGCTCCTTCTTGCCCTTCCAAGAGGAACAGCGCACAAAGCTTCGCAAGTACGAGGGACCCGCCTTCTCTGAAACGACCCAGGTGATGTGCATGAGACCCTTCATCGAGGCGCAAGTCTTTTCGGACCACGTGATGACGGCGCGGAGCGCACTGGCATTGCCCTTCATTGAAGGTACCATCTCCTACGACAAGACATTCAAAGAAGCTGGCTTGGAAATCTGGACGATGTGTGCCGAATCAAATGGCAAAACAGGTCACACTGGCAGCCTGAACCTATGTTTGCCACAGAACATTTCCTGTACTTTCTCCTTGATGGAGGAAGGAGACTCAAGCGATCTACCGAGCATAGGACTATGCCATCTCGGCGCAGATGTCATTAACAACATCAGCGATAATGACCAAGAAAACTACTCGATTGAGAGTTACTGGAATGACTCGAATCCGCTCTGGTCAGCCAACGCCTATCCGTGGATTTATCTCACACTGGGCACCAACTTGACCTCTGACGCATGGATTCAAGACGGCCCCAGGGACAGTAACTCTTCGATCGTGCTGGGTTCTCCCGTTGCACAAATTTCTGAGTGGCACAGCTATCAGATTCTACCGAATATGATTTTGAACCTCACTCTATGCTTCGCCGGACTCGCAACGGGCATATACGACGTGTCGATGGCTACAACGCTCAATCTTATGGAGACTAAGGTCAGATGGACCCCAGCAGGCAGCGAGGAAGGGGCAGAGTCCGGGCAGAATTTCATGGGGACAACCATTCCTCACTTGACCGCCGCGGAGAGGGGAGTCATGTCAATTTCAGCAGTCCGTGATTCTACTGGCCTCGCGTTGGAAGACCTAGATACCAGCTCACATACGCTATGGATGGGCCCATTTGGGTTTACAGGCATGGCTGCGGCATCTAACGGTGGCAGCTGGGTCATGTGCAACTTCTGTCAATTCGAAGGCTGGGCAATCCCTCCCGGAATCGCCGCATTGTTTTCGAGAACCATACACACCACGGGCCGAGCGGCATGGGCCATCCAGACTTTTCTAACCATCTACACAGAAAGCTGGTATTCACAGATCCTGCCCCAGTTCGATGTGGCCTCCGACATCCGCGTGACCTCTACCACCGATGTCCGGGTTCCGAAGAGCTGGGCCGCACTTGTTGCGGTTCTTGCCATGACTGTGGTCAATCTGGTCTGTGTGTGGACGATTACGGTGCTATATGCCGTACATTCCAGGTACTCTTGTCAGGGCAATGTGTGGCACACCATTTCGCAACTCATGTCGGACCATACGAAGCCGATTTTGGAACAGAGTAATCAGATGAAGGATAGTGAGGTTGCAAAGCGAGTGGAGAAGGATGATTATTTGGTATTCATCGGAAGATCCAAGGGCTCAGATAAGGTGACTGTGCTTAAAGCTTGAAATTCTATACTGCAGGGTTCCTGGGTGAGGACAGACGGACATATCACGACGGGATAATGATACACGGAAACTCTCATTACCGAATGGGTATAGAATTAGCAAATCTTTTTTATGAACCGTTGTTTCTGCGTCATCACAAGTTCCCAATGTGAAATACAAGTTTCTGCCTGCTTTGAAATGGAGGATCCTTTCATTAAATAGTCATATATTTGGCGCCATAGTTTCATTCACTAATCCCCAAGAAAGTTCCCATGAGTGTTGATATTTCCCAATCGTATTTTCCTGGCATCAACTAAACGAGGTACTGTACAGCCTCCTCCCTAATCATCGGTATTCCACTCGCTCACGCCATGGACGTACTCTACGGGCCTGATATACCACATCAAGGTGCAGTTCGGTTTACCAGCAATCGTCTCGATCTGGTCTACGTACTTCGAGCTATCATCACGCTGAGAACGACACTGTACAGAGGTCTGTCCCCTAAGTTTTGATTAAGCGAGAAACTTAATTTCTAGGGTTACTGTCACACCCCCTCCTCTGGCAGGGTAGGTGGAACGGGGGTGCTAGGGTCTTACCCGAGAGAACCCCCCCCCTTTACCACCCCACTTCCATGGGGGTGGTCAGAGGGTTTGCTTCTAACCCGTTGCTCTGCCAGGGGGGTGGACACCGGATAGAGTTTCTCGCTTAATCAAAACTTAGGGGACAGACGTCCGTATGTTATCTACATCCTACACCACTGTTACTATATCCACTTGAGGGTCGCTATATAAACGCCACGGTTTCGCCTGTTGCCCGTGACCTTTTGGTTCTTCTGTCTTTGTGCGACGAGTTCTTATTAGAGAATCACGGATGACACTGTGACAACCTCAGTTTGTCCAGCCCACCTGATCTTCTCACTGCAGGGATAGGGTATCCCTGCGGTGCATCTTCGTCGAAATTGTTCTCATCCTTGCCGTACTGTTGTTTGCCTGCAGCTGAAGTGCATCACACGTGTCCTAGGACTGCCCAAGCATCATACTCAAATACTACACGGATGTCATATCCGTTGTCTGCAAGTGTCAGCACTACTATCAGCACAGCAGAAACATGCCCGTGTGATCCACAGCATAGCCCCAATCATCACCGATAGCCATCGGTGTTTAGCACCTCTCCATATACGTTCGGTTCAATTATTGCACCGCTTAGTGTACCGGGAACCTGGATGTTTAGAGCACTACTCTGTGCCTGGCTGCTGTGGGGGCCGAGGAACCCTCCGAGCCGTAAGTTGACCCGTCTTATCCGGGACACACCGGGGATTAGCACCAGAAAAAATATCCCGAAGAGTCCAGGTCTGTCTTCCATGTTCTACCCAAAACTTGAAATGCTGCAGCATGTCCATGTTCGTACTCCTCGCTTGCGATCCTTTGATCCATCGGGGCCATGGCCTGGTGCGTGCATGGTGTCCCTTCAAGCGCTAGTGTCTGACACGGACAAGATACGACATCCAAGGATTAGCATTGAGGACAGATGGCGGGGTATTTAATTCACCCACAGTCATGCCCATATAATATTTGCCAGAACACATGTCTCTGTAGTCACTACGGAGAGCATCCGACTGTATTGAAGTAGTGTCGCATCAACTGTTAATCAACCCCGCCCTCCTTCCGCTTCTCCATCAATGGCGGCGCGAGCAGTGCAACGTGGCTATGGCGGCGCCCTTTTGGACCGCTTTGCAACGTGGCTGCAAGGTTTGCCTTCCGAGACATGCAACTACGCTACAACGGCTGTGAAGATCCCCCTCGAAGGCGAAGAGAATATCCAGCTCGCAGCAGACCTTTATCAGCCCGTTCTCAAAGACGATGAGAAACCAGCGGGAACCATTTTGGTGCTGTGCCCCTATGGACGCAGCCTGCTCACTCTAAGCGCGCGATCCTTTGCGTCGCGCGGCTACAACGTGCTATTCGTCTCCTCCCGTGGCACCTTTGGATCCGCTGGCCGACTCGACCCTGGCAGGATGGAATCGGATGATGGACCGCGCGTTGTGAAATGGATGCGCCAACAGCCATGGTACACCGGGACTTTCGCGACGATTGGCTCGAGCTACTTGGCTTACACGCAATGGGCTTTATTGGGATCCGATGAGTCTCTCCAGGACATGGCTGCGGCGATTCCTAGTATAGGGCCTCACGACTTTTCCGACCTGCTTTGGGGGACGGGTGCTCTGTGGCTCACTTGCGTCGACTGGGCACATCTTATGGCCACCCAGGAGTCGCTTTCTGTATTTCGTCAGGTGTACAACATGATGACTACTAATATTATGACTTTGGCCCACATCAAGAAAACGGTTCCGCTTGTCGAAGGCGCCAAACCCTATTTCAAAGACAAGACGCCCTGGCTCCTCGAATGGATCAGTCGTTCAGACCGAAAAAACGACTCTTACTACGAGCCAATGAAGCATGGAAAGGCTCTCAGCACGTCCAAGGTCCCAATTCTTATAATTGGTGGGTGGCAGGATGTCTTTACTGGCACTACGATGGAGCAGTACCAACAGCTTTGCAAGAGTGGCGGGAATGTTGCACTGACCATGGGCCCTTGGAACCACCTACAAGCAGGCAATGGAGAGGGTGTGATGAAAGAGACACTGGCATGGTTGGACAAGTACCTCGCCAAACGTAAGGAGGGAGAAATTCGACCAGCCCCAGTCAGAATAAATGTCACAGGTGTCAATGAATGGAGATGGCTACCCAGCTGGCCCCCTACTACGACAGCGCTGGAACTGCATCTCCATCCGCAAGGATGTCTTGTCAAGCAGGAGCTGGGCAAGAGGAACATGGCCTCATTTAAATTCGATCCTCACGATCCCACGCCAACAATGGGAGGCCCACTACTGTTTCACGGCGGCGTAGTGGACGACACAGCCCTCTCTAAACGCTCCGATGTCCTCACTTTTACCACAACGCCCTTGGATCACCCCCTGGAAGTCCTAGGTAAACCGCACATCGAGCTGGCCCACAGTAGCGACAACTTAAACGTTGACCTCTTTGTCCGTCTATCTGAGGTTGATGCCAAGGGCATCTCGCACAATATCACTGAAGTATATAAACGACTCGACCCTGCGCGCACCACGGGTGGAAATGCGGTCAAGGTTGAACTGGACCTGGCAGACTGCGCGCATAGGTTCAAGAAGGGAACTTGTATCAGGATCCTTGTCGCTGGTGCGAACTTCCCTCACTATTCATTCAATTTGGGCTCTGGAGAGGACCAGGGGACAGGAACCGAGATGAAGCCTGCGATACACACTTTGCACTTGGGTGGAGAATTAGCATCGAAATTGGTTTTACCTGTATCATTACTAGACTAAGCCTGGGCTCGCATTTGCTCTTTCTCTAATATCTTTCTGCTTCAACCCCCCCCCCCCCCTAAGAAGAAAGAATGTAAGAAAAGAAGAAGTCTCTATCCACGTCACGCTACCCTGATTCATATCATCTGACTATACATCGATGCCTTAACCAATAAGTCTACAAAAAAAAGCTGCTGCTCTGACATAACCTCCGGCCTCACCAGACACTTCAAAGTGACCCCAGCACCCTCAGCGAGGACCGTCTTCTGACTTTGATCTTCGTTCAGGATCTTCATCTCACTATTGACGTCCAATTCACCGTCAGTTTGGCAGTAGCGGGCATTGCACCAAAAAGAGCCCCCATCAAAGCCGTTCTGCACATGCGAAGCGTTGATGGTCCTGCCCATTGCCACGATGAAATAGCCTGCTAAACCAGTGACCGGGTTCTTCCTACAAAATATCAGGACAAAAGGTGGTTTCTCTGCAACAGGCTCGGTAGTTCGTCTTCTGAAGGTCTCGTTGCGGCTGTCCCAACAGTCCGACGGGAGGGCACTCAATAGCTCGAATTCGCATCCTGAGGGCCATTCGGGCATCGTGCGGATCAGAAACACATCATATGAGCCGAGGTCGAAATCCTGCAGTCTGTTCTCCTTGAGTAGGTAGATTCTGCGGGGGCTGACGTCCGGCTTCGGCTGAAAGCTTTCGAGGCGGTCTGGGTACACACGTGTATACCTTGCGATATCCGAGTCGTACCCTTGTATTTTTGACACAGGAGATACAATAATCCCCATCCGTATGCCACTCTCTCTATCAAAGCTGACCCTCTTGCAGTTCAGCCGGAAGAGATACAAGCTTCGTCCCGCTAAGCAGGTGTATTCCTCGATGGGAACCTTCAGTCGCACCCCACGGCTCGTAATAGTAATAGGACCGCTCATACCATGAGCGCCATCTGGGGTCAGGCAGGGTGCAACATTGCTGGATGAGGCGAAGGCGTCTGGTGACGGCGCTAGCAGGCCAGAAGTCTCGCAGATGGTTGTGCTTGTCCATGCGAACAGGGACTCGTCATCATAGGATTTGATGATCTCTTCTTGCAGGCGAACAAAAGCCTTTGAGCCCTCTCCGTACAGTAGGGGCATTGATATATCGAAAATTCCCAGCAGACAGTATGCCATGTCCTCCTTGCGAGTCGTCTTTCGGTTCGAGGCCCACGACATCTTGCGCGCCACGCTGAAGAATCGCAAATTTCCGCCACGAAGAGCCTTCGTGTCAACTCCGGTGATAGAGTAGATCCTGTGGAGAAGAGTCGCCTTGGAGCCTTGGTTAATCCAGTTTTTATCGTAGAATTGGACGTCCTGGGCGGCGATCATTTCTTGGAGCGTCCAGCCGCGTGTGAACCACCGACAATTTTCTAATCCTTCTGCATTGCCCTCCGGATCATCAAGATCCGAGAGAGATGCGTAGCAGACCTCCGCGTTTCGGTACCACTTGAACATGGAATTGATGGCCTCAGAGAGCTCTGCGGAAGACGACTTGTCTATGCAGACGGTGTCGGCCCAAAGGTACTTCCAGCCGTCCTTCAGAGCTTGTTGACATGATCGTTCGAGTTTCCACCAGCTGTCTTTCTTGGTGTACTCGCGAGGCTCTCGTATTATTAGGTCATGGTAGGAAACCTCATCTGCACCCCAGGTGTGGGACAGGATCGCGTAACTGGGTATCGTCTCTCCAACATGTTCCTCCAATGTTCTCGTATTGCAGTTGATCAGCCGCATTGTTTCTGATGATGTTGGTGGCACTTTGAGATGAGAGAACAGGGCGAGCAAGGTCACCTTTTACGAGGTAGTGGCATCAAGTGGCTAGCGGTTAAGATTGCTTACTCGCTTCCGGACCACGTGAATGGCTGGGCCGATTACCGCTTTTGCAGACCGAATCCAGCCTGATGATGCACTGCGCCACGCTCTACTTGTTCTACTTGATGGCTGCCTGTTGTAGACGCCACATATGAAATCGACAGACAGTTGATCAGTGACCTAGACGCAAAAACGTCCAAAGAAGTAAGCGCAGTTTCCGACGGCCATGAACATGAAAAGTTCACCAGTCGGGTATGAATTGCCGGCCAGGAAGGATCTGTATTAGCGCCTTTTCCAGCCTTGTCCTGACCACTGAGAACGTAGGTGGGTAAGGTTGGAGTCTGGTGTCAATAAATGCTCACTTGAGAGTCGATGGACGCACTAGAAAATTACTTCAGGGCCTCTATGGGATCTTTGTTGTTTGATCTGCTTTCTTTCCAAATGAAATGACTCTAGCGCCTCAGCAGTGCCATGGCTCAGTGTGGTTACATAGTCATCGATTGATTGTTGCCCTGAAATATCAATCTGATCATGACCGACATAACACCGTTATCGATGCCGCGAGGTACTTCAGCAACGTTCCAGGCGGAGAATCCCAAGGTGAAGTCATATCACACTTTCACTGCCCGTTAGCTTCGATTGCTGGCTACTCCTAGCGGTGAATCTCATAAATGGCCCGATCGCGATTCTTCAGGAAGCGTACCAGTGGATGCGGACGAAGCTCCCCACTGCTCAAGCAACACAGCATAATAGTTGATCATAATAGAATCGCAGTTATTGGATGGTAAAACGGAGGATATCTTGACAAAGGCATGTTGTCTCAATGTACTGGTCAAGCCGTGAGGTAGGGAAGAGCCGTGAGGTAGGGAAGAGCCGTGAGGTAGGGAAGCGGTGCTCGCGGCAATGTGAATGCTTGGGATCTCTAGAACTACTACTAGTAAGTATTCGTTGCCAATATGAGGACATCACTGATGGAAATCTGTCGTGATCGTCCCTTGAGAACCCTAAGGGCAGCCATATCAGACTTGATTCCAGATAACATCCGATTTTTCTGCGTGCATTTGGAAGGGGTAGCCCAGAAATATCCCAGAAGTACTCTAGACTTCGCCGTTGAAAGCTATGTGTGGGACCCAAAAGCAACCAGTGACTTGGCGTAGCCTTTGCTCAATCAGCTGTAATATATTAGTATAGCAGTCCACAACGCTCCAGTTGTATGCATACTACAATTACTGTAGTTAGAAATACTGTATCCACATCAAGTAAGCATGCAATTGCTGGCTTGCAATGAGGACCAGAAAGGCGGACCGAGCCGTGCCTCACACTTGCATCGTTCTGATTCGTAATTCACCAGGGTTGTTGGTGCCTAGAGCGGTGCTTCAGCCAACTTGAACAATGGATGCCTGCCTCTTCGGCACGGAGTGTAGCGTTGGGAGTTGGAATTGGCCGCAGCGGTGGATCGCAAAGCAGAAGGAACCCCACCCAACACACACCTTTAAAGTTCACTGTTGCCAAAAGTTGATAAAAATAGACAAACGAGTCCATTTGCGTTGCAGTCTGCTTGGATTCGATGCCAACACCACCACCGTTTGGGCGCGATTGCAACGCGAATTAAGAAGCTATCCGCATCTGTTGTGACCTTTCCAAGCGCCAACATTCCCTCCTCTTTCAACCTCTCTTGTAACGGTTCTTCCTGTTTTCATTTTTTCTTACTCTTTTGCTACATGAACCTGTCCTGCACTCGAATGCCCCACCAGGTCTCTCAGATCACACGACAATGTCTTGGCTCTTAGCGGTAGGAGCACTTGTTCCTCTCTTGGTAGCAGCAAGCTTCCTCAGTTGGGTTCGATCCTTGCTGAAGAACTATGCCGCCGCCCGAACCATTGGCGTTCCTATACGTGTCATCCCCTTCAGCCCTTTCAACCCTTTCTGGTCCCTCGTTGACCGAAAAGTCGTTTCGCTTCTCCGGCGTCTACCCTACATTGGAGAAAATAATGTCACGCGCTACAACTGGCGTGGATGGGACCTAGAAGACAGGTGGAAATGCCACTATCAGATGGGAGATGCCTTCGTGCTTGTGACGCCTCAGTACAATATGCTCCAACTCAACAACCCTGACGCTACCACGAATGTCTTCAAGAGAGCCACCGACTTTCCACGGCCAGTATGGGTCAACGATGTCCTTGCTGTCTTCGGCTCCAACATATCTACGGCTGAGGGTCAGTCATGGAAGACCCAGCGAAGAGTCGCGACTCGTTGCTTCAATGAGCCAAATAATGAGATAGTATGGTCCGAGACTCTTGACCTGTCCCACGACATGCTTCGTTATTGGACACGCAAATCCTCCGTTAATTCCGGCGCCGGGGACATCCGCACGCTTACGCTCAGCGTGCTTGCTCGTGCCGGATTCGGCAAGTCATTCAAGTTTCGGGGATATGACGAAGAGACACCAGACGATGAGATGCAATCTATGAGCTACAGGGAATCCCTGGGCATCATACTGGAGAATTGTATCGTTATCCTGGCCCTTGGCCCCAAGACATTAGCATCTTTGGCCCGTTACTGGCTGCCTTCCAAGCTCAAGACTGTGAATCAGGCAGTCATCTCATTCCAGACACACATGACGACAATGTATGAGGAGCAGAAGCGTGCGTTCGCGGTTGGTGAAAAGAACTCGGATAATAACCTCATGACACTTCTGGTCCGTGCTTCTCAAGAAGCTGCCAACGAGCGGTCCGAGGGCCTGACCGAGAGCGAGATATATGGCAACATGTTCACGTTCAACTTCGCTGGCCACGATACAACAGCCCACAGCTCTACGTTTGCCCTATACTTCCTCGCGGCGAATCCTGAAGTCCAGGATTGGATTTCCGAGGAGATCCAAAGTGTCCTTGGAGACCGGCAGCCTCACGACCTGGATTACCGTGCTGACTTTCCCCGTTTCAAGCGGTGTTTATCAGTATTATATGAAACCTTGAGACTCTACACCATCGTTCCCGCGATCAAATGGACTGGAGAGCACCCGACAACTCTTGCTTTAGGCGATAGGACATTAAACCTGCCCCCGAAGACCATCATACTGCCCAGTTATTGCTCCATGCACACGGATCCCAGGTACTGGGGCTCCGACTCGCTGACGTGGCGGCCCTCGCGCTGGATCCGGCCTGACAAGACAGGAAATACGCCGGGCGACGAGGAAATAGATATGAACCAGCGTGGCGTGTTCCTGGGATGGTCTGAGGGCACACGGGACTGTCCCGGCAAAAAGTTCTCCCAAGTCGAGTTTGTAGCTCTCATGGTAGGGCTGTTCGGGCAGTGGCGCGTCGAACCGGCTAAGGAGCATCCGGGTGAGAGCACAGAAGCCGCACGTCAGCGCGTCTTGAAACTTATTGGGGAGGACTCTGGATGGGTTCTGCTGCTGCAAATGTTGCATCCAGAGCGGGCGCCGTTAGTGTGGAGGAAGGCGAGTTAGCTACTCATGACATTGAATGATGCTGAAGCCAGTTTAGCCACCTATCGTTTCATGTCTAGCCTAAACAAATTTTCACATTGATATTCATCTGAAGCTCAGCGGCATATAGATATATCTAATTTTCTTACTGTTCCAATTAAGTGCATGGAAAAGCTTCAAACTTCCGACTAGATAGAAAAATCTAAAAACTTTTCTCTCCTCATTGTCCCAAACATTCAACTATTCTCCTTTGGGGCAACAAAATCGTACGTGTTACCAAGCCCGTCCTTTCTTATAGCTTGAACTGTACTCTGACTACAGGCGGAACGGAAGACTTCTTTACATACAACATGGGCAAAAGGACAGAGAGGGGAGGGGGGGAAAGATCATACGATCAGATTTCAATCTTTCATCCAAACGTTTGTTGTTCGAACAGGATTCTAAAACCTCAGTCATCACTTTCCTCCGAGAGAATGACGGAAGGAATCGCACGACACATATCATATGCATAAGTGCCGCATTCAATGTTGGCAGAGCAACTCTCCCTCGATTCAAACGGACTCCACTTATGCATCCTCAAAGCTTCCAGGCTCAGATCTTCCTTCTGCTAGCCGTCCAGCGGTCGCGCTACCTTTTGGTAAAACTGCGCGAGGTCTTCCTCGTCCCACAGTCCGCTCGCCACGGCGACATGCGCATCAGCCAGGGGAGACGAAGACACAGATCCAGAGTGATTTTTCTCCATGACTTTATCACCTTTTGTAATCTGGTGCTCACCATCTTCCGTCAAACGGAAGCCATTCAGCCTGAGGAACATATCCGCCGCGGCGACACTTGTGCGCTTGTTACCGTCTGAGAACGAGTGATTAAGCGCGATTTTATGTGCTAGTACAGCAGCCAGGTAGAAGATGTTATCGTTGCTTGTGTAATGATGCTGATTGATGGATGAAAAGACGGCCGAGTCGAGAAGAGAGCGCTGTGCGGACATGGAGGAGATAATACAAGTGCGGTAGAGTCGCACGATCTGATTAGCGGTGAGGAAAATAGGCGACCTGCCCATATTAACATATCGGCTGAAGACAGATGGCATTAATGGATGAGACTGTGGGAGCAAACCGTCCTCTAATTCTGCATTCAAGTGTGGCTGGTCACGATGGGCTACAAATGGGCCAATGCCGTGGGAGCGAATCATCCCCCAGAAGGACCTTGCCGGGCCCCACCATCCGACCCAGACCTTTTTCCACGAAAGGAGGGCGCAGCAGGGAACACTTTGCTTTACCTGCATGCCATTCTTTCCACCCACACTACCTTGGTAATTCACAACGTACAGACATGTTATCGCCATCCTCGACCAAGTCAGTCAGTCATGCGGCTCGAGCCATCGTTGGGATACTGAGGACTCGAGTGAGACGACAACCTCTATGGCGCCGACATTTTGGGACTTTTTACGAAGCGAAGGCTCGTCTGGTCACAATAGACAACTTTGGAGTGCTGGGCAACCGAGAGGTCATAATTTCTCGAGCCGGTGAAAACGACTCCTCCGTGGTGATAGATCGCGAGGTCGGCTTTGCAATGAAGTCTGCCATTGTGCGGCAGTTCGGTGTGTCACTCACCAGAGACCTCGAGGCCATTCCGCTCAAGTTTTACCACAAATCTCTTCATTTTACACACGGTATGACACGAATCTGTGGAGCTTCTGTTTAGTCCTAAAGTACTGATCTTGTCAGAGCTCCTGCCATATCCACGCCTAATCATTGACAAGGGGCTTACTGGACCAGAATTGGGTGACATCAGCGCAGCCACTTTGTGGCTCTGGGCACCAGCATCGAGTGAAATCACACTGGATGATACTCCTGATCGCAAGTCGCGGGGCAAACTTGGTTGGACATTGCAGAGCTGACAAGAAATCAGATCATTTCACGATATCTTCTCGAGAAAGTTACAGTAGGCTGAAACATGTGTTAAATGAGCTCAAGGATAGGTGACTGACGGCCATACACGTTGGGGCCCCTAATTGCAATCCCATGAGAGACCAATCATATTTTTGAGATGGTCTTTTGGCTTCGTCCTTCGTAATCAACAATCCATATTCCACTTCTGTGGCAAATGATCTCTTAATCCATCACTACGTCATAGTCTGTCATTTTGACTCCTTGCGACGTAGCTGGTGTACTAGCTACAAGGGCGTTTTATTATGGGAATGCTTGTGCATGTGTAGCTATTTTCCATGCTCTTTGGGACATACCCGGCGTCACCAAGCATGACACTCTGCTCCGATCTATGTGAGCCGCATCGGACGAGGGGGCAGCTGATTGGTCGGTCCCCGTTTTTTGGGACTGCCCTACAGACGGCCTGACAAGATTTAAAAGGAGACCATTTGACGCCAGGCGCCTCCATACTTCCGTACTCGACAAGTTTCCCCCACTCACCTTCACTCAGCCTTCACATCACCCGGAACAAAATGCCACCAGCCGGCCAGGCCCCATCCAAACGGCAGCTTGCCTTGAGCTGGCGCGATGAGGACATTATTTCCGCCTGGACGCAGACACCCCAATTGAAACCTGACGGCAGTGCTGTGACGGGCTTCGGTTTCCCCCCACAGCAACCCATCGCTCACGTCAAGGTCGGCTTACCACATATACTTCAGCCAGAACTGCGGAACCATGAGTATGTATTGAAAGCTCTAAGGAACATGCCACCAGAGCAGACAAGAGGAATTCGCATCCCTGAGGTCTACCGCACACTCCAGAGCGGCGACTGGTTCTATATTATCATGGAATACATCCCTGGAAAGACGCTGCAACAGTTGGCAGACCAGAGGGACTGGGGTGAATCCCAACAAAAAGCTCTAACCAACAGTATTGCAAGGGCTATGAGGCTGCTTATGTCAATAGCAGTGCCTGCAGGGCAAACGCCTGGCCCTGTTGGTGGTGGTCAAATCCGGCATCCCCTGTTTAAGGATGACAGTTCGTTTTGCAATTACTTATCAGTTGACGAGCTTGAGAAGCATTTGAACGATGTAAGCAACTGCATAGGGACCCCCGGTTTACTAATATAACCTCGGTTCTGATCGTGGCTAACACGAATTACTGCCCAGGCTGCCACCCTCAGAGATAAGACGGCCCCGACTGTAAGCCTTGAGAGGAGCCTATGTTTCTATTATAGTGACTTCTACGCCAGCAACTTTATCTTTACTGATTCTGGCGACGTTTGTATTATCGACTTTGACCAGGCCGGGTTTTTGCCTCCCAGCTTCATGTCCTTTGCCCTGGCCGAAAGCCATTGGGCACCCGGGCGTTGGGTCAAGGAGGTACTAAAGCTCCCTGAGCACAACCTTCCGGCTATGAAACATATTCATTACTTTTTTATGATAGGCGGTTCTTCATTTGGTGAGTGGGAGAACCCTGCCCTTGATGTAAAACTAAACCCCCAGATAGCTAATATCAAATTGCTCATAAAAGGTCTCCCGCGTCCTCCTAAGAAGAAAAGGATATAGAATGGCCTTTTGTGCCCACAATGTTTCCTTGTCAAAGCCATGAACATGTTATATACATGGGGCAGCGGCGATGAGATCCGAGAAGGAAAAGAAAACGGCCGTGGTGGCGATGTTACATAGAGAGCGAGATGAAGAGAGAAGAACACCACACGGCAGGGGTGAACATGGCATGCCATGCCTCCCTGGATAGGTAATGACCTCAGTGTCTTGATTTTCGGGCCTCTTGATTTACTAAATTGGAAAATACAGTGAAGAGCGATCCTTACAGACACACAAACACACACAATACAACCATCGGCAGAGACTGAAAATGGGATTCGTTCATTTAGATATAACACTTATAACAAATAAGCATGTCTTGAAAGATATCAGAGAAGCATAGACCCAAGCTGATGTAGAATTATGCGGATCAGGATTCTTTGGTCGCCAACTTGCGTTTTCTCTTCTGTCAATGTTTGATAGGCAAAGACGCCTGCTACTCATTTCCTGATATGAACACAGTTGTCAGCAATATGCATTCTTGACTGCTGTTTCAAAAACCCTCCTCCAAGCTGCGCCATCAAGTTCCCCCATCCGTCGATAGCCTACACAATATTCAAGTAATAATAGGATCACCGAAGGTGCTCGAATAGACTTTCTTGCTGCCGTCGTTTCACCTTACAGGAACTCGGCCGTCTCGGCAATATCCCACATCTCGTCGCGGTAGGTGGTGAAGCCGCCCGGGTTCCCACCCGCGGGTATAAACTGAGTGGTGTGAAGGTACTCCTGGCCTGTTAACGTGGCCGGTTTTGGGTGCGGTTTTCTTTAGTGGTTTACCTAGTGAAAAATGCACCTAAAACTTGCTTACACCCCTTATCATTGTAATAGGGCGGGCACGTTACGGTGGCTGCCTGGGCGTAAGCTGCGTTGCACGGAGAACGCACGTCAGATTCTAGACCGGTTTTTTGCCGGCAGATCACATGCGTGATGACATCGACCATCCTCTGCGTCTTTTGCGCAAATTATGGCCGCATGAAAGAGTCCTTAAAGGATGAGGCTCAAAAAAAGCCTCTCCTGGATGGCATCCATGAAGGTGCCTCAAATAGCGGTACCCCATCTCTGATGTCTCCATGAAAGACCCCAAATACGACTGGATGGACTGTTCTCTTCAACCTTCCTACGCAAAGTAACTTTTTCGACTTTTCCTTTGCAGCAGCAACATCCAACTCGATACTATCAATTGATGGAGAACAAGAATAATCCTTTGTGTTATTTTGGATGGAGTGGTCTCTTGATAATCGTATTTGGGGCTTTCAGTCTTGGTTATGGGTTCTCCCAGTCGAATTTCTCGGCCCATCGCAAAGGGCTCATAATCGCCGGCAGTGTGGCCGTCGGAATAATCTGTGTAGGGATCCTTACATGCGTCTTAGTGAGCTGGTACCGCAAGAGGCAGACCAGAGTTGGCGACGAAGAGCTGGTGGTATCTCAGCCGACACGGCGTCAGCCAGATCACCAGCCACCCATGACTACAAATCCCGTTGGGTCGTGTGCCATTGAAGGCACAGATGCGCAACAACCGAACCAACGCGATTCCTTGCAGCAAAGCGGCGTTCATGGGTTGCCGGAGAAGCCGCCACCTACGTACACGGAGGTTGCTAATGATCGAGTCTATCGCGACCCAAACCCAACAAGCTTGCTCAATGTCTGAGTAAGAATCTCGATCCCACGACTTCGAACCTCATTACGAATTGAAGGACAGGCCTTTCTTTCAGCGGGGAGGATGAAGGAAGTCATGGGTGGTTTCATGGTTTTGGTCGAACATAACAATAATGCGGCGTCCAGAATCCATTGTTCTCCTATCCGGTTAATATATGTGCTCGATGCTCATTGCTTTCTAGCTCAGTGTTGGGGAGTTTTGAAAAGCGTCAAGTCACCTATGGGCAGAAGAGGTTTGGGATTGATAGCAATGATTTCGGAGCTCAGGATTATTTCTGCAATTGAATTTCCACTTTCATGACGTATGGCTGAATACAAGGGCCGATGCCTCGAACACTGATAAGCGTATGCCTTGGGACAGGGTGCATTCCACCACCTCACCATGGTAGCTTGAGTGGTGTGGATAAGCCCTTGCCCAGCGTTGCCTCGGCTGTACCGATGTCACCTGGAGAGAGTCAGTGCGGCCTTTCAATGAGTGTTGAAATACAAACTACTCACCCGGTCCTCTCGGAGCCCAGTACTCGCCAGTCTTGCTGATGTCCAGCTTCTCTGTCCACTCTATGAGACTGGTCGCCGCCTCATCAGTTGTCACAGCTGTGTCGAACACCAAAAGTCAGTACTGAACACAAAGCAATTGGGAGATAATCTGCATACCGCCACCTTCGTCCCAGAACTTGTCAAATCCTACGCCTTTGGTCATGTCACTCCGCATAAAACCAGGATGGACGATGCTAATCACCACACCTGCGTCTTGGAGATCCAGGCTCAAGAGTTTACCAACCATGTTCAAAGCTGCCTTACTCGCATGGTGGGCGTAATTTCCACCGCCCTCGGACTCGTGACGTAGCGTGATGCTTCCAGACTCGGACGAAACGAGCACCACCTTTGAGCCCTTCGATAGCAGCCCAGCGTGAAATAGCGCGTGGACCAGGAACACGGGGGCGATCGAGCTTGTAGTATACATCGTGACTTCCTCGTCCCAGTTCGGTCCCTTGTCGTGGAAGTCTTCAGTAGTGAAGCGACCGGCCGTGATAATCTGTCTCATGTATCAGGGCTTGCTTGTGTGCTGAAGGTGCAAATTGTGGTGGCAGTACTCACCACGAGATCCAGTGGCTTCTCGCCCTTCAGCTGGCGTGCAAGATCGTCGCCTACTTTGGGCTTCTGGAGGTCGATGTCTGACAGCCATTTGACGTTGTTTGGAAAGTCACTGGGCACCGATGATCGTGCAGTTGCAAACACCGTGCTTGATGCCTGGGAGGCGTACTGCTTGGTGAGAGAGGCTCCCAGGCCTCTAGTGGCGCCCACAATCAGTGCTCTGACCATTGTGACTGTGTGGTCTGTTTCGAAACGTCTTGGCGCTCTTGATCTCTGCAAGCTTGGTAAAGACAAGGAGGGGAGTATTTGTTTTGGGCTGTGTTTTTGAGATGGGCTTTAAAGACGCGAGATGGTGTCATTCCCGTCATGACGTCAAAATGAACATTGGTAGAGGCAGGCTGGAGTGATTGCTATCAGATGACTGCTGCAAGTTGGGAAGCAACTGTTAGTGCACAACACAGCCAGCCACTCGAGAGATGCACTCGAGAGATGGAAAGGGAGAAGCAGTTTGCCTCCTTCCTATGCAAGCTTTTAACCAAAGTTCATATGACAGGCAGCTGAAGACACAATTAACGCATGAATAATATTGAATTCTTAGGTTCCCTGATTCTGGTACCTAGGTTATAACATGCTCGTGCGCCATCACCCTACTGAACAACAAATTGTTCTGAATGCGACTTGTACAACGTTGTCGAGTCCAGGATTTCACCGGTGGACGACCGAATAAAGTTAATCTCCAAATTGTTCTCATCTTTAAAGCTGAGGGTGGCATAGCTGAAGTCATCAGCATAAGCGAATCGGTTCGATGAGATATTCGTCCCAACCGAGCTGAGTCCTTCAATATTACCCGCCCCTCCTGCGACGATGTACATTGGGCTCTTGGGATCGTTCAATCCCGCCGGGTCGACGACGCTGTTGTTCACCGGCGCAAAGCGTTGGGAGTTATGGACGTGCCCGAAAACGCCCAGATCGACGCCGTACTGGTAGAACACCGACTCAAATGCCGCCTGGCATGCGGTGCAGAGGTTGTCACTCCCGCCTGTCGAGTACCACGGGCGGTGGCCGCCGACAATGACCCAAGGGGTCACGGTGCGATCGACTGAAGCCAAGTCCGCTTTCAGAAAATCGAGCTGCTGGCCTGTGTATCCAAAGGGCCCACCATCTAGACTAGCAGAACCGAAAGGCAGGTCTGGGGCGTTTGGGAAGTCGGTCTCGGTGTCGATCATTGTGACATGGACCATACCATACTCAAACGAGTACCAGAATGGCGGGTTGGCGAGCAACTTTGCCTTATTGGCGTTGACCTTGGCGGTGGCATCTGACGACGTAGACGAGAACGCGCTCGGCATGTTCTTACCGAAGCGCACATTGAAATCCGTGAAGTTTTTCTGCCCTTCAGGACAGATTGTTTCAATGATCAGCGTGCCAACTTCGGCACAGTCCGCCTCATGGTTACCAGGGCTCGCCATGTACGGCTTTCGGCTGGCGATAGGAGACAGCTGGTTATAGAAATTCTCAGTTATAGCCTCGTACGTGTTGGCGCCGTCAAGTAGGTTATCGATGTTGAGGATCCAATCATCGGCATACGCCAGATCGCCAGGATGCATAACCCATTCATAATCGTTGAAGTTCTCGGCCAGGCGCCCTATGGTCGTATGGTTTAGGGCAGGATCTATTGTAGGAATTGTGTCCCGCTTGGTAGTATCGCCCTGGATAGTATAACCATTTGTCCCGTAGACCCCAAGATCAATGACAACACTTGTCGTAAAGGGAGTCTTATCACCTGGAGCCCGTGGGCTCATAAAACTCTCAACGGTCGAGTTGGTGGAGACAATCTTGTAGTAATAGGTTTGGCCTGCGGTCAGGCCACTGAGAATGACAGTATTGGACCAGGTCCGGGACGTGTTGTAAGTCACAGAGATGTCTGAGCATTGCTCGAGGTCGAGATTGCTGCTACTTGTTCCATACTGGACGCATGGCTGGGCCAGCTGCTCAAACGTGTTCCACCCAACTGAGATGGCTATTAAAAAAAAAATCAAAAATTCGTAAGTCAGCTTGATATCACACATCTAGACTTCACTGGGTGACATATGGCATCGCAAAGAACCCAGCTTACAGTTGGCGCCGCTAATAGCCAGGCGTTGCTGCACCGGAGTTGTCTTGTCAGAAGGAATAGCAGGATAATTTGCCGCGGCGATAACTATCGAGGCAAATAGGGGCAAGCCCCTGGCACAGTTCAAAACAGTGGCCATGATGATGGAGACGGACTTAGTACTGAGTATTAGTACCACAGCGAGCAGAGTAAGACATCATGCAGACAAACCAGCACGGCCTGGACATCATAGCCAGGCGCCTACATGATATATCAAGCTTGGCAGTCGACGGAGCGGCCCGCAGACATGTGTACATGACCCGTATCTAAAGCAGTTTTCTGGAGCGAGGCCGAGATTGCGAGGTATGCATGCACGCACGCGATGGCACTGGACCTAGTAGTGAGGATGACTGCTCCGGGCTTAGCGTGCTCGTAAAAGTCCTCTAAGTCAACCCGTGGCATACGCGCGTGGTGCTGAAGGTTGACTCGTGGGCCTATCTATTGGACAGAAGGATCCCACTATGCCGATTGTGCCGACCACGTACGACCCAATCTCAGGACCCAGAAAATGGGTCACATTACTAGGAGGGGAAGGTACGGAAATGACGGATTGCTAATTCAATGCTTGCTTCTGGAGGAGCCACCCCCGGCAGACAGCCCCTGTTAAAGACGCTGTCGGTCGACGTATTTGTCTTGATCACCGGTCCATGGCTGTTATGACAAGGTGACGCGCGTTAGTTTCATTGCATACAAACTACGACCCGGGTCAGCATCGAATTTATGTCGTATCTAAGCAGTCGACTGACTGTTTTTGTCAGATTCATTGCTGCCGACTTTTCTGATCGTGCATAGACTATTGGACGAGAGGCCTCGCAAATTTCGTAACATCATCAAGATCATGGGAGCTACTGCGAGTATGCGATAAGGACAATTTCCAGAACAAGACTCCCTTTGTCACACTAGAAGCAACGTATGGCGTTGTTGAAAACATCGTCGTTTGTTTTTGATTCTTTTCGGTTTCACTTATGTCTTATTGCCCTGATGAGGACCTTCAAGGCCCTCTCTGTTTCAAGACTGGGACATCTGGAGGCACTAGACGTGCCTGGGCTTCTTGGGTCTTTTAGGACTATATAAACTCACTATGAACGCTTTAGTATTGGATCCAGCATCAAATTTCATTGTCTTGGTTCGAAACAGTCTGTGACAAACTTTTATCTCGCGGGATGCATTTCAAGGAACTAGTCCAAAGGAAACGAAAGCAAGCTTATCACAACCAAGACGCAGTACGGTAATCAAGTCTTTCGAAATGAATTAGAAGGCGTGTAATCGACGATGTTTTGTCGATCACAGTAACGGTGCAGCATTCCCATCGCCCCGCATGTCGCTTCCGGCGGAGTATACCGTTCGACCTTCAACCGGGTCTCGATGGACGCGGACAATCTGCCCTCGCCCGAACAGCGATCGCTCCATGCTTCTCACAATCTTGACCTCATGCCCCATCTCCTGTAGCTCGCGAACCACATTCCCACCTACTCCTTCCTCAATATACACTGTCCTGTCAACGGTCTTGCTTGGGTCAGTTGACTTCCCAGGTAGGCTGACCCCGATGCAAATCCTGGGCGCATCAAGCGCCACCTGAGGGCTCATACCGAACCTGAGCATGTTCATCAAAACCTGAACGTGACCTTGCGGCTGCATGGCACCACCCATCACGCCAAAGACACTATGAAGAGACCCATCAGATGCATTCGTCACCATCGCTGGAATTATTGTATTGTAAGGTCTTTTGCCTGGCGCATAGAGGTTAGGATGGTGGTCAGGCCCAAGGTGAAAACCAGATCCACGGTTCTGAAGAACGAAACCAGTGCCTGGAGGGATGATGCGGCTGCCAAAGTTGTCCGCAACACTGTTGACAAGTGAACAAGCATTTCCCTCCTCGTCTGTAACGCAGAGGTAGACTGTGTCGCTGGTCTTGTGCATCCCGCTCAGATCTCCAGGATCTGCGATATCTGTAGACCTAGCCGGATCAAACAGTTTGGCACGTTGAGCCAGATACGACGAAGAGACTAGGTAGCTTGGATGGACGGTGTGTGCAGGGTCCGTTATGTACCAGCTGCCGTCTGCAAAAGCAATGCGTAATGCTTGGATGATGGCGTGAAGATACCTGACAGATGAAATGAGTAAATTCGACCGGACGTAGCGCAAGGCATCACTACCAAACAACCGCATGACTACTTACTTCGAGGAATTGTGATCCGCACCTGTGAAATGCGGGATCTTGCCATCTTTCTCCAGCTCGGCAAGGACACCAAGGGCCATCTGAGCCACTATTCCCTGGCCGTTGGGCGGGTGCTCCCACAAATCTACAGAATCTTTGTTGGATAGCAGGTCGAGTCGAATCGAGACGGGCTCTACCGCCTCACTGGAGTGACTCTTGAGGTCATCAAGAGTTAGGTAGCCGCCGTACTTTTGGCTGATTTCTATGATCGCCTCCGCGACTGGCCCTTCGTAGAAGCCACTCTTCCCATGTTCAGCAAGAAGTTCGAATGTTCTCGCCAAAGACCTGTTCTTGATAATTTCTCCTGTTCTAGGAGCTCGATAGTGCCCAGGACAAGATGGATCGTACTTGAGCAGTCCCTCATCAACAACCTTGCTCTGCAGTTCCTTTTCTGACTTTTGCCACTGAAAGCACGTGTTAGTCAACTGAGTAGACATTGAGACGCCGAAAACCTTGAAAATTGGCGGCCCTTACATTGTAGCTCGATATTTCACTGATAGCCACACCCTCATTAGCCATTCGAATGGCAGGTGCAAGGACCTGTGAAGCCGTCAACTCGCCAGAGCCGTACTTGTCGATGATATCAAGCCAAGCAGCTGCGGCACCAGGTACAGTGACAGAGTGGATCGATGTGTTTGGAATTGATCCAGAGTTTCGTTCCGTGATATTCAATTCTCTGCAGATATCATCCACGTTTGCGTTCGCCGGCGACCTTCCCGACCCATTTAGCGCGTGGACCTTTTGAGTCTTGGCTTCGTAGAAAAGACAGAACGCGTCTCCTCCAATACCAGTCATTGATGGATCAACAAGGTTCAGCGCCGCCGCTGCGCCTATGGCTGCATCCTGATTTCCAACGTCATTACCCGTAGGCGTGCTACTGTCAAGGGCTGACAAAGGACTGTAGACTTACTGCGGCATTGCCCCGCTCCCTCAGGATTTGAAGGCCAGCTTCCGTTGCGAGGGGTGAACTTGTGCTCACGATGCCTCTAGTACTATGTACTACACTCCGGCGGCTGGGAAAGCGAATGAAGGCCTCATCTTCCGAAGGATGAGTGCCAGGCATCGGTTCGTCCATGCCTGATTCCAAGCTCTCCGCGAACCTCGAAATAATGAATACAAAGTTTCCAGGATCAACCTGTGGGCCAATCTTGCTGGGAAGATTAGAAGGCCAGGTTCGTTGACTTGATCCTGCGAGCGATGGTGTTTGTGCTGGTAGTTTGAAGTCGTGTCACCAGCTGAATCGGACCGTGGTAGTTGCTGTTTGCACCGATAATCGGCCCACCTAGCTAAGATGCAAGTTTGTGCATGATGCAATGCATCTACGGAAGTGATTGGCCGAGGTAAGACAATACTGCTTGCATGCAAACAGGGTACCTAGATACACAAACTCAGCGTACAAATCCTGGGGCTCACCTTCGATTCAATTTGATGTGGAATAAACTCATACGCAATTATTTGTTTCCCAAAGTACAAGTATCAAAATTGACACAAAAACTGAGATGGAGGCTAGCGCAAAATGGAGTCCGAACAACCCCCTTCTAAACACGTTTGGGATGAGCTTCAAATACCGACATTTCGAACACGGCATATTAGCAGAAGAAGCACGATTGATGACAAGATCGTCATATGTCATAAGTGATGCCCAGCCGGAACTCAGATTAGGTGAGCAGCCACTTATGTTCGCGACTGTCAAACGAATAGATAGCTGAAGAATTGACAGGAAGTCAGCCTTCGTTGTTTGTTAATAGGGTTCAGGCAATTTTTCAAGACCTAACTATTCTTGCGAGCATTTTTCCGGCGCCTCTCACGGCATGCATTTTGTCTGTCCCCGTTCCTGCGTACGTCGTTCTAGATTTATATCTGGAGAGACACTGACATGCATATCGGATGATTGTAATCCCTCTGTATGAAGTTGATGGGACCCAGAGCATGTGGAAATTGACAAATCATATACGCACTTTTGAGATCTCAGGAACATGGTCCTCGAATAAGTGAAAGTCAGCTTCAGTTCTAGGCTCGGCGTGTTACTTCCATACGTTTCCTTAGTCCATGCAATGGCAGCGCTGTTAGTACCCGAACATGGTCAATTGTCATGGACATACTATGGACGATTTATGCGAATAGGGCAGGGACACGAGCTACAGAACGGAGTGCTTGTATTGAAATGACACATGAGCACATTAATCAGTTCCCGATCGAAGGGATTCTACTATGTCTTCGCAATTATTCATTATAGGATGATTCTATCTGGTTGTGGAAGCTTTAGTCATACTGCAGTCTCCCCATCGAAACACCTTTTCATCCATGCATGCTGTCAAAGCAAATATCTGCAATTTTGGTTGCATTAGTAATTCGATCCATAGCTACCAGGTGTGATATCATAGCTTACTTGCATGTTTGATCCGTAGATGGCAGCCCGTCCCCTACACGTTCTCAGTCTCCAGTGGCTTTTACCGGCAAACGTAGGCCGTGCTTCTCATGTGGGCACGAGAGGTGTATGGGCGCATTCTTGTGCTGAAAACTGGTATAAGCGGGAGACAGTGCCAACTGAAAGACTTTTCCCCATTGGAACGGTATGACGCTGTTCACAGGAACGTGGTTCAAGCTGTCCTGGCTCTTGGCCGAGGTGGAAAGTGAGCTGTCTCTTCGAGAGTCTCGATCCTGACCCTGCGTCTGGCTAGAATAAAAGGTGCAGACTATGGGCGGCATTGTTGCTCAAACAATATCGTGTACGGTCAGAAAGCGGAGATTGTGATTATCTTGAAGATTAGCATCTCCAGGGTAGACGGCTGGTGGCGGCCTTAGAACATTGGTCGAGTTTTCGCCCGGCCCTGCCCATATGTCCCATCCGAGTTGTTGTACATCCCTGTTCAATCCATATCTTGAACGCAAGTCATCACTGTGTTCTGCTTCGCACAGGCAAAGGTCTTCTGCCGCGCTCTGCTCGGGGCTCTCGAAAACCGTCTCGGGTATCATGACGGGAACTTGGTAGTATTCGTGATCCTCCAAGACCGAGACCGGGTGTACCGATGCTCTTGATTCCATCGTGGATCTAGTCTGGCTACTCCCTGTGGTGCTAGTCGTACTAGATGATGTCCAGTTGCCGTTATTTCTTTTTGGAAAGAGGAGATTTGGAAGTGAACGATGCATCTTATTTTGTTTCATATTAATAGGCAGGCTTTCGCCAAGTAATTTCCTCTGGAATGGGCTGAACTTGTCGTCTTTGTTTCGTGAGCCCCCGCATACTGAAAATAAGGGTCGTAGCAGAGGTGCGCAAGCTGTGTGCACGCCATGGTCAGCAAAGCCGATAATGACTGGAGCAAGGAAGCACTCACCTGAAACGACACCAAAATTGACCTCGACGTTGGCCCAAATGAACATACTTCGAATGTTGTACGATAGATCGTGAGATTTTTGATCGAGACGTAGAGAGCCAACAATGACAAAACATGTCCCCAAGCAGGTTCTGGCGAGTTTTTGAGCGGATTGCACATGGTGACATATGATGGGGTCGGGGATCTCACATGAATCCAAACAAGAACAAGATCATAACACCGAACTTGCGACATAGACTTAGTCGAAGCTTCCTCAGTTCGAATAAGGGAAGAGCAATGATCAAGATGTCTAGCGTGAGATGACTGAACGCGCCGCCGGGGAACAATTTTCCATCGTCGATAGGGCATCGTCCAGGCGCTGATGGGTCCCAGTATTTGTATACTGGTATGCAGCGGACAACCCCTAGCGTAGCCTAATACAAGCGGCCTGTTAGAAAGCATAGCTTTCGGCTGGAACAAGAGCGTCGAGATTGAAACACGTACTCTAATCACGATCCACAGGACCGAGCAAGTAGCAAGCACAATGATGGGGTATCTCAGGCGGCCGAGCGAAAACATTCGCCAGTACAGGGCCAAAACGGCGAGCTTCGCAGAACCAACAGCTAATGCGTAGAATAATGCAAGGAAGAAGAGGTTCATTTGTGCGACCTTCAGCGACTGACTTGGCGACATCCACGATATCTCAGCCAGGTGCAGACCAAGGCCATCACAGACCCCTAGGTACCGAAGTCAGCCATGTTTAAATACATACATACTTAGAAAGGTAAATACTTTGCGTTCAGCGTGGGGTGACGTACACTTGATACCAACGGCGCTGTTTCCGACTGCCCATATCTGCACCACGTACACTTCGGTCAACAACTTGTCCCCTTCACAGCTGCAGCATCTGGCCAGGCCGTTCTGTAACTCACATAAGTAAGCAGTGCCATCCAGTCATCCCACCAGAGCCGAGTCTTGGTGACCCGTCGGGCGAGCAGGCGCAGAGCAATTGCGGTTGTAGACATCATCCACGGTATAACCAAGGACACAATCCCGGGCACCTGTGTGCTCTTCATCGCGCGTGAAACACCTGGACAGAGCTATAAGGCTCGCAGCAGCGCATCGTGGCCTCCACAACGACTCCCAGCAGCAGCTTGATGAAAAGCGACGACAAAGATTCGCGCCAAAATGGGTCAATCGCTTTCCACGTCGCAGGCCGGTGATCAGTCGACGTTTGATGAGACGGTCAGGAATGCAGAGTCCGAAGCATTCACCGACGGCATTTGGGCGGCCTTATTGATGAGGGCATGACGGTTGCCACACTGGGCAGCCTATTGCCCGATGCAGCACCCCACGAGTCAGAAACCGGCAGCTCAATGCGACAACGCCAACTTTGTTGATGTCGCTCCAAGGGTCGCCGCCGCCCGATCTGGGCTTCTGGCACACCCGGTGAGGGCAATCAGTGCCAAGAGATCATCCTCAGTGGTCAGATGCTGGAGTCTCCAACGGCATATAATTCTGTACGCCGGGAGACAAGCCGGGAATAACGAAATGCCTGGGAAACAGAGCGTCGAAACAAGGACCATCCAGGTGTCATTGAGGCCCTGAGCGTCAGACTCTCGGGCTCCAGAAAAAGCACGAGTCAAGGAGTGAGCTTGTGTTGTTGATCTGCCCTAAAGCTGTTTTCTGTAACCATCGTAAATTCATTACTAACTATTCTCGAAGCTGAACTCTATGTCAGCATCGAGAAGCATCGAACCCCTCCGCCTTCCTATTTTGACCCGTTTCATAATACATTGTTATAAAGCTCGGTTGTATGGTTCCATGCGAGTTTATGTTTAGGGCTGGAGCGCAAAGTGGCGCAGAGTCCTTTCAGCAGCGAGGCCGACGGCACCGGCTCCAACCACTGCTAAAGTCCATGGATTGGCGGCTTCCTGCGTCTTGGGCCAGAAACTGTTCTTGGTCGCCTTGTACTCGGCAAACTCGTTGGCCTTGGGCGAGCTGGTCTTAGCATACTGCGCCTCCTGGTAGGCCTCGGTTTGCGCATCCCCACCGATGTATCTCAGGAATGCATAGTTGGCGGCCGGTGCGAGAAGAGTGATTGGGTGGAGTTTGCCAGATCCCCAGAGGAAGAGAGGGAACGAGAAATGAACAAGAGCGTCGCCAAGGTAGCTGGAATGATAACGTCAGTGGAAGATCAAGCAGGACTCGATGGTGGCTGCTACTTACTTGGGATGGCGCACGATGCTCCAAACACCCTCACGGTTCAGAGTGACATTACCAGCCTTCTTGTGCTTGTTGAGTTGATAATCCGCAAGCACCTCAAGAGCGAAACCAGCACTGAAGACGAAGACGGCAAGATCGTGAGCCCATTCGATGGGTGCTGACAGAGACGAGCGAGCACTGTGGATTGTCAGGTTCCGCACTACGGGCTTGTACAGAGGGAAGAACTGCTCACCTAGCATATGGGTTGCGGAGAGACAGTGTGAAAGGCAGGGAAATGACAGCCTGGACGATTGCCTCCGGCAAAAAGTACTTGAAGAAAGCCTTGTTCCAAAAGCCAGGATCCTGCTTCTCCGCAAGATATCGACCATCATCAGAGTTGGACTTGGAGCTTCGAGACGCAACCTGGTAGAAGAGACGCGCGCCCCAGGCTGTGATACCGCCTAGGAGTACTTTATCTGGGTAGACCAGAGACGACAGGGCAGATCCAATAGACACGCCGTCATAGACAACGCGGATACCAACAGCACTCCACCAGGCGTTGACCACCGGGCTAACGGGCCAAAGCCAATCTTTTCCGTCAACACGGTTAGCAACCCGAGAGGCAGCATAGGCAGCAACACCGAGACTAGAGTGGAGGCCGAGAGAGGGCAGCAGCGTGTTCTTCAGGATGCCGACCGCTGTTGCATCACGCGGTATGTTGTACCTGTCAGTCGTGAAGTGGCCAGCATAGACTTCCTGCTCGGAGTATCCGCTGCTGGGACCTCGGACAGGGATCCCAATTCGGTCGGTGGTAGGGTTATTGGCTTCGGCTCGGCTCCAGTGCGATGCATATCGATCTTGCTCGGCACCAGAGGCACTCCAGACTGGGACATTGATGCCCTCAGCCTCTGGATTGCGAGCAGCGGAGCGGCTCAGATGAGCTGCGTATCGGTCCTGCTCTGCTCCAGATGCTGTTGGCACACGGAAAGAGACGCCTTCAGCCGCGCTGCTGCGCTGGGCCTGGCGGCTGAGGTGGGTAGCCCAGCGGTCTTGCTCTGCTCCTGAAGCTGTAGGAACAGGGACGGGGATCTCTCGGCTGGTGGGATTGCTGGCGTTGGATCCCCAGTGAGAGCCGAAACGGTCCTGCTCAGCGCCCGAGCCTCGAGGTACGGGGATTGGAATTGATTCGGTGGTTGGATTGTTGGGCTTGGACCCCCAATGGGAGGCATACTTGTCTTGTTCAGCCATTGTCTTCGACTGGCCTTGGATTTGAGGTTTGACTGGTTCTGGACAGTGGCAGAGAGAAGATGAAGGAGGATTGGACGCGCCCATTTAAGGGAGCTAGCTATAGCAGCTGGAGCTCACATGCAGTGACGTGATGGTTGGACCGATGTGTTACTAGCATGACATCACAATGATCGGCCGAGTACTGTAGGGCGCCGTACATAGTAATCATCAAGAAGATCACCATCTTCAATACTTTTTGACATGGGAAACTCGTTCAGAATCCGTCTGGCCGGCACATGGCCTTGATTGTCAGTCAGTTCATGACACTTCTATGTGGAAACTTTGACTACTCGTTCATGGGCATATCAAATGAATCCAGACCCTAGCCCTAACCTTTTTTTTTGGGGGGGGGGGGGGCTACTGTATCCCCGTCATGTATAAAGTGGTCAACCCCCATTCAAAAGATGATTGCTAGACTCGACGCCAAATGAAATATTTCCTTCTTACATCTTCTGCTTGCTATGCACTGGAGATTCTGGAGTACTTAAATGGAACCAGTTTATAATACAGGCGAGATCACATCTAATCTAAAATCCTAATCACCAGGGCACGTCCAAGTGCCACTGCCACGATTCGACCAGCTGACATTCGTTGCTACTAACCTGGGATTGAAGCACACGGCCAGGAGCATCTGGACATAGGTACGTGGGCAACCACCCTCAGAAGACTCGGCCTCGGTCATCTGTGTTAATTACCGAATTTGACGAGAACGAGACGCGAATATTTTGGATTTTTTTATCATCGGGCCTGGAAATTATCAGAGACCACTACACTGATGGCTACAAAACCTCATGATAGAAAGTACACAGATACGCGAGCTCCGGTGGCGATCAGATGCAAGCAGCACGTTCACTGGAGTATACCTGACAACTCCTCGGCAGAGATTGTTCATACCGGCACATCTGGAGAGAGAGAGGGTCAATGTACTACTTGGAAAAACGGATCACTTCGATGATTTGATATCCCCCGTGACACTTGCGTCAAGGAAATGTTCTCTTACTAGCTACCGGACCTATGTAAAGCCAGGAAAAGGAAGGATCTCAAGCCCGCCGTCGTCCAATTTGCCAGGGCAGCTCGAGTCGAGGCTGATGCACACCGTTGTCACTTCTTCGATGCCCACCAATTCACATGTGTTCATGGTGTTCATGAGCTTCTCGCTGACTGGCATCCGAAGGGCCCGGGGTTGACTTCACACGATTCATGGCAAGATGATCGGACTGCTTGCTGCGCCATGGGCCTGACCACAAGGTCGCAGTGCCTTTGGACGTGCCTCTTGGACCAGGACCAGGCCTTGATATCCGCGAATAAGACTGCTGGTGGCGTCAGTTGACACGCTCTCACATACTGGAGGGATGTTTATGGGTGTTCGGCGGGCAGGCAGGGCGTTCTGCGCTCTAATGTGAGGGCAGCACGGCACCCATATTTGGTGGAATTAGGTTGCATACGCAGGCAAAGGCTGCTACGGCGGCAGATGAGGAGGCCGAGGGCGATGAAGCTGTCTACAATCTCATATCCATCCCAGCGGGTCCCAAGTGGAGCATTGCGGTGCGGGAGCCTGAAGGATTACGGAGTGGGGGCCAATAATGGGTCAGCCCTCTGCGTCGTGGCTCAATCGTGAAGACTTCTCAGGTGCAGACAAAGCCAAGAAAGAGAAGTCTGGCTCAATTATACTTGCTTGACTTCATCACAAAGAGAGAAATTAGGCTGCATGTTCCGGTACTCTTTAGGTAGGCAGCCGAACCACAGCCTTTGTGACATGGTGAGACCCCGGGGTTATTCCTGCAACAGCCCCTGGCCTAGCCCAATCCCTTGTACTCAAGCGCTTACTTTCTTTCCAGGGCTAAGCTTTAGCTGCCTTTCGCCGAGGTGACTCAGCTGAGACTGCTATCAATCCATGGTCTCACAAATACTATATCAACATCTCAATCCCAGTGTTGCTCCCATGAATCCTGGCTTCCCAGATCTCACGCGAAGGCTTTCGATTGGAGAAGGCACCGCAGATCACTGATCGCGAACTTACTGACAGCCCATTGCTCAACAACAAAGTCGCCGCTTAGGGCTTGGCTTATCATCTCGTCAGCATGGCCGAGGTGTCACTCGACATCTCCCGCATTCGCGGGCAAGTCTCAGCGAAAGACCTTGTGGCTTATTGGAACGAATTGCGAGCAGACGGGAGCTCAGACGCTGCAATCTGTCAGGCATTGCTGGATGCGGTCGAGCAGGAGTTGGTTTCGCCGGGGGTATTCGAGTAAGTGGATCTGAGAACAACCCCCTTGCCCTGGAACAACAAAGATGGTGTATATTTTACTAACAAGTCATTAGCATCTTTGTTCCATGGTCGAAGTCCCCCGCTGTCGTTTCCAAGTGCCTAAAGTATGAGTCCGATGCGAAGATACGGTCATGTGGCATGAAAGGACTGGGCAGACACTTGAAGCGTCCTGGCAAGTTCAACTGGGAGCTGACATGGCAAGCTTTGGAGGGCACGGATGGGCTTGTCCAGATATTTTCGAAAAGCTCTGTTGCCGAAGTCAAGACACTCTCTATATTCATCGGATCCTGTAACCGCGGCCGGAAGGTCGAGGAAAGAGAGCGATGCATTGAAGAGCTCCTGCGGGCCCTACTCCCTGGCGTATACACTTCTTCTTCGGGGTTACAGAGCAAAGACAGACGTCCTGTCCATCACCATTACGCCAAGATGTTGTCTGCCTGCTCACCAAACTTTGTCAACGACGTGCTCAATTCGCGTGACAGTTCAAACCCTCTTTTCAGGTGGCGTGATCTGACCAAATTGATCAGGACCCACAGGACTTTGCTGAGAGAGCGGGCGATCAATCACCTGTTCGGCAGCGGTCCTGAAGACAAGGATGTTCCCCAGTACCTTGATATCTTTTTATACAGCGACAGAGATTTCGCAACGAAGGCTCTCCAAGGTCGTCTCGAGGGCACTGTCACCGATAAAAGGTGGGGAGGTACCGCTGAGATCAGTGTCTTGATGCCAATTGTACATCGTCTTTCGAAAAACTGGAAAGCTCCTGTGGAGGTAAAGCGCCACATTCATGATTTGATCAAGCTGGGACTGGAAATTCTTGGCAAAAGTTCAGATAAGCGAAAAGACGGATCCAAAAGTCTCTGGGATGTGACTTTCTCACGATGGCAGATTTGGCCAGACCAATACGAAGACAACTTGAGGCTTGGCCTACGGTTGGGACTCGCCAAGTTGCCACACAGAGACCCCGGAAGCTATCTCAATGTCTTGAGGCGGTTGCGCCCAGGTCCAAGAGAGAGGTTGCTTCAGCTTTGCTATCTCGAAATTCCAGAGCAAGCACTCGACATCTTTTCCGCCAATGACTACTCAACCGTTGCCAAGCAGACTTGGCCTGTTGAGTTATTTTATCTCATGAGTACTGAGCAAGCGATCCGTTTGCTGAAGAAGTTGTACGCAGTGAACCCAGACTACGACTTCCTTCAAACACCGGGAGGGACATCACTCCTCCCTGGCCGAAACGTCGGACCTGGGAATAACTTCAACGTCGAGCTGTACTTGACAATGCTGCAGCGCAGTGACAAGAAAGTGCAACAGGATGCGCGAGAGGCGATCGACAGGCTCCGAAGAAAGGCTGTTGTGGCAAGGGAGCAGACAAGCAGAGCGAACTTTGCAAAAGCAGCAGCATCTTACGCAATCGCGACTGGTGATCTGGATGTATACAGCGAGACCATCGTCTGGCAGCAGCGGTTCGTCCGTGACCCACTGACAGTGAAGACAATATTCAGCCGGAATGCAGTTCATACTGAAGAAGGTATTGAGCTACTGTCAGGAATTCCCACTCCCGAAACGCTGGCTTCCACATGTAGAGACAACATTCCGCTTCTCCTGAACGAGATCTCGCGAGGCATTGAGACCGCAGATGCTGTTCTCAGGACTCTCCAGGAGTCGTATCTCCTTGCGAAACGAGAGCCGTCGTTTCAGGAGTATGACTGGACGCATGTCAAAGGGCTGTTCAGTGCAGTGTTCAGTTCACGGGTAACGCGGTCACAGGCTGTGTGGAGAGACTTCCCCGTGTCACGAAGTGAAGTTTCCCACGTCATTTGGAAAGCGCTTCTGGCAGCGTTCGAGTGGATGGAGGCGGATTTCATTCAGTCACTTCGAGGTCCAGTCCAAGAGCTGCTGCAAGGGTCACAGCCTGGATTTCTCGCAGCCGCCACGAAATCATTGCTCGACGTTGGGACGGAGAGGAGGAGAAAGCGAAAGGCACAGGAAACGTCGCAAAAAGGTAGCACCGAGTCAGTGAGCAGCAGCAAGCCCTCAGAAGCGCAGCCGCCTGGATTTCCTGGGGCGGCCAAGATACCGCCGGGATTTCCTGGGGCGGTCAAGAAATCATCATCAGAGGATGAGAGTCTTGAGCAAATGTCCTATCACGCTCTGATGGAGTTGGCGAGCAGTGATAGACCCGCTCTTGCGTCGCCACTCATCCTGCAAACCATCCTGGAACGGCCGGACGCTAGCTCGTGGCATAGGATGTTGCTGTCGATTGGCTTCCTGAAGAAACTGCGAGCTGAGGAGGCACATGAACTGCTCCTAGAGCTTGCAAAGGGGATTGGTGAGAAATTGGAAGAGCAGTCGTATGTTCGAGTGGGCGAGACCGAGCTCCCAAAACATGCGCCCTCTCAGCCTGCCGTGAAAGTGACGACAGTGAAATACCTTGCCCAGCTTCTCAACAAGGCAGAGTTTATCTCCAATGATGCTGCTGTCGAGGTTTTGATTGAGCTTTTCAAAGCTGCACAGCACCGGGATATCCGGCTTGCGGCACTCGACAGTCTCTTGAACTTGCTGGATAGCATTTGCACTGGGACACAAGAAGAGGTGCAGGCCGACCCCACGGTGCGCAACATTATGACGGCTTTGAAGACAATCGTTCCCATTGCCGGGAGCATAAATGAGCGACGACCGCTTACGGCGGAAGATTGGAAGGAGGCAGAAGGAACCGGGGTACTACCAGACTTGTCCGACGTAGTTCCGGGCACTCTGCCACCGTTGATGGAAGCAGTGGTCTGCGCAGCGGGTGGCGGAGGTCGCCCAGGCCTCAAGAAGTTGGAGACTGAATTCATCGAGCACTTGGTTATCCCTGTGCTTGAACAGTCTCAGCAAGAACACACGAGATGGCTCAATATGTTCCTGGCCAAGCACAAGGCTACCGCGCTGAAGAACGACCTCCCAGAGATGCCAATCGCGCCACGTCTTTGGAGGATCGTGTTGAACAATCACTACCCTTCCATCCCCATCAAGCATCTCACAGCCTTTCACAGATACGCAGTTCATTGCATTGCGCCGGCGCCCGCATTGAAGCAGTTCACTGCATCTTTGATGGCTGACCCGGAGTATCGGAAGGACCCTGAGGTGATTCGTTGGCTAATAACCGCCCACGACACCAAGAACTTCCGTATGTCAGAAACGAACACGCTGCTCGAGCTCCTGGATCGGCAGCAACAGCTCACCGAACGTGGCGTTTTGCTCGATATGATCTCACAACATGCATCATTGTACCTTGATGAGTATGAGAAGTATGCATCTGTGTGGGAGGAATTCGTCGGTAATCTCTCGCCGCGGTCGAATTCCATGTGGAGTGAGGTCTCCTACAAGATATGGGACAATAATGGCCGTGCCATTTCATCACGATGTATAGATCTGGTCCGGCACAAAAAGCAGCAGGGGCAACGCCTCATACTACCCTCAACGACGGAAATGGAGCTCTGGCTCCTCTTCACTGTGGACTGGTGCAGGGAGGACAACAACTGCAGGGACTTCGTCTTCAAGCTAGAAGAGTGCCTGTTGACGATGCTTCGAGAAAGCGATACTGGTGCCCTCTGCTGGCACGAAATCGCGCGTGTGGCTTCCGAGGTGATCTCCGCGATGGTCACTACTGACAAGGAGCGTTTGATGGTTGCGAATCATATGGGCGAATTTGGTGGTGCTGGCGGTGCCTCAGACGGCACAAGGCAGCTGGCGTTGGACCTGATCAAACTCGAGGTGGTGCTGAAGCTCATCAGCCAGTGCCAGGCAAAGAAAATCGGCGATGCGTTGACGAGTCGGTTGGAGGAGTGGCGTACATGTGATTCTGGCGCTATTAGAGAGAGGGTGTTCTTGTGGGAAAAAAAGAGGAAGTCAACATGAATAGTCTTTTCGGGGCGTGATCGAAATGTCGGGCTCGAAATGCTGTAAGCCGACATAATGCTGTACGGTCATTTGCTAGTATCTTTGCTGCTTGTGTTTTGTTTCTCTTCCGTTACTCGTTTATCTAGCAACAATTAATGAAGACCCCTGCGTCTTGTTTATACTTTTTGAATCTGTGTCTCCAAATGGACGTGACAATTGATGCAACTTGAAGTCTCATTATGGCGACTGAGCCGTACCGTTTGCCAAAGCTACCTGTGTAGAGAGGGCATGGGAAGAGTATATTGTTTGGTAATTGCATTGACATCGGCGGCGGCGAGTGTTGGCAGTTTCGTTAGGACTAACACACTACCTAAGTAGTCAAAGAGCTGATTATCACTACTTCAGGTTCAGGATATAAACACAAACCAACAACTGTCGAGACTCCCGGCAGATCGAAGTCTTCTATCTCTGTAAATTTCTTGTTGCCGCGCTATGAACCTTGCTCCCGTCTTGTCTAGGTGCGTCCACACCATTTGACAGATCCTCCATTACTCTTTACAAAATGCTCAGAATTGGACCTTTGCGATCTCCTTGTCGATGTTCTGCCAGACCACGGGCGGCAGCTTCGCTGTTACCCAGTAATTGCCCGCGCAGTCCTTGCCCAGCACGTTGTACACATTCCTCAGCATGGGCGGGTCCTGCTTGGTGCTTATGGCGTGGAAGTACACCGGCTTCCCAGGAACGGGGGCGACGTCGCTCTTTGGGCCTGGCTTGACGACGGCGGGGGCAAAGTCGACGGCGTCGAAGAACTTGGCCTTGGTCCAGTTACTGCAGGTCAGCATGATGCTGGTGGGCTGGATCGGCAAGACCGGGCTGTTCCCGAGCTCGCGAGTGAAACGTATCAAGCCTCTGATTTGGCCCTCGGTGGTCTGGCTCGCGAGTGACTGGCGATACCGCAGGGCGAGCTGGCCCAGCGGCAAGAAGCGTGCCTCGTCTGCGGTCAGTTGGGTCTGCGCTGAGCGGGCAAAGTTGCTCACGTAGGCGGCGGAAGGATCGAAGACGTCTGGGAGGCGGCTGCGCAGCTCGAAGACGTTGTTGAAGGCGACGGGGCGGCTTGAGGGCCCGGACGCCCGGAAAGTTATCTGGGTCAGCCAGGCTGTCAGGATGTCGCCATCGCTGACGAATGGCGTTGCTGTTGCGGCTGTCCCGTTGCTCACAGTTGTGCCCTGTCCGTTGGCGTTCGTCGCTGACAGGTCGTCTGCTGCTTGCTGCCTTAGAATCGCCATGGTCTTTGCCGGAAGGAAGATCACCTTTAGCTCGTGCTCGGGGACCCAGAACTTGTCCCAGATGAAGTGCGCAACAAAGCTCGCCATGCTGAGGCCGCTGAGATTCTTGTCCTTGAGGGCATACGTCTCCTCCTTCTCATGTAGCGGGCCGGTTCCTACAGTCGCCATGGGATCCTCGCGCGTGCCCATGAGAGGAGCCACTTGGTCCTCCTTCCCGGCGAGAACCTTGCACCAGTTCTTGATGATCGCCAGTCTGCCCAGGCCATCTGTCATGGTGTGCGGCCAGTTGAGCGAGACTAAGGTCGCATCTAGGAAGGTCACGACATGCAGGCCGAGCTGAGGCGTATCGCTGTACAAGTAACCATCAATGTCGCTAGGTGTCGTGTCCGCGGATCCAAGGAACTCCCGGAACCGCTCAGGGCTGCCGTGGATGTGGATGTCACTCGTCGCATTGGGCATTTGTGATGCAAGTGGATGCTCGGCGAATGAGACACCAAAGCTCTCCTTGGTGAACCGCACTGCAGGCCTGTCTGATGTAAATTCTGAGGGAACGTGAATCTCGAGCTTGTTGTTGGGCTAGAACTTGTTAACAAAGGTAGTGCAGAGAGCGGTGAATCTAGACATGCGCTGAATATGAACATACCCCCTTTCTAATTCTTCCTCCAAGCTTTCGCCAGTCGCCAATCTCTAGCAGCCGTGCCAATCCATCGTGGAGCTTGTCAGCGTCAAGAACGTCATTGAAGCGCAAAGTCCACGCGAGTATGATGGACTGATTTATCGAGTTGTCATCAAAATGGTGCATGGGCAAGACATCGTCGGTGGGCACGCGCTGGGGTTCGATCTGCGTTGAGCCCCAGCCGAGCATCGTCATGACACCATCAATGAGCCCCATGATTGATAATGCGGTGTCTCAAGACATCGACAGGCGAAAAGTTCACACCAAGCAAGCGTCGAAACACAAAGGAAAAAGGATTCACAAGAATCTGAGGCCAGGCGGCTGGAAAGGCACCCTTCATCCTTCGCGTCTTACCCTTGGCATCAGCAAGGGTAGCTGCACCGCCGCACCTTACTACTGTAGACTAGTACTCCACCCTCCACGTAGGATTCGGGTCGGAAAGGTCCATGTCAGACAGATAAGCTAAAGGGACAGTTGAGACACCGCCTGGTTGCGAATTGCCAATGTCGATTGGGCAACCTGTTTCTCACCTGAAGAGAAAGTAAGACAATCCGTCCCAAACCTAGTCTCTAAAGCTTGTGTTTAGCCAGACCATGGAATTAGCAATGACAAGACGCATACAAGTTGGGAATTGATGACTTGTCCGAGGTCCGAATTTTTCTTATGAGCAACAATGTGTATGGGCTGACAGTCTCTCTCCGCTCGACTCATACACCGAAGCTCTCTTGGCTCCATTTGGGAGCCCACGAGACTCGTGCGACCAGGAAAGTAATATTCCTGTCCTGCAAAATCCTAGGAGGGCTGCAATGTTCATGGAGCTGTCCGTGTGATTAATAGACCAGGGCTAGTGTTCTAAATTATATAGGGTTCTGAGTGCATATTGGCTGTGGTTGAACAGACGAAAGCGTGTACGAGAATTTTCGAACTCCAGAATGTGATAATCCACGATGGGGCCCAATACCGCGCGAGCGGTACGCATGGGAGGAGCTGAAACTTTGAAGGGCAGTATCTGTGTACACGGAAGCGGGTGGACAGAAAGCGGGTTGTCCCCTGTCCGACTTTTCCCCTCTCTCAGCATCTGTCTACCTACCGGCCACCGCACTGCATTTGCATCACCCACCTACCCACTCCAAACTTACCCTAGACTTTATCTGGTTTGGATTGTTCGATAGGGGCCGATTCTGGGGTTGTGCCTAACCACAGATAGCGATCCAACCCTCATTTGATATGCAGTGCAGTGGCCAACAGATGAGGCTGTGACCATCCCAGGGCACCCCTGAATCTGGTATGCTGGGGCGCTTGCACCTGCAGCTTTTGTAGGCGACGAAGAATTCTGGACCAACCTGTCACCTCACTACTTTGAAAGTATTACTCTGTATTTGGATCGTGGAATGGCATCCGACAGATTGAAATGATTTGTACCTCGAGTTCAGATTTTAGGTACCTGTTGATTTAGAAGTGGCGTTTGCCTCAAGCCATTGGCCCTCATCATAGCGTCAAACGCTCATCATCTACCCTTTGGACAGCTTGACCTACGGCTTGGAGACCCTTTAGGAGCTTTTTGAATTGATTGAATTTTCTTTTAATGGTGTAAAAACGAATAAATGTTAGTCTGAACCCCGTGTCTAGGGGAGAACTGCAGCCGTGGAAGCGTGAACCAAATTACTTCGAGAGTCAAGACCCTTCAACAGCGTGTCATCCACCAGACCAATTCAGGCTCTGCTACAGCACGAGTAGACCCGAACCCGCGCAGTCCGGCAGCACGCACTCGTCAGAAGCCTGGGACATTCGACCCGTGGCTACCACGGCACGTCCGTCCTCCGCAGTTTTCTGTTCGTGCCTCAAGGACGAGATGAGGCCACGACATTTTATGGAAATTCCGCCTCGATCGCGGAGAGCGTTGACTTCAGGTGAGTGTGTTGTCTTGGTGTTACAGCCGCTCCGTCATTTCAATACCTCCGAGTCCCTGCCAGCACTACTCGACATCCGGTGGTCTCAATATATTGCTTCAAGACCTAGTTTATGTGTTTACGCAATGGTATATTTGATGTACACCTCTTGTTTGCGAAAATGGCCTTGGCCATTGCGAAGTATCAGGCTCACAAACTGGCTGTAAGATTAAGACTAAGGGCAAGACACGCAGCAACTGAGCAGGGAAATCTTGTGGCACCAACCCGCAGCGCCGGAATGAAGCCGCACAGGCTTTCCGGGCTGGAGGGCCGGCCCTTCAGCCCTTGCAGCTGCCGGCACAAGGCACGTCATCCAGGGTCTCTAGCCAGGGATGGGTGGGCCCCTTTTCGTCCTATCTAATTGCGGGACAATGCGCTGGGCCAAATATGACCAGGTCGCTCCCTTGACTCGTTGTTATTATTAGTGCCAGGTGTTCCATCATCCCTCTCCTCCGAACCTGAACTTGAACTTCTCAAGGGCTGGGAGACTGCAACGGCCACAACAGCTAGGTGCCAGCCCTCATTGCCGCCTGCAACCATCCACCCACTTCGCAGCCCAGTGCAGAATCCGGCGCCGGATCCCACTCCACCTGGGCTAATATCACCTACCATCGACCATGGCAAGCAGCGAACGTAAGTCGGCTGAGGCCGACCGGAAGCTGGAAAGCGGGACTGCCAAGAGTCCTCCGGAACCTGCGAGCGGCTCCGGTAGTCTTGGTGGTCTGCATCCGGCATTCTTCATCGCGTAAGTCTGAGCTCCGTGCCGTCCTCCGGGGGGTAGTCATTTTCGTCGTTGTCGTCCTCGTCGTTCGGTTTGCTAAACTGGCATGGAATGCTACCTTATACAGTCTTTGGATCGCGCTTAGCTCGAGTGTTATCATCTTCAACAAATGGATCTTGTCCACAGCAAAGTTCGGTACGAGTGCCCCCTTTAACTCAATAATCGCGCGTGGGAGACGCCAGCTGACCTGTATGACTTATAGAATACCGTGAGTTGCATCGCATTATACCCCAGCGCAGACGAACCGCCCGTCCTCTCTACTCAATAGCAAACACCGGCCGGCCGATCACTGACGATGTCCTTCCACCACAGCGCTATTTCTTACAACATGGCACCAAGTCTTTGCCACGATCATGACCCAGCTCATGGCTCGCTTCACCAAGATTCTCGACTCGAGACATAATGTTCCAATGACACCACATACATATGGGTTAGTGCTATATGGGCCGGATTTAAAGAGGATGACTGTTGGACGGCTGCTGATTTATCAATTGTCTCGTACAGGCGCGCAATAGTGCCCATCGGTGTCATGTTCAGCTTGAGTCTTGTCTGTGGTAACCTGGCGTACCTGACTCTCAGCGTTTCTTTCATCCAAATGCTCAAGGTGCGTTTCATTGGCACTGCCCATGGGAAACAACTCCTGGCGGAAATAAGTTTGCTGACAATGTCCTCCCACTGCACAGGCCACCACCGCTGTGGCTACCTTGCTTGCTACATGGGCGTTCCGAATCGCGCCCCCCAACGTCAAGGTCCTCGGGAATGTCACCGTTATCGTCTTGGGTGTGGTCATTGCGTCCTTCGGCGAGATCAAGTTCGTCATGAGCGGCTTCGTCTTCCAAGTCGGCGGTGTCGTATTCGAGGCATTGCGTCTCGTCTTGGTCCAGCGCCTCCTGAGCTCGGGTGATTTCAAGATGGACCCACTGGTATCCCTGTATTACTTCGCTCCTGCGTGTGCAGTGACGAATGGCCTCTTCACCGCGCTCGTCGAGCTGCCTCGCTTGACCATGCAAGACATCTACAACCTTGGACCGATGATTCTCTTTGCCAATGCCTTCGTGGCCTTCCTGCTCAATGTTTCTGGAGTTCTCCTGGTAAGTGCCCCTCTCCCATGTCTAAAAGGCTTGCGGCTGACCCTACAATTCATAAGATCGGCAAAACCTCTGCCGTCGTCCTTACCATGTCCGGCGTTCTGAAGGATGTGCTGCTGGTCTTCGCATCCATGATTATTTTCGGGGACCCTGTTACCGGCCAGCAATTCTTCGGCTACTCCATCGCTCTCGCCGGACTGGTATACTACAAACTCGGTGCGGAAAAGCTCCATGCTCTGGCCAAGGACACGCAGCTGCAAATCACCCAGTACCGCCAGAGCAACCCGGCGAGGGTGAAGCTCGCGGGCGCAGCTGCTATTTTTGTGGTCGTCTTCTTCATCGTGTGGGCGTGGGGCCCAGCGTCTACCAGCCAGTATACCGAGTACGTGAAGGCTCGCGCTGGGTACGGAGGTTAGAAGAGAAGCTGCCGCCACTATCGGGGACAGGGCCCTCGGTTTGTGATCTGGCACAAACCGAAGACGATGCGAGCACTACGACTAGAATTTTGCATTCTCCTAGACAACCTGGCGGTTCTTCGCCTGGACACACTTGTGTTCGAACTACGAGGAATCGACTTGACACCATGGAACTGGCCGAAGATGTGACATGACCGTGCCATGTGAAACAGATATGGCTTCCCCACATCGCGACTGAGTTGAAAGGTGCTTGGCAATCTGGAAGACGATGCGTCAACGGTAAGACTTAGACAGGAGAAAAGAAAGTAAACGAGCCATGAGACCCAATAAGTCGAGTCGTGAGGTGGAGCATCCAGCGCACGTTCTACTTGAACCCTGCCGTAGGCCCATGACGCAAGTCTTCGTGGCTCAGTTGTACGTTGCATTCAATCTTGATCGATAAAATCAAGTTACTAATTCCCCACTAGGGTTAGAGCGTTGGTCTCATACTCCTGTATGACTCGCTGGGACACCAGTGAGATATCCAATCCAAAGGTCGTGAGTTCGAGTCTCACCGAGGACAACCTTATCTTTTGCCTTTTTCAATGACTTGTTTTATTTTGCTCTCCATATTCCCTTCCTTGGCATTATGGTGTTGCCAATTGTGTCTCTCTGGGAAGCTTCATGGTTGCGACCTGTGCACACTGGTAGTGTTTGAAAATAGAGGTATAGCGTCGATGAGGTGATCGACTCGGCGTGTGTGGTATTGAAGCTCGTTCATAGATTGTCGATCAGCGGTAGTAGAAATCAATGTGTACTGTTGGTGATATTCGTCAAGATGATGATGATGTTTGCTGTTGTGCTCTTCTAGATTGCTTGTAACGGTCTGTATCTCGAAAGTTTATCGATGACACAACTTTGTACTGTCCCAAGTTATGTTGTTTGCTTTTATGCAATCACTTAATCGTAACAGTTGATAGGACGAACCACTCTTTTCAAAAGGGCATGAGGAAGTGCCTCAAGTTTTAAAGAATTCACGTATTGGGTCTGATAATGACGAATGATATGATGCTTTACAGCATAATAAGTATTAATATCATGGCATCTGTACCTCGTTCTGTCTAATCCAGTATATGTCCCGAGAACGCTGTTCTATGCTTACACCAACGCCTTACGCCATGATTCATTCTATCCTTTCTCAAATCAAAACATATACACATCTTAGCTTCCTTACGCCTTCTTGCCCTTGGCGGCGCGAGCGCGCTGGGTAGGCCTGACTCGGAAGAGATAGTAGGTGCCCACGGCAATGAAAATGTTGAAGATGCAGTAGGCCCACATGATGCCGAAGTTGCGCCACCTGTCGTCCCAGAAGATGTTGCTGCCGGCCAGGTACTGGTCGCCGTTGGAGAGGGAGCAGTAGCGGCACGCGCTGGTGTCGTTGGGGTTCTGCAGGTTGCCGATGCTGCCCTCGGGGCCCATCAGGAAGGTGGAGAAGTAGTCGCCACAGGTTTGGCCTGACGGTGGGTTGATGATGGTCGTCTCGGATACGGAGCAGGTCACGGATCGGCCGTGGATCATGGTCGCGGCCATGCCTGCAATCCAGTAGGTGAAGGGGCTGACGCGGTACATGAAGGTCCAGAAGCCGGGCAGCGCGCTGGGGGTCTGTAGGACACCGCAGAACATCATGCTCAGAAGCATGAGGATGGTGACGATGGCTCCTGCTGTGGTCGCGTCGGGCAGGGCGGCGATTGTCATGTGGGCGAATGTGCTGGCATAAATGAAGAGCATGATCACGAAGAGGAGAACCAAGACCTGTCTCTCTCCGCTCTGGCCAGCGCCCATCACGGGGTAGTAGAAGCAAGCCCATGTGATAATACCCGTCAGGATTTGCCAGGGGATCTCAACAATGATGTTGGCCATCATGAAAGCTTTCCAGCTGTAAGCCTTGCTTGGTCGCTCGCGGACCTCATACAAGGACCTCTGGGTGACGAAGAGCGGCTGGATTTGTTGCACAATAGTCGAGAACAAGGTGATGATCTGGAAGGTCGAGAATACGATCATCTGCATTCCGACACGACTTCCACCACCCCGGTAGAAAGAGAAACCGACGAAGAGACCCGCAGCAAAGCCGAGGACCAGTTTGGCCATGATGTAAGAAGGCATTCGCCAGTACTGTTGGAAGACCCGGATAGTGACAGCGACAAGCTGTGCCATGAATGGCATGGCGAATTCTGAGTGGGCACCGCTGTCTTCAACTGCTCGCTCTTGGCCCTTGTCAGTGGCTATTCTGTCAATCTCGGCCTCGACATCCAAACGCTGACGACTGTTGAGCCAAACCGAATGCCAGTCAGTGGTCTGCCCGTTTGCGATCTCCAGCATATATTCGGCTGGGTTCTCCTGGGATCCACACTTCCGTGCACCGTTGGACTCAAAGTAATCGAGCAAGATTTGCGAGTTGTTTCCGACATCGCCAAAATAGACTGTTTTGCCTCCCTTGGCCAGGAACAGTAACCGGTCGAATTCTTGGAACAGGACGGCGCTAGGTTGGTGGATAGTGCACAGCACGGCCTGACCAGCGTCGGCGAGCTTGCGGAGGAAGGCAACAATCGCCCAAGAACTTTGGGAGTCAAGACCGCTGGTGGGCTCGTCCAGGAAGAGGAGTAGCTTAGGCTTCGCAGCCAATTCGACGCCAATAGTCAAGAGCTTGCGCTGCTCGACATTGAGTCCTTCTCCAGGAACACCGACGACCGCATCGGCGAAGTCGCCCATGTTAAGCATCTCAATGACCTCCTCGACAAACTTGTACTTCTCCTCTGTGCTAACGGAGGCTGGCTGGCGAAGTAGGGCGCTGAAACGGAGACTTTCTCGGACAGTGGATGTTTCCAAATGAAGATCTAACAGGACAAAGTCAGCTCGTGAAAAGTAATGACAGCGAATTCTTGATTGCTCTCGAGATTTGCTTACCTTGTTGTTGCACGTATCCGGTCTTTCTTTGGAAACTTTCGTCCAGAGGCTTTCCGTTGACCAGCATATCTCCAGTGATCACTCCCATTGTGACTCTTTGCGCAAGAGCATCAAGCAAGGTAGTCTTTCCAGCACCACTGGTGCCCATGAGTGCTGTGAGCGTACCGGGCTTAACCCAGCCTGAAACATGATCCAAGAGGCGACGCGTCTCTGTCTTGATCTGGACATCGTATGTGACGTCCTTCCATGTGAAAATGTCCGTTTGTGGCTCCAACGCATTGACATTAGCTCCAGACTCCTGCATGGCGTCACCGCCTGGACGGGTCTCCTGTGACTGTTCGCTGGAGTTGGCCGACTTCTGGAGGTAGGCTGGGACACGTCCACGCTGGAATACGAGGAACTCTGCAGCGCTGCTCATGGAAGAGTTGAGCTCGGTGGTCAGCGTGTAAAGGGCCAGGAAAAAGACCAGAAACGCGATTAGGATGCCAAAGTTGCGCCAGACATGCGAATAGTAGTAAGAGAAGCTCGTCTCGATATAAGAGTCTCCGTTGACAGTCGCACGGCCAGCCACAGCTCCGACCGCATTGCACATCCATGAGTCTCCAACCAGAGGAGTGTATGAGGGAATGATGCTGGAACAGATGTACTCATGACCATGGAACTCGTTCGCGACCAAGATCTCGAAAGCGTAGAAAAGCGGGTTGATCCATCGGATCCAACCAAACCACACCTTCATCTCAGGGACGGCAATCATGAAGCCAGTATAGATACTGAGAGCAAGGATGATGATACCAGCTGCACTCATAGCCTGAGAAGACGTTTTTGTTGCGGCAGCGACAGTCCGGAAAATACCCGCGAACACGAACGTGGTTACGTACGTGACAAGGAAGAACAAGAAAAATTGTCCAGGTTCCCGACGCAGGCCAGCCATGAAGTATAGCACCAGGTTGAAGCATACGGAGATGAAGAACTTGACGGGTATATCGGCAACGATACCAGCCAAGGCCTCGGTGGCAGGATGGTAGAAAGCGTAGGAGGCGTGTTTTTCGACGATGGGGCGTTGTGCGTACAGACTGCTAATCTCGGAGACCGAGCTCAGGGCATTTGACAAGACGGCGATGAAAAGTGCAGCTCCTTTGGAGAAGAATCCAGCAGTGGATTCATAATTGACCGGAGAGTAGAAGAGAGAACCCATAATCAGGGCGATGACCACCTGCATGATGGCATTGACAACTGTAGCCGATTTATCTCCCCAAACTCGTTGATAGGCTCGCTTCACGTTGAGGCTGACCTGCTGGCGAACTGTGATGATGTATGGCGAGCCCGGGCGAGCATGCTTGGCTTGTCGGTGCTTCTTGGCTTGGCGGAACGCTTTCAGAGTCTCGTGCTGCGTCTGGCTTGGGTGTCTCGCTAGTGCGTCTTCGTCGTCTGACAGTGGGTATTCTACCAAATGCCCGGAAATGTCATCCTGGAGCTGTCGGTACTCGGGGGACGAGCGCCAGTATGTCTCGAATTCCTCTGGTGTGCGTGGCACCTTGTTCTCCATGCCTTCACGAGCCCTGCGCTCACTGGGATTTGTGACTGACGTCAGGAAGTCTCCCGTCGTCTGTCGTGGAGGACAATACCATCCTTGTCGTTCAAAGAATGCTCTGGCTTCCTGTGCGGGCCCGTAGTAAATCTGACGGCCTTCATATAGGACAGTTGCTTTGTCGAAGAGGTCGTAAATTGCCTGACTGGCTTGGTATATCGCAACGGCGTGGGCAGATCCGAAAAGGTCGCTAAAGAGACGAAGTGATTGAACAAATTTGAGGGCAGTGGCTGAATCGAGACCTCGGGTACTGCATCAAGACTTGTTAGCAGAAATAGGAATATTGAGGACTTCGAAACATAGACGTACCTGTTGTCCCATGCGGCAAAGGGAGAACCGGCGAGCATCATCTCAGCAATGCTGACACGCTTTCGCTCACCTCCAGACACACCTCGGACGAAGTCATTTCCGACCTTGGTATTGTATGTCTGTGTCAGACCGCAAATGGCCATGACAACTTGAGCCATGAGTTTTGAGTATTCATTACGGCTCAGTCCTTCCATACGATCAGATGGTGTGCGCACTGCAGCAGCAAACTCAAGTGTTTGGCCCACAGTAAGATGTGGGAAGTGCTTGTCGACTTCCTGATTGTAGATTACCTCGCCCTTGAATTCCTTCTTCATGCGTGTTTGAGGAATACCGTCGTAGCTGATGGTGGAGGTTTTGTCCAGGCTGAGCCCGTTCAGCTCGCCGCTCATGGTCTTGAGCATTGTGCTGCAGCCAGAACCAGGCCGCCCCAGGACTATCAACAATTCGCCATGCCTAAGTAGGCCGTCGAACTTGTTGAGAATCCTCTTAGGTGCTTTACTTCCAAAATGGAAAAACTCTCCGGGTCGTAGTGGTCCTGCTGCAAGAGATCCCACAGTTTGTTGTAATTGGACAGCATCTCCAGTTCCAGATACCGTGAGATCCTTGAACATGATACCGGTCCGAGCTGGACGGATACCGCGTCCTTCAATTTGACGGACGACATTTTGGACCCATTTTGCAGGATCAAAGTTCTTGCTTTGTGGGTTCAGTGAGTCGTCACTGGCGTTGTTGAAAGAAATGGCTTGAGACAGATCTGCAGGCTGACCACCAGCCCCAGAGGCTTGCGAAAAGACGGTGGCGATACGTCTCAACTCTTCGGCGTCCTCTGGCTCAATTTCTGTCGCCACAGCATTATCGACAGTGGTTCCTTCGTCCGACGCGGTCATGACACGTGAGAGCTCTATTTGTCGTCCATACTGGTCGACATGCTCTGTGGCCGGCGACTCGGCGACCGGGTCCTTCTCCATGGTCGTTGGGTGTTGCTTCTGACGCAGTAATTTGATGGTGTAGGGTGGTATTACGGAGTTCGTGGTATGGATTAAAGTATTATACACTGCGAGCAGAGCTATGGGTAAGATATAAGGTCCCAGGGGCAATGTTGACTAGTAGCAGATAGATGGTAACAAGTCTGGGACACTCTGTATCTATAAACATCTGAATCTGACAACTAAGACACTTCAGCCCCTATGATTGATAATGAGTCGGAAATAAAGCAAAGGGCTTTAAGTCATCACGGACCCGTCTCCGGCCCGTCTCCCAGAGACCAAGATAAATCCGGTGGGCCGCGCGTGCGGCACCGAGCAGTCGAGAAGCATCTGCGCTGTTTCGGGGGCTTCGTCTTGGCAGCTCGCAGTTTTCAGTCAGGCCGAGCAGGAGCCCTATCGAGGCTAAGAAGGGATTAATCATCTCTTGAATTAGATTAGGATGATATCACAGATTGCTGTGGTAGAACGCGGCCGCGGCCCAGCTACTGTGCAGAAAAGGCCGGCCTGTCGATCATCGGTCCCTGGGAAGTTCCCGCTCTGACAGCTTGGCTCGGGATGTCACAGCAATCCGGGCGCCCGGGTGGCGGAGCCAATGATGGGCGATGCCCCACACCCGGATTGACGGATTGTTACTTAAATACCGAGCTGGCGCGCCCCCAAACTGCTGTCCGTATGAACAAGTGTTCTTGGCTCCCCCAGATAGCTCCTTTTCCCTACAGCTAGTGACGCTTTGTTCATGCTGGCTGACCTTGCATGTGTTTGAGATTCTACTGCACTAAGTAATATGACATGTTTAACAAAGCCTTGACGACCAGCGATAAGATTTCCTGAATTATCAATTCGTAGTCCGTCTCCCATTAGCTCCATCGGTACTGCGACCGTTAATCTTCAGATGCCAAGATTGAATCGATCTGTTGTTGCGGCTCTCGCTCCGTCACTCTTTGTAACGCGCGGGCCTAGACTTGACCTGCACGTCATATTAAGCTTTCGAGTAAAATTCCTTGGATTTCAGTCAATCGTCTTTGAGCCTAAGTTACCGAAGTGATGCTCGCATGGTCGGCATCCTCCTCCACTGCGGTGTGTTGTTGAGAAGTCGAATCGCCGAGCTTAATTGGCAGATCCGGCCCCGTGGGTGCGTTTTGTCTACCCGGCCCCATTTTCCCACGCACGTTTGGTCGCGACCGGAATTCGGTAAGCCAGGAATGCCGTGGAGCCCGTCACGACTGCGAGCATACCCTTGCCTAGTGTCAGCCTTACATCACTAAGCACCTTGGCACCCAGGTGGATTTTGGTGTTGATTACGAGACTGAGTTGTGGGCGCAGTCTTGGGTTTGAACATATACTTTTGCTGACGACATGTCCACATAAATGGAAGCTTACACATATGAGTCAATAGATTCCACCAGAAAGACCAAAAAGTCGCGGGGCTTGACAGAATTACTCAGCTGATTTCCGAGACCTGTGCAACTCCCGGAGCACGGCATGTATGTTCGGACTTCTGCTTCTTGTCCCACAGGAAATCCAATAGACCCCACCTCAGAGCCTTTTCGGTCTGGCCATGTATGACAATCTGTGAGAGAACATGAATCACTCGGCTTACTGCCCGAAGTGAAGGAAGCAGGAAGTATGCAGCAGCCCGCACTATAAATACTATGGGGCTTGTTGCCTATCATGGCCCGTGCTTCGCTCAGTGCAATGCGAACAGAGTGACTGGCACACAATCACCTGCAAGAAGTGGCCTAAGCTGGTAAGATAAGATTATCTGAAGCAGAACGAGTCTTGGTCCTTCGCCCGTCCTTAATAGTTGATGTTTGACCGGAGGCGTAGCTGGGCCCATCGAGTATCACAAGGCCGATCATGAGTGAAACGTAAAGAATATAGCAGCAGGCTTGAATCCTTCCTCACGGACGCATGCTGAGGTCGCTCGTGGTGTGGATCCCAACATGGCCGAACCGGGTTGGAGTTATCCATGTTGAAAGAGGTTCCTAATACATTCAGGGGAAGCAAGGGACCGAGCAATGAAATTTGAGCACTCGTGTCTCTGCTCGTTCATGAAATAGTGTATACAAATATGCAATGATGTATAGTTCGAAGTCAGACAAAATAAGCCCACTAGAATCGGAGGGTTCTGTGCTGGGACGGGAGGCACCTGGTGAGTCTCCAGTTTTAGACCTAGTATTCAGATATGGAGCTTCTTAGGAAGGGCAAAGGCAAAAACACGGCTTTGTGCATTCTGTCAAGGTGGCCTTCAGCTCAACAATTGGGCCCCAAGCCAGTTGTAAAGACTGACTCCAATCAAACCACAACTTAAAATCCGAGACGAGGCTTAAAGGGAGACACAGGTCCTCCTTGGCCCAGTATTTAAGTCGCAGCAACTTTGCCACCCAACCAAAGATTCTGACTAACTATTCGGTGTGTTAAGAACCTTGGAAGGTGTTCTAAGCCAGTTGGGATGGCACCATTGGTGACAATTCAACAGCAGTCAGGAGTGAACTTGCTAGCCGCACGTAAGTGAAATGATTGTAGCATATGCATCAGTGATAATATTGCTAATTTTTACCGATTGTTTTGTCCTACACATTATCTTTCAATTGATGTACAAGAGAAGGCCCTGCCAGAAGTTTCGTACAAAAGATTTCCGTGACATGGTGACCTTCCCCCTAAAAGAAAAACCCCATTGTTCCTTGGATTATAAAACAATTCTTTTGTGAGGGTGCACTTACACCGGGGGTATGGGGCTCTTCTCAACGGTAGTTGAGCCATGCAGTTACCGCTTAGGAGGTCTAAATCGCGGGTGATTGAGAGAGGGAGTTGGACCGTTCAGAAGCTCAAGCGCTTTAAAATCTCTAAACGGTGTAAAGCTCAGTCTACAGTTTGACATAATTTACATGGGAGTTTCAAGCTGTTCCGCACAAGATATCACCAACTCAATCAGCGAGGCAGAAGAAAGGAAGGGAAAAGGAGGGAAAGGAAACGAAGAAAATAACTCTTGAAAATATCAAGAGGGAATTAGAATGCAGGAAGTGTTTCTTAGAATTCCAGTTAAGAATGTGATTCTTTTCGGACAGAGTTGATGTTGAAGGCCCTCTGGGTCATCTACTATCTTGCCTTCTGCCAACTGTCCTTTCCTTTACATCTCTTAGCAGTTTTAAACCGTTGAGGGATCTCAAACTGCTTACTCTGCTAAATAGTCCAAGTTCCTCTCTTGATTTTGAATCGTATACCCACCCTTGGTCTAGGCGGTACAGTATCTGTTGAAGATTTTGACTGTATTTGTCCTCGCTCCCCCGTAGCTTACGTATTTAATGCTTTCATACCCCTGGAATGGAATATTGACCTGCTAGCCAGCTTTCTTGAGCTTGCTGTTCTCTTACAATGGTGGGAGAAAATGGGCTGAGGACAGAACAGGCTCCGGCTGCAAGGGGACCGCGGTCCTTATATGAGCGATCTGTACTCTGCATAGAATCGTCTAGAATATAGATTGTCGATTTTATGCCTCAGTTTCTTCGGAAGTAAAGGCTGCTAGCCCCCGAAAAGCTGTCATTTTTGGAGGTATTCAGCTGAGGAAGTTGAGAGGCTCTACAATCGGCAGCAGAGCGGGAATGGTCGCACTGGGCAGAGTTCAGGTTTTACCGTGGAGATATGAGCGAGAACACCCTTGGTATATTGCTCGGCTCCTTTGCAGTATCATTTTCGTGAGCGGCAAGCCGGAATGGAAGATCACGGCCAGCCAGGGATCAGTTCACCGACCCAGCCAGCGACTGGATCGAAAAAGTCGCTGGACGGTGACATCTGGGGAGTCACCAGCAGTGAATAGGTTGATCATAAACCAAAGATTTTGTGGCATTCCACATTCCCCATATCGTTACAGCTCTATTATATCTTGCTTCCGGATGAATAAGTGGTGCGTGATTCCACGTCTATAGAACACGCGTTATAGGGGAGATCCCAGGGGTGGACATCTTATATTGTGAGTGCTGGTCCTCCTGTCCAAGACATGGCCTGAGATGGATCGATTACAGCCTCTAGGTTTTTGATATCGTCTGCTCATACTCAAAATTTCGTGGAACCTGCTCTTGCCGCTGCTTTTTGGTCCGAAGGTCCACAGGCGTTGCCGGGATGGTGACATAGTCACTCACTTGCTTCATACCAAGCATTTCTCCTTGACTCGGTACTAATTGCTCAGCGCGACTTTTGTGACAGCGAGGGTTGAAGCGAAGAAAAAATCGACGAAAAATTGAAATGAGTGACCTGAGAGACATGCTACTAGAATCCAGCGGCAGCGTATGCTTTTACTGTTTGAGCTTTCTGCTGGAGGCCCACCATACAAAGACGCCGTAAGAAGGCAGACATGTTATTTCTTCGCGTCGTTGCCAACCTGCATGCGCGAAGCGCCCACGCGTCGTCCACACCGACGCAGACTAGTCATTACCAGATTTTTCGGGCGATCGTTCCGAAGACTGGCACAAGGTCGCCGGGTCCGACCCGGGCTTGGCGGAAAGTTTCGTCCCCATCGATCCTCTAACGACAGGTGGTATGTCGGTAGATATGGCACAGCTCGGCTTGACCGAGAAGTGTAGTCGCCACACTGAAGTTGGCGAATACTGATGCAGTTACCTTGCTTCTGGAGTACCCTTCACCTGCCCAAAGTGGTTTTGTTATTTTTAGCGGGCCAGTATAGGAGGATGCGACTTTGTCGAGGCGCAAGATGAGGAACATGAGCACGCCATTTGACACCATCACGATTGACATCGCGCAGGACAACCCGGCAATGACCAAAGTAGCAGTGCAGGACTGCAGTGATCTTCGAGCTCATTACACTGAAACCACACAGGGATGAACTGCCAAGTATCATTAGTCGGTTCACCTACATGTTCACACCCAAAATGGTGTAGTGCCCGCATACCTGCCCTACAAACTGGGATAATACTGACTCGGCGATCTGCGCTGCAGTAGCACTGCATCAAGGTGGCACTGCCTGGCTTGCTCAAGTGCCTATTTTTGGGCCTATCAGCAATACCGTGCCAACATCTTTAGGCTTAATCGATATGCTTGAGTTCAATATTTCTAGATCGTGTCGATCTATATAACAAAGAAGACGGCTGGTAGGGTCTGACCACGCAATGTTGTGAGACATCGCTTCAATCTCCTCTCTTTCATTGGTCCCTTGCGTGCACCCGTGAGTACAAAACATTGCATGTGCAGATGGCTTCAGCCATCTGCAACCATGCTCAAGCCTTGAAGCGGGGAGAAGCTCCTTGACTGACCTATATGTTCTAGCTGTGCCTTTCGTTCTTTTCTTTTGCTTCGAGCTGAGAGCCAGTCTTTATCGAATTTCGAATTGTTGAAAATATCCAACAACTCACACATCCCTCGTTGCTTGTCAAGAGCCGGAGAAGCCTCATCAACAAGATGTATCTCTCAAACGTCCTGTCGTTTCTGCCACTCCTGACGCTGGCCAAGGCCGCGGCCATTCCCGAATACACAGCACCATCTCCAGAAGTTGACGATACGACCGTATACGATGCTATTGTTGTCGGCGGTGGTCCTTCCGGACTTAGTGCGCTGAGCGGACTCGCCCGCGTGAGGAGAAATGTTCTTCTCATCGATTCCGGTGAATACCGTAACAACGCGACGAGGCATATGCATGACGTGATTGGCTTGGATGGTAATTTCCTCACCTACCGAAAGCGAAGTAGGATTTCGCACTGACCAAAATTCAGGCGTCACTCCTGCATACTACCGCTGGCTTGCGCGGGAGCTGTTAGCTGATTACAAAACCGTCACATTGACTAATGGTACTGTGACTGGTATCCAAGCTGTGAATGGCAGTGCAACTTCTTTCACAGTGCAGGCCACTCTGCCGACAGGCGAGAAGACCCTCACAGCGCGGAAAATCGTCCTCGGAACCGGCCTGAAGGACGACCTGCCGAGCACTCCCGGCCTCCAGGATAACTGGGGCAAGGGAATCTACTGGTGCCCTTGGTGCGACGGCAACGAGCACGCCGACCAGGCCCTCGGCCTCCTTGCGCCCCTGGAGGATATCCCCGGCTCCGTGCGTGAGGTCTCCACGCTGAATAGCGACGTCGTGGCCTTCGCCAACGGCACCGACACCCCCGAAGCTCGAGCCGCGACCGAAGCCTCCTTCCCTGACTGGGAGGAATACCTGAAGCTGTCGAACGTTACTGTCTACAACCAGACGATCCTGTCCATCACTCGCCTCAAGGACGGGCACAACGCGTCCGCGGATCCCAGCTTGGCCACTTCGCCCGAGTACGACCTCTTCCGTGTAGATCTGGACGATGGTACCTCCGTCGAGAGAGCCGCCTTCTTCGTCTCCTTCCCTGACGAGCAAAAGTCCACTGTCGGCGCGGACCTGGGCGTCACGCTGTACGGCGGCCGCCTGTATGCGAACCCGGACAAGGGCCTCATTACCAACATCCCCGGTGCCTACGCTATCGGTGATGCGAACTCGGACAATGTTACAAACGTACCCCACGCCATCTACAGCGGCAAGAGGGCCGCTGTCTACGCGCATGGTAAGAATTCTCTTAAGCTCCGCAGGCCATCGATGGCTCCGTTCTCGTTCTCCGAAACTGACTTATCATCCAGTTCAACTCGCTCGCGAGGATGTTGCAGCCCAGCTTGCGGCTGCGAACGGTACTGCCGTGGCTGAAAAGAGGGACGAATTTGACCTTGACCCGCGGGATGTCTGGGAGCGTATGAATGGCCAACCTGGGGACCTTTTGTACGCTGGTGAATTTTAAGGCGTGAGATGACGCGGAAGACTTGTATAATTGCCAAATAGGCTTCAAGCTTCCAAATGATAATGTAAATGCACTGAAACATGACATTGATGGTTCCTATATGATGGAAAGCACTTTCAGCAATTCATAGAGCTTATAACTCTTGGCTTTTTCACGAACGGAGTTGCAAGCTGCGCGAAAAGATCACGAGGCCCATGGAGTGAAAAGAAAGACGTAATATAAGGGACAATGCCCATTGATTGCTTTCATGCCTCATGCTGCTACTCAACACTAATGTGCTGTCGACCTAGGTAATTCCTGATGCCCAATATCATGCCCAATCATTGCCAAACCAGGCCTCCTGCGCCATGTTGTCTTTGAATGGCGATAGGAAACCAGACGGGCTCCATCATTGACCAGTACGACTCGCCAAAGCTGAGACAAACCTCACTCTCATCACTCGGCCTCAACAGTATTCTGTTTTGCCTTCATTCTCTCCACGAGTGGCACAAGGAGATTCTCCTTCAGGCCGTTCAAGACTATCTGCATATACGCCTTCTTGTCAAAGTCATCTGGCAACATCCTTGTAGCACAACGGTAGTCGTAGGTGTGCTCGACGAAGTAACGAAAGTGGGTATCGACTTGGCACAGTCTCGTCAGTGTCTTCCTGGCCTTGGCAGCGCCCTCCCAATCCAGCATCATAAGCGCTCTCAGCTCGGTCATTTTAACCGGTAAGTATTGGCAGAAGAATTCGTAGATGTAGAACCATCGATCATCTGTTCCGATGTACCAGCCTCTAGGCTTGTAGAGAAGAATATTCTCAGGCTGTTCGAAGTATGTGATAGTTCCAACAACAATGTCTCTCGTACTTTGCCCAAGCTGAATTGTTGATACACATTGCACAATCTTTGCAGGCGCGGTCTCATGGTCGACGTTTTGCTCCTTTATTTTGAGAGCTTCGTTGATCAGGCACTCGGCAACGGTGTCCACAGGAATGACATCGAGAATCGCTGACGGGTCTCCGTGCAGGACCTTCAAGCCGCCGAGTGCAAATGCAGAAATGGGACCGGCTAGCGCCGCGAAGCTGTCGATCCAGCCCGGGAATGGATATCTCCAGCTTGCGGATATAATGCTGGGGCGGACAATTGTCAGAGGCGTTGATGCTTTCTTTTGCACAACGAAGTGTTCGGCGAGACATTTCGCAAGGGTGTAGTTGTTGGGATGTCCGGTCTCGCTGCGAATCTGATCAGGGTCTTTCCTTCCTTCGAGCAGGTCCTCTAGTATTTGTTGTGCAGACTTTGGCAGACCGGCTAATTGCTCCCAGATTGGTCCCGTCGTATTTGGAGTGACATATGCCGTGGAAGTGACGACGAGTCGTTGAAGATTCGAGCATTGTTGCGAGAATTGCAGAATGTTGAGGCTCGCAGTGACGTTCTCCGCGAGGAGAACATTCAGAGACGTGTCGAACGAGACGCAGCCGGCACAATGAATAATGTGCGTGACCTCGGTTGTCAACTGGTCGAGTAGGTGATTATCAAGTCCGCAGTCAGGCTCCATGAGATCGCCAGGCAGAACAACAACGTCCTTGTCCCAACCACTCGGGAGAGTCGAAAAGCACTTGGACTTGGCGACTCCCTCAGAGAATCTCTCAATGGCGTTTTGGCTGCGCGATGAACGGACCAGCACCAAGATGCGATCAAATTGTAGATCGCGTGCATTCCGTCGGCGGATGAGCTCCTCGAGGACGACTTTTCCAACGAAGCCCGTGACACCAGTGAGCAGGACGGTGTTGGCCGGCATGACGGAATTGGTGACGACGAAGGTCTCGAGCAGTCTGGTGTTTTGCAAAGAGGTGGGCAGATAACTTTGTTGGGCTGAAGATGTCTGGAAAGATGCTGAAGGAGCTCTAGGGGACGCAGGTCATGGAATGGATTCTGTGATGATACAAAGGAGTTGTCTGCGTCCCAGTGGCTATTCATAAAAGTTCTCAGATGGAGCGGTCAAAACAAATAGGAGGGCAGCCGGAGTAAATCGTCCCAACAGAAGGCGCGATGACTCCGCCACGGCCACAATTTGGTATAACAGCAAGAGCGATGTCATGTTGTGAACACTGCATTTAGATGATCTATTTCAAGTCATGGACCTTGGTGAGACAATGGAACGATAGAAAGTACCACGAGGTGAGCATTTGGTCGCTCCTCGTCCTCGAAGGATCTAAAAGTCTCCACGCCAGCTCTTGGTTGGCAACGACATGGATGCAGTTCGGATTCTTTGCAACGCCAACCACATCTCAAACTCCTGAGGCAAAGATTATTTCTCGATTCCTGTGCATCGCGTAACTTCTATTGCATCCTAGACAACAGGAGAGGATCAGTAGATGAGCTTGACAAGAAGGTGCCACGCATGTGATTGTGGCTTGGATGGCTCTTACCGGGACACCGCTCGGCTCCCAACCCTCGACAAATTGGCTGGAGTAGACGAGGTTTGGGTTGCCATGGACTTCAGACTCGTCCACTTGACCCCCTTTTGCCATGTTGTATCTGGACTTCTCCCAGTCAGACAGCCTTTCGAGACTTAGTCCAGTCTCTTTTTTGAAGTTTTCCCTCTTCTGCTCTACTGTGCTGCGGACGTATTCAAGGTATGGAGGGTTCCCTGGTTTAACGACTGCTCCGGTAGGCCGATATTAGTACTCATCGGGTTCAATATTTGACATTAACGCCACGTGTGTGTGTGTGTGGAAGGGCTTACCATTATCCGCAGCAAGAACCGAACCAACGCCGACCAGACCAAGCTCCTCACACAGCTTCAAGTCAGGCGTGTAAAGTGGCTTCACATGGTCAAGGAACATGAGGTCAATCTTCTGCAGCTTGCCTTCGGCATGCAGCCGCCTCAGCGACGCGGAAGCTGGCCCAATCTCAACTCTCACGAAGTCATGTAAGCCAGCCAGGTCAACCAGACTGGAAATTACAGCACCAAATTCGGGGTTGTACTCCAGACTGTAGTACTGCTTCCCGCCGGCCTCTCTGAAAGCAGCACCAAAGGCGATAGCAGAGTAGCCCACATAGCCGCCCAGCTCGACCATGACTTGTGGCTTGACATCCTTGATGAGGTCTGCTACGGTCTTGGACTTGTACTCTCCGACGTTCATCAGATACTTCTTATTCCTGCCATACTCGTCAATCGCCTCGATGAGCTTTTGAGGGTTGCCGCGTATCTCTGAGATTTTGGGGTGGTTGTAGATGAAATGCAGTAGGGCAATCTCTCGCCCATCGTCGAACTGTTCAGGGCGTTAATTGCATACATAATTGCAGACAAGATCACAGATTCGGCAGTCAGAGTACTAACATATTTATCTTCCTGTGGCTGATACGCCTGTCCCGTGAAATTGGTGAGGCTGCTCATTTTGAGATTCTAAGACGTAGATAAGGAGATCCTGTATGCTCTATTTAACAACCTGAAATTCTAAATTGTAAATCTGCCAAAAGCTCCTAGGAGAAAAGAATAGGGAGAGAAAGAAAAAGAAGAAGAAGAAGAAAAAGAGCGAGCTGCCTAATGTCTTGCTGTCTCGTGGGGTCGGTACACAGCTAGAACGAGTCAAAGACCCCTGGATTTGGGATTTGGAGGCAAATATCGCCGGTCTGCACCTGTAGTTGGGGTCGAGCTGCCCGCAAAGGGGTGTGAAAGTGCGGGGGAGGGGAAGCTCAGTTCTTGGGGTGGGCGGGTTCCTGGATTCTGGAGCTCAAGCTCCGTTTGCTCTGCTTTTTCCCGTTCTCGAGCTGCGTCAAAACTCGAACATTAACACCACTAGCATGTCACTCCCCTCCCATCAAACAACACCAAGTGCTGTACAAGATGTGGACATGTTGCCCCCATACAACGAGCAATTCTGCGCAGCCCATCTTTTTCTATTTTCTTTTGTAATGATGTATCATCACTCCGTGGCTAAGGCTACCGGTACAAGATTTTGACCTTGATCATCGAACCTTAGCCTCAGCTCCGCTCATGCAGCTTTTCCTCCGTCGAGCCCCTCGACGCGAAAACTCGTGACTCTGCCAGGGATCCGCCGACGACGGACTGAGCCATATCAGCGTCACCACTGTCCCTAGCTCCCCAGCCCCCAGCCTACTGGTGGGGCTTGCCGAAAGTCAATCGACGGTTGCGCTGAGCCGCACCCGGCCGACCCACAGCAGATCGTCTGCAGATCCGTCGTCTCAGCCGTCAAACCACGGGCATAACCTTGAATATGGCGTGACGCCGCACTACCTTACTACCTCACTACCTGTCGAGCCTGTCAGTGCCTGTCTACCACAGTGGAACTAACAGACTGCCAGGCTGTCCGGCTGCACAGACGGCCCTTTCGAACCCCTGGTGTCAATGGACGGGACCAGGAGTACCTGACCGCCAGTCCCATGGCCCCGTGGGTTGCTTGATGGCGATGCGTGGCGCATTCAGATGACTGGTCCACTCTCCCGTCCGCTGCAGTGCGAGGCAGGGAAATTCGATGTCGCCATTTCCAACATGGCATTCTCAACAATCACATCTGCGAGACAGTGGCCTACAAAGACCTTGGCGACAGGGGAGGTGCCAGTACGAGTGACTATGCTGAACTCGAGCTCTTCGTTGACCAGTCTATGACCCTAACGAGTCTTCACTGCCGGATAGCTACACACCAAGGTACACTATACCTCTTGGTCGGGCACCTAGCCACTTGCGTCCAGGTACTTGCGACGTGTCTGTAGCCACGATGGGCCAGGCTGCTCGCTATGCTTCTTCCGGGGTGTGGTCCCAATACTGCTGGACGCCGAGTCTCACGGTTTTCCAACGGGCACAAGCGATCCCAGGAGTTTTCAAGACGGCGGCGGTTCCAACGTTTTCATTTGTGCCAAACCGCCGATGGAAGTCGTGACGACACCACTCTGTCAAGAAACTCGGAATACGTTCTCCTGTAAAGCATGTGCAGCTCAAAAAGAAGGTATCCCCGGGGGACTCGCCCTGACACGTTTCCCGTAGCTCCCCCTTCATCCCTCTGTTCCTAGAATTCAACTTCCTCTAGAGCCCTTTCTCCTGTTTATTGTTGACATTCAACCTCCTTGCTCAACTCTACCACTCCCTTGCCAACATGTCTGACCTCAAGGCAACCGTCTCTGAGACGCCCAAGGGCTTCCACGTCGAAGGCTACGAGAAGATCTCCTACGACTTCTCCTTCGTCGATGGGGTCTTCGACGTCCATAACCCCGGCCTGGCCGAGTGTTACAAGCCGTGGGGTCGCGTTCTTGCCGTCACAGACAAGAACGTTTTCGGGCTCTACGGTGACAAGATGGAGAGGTACTTCGCCCACTACGGCCTGACTCTGAAGGTCCACAAGACCTCCATTGGAGAGAAGGCCAAGACTGTGGATACTTGGTTGAGCATTTGTGACTCGATGACCGACTTCGGTATCATTCGAAAGGTAAGACATTCATTGCGAGCTACCTTGTCCATCTAAGGGCAGCTGTTGACCCTAATATTGACACTGGCAGGAACCCGTCCTTGTTGTTGGCGGTGGCCTTGTCACTGACGTCGCTGGGTAAGCGCTTCCATATCCTTTCTCGCACAGCCAATTACTGGCTGGAGCTCTGCCTATAAATAATCGACTCTACCGGCCACGTAGCTGACCCTGCTTTACAGCTTCGCATGTGCCGCCTACCGTCGGAACACCAATTTCATTCGTGTCCCAACCACAGTCATTGGTCTCATTGACGCTAGTGTCAGCATCAAGGTCGCCGTCAATTATGGCAACTACAAGAACAGACTGGGCGCCTACCATGCCCCTATTCATACATTCTTGGACTTCACCTTCCTGCGGTCACTTCCTATCGCACAGGTGCGAAACGGTTTTGCAGAACTCATTAAGATCTCGTCATGCTCCCACCTTCAGGTGTTTGACTTGCTGGACAAGTTCTGCGAGCAGCTGATTGAGCACAAATTTGGACGAGGAGACGGCTCCTCCGAGGAGCTCACCAAAGCTGCTGATATCGTAAGTCAGCATTTATCTCAAAACGATCCGTTACAATGATGCTCACACCATTCAAGATCAACCGCGAGGGAATTTACGAAATGTTGAAGCTCGAGTCCCCTAACCTACACGAGATCGGCCTCGACCGTGTGATCGCGTACGGTCACACCTGGTCTCCTCTCCATGAGCTCATTCCCGAGACACCACTGCGACATGGTCATGCCATCTCCATTGACATGGCCTACACCGCAACATTAGCTCTACACCGCGGCTTGCTCAGCGCCGAGGAGCATACGCGCCTGCTCACTCTATTTTCACGCGCCGGGCTCAGCATCGACCATCCCCAGTTCGACGACCTTGTGATCGACAAAGGCACAGCTGCCATTCTCAAGACACGTGATGGGAAGTTGCGTCTAGCTGTCCCTAACCCCCTGGGAAGCTGCACCTTCTTGAACGACGTGAGCCAGGACGAGCTGCTCCTTGCGCTCAAGAAGCACAAGGACTTCGCTAAGAGCTATCCACGAGGGGGTGCTGGTATTGAGGCCTTTGTCGACGGTAGCGATACTGGATACACAGATCTGGCATCTGAGAACCAGAGTGTCATGGACACTGTGGCCGAGAATGGTGATGGCTTGAAGCAGAAGGTTGCCTCAAAGGTGGCTAATGGCACCAATGGGCACACCAATGGGTACACTAATGGACAAACCAATGGACACACAAACGGACATACGAACGGCCATGCCAATGGCAACGGAGTCAAGGAGGTTCAGAACTCTCATGTTGAGAAGGTTGCAAAGACGAATGGTGTTCATTAGATAGAGCGTGCTTTTATCCTGCCATATGAAAAGCCTCCAGCGGTCTGACCTCTTCAGGGTCTTGTGAGACGATCGATGACAATTCACGACGCGAAGAGTAAAAGTAACTCAATAAATTTGAGCGACATTAAAACGTGGCATTGGCCGCGATGATATCCATCCAAAGCAAGCAATGTAATTAGTAAATCTTAGATTTCTACCAGCGTCACACAACTCGATCACGACGTTTCCACTTGAGCGGAAGCTGAACACTTTCCTGATCCGGGGCTCATGTAAATAAAGGGGAGCTTGAGTCGAGAATTGAAGGGGCGGGCGTGTCTAGGTGTGTCAAAGCTGTCAGGTACATGCCAAGTAGCGGCGGTTCATGCTCGTCACTAATGCGTAAGTGTGTGTATGTATGTGTGCCCGGTACGAGACCGCGCTGCATTAGCCCACGAGACCGTCCCGCATTCGACAGAGCTCCATCCCTGTAAGCCTCGATAGCTCCTGAACCGCATGTAGTAAGCTCGTTGAATGATTCATCATGGAGCAAACCAGCCGAGTGCTCTCTCCTTGCGTTCGAGTGCGGTGGTTGGCGGGTGTCGATCCCGAGCCGCGTCTCGCTTGAATTATGAGCGAGAAACAGGCTGTACTGCTAACTCTGACGCAGAAGGCCAAGCTAGATACATCGGGTGGGCGGTTCAGGGGGGGAAGACTCCGCGTCAAAGAGCTGTAGACGCGTCTTGGGCGGAAACACTTCTTGCAAAAGCTCAAGCACTCAGCTATCGCCAGTGCTGCAGCAAACCATGGCTCACTCCCAGGCCAATGGCACCATGTCGCCGCATGGGATCACGGCGTCCATCCCTAGCTTCGCGTTTCTGCGCCTGACGGCGAAGGACCACATCAAAACCTTCTTCCTCCTGTCACTCAGCATTTTTTCCCTACCCATAAGCTACGTTCTCGCCATTGCCCTCACAGCAGTGCCCCAGCCAGTCCTGGCCTACTTCCTGCCGTTTTCCCCGTTGACGCTGACCGGAGCCCTCTTCCACCGGACCCAATGCCGCTCCAATCCATTCTTCAGGCAGCGGACTGTCCTCGTCACCGGCGTAGGCATGACCAAAGGCCTGACGCTGGCACGGGCGTTCTGGTTGTGCGGTCACCGTGTCGTGGCGGCTGACTTTAACATCGGCACGGGTGCTGCTTGGACGCCGTGGAAGAAAGGTCGGCGGACATACAGTCTGGCTTTCGACACGGTCTACTCGTTGCAGAAGCCTGTGGTCAGGGATGGCATGAGTGAGAGAGAGAAAGAGGAGGTCAGGACAGCGTACACCGGAGACATCTGCAAGATTGTCAAGGAGGAGCAAGTCGACCTGTGGGTTTCGTGCTCAGGCGTCGCGAGTGCGGTGGAAGATGCCATGGTGAAGGAGGCCTTGGACCAGATGCCCCTAAGGAGCGGACGGAGCTGTGCATGCATTCAGTTCGATGTACCCACGACCTCAACGCTGCACGAGAAATCGACCTTCATTCAGCACACCAAGGCACTTAAGCTCACAGTCCCTGAGACGTACGACGTCACGTCGCACACCGAGGTCCTGGACGCCCTGGATTCCGCGACAAAGGACAGCCCGAGCAGGAAATTCATTCTCAAGCCTGTGGGCATGGACGACGCCAACCGCGGCAACATGACACTCCTTCCCCTTTCTACCACCCACGAAACCGAGACGTTCGTCCGACGCCTCCCCATGTCAAAGCAGAGGCCGTGGATCCTGCAGCAGTTCATCCAGGGCGGGAGGGAATACTGCACACACGCCCTGGTCGTTGATGGTGCCGTCAAGGTCTTCACCGCGTGCCCGAGCAGTGAGCTTCTGATGCACTACGAGGCCCTCCCGCACAACGACCCGCCGACCGCGGAGATGCTGGACTTCACGACCAAGTTCGCCGCGGAAGCGGGGGCCGGCTTCACGGGTCATCTGAGTTTCGATTTCATGGCTGAGGACGACGGCAGCGGTCAGATGAGGCTGTACGCGATCGAGTGCAACCCGCGGGCACATACTGCCGTGGCGCTGTTCGCGCAGCCGGGAATTCAGATGAGGGCAATGGTTGACGCGTACATGTCTGCCGTGGGCGGGCCGCCGAAGTCGTCGAAGAAGGACAATTTCGGCTCCGCGTCCAGGCTGGTCTGGCCTCCGCGGAACGCGACGCCTCGATACTGGATCGGGCATGACCTTGTTACACGGGGTTTGCTTCCCTTCTTGAATCTGCTGAGACTGAAGTCCAGGTCCGGAGAGCTCCTCGTCGATGGGGTAGGGGAGCTGCTGCTTCACATTCTTTGCTGGAAGGATGGGACGTTTGAGCTTTGGGACCCGTGGCCATTCGTGGCACTGTACCACCACTACTGGCCATGGGTGATATTGACTGCGTGGTGGAAGGGCGAACAATGGAGTCGGCTCAATGTGAGCACGACCAAGATGTTTGCTTGCTAGCTGGAGATATTCTCCATCAGTTATGATGTCGGCCTTCTCGCATATCGTCTTTGCACGGTCCAGAGACAACCAAGTAAATCATATAGAATGCCTTCTAGGCATTACATAGGTCGGAAGCCATTGTCTCCTTTTTTGATGGTAGCTAGCCGCTCATGCCTGTGAACAAGAACATGAAGCCATCCGTAGGTGCACTGGCGATGATTCTTCGGCCACAGCCTGCTCTCAGTCAGATGTTGCTGCCGTCCTTTTCAGTCTTCACAACTGACCGCACGGAAGGGCTTTAGCATTAATATACCCTGCCTGTCGGATTTTGAAGACAAGATACTCTAGACAGATTTGAAGAGTGGCTGGTAACAATGGTATTGAAGTATTGGGAGAGGCCGAGATGGTGTGAGACGGGGACGATGACAGGAGTGAGTCGAGCTCGAATGAACCTGGTCAGCTGGCCATAGCTTCCTCCAACACCACGCCATGTTCAGCTCGAGCTTGAGCTGTACCTGAGGGGAGGAGGCTGGAATTCGCCAATGACAGAGCTGCCCAGGCGTTGGAGCTAACACACCTACCCCTGTCCGTGGGGTACCGGAAGGCTGTGGCTGTCTGCGCGTGTGTTCATCCTCACCACCAGGGCAGAGCTCGCCTGCCGCCCAGGCGATGCTGCGGTGCTGCGGTGCCATTGATTGATCGATTCAATCGCCCAGCCTTCCCACTTTATTTTTTGTACAGTTTCGCATCACGGCGCTGCTCAACACCATCCAGTCTACCTCCCCGTCCTCGCGTTGCCGGCCCCTCTTTTCCACCTTCCCTGGCGCTTTGCCAGTTGGGTCCTCTACAGCTCCTCGCCGCCTTCCTAAACGTCAGTCTCTCCGCGTCTTCATCACGCCGCACCTGAGGCGCAAAGCAGCAACTTCGATCCCTTACCACCGATTTCCAGTTCCGCCGACACATCCTAAATCTACCTTCGATCCAGATCTCGTTCTCGACAGTTCACAATGGCCGACATCAACGACGACAGCATAATCGAGGACTCGCCCTCCAACCCTGGCGCCGATGTCGAGATGGCCGAGGGCCTGGGCGAGGACGACACCACCGCAGTCGCCGGCCGCTCCGAGATCCTTAACGAGGGCGAGGAGGAGCCAGTCCCTGAACGCACTCCCTTCATCAGCTACCTCACCAGCCCCGTTGTCACCCTGATTGTCGGCACCGCCGAGACGGAAACCATCTTGACGGCACACCAGGCTCTGCTGGTCCTGAGCCCGTTCTTTAGGGATGCATGTGCCCAGTTCAGCGACGATGGCAGTGTAAGTGGTACCGCAGCGTGTCTCGCGGATTCTTATGCAGTACGCGCATCGCAAGAACTTGGTCTGCTAACAATCCCCATTGTTCTCCCAGCCCCGCCAAATCGAGCTGCCCCACGACGATATGGACGCCGTCGGCTGCTTCCTCGAATACCTCTACACCGGCGACTACTTCCCCAAGAAAGTGCCCGGCCAGCGCACTCTCGAGACAGACCCATCCATCCCCAAGGTCGATGAGACTGGCGAGCAGCTGCTCAAGCATGCCCGCGTCTATACCCTGGCCGAGAAGTTCCAGGTCCCCAACCTGCGCACTCTCGCCTCATCCAAGATCCACTGCGTCAACTCCACCGCCAAGGGCGAGATCGCCTACGCACGCTACGTATATGCATACACCTCCGAGGCAGACTCAACTGTCCGCGCGCCTGTTGCCAATTTCTGGGCCAACCGCTCCCATACTCTGCGCGCCGAGGCCGAGCCCGAGTTCAAGGCCCTCTGCTTGGAGTATCCTCAATTTGGTTACGATGTTCTCAGTAAGCTCAGATTTCAAATACAGCATCTGGCGAGATGTGTTCAATTGCTAACACGGTTTCTAGCTCGTGTCCTCGACGACAAGCTCAAGCGCGAGACAAACGCCAAGATGCACCCGGCGACTGGCAGCGTGCGCAAGAGGCCTCGTCACAGCAGCAATGCCTAAGCAACCGCACAGCAACTCGAATTTACAATTAAAATTCCATCCAATATCACTTGAAGCAGGAAGACGCCATTGCTCTTGGATCTTATTTCGTGTGGTATCACCACTTGGTGGACGAAGTGGATCCTGAATCCCGGTCCATGACATACAGGAGCTTGTTCTGTTGGATGTACAGAACTGTAAAATATCCCCAATGTTTGCTATTTTGGAGTTCTATTTTGCGGCAGGTCATGGAGAAGAAACCTGCCTTGCGCGTGCAGTTTCTCAAATTTTCCGGGATAAGCCTCGGGATGCTTATATCTGGAGCAGGTCACACTTAACATCAGCCTTGTTTTCTTACACAGGGCGCCTGGCTTTGAGCAAAAATCATAGGGTTGATAATCACGCGCCTGTACATAATGCGATACTGGAGACTTTCGTCTTGCTTGGATCGAATCTCTTGGGTCGGTCAGCAAGCCGGCAAGTATTCCCACCTGAGTGGCCCCAAGTCCGCTTGAAAAAGAAACGCGCAAGCTCCCGTGCCTTGGGTTCCAGGGTCGAGCGCTCAAAGAGCCAAACACACACGCATGTGCATTATCAGAGAAGTGATGGAGGCCCAGTCAGGTGCGTTACAGCGTGAAGAGTTACCTACGCGAGCTCCTAGATTTTGTGTGGACCAACTCGAGGATCGATTCGACTCAGGCTGACGACCAGCACAAAATTCAGGATAAAAATGTCGAACCATTATCCCGCCCAATTTCAAGTCAAAGTAGGCAGCAGAGGAAGCGAGGGATCCGAATCCGGATCGAATGCCCAGACTTGCAGTCTCACCGTCAGTTGTATGTGTTTTTGCCTACACCTGAACTTCCCCGCACGATGCCTCTCACACCAGCAAGCATCCAGCTCCCGACCTCGTTCATCGTCACTATCACTGCATGGCGCTCTGTCTCCCCTCAGGTGCGACCGCCTACTGTGCCCAATGCTACGAATTATCCCGGCTGCCACCCCAATTATTTGAACATTTGACTCTTCCTTGACTGGCCGAGAAATGAGCTACTGCGGTTGATGTAACCCCGGGGAAGTTAATCAACTCTCCCTTAGTGGTCTACTTTCTCAAGTGGAGAGCCTCTGTGATTTTATTTGACTTCGACATGGGCGATTACGGCTCTCGTGAGTATTGTTTCTATTTGGGACAATCTGATCATAGAAACACCTTCGTTGTTGCTCGAGATCCGTCACACTTCTACCTTTCAACCCTCTGTCTTTTTCAACCACAGCACACCTGAAAAGACGCTCCTAACGCGCCTCAACATGGCCCCACTCAGTGGGCATCCCCACAACCTCACTCCTTTCACCACCCTCATTGTAGCGTGGCTTTTCATAGTACTGACAAAGGCTATGCCAGCGACTCAACAAGGCACCGGTGGCCCACCTGCAGACGAGTTCAGCTGGGTCAAATATGTCAGGGGTCCCCCCAGCACCACTGTCTCTCCAGCCCGCTTGCTTGCCAAATATTCCACTGGTAATATTAGCAACCCGGACGGCATTCTTCAAGGCGGGATCACCACACTCACAAGAAACGGTCCTAACGAAGATCTTCCATCGCTTGTGCTGGACTTTGGCCAGAACTACGCCGGGATCTTGTCCATCGACTTCGCCGGAGCTGAACCGTCCGACCCGGACCTGTCCAACACGATGGCCCTGCCTGGTATCACTCTTGCTTTCTCGGAAACACTCCAATTCCTGACCAACAGAAGCGACTTTACAAGGTCGGACAACCAACCTGCAGGAGAAAAGTTCACCAACGGGACCGACCAGATTGCGGTGCAGAAGCAGCCGTACACTTGGACGAATCAGCTCGGCTGCCAATTTCCCGAGGATCACAAGGTCTGTTCGGACGGCTTCCATGGTTTTCGATATTTGCGCATCTCATTGCAGGCTCTTGACGAAGACGCGCCGTATACCACGGGGTTTGGAAGTGTGTCGATTTCAGGCGTGTCGCTGGCGCGCTATGGCTTCATCGGTACGCCGGAGAACTTCAAGGGCTGGTTCGAGTGCAGTGACGACAACTTCACGCAGTGGTGGTTTGAAGGGGTCCACACCAATGACTTGACCACCGACATATTCCGGGCAAACGACACGGAGCCACGCGACGCTTTCAGCCCGAGCCTGGTAGACAAGCTCGTGCTGCACGACGGGGCGAAGCGCGATCGCGACCCTTACGTGGGTGACCTCGCGATATCTGCGATGACGCTGTACCTTAGCCACCAAGACCCCACTGCGGCGCGAAACGTGCTCGCCGACCTGGCTGATCACCAGAGAGAAGATGGGTGGATACCGCCGGCGAGCATTCGTAATTATACGCTCCCGTTGTTTGACTATCCCCTCTGGTGGGTGGTTTGCTCGTATGATCTGGTCATGTACTCCGGCGATACCGACTACCTTGATAAATACTACGCGAACATAGTCAAAGTCCTCGACGTCTATTATCCGAATTGCACCAACGCCGACGGACTTCTTGAGAAGGGGCTGGGGAACAGCGCCGGCTATGGCGACTACGCCTTCCTGCCCCGCACGGGCGTCATCACGTACTACAACGCGTTATACGTCCTGGCCCTCGACCACGCGGCAGACCTGGCCGAATTCTACGGAAAGGACGAGGATGCCGCGAGATGGCGAGAGCGCTCGGCGGCAGTCGGCCCAGCGCTTATGCGCGAAAACTGGGACAGCAGCGTCGGGGCGCTATTCGACGGCGGGCCATGCCCGGACGACAGCAACGGCACCACCAAGTGTCCCGTCCACGCGCAAGATGGCAACAGCATCGCAATACTTGCGGACGTAGCGGACTTCGAAGACGGGTACTCGATCCTAGATTACCTCTCCAAGGCGCTGACGCGGCCCTACGGCAACGCGTTCTACGACAGCAGCGCCCTCAGCCCGGATGACCAGTTCGACCAGCGCGTGTACGCCTTCATCAGCTTCTTCGAGATCGCGGCGCGCTTCCGTCTCTTCTCAGACTCGGCTTTTGATGAGATCCAGAGGCTGTACGGGTGGATGTCGAGCCACGACCCGTTCTCGACATTCTGGGAGGGCATCGGCCCCGGGGGCGAGCCCTACGAGGCCGGGTTCACGTCCATGGCGCACGGCTGGTCTACTGGTATCGTCCCCCTGATGACCAATTACGTTCTGGGGGTGAGGCCACTGATGCCCGGCTTTCAGGCCTTTCTGTTCGCCCCGTACTCTATGTGGGACGGGATGAACTGGGCCCGGGGTGAAATCCCCACGCCGAGGGGGCCCATTGGGGTGGAATGGGTAACAGAATCCTCTACCTTGAAGATGGTGGTTTCAGCACCTGCCGGGTTGACGGGAAGCGTTGTTGTGCCCCTCGCATACAATGAGACTGAGCTAAGTATGAATGGGCAGGTTGTCTGGACCAAGGACGGAGGCGCGAGTGCAGAAGGCGTCGATCCTGGTGATGGCAAAGTTGTGGTGAGCGTTCAAGGCGGGAGCCGCCACGTCTTCCAAACGGCCTAACTTCGCTTCTCTCTCCATTCTTGGACTCTCACTATAGGTTCCGGCGACGTGACCGTCTCTGCTTATTATCACGGCTGTCTTCTCCATATACGCGGATGACAGCTCAGACGACGGGTTTAACCCAAGAGCTTGATCCAGCCCATCTATATTGCTGCAAAATGAAAATTTACACCCACTTAAATTTTTCACACGTGCGCCGAGGGTGCACATTAATTGCGTGAAATGATCCATAACTCGGAGGGATTATGTTGATTGAAGCTCCTAGACACAGACAGTGCCACACAGCAATACAACGTTCACCGGTGTTTGATCATTTTGTTCGGTACCTCATTCCATATCATGAGCCTTCCCCATGTTCTTTTGTAAATTACCAGATGCCCTTCACTTTCCACATGATCACTAAGCTGTGTGGCTGCCCATGGCCCCCAAAGAGGCGTGCCCGGCAGACTAAACAAAGTCAACTGTCGGACATACCGATCCACTCGTGATCTATGACTGGGCCTTTGGCTGTGACTATTTCCGTCGGAATCGAGGTTTTATGATTGCATTGTGGTTGAAAACCTTCTTTGCTCCGATCATTTTAACACCTAGCTTACAACTGACTTGATTTCAACGCGTCCCGGATAATCTTGCCTTGGATTGACCTAGCGAAGCTGGTGTAGCTAGAATAGCTACGACAGATAGTAACAATTCTTTATTACAGACCTCATCTCAGCCGTCTATTCTGGTCTCATACCAAAATGATCATGTTGGCTATCATTAGACGAGAAATTTTATTTTTTTAAACTTTCGCAAGAAATAAGTAACAGATCCTAGCCCCTAGGGCTACCAACACCCGTGATGCTTCCGGGTAATTCAACCTTGTGTTCGTTGGGGCCCATCTCATGTGGATACACTACTGGTATTGGCGCATTGTACGCATGTGCGGACGGTGTAGAGGCCGTCGGTGTCGAGTCAGAAGCATATTGAAATCCGCCCGGTGCCTCATAACCAGCTTTAGAATACGGCACGGCTTGAGCCACAGCCTTCAGCCGCTGGCGACGCTCCCAGAATGCCCACATGATCGCGCTGATTGACAAAACGCCGAGAGAGGCGCCGACTCCAGCGCCTATGGCACCTATTTGAGCTCCAGAATCCGGACAAGTGTCGCCCGTAGATGTTGCCGTGGAGCTGGCAGCGGCTGATGTTGCTGTAGCTGCGGAAGCTGATGTTGCGGACGTGGCTGTCGAGCTGGCGGTGCTCGAAACAAGCTCAGCGCTGGAGAGCGCGGCGACTCCGTAAATGAGAGAGGCAGAGGGAAGAGCGAAGGGGACTCCATCGTCTGAACAAGCTGAAGCGTAATCGTTGTCGTAGTCTGAGCCAACACAACAATAAAGCCAATCCGTTCCATTCTTCTTCCATCTTGCGACCCTTGCGGCATCGGCTGGGAAGTCATTGTCTAGATTTGGCTCGTTAGTGACCGTTCGCCGAGCGCGCCTCGTGAATTTCTTCAGCCTACCTCCCAAACATTTCTGCGGACATGAAGACCCCCAATTTCGATCTGTGCAGCTCCCGCGGTACAGGCCTAGAGGTCCGGAATCCTCGCTCGTTTCCATGCAGTAACCATTGCTGAGACATATTCCAGTCTTCCCGCAGCAGTGTGTGTTGTCGGAAGAGGTCGAACAGGGAATGTCTGCCGTGCCGACTTTCCCGCTGGGGTAATAACACTGCTGGCCAAGGGTCGCCGTTGCGAAAGCCGCAAGGGCGAGGGCGGATTGGAGTTGCATATTCGCCGGATGTTGGACAGAACCAAATGATAGATTTGGTGGGCGATAAAACGAGAGGACGTCGTCGAACAGAGGTTGGATTCCCTCGTGGTCGGCCAGAGGGCATTCAGGCGTTATCAACAATGACCCCCGGACCTGGCCCACAGTTTCGCCATCCTTCAGGATCTCCAAGCAACCTCTCACGCCCTGCATATTGTGACACGGCGCCCCACGCTGGGCGACCTGGTCGCCTGCGGCTGAGAAACACCATGCTTCATTTAAGGAGCAGTCAGTTTAAACCCGAAGATCCCATCGCTGGCCAAAGCCATAGGAGTCGGATTCGGGAATCAGCCTGATGGGACACCCCCTTATTTCCGTCATACAAGGGGATGAAGCCCAAATTGACAACATTCCATCCAAGATGCAACTTGTCGTGTCGAGTCAAGATTTGGCTGTAGTTCGTAAGGTTATAGTTCGAAGCCCGCCCCCAGAATTGCTGCCTTCGTCGACCCCACCACGGATCAACGCCTTGAGCATATCGAATATTGCCTTGTGACCGTCAATCGGCCCACGAAGGGCTAGTTTGAGACTGGGCAGCCTTTGAATCCTCAGATAACCCTGAACATGTTGGATTTGACACCTCTCTTCAGCCCCTCCGCCTTTCCATTCTCGTATTCGATCCCTGCCGAGCCACCGCCGCCGGACATGCCCTCGAGCTTTAGCCGTAACTCCTCGTCCATCTCCGCGACTGTCTTCTTCTTGGCGGCACCCGATGATGCGGAGTTGGTGTCCGAAAGTGCTGAATTGTTTCGTTCTGAGTCATGCGGAGCTTGCTGAGCTTGTTTGTCGTTGCTTGCGTCTGAAATGCTATCCTTTCCTGCCGAAGATGATGTAGTATATGTGTGCTGGAAGGGCCGTACGTGCAAGTGTACATGCGAGGTTAAGCGCAGCCCGGCGCTTGGTCGTATGAACTGTTTCATGATTTCGTTCGTGACTGACAGGAAGGGGGATGTGAGTATTGTGGGACTGGCAGTGGCCTTTCAAGGGTTCATGAATTGAATTCTTCTGTCGCGTGATGTCATTTGTCGCCTGAGATGCCCTAACCCCAAGGTGCCTCAGAAATCGACCCGTCTCCGTAAGGGTAACTTTTGATAAAATAAGAATCAATTACTTCCGGGATGAGGTAGCCTTATGTTTGAATGAAATTCTAGCATTTTTGAAGAAGAAGAACGAGAAATTTGGTGCCGTGTCTTATATAGACTACATTATGCATAGACTGTTGACGGCAAGCAGGTCATACCTACGTAATGTGATGCCCAAGATTATTCCCGTGGTTCCCCTATTGATAGTATGCGCACTTTGGTTTGATATTTACTGAGCATTCTTATGATTTCCAGCCAGCTAGACAAGTCAAGGTTTCCATTGACCTTTCAGTCCTCGGGAAATGACTCTCTAATAGCCAGCCAACAGCCAGTTTCTGAAATATGCGTCAAAACTCACCTGGAACTCCTGTCTTTACTTCCCTCAAATGATTTCAGCTTATTGGTCATCAAAGTCTTGTGGTTTCTCTTGCGGTCTCTGAGGCTAACACGTAGTAGCTAGCCAGAACAACTGTCAGATGTATGCCTAAGGCGGACGAGAGTTTCGCATGAATTACAGTCCCTGGGACGGTCTTCTACGCGTTAAAGAAACTGCGAGTCGAGAGAGTCTCTTGGGTAACATCGATGCTGATCTGGATTCAGCAACTCAGTCACGTACACGAGCAGCCTCGTCTTAAGCATCTGGACGCGGCCGGTCTTGGATGGCGAAACTCAGCCAGTGTCAACGGCACGGGAATGAGTTATTCAGAAGAAGTTGATCCTCTTTATTTATTGAAATCCGAGGGAAAGATTCATATGCATGTTGATTTCTCGTTGGTCTTGTGTGCTTCCACGAAGACACACGAGGACCTGAGGGGAGAATTATTCCTTGAAGGTGATGTAACATAACGTCCTCGGCAGGTATGCCATCTATTGCTACCTATACCCCCTAGCGCTCTAGAATGTACATTGTCGGAGTGGATCAAAAACAGGATGTTGATCTAGATGACCTCTGGGGCTGTGAGGGTGGGTCCTGTGGATGCCAGATCCAGAGGTGCCGAAGCCGATAGTGGAAGTAGAGGTGCCATTTTAGACATTCTGTTGAAGGCCTACTCCGCCTATGTGGTCGAGAGGACGATATGCAGAAGAAGATAAACTCACCTCAGGTCATCTAAAACTGCTCTATCTTGCCAATTCATCGGGTTGCACGACTCTGCATCTGGCCAACATTATGGAAATCTGGAAATGTAGCTTGGATGTCAAAGTCCGGATAATGCTTCCCCAGAAGGACCCCCAAAATCGGGCGAGTTATATTATCCACTAGCCATAACTCCTTCCTACTACTTATCCCCTTCGCATGGATCGACCAGTGCATGCCGAGTGGCGGGGAGCTCGCGGACCATCAGGGGCTCCCATGGACAATTAATTTGCCAGTGCGTCTCGGGAAGCTCCCTGCTATTGCGGCTGCCATTTAGTGCTATCGCGGGCCCAAGTATACGCAAATAGTGCGATTGGTCGACCTCAACTGCCAAGCGGGCAGTCCAGCTAAATTATCGACGACGGCCCGCCCGTTGGAACCGTTACTCACAGTGAATAGATAGTTCCACATATTTGCAAGTTAATGTTTACACAGCGTATTCAATGACACCTCTGGGAGAACTGGGTGCGTAGCGTATACGTATTCGTATACGAATATTTTCGACATTCGTACTCATTTGAGATAAATACATCATGGTACATTTTCCTGAACATGTGAGCTCGTTCCCAGTCTTCATTGGACTTCTCGTTCATAAAGTCCATTGATTTCACTCGTTCAGCCCACCTCTTTCATTCCACTCACTGAATCATGCACTTACTGCACATTCTCCTAGCCAGCCCAGTTGCTGCAGCAATTTTGGCAAAACAAAATTGCAGAGCCACCCCCTCGGATGCAAGCTGGCCGTCCACCGAAGAATGGGCTTCTCTCAACGCATCCATCGACGGGACACTGCTCCGTACCGTGCCGGCAGCCTCCTCTTGCTGGCCCGGTAACCCATTCGACTCTAAACTCGACTGTGAGGACGTTTCGAACGCCTGGGGGAATGGCACATGGCATTCGATGCAGCCGGAATCAGTGGATTATCCCTTGTATGCCAACAACTCATGCCTTCCCGATAAGGCCTCGGGCTACTCAGCCGAACGAGGATGTACCATTGGAGGACTAGCTCAATATATTGTGAATGCAACAACCGAAGACCACATTGCCACAGCATTGAAGTGGGCCTCCGAACGTAACATCCGTGTTACCGTCAAAGGGACTGGACATGACCTCAACGCCCGGTATGTGAAAACGAAGTTTATACAAGTCACTAGCTTTGACTGACTTTCTTATTTTCTTGCAGATCCACAGGTGCTTACTCACTTTCCGTCTGGACGCGCAACTTCCGGTCCATTGTACGCAACCAAGCATGGAGCGCTACAAATGCGTCAAGCACAGAAGATGTGCTTGTCGTGGGCAGTGGTCAGCAATGGGGCAATGTTCTGAAAGCAGCATTGGCGCAGGGCAGAGTCGTCACGACTGGTCAGGACCCTAGCGTCGGCCTTGGTGGATATATACAAGGGGACGGTCATGGACCGCTGGCTGCCACCCACGGATTGGCTTCTAATCAAGTTCTCCAGATGACTGTGGTCACCACCACGGGAGAAATTCTGACTGCAAACGACGTCCAGAACCAGGACCTCTTCTGGGCGCTCCGCGGAGGTGGACCTGGTCAGTACGGCGTTGTCACAGAGTACGTGATCAAGCACCACCCTGCGCCTGCGAATGTTGTGACCGGGTCACTTCTGCTGGTTCCAGCGGACAGCTCGAATAGCAGCAAGCAATTGTCGTGGCAAGCAGCAGCCGCGTTCCTCGGCGAACTCCCCGATCTGATGGACGCTGGAATGGCCGGTGCGGCCACCATTGCGACGGGAGTGAGCGCTACAAAGTTCTTTCCGACGTCCAATATCCAAGTACCATTCACGGGAGCAGCTCTCAGCCAAATATTCTGGGCCTTCAACACCTCTGCCGAGGCGATGGAAGCACTTGTCCGGCCAGTCGTCACGAAGCTTCAGAATAAATATAACAAGAGCAACAGCAGTCTCAGCATAAGTTTCAGCGCTGGAGCTCCCAGTAATTACTCAACCTTCTTTAGCGCCATCTCTGGTGATAATGCTGCAGGCGCCGAGAGCGTAGTCTCAAGCCGTCTGCTTGGCCGGCACGAGCTCAACGACACTCCTAACGAGCAGGTAGTTTCATACCTGAAAACTGTGCTGGCATCTAAAAACGAAACAGCGGGATCATTCACCACGATCGGACTCTCGGGCGGCCCTGGCGTCATCAACGCACCTGAGGAGCGCTGGGGTGCGCTTCTGCCCGCCTGGCGCTCCACATACCTTCACATGATCGCCACTGGAGCTAGCGCCGACTCGGTTGATGCTGGGTCACCAAAGGCTACATTACGAGAGGCTGCTGAATGGTATGAGGAGGTCAAGGAGCCAATGTGGAGGGAGTGGAGCCCGGATTCTGGCGCGTACCTGAATGAAGGTAACCCTTACACCAAGGACTTCCAGAAAACTTTCTACGGAGACAACTATGAGAAGCTGCTTGGTATCAAGAGGAAGTATGACCCGACAGAGACCCTGTATATCCTGTCGGGCGTAGGAACCGAGAACTGGGACTACGACTTAGACACCGGTAAGCTGTGCCATGTCTAGGGGCATTGAAGGACGGATATGGGCATCAAATAAAGTCCCACAATATGCTGTGATAAATACTGTAGTACGTATTTCCGTGCTTGTAAATAGGCAAAATCTTGGCTTTTCGAGAATCTATTTGAATCTAATTCGTACGTTTGGGTCTCGATGCGCACTGTCTTCAGAATATAAGCATCGACAATGAGCCGGTACATATTATGCGTACGCGGGAACAAAGAAGCAACGAGTCTGAATAACTTTGGGTTTATTTAAGTTTTATAGAATAACTTGACACATTGTGAGCAAGCTGAAGATATGCCTCCTGCAATACACGGAATCTTCGGTGGACCGAGCCCCTTCCACCCCCCCCCCCCCAAATGGCCGAGACCTAAGATCTAATTAGACAACAGCCAGGGTTAGGATCATCCACTTATTCGCCACCCAGCGGCTTCAGATGACGAAGTCCGACTCCCCGAAATCCGGTCAGCTGGTAAAGCGCAAGACATCAAAAGATGACTTCCTTTAACATGTACAAAACATGCAGCCTTTCGACGAGATAACAAGCACAGAATTGGGTCTCGAGGACGACATCTTAAGTCCTGATATGTCCCCGGCGCAGGATCGTTACCTAAATGGAATCCCAAAATGGATGAGACAGTCGGGACCCAGGTCCTCGACAACAATACTCGACCGAATTCGCTATGAGGTCATCCCGACCATCACAAAATGGACCAGAGCAGCTATATATCGTCTTACACCTTTATTATCATCGCTCCTTCGGCCGCGCTTCACCGTCCGCTACATTCTCTTCTCTATCGTCGCACTATGGGTGACCTACCGCTTCCTGATCTCACAGCCGCTGTTCGCCTCCAAGCTCCCCGGATACACCGGGCCATACAGCGTCGGAGCCGTCGATATTGAGTATCCGCTTGAGGCACCGAGGCGGGTCAGCGATGCCAAATTCAAGTCCAAGTCTGGGGTCGGCTATGCTTTCGAGGTTGAAACCGTGCTGTTCACGCTGTACTATCCGACGTCACACACGGCCAGAGCTTCGACGGCTGAAAAGTACTACTGGTTCCCGAAGCCTGTATCAGCGACGGCAAAGGGGTATGCCCGTTTTCTTGGGATGGACAACTTCCTTTTCAGAAATGTTCTCACTGGTGGCCTGTGGCTGGTAGCCAGCGGCATCCAAATTCCAGCCAAAGTCGGCGCGCCTCTCATCCCACCGGCCGAGCTTCTGAACCTGAACGGCACCAGCGGGGACCTGGCCAGTGTAGCGGACCAAGACGAGGATGGGCGCAAGCTACCACTTATGGTCTTCACTCACGGTATGCTGAGCTCCAGGACCGACTACACCCACTACCTGGGCGAGCTAGCCAGCCGCGGCGTTGTCGTCGCCGCGATCGAGCACCGGGACGGGTCGTCTCCCGCAAGCCCAATCATCAAGAAAGGGGAGGATGGATCACCGCGGTGGAGATACGCCTTCGGGCTGAAGGACCTGGAGCCCCCCTCCGACGGCTCCGGCAAGCTCGACACCCCAGCCCTCAAAGAAGCCCAGCTCTCCTTCCGCGAGGCCGAGATCGAGGCCACCGTGGACGTGATCCGCGCGCTCAACTCGGGCGCAGCGTCCACGTCCTTCCCCAACGCCCGCCAGCCACGCAACATGGACATGTCCAGCTTCAAAGCCCGCCTGAACACAACCCACCTCACTCTCGCAGGCCACTCCTACGGCGGCACGGGCGTGCTGCGCGCCCTGCGTCCCAGCCCGAACCGCGCCTCCAGGCTGCCCTTCTCGGGCGCCGTGGTCCTCGACCCGGGCAAGCAGAGCGGGCCGCTCAACGCCGACGTCTCGGTGCCGCTGGCCATCTGCCACAGCAGCACGTGGAGCCGGCCCGGGCCGAGCCTGTTCCACGGGCGGCCGCACTTCGAGGTGGTGCGGGACATCGCCGAGGGCGTCAACAACCGCACAGCGGGGGGGAAGTCAGAGAAGGAGGGCGGCGGCAAGGACGGCCACGAAGGGGGAGGCTGGTTCCTGACGTCTCTGGGGACGGCCCACCCGTCCATTACGGATGCGCCGCTGCTCGAGCCGCTGCTGCTGTCGTGGGCTACGGGGTCGACCATGGACGGGCGCGACGGGATCATGCAGTACGTGCTTGCTACTAGGGACTTCGTGCGGTACCAGCACACGGGCGAGCGGCTGGGCGTGTTGGGATTGTCCGGGAGGAACAAGGAGGACGGCGGCGCGATCAGCAGGGAGTACGACCCTCAGCACAACGACGGGATGCCAGAGCAGTGGCGGAAATACTGGCAGATCCACGTCGCACCGGTATGAGGCAGTGCTGTCTCTATTCTCGTAGGCCCAATTTTCATAGAAGCGTATAAACTTACTCCTATTCTTCTACCTAGTGAGCGCTATTCAAGTATCAGTGACTTCAATGTGTGCACCAGCATTGACTAAATGTCTGTGGTTTCGACCGTGGAGAATTGTTTGGTCAGGAGATGCAATTGACAACTAGGTAATATTTACAGACAGCCACAATGCATCTAGCCATTCGATGGATCGGCCGAAGCGATGTCTTCCGAGGGTGCTAAAGCAAAACTCTGACGCCGTGCCATGCGAGACGATCAAAAAAAATTCCAAACACGAGCCATGACAAACCATGTCTCTCTCAACTAGTGATGCTTTATGCTGCTCGTGGGGTCAGGCCTCAGAATTAATCTGAACATGGCCATTGTAGCACCTTAAAAACTACCGACCTTGAAGCTGGCTTTACGCGTCCTTCCGCTCCTCCTGATATCGAGGTCCGCGCTGCCACGCTCCTGATCTGCCGCCTCAGAGCGCCCCTCTCCAGCAAGACTAGACCTCTTTGGAGGTCTTCCTCGCCCTCGCTTGATGTTCACCTCGCTCTCATCTCGTCTTGGTGTGCCGGTCTGGCTTTGCGTGTGTGTCGACCTGCCTCGCACGACCAGCTCGTCACTGGTGGCAAGAAATCGATGCACAGTTCGATGATCCAGCACGCGCTCCTCCTTATCCCAGGGGCCCTCGGGCTGCGTCTTCGGCCAGATGTAACCGTACAGCTTTGAGTGTCGCTCACAGCGCGGGCAAGAGGAACGGGTATAGTAGGCGTTCTGTTGGACAAAGGCGGTAGTGCAGTTGGAGCAGCGCACCCAAGCCATATCGGGCTCGGCGAGGAGGCGCGGAGTGAGCTGGTAGTCACCGGGTTCCCGGTAGGTGACGGGGCCATTTGAAGGCGCCGGGGAATCACGATCATCCAACTCGTCATTTGGGGCGGTTGGTGGCGGCACGACCACAGATTTCTCCGGTAGGGGACTGGCATCGGGCTTCGGGTGCTTCCTAGGTCGTCCACGGCCGCGCTTTGCTGGGGTTCCAGCAGCTGCTAGAGTCTCGACTGAATCCACGGCTTCCTCGGGATCCTGCGCAATCATTGGGGATGGTGACACGGGTCCTTCTGTTGCAGCCAGCTGCTGGTTCTCGATCTGTGGCGCTCCATGGCTCTCGCCCGCCTTCGCGGAGGTCTGGCTGGCAAACGCAGCAGCAAATCGGTCGGTTGGGGTCCGGCCGTCGGGAGTAGCTGCTTCTGACGGGGTATTGAGAATGTCATGGATGGACAGGCCGCGTGCTCTTGGTGGGGGTTGAGGTGTACGAAGTAGCGGCACCGGTGGAGGTTGACTGATCGCAGGTTCTGGGAACAGCGCGACCTCCCGCAAATCGCCTGAGGTCAAATCTCCCGCATCTTGCTCCTGTTTCAGGTTCTCTAGAACCCGTGCGACCTGCGCGGGTTCCGAAGGAACATCTACGGGTTCAGTCGTGTCTTCGGGGGTCGTAACATCGGTGAGCACGGCTTCTCCATTCGAGGAATTTGACCTTGAGAGTGAACTACCTGACTCCGCATCGGAGCTACCGCTACGCTCTGCAACGAGACTAGGGATAGGTCTGATCTCGTATCGAGTCGTCTTCTGCTTCTTTGCGGGGGTGACAGGAGGTGTCGCGAGGCTCTCCCTGCCTCGCTTGCGCCTCAACGAGGCTTCTGGTCCTCCAGCCAGGCTCGAGTCGGTGGTAGAGGCTCGGTCGCTTGCGCGCAGCTGCTTCAACTTTCCCTTAGGTACCTTGGGTCGGAGGTCCGGGTTAACCGAGGGCGTCCTAGAGCTCGAGTCTCCCCTTCCATATCTGTGTCGTCCACGTGTGTTGTAGCCCTGTATGGCCAGCAAATCATTTTCGATGCTCCGCTTGACTGGCACAACGCCGTCAGGCTGTCTCCAGCCATTGGCGAGGTTGTTCTCACAAGTCTGGCACAAACACTCGCAATTATCCTCACCGAAGTAGTTCTCGCCGTAGGTGACAGTAATCTCCTCTCCCACTTCGATGCGCCGGATAGCAACGATGTCAATGCCAGCCTGACCAGTAATAACGAGCTTGGCGTTGGCACCGCAATCATGGTTGGCGAAGCGCGCAGGGCCCATGAACAGGCTGGTCATCCTATTCCTGCTGCTCACGACAATGCTGAAATCCTTCTTCCGGGAGGACAAGACCTCCTCCTCCTCCGGCGTGATCACAACCTGTATTCCTGAGAGGTATTTAACGGTTTCGTTGCGCTTTATGGGCACTCGCGCTACGATGGAGGCCTCGTGGGTGGTAACTGTATATCGGTTCGTGCTGCTGACTTCGAAGGGGCAATCGGGGAGGTAGATCTGCATGTAGCGACGGAGGTGTTGCCTGAAGTCGGTCTTCTCCTTGGGGGTCTTGAGCGCATTTAAGAATCTCTTGAGGCCGTCTGTCGCAAGGAGCTTCTCCTCGGCCAGGTCGACATTGGAATTGACGATCAGATGAGTCTGGATGATTTGACATATCTCGTCTTCCTTGACACCCCGTGAGGGGTGGTAGGATGTTCGGTTCTTGGGGATTGTAGTCCAGTACCAGGCCTGCGAATCAGTCAGCCTTCAATGCGCGCACTCGTGCTGAAAAGTCTTTCTGAGAGACTTGATTGGTGCATACCCGATCAACAAGGGCATCTGTTAGCATGTCATCGTAAGATGACAATTGCGCCAAGGTCAGCGTCTGCTTCTTTGCATTGCTGGATGCGCCGGGCATCTTGGGCATCTTGACAGATGTGCAGTTGGCAATGCCCTTCTCGTTGCGGGAGAGTGGTGCGACGTTTGACGGAGGCCAGGGCGAGGTAGCAGACAAGCTGCTGGCGGGAGGTTATGCGTCGAGTCCAAGGAGCGGGTGTTGGTCGCAAAGTAAGAAACAAGTGAATGAGTGGACGCAGGACTGCAGATGATCCTTCCGTCAACTGCGCCTGCAAGCGTAAGTGCGAGGGTGGAGTCCGGGACGGTCAAGCCGGGGTGGAGTGGAGTGAATTGCGAGATGGATGCACGGAGTGCAGCAGCACAGTTGACAATGACAGGAGAGGCAATTCAGCCGGCCTCTTCCAGGAATGCACTCGGCGGCGAGTGTGGTTGGAAGGGAGAGCGGCTGAAGAGGAGGAGGGAGGGCGGATAAGGAGGAGGGTCAGAGAGACAGAGAGGGCAGAGTAGACAAGGCAGGGCAAGGAAGGAGGACGGGAACAAGCGTCCTCTTCCCTGACCTAGCGCCCTCTTAGTCGGGAATAGTCCAGGTATCGATTGCGGACTATGCGAGTGGTGTGGTGGCTGCCACTTTTTGATAGTGTGTGTGTCGGTTCTGATTCTGGTTTGGGCTTGGCTGGGGCTTGTTCCGGTCGTAATGTAGTCGGGTACGGCTTGTTTGTATGTGGTGTTGGTGTTGGTATGAGAGTTCCGAGGTCTGGGCGCATACAAAGTCAGAACACAGGACGGACCCTGACACGGACACAGACACACGAGGCCAGCAGTGCAGATCTGGAGGTGACAATGCACACAGCTGACGATGCTCACTCCTAGAAAAAGCCCGCGATCGGCTGAGAAATTGATGCCCTTAATAGCCGCTGTCGTCATGAACAAGGATGCAATGGTGTGCTGTACTCTGCTGCATGATACATACAACACATACTAGTACTAAGAGAATGAAATCGCTCGACGAGAGACTGGACGACGAGCGGTGGATAGAGATGGGGTAGGAGAACAGGCGAAACAGGAGAGAGCAAGAAAATGAACGGGGACGGGGACACGGACATGGACACATACGATAATTCACGGCAAGTTCTTGTTCGCAGTGCAGTGAAGTGAATTGAGTCAGGGACAGTCGGTGTCTTGCGACTTTTTCTCTGAGTAAATCGTCGTAGGGAGTAGGGATTAGGTGATGGTGAGTGATATTGCGCTTCCCGCTCGTGTGACCATCGCAGAGAGAGGAAGAGGATAGGGAGGTGACGATGAGTGATTCTATTGGGAAAGGAGAGATTTGCAGGGAAGGACAGACTTCGGATTGAACCCAGAGAGAGAGAGAGAATTCAGAATGCAGAATGCAGAATGCACAAACCAATCTTACCAGGCCAACTTTTGGGCTGTCCTCAGCTCAACCACCATCATCATCATTCTGCAAAATGGTCTCAGAAAATGCAGTGGCCGGGCAACGGACGGGTCCCAGCAAGCTCTACTCGAATGTGACCTCTCCGAACATGGACAAGGCACAGGCGCATGCAGATAGACGGGTGCACATGGGCATGTGTGCGACGTCAACTCATTTGGAGGCGGCCCGAGCTGGGAGATCAGGCCCTTTGTCGATCATTGCCCTGCAGAAGAGACAGCGTCGAGTCGTCCTCTCTGCCCCAGGCGGAGAATTTCGAATGACTTACTTGGAGCTGCTGCTGAATGGACGAACACCCGGAGCACCGGCCGCCCCCACCCCCGACGGCAGAGCTCTTCCAAGGTTGCTCTCCGCCTTGTTCTGGACCCGGCAGAATTTCTGAGCGCAGCTGGGACCTCTGCTTTGGTCTGGTCGATCAACCCACGCAACCATCGCCAGTCGAGCCTCGCGCGTCAAGCCAAGCCACACCACACCACACCAGTACGAGGAGCGCGGTCGTGGGGGCAGAAGACGGTCAAGATGATTCAATTAAAGGTGAGCAAGCATCCCTCCCCATCAGCCAGCCTCACCATCAGCGCAAACGCGAGACGAAGCCAGCCGAGCTAACCCACCCTCCTCCCCTCCTTGCAGACAATGCTCAACTGCATCGACAACTCGGGCGCCGCCCTGGTCGAGTGCGCGATGGTGGTGGGCCAGAAGCGGCACGCCAGCATCGGCGACCGCATCGTGTGCGTGGTGCAGCAGCAGCGCGGCGCCAACGCCGAGGGCATGAGCGCCGCGTCCGGCAACAAGGTCAAGCGCGGCGACATCCGCCACGCCGTCGTCGTGCGCACAAAGTACAAGGTCCAGCGCCAGGACGGCAGCGTCGTGCGCTTCGACGACAACGCCTGCGTCCTCATCAACAAGGCCGGCGACCCCATCGGCTCCCGCATCAACGGCGTCGTCGGCGCGGAGCTGCGCCGCAAGAAGTGGAGCAAGATCCTCAGCATGGCCTCCATGCACGCCTAGAGGCTGTTGCGACGGGGGAGCCGAGCATCGATATTAGGATGAAAGTCTACGCCGGCGGTACGCGTCGAAATGAAAGTCTTGCCCTACGAGGCTGCCGTGCTTTGCAAGACATGAAATGGATGCAGACCGTGCATCCCGGCTTGGAGGCTGCTACCGGATGACAGAGGCGAAGAGAAACAATCCGGCCGATGGACAGTCACTGCATTGAGGGAAGAGGCACGAGGAAGGACATGGCCGAAAATTGATGAGATCAGCTGTATTATATTGCGGCGTGCGGAGAGCGCCATGAACATAGCATTCACGGAAGGCGTTGGTTTGGCGTCTTGTAGAAGCAGGGAGGTGGAGACAAGAATTGAGAAATGGCACAATTTCAGTGCCAGAGCCCAAGATCATTACAGAGAATTGTGTCGAATGTTGCTTTTCATGAATTATTGCTGATGCTTTGATCCGGTCATGGATCAGATTCTTATGTCCGCCAACGCCAATCTACCATTAAAACAGGTAGACACATGGGTGCTCTTTTTCCAGATCCTTGACCAAAACTCCGTATCCTGATGCATTTTCCTTCCCTTCGTTGTTGCCGGTATGTCCTCCCTGATCACTCGTTGCCTCGCCGGGACAGCTTGAGAACAGTGGTGGAGAAGGGTTGACAGATGAGCCGGTATGGGCAGAAGGTGGTATCGCCGGAGCGTGGAAGCGTGGATCATCCCATAACTACTGGTAAATATCACCACACTCGCAGCAGACATAGTACAGTTTCTATGGCGCACAAGCCAAGAGGTTAGATTCAACAAGGTGTTGATCCTGGGGTTGTTGAGGACGTACCATTCCTGTGTCTCTCGTACGTTGCTGGGACTGGAAGAAGACCGCCTCGTTATGGCCACAAGCCGGGCACTGCCGATTGGCACGAGGAAGCTAGGGTACAGAGATTAAGCGTCAGCAGCAGGTACTTGAACAAGAGAACAAGACATGTTTTCATGCTCTCAGAGACAGCCCGCGTTGCAAACACCGTCTTCTTCTGCGCTGCTAAGTGCTAAGCCAGATGTGCTCTGTTACGAACGGCTGTGGCCAGTCAATCGAGGTCCAGGCAAGACAGAGCTTCGGAAGGCATGGGGACAGCTCATTCGACGATGATGGAGCGGTATGGTTGTTGAATCGCGTGTTGTTCGGGTGCGCGAGAGCTAGGCAGCGACGGCTTTGCTGGGGCTGCTTTTGACGTCCTGGTTCGCAGTTACAGGCTCGTTCTCGGGCTCCCAGTCATCCATGTCCTCGTCCAGCTCCATGATGCCGGCCATGTCGACAATTTTGTTCATCATGCGGTCGAGAGCATCGTCATCGATGATCATCTGCTCGAGGAGCTCCTCCTGGTAGGTCTCGGGCGGGCTGGAAGGCATGTCGTCGTCGTGTTTGTCGTTGCCGGAGACAACGGCCGGGTGCAGTCCACAATCAGAGCACATGATGACCTGGCCGCAGCAGCCGCAGATGACAAGCGCAGATTTCTTGGAGGAGATGGAGGAGGAAGAGGGAGACGAATGAGGGGCATCACCAACCGTGGGATCGGAGGCAACGTCCTGAGTGACGCCGGCGGTCTCGCCGACCGTGTTCCTCAAGACGTTGCGGTAGATGCAGTTGGAAGTGGCCTCCTCGGTGTGCTGGCAGGTTCGACATGTGTACATGAGTCGGCGGGCGTCTTTATCCTCCTTCGGGTAGAGCATGTTGGAGCACTCGGGGCAGAACTTGAAGGTGACCTGCTCGGACGAGTTTTTGGAGGCGCCTGCGTTGGCGCTGGGCGAGCCGGGGGACGACATGTCGGCGGTCGATTACGAAGTCGCGGCGTCGACTAAAGAGTCTTATGATGATTGTGGGCGGATTTGAAAAGTATCTCGAAAGGTTGTTTCGATGGTGTGTTGGGTGGTGACGGCTTTGGGGTATTCGCGTATCGAAGTGCAAAATGTTGATTTGTTTGTTTGACGGATGATTGAAGATGGAGGCGGGCAGGGACAGGGAAGCCGAAAGCAGGTGGACCGCGGATGCAGTATGTTTTGGACCAGCGCGGGTGGGAAGAGCAGGCCGCCTGACAGGCACTTGGAGTGAGTTCTTAGTGTAGGTGCCCAAAGTACCCAGAGTTCGCGTGACGAATCAGACGACGATCGCAACAGTTCTGTGGGCCGGGGCACTTTGACTTGGGGCCCTGAAGCGGCGTTGATGGAGTTGGTTCTCGTCTGTTGCTTGTCAGGATAAGAATGGAAAAGGCAACATTCAATGCTGAACTCGGAGAGATGGAGAAAGGCGGTATTTAAGAGCAAACGGGTCTTGTTCACGTTTAAGACACAACTACATCTTTTTCAACCCCGATGCTTCATAAATGGACCAGTACGAGCTGGACGGTCAACTGACCCAATCCGCCAACCTGTAACTGTTCTGACCCGTCGACCTGACTTCAACTTACACCCTGATTTCATTGCTGCCTATTATCCAGATCATACAGTACCTTCTATAGATTCTTCGAGGACATTCTCAACAAGGTAGACCAAATTCAGTTCTTCTCATAGGTCAGCATTGGAGAAATGTGTTTTGAGGCACAGATGCTCGGTATACAGAGCACCAAACCCCCTGCAGTGATGAGGCAACCTCATTCAGTGCTATTACTATGCTGCATAGGGAATAAAATACCACCCCATTAGATTTGGAACGTGATATCAGCCTTACATTGCGTTGGATGTCTCGAAGGGAAGGATGGTCCTGGTATTTTCAGCTTGCTCTAAGGCGCCATGATCCTGTTCCGAGGTCATCCAACTCACCTTGCACATAACTGGGTAGGCCTTCAATGCCCAAGAGAAAACCTGCTTTGTTCGATCGGGAGCGTCCATGACTCGCATGGGCAGTTGATTGATGTTCGCTATAGTACACACACACACAGAAAGAGAGAGAGAGATCTCGAGTCTATCTCGATGTGAATGTCTCACAACACACCTAGAGGCGGGCGGGACGGGAAAAGATGCAAAGAAAGGCCAGCAGCAGTCGGCGGGGAACGAGGTCACGATGGCCCATGATCCCATCCATCCAGCCTCAAGCGGTTGGTGCTTGCCGCCCTCGCCACCACAATCAACCTACACGATCCCTACGTGACAAACTCTATCTTTATTGTGCTAGCCTGAAACCAGGCGTCACCCAACATGCAGGACTGTGTAGGTACCTGGCGTCATAAAGGGTCCCGTGATGCCGTTCCTACATTGTACTCGGTCCACCGTGTCGTCAGGTAGAGTGCCTCCCACACGGCCAAAAGCTGTGCTTTGTGCTTGCATAACTGCTAGTCTACTAATGCAGATGCCCAGCACGGATTGGACATTTCTAATCGAGCCCACGCGGGAGCCACGAAGCCATAGGTGAGAGAGTGCCTCGCAGTAGCACCTGCACCACACCCTGCACCTGTGCCTACACGGTAGCACCACCACGCTAGGTACCCACACAGGTCATCTTGTCCTCCCCCACAGCCCACAGGGGCAATGAACCCTCCATCCCAGAACAGCCCCTGCCGAGAGCTGCCCCCAACATTGGTCTATCGATGGTGATTTTGGAGCTCAGGATCCCCCCGCCCCCCGCCTCAGCTCTGTCCCGGCCAGTCAAACCTTGGAAGCCGCCGGCGGGACCCACTCTCTGCACGTCACTTGGACAACCTCCTGGCGGCTTAGTGGACGTTGCACGCGCATCCCATCCCACCATTACCATAACCTCTCTCTACCTTCACCTTCACTTCACCTCCAACTCGATCCCGCTCCTGTCCTGATCGCTTTGTCCCTAAACCTCGACAGCACACATATAAGTCGTCCGTTCCCTTGGAGATCACGATTGTGTCACGACTAAAAGGCCCACAATTGCCTGCACTCATTACAGAAAAGGACATTGAAGATGGCAGACACTCAGGTAAACCCCTCCTGTCTCCAGTTGTGCCCTGCCCCGCCTTGTTTACTTGGGAGAGAGTCCCCTTTCAAGCCCTCCAGCTCTTGCCCTGACAAGCAACACGATACAAGCCGTTGTCATGCTTCTCTAGGCACCAACATTCAATATGATCCACCCCTTCCTAATCTCCAGTCCCTGCTAACATGCCTCTGTGTTCGCGAATCAGCCCGAGACTGGTCTTCCTCCCAACTGGGAGGTTCGCCACAGCAACTCAAAGAACCTGCCTTACTACTTCAACTCAAACGACCGCAACTCCCGCTGGGAGCCACCACCAGGAACAGACACCGAGAAGCTCAAGGTCTACATGGCCAAGTTCCACAGCCCCAATGCTGGGGCCGGCGCCGCCAACAGTGGAGGAGGCGCTGATTCTGGCAAGATCAGGGCTGCCCACCTTCTCGTAAAACACAACCAAAGCCGGAGGCCAATGAGCTGGAAAGAGGTATGTGGGGAGTGGGGTGGTGCTGTCCAAGCTTGGTGTGCCCCGCCGCGCATAGCTGCCGCGATCGTAGAACAGCCATGGGTGCGGACGAGGGACCGCCGTGCGTCGCATAATTGTTGCCCGGGGCCTCGGAGCTTCTGCTTAACCGCGGGAATCAGCTGACGGTGTTGATCACTGCGGCTGTGAGCACGTTTGCGAGGCTGAGGTCTAGGAAATGCGCCTTGGCACGGTGGCACAAGACAAGCATGACGCGCAACTACGCACGAACGAGGGCTTAGGCTGACATGTTTTCCGCACACAGTCAAACATCACCCGCAGCAAAGAAGACGCACAAAAGATCATCGAGGTCCACCAGGAGCGCATCAAGAGCGGCGAGGTCTCTCTCGGCGACCTGGCTGTTACTGAGTCTGATTGCAGCAGCGCACGTAAGAGGGGCGATCTGGGGTACTTCGGCCGCGGTGATATGCAGAAGGAATTCGAGGACGCCGCCTTCGCGCTCCAGCCAGGCGAGATTTCTGGTGTGGTGGATACGGCGAGTGGCCTGCACCTGATCGAGCGCCTGGAGTAGACCCCAAAGGTCTGGGACCGGCGGGGCAGAATTGCATGGCGAAGAACAGCGCCAATGGTAGGCGCAAGGCATCCGGCCGCAACGCCTTGACTTGATAGGCTCTTGAGACCATGGGCGAGGAAGACAGAGGGAAAAGGCCCTCGGCCGAAGCTCCGTCAGCAGCATCAGTGTGACTACATGCCCCCAAAAAATGGTTCTCTTTTGGTCATGACCAAGATGAGTAGTAATTCTACACACTTTGTCATTCGTCCTTGTGCTGCTACCATGGTCGGCTACCTGCGCTAGCACTTGTTAATCTGGAGTGTAAATGCTACCATGACATACTGAATACCCAATGCCCCCTACCGTCAATTGCTCATGTAGCCATACTGTCAAACGCCAGTGAAAACAATCCCGAGTCTATGTCCTCTATGCAGGGTATCAGGTCCATTGCCAATCACGTCATCCACATCAGTTCCATCAGGCGCGCTCCATTTTATCTTATACCCGTTCTTTTCATCAAAATCCGTACAATCATCCTCGTTTTCCAGTTATCTCGTCCTTTTTCGCGAACATCATTCGTGGCTCTCATCCCGTCTCATTCGATTCCCGTTCCTCCTCCGCCAACTCTGCCCACAAGCCACTCGGTCATAGGCCCCCGGACGGTAAAAAGAACCGTGAACACCCCAAACATGGTCATCGACAGCGCAGAGTACGGGGCGGCATGGCTGTTTTGCTCGTACAGGTGGGCGGTCCCCATGGCCGCGGCATTGATCCCGATCGTCACGCCTGCTGCCACGGTCGGCACGACAGATGCAGGGTCGGCAGAAGTATCCTTTTGAACTTGTAGGTGGCCGCCATGGATCTTCGGCTCAATGTCTTTGTTAACATCAGCATTCGAGGTGGTGTGAATTGCGTCCCACCTGATCCCATCGTTTCGGTAGTCCGGACGATGCTCGCCGATGTGAGTGACATCAGAGCTGTACCTGATATCGCGGTCGTCGTCGACCTGTAATCCTTCCATCTGTATTCCCCGTCCACCTTGTTCGCGACCTTGAGATTGATCCAACGAAGTAGGTTCAGACCGTCCATTCGTCTTGCAGTTCCGGGCGAGGCCAGCCCAGCAACCACGCATCAGCCTTCCTTTGCAGCTCATATCCGCTACACCGAAGCCACCCTCTGCAAAGAACCCAGCAGCCAGCTGAAAACATATCCCATTAACAACCACGATCACGGCGTTCACGCCAGCGTCCCCGCCCAGGCTCTTCATCGTTGGTCCGCCCAGCGCGATAGTGACACTCCTCGCCGCGAAGCTGAGGTCCGAGGAAGCCGGGCGAACGCCTATGGCGTGAGCCAGGAGAGGCCAAGCCACAACATTGAGTAGCGAGGCCAGGATGGAGGTGGCGACGACAGTAAGGCCGCCGGAAGACGCAATCTGATGTCTGTATTCGAACAGCTTGAGGCCCCAGGATACGATACCTGCGTTGAGAATCGAGGTCGCCACGTCACCGGCGCCGATGGGGATGGACCCCAAGTGTGAGCCGTACTCAGCAGTAACTGAAGGCTCGCCATGATTTGCGATCAGGTCCGACACGGTATTGTTCGTGGTGAACCCGACGGTCACAACCGCCCTGGGCTGGTTGCGAATGCTGGACTTTGCCAGACCGTAGCAGACGAGAAACAATGAGGTCCAGAGCACCGGGTTGAGAAGCGTTGCGACAGCTGCAAGTGTCTTTCTGTGACGATGGCCGAGGTTTGCTTGCTTTTTGGTGCACATCTGGGCCGAGGTGAAGGTCAGCCAGATGGTGAAGAGGAAGCCGACGTCAAGATAGAAGTCATTCTGCCGGTAGTAAGATACTGGCAGGCCGACCAACGAAAAGACGAGCAGGGATAGCGTGAGAAAAATGTTCTGCGACAGCCAAGTGAAGATTATGGCCTTGAGTTTGCTGATCAGCGAAAGGTATGATGCTGATGCCTCTGCGTTTGCGGTTGGTGTCTCGTACTCATCCTGATCGTGCTCATTGCTCTTGGTAGCGTGTACCTGCCCCTGACATGCTATCTTTGCGCCATTAGAATCACTCATATATCCAGAAAGAGTGCACAGTGTGGATGTATCACTGATGTGCTTGCGGAAACGATCCAGGCGCGAACCGTCATCTGCACCGCTTCTGAAGTGCGCATCAACGCATTCATCGATATAACACAACGCGCCACGCTTGAGTGGCTTTTGTGGCATTCCAGCTGCTTTAGCAATTGTTTGCGTTCGTGCTGCCTCGATGTCCAGGACCGAGCTGCTCCACAGGCGGGATGTTATCTTCGTGGTCGCCAGTTGCACGTGGTATGCAACAATGTACACCAGGATAGAGTTGAGTACACCCGTCACAGCTATACGGTGTGAAGAGGTATGTTAGCCGAATACACTGGAGCACTGGAGCACTAGAGCACTGTAGTCTGATTCTGAAGGACCTCCTCGAGACGATGAATAAGACAACACACCAAATGTAGCTATGAGCAGACCAATTTGATATGCACTTGGGGGCGGCTTGTTGATCAAATTTAAGATAGGGATCGTGAAGCCAATGGACATGTGCTTATTGAGCACCTCCGTCTATCGAAAGCGGATGTCAGTATACGTGCCTTTCGTGAGATGCCTTGCAGGATATTATCACTCACTGGAGCCTTGATATACCTGTGGTAGAGCCTCTCCAGTCCTTCACCAGGCTGGCAAAGAAGTACCTGGGCGGCGCACATGACGAGCCACACGAACACCATGGCGACGATCTGGCCCGGAAAGTCCAAACCTGTGGCCCAGAATGGCTGGTTCCACACAGATGTAATTAACTGGGCAATGAAGAAAAATATAATGGCAACGAGAATATTGTAAAAGTGCTTGACGTTTTCCGAAGGGTCGGTCAAGAAACTGATCCGACCCTGATTGATGGAAACCATGATATTGATTTTCACGTCTGCTTCTCTCGCCTAGATTCCCTGTCGTTTGTCATCTCATGAGCGGCCCAGTGCCTTGCCATGCAGTGAGGGTATATGTTACCAGCAAGGATTGGGGGAAGGTATTCAGGCGACTTGCCGTCAACGAGGTTAGTGAGACAAAAGTAAACAACCAGGCGAGTATGCTTTCGGCCGGTTGAGAAGAGAGATTCAGGGTGAAACAGAAGGGAAGAAGAGTCATGCATAAACATAAATTGTAGCGTAGAGACAAACAGCCTTGCCAAATTCTTTGATTGCAGCCTGTGAAGACGGGAATGCGGGCCAGATATAGAGAAACACAAGAGCACGGCGTAAGCCAGAATAGCTGCATGAAGAAGGGGGTCCAACACGGCAATCGCTCGTGTGGATGCAGTGATGCCATGTACAGGAGCAGCATTTGTTTGACAAGACATCCTGTCATGGTACTCGTTTGGACGCACCCCAATGTCATGCATCGGTAGTCCAGTGTTGCTCATCATGGTCGAGTCTGGTGTGAGGCTGGCACCACACTCACCGCGACGGCTCAGTCACCGTACACATCTTGCGTGCAAAACGGGAGAGAAGCGTAAACAAAATCCGGGTTCCTCAAGGACCCGCTGAGGTGGAAAAACTCGACGTGACTCTATCGCTCGGACACATATTTTGTTTGCTTCAACATGAAAGATTTCATTCAGTCCCGTAAGTTCGAACCCGCTGCCAAACTTCGCAGCTTGCAGGTGACAAATGGACACACACCTATCCTTGTTTTGTCTCGTGTTGTTCAATCTCGCCTTTCTTTTATGCTCGGAGAGTCTCCAACGAAGAGGGTAGGAGGCGTGGTGGATAAGGTTCGAACACGACACGAAGCCACGCTCTGCCGACCTTTTCTGTGTCCATCACTGTTCCCGAATGTCTCAGGCACAGAGCAAGACATATGGAAGTTCCCACCTTTGAGTAGATGGTTGAGCGGAGCTGCCAGTCGGCCGCTAAGCTCGCCATTGTGTTGTCGGAGAGCGGTCATGACGTGGGTGGTCGGTGAGCCTCGCGTAGGGACAGCCTAAGACGGTGAGCACAGGACGCCCGCATGGGCGAATAGCAGAGTAGAGGCGACGGCGGGGATGAGCAAAGCCCGCCTGGAACCTGATTGCATGTGGCAGGGTCAAACGAAAAAAAAGTCTCCGGCCTCACATTTAATGGGCAAAGAGTCAGAGGCAGTGCCTGGCATGACGGCGCCGACGTGGCGGTTCGCTGCTTCCGGCCCAGGGAAGTTACTTCAGGGGTAGATGAAGGTCCTTTGTACGCCCAAGCGACTCGGCCAAATTGAATGCTGCTGCTGGTCTATTTTTCGCTTATCACAACAGAACCAAACCCAGCATTGTCTGAAAGATACCTCGCTGTTTTGCAGCCGTAAAAAGCACCAAAAATACAGCTTGTTCAGTTGATTTGTTGACTGCCGTTAAGTCTGATGAGAAGATGTCGGTGGATTTCCTTGCGCGTGACGGCAGACGGAAGGCTGAAGCTCACATTCGTCCGGGAATGCAACCGAGCGGTAGTTGGTGAGCCATGATGCTGGTACCCGACAGATGGCAGCCGCGAACATTATGCAATACTTCAATTTCGACAAGGCCAGAAAGGGCTGACAATCAAGGATTCGATGGCACGGATCCCGCTATTAGGCATTAAGTAACGCGAATTTGAGGCCGTGGCTGTATGGAGGTTCCTTGCATAGAAACAATGGACAGCTCAAGTCCAACATGTTGACCAAAGTCCAATGGTGCAAAACGCGCGGCTGAGGTCGGGCCAATGGCTGAACATGACGGTTGTGCAAACGAAAATGAAGAGCTGCTTCCAAACGGTGGGTCGCATAATGCCTCGCGTGCCAGTAGTCCAAGATCCTCAGTGCGCTCATTGAGCTGCAGGTCTTGAGTGGAGAGTTGTTGGAGACGAAGTACTGACTTGTGGCAAGGTAGATGCAGCCATCCGCAAGAGTATACCGGCAACCTGCCCATCTTGCACGACGCGGGGTTTTCCATGCTCTTGACACCTGGTCCAAATTCAGTACCTCTTATCAGTGTCTCACATGCCTACACACGCGATACAGTAAATCTTTGTGCTTGTGCAGAACGCGCAACTGGGAAAGGTAAATAAGCATGTCTTGGGTAGGACAGGAAACGTTACGCGAATGTTGTTCGCTGTCCAGCACAGTGAGAAAGACGTGTGCGCGGTGGCACTCCTCTACCACCGAAAAGTTTTCCATCGTTCATGGCGTCGCGCCGAGTTTCTCAGAGATTCTAGCACGGAAGACCCGGGCCTAGCGTTAGGAGGAGATGCCAACGACGGATGTCTCAGGCTGGCATCGCAAGATACTAGAGACAAGCCGCGAGCGCCTCCGTAAGACCAGAGTCAGGTGTCTCGCATTTGACCAGCGCTTCGGAACCACCACGAAATACTGGTTGCATTCTCCGGATGAATACTGGGGAGTTGGTGTGCCTCTGAGCACGACTTTGGTTGCACTCCTGGTTGCCCAGCACCGCGTCTAGATGGCAACATTAGCCTGGAGAAGCCCTGATTGAATTTCTGAGCGTTTTTATTTCCGAGCTAAATCGGATCTCGTGATGACTGCCGCCTGTCAGAGATGCCTTGTTAGCTCACGGCACTATTCTAATGTGATGCGGTGCGAGTTGCACAGCAGCACTGTTCGGTCCATTTTGGTCCCTTGACAAGCGAAATGGCGTTTCTTGTGGTCGTGACAGTCTCCATGCTAAAAGAAGCATAGGAGCCGCGGTGATCTATAGGTCCAATAATCGACAATGTGTCCACAGAGTTGTATCTTGCGGTCTGTATAGGTGAGTAAATATAGGGCATGGAGGGACATCCGAGAGGAATACTGGAGGGCGATGGCTCTTCGGGCGCTCCCGAGATGTGTGATAGAGAGCAGCTTCGAGGGTGGCACGGAGGAAAGGTCGGACTGACAAAGCGGTGCACCCCAGTAGGGAGTCCTTAATCCTCCTTTTCTTAAAAAAAAATACAGTTTTCGGCCATCTCTTGGCCACAAGCACTTTCCTCGAGTAACTCATCCAGAAACTCTTGCCGCGAAGAGGGAAATGGGGCCGGAATTCCGGAAAATGAACGAAGACATCCTAGAAGAAAGCGTCACTAACGTAGCCTCTTGATTGTCGGAATGCTGCGGAAGCATCCGAAAGATCTGAGGAGAAGTACCAGAGCCGCTCGAACGACTAGATCGCAGCATGCATACGGAGTATTGCCGATGTACTCTCACGATCAGCAGATCGTTGCAGCCGGTTCATGCATGCCCAGAAGATCATCGGCACGCAGGAGTTGAAGGCAAGATTGACGGCTTGAAGCAGGTATCTCTGTTTGCGAAACCCACAAAGAGGAAGATCAAGGGGGTCTGATTCGCCCACATTTTGGAACATGATGATCTCGTCGAGCCCAACGTCAAAGGATGGAGGTTTATGCGGCGGGTTGTGTGTTTGTCAACCAATTTGGGCTCGTGCCAGCTGCAGCTCAAACAGATACAGGGTACCTAAGTAACTAGGTGACCGCTCATTGCCTGGCCTTGGCATGATGCGCCATCAACAAAAGATGGTAGGAAAACGAATGATGATCTGTGTCCAGAGGGGAAGAAGTGGTCCAGACTTCCAAGACTAGTAGTGGTGATGTGCTGCTGCCCGTGCCGGGGCAAACGATCAACTACAAACGGCACACGCACAGACGTTCCTGCCCCTGGACTGGACCTGAACGACAGCCATGCGTGCCATGCTGTGTGACGGCTCCTTCCGAGCGAGCGAGGTGGGGCGCCAGGTCAGGGGTGACGGGGCTCTGATTGGTTCACAAGAGTCGATGCAACAACATCATCGCGACTTCTGCTCTTGTGTGTATGTTCACATTGGTTGCTCCTTCATCCATTGGAAGGACCGCGGCGCACCGTCTGCTCAAACGGAACGATTACAAACGGCAGCCTCCAACCAGCCTCTGACGCATGTGGATAGACCAATGACCTGCGTGGCCGGTGCTTCATGTCACAGTACCTCAGCTCGGCCCTGAACTCAACTTCCGGGTTGCGCCGCGTTGGACTCCCTGCAAAAGTCGCCACAACAGCCTGGCCGATCCCAAAGCCCTTCTACCTTGATACCGTACCACATCACTATGACCGAAGACGACTTGATTGACCTGCTACGGAAATGCGAGGTACCCGTGGACCAGTCTGCCCTTGAATCCGTCTTTCAAGACGAGGAGCAGGGAAGGCTGCTCTCCGAGTGGGCCAAGTCACACCTCGTAGCTGACACGCTGCTCACCAAAAACGAGCTGAACTCGTAATTGCCCCTGAGTTCCGCCTCTGCGATCAGTCCCCACTGACCTAGAGCCTAGATACCTGGCCGTCGAACAGAATGGCAAGGCTGAGAGTCTGGCGGCCTCTTCAGACCTGTCTATGGTCCAGGCGTTCAGCGATCAGGAGATCTTTGACGCCATTGAAGAGCTCAACCGTTCTACCGATGCTATTAGCAAGCAAACTGAGACTCTCCGTCAGCAGCAGAATGCTCTATCACGGCTCATCACAACCAAGGGCAAGACTGGGGATGCTCGCACTGATCTCAAGGCCAGGCGGCTCCACGAGTGGGGACGTGGTCGCAAAGCTCTGCAGACAAGTGTAAGTATGACATTCGCTCCAAGAGGTCACTATAACTGCTGATCCGTGAGCCAGGTTGAGCTCCTTTCGCAAGGCGTTGACTGCCGCATTTCCGATCTAGACCAGGGAACCAAGGAGCTAGGGCGAGAGTTGACAGACGTTGTTGGTGAAGTTCTTCAGTCTGACGACAAACTCCTTGAAAGCCTTCAGAAGCTCGGCTGGGAACTCGAGACGGAGGACCCCGAGGAGACAGAAAATGTCGGGCAGCTTCGGGAAATTTGCGCCAGATTAATCAAGTACACTGTGGAATGCATCCGTACCAAGCTGGACCGCTCGTATCTGGAAAGCCTCGAGGCGTTTACAAAATCAGGCTCTGAAAATCAGGCTCCAAAAGAAGAGTTGGGAGCGCTTCAAGAAGAGCTGGAATCGCTTTACTCCGAGATTCTGCCAGTGGCGCAGATGTCGGTCGAGCAGCAATGGTTGGAGCCTTCCCTACGATCGCTGTCCGCACAGACTGGTCAGGGCGTTGGTCACGCTACCGAGGCAATTCAATATGTGAGTCTGACATCTTTGGTACAGCAACTGGGACACATCAAGAGAAAATCCGAATTTGTATTCTGACCCACGGAGCACAGATTCTCCATTGCCTGGAGCACCTACAAGACCGAATAGATCGGTTGTCCGACCGTGCCACATCATTCAAGGCACACGAGAGCGCGACGGGTACCCTTGTGGCCACTGCTAGGGCTGAGCTCTCCGAGCCGGCCACTTCTGATTCCATCAAACGCCGTGCCACCGCTGCGTCGCTGTCATCGCCGGCCCGTCGGTCCCAGCCTACGTTGGCGGACGACATGATGACCCCGGCGCCTCGCCGCAGAAGAGCAAACACAAAGTCTCGAAGGCGTTCCTCTGGTGGTGCATTCTACAACTCTGCGCTGGAGCATCTTTTGGGCGAGTTGGCAATCTCTCTACCGGACGTGGAAAACGAAGATACCGGCGCCGCCGCTTCAGTCCAGGCACAAGTTGCCCAGTTGTCAAATATACTGGCAGAACGTACGCAAAAGGCCTGTGACGTCGCTGACAGCGTCCAGTCGGTCTTTGAGCACACAGCTACAGCCCAACTCACAGAAGCACGCACTGCGCTGCAGCTGATAAGAGATTCGGTCCTCGCAGAGAGCCCCTATTCGGAGGTTCACCTTGTGGATCCAGGGATTGAGTCCTCCATAGGAGTGTTGACACAGGAAGTGCACAACGTCACAAGCAGGTTGGAGGGCGTCGAGAGCGAGGCAGCTGTGTTAGCAAAGGGCCGTAACCTTAACAGGGACGAGATCATCTCTCGGTGGGGCCGCCGCGGCTGAGCGCTGCCATGGACCAAAATAGCAAACATATGGAGCACAGGCACACGTCCGTCACGGTTGTACGAACTTAGATTCTGCTCACGGTGAGAAGGGTTGAAAGTTTGTAATCTCGGGATAGATTGAGCAGGCTTGCCACATGGGCCCCTGACAGAACCTATGACATTATGTCTCGGGACGGTGCCTATCGGCAGCGTGTAACCCTTCGTCACCCATGTCTATCTGGTGTGCATTGTCTTGGAATCTTGGACAACCCCTCGCTGTCAGCATTCTTGTCACCGCCTGCAATATCTGCCGTGCTCCAATGCGGAACGGACGCTGCGCTCCCTCCCCGCTCCCGGGGGCCGATTGCACCGAGCCGAACGTCTTTGAGATACAACGCCTGGGGCGCGATTCATGTTGAGATGCGGAGACTGGTTTTGGATATCGAGTGAATCGTTGTAGGCTGAACCTAGCAGCGATGTGTCTTGCGCTGTCTCTAGCCTCTATGTCGGACTTTGTGCTCGCTTTCTCTTGTCTCTCCGTCTTCGTTCGGGACAGGCCATGCACATCACTGTCAGACAGGGATGGTTCAACGGTGCTCAACTGCACATGGCAGCCCGAGACACCCTCTGGAGGGTGCTACAGAGGGCTTGGCTTTCACGAATGTCGCTTAGAAGCGAGTAGACAGTCTAGATACCATAGAGTGCGCCGATGACTTTGTGGCTGCTAGAGCGCGAGACCAAAGAGACGTGTGTCAAGGAAAGACTACTGGCTTGGTGCAAACGTTGTGCGATGAGCCTTGAGCCTGGCAAGAAAACTCAGGCCCCCGAGGGGGCTGTTTGGGTATCAAATGGCCTCTGATTATGAATTACCAGGCAGATGCAAGTTGCTCATAAACGTTCCCTGCTCTATCGCCAGACCCAACGAGGAAGCCTGCCCCCAAGTAAACCCGTACGCCCTGCCTCACATTCAACCCTGCCCACCCTTGGGCGTCGGCCTCTCACTCAGATAAGGCGGCGGCACCTCGCCGACGCCGCCGACCATCAGCTCCTCCCGCTCCTCGACCTGCTGGTAGTCCGGCAGCGCGTTGTCCGGGTTGGCATTATGCCACGTGCCCAGCGGGTCCTCGACAGGCTGGCCCAGCTCCTCGGCCAGCTGCGCGAACCGCGCCGAGTACTCGCGCAGCACGTCCTCGCCCTCGCGCAGCCACTCGGTCAGCTGGTCGCGCCGCTGGCGGACCTCCTCGCGCGTGGACGCCGACACGGTGCTGAAGCCGCCCGTGTAAGGCGGGACGTCGGAGGCGGAGTACCCTGGGAGTTCAGGTTCCTGGTCGCCGGGCGGCGCCGATGATGGTGGTGGCAGCGGCGGCGGCCCTTGTGACGATGAATGGGGTCGTTGCTGAGGCCCCGGTGGCGGGGGAATCGGCCGTGGCTCGATGTACCGGTCCTGGTCTGGGTTGCCGGTTGGCGGCTGGACGGTGCTCGTTGTTGCTTGGCCGGAGGGCCCTGCTGCGGATGACCCGGGCAGGCTGTTTGTGTGGCCGTAGCGGAGGAGCCACAGGCTGTGTTCCCGCAAAGACGTCCTGAGCAGCTCCAATTCCGCTGCGAGTGAAGGGATCAGGCGTTTTAGGTCGTTGTATGCTGACTGGGACTCCGATGTCGATGATGAAGCCTCTGTCGGTGGCGGGTTGTTTTGCTCATCTGAGGCCATGTTTGCAGTTATCACGGCTTCGAGTTGTAGGGGGCTCGAATGTAAGGAAGATCTGTCTGTTCGCAGGCGTGCTCGAGACCCTTCAAGCTTGAGTGACGTTTCTGATGACCGAGCAGGCGAGCAGCTGCAGGGTTTGGCTCCGGACCGTCCGAATTTGGTTATGTAAGCGTACAAGGGGGGAGGACTAAACATTCACTTCTGGGCAGCCAGCCTTCTTCAGCTGATTCATTTTTCTAGGGTCATCTCGTACGAACTCAAGATCCTTGAGTCAATCATTATGATTGGTATACCCAGCCCTTTCGGATCTCATGGTTATTCATTGAATACTTACTTGTGTGAAGTTATATTGTACGTACATGCATAGATTCCAACACTGCATGTTTACCCGCACCAGGGGATATCAACAGCTGCCGACCAACTGGTCTAACTCAGATAATTTCGACGAATGGCGTTGAGACCTCAAAGAGTTTGATGGGCGTTGAAGCCGTAAATGCAAGCATTACATTCTCATAACGTTTCCTACTCTCATAGGAATGTCACCGTCTCCTGAAGTCGTTGCAATTCATTCAGACGCATTGCATATTAGGGTATAGCTATTTGCGAACAGAGGCCACATATCGCCTACTCAAGGAGCATGGCACTATATTGTTTTTCACTAATTTCGACTTATTTTCCAGAGATATAGCTGGGCCAACAACATGTGCACACGTTACTAGGAAGTAGCCGTAACCGTCGTTGTCACTGTAATGTATGTAATCCCTGGGGATGTAGTGGTCGTAGGCTCAACCGTGATGGTAGTCGTGATGGTGCTGGTGACGACTGGGTCAGATACCTTAGTGCTGCTTGCGACACATTGAGAGTAGAAGGGGCTTTAGGACATCATGAGTTAGCTGTTGGCTTCTAGAAATCATGACGGGGCTGGTACTCACTTGTCATCCAACAAACCATCCCGACAGTACGCCCCTTTGGGGCAATTTGTGGGGCCGCAGTAGTTCAGGCCGCCGCCTGCAAAGACCTCTCTGTATCAGTACAGGACTAGATGGCGCATGTAATGATTGTGTACTGACATTGACCATAGAGGCTCTGAGTCCCAGCCGGCGCTGTTGGGGCACATGAGGATTTCGTCGTGCTTGAAGTTGTGGTCACGAGGGTTGTTTTGGTTGACGTGGACTTCGTTGTCTTAGTGTTCGAAACTGTGGTCTTGGAAGTCGTGGTCTTGGAGGGAGTCGCAGTGACGGTCACAGTGACTGTCGTGATTGTTGGATTTCTTGCTTCGATGGCCGCCCCAAAGGACACCACGAGCATCAGGGCAAAGGAATAATACAGAGAAAGCTTCATGTTCGCAGGGCGGTGTAATTCCCGAGCTGGAGGATGTGATCGAAGCGACCCCTTGCGTTCTTATATATTATTGCCGACGTAGGCGTCCATCCGTCTTTCGTATTTTATCACCGCACTGATCATGTCTTGCTACGAGTCAAATGCTAGCTTCGCAAGCCGGTATCTACGGGCCCGTGAAGTGATAGAGGGAGTCTAGTCTGGGGTGAAGTCCTCTTTCTTCCTTAGCACCAGTTTGTGCATCATTTCATGCTCTAGCTTCCAATAGTCTGATCCATCAACACGGTACCGCTATTCAGCCTATGCATGAACTGGTCACTCTTCGGAAACTTCACCCGGCCAGGCGAGCAAACTTTCCACCGGTTGCGAAGCCATCAGGAAAATGTCAAGACGAACTATATTATCCATTTATTATGCATACAGCGTCATGTGGTGTTCTCCACAGGATTCTGGCCGTACAGTCTGCTCGGATGGACTATTGATCGAAGTGGTTTCCTTTCTTCTTGAAGTCGAGGTCGAATCTTTTGGGAACACGAGTCCAAGACTTTCGGGTATTATCAAGCCATAATTAAGCAAGAGTGTGTCTGAATGCATTTTCACTTTGAAACCCACTGAGCCATAACTCATTGTTGCTGTATATCAGGTGAGACGACTTCGCGGATTGATTTTGGATATAGCAACGAAGATTCAGCCTCATAATGCATTGCCGAATTGGTCAACAAGATTTCCAAACGACACTGAGTGACAGGGAAAGTCCTCGACAAGCTTGCCAGGGCGGGAGACTTGGATGTGACACTAGATTCCAAAATCACTTTTCATTTGGCCAAACCCCTGTCATTCAACCAATTGACCCTTCTCCATCCTAGGTAACTAATCATATTGTGGAAGTCGTTGGCAGTTGAGATCTTTTGCAATCGTTAGATGCAGGCGAAGTTGAATGCCGGACTGAAGTATAAGTATGTACCTAATTGCGGGCTGTGCAGAGCGGGCGTGATTGCTGACGGTCGCACCGTGTTCCGAACGGCGCACTCAGATCTCAAGATTGTAGCGCCGATGGGCTTCACCGGAGCCAACCTGAAACACGGAAACTTAGTGTGCAGCGCTGTCACGGACCGAACGGGATTGCACCAGAGCTGTGGGTTTCTTCAACGTCAACTTGCACCTCGCCCCTGCGATATGTCAAGCTTGAGGGTGAGTCCGAGGATCCCCATTGATAGGACCGGCCCCAGCCTCAGCACCATCAAGGGGTTTTCCCAGCTTTGGCCGCTCAGGCAGCAGCATGGGTCTTAAGTAGGCCTCGCTTCTGAGCAATGGTCACCCAGTCATGTCTGTTATCTTGGTGGCGACTTCCATAAGAAAGGGTGAAATCTGTGCGACCTGACTTCGGAAGTCCCCAGTCGGCCGCTGGTCACTCAGCAAGTAACAGGGGACAACCCTATTAAGGATGATCCTGCCCGGAGCCGAGGGAGGTTCGTCCGGAATGCGACATACTTGTGTATACCAATCAAACATTTTTCTTTCGTTCTTCCGTTCAGTTGCATGCGCGAGACCCAAGTAGCTGGATAATCTCACCCTATCCTCAGGTCTTCAATTGGGCCGCGCTCCGTAGGGACGCACTGCTGCCGTTCGGACATTCCGTTCAGCCGTCGTCGGTCAGCTTGGCCACTCCGCACTGCTCGGAGGTTCAAAGTCATCTAAGATGATTACTTGACCTGAAGAGTAGTACAATTTATTGTTGGGTTAAAATTTTTTTATCAAGTGTATGGTTGGATGATTGGACAACTCCGGACATACGTCCGTGGCATAATATCTGAAATATAGATATTTAAACATCGACTTCGCATCCAGGGCGAGGGCTCACCCTAATGAAGGCAGCGACCCTTGTTTTCACCACTGCTGAGACTATCCATTTTACGGTCCTCATCTTTCTCTCGATCGATATCACAGTCTTAGCTCTACTCCCAGAACAGGCCCTACCATGAACATCTCTGAGTCTACCTCTGAGACGGCGTCCAAGTCCGGCGCTGTCGACTCAGAAGCTCAAATTGAGCCAGTCTCAATAGAGATAGTAGATACCAACAAGCTCGAGGCACACGACGCCAATGTTGTCGATTGGGATGGACCACAAGATCCTGAGAACCCGCAGAATTGGACCATCGTTAAGAAATGGACGCATATCATCTTGGTGTCCCTATTTGCTCTGGTCACAAATAGTAAGCAGCTTTCAAATTCTATACCAACCTATATAAGGCCATATACCTAGAATATCCGTAGTCTGTCTTACTGTTTGCTTCAAATCCCTTTGTCGGGCTGCAGATTTTGAGACAGACAATCGGCGTGTAGTGGTATACCTCATCCTCTTTTGGAGCAAAACTTATGACTCGGTGCTTTCATCGCTAACTCTGAATGCTGCAGTGGCTCCGACAATGTGTGTGCCTGGAGCCCATATTTTCCTCGTTGAGTTCCACGTCACGTCGTCGACATTAAGCCAGCTTGCCATCACTATATACGTCCTTGGTCTGGCACTTGGTCCCATGGTCTTGTCTCCCCTTAGCGAGGCCTATGGACGCCTGCCCATCTATCACTTTTCAAACTTATTGTTTCTCATCTTCGTCGTTGGCTGCGCTGTGAGCAATACTCTCGCGCAGTTCATGGTTTTTCGCTTCATCTCGGGCTTCATGGGGGGAGTACCAATGGCCCTCGGTGGCGCCACAATTGCGGATATCACTCAGATCGAAGCACGACCTGTTGCTATGGCTCTGTTCAGTCTGGGTCCTTTGACAGGACCGGTGAGTTTCATCAAGACGATTGGCGTTGAGCACTCACTGATATACTTCTAAGGTACTTGGACCACTTATTGGAGGCTTTACAGTTGTTGGCCTAGGTTGGCGCTGGACATTCTGGCTGATAGTTATCCTGAGTGGTGCTATTTTCTTGGTCGCCGCCTTCTTGATGCGCGAGACGCATCCTAAGACTTTGCTGGAGCGCAAAACAGCACGCCTTCGGGCCCAGACCGGAAACAATGAGCTGCGATCCAAAATGGCTTCCAAACGTCTGACACCTGGCCAAGTACTTGTCACAACACTGGTTCGGCCCTCCGTGCTCCTCATCCGCTCGCCGATCCTGCTGGTCATCTCCATTTATGTGGCTCTTATTTTTGGCACCATGTACCTCCTCTTCACGACCTTTACTAGCGTTTTCGAGGGCCAATATGGTTTCAGCACTTCTATGTCTGGTCTCGTCTACCTGGGTTCTGGCGTCGCACTCGTCCTGGCCTTGATTGCCTTCCACGCCTGTAATCACCGCCTGCTGCAGTCGCGCATGAGGGCTGATGGGGTCACAACCCCGAAACCCGAGTACCACCTGATTATGATGATCCTGTTTAGCCCCTTTGTTGGCTTTGGGCTTTTCATGTACGGGTGGACCACTTATTACCAGGTGCACTGGATCGTGCCCATTATTGGGACCGTACTTATCGGTTTCGGTGCCTTCTTCGTCATAGTAAGCGTCGGCCCCTGATTGATTTTCCTGGCGCACACTCATGTGTCCGATTGGGACTCTCCTTTTGGCTAACCTCTTTGCAGATGCCTGCGCAACTGTACCTGGTGGACCTGTTCGGCTCACAGGCTTCCGCCTCTGCTCTGGGTGCGAACAACCTGCTGCGGTTCCTCTTCAGCCCTTTCCTGCCCCTGGCCGGCCCAGCAAGTAAGTAGCCTTCTGATACAATTTTCACTCCTCCAGGGAGAGACATCTGCTACATTCATAGTCTATATCACTGCGCCTAGTTCCAAGTAAAGGGGTGTTCCTTGGTGCTTTAATCGCTGACTTCAACTGCTACAGTGTATACAACGCTGGGCTATGGGTGGGGGAATTCCTTGCTCGGATTCCTTGCTCTCGCCTTCGTGCCATTCCCAATTTTATTCTACAAGTATGGAGAACGGATGCGAGGCAAGACTGTCAACTTGTAATGAAAAAAGAAAGGAAATGGGATTCAATAACTGGTGCCTGAAAATGACCGAACCTTGGGTGCATTGCTCTGTCCACTTCCTACCGACACCACCACTACTGTTAGATAAATAATAAAACGAATTACAAACAAAGGGCGGTGGTGCAGTTGCTAAAGCGTGTATATACTAGTGGTCAGGTATGCGAAACAAATGTGAATTATTTAGCGAGATCGGTAAAGCAAAATTGCCACTCTGCCGGAAGCGGTAGAATAGTAGGCAGCATTAACAGTCATTTCAGCAAGCCTTCATGTTCTGTCTGCTTTATCTCGTTCGTCCTTTGTATTTGATACGTTGATTTGAAACTTCGACCCTTCCCCTTTTTGACTTTTGAATAAAATGTCGGCACTATAGATTTCACCCACTATATAGAGCCTAATGTCGATATGGGGTCCTGCCTGTCTTTGGACTGGAGAAAAAGAGCAATTGCAGAAACCAGAGCCTTGTGCACCGGTCTCTTTATCACGGCCATACTCTCAAGAATAATTTCGATCTTTGGCTTGGACGATAGGCCTCCGCCAGTTTCGTCAACTTTGTTCAATTCCGAAGTTCTGCATATAGTCGTTTTCGTGGTGTGTTCCCAGATTGATTTAAGATCTGGACTCTCGGACTAAAATCATACAGTTCTCGCTCCGTTTCGCATGTCTCTTGTCTGCTTTCCTGCCAATCCGACTTTTAAAACTTACTGGGTTCATCAATCGAACGCCGCAGAACGTATTGTAATCGAGCGTTGTATCTGGGGATCGCCAATAAGCCGGCTAAACTAACGTTAGCGCTGGACACAGTGCGTCAAAGGCTCGTCTGCAAGCCCCCGAATCAGTCCGCTGTGTGCGGAGCATCTTTGAAAATGTTACTGGAGTATGGATGCTCTGATTCAATCTGGCTGAAAGATTGTGAACAGAAGAAACATATCAACAATGGTGGGACAAGCAAGGCGCAGCTCAGCTCGCTTTGCGATCTCGACTTGGGCCAATGGCAGTGATACCAATGGGAACAGCTCTGGAGGCCTGATTCCGTATATGCGTGCTCAGGTAGGATTGGAGCTTCGAAGGGTGTCATTGGGCCGGGGTCCGCTGGTACGGGTTGCCAGCGTCTGAGCGTGGGAAAGATACGCGGGAAAAATACCTGAACTTTCAGTTTTCGGGCATGATTCTGTACGTCGCGCACAGGTGACAGGTGGTGGAGTGAAGGTTTTGGGCGCGGTTTGGCGCTCAAAGGGGCATAGTTGACGCAATGAAAATTCTAATGAGACCAATCGGTTCCTGAGCCTGCAAAACATACGAAAGTTTGAGGCAAAAATTAAGACGCCAACCTGACCGTGCGCTGCCTTCACCCATGCAATGGTCAAACAGGAAACAAACGCGCAAGGACCAATGTAACCAAGATATTTTTCTGCGACGCGATCGCGCCTGGCACGGATGACAGCTGACCTTCATCAATCAAGTCGGCCCCCGTTGGATCTGATAGTGAAGTGTTGTGTTCAATATCAGGACTGTCGTTGCCGAGTTAAGCTCCTGCTGCCGTCAGATTGTGCAGGGTGAACCCTCACCTGGACCGATCGCTTCCATCTCGACATTAATGCCTCTTTTCTCTCAGCTCGCAACGAAGAAACTAGAGACAATACCAATAACAAGATCAGGTGAGTGGTGCTGGTTCGCGGGGATGCGTCTAAACCAGTTCTGTTTCCGGTCAAATTGTGTGATTTGTGATGATGTCTACCACTCGTGTCATCCGGACGGCCCGGGAAGGAGAGCCTCTATCCTGCGACGTCAATGAACACCTTGTTTGCCGCGCTCGGAACCTTGTCAGAATGTCGCCAGGGACTCGGGTCGAATTGAGCCGCAGATAGAGGTTTTCAGAGCCCAATCTCGCCGACGGCCTTAGTATCAAGGTCCCTAAGCTTTCACCATCACCACTTGCACAGATATATTCGCGCGCACCTTTTGTTGACGTCTTCGTGTTGGGTTCCGAATGTTTGCGTTATCCGCGACCGTTTTCGAATAGCTAATTTGTACGACTAGGTCATGTCTATAGTTCCACACCTACTTCGACATGTTTCTCTTGGTCGGGCCGGAAATGGCTCTAGGGAGACCTAAGGCACCAAAAGGCGATATGTGGACCAAGGCTCCACTACCACAGCTACAACAGCTCGGGGATATCGACAAACCACCCACTCAAATGCTGCGATCGTCTATGTCGACGATATCTCTGAGAATGAAAGCGGCCAAGTCAGCCATCAGGAGGTCAACCAGCCTTCGTGGATCGAAGCCTGTGTTCACAAACCGTTCCATAATCGTGGACGACGCTCCGTCTCTCGCGCCTATCCGTATCCATTCCCCCATCAATCTTAACAAGCCTTTGCCTGATCTGCCTGAAGACAGCAGCTCGAGATCAGGCCCTGAATCTGTAGCTGCCAACAATGGTATTGAGACTGATGTATCAGTCCGCGACTTTGAAGGGTATCTTGACATGCTGGCTTATGTCAACAGGCAGTTACCGATCATTCCGACACCGCTCTGCTCACCAACGGGGGATGTATCCTCATCACCGTCACTATCTATTAACAGCCCGCCAAAGGAGGATGAATGGATATCCTCTCGACCTCAGAGCCGGACAAGCACAATCTTCTCTCACAACGACGAGGTCCGCCGAGTGAGAACTCATAGTGGCTTGCTTTCCCGGAACAGTCCTGCTGGCAGGACCGTCACGCCGATGTCATCGCTTGGATCAGAGTCAGGGCTACGAATCAGCACGAGGGCTTCTCTTCACACGTCTGTGGTGACTTCAAGAATTGATGAGCTTAGCGAGCCAGAGACATCACCGAGCCTGACACCGAAGAATGATGTGGCGACTACACCAAAGCAATGTTGCCATTGCGGTCGAGATCCCACCAGGCGTGATACTAAAGACACGTACTCGACCCCTTTGGCTGCCGTCAAGACCCAAGACGTGATGGATATCAACTCCAGTCCTCTGACGGTCATCAACATCAGAGAACATGAAAAGAATTGGGAAAGAAAGACAGTTGGACCAAGCATAACAGCTGAAGATCAACTCGGTCGGCGTTTTGTATTGTACCCTGAGACATCCTACTTTGAAGTTCTTGATGGGTTAGGAAAAGAGTCCACCGAGTCTTCTGCACAACGAACCCCGCCGAGCAGGGAAGTCTCCCCGTCGAGTCCGCTTACGCCTTCTCCATATGCACGACCGCTGAACCCGGACCCATACGCCGATGAGAACTCGCCTTCCAAGAGGGTTGTCTCCCCTTTCGAGCGACCCTCGAACCCCAGTCCCTGCGCGGGCTCCTCAAGCCCGCTTTCGGAACCAATCGTCCGAGATAAAGAGATGGGCAATGGGCAGGAGAACCCCGACAAGGACGAAGATCAGAACAACTCTGACAAGGAAAACCAGCCTAGTTTCTGGAAAGACCCGGACGGAACAATAGTGGTGTACGAAGGTATCGCCCGTGACGGCGACGAGGTATTCTACGGGTCCGAAATCAACTATCTGGGGTCATTTTATGACTGTGAAGAGGGCTCGTCTGGGCTTGGGAGTGTTGTTGATCTCGTGGGGCTATCTTCTGGCCTCCATGTGATCCCTGAGGATAGGAGCTCCGAGGATCTAGCAATGTGGGACAGCGAGGTGCTTACCTTTGGCTGAGGTGTATTTTCAGGCACAAGATATGAGTTGTTGAGGGTCTTAGTGCTTTCGTGGTGTTGTAAAGTGCGACATTGTTTATATTGGATTGCCATGCTCGATTTTAATTTTCTTTGATAGTGCAGCGGGACGAGAGGATTCATGGGAAGATGGTAACGCATGTGGAGAACGATGTTTCAAGACGAGTCACGATTTGATGTTCACGACGAGCGATGGGCACGAACATACCCTATGTGCTGGTTCTTGAGACCGGAAATGGAGTTGTATATACCTAAATACCCCTTCTTTAGGATAGTTTTCGTGGATTCCATTTGTTTCGCCAATCTTGGGTTTTGAAATCCGTGTGACCTCTTTGTTTACATAAGGAACTGCGAGGCACGTATTTTCTTTCCTGAAAAGCTGATCATCGCTGGCTGGGCATGGAGTGAAGTTTATATATAGAAGGATGATAAAATGGTCTGAAAGTGAGCACATAGTCACCCGCATTGGAAAGCAATCAAATGCATTCGAGCCCGTACGGCCGGTTGGTTAAAAAATGTTCAATCACCAAGGACTTTACGCAGTGGGTAGTTGGAAACCATGACTTCCATCAATTCAAGGCGTCACGATGACCATTTCGCCCGGGCCATTATACTTTGCAGCCGTATCCAAAGCTGACTGAAAGTTGTCCAATCCGAATTTGCCGACTATATCAAGCCCAACTTTTGGCCCCAGTGGCAAGACGCCCGCCTCGGCCATCTTGATGACCTGCAGCGCCTCATCACGGGAGCACATCATCGTCCCCTTGACAGTCGCCGCGCGATAGGTGATATCAGAAAAGTCCAGCGAAACACCCACCACAGCACACATCAGGCTAATTCGACCACCAAGCCTGAGCGTCTGGATACAGCTCTTGAAGTGGGTCGACCCGCTCGCCTCCGGCGGAGACAGGTCCAACCACACGTCAACCAAGCCCCCAGCCTTCTCTCTGATAGCGGCGGCGTCCGCGTCAACCTGACCCGTAATCCTGACCGTCGACACGCGGGAGCCCAGCAGGGCGAGCTTCTCGAGTCGCTTCTCGTTGCGCCCCATCGCGACCACCCTCGCGCCCAGCGCCAGCGCGATGTGAACCGCGGCGCCTCCGTATTTGCCCGTCGCGGGCGATATCACGACTGTCTCGCCGGCCTGGAGGCCGACGTCGCGCAGGCCGCCGTACCCCACCATCGGCGGGATGAGGTGGGTCAGGTCCTCGATGGTGTAGCCCAGCTCCCCAACGAGGCGCTGCTCGTTCAGCGGGAGGCAGTTCTCTAAGGGGATTCTCGCGTACTCGGCGTACGTCGAATCGCGGAACTCGCCTTCCGCGAACTTGTGGGCCGTCTCGGACAGGCCTGTGATGGTCCCGGATAGGTAGAATGCAGACGGGTTGTCACGAGCGCGGATCATCACTGTGGTATTCGGATTTAGTGACCAAAGTGCTAAGGTAAAAGTTGGATGGGAGTTCTGATCTGTCCATAGCTTGTCTCGAAACCTATAGCCGAACAAAGGGTCCCGAGACAAGTCGTGAGAAATACTACGAGACTAGCGGGTCTATCGTCTTGACGAGGTTGCAATTGCACCGGGGAGCAACTTACTGTCGAACAGCACGAGCTGGCCCGGGGAGATGGACGTTGCATCCGGGCCGACCTCTTCCACCCGGCAGATGGCGCCGGAGCCGGGAACGAAGGGGGTGGGAAGACGGTGTGGTCGTTCGAGTCCGTATACCTCTTTCGCGTACGAGACCACGTAAGCTGAGAGCACGCGGACGACGACGCTGCCGGGGCCAGCTCGCGGTGTCTCCCTGGTAACCAGGGTCGTCGGTTCCCCCTTAGCGGGAAGGTAGACGGCTTGATGGGTTGCGGGCAGATTGGGAGTCATTTTGATTGACAGAGAATAATGAGAAATATTTGAATTTCGATAGTCTGTCTGGGCAAGAACTCAGTCTCTACCGTTCTCAGGTGTCTATTCAAAAGCATTCCTATATGTGAGGCCCCCCAGCTCCTTACACGTGAGATCTTCCAAATGTCGCCGACAAAGGTGGAACCTCGAGCTCAGTGGATTGTCGATTGACCCGCGATCTGTACTTAAAGTGAACCTTGATTTATCATGTGCGGCTCCAGAATGGTCCGTCTCGCGCGTATTCGTATCATGATGTGTAAGAAGTCTCCGAACTGGAGCATGGTCTCAGTGCGGCATGAACAAGGACAGGGACAGAAGCGAGCGCTGGATAATGGGGCAGAAGACCTTTGCAGTCACTACTGAAGAGGGTGCAATAATGAAGTAATAAAATGCTGGATATTGCTGCTACAGTGAAGACCGGCGGCTGCGGACCGGCGAGGCTCGGAAGTCGTCCTTGGTTTTGCAGGAAGCACCGGCCAGCCGCCGGCTCGGACTCGGGGTGGTACATGCAGGACTCCGTAGATCACTTTCGAAGGATTTCCAGGTGTTCACAGTCGTGGCGGTGTCGTGTTGATCTTGAGAAGTTCTGTTTGTTCATAGCCAACCCTCTGAATTGGATGCCGACAATGGATGGCGTTGCCCAGATCCTTCAGAATCCCTCTCACACTGTGCCCAAGTCCCCGAGAGCCCGACCGGGCGAATGAGACGGGCGAATGAGAGAAGCTGACAGTGAGAAGTTGGTGTTGCGCAGGATGCATGCAGATCTTATTTTCCCGCACTGGCAGGCTACCACTACAGCACCATCCTAGGCGCCTGCATGTGCCTTGCGAGATTAATTAGGTGCGGACAGGGCCGCAGGGTGAATAACAAGCTGTGTTTAGCTTGTATGCTGCTATTCTTTGTTAACAATCGATTCTTCGACACTCAGCATAATTTGACTGGGGTCACAGTATTAAACTGCCGGGATGACGAGGTGGCGCTGGATCAGTCTTTCCGATAATTATTCGCGGTGCTGTTCCCGTACGCAAAAACACAAAGTGGCCGGTACAGTATACTCGTACAGCGTATTGACTGTACTGCGATTCGGTTAATTCTCTTGCCAAGATTCTGAGTGGCACCCACCCAGCTCCCCCCAGGCTCCCACATCCTTCACCCTCTTTTTCTTAGCGCTGCCGAGGGGCCCCAAGTGGTCGCGTGCCCGCTTTTATCCCTTGCCCTTGATGGGATTCGACTCGACTCGAGTTTGCGTGATCGCGGCTCATCTCCGCCATAAGAAGTCTGATGGGTTGCGATGGAGCCTGAGGAACTGGCTTCAACCGAGCTGGAATCCTGATACAACTATATGTCGAAGCCAGGACTTGACGGTAGAATTCAGAAAGGCGAACATCAGGACTCGCAAATGTCAGGCAATCGAGGACGGACACCTCCGGCGGAGTAAGAGAATTAAGCATGCTGTGGCAAATGAGCTTGATAAACCCTTGCGCAACCTTTTTCAGTGGACATGTTTGCTCTGCTTGTTGCACACTCAAAATTGGTGTTGAACACAGTGCTTCGAGGAACGGCCGAATAAAAGCGGGCTGGCTACCCACACCGAGAGTTCTCGAACTTTTGTCCTTGTTGATACACCGAACCTGTCGATTAGTTGGTGTCTCCCGGTGAGAGATCACATCCGACAGGTATGTGTAGACTGCAATAGAGCTAACAGCCCTGCCAGTCCAATTCGATGTGCGGCATTGTTGTCTACCGAGTCGTTGTGGCAGAGTGGTGGTCCATTGTCTTGGCAGACAATGCCTTGGCTCGACTTGGGATGACGTTGGGTGATGGTGTTGCCCCCATCGCGGTCAGACCAGCATGCGTACAGGGCAAACAGGGCATAGATGGCACCAGTGTGCATCCCTGATGTCCGTTATCTATCATCGATGGGGTTGCTGCTTGAATGTCCTTCGTCTAGCTTTCGTACATGGTAATAGTCGCTAGGTGATAGATGACTGTGTCCCCATAAGCATCTATTCACCAACCACCCATATCAGCTTGGCAGTTTTTCTCTCAGCAGCTGCAGATCGACACACAGAGAGACAGACACTTTGCCCTATGAAACGGACTATGGGCTCTGGGGGAAGAGTGTTCATGATCGCAGGTCCAGGGCCGAATATCAAGCAGGTGAGGCTGGGACATAGTGGATCAGTATGATGCTGAAGACGATAAGAATAGGGCAGACAATAACAGCCCTGGGCCAGGAAAACGATCCTTCAGGCCTTCCCATGTTTGGTTGAGGCAGAAAATGCGTGGCACGGCTGAGGTTGGCTGAGATGATGCCAAGGCACTCAGACATCTGGCTTCTGCAATAACACACCTGGGCACCTGGGCGGTTCTGCCTGGGCGTCAGGGCACCTGGATATTACCGCTCCGTCTGCTTGTACCTTCAAGTTCCGATGATGTGCCTTCTGTCTCTCTCGCTGCACTGCCCAAGCAAAGTACAGCGCTAATTCGACTGGACTTTGGACTTTGGACTTGTCCAACAGACTGCACCGCAAAGGAATCATTTGCACTGTCTGGCCCACTAATTCTAGGTCTTGGCAGCGCCTGGTGGCCCAAAATGGGCACGCTAACCAGCGAAGCACAGGGGGCCAGGGGGCTCATGCTTGCCCATGATTAGATCTGACATGGGGTCGAGGGCCGAGTACGTACCCTCAGGTCGTCTATCCTCTGCACCGCACTGTCCCGTGCTCGCTCGTGTGCCGCCCATGCTAATTTGTTGTCGTGCCTCCTTCCTCCTGTCTGTCTCGCCTGGTCTATTTTCCTACACAACCTCCTCGCCCTCACCGACTCTCGCCTGGGCCTCAACCTTTGCTCCCTCCTCCCTATCATCCCCTCCCACGGCGTTGAGGACCATTAATATTACTTTTCTTTTGGACATCGACTACCGAGGAACAGAGCGGATCGGCATCAGGGCTATTCGAGGCTTCGTGGGATCTACATTGTTGTTGTGCTGTGTCGGCATCACTTCCTCCTCCTTCGATATCCTACGCCGAGATCCTGTTACCCCTCGAGTTGCATTGCTCCCCACTGGTACCCGACTATTCAATCGACTTGGCTTGCACTGTACATTGATTGACAGTGTCTCGTACCTCGTGACGACTCTGTGATCACCAACACCAACTGTTTCTACAGTCTCTACCTACGGACATCCGACTCGCCATTCCGACGATTTTTTCCTGCCTATGCCTGCGTCTTGGCCGCCCCACGCTTGAATATCGTTCTTCACCAAATTGCTAGGATTCGACTGCCTCGCTCTTGCGACGATGTCGAGCAATGGAGCCCCCGATGATGACTGGCATCCCCACGTCTTTCGCATGCCCGACTGGGTTGAGGCTTTCGTACGTGCCCGCCGCCGACGCCCTCCCTGCCTTAATGTGTGGATATGCTGACCCGTCTCTCTCCAGCTGATTGTGACTATCCTCTTCACCTCAATGTATCTCACCCGAACGAAGAATTACTCCATCTTCGGCAGCAACCAGAGCTACAGCCCCATAACAGCCTCGCCGGCTTCCAGCTCCCCCAGGACCTCCATCGACAGCGACCAGATTGCCACTTATCGGTCTGACTACCCAAGCAAGACCCGCCGCATCTTTGGGATATGGACCGTTCGAACCCCCAACTCGTCGAGATTCGCTCGGCATTTCCACTCGCGCATCCTGCAGAAGTTCCCGTTCCTGGTCGAGATGTTCTACTGGGTCCTCCAGTTCTTCTTCTACCGCATGACCGCACACATGGCGGCTGTCTACTACGGAGGCAATGACAAACTATGGGATATCGCCCAAAACCACGGCATAGCACTGCTGGAACTAGAGGCTTTCATGTTTGGGAGGAACTCCGTGACTGGCACTGCTAGGTGGATTGAGTGGAACGTACAGCAATGGTTCCTCACTGGCGCCAAAGCTGGTGATTTCCGTGGCATATTCCTCACTATTCTGAACCGGTCGTACTCCCTGATCCACATTCCCGGGACTGTTGGGTAGGTTTCGATCCCATGCCTCTATTCATTTGCCTTTTTCCCTTCGGATAAGCGCGACTGCTTGCGCGACCGTCTCCGAAAATTTTGGGGGGTTGATGCTTTGCCGCGCGGCCTCGGACGCCCCCTCAAACCCCGTTCCCTGTTGCAGCTCAACGCTAACCATCGGTCTAGTTTCATCGCATTCTACTATTACGTGTCGCCGACCTTCACCCGATTTGCGAATGTTCGTCGCACCATGACCCTGCTGAACCTCTTCGCGTTCACCATCTTCATCCTCTACCCGTGTATGCCGCCGCGTCTGCTGCCGCCAGAGTACGGCTTCATTGACACTGTCAATGGCGAGGATGCCACCTCAGTGTGGCAGAGTGGAAACTTTGTCAACCGCCTGGCCGCTATGCCCAGTATGCACTTCGGCTATGCCTTCTGCATCGGCCTGGTCTTCATCTATGAGAGTGCTGCGGTCAGTGGAGTGAAGGAAATTTACAGGCGTTACGGCAAGACCCGTAACCCCAGCCAGACATGGCTGCCCGTCCCTGGCGCGGATGAGGAGAACCTGAGCAATGCGTCTGAAGTTGAAGTCGAGCAGCAGTCAACCAGCGAGCGCTCTACCGCCTCGCGCATCGCGTTCTTCGCGTTCGGTGTGTGGTATCCATCATGGGTCTTGTTGACCATTGTTGCAACCGCGAATCACTACCTAATGGACGCCATGGTCGCGACGTTGGTCGTGCTTATGGGTTTCGTGTGCAACCGGATCTTGTTGAACTTTTTGCCGCTTGAAGATCTGCTGCTCTGGGCATGGAGGCTGGAAAAGCCTGTCCCAACTACCGGTATGAGGAGGAGGAGACGTTTGCGGGTGGATGGCACGCAGTATTAGGATCATATACCGGGGCCGAAAATAGCATCTAGCTGGGATTATATTAAGTTGTCAATAATTATAGGGGTTTTTTGGATACAAGACAAGCATATGGATAGCGATACCAAATTACACAATGTTCAATAGACAAATAATGTGTGCACGGCTGCTTCGGGACACGAACGGAAAGCCAAATTCGACAAGTAAGCTTCGCCTATCACCATTATACTTTGGACAATATCGGATGGTCCTCAGGTGTCTGTACTGATCGTCATTTGGGCGCTCTGTCACCACCACAACTGACGTGCCTGCAGAGAATGAAGGACGCGCGAGCGATATCAATGCTTTTATGCACATTGCGTGGGTCAGCGCGTACCCTCAATGCCCCTGTCACCCGGTTGCCTCCAAACCACGGTTCATGGGCGAACCATTGTGAGCACTAGCCTCGTCTGCGGCCGGACCGCAATATCGACCGTAAGGCGTGCGGCTCGGCGCTCGTTGCCGAGTCGGCCTCGCGAACCGAATGATTATGTTTCGTTTCAATCCGGCGAGTCGTTGTCGGGGCCTCGGGCGCTCTCGTTCTGTCAATCTGTCCACCCACGGAGTTGGGCACCACAGCCACGGCCTCGTCAATGCAACAAGCCTGCCCGGCCAGGGGTTCACCTGGCTTTGTACCCGTCAACTGTTTCACGCAGAGTTCAGCTAGAAGGAATAATTCCTTCTACTAAGGGTCCTCGGCGGGTCGCAGATGTCGCTGCGCATGAATCTGACGTAGACATCGTCAAGGACCGTTGTGTGCAAGATGCCTGAGCAGAAGAGGACACTGATGCCAAACTGGGAGAATGACTCCACTCGGGAGTCAATTGATGCCTCGATCCTCGCCGCCGGCGAGTGGATTCGTCTGTCAATGGAGATCTTATATCCAATATCGACTCCCACATCAAGGTTCGGTTAGCCTTCTGGGCAGACACTGGTCCCGTATTCCTACTCAACTATATGCCACCACTCCCATAACACCGCCACCACAAGATGACGTCTAATGGTCGGGGAGAGGATCTGGAAGCCACATTAAATCAAGGGCTGCATCGTCATTTCAGGCACAAGAACACAAATCGCTTTCCTCCTACAAGACAGCCTGTGGCCTCGCCTACTTCAGCTCTTTCTCCACCATCACCAGATCTCGACCCTGACTCAGAGGACGACTCCATGCCCATACTCGAAGGATTGATGGACGGAAATACAGGCGCTTCGAGGCATAGACGGCAGGCATCAGCAGCGTACCGAGGCGTCGAGTATGCTCTGTCGCCATCACTGAAAAGTCCATCGATAGTCTTCCCCCGGATTCCCAGTCCTCTTTCTCCTCAGTACTACCACCAACCATTATATCAAAACCCAACGCCGATACAAACTGGAGTCCGATTACAATCACCGACACCACTCTACAACAGGACACAGAACTTCCGCTACTCGCAACAAAAACACAAGCCCGCCCCGCTACACCTGCAAGCCGACTCGCCGACTCTTGGGCACTGGACGCACCTGCAGCCACCGCCCAGCCCAATCCCAACGCCGTTCCTCATCGACGACCATGACGATGGAAATGGCGACAGCGACAGCGACGATGAGTTCCCGATCAGGCCATCGGCGGCGCTGCTGCCGCACAAGACGGAAAAGGACCCGCCGCCTCGGCGTCTGCCTGACTTATTGCAGGACGTCCTGGAAATCATGAACTCGATCACGAACCAGCAGAGCCAGCTCGAGGAGGAGAGCCTGGCGCTGCAAGACATGGTTGAGCTTGTAGTTACGATGCAGGAGCAGGCCGACTCGCTGATGGAGTACTCAGACCTGGTGGAAGAGTATGTGGACCTGGTGAATGACGAGGTTACATCGGTTTCTAGTCCGTCGTCGACTTACTCCATCGATACTGTTGATGTGCAGGAGCAGTTCGAGGGTGAGGATGATGGGGTCGGGGTGGATACTGGGGCTCGAGAGGTGGCGTCGAGGGCTGACTCTGGTGTGAGTGTCGGAGACGACACAGTAACCGATTGTGAGGATCCTCGTCTCACAGAGGGCCGGGTTCAGGCTAATAGGGGCATTACACTGAACCCACCGGGGGTTCCAAAACAAGCATCCAGGGAGCCACCATTCCGGGACTCTGGCTTGGGATTGATGAGCCCCGACATGGCTTCTCCGTCGACCATGGGACGAGGGAAACGGGGGCCTCAAAGGGGCCGGGATGCCCGCTCTTCAAGGGCAAGAGGAGTCGCTTCTCGAGCGAGGGGTCGATGAGAAGAAGTTGTGAGACATGACCAGCTAGTAATGAGCGTGTTATTGGAACGGATGGTCTCTGCCTAGGCAGTCTACATGTAATGGACTCGTGAATCCGAATATAATTTCCAAAGGCTCAGCTCCTGTTCCACACTTGGTCCTCAAGCCAGCGCTGACCACCAGTTGACTCCAGTGACTTTGAAAAACCACTGCATCACTCACTCCACAGATATACCACTGATCCTCGGACCCATGATAAGCTGGCGAAATGTCAAGTGTTGGTCCTGGGAGTCACTCGAAATCATAAGGCTCAGTCACGCTCACCAAGCTTAGTTCCCATATTTAAACAGAATACGCTCCCCAGTTCCAAAATCATTTCAGCTTTTCCAACAGACCCAACCGACAGAAAACGGATCCTCGGCAAGTGAATCAAACCCCGAAAAACCAAAAAAGTCAACAACCGATAACAAAGGGAAACCACGTCAATCAAAGATAAAAAGGATGTCTTGGAAATGCTCATGCGGTCGTTGGCTTGCCGACGATGAGAAGGAGTGCCCGTGCAAGAAGTCAGGCTGATCACTGTCAGCGCGCAAGCTTTATTTAAATATGGCACATAATGAATAATTGTCTTTGACCAATCTCTCCGATTGTAACACCATATCATCAACATGTATTCGCGAGCCAGTGTATGCCTTGACATTTACCACGGAAGTCGTCAAGCTAGGATTCACTTTCTAGAGACTGGATTTATCCGACATTCTGCGGCAGCCAATATCCGTAGAAACAGCCAATCAGGTCCTAGTTACTCAAGAAGATGATTTTATTAGGAAGGGTTCCGAGTGAGTCGCCGCTATGCTGTGGCCGAACCAGAAAAGACGCAGTCCACTAACGAGGTGAAGCCCACTAATTCACAGCACTGGCAGACATGCGGAAAATCTGAATCGTAGGCGAGCCGCTGCGAGTCCCATCTACGTCATGACCCTTGTCTCAATTTGCTAGCCAGGGAGGGCCCGAACCCAATTTTGACGACATTCCCGGTCATTTGCCCAGGACGAGTCCAGTCTGGGCGCGTCTGCCAAAGTTCACATCTGCCCCAAAACACAAGCCGGGCTCTCTTCAATCTAGAAGACGACTTTCCAATTTCCGCCAACGTACTGCAGAAGACAAAACAAGCCTTCCTTCGACACCCAGATAATCAGGATGGCGTCATCCACAGAAGAGGCTTGGCCGCAGACCATGCGCGCTTGGACATACAGCAGCGCCAGCGGCGGCCTCGACAAAGCCCTGCAGCTACAGACTGAAGCTTCCCCGCCACCAAAGTCCCTGCTCGGCAAAGATGCCGTGTTGGTCCGCGTCAGTCACAGCTCGCTCAACCCAGCAGACTACAAATTGCCCGAGCTCGGCCTCCTGGCCAAGTTTGTGATCCCTCTGCCCGCCAGCCCTGGAATGGACTTCAGTGGCACTGTCACCGCAGTTGGCAGCGATGTCAAGGACTACCGACCCGGCCAAAAGGTTTTCGGCAGGGTCGACCCCATCAAGAACCGGTACGGCACGCTGGCCGAGTACATCGTCGCCAAGGAAGAGGGCATCGCGGCGGCGCCGGCCGGGTGGGACGACAGGATGGACCAGCTCGCCTGCGTTGGGACGTGCGGCCTCACGGCGCTGCAAAGCATCGAGCCCTACGCCGGTGCCGATGCCAAGGGCGACAAGGTCTTTATCAACGGCGGCAGCGGCGGCACTGGCACCTTTGGCATCCAGATTGCTAAAGCGCTCGGCCTGCACGTCACGGTCAGCTGCTCGGGCGCGAATGCCGAGCTGTGCCAGGGCCTAGGGGCGGACGAGGTCATCGATTACAGGGAGCAGAATATCAGTGAGGTGCTGAAGGCCAAAGGGAAGGTTTTCAAGCTTGTGGTTGACAATGTTGGGTTTACCCCGCCCGGCCAGGAGGACTTGTATACCGCTGCGAATACATTCATGGTGGATGACGGGCATTTCATCCAGGTCGGTGGCGGAGCTAGTGCTTCGCAGGTCAAGGCTGCCGTGACGAGGTCATTCATGCCAGGTTTCCTTGGAGGAGGAAAGAGGAAGTTCGCAATGATCATGACGAAGCAGAGCCACGAAGGGCTGGCGAAGATAGGAGAGTGGATGAACGAGGGTAAGGTCAAGAGTGTGATTGACGAAGTCTTCCAGTATGATGATGCTCCTAAGGCGTATACGAAGTTGAAGACGGGTCGGGCAAAGGGAAAGATTGTTGTAGCGGCTGCGAAGTAGTGAGCATATCATTGAGATGACGCTCGGTGGAAGCAAACGGTCCCACCTGTTCCTTAAGATTGTCAGATGGAACGGAGAGGATTGAGAAGTTTCTGAGATACCACAGGCCTTTGAAGCCGCAATAATAGCTTAGTCTTTGCGTTTTATCTGACATTAATGTCCCTCGGCCGGTACCCTGGCGCCGAGACAATCTTCGATGTTTGTTAGGTGACAACGCTGCCAAGAATAACCCTGGACACTGGGTCACCAACACGAATTCCTACCTCTTCGAAGCTTCAGACGGCACGTTGCTTACTTGCCTCAGTCGTTCTTCCGTGGTCTCAAACAGACTGGGCACATGCACCCCAGACTGGTCGAATGGTACATCACCCAGCGCCATCGTGGCAACTGCCTTGGCAGAGAGGAATGACAGAGCCATCCCGCCGCCATTGAACCCCGCGAGTATCCACTGTGCCTGTTTGCCTGGAACCTTGCCAATATGTGGGAGACCGTCCGGAGTAGCCCCTTGGACTGTGGTTCTTTGTCAGTATCAGTCCTTGGGGGATAGGAACAGTTATCTTACTCCCAGTCCATATTTTCTCTATCCCTGTGCCGCTATCTTGCCAGCCGTTGAAGTTTCTCTGCATATAACCTCCGAAATAATTTGCTTTTACGATAGGCTCCAGCAGCGTTGAGTCATCCACCGTGTCGTACCACAGCTCTCGCTGATCCCGGAAAATCCAGTTCCCACCTCCCACTACAATCCCACCGTCTGGCCTGGGATTCAGATAGTCCACTGTCTCAGACCCAGGCACAAGTCCGAAGTCGATATTATAAGTATGGCTCAGGTGCGGGAAGACCGGCTCCCAGCCATCCTCTGCGGCCAAATGCGTTGCTATGCCTTTATAAGGGGTAATGACACCGCGGTATTCAGGAAGCAAGGCCGCTGAGTACGCATTCGTGGCGAAGACAACTCTTTTGGCTTTGACAGAGCCTCTAGAAGTGTGGATGACAGTCGTGCCGTCTTGATTGGTCTGCACGCTCGATACCGGAGTCTCGGTCTGGAGATTGAGGCCGGTATTCTTTCCCATGGCCTTCTCAAGTAAGCCAGTAACAAACTTATACGGCCACAAGGAACATGAAGGCACACTGAAAGCCCCCTTCGCGCCCTTGATGCTTGTCAGTCTCTCTGCAAACTCAGTCCCTGTCCAAAGCACATTGCTGGTCCACTCGCAGCCCTTGGCAAGATATTCCTTCCATTTCGCCTCCAATCGTGCAGCCTCGGACTCTGACTTAAAGACATCGTAGCTTCGGCGAAGCTCAAATTCGCAGTCGATGCCTTCTCTCTCTATGACTTCCTTGAGTGCCGGGGTTTGAGCCCACACGAAGCGAGCCCACTCATCAGCAGCTGCCACGCCGAACTTGTCGGTCATCTTCATCAGCGTCGTGGTCTTGGATTTGATATGGCCTCCATTGCGGCCTGTTGCACCTGAGCAGGTCTGACGAGCTTCGAGGAGGAGAACATGTGGTGGGTTGGGCGTGTTGGAAAGGTGGTAGCTAAGAAAAGTAGTTAGCCAGATCGGATGATGCATTGTGTGGAGAGTTGCGTGACCCACGCAACAGAAACACCGGCAATACCAGCCCCAATGATCACAATTTCGCTCTCCTCGGGGAGATTTGGTGTTGATCGATGTGAGTCAAGGCGATGGAGCTCGCTGCGCCAATAAGATAATGTAGGATTCGCAACCGGTAACATATTGCCAGAATCTGGATTAGCGGCCATGGTTTTGACTGTAGATTGAAATCGCAGTGGTCGGGATTGGGTTCTCTGGGTCAGGTGCAGAAACCAAATCTTTATGGCCGTGATGCTTGATGTAAGCTTTTCAAAGGCTAGTACGAAATGCAGTCAAGGCCTTCAGTCGCTGTGAGTAACAAACGGTTGGAAGCTGTGCACATGTATTCGCGTCTTGAATTGCGTATGCCGTCTGACTGCTGATGATGAAATACTGCTGGCCTGACTTGTCGGCTTGTGTCAAGAAACCTTCCAGAAATGACGACGTGCCGGCGTACATCCAACGCACCAGCGCCCGAGGAGGAAAGGTGGGCACACAAGCGATGGCTTAACATTGGGCCGTCTCACGCGTGACGTCTTGTTGACCTGCATGAGCAATCCAGCAAGCCTCTCAATCCCCGACGTTCTTTACAGTGCTCAATGGTCTCTTACAAAAGCCCCTGCCATTTTTCAATAGTCAGATGAGACGTAGAGCATATGTTGTTTCTGTGTAAACCAGGAGATAATAAAGACTGAAAGGAAATTGAACATGTGTCTGATATCGTCAGCACTGGAAAATAAGGTCCGATTTCATCGCTCAAGCGACAGAACACTGCAGCGGATGTAATAATTTGGAGTACTTTGAGTCCGCTTCCACAGTACCAAAAAGTGACATCGAGAGTTGATCAATTATCCATAGTTCAAAAATGACACAATAAATGAAGCTCCAATGGCGTACCGTCTAGACGACGGAAGAAAAAAGATAGCCGAGAAATGACATCTGGAGAGGTGAATAGGGTTAGACAACTTACCTAGATTGGATACTTAAGCATTGAAGTAATCTAGACAGGAACCTTTTAAGATAATGTCATAGTAGGCGTGAGTTTCATCTGACCCAGTGGGAAGCATAATTGCTTTTGAGTCGCGGTTCTGAATGAGCTCCCCAGGTCATGCAATGGACCTGGTAGCCAAAGATCTACCTGAGACTTTAAATGAATTTGTTGCTTATCGCGGGTGGCCACCTCACCAGCATCGTAGCTGATTGGGCTTTTGTCACGTCAAAACACTCGCTTACACATGTAGTCACAGTACTACAGGTCTCGGCAGAGGTTCTCACAGGTCCTTGAGCAGGCATGGGCTTCGACATGACAAATACATGAGGAGCAGTGTTTCGGGCTCAACAAAATCTTCTTAGGATGCCAACGTTCGCTGGCTGAAAAGTGACTCACACTTATGAGGTCGAATTCCACTTGAGGCTTGAGCTTATTCAAGGCTCAGCTCAGCTCCATGAGTGAATAATGAACAACCCGGGGTCTTGCTGATGGTTGAGATATAGTTACTCCCTTCAGGATCTGTGGGACATGTCATATTACAGCCCGAAGCATTTTCTAGGAGTGACGTGGCTCAAAATTCCAAGCCGTGGTATGATTCGATGAGATTGCCTCTAAAGTGCTACAACTTTGTTGGGGTGAGCTGAAGCTTCATATCAGTCAAGGTTCATGCTAGCTCGCCACACTGAGCGCGATGCCGCTTGGAAAGCATCGGCTGCTTGGCAACATGGCTCATTCTGAACCGACGAGGCTTAGCAGGCCGACGATGATCCAAGCCGAGCCGCAGGATGCCTTACTCAGAAGATCAGTGATCCAGGCCATGACGAATGACCCCTCTAAGCCTTGATCTTGATGCCCGATATATTGAGTCCCATGACATCACTTCCAGAGTATATAAAGCAGTGGGACGAGTCCGGTCTTCTACTCTTCTCCCAAGTTTTGCCGTTAGCGGAGTAAAACATTTGATCCAACATTAGAGTGAAGCACAACGCCAGGCACAGCATCAGCGTTACGACATTCGGCACGGCTCAGCTTCTGTTTGACTCCCAAGGGCGTCACTCCAGGTAGGTGATCTCGTCAATTCAAAGGTTGTCCCCTTCGAAGAACTGCAAGTTGAGGAAGTCAAGACTATCGTTTAGCTAATAAGTCTGCAGTTTACACACAAACCAAGCGCCCTCAACTTCGTCGATCAAGTTCAACCCAGTCCGATGTGCTTCGGCTTCAGGCACCATCTGCACTCCGACCGACACCATTGCCATAGGAACTGCGCATATTGCGCACCTCCAGCTCGACCGGTTCAACATGTAGTGGTGGAAAAGAGGCGGTACCAAGGAACGGGATACAGGCCGTACTATGGAGGCGTTCACGGAGGAGGTATGAACGGGCGAAAGTGGTAGGCGTGCTGCTGCGAAATCATGTGATAACAGGGGGGACTTGCGTGGATGGAGATGCGTCCTGCACAAGTCAATAAACCATGCATAGTCAAAAATAAGGCACCAAATAGCTAGGCGACTGTTTTCACATAATTTCCCCTGATCACACGCATTAGCGAGGTGTGCATGGCTAGGCCTTCGAATAATTCGTCGATAAGTTTGATGCTAGTCTTCGAGTTCGCGCCATTGGTTCTTTAGATTGTGATTGATGGGAAACTTGTATCTCGAATGCGGGAATATTTCCAACTTTCCCTAGCCAGTATGGTCTTATCAGACAAAGGAGAATACCAAGGGGCAATATATACCGGGTTAGGGTGGACTTGAGGAACCACTTCCCGATATCACCCCTCGAATACTACCCCCGCATTGCCCAAGGTGGGAATCGGAGTCCGCGGCTCCTGGACCCGTTACGGTTGACATGTGCAATAAAGAGGCGTGAAAGGCTAATTAATTAGATCTGGCATATGATAACTCAAAAACAACTTTTCCACTCAAACATGTAACATGTTGTTGTGCCACTTCGTACTGTTGCAACTGGTGTGCAACATGTCTCGATCGTTGTTCAACCGTTTCGACCGACTGGCTTCGAACGTGTCGTCAGTTGCAACCCAAGCTCTCGACAAGCGGCAACAATCAAGTCTGGCATCTTCGGCGCACGCGACGACGGCACACCAGTATTATGCGATTCGAGTTGTCGATGCTACCACTAATCGAGGAGTCCCTCTGGTATATCTCCGCACAACGTACAAGACTATTTACATGACCGATAGCGCCGGTTATGTCGCATTCAACGAACCTGGCCTGATGACGGGAGATCCAATCTGGGTCACGGTCAGCAGCTATGGCTTCGAGTCACCGACTGGCTTTCTTGGCGTTCCCGGAATGCAAATCCAGCCCAAAGCCGGGGGCTCTATAGAAATCAAGCTCAATAGAACTCAAGTCGCCGAGCGGCTCTATCGGCTTACGGGGTTCGGCGTCTACCGAGACAGCGTCCTACTTGGCAAGCCGGTGCCGGTTGAGCAACCAGTCCTGAACGCAAAGGTTGCTGGCAGTGACACCATCCAGTGTGCCAAATTCCACGGCAAGCTCCTTTGGATGTGGCAGGACACAGATCAGTTAGCATTTCAGCTTGGGAATTTCGCAATGACGGGCGCAAGGACTGAGCTCCCACATGAACTGAATGCTGACAAGGGCCTCAACTTTGACTATTTTACAAAAGACAACAAGCCGAACGAGTTCACAAGAGGCATGGTCGACATAACTTTGCAAACACCAGGGAGCTTCCCTCTGTGGGTCGATGGCTTGACGGTAGTACCAGATGATACAGGCAGAGAGCGTCTGATCGGCACTTACTGCGCCTCTGGGCCCGGGCTGAGCTGTGTGGAGCGAGGCCTGGTCATTTGGAAGGATAAGAAGCAGATTCTAGAGAAACTGGTGCAATTTGATGGCACCAACAACGCTATGGATGTGCTTGCCCCGTGGGGACATACGATCTACGTGAACGAGAATGGAACACGTTACGCATTTTACGGCAAGAATATCCGAGTCAAAGCGGACTTCAACAACGCTTCGCAGCCGTCACAGTACGAGGCCTTCACCTGTCTTACTGCGGATGGGCAGCGAGCAAACAGAGGACCGAACGGTGCATTGATCTGGAGCTGGGTCAAAGGTGGGAAGCCAGTCAATTACGAGAACGCGGACAGTTTGGTACAGTCTGGCGTGATAAGTCAAGAGGAGTCGCCTTACAGACTTAGAGATTTGGACACTGGACAAGCCGTTACTGCACATACAGCTGGAATTGCGTGGAACCCCTACCTAAAGCTTTGGACCAATGTCTTTCAGCAGAGTGGAGGCGACACTACTGCTGGGGAAATATGGTTTTCGACAGCCCAGGCGCCAGAAGGCCCCTGGACAGCTTGCCGGAAGGTTGCCACGCACTACATGAGCCTTGATGGGATCAATAATAACAACAACGACCTGTATAATCCCGTTCAGCATTATGAGCTGATGCGAGAAGGCGGAAGATACATCTACTTCTCCGGAACACTTACTAATACCTTCTCTGGCAACCCATTTGCAACTCCGTACTACAACTACAACAACATCATGTATCGATTAGATTTGAACGACTCGAGATTGAGACTACCACAACCGCCGGCGGGCTACTGGGGCACGAGACACGACGAAAGCTGCTGAGCGGCAATGGGTTGGCGAGCTTCGATTATACTACCCATTCACACGCCCTGGCAGGTGTCAATGGTGATATTAATACGGTATATATGGGTACGGTGTTTATTGATCTCTTCAATTCCTTGCGCGATACCAGCTTAGAGTGCTTTTGGACGAGCCAAATTCTTCCTAGTATATAAATGTATTTCAGATTTCCACCAGGAGCTCACATCACAACAGCAACTTTATCTGTCATGTATGCACTAATATCGCCCAGAAAAGCCGCGGCCAAGATCGAGATAGCTCCAAATCCGATGCTCGCGTAATAAACGTAAGCATATGACTCAGCGTAGGCTGTCTGACCTGCCTTGACAATGGCGTTATACAACACCTCGTTACCAGCAATGCCGGGGATCTTCTTGATTTCCTCCAGCAAAGCGGCTCCAGTCAGAACGATGACCTCACCAATGACTTCTTTGTCCGTTATCCCTCCCATATACATTGTTCCGCCGATATAGTGAATAGCTGCAGGGGTGAACTTGTTGATGAAGACATTGTAGTAAATGCAGTACCCTATACTGCCGCCGATCACTCGAACACTGAGTGTCAACGCTGCTACAGTGGCGATGAGGTCGTCCGGGCAAATGATCATAGTGATGATGGAGGCAGGCACCACAATACCTCCAATACCGAGCCCCGCCAAGACGAGAATCCCCCCTTTCACTCGTTAGCTTGATACAATAGAGTCCAAGAGCCAAAGTATTAAGGGCATTCTTTGACGTATAGGGGAGGATACTAGGGGAAGAATAGTCTTGTGCTTACAGAGCTGGTACATATTATCAACGCGACCGATGGCCATGGCACCGCAGCCGGCTGTCATTAGCACTGATGAGATGATCATCAACAGCCTGTTAGCTCCTCTGAAGACGGACAGTAGCACCAGAACAACAACAGCTCCTGTCATAATGGCAAAACCAACAGGTATGCCGCGGATGCCGACGTCAACTGGATCGTGACCGTAGACATTGAACGATTGTGTCGGCCAAAACATAAGAATTGAGAAGAAGTTTGCGCCCGAGATGAATGTGATGATCAGAGTGAGCGTGAGAATCCTTGGAGCCTGGTTGATGCGTCTAGGGAACATGGGATATTTGGCAAACCAGCCCTCCCAGACGATAAATGCGATAATGAGAACAACTCCGAGGAGTAGAGGAACGAGCACGTGAACAGAGGTCCAGGGATAGATGTAACCGCCCCATTGCAGCCCAGCCACTGAAGCAGGTCGAATTAGCGAGCGAAGGGCGTGCGGTGGTCCTTTTGATCTGAGAATACTTACTGAACAGAATCATTCCAGATATGCTCAGGAGACCTCCAACGAGGTCGGTCCGCTTCAAAATTTCGCGTCGGCCCACGCTGTTCAAATTGGCGGGGGGAGGTGGGAAATAAAAGACTGCGGTCAGGACCAAGCCGATAAACGCCCAGATAGCACACAACAGGCCGATATACCTCCATGACGAATAGTAGGCAATCAGCTGGGCATACAAGACCGAAGGACAGAATGGCACAATGGTGAAGACGAGAATGCCGACATATTTGCCTCTTTTTGCTGTAGGTGCTAGCTCGGATGTGGCAGCCAGGGCAGTCAGCTCATTGATGCCGGCACCGATTCCAGCAAAGACCATGCCTCCAATGACAATGTTCATCGTCTGAGCCGTGGATACGATAATCATTCCAAGAACGATAAATGCGGCTCCAGAGATAGCGACATATCGTCGGCCGAAAAGATCTGAAAGAGATCCGACAAAGGGGCAAATGGCAGCTAGCGAGAGCAGATTCGCGAGGACGAGCCATATCCATCGGTCATGGCCGCCGATGTCTCGATAAATATAAGGCGGTATCGCTCCGAGAAGGTAAACAGGGATTTGAGAACCTGTCCAGAGGAAGGCTTGAGCAACAAGGGCCATGAGCTTCCTCTTCGTCATCTGAGAGTGTTCAGGAGCGTCAGCCAACGAGTGTCCATCTCCACAAGTTCGATTTCAGCTTACAGGAAGCTCCTGGTGGGACTCCTCATCGCTTGAATTTTGCCTGGCATATTCAACGTTCTCTTGAACTCGCTTGTTATCGGCCTCATCGAGGCTTTTCTCGCTGGTTGGAGCCATGTTGAACAGCCGGGTGCATTCGAAGCGAAGGAAAAGTAGTAAGAATGGTGTGGAACCCGGATGGAACTAAAAGGCTTGAGTGAGATGTACGCATTTATTTATACCGGGTATCTTTGTGCCACTTTATGAGTCCGTAGGACGATCTGCGTTGCAGCACTAGGGAACAAGCCGTGGCCCGTCCGACCACGAAAGCTTGTCTGGGTACCCATGGTTCTTCCAGTAACCCGGAAGAAGACCAGCTGACTCGCTATCGATGCGAACGCGACAATGTGGGAATACAGGCACAAGACTGAATCCTTTCGTAGTGGCCGCCAATAGCAAGACATTGATGATAGACACGCAGAGCTCTGAACAACAGGTACCTAGTCTGCTAGACCACTAATACACATGGGAAGCGAGAGAGGAGACCCGTCCCTCGGTTGAGAATACTACCCCGCAGAGGAACCAGTCTCAATCAAGGCAATACCGCGAATACTGCACGCCCGTCCTGGTCCTTCATAGGCTCGATACCAGTAAGCGCTGCAACCTTGTTGCGTGGTAGTTCAGGGTTCCCCGCGTTGTAGGGAGTCTGGTCCCTTGCACTTGTGCCCCTTTCTTGACCCGTCTGCCCGTGAGGAGGAATAGAACACGAGAAGAAGCACTCAAACCTAACGCTGGCTGGCATTCTGATTGATCTGTCAGACTCACTTCCGGAGAGGAGAGCTTCTGGAACAGTGGCCGAGGCGTTTTTAGCTTCTATTGCCTCCTCAAATCTGGACTGGTCTCGAGGGAAACCTCTAGCTCGAGCACTAAGTTGGCGCCATTCGGAGTATCTCCCCCAAATTATCATTATTCGAACGGCAAACTAGAGCTGCAACACCAGTCCGCCACTTCCCGCCAAACAATTACACCGCAGTCATGCAGAGGGCAACGCGCTGCTAGACCGGGTTATGGGGGTGAGCCTGGAGCGGGCAGGCCATACCTTCAGGGCAAATTCACGCATCAGGAAGGAGATGTGGTAAATCTCATAAATGTTTCCGGGCCGTAAGGGATTGAATTGGATGACAATAGTCAGGTCTCTCAGAGGCAGGCGAGGGTGCGCTGGGCAGAGTGCTCTTGATAACCCTAACGATCCCCCAGGTCGAATCCATGCCAAACAAGGTAGAGTACTACGTGACCTCACATCTTGGCTCTGGACTGACTGCCCGTCCGAGCGGTCAGTGTAGATGGCTGGCGAGTCCACTGCTATTTTAACAGTTGCTATATTCATGATCACCTGCAAATTGTGAAAAGACGCATCAAATTGGTCAAAGATCACCTATTCTTCAAGTGTTACTCAAAAGTCTAGAAAACGTCACTGAAATAAGTTACATCATTCCTTCCATCATGGTGTGTGACGTCTGTTTAAGGGTGTATTTTTACGTAGCACCGTATAATCGTTTGAGTTTTAGTCATGCAACTTCCTCGACTACACTGGACTCTGTTTACCTAGACATGTACTATTTTGCGTACCTATATGTCTCCACACGATACAAGGTTGTTGAGCTTGACAGTGATCAGCCTATGAGGAAAGATGTGTTGCAACGCCCAAAGATTGTCACTGTGATGACATTGACTCAAACTACGTTGGATGGTCTATGCCTCGAAGTGTTCATTATTCTAGTTCCCGGTGTTTGGCGATCCCTACTTTTCCACAACGCAGGCATCCAAAATTAGCTCGTGTTGATCTAGACATGACTCCTCGTACTCCTCTCCATCCAGTGCCCAGATCCGGTATTGCAATTTCCATGGCTAAGTTGCTGTTTCACTAACGAGATATCCTGCGGGACCGAGGAGCTGTACCATGCAACTCGAAAGGTCATCCTCTCAAGTCCCATGTCGGTAGCTCTCTCAAATAGTTCGATTACTTTCCCTTCTTCAAGGATTTGCTTTCTTTTCCACAGGGTATCGCAGTCTGTCGATGCTATTATCTTCCCTTTTCGAGTACCGATTTCGCGTTTGTTCAGCTCCTCGTCGTCCCAGATACATTTGTAAAGATTGGTATTTCCAGAAAAGATCAAAAGCTTACGGACTTCTGCGAAGAATGATTGCGACCGTAACACGGGAAGCCTTACTGCAACATCGTCGTTAATGAGCTCTCGAGCCTCGAATGTTCGAGTGACGGGGAGAACCGACGACGTAGTCCACGCTACCAGGTCAATCATCATGTTGGCTGTAACAGGTTTGCGGGATTCGCCATCAAACAGAGGGATCGGGTATTTAAGGGCAAACTCCAGGCTCATCTCACCATCCCTTTGATCCATATTCACATAATCTCGCTCTTCCTGTGACTGGGAACTTGGCATTGGCTGGATGGTCATGGTTGGGGTATGGCAGCTGTCTTGTCGTGATACTACAATTTGGACCAGTTCCAAGGGTTGAGAGGGGTGGCCTTCTACAATCAAATACTCGAATGCTGGACTTGAAAATTCCTTCTGCCGATCCTATTGTATTAGCCGTGTCTGCTTTCTAACAATCTCATTGACAAGTGGCCCGAAGAACAACAGCGTACGTAGCCATCGATTCATAACGGCATAATCCATTGTTCCTACCGAAAACAGACTCACCTTTAAGCATTGAGATCCAATAGTTCAAGCAAACAGTCATATCTGGTGCGAGTACAAACACAACTCTGGACTTAATGATACTTTGGTACGACAATACGTATTCTCCTATCTGCTTGTCGATCGTGTCAACGCGCACTTCCACAATAACATGTCCAACGACCGACTCGAACTTAAGTAATCGCCTTGGGAGATCTGAGATCCAGAGTATGGTCAATCTCCCGACTGAAAATGCGTGCTCTCACCTTCGGTCTCTTGAATGGTCTCTAGAATAAGACAACCGCAGTTCTGAATGGTCGACGTTATAGTAAACTTCATGCGCATGAAATCAAGTACTGGTCATCGTCTCTCTTCTCAGACTTTCAAGCGTACTCACCGTCCATCTGTACCTAAGTATTGAAAGGGTCCTCATTGTAGACTAGTGTGTGTTTCCCGGTCAGCTCAAGCCCTGCCTCGTTGAGCTCCTTTTGTATCTTCTCGTAAATTTAAAGAACCCCTGCACTCGTCATCGCCTTAATGTGCGGGACAGGAGGCAATGAGGAATACGTTCCCGATGTGGAGTCGACCCCATCATTCTGGACAGTCCTCGGTCCTCTACATTCTTTAGTACTCACGGGCACGGTATGCAATCTATTCCCTCTGCGCAGTTAATTCTGGGTTATCATGCCGACCAGTCCAGCAGGCCTCCGCGAAGTTTAGGTAGACATAGATACGACTTAGAGAATAGGCGGATACTTCGTCGCTATCAAAGTCTCCCTCGACAAGTCTAGGAGCATTAATAGAGCGGACGCTTTTGGCCAACACGAAAGAAGCGCGCCATCATGATGGGATCAACGCAGATGTTGGCAGCAGGGCCGCCCTCTTTTTCGACACTAGATACGGTTCTATTAAACTGAGAAACCAGAAGTCTTAGTTACCCCAAACCATTTTTTGATCTACGTCAAGTCTTCTACAGATCAAGGAGCGAGACTATGTTAACGCCTGCCGATGCGGAGGAGCGACTACGTAAGTCAGCAAATGAGCACCTTTAGATAAGAGAATGGAGCAGAGAGGATGGTGAGAGGTCTTTGTAAATGGATGTAATCGAGGAGTTAGATTACGACATGGGTTGTTTTAGGGGAGACACGTCGGCGAGACTGGCGGGTTGAAGTCAGCATCGGTGGTGAAGAATATCTGGACAGGACGCTGCTGTCCAAAATGTTAGACTCTTCAATTGTGGCAATAATTGCTTTTCGACCAGTGACTTACAGTAGGTCCATTTTGGCAAAGAGTTAGGCTAAGCTCAATTTGTCGGTATGGACACTGAACTGCAACACACGGCTTCCAGCTTTCCGTGGATGAGTTGACGGTGCTAGTCGACCTCGGGATTGCGGAGCCGAGGCAAGTTGGGAGTCCGAGCTGGCGCGCCACGGTTGCGCGGTTGCGCAATGACATCCCGAGACCGGCTGCCACGGCAAGTAGCTTGGTAGACACGCAGATTCCCGCCTACCGGGCTGGTCAGCACCTTTCCCCGCAATGCGTGAGGCGGCGATCTTCCCGATTTAGTGGGGCTTCTTGACTTCAGACGACGATGACACCCAAGACTACTTCCTCACTTTTCACTTGTTCATCTCCTCGGATGGTGTAACATACAATTTTTGCTTTACTACAAGAGACATCAATCATCAAAATGGCTCCCCACGCAGAGAACGGACACAACGGTGCTAGTGACAAGCCGTCGACATTGGCTCCCCTCGAGCCTGGCATTCCTGAGGTCGAGGCCAAAGTGAAGATGCCTGCTTACCCACAGTAAGTCCCCTCTCCTTCCCTGTTGAAAGCATTTCCCCTCTCTATTCATGTGTGTGAAGCTGATGGAGTTTTACCAAGGCCTCCTACCTTCGATGACAAATACCAGGAACGCGCGTACTGGAAAGGCCGTCTCGCAGCAGCATTCCGCATTTTTGGGAAGTACGGTTACGACGAAGGGGTTGCTGGTAAGTTTTACCCGGGAGAAGGCGTGCAAGCGGTGCTTTGCCCAACGCAGGTAGGAGACTGACTGATTACAAGGCCATATCACGTACAGAGATCCTGTTGAGCCCGACACATTCTGGGTCAATCCATTCGGCACAGCATTTAGTCTAATCAAGGCCTCCGATCTTATTCGCGTTAGTGAGGAGGGAAAGGTCATTGAGGGTGGTGAGAATCGCCTCCTAAATGCGGCGGCGTTTGCCATTGTATGTGTCCCGTGCGGTGTGAATACCAACCCAATCTCCTGCTCGAAACTTGCGGGTCTTCGTCAAAAGAAACCAAACAGATACCCACGGGTTCCTCCGCTCAAAGTTTACTAATATCTTGCGTTGTAGCATTCTGCTATTCATCAAGCTCGGCCGGATGTGAATGCGGCATGTCATTCTCACACCATATACGGACGAGCGTTCTGTTCCCTAGGCCGGAAGCTGGATACCATTACACAAGATGCATGCGCCTTTCACAATGACCACGCCGTGTATGAGTCCTTCAACGGCATAGTGCTAGCTGCCGAGGAGGGCCGTAATATCGCGCGCTGTGTTGGAAACAAGAAGGCTGCGTTGCTGCAGAACCATGGGCTGTTGACGACAGGGAACACAATCGATGAAGCCGTCTTCTGGTTTGTGAGTATGGACAAGTGCTGCCATGCTCAGCTGCTGGCGGAGGCTGCTGCGGGACCTCGGGGTGAGAAGCCCATCGTCATATCCGATGAGGATGCTGTCTTTACTTACAAGACGGTGGGGACGACATACGCGGGATACTTCAGTGCTAAGCCGCTCTTTGATGTAATTCACAAGGAAACTGGAGGCGACTATTTGGAATGAGGAAATTATCTTGAAGCTGGGAATGGAATGGTTCGATATATCATACTTATCAGGCAGATCGTTGTAGCGGATGAATGTTTCTTCCCAAATATGTTCGTATGAAAGTTACGAAGATTCGCGTGCTGTTGTCATTGCTTTATTTGTTTCTCTCTTTCAAGGTTTACAAGTCAATAAGCTGGCCTCTTACACGCACTCTTAACAAATATTGCACCAGTGACCAACACGAATGAATATTCAGACACTCCGTCTGATAAATCAGTGCATTCAAACGTGCGACTATTACGGATAAACTTCAAGTGCTCAAACCATATTTCATGAGCTGTCTGATCGAATTGCCGATCCTCTACAAGGAGACGTGTCGAATCCAAGTCACTGCAGACAAATAATTGCTTGACTCTCATGTTGGCATCGTCTTCTAGAGCAGGATATATATCTAGTTACAGCGATGGCGCGAGCAAATCACCCGCTGGTGATACAGCCAAGAATAATCGCACTTGGGTTTGCTCTATCGCGCCGACGACTTGCCTTCTCTTTCTCCTTCCTTTCAAAGCCTTGATTTTTAGAACTCCGGCCTAATCTCGCCGGCCGGGGTGCCTCTGTCTCCTTCTCGTCGTTCTTGGACTGAGTTGATCGTCAGACCGAGATGAAGGGACGATGATGATGCGGGTAAAAGTAAAATTAACTTACTTTGAAACACATGATAGACTAATCCGATGCTTAGAAGTTTTAAAGATTGCCGTGAAAGATTTGCGCGTGCACTCGGAATATGTGTAGAGGCACCAAGAACCACCAAATGAAAAACTCAGGCCAACATGAGCACAAGAGATACGTAGGTTGAAACATATACGTAAGCAATGACAATCCCACTGCAGCAGCTGATGACGTATGTAAAAGCAGTGAGCGGATGTATTCCACCCTACGCGCCCTTTTTTGCGGACAGGCTGACATGACCCTCAGCCCCGTGGCTTAGAAGACCTGTGCCGCGGGGCGCATGCAGTCCGAACCATATGCTGACACCTCGCTGGAGCTCACTAGGCCTCGAATTGCGTACTTTGTATGAACTGCAGACAATATCCGTTCTTACATGGCTCAGATCGTAAGATCAGGAAAAAAAAAAATTTGGCTTGTAGGGTTCAAATGCTCATCAGTACCTGAAATCTAACTGGTTTTGCCACCCCTTGGCCATGATAAGCAGCATCGAGTAGCATGAGGCATCTTTGAGCAGGTCATTCGGTACGCATTATAGGTGCTTGATAGAGTGCATTTCTCTGGTTTGAAACGAGACCAGTCAACATCCTCCACCCCCTCCACCATCGCCTCCTCCTCCTCCTCCTCCTCCGCCGCCGCCGCCATCGTGTCCGCCACCTGAATGACCGCCGCCATCGTAACCTCCCGAGTGTCCGCCGCCATGCCAACCCGACGAGTGTCCGCCACCGTCGTGATGACCATCATGGTGATGGTGGTGGTAGCCTCCGTTGTGGCCATGGTGATGTCCTCCATGGCTGAAAAGCTCTGCACCGGCTTGTATGCCATTCGCAGCAGCTTCTGTGGTATTGTTCAGTCGATTCCTGTTGTAGTTTCCGCCGTAGTTGGATCTGGCTCCATAATTATATTTCGCTTGTGGCCTTGCAGGCCGAGCAGCGAACTTCTCCGACTCAACATGTCCCGACTACCCGCGATGTAAGCTCAAAAAGTTTTCCGAAGAAAGTCATAGTCTGCAAGGAGATACTCACTTTACCGAAGCACATATCTGCGACCAATATGATGTGTAAGATGCGTGTGAAAGAAATAGCTCGTAGTTTTGAGGGCGACAGCTATTTAGCGTGGAACGCCTTTAAATGAAAACTGATGCGGCCTGTCGGGTGCCACATGTCTCTCTCTTATCAATTACTACAAATTCAGCCTTTCATATTACTTGTGAACGTTAGGTCATTCTAGCTGATAAAAACAGGGCGAGGCGGAATCCTTCCGGTGTCCTCTACTTCACAAGTAGACTAGAATGATGGGGTCGACATGGTCGGACTCTGGCGCCTAGTGCCTGGCTCAGCCCCAACGCCACGGCCAACGGTCGGTCAGCTGTGGGAAGCACAGCCGCTGTCAGGCTTACTCAGTCTGCGCATCACCGGATTAGAAGTTGAGTGAAATTGATCACTTCTTTCATCTTGCCAGTGAGCCTGGGCGTATGGGCTGCTGGGTCAATTGGAGGGGTTTCAAAGAGGCCGAATGGCGGTCATTTAAGCCCCTGGACAGAAACGCCCACGCTACGGATAGAGCTGCTTCACAACCACATGGGGCGCATGAGTTTTAGTGCTGTAGTAGAATCTACGGCAGTAGCAAATAATTGCGCGATTTCCCGCCGATTTGGGACGCTTCGGCTTTTGTGAAATATTTTGAACATCGTCCACACGCAGGCGAGCTAGCTACTAGGTGTTCACAGACGCAACAAGAACTACTGAGCTTGGACAACGAGTTTCATGAAACTACTAAAGCGTGATTGGCACAATCTTTAAACTGCGACCCTTTTCATTTGAAAGTTTATCCAGTGGTGCTTATCTGGTGGTGGACTCCAGGTGTGCTCATGCGAGAAGCTAGATCGGCCCTTGTGGTCAGATTTGATCTGTAGAAGTAATGTATATTATTATGTGGTCAGTATTGTCATTTTCGATGTCAGTAGAGATACATGTACTTTCGCAATGAGTTTGCTGCTTTTGATGGCAGGACGCTCAAATGCGTAGTCGAGGAGACGTGGATTCGCGGCGGAAGATTTTCAATCGCAAGACAGGATTCGACGAGGAGCATGGACCAAGTTGCAGGATTGTTCTTGAGCTACGAAGGCTAAAGGCTGTCAGAGTGATGTAGATTGAGTCCGAGGTGTAAACATAGCTCTGAGGAACGCATTTAAATCCCAGCATAACGGCTCCTTGCAGCATTATCAGGAATCACGCATGGCCTTCCCTGAATTGGACTGGTCTTCAACGCCAGCGAAATCTTTTTCTTTGCCTCTGTCTCCATTTGCTGAGCTGCCAGCCTGACCATGCTTCCTAGTATTGTCTTGATTCTTTTTAGCTTCAATGTTTCCTAGTGGCCAGATACCCTCGCGGTCAACCTTTGGCGGAGACGTTGCGAATTGATGATCCAAAACTTCCGCTTCTTCTGGATGCTCTGCAGCCTGTATGTTTTATTAGCGCTCAAGTATACAAACGATAATTGGACCGCAACATACAGCAATGCCTGTAACAGACATTCTGTGAACCAGTGCGCCGATCTTTATGGTTAGGTGGGTAGTGGTATTCTCCTTTTTATTGATCGTGTTGACTGTGAGGCTGGCATGGAGTTTGTAGATGTGATCGTTTGAAATATGTTGCTCATTTTCACGGCCAAACAGCCTTTATTGTAATGCACACTGCCTAAGTAAAGTGAAAGAGACCGCGACACAACACATCACATGGGTGACGTAACTTGGCATAACAGCTGCAACCGTGACACGATGGCTCTGCACCCCGACCAGTCAGCGAAGGGTGTCTAGTCTGGATGCAGTCTTCTCGATCTGACACATGCCAGCTCTCTGCAGATTGGTAAGCTTGCACACGCATACAAGGCCACGTGCTGACATTCGTCTTTATGTTGACAATTGACGAGCGTTCTGAGAGATCTTAGGGGTTCCTTGCCTGTGAAATCGACCAACATGCTCCACGATACCACCCTTAAGGCATGTACAAATTGCTATTAGTCTAGCGGCTTTAGAGAGGGCAATGTCGTCTCTAATTAGACAGCGTTGATACAGACGAGTGTGCCTGGTTCCAATCGGACGAAGGTCAAGCTCCCTTCTGTGTTCCATTCACCCTCTGGCACTCCCAACTTTCAGGGTCTTTCGAGTCCCCCCCAACGTAAGTGTTCCTCAGCGGCCATCTGCAGTGCCTGCGCTGAAAGTCTACTCCCAGTGTAGCCGAATCATTCACGAACTTGGTGCCAGTCATAGTGTCTGGCGCAATATCCTGCTCAACCCAGTCTACCACGGCAGCCAAGACATTGGTCTCCCTGTCGAACGCTCCTTGCGCTGCCGATCCGCCCTGCTGGCCTATGACCCAAGCGCCGGGACCACTGTTGCAATGGAACATGCCGGAAACCCTGAAGAAACGGATAAACTCGTCCATTTCTTCCGATGTATAGCTCATACCCGCAGCTAGGTGCTCGTAGAACCGAGGGCTATTGAAACTGGTGATTTGGTTATCCTGTCCTCCATGGAACATCACAACCTTGCCGCCCCGTTGTTGAAATGCGGACAGGCTGCTCGGCCACGTGCGAATGTTTCCGGGATTTTTATTTTCAGCAAAGTCGGCGTCAGTGAGTGTGTAGGTGGCAGGATCCCAATTCGGATTATTATACACCGCATAGCGAAACCAGCTTTGTGATAATGCCCATGGTTGTCCATTGTATAGACCATCTGCAGACATTATTTCACCACCGGGGTTCATTCGAGGGTACAATAGTGTACCGTTCTCCCACAAATACGGCTCAAATACCCTGCGAACAATTTCTACCTGCGAGGGAGATAGACAGGCGGAGCTGTTCGAGGCCTCCCCACACAGCAAAGGCGCAGGGTCGAATTGGCACAGCATTGGATCCTCGATAATTCCGTCCGAAACTCCGTCGAGCATGTCGCACTGGCGAAGTACTTCCTCATGTATCGTAGTTTTCCAAACCTTTGGGGTGATGAAGTTTGGCGATCCCGCGGGCCCAACGATAGGGTAGAAGCGTGCTCTCCACGAATAAAGATTGTCGAAATCCACAGCTGGCGATCCTGCCACTATTCCGTCGAAGTCCTCGGGAAACATATCAGCTGCCTTGATGGCTTGTCGTCCGCCTAGAGAGCAGCCTAGGAAATACGACTTGCTTGCGTCCTTCCCGTAGAATGGCTGTAGGATCATTTTACCAGCTTCGACTCCTGTATGAACACTTTATTGACGCGTCAGTCGCGTCTCAGTCAACTTCATGGCCGAGTGATTACTCACGCTCTCCACGCGAAATCGACCACGACGTCAGTGTTGTTCAGGAATTGAATTCCAGATGTGCCATTGTGCCCATTGTTCGTACCCACGCTCGCGAACCCATTTTTGGCCGTGTATGCAATACCGCTGTAGTCAATGCCTAGAAACGTCGCAGAGTCAGCAATATCATCTCCATTGGTGAACGGGGTATGCTCACAACCACCCAAGCCTCCATTTCCGGTCGTGACAAGACGTCCGTTCCAAGTCTGCGGCAGCCAAATCTCGGCCACGATGCTAGACCTTTCTGATGTTGCTATTTGGAGGGCCACACGACAGAGATCGGTCGGCACTAGTTGACTCGTTGTGCCGCAGGATGGGTCATTGTATGGCAGACTGAGATTGGTCCCGGACTCGACGTAGACATGTTCCGTGACCGTAGCATTTGCAATACCGATACTCGCGGGATTAAACGACACGCATTGTTGCTGAAAGTCGCCTTGCGCTGCGGTGCAAGCTGCTTCCAAACTCAAAATCGCCAGAAAAAACAGCGCAGAGAGGGCCATGACGGTGGGAACTATGACATCCGACCATATGTCCGTGAAGGCTTCGTCCCTACGCGAGGAACACGAACAGGGGCCGAGAGCTACACGTTGATGGGGGTCACCCTTTGATATACCCACCTTCCCCGCCATGATTGCTCCCATCCGTCTAGCCACGATGACATGGTCTACTTGTTGACTTCCTTTTGTGAGGAGCATTAGTGTCACCCTCCTTAAGATTTGAGGGCAGGGATCAGGTCAACGCGGGGAAGTGCTAAGCTTTACCGGGATCTTGAAGCTGATGCAGACCAAAGGGGCAGTTAATAGGGGAAAAGACACATACCCATGTAAACTAGGATTGGAGTAGCTTCGAAGAAGCGGGGGAGATGGGGACGAAGCCTACAAGTGTTCCACAGGGCGCGGGGCTTGGGGACAGACAGGACAGTAGCAAGCGATGTGGAGAACCCCGTGATGCCCGGTGACCTGATTGTAGACATGTTAGGTGGAAGCTAATATTTTGGCCCTCGTCTTCTCTGGATGCTTTACTCTCTTGTTGTTGTCATGTTTTTTCTATGTCTCAGATTGATGAGTTAAGCTATGATGAGGTTGCTTTTATTGCTAATCTAGAGCGTCTTTGCCGAGCCACGTATATTCTTCTAGAATACCCCGGAGATGTCAAACGTTGAAGTGCTGCAGCTTGCCTTGATTTGAGTTATCGCAATTGCCCCCATCACAATATACACACTATGAACAGATGTTGGATATAGAACTCGACATAGAGATAGCAGAAATAGGGATAGTGAAGGGTAATCGAGGGTGATACATTAAATGAGTTGACAGGCAACCCATTTTAGCGGCTTATGTGCAGCACTACACAAACCTACAGCCGTCGTCCACAATAAATTTTGACAACATAGCATCTTCTCAACGTAGAAACGACTGAGCTTCTATTTAAATAGCTCTAATTATATAGTCCTCCATTAGCCGATAGGACCGAGCCAGTAGTCCACCTTGCATCGTCTGAGCAGAGGAAGGCTACGAGAGGCGCAACATCATCAACCTCGCCTACCCGGGCCGCTGCAGGCATGGAGTCGATGAGAGGCTGCATGTCTTTGATGAACTGCTCGTCACTTTGATGCTATTGATATATCGGATACGTGACGATGATGACTAGCAACGTGGTTCTACAATATTTCACGAGAAGATACGTTGATAAGATTTGCATACCTGTGGCAATGGGTCCTGGGTTCACACAGTTGACAGTGGTCCCGTGCGATTGTCCCAGCTCCTTTGCCCATACGCGAGCCAGAGCTTCGTCTGCAGCCTTTGTGGCAGCATATACAGCATCGAATCTCCAGTCTTTACTACCCTATTTCACTCGCTATGGCGACTATGCACAAGATCTTTGCCGGCTAGCACGCCCGCGAGGCCATCTTGGAGGCGAACACGAGTCCCTTTGCCAAGGGAACTGCCTATATAGAGGGCCAGCTCGTGCCTCTCAATGAAGCTCGAATACCCCTGCTCGACCAAGGACTCATGCACAGCGACCTGACATACGACGAACCTTGTGTCTGGGACGGCCGCTTTTTCCGTCTTGATGACCATATAATCCGACTAGAGTCGAGTTGCAAAAAGCTTCGCCTGAAGCTCCCTCTGCCCCGCGAGGAGGTGAAGACAACACTGGTGGAGATGGTTGCTAAGAGTGGAATCCGCGATGCTTTTGTCGAGATTATAGTCACTCGTTGGCTGAAGGGCGTTCGGGGGTCTAGACCTGACGAGCTTCTCAACAACAGCCTCTACATGTTTTTCCAGCCATATGTCTGGGTGATGGAGCCAGAGATGCAGCTTGTGGCAGGCAAAGCTATTGTGGCGAGAGCAGTTTGCCGTATTCCTCCCGGAAGTATCGACCCTACTGTTATGAACCTTCAGTGGGGGGATCTTGTAGGCGGCCTGTTTGAGTTAGCGGATTGTGGCGCCTTATACCCGTTTTTAACGGATGGGGGTGCCAACTTGACGGAAGGGTCAGGCTTCAATATTGTTCTCGTCAAGAATGGTGTTCTGTATACGCCAGAGCGCGGCGTTCTGGAAGGGCCCGGGAGAGTGTCATTGACGTTGCAAAGGCCGAAGGCTATGAAATTCGTGTCGAATTTGTACCAATCGAATCAGCCTACCAGGCCGATGAGATTTTTATGTGCACTACTGCAGGCGGCATCATGCCTATTACGGAGCTTGATGGTAACTTAGTCAAGGATGGCAAGCTTGGTCCTATTACTAAGGATATCTGGGACGGATACTGGGCGATTTACTACGATCCTAAGTTTAGTTTTGAAATTGACTTCAAGAACGGTACTGCGGTTAACGGTGTGTGTCAAAACGGGTAGATTATTGGGCGTGGGAATGCTATCACATTTGAGTGCGTCAGAAAATGAAGCCCAAGCAATACGGATTGATGTGAATTTCTACTGCTGTATCTACTGCTGTAGCAGACGAGAAACTGATGGGACAAGGACTAATCTTGACTGAATCTCCCCTTCTCACAAGCTGCTGAATGTGCACTTATGATTGACACTATGGTTCTGTCATAGCGTACACTGTCTCGCCTCGAGAGATACATGTCTCTTGATCCGGCAAAAACAAAATCGGAATGAGATTTGATTCATGAAGTTTACTCGGGGTTGAAGATTGCACAGGACGATAGATTAGAGATCTTTTCCGAGGCCAACAAGCTGCTGGGGCATAATTCTCATTTCCATGTGCACAGGAAAGAATATGCCGAATAAATATGTTTATTTATTGTTATGTTCTAAGGCTGGGAAAAATCTACTGGGGCTTCTATCTTAAGCCTTGAAGGTGTTGTCAGCCATGTTACGATAAATATTAGCCGGATCCGCCAGCTCCTCCTCCACGGACGGTAGTGTCTTGACGACGCGCGCAGGGATGCCAACTGCCACTGAGTACGGCGGCACATCTCTGCTGACGATTGCTCCAGCTCCGATTGTGCTGCCTCGGCCTATGGTCACCCCGGGGAGAATGACAACGTTGGCGCCGATCCAGCTGTCGTCCTCGATGCGGATGGCCTTGCCCCATTCCACAAATTTTATTCGCGAGAGTACACTTGTCTCGTGGCCCGCAGTAATGATGCTTACACCGGTGCCGATTTGAACGCGGTCGCCAATTATAACCAGACTTGTATCGAGTATTGTGAGTCTTGAGAGGGTCGCGTGTCAGTGACTTTCTTCACTCGAAATCATACTTGAGTCGGCTTGACTGTTCATCTCACGCTTCCCGAAAGTATGTGACAGACAGATAGAGAACTTACCCCCAGTTGATGAAGCAATCGCTGCCCATTACAACATTGCATCCATAATCTGGACGGAAGGGTGGCTCAATGACACAACCACTTCCCACCCGCCCAAGGAGATCTGCGAGTAACTTCGAGCGCAAGCTGGCCGCTTCCTCTTGTTTGAACTGGTTGGGATCGATGTTATTGTACTTGTATGTTTTGCAACGGGCCTGGTGCCGGGCTTCGAGGAGTTGGGGGGTGTTGGGATTGTACAGCATCCCCGATATCATGTCTTGGTATTCGTCACACCATGGCACATCGTGGAGAGGTTTGGCCAAAGCGAGGATATCTTGGTCCCGCTCCGTTTTCGCTTGTGCCATACTGTGGATGCAGCTGTGTAAATTATCCAGGTCGTACTACTGGTGCGGACAATAATGTGTGATCATGATCAAACGTGCGTCGGATGATATGCAAGTCTGTAGGATGAGATGTGACGTGGTACTGAACAAGTCAAAATTCTTGAGGCGCAAACCGGCGTTGCATCCCGCACGGGCAAGTGGGTATGTTACAGTGGCTTGTGAGAGAACGTATCTCCGTAGCCGCACTATCCCCGAAACAGTAAAATGTCAGTATTGCTTTTTTAGGAGATTCGGCTAAGACGGACGCGAAGAAGCCCGAGAATTACAGCAGGATTCTACCAGTATCTACAACCACTTACTCTACACCTCTCAATTGTTCGCAAAGCCGCCAGTGCCGCTCTACCGAAAAGACCATCTACTCTCCTTAATACGTTTTAATAAAATCACAGCCCGGTTCACGCACGAACTGGCGAACGAAATATTGCACCAGTACGTAGTCTGGAAAAGGTCCTCCCATCAAGATCACCTCCCTCGGCGAGAGCATCATTAGAAGTGATTTTTGACTTGGTGTTGTTGATGCACGTCCAAGGGAAGTAGCAAGTTTGTCCTTCTATTATTTTCTTTTTTGATCCACTGGAGGAGAAGGGAGATCTCAACCGAATGAATACTGCCTAGATGTGCTGATGCCGCACTTTTTGTCCATCACGGAGCCCCACCAGCTATCAGGCTCTTTTCTGAGACTTAAGGAGCCCTAAAATATTCGAAATGATCACTCAGAAGTAAATTTTCAGCGTAAAATTGAAGCAAGTCATCGAAGAAAGCATCTGAAGCCTGGTTTCGGCTCATATTCACTGCCTCTCTGCAGCAAAGCCATAGGATGCCGCCTGTCCCTAGGATGTGAATATGTCCAAGATATGAGCTGAGCTGGGTCGCGTTGTGATACTTGAGAAGCTCCGAGCCGTACAACATTCGTAGCGGCGAAGCCCCCAAGTTGGCCCAGTGGCTGTTGCCCAGGTGTTTCCGGGCGCAGTCGCGCTTGCAAATGCTGACCGCGTCAAGTCCGAGGCATCCAGACCCAGCCGAGAGCATCCAACTCAGACTTTGCCCAGGTTGAGGCTCCTCATCTATTATAGGGTTATGTTAGCTGCGCAGGGCGGCCACTCCATTGGTGGAAGCACTGCAGAGGTCCAGACTGTGCGCCACAGCCTGCTGCAGTCAGCATCAAACCCTGGAGGGGGCAGAAACTATTGCCTTGGCGAACAAGGCGGCGATGAAGGACTACAAGTGATGAAATGAATAGAGAATACAAAGAATTCAAATATCACCTGAAACTTACATTCAACAGAGATTTTGCCTTCATGCACGCGAGAAACAGAGTTCTGAGCCTTTGTTTTTCAAGATGGCGGTACTATTATGGCAGGCTAGGCTTATTGCCTTTGCAATATATCTGATAGGTATATGCGGGGCTCAAGCTGCATTTGCAAATTCATCATCAGCCACAATAACGTCAATGCCGCCATTGCCCACTGGAGGAGACAAAGTCTGCGAGTTTGCCGCAGGAAGTGTCATGATCTGGGACTGGCACAACGCGCAGACGGCGGCCACCATAACCCACACAATCGTTCCGCACATTACAGCATACCCCAATGGGAGCTCTGTCACCCACAACGAGACAATCTTGGCAACCGCCACTTTACCCACAAACATCAGCGTCAGCAGTACGATGGTGGTCGAAGGCTTCACTATGTACGACTGATTCCTAGTACACTGTTCCCGTTGACGAACGAGAAGTTGCGATCGGTAATGCTAATGTTGACTGGACTTGTAGGACTTACCCGGAAATATGGGCTCAGTACTCGAGCTTCTACTCGGCCGACTGTGCGGTAAGCACAAGCACAAATGTAATTTCGGAGTTCACAAACACATACACCGAAATTGGCTCCGACCCGTCTTGGACCAGCACTGTCACAAACCCTGAACGCACAGAGAGATTCACGATCCAGTCTGGTAGAGGAATTACCCTGCCAGCGACAACCGACCCGGCGCGGTTTTTCTACAGGGCGGAGGGATGGGACTATGATGGTAATAACCCTGCGACGGTGACACCGCCGATGCTTGAGTACCTGGCCGGCCTGCAGACGGTAGTGGAACAGATGAGCGGACAAGATGTTCGGACGTGTATCTTTGCGACATGTGCAGCAACAGCCGTTGGGCACAAAATGGTCTCGGCCACTGTGCTGGTCGAGTCGACGGAGGTTGCGTCTGCGATTTTCTATACAGCCCCTGCTCCTAGCACGAGCACTCCGGCGGCACCGATCAAGACCCCGGAGGCGACTTTGCCAACACCGCCCGCCCCAACGGAGCAGGCATCTACAGCTGAGAATTCTCCTTCCACCGAGCAGCAGCAACCCTCACCGGTGCCCGAGGAGCCAGTGGTGTCTTCGCCACCGCAAGATTCTCCTGGAAACACCGTCATCTCCACAAGTGTCGGCGGTACGGGAGCGGCGGAGACAACATTCGTCCGTACGACAACCATCGATGGACAAGCCCAGGAACAAACCGTGATATCGCCGGCGCCCATCGCTACGCCGCCTCCGGGAGAGGTTACACTCATACGAGAGGTCACCTCAGACGGACAGGTTTACACGGAGACCATCGTCTCCGTATCGGCTCCTCCCAATGTCCAAGCGTCAGAGGCCACCATTCTGACGACAATCACGGGGCCCGACGGGGCATCATCCACTCTGACCTTTATTTCCATCTCCAACGGCGGCGCGGTCCCACAGCCCTCCGAGGTAACACTTGTGAGAACGACGACATCGAATGGCGCCCAGGTGGTCCAAACCATCGTTTCCATTGCCACACCAAATCAGGGCGGCGGCGGCTCAGGAGATGGGGTCACCGGGGTGGCGCAGCAAACCAACGTCCCGGCCCAGACAACGCTTACCAGAACGATCGTCTCCAATGGACAGACATATGTACAGACGGTCGTCTCGCCCATCGAAACGGGCAGTTCATCCGGCGAGACCACATTCGTCAGAACAGCCACCTCAGACGGCGAGACATACGTGCAGACTGTTGTGTCGCAGCTTCCCAGCGGTGGTGCAGATGGTAACGAGGCTGGGGCGGGGACAAAGACATCTTCGACAAGTGGCTCGACGGGTTCGATCTACACGGGGCCAGCCGTTGTGGGCGGAGCAGCTGCACAAAGCAGTTGCATTGGTAAGACTTTGGCAATTGTGGCTGTGGCGATTGCAGCCGGCTTCACTGGCAATTTGTAAATATAGCGGAGGTTGTCATGTTAGATGTAGAGAGTACACAACATTACTCGTAAATAGATCAATAACACCCATTTAATTGACTCAAAGATGACTGTGAGACTTGATTTAATTTAATAAAATCAGTTTTCAATAGACTCATGAAAGGCAAAAAAGTTGTTTGAATTGAGATCCCTTATAACATACGCAAATGATGTGATAAGCTCTAATTGGCTGTTGAGATTCATGCACCGTATAAAACGGGATGTACCCAAACAGTGCTAAGCTTCTTTCGGAGCGTCATCACGTCGTGCACACTTTCTCAGTCAGAACACCTCGCGAAATGGCCAGCAACGAGTTATATCAGTACTCTCTTGCCCTCGGCCTGATGGATGGCGTGGCGGATAAAGGCCTGTCTATCTCCGAGTACCTCAAACATGGCGATCACGGACTCGGCACCTTTCGCTTCATGAACGGTGAGATGATCGTTGTCGATGGTGAAGCCTACCAGATGCTCGCCGATGGCTCCATCAGAAAGCTGGACCCAGACGGCGACGCCATTCATCCGTTTGCCCAGATCACGCGTTTCAAACCCGAGATTTCCGCAAGGGCCGTGGTCCCCAGCAAGGAGGAGCTGAATGACATCGTCAGCGGTCTCGTGTAGGTCTTTTCCCGTGGCTTGTATCTGCTGGGGTTCCTTGGGACACACCTAGTCGAGTTCACGTGAGCACTGGTAGCGATTCTATGGAAATCTCTCGAGGGGAAACTGGTCTATTTCCGCCCGGAGAGGTGGCAACTTGTCTTTGGATAACGGCTAACACCATATTGCTTAGGCCGGGCGCCAAGAATCATCACCTAGCGATGCGCCTGGACGGCCTCTTCAAGTCCGTCACGGTCCGCACGGCCGCAGGCCAGACGGAACCGCGCCAGCCCTTGATCGAGGTCGGCAAGAACCAGGTTGCGTTTACCTTCGAAAATGTGCGCGGTACCCTAATCGGCTTCCGACAGCCTCATTACATGCAAGGGATAGGAGTTGCTGGTGATCATCTGCATTTCATCACAGAAGACCGGGAACGCGGTGGCCATGTCCTGGCATTGGAGAGCGATGGCGACTTGGAGGTGAAAGCGGCGCAGATGTTCAAGATGACGCTGGAACTGCCCAAGGGCGACGAAGAATTTAATGAGGCGAAACTACTTGGCAATCACAAGGACTTGGAGACAGTGGAGGGTTGATGAAGTGGATTAAATGTAATAAATACTGCGCGGCCAACCTACGACACCTGGCCTGGCAGTGCTCCGGAGAACATCACCAGATGGCATGTTGTCTAGAGGCCATCAGGAGGAGCTCTCGTGTCTGTCCGAGGGATGTGTGAACGGATCTTGACTTTGTGATGACTGTGTAGCGTACCCACCCGTGCTAAGAGTTCTAGCCAGTCGATGAACAGACTCTTGGCTTGGGGGTGAGGAGTAGGGCACAAGCACCATTCGATGTTGCTGCAGCGATGATCTGAGGACATGTAAGGTAATTGACGGAGCCAGTCTTCTCTTCGTGCTATCCGCACTATTGGAAGGGCACACTACTACTATCACTGAACAGACATTGCGGCCGAGCAGACGGCGTTGGAATAGCGTTGAATGTAGCCCGCGTAGCTTGGCTTTCCTGCAGCTACATGATATAAATACTATCTGATCAGGTGGGCGAAGAAGTCCTTGACAAAGTATGCTGATCGCTTTGCATATCGAGTCTTCTTTGGTGCTTCAAAGTCCACCCAGGTGACGCCGAAACGGTCCGAGTAACCAGCTGTCCACTCCCAGTTGTCCGTAAAGGTCCAACCGAAGTATGATTTGATGACAATCCCTTCTTGCGATGCCTTGGCAATGGCGGTCAGATACTTATTGAAGAAGTCAACGCGGTGCGGATCCTCAAGAACATCGTTAGGGCCCTTGGGTACCCAGTCATGTTCGCCCTTGGCGGTGGTGCCGTTCTCAGTAATGTAGATGGGCGTCTCGTAGCGGCTCCAAATCCAACGTAGCAGCTTTGCCCACCCCCATTCAGCTGTCCTCAGCCACAGGGTATCGCTCTCTATGCCGCGGCTTTTCCCCGCCTTGTTGGTATCATGAAATTCAACATTGCCTTTGTGGTCGTTGATATCAGCAGGCTGGTCGCCTCTGTTCTTGATATAGAAGGCGCTGTACGAGTTCATGCCATAAAATTGGGAGCTTCCTCGAATGAGCTTCTTCTCTTCCTCTGTGAACGTTGGCAGCCTGTCTCCTAGTTGCGCGCGCATAGAAGCAGGATAGTCCACCTCGCCTTTACCATAGAGTGGATCGGCATACCAGCCGATTTGGAACTCATTGGCACGCTGCGCAGCTTCGACATCCTTTGGATCATTCTCGTCCCATGGCTCAGACCAGTTGCCGTGGAGAGTAATCATGATCGTACCCTTCTGAACAGGCTGAAACTCTTTCTTGTACAGATCGCACACGTATCCGTGGGACACCAGCTCTGTGTGCCCGACGATGAAAGGTTCCGTGCTGCTGTCTCCCTCTGCATTCCTTTCGCGGTAGCTAGAGCGACCAGGTGCATGCACGCCCGCCGCGTAGCCCGCAAGTGTGTATACGCCTGGCTCGTTGTATGTGATCCAATTTTTCACACGATCACCGAATCTTTCGAAGCAGACGCGCGAATACCGCACGAAGTCGGGCGTGTATCTTTCCTTGTCAAGCATGCCGCCGTAGCGGTCCTGGAGTTCCTGCGGTGTGTCCCAATGAAATAGCGTGACGAATGGCGTGATGCCGTTGGCCAGGAGCTCGTCAATGAGCTTGTTGTAATATTCGATACCCTGCTCGTTGATCGGATCATCTTTGCCGCCCCGAGGAATAATGCGACTCCACGCCAACGAGAAACGGTATGCTGTGACACCGTAGTCTTTCATGCGGGCCACATCCTGTTTGTAGAAGTCGTAGGATCGAACAGCATCTTCATTGGTGCTGGCATCCTTGATTCGCGAAGGTTTCTCGTGGCACCAGGTGTCCCAGATCGATAGTCCTTTGCCATCTTTGTTCCAGGCTCCTTCGACCTGTGCTGCGGCAGTCGCGTAGCCCCATTGGAAGTCGGCAGGAAGGGAGCCCTTGAGGGAGGGGTCAAAGTCGGAGACTGAGTAGCTCATGATGGTCAGTCGATTGTCACAGCGCCTCCTTGTATTGCACCGAGACTGAACGGAAGATAGTGACTTTTTAAGCAGAGGGCGGGCCTTACTTGAGTATTTGCTATACGGCGAACATCACCCTTGGTCGTCCCTAGGGTCTGACGAGCTGCATGAGAAGCTGGGAAACCGTCGGATCGTCATCTCGCACGCAGAAGCGGCAAGACCCTGCAGCTTTCGCGCATCGCGCGACCCGCGGGGAAGATAGTCATTCGTGGAACTGCTCCCATCGGCGAAGCTGTGTCCGATGTCGTTGGGCTCAAAAGATGCCATCCGTCGGGTCAATTGGGGGGAGCTTCGGCAACTAGGGCCGCTCTTGCGAAACTGTCCCACGGCCAGCAGCATGGACCCAACTCGAAGGAGGGTTAGGAGATCTTCACGGCTGCTGACCACGTCCCCCTCCCCCTCGCTAGCACTACCCCTTCACATCTGGCACAAATCAGCAGCTGATATTTCAAGATTTAAATATTGTCAATTTAAGCAAGTATTTACTGAGAAGCTGCTAGGTATAAATCATCGAACATTATTAGTTCCGTTACATCAGCGCTTGCAAATACCATAATGATGGCATCTGGGAGCCCGCTACGGTATGAAGACACGGATGTCCCGAATCGTATGGAGTTCTCTCAGCACGCAAGCAAGCCTCCATTGTTTCATAATCCGTATATTTTGATTATTGGAATGTCTCCTAATTACTGTAGGTTAATTAGTCTCGGTGTTGTCGGTATTTAACACTCAGTTGAAAGTTGCATCATCCAAGGCCTTCGCCTGCCTGGCCGGTGGAATGGCCTGTTTGGGCTGGGCAGCCTGGGACCCGGCGACCCAGACGCCTGACGAAACACCCACACATCGCTTTCTGATTCTTAGGAAACATGAAACAACAAAACTTTTCAAGTGACCGAAATCAGCTTCTATTGCAAATTGATAGCGCAGGAGACTCCGAGAATTCTCTAGGACCAGACCCTACAGCCCACCTTGACCGCTGCAGACGTCGACGTGGGCTCTCTGACGGCTTCATCTGTAAATAGAACGGGAGGACATCTCAAAGGTCATATAATCATCGTGGGCACACACATTTTTGCACTAGCTCCCTCAACTGGCTCTTAGATCTATATACATGGTCACAGGCATTGTATTTACCTTGCTATTTTCAATCAATATTTGTAGTGAAACTCCTGCAACGAAACACAAAATGGCTTCTTATCAAGAGAGTGCAGGTCTGTAACTTCCGTCGTGACTCGGCTCAAACAACCGCTCCCTGGACTCTTGAGAAATTTTGCTGACCCTCACTCATAGCTTTTGATGAGTGGGTTTCATGACAAACAGCCACAAGCAACTGAAAATTAATGAGATCGTGCTGGTACAGATTTGTGCTCGAATGCCCTGGTTATGTTGTCAAGGCCGCGCTAGGCAAGATTCGGGGTCGTCAGGTTGAGTTGCTGAAGTCGTACGGATCAAATGTGAGCATCTCGCTGGATTCATCAACGTTTGGGGAGTTGATACATCCTGATCGATCGTTTAGACCCATCGAGAACCATGGCTCGCGACATTAAACACTTTCACTCAAGAAGTTTGGACCGAACAACCAAAGTCGGCTCCACAGCCATGGATAGATGGTGAGATGTATCGGATCATGGACGTTGAAGTGTTGGGGGGAGTGGGCTATTCTTTGACACTGTGGTCATCTAACGTTTGTTCAATTCTACTCCAACTCGTCTAATACGCGATCAGGCACTTTACAACACATTAATGACTCAACTGACAACTTCGACCAGGAACCGCTTCAAGTAGTATCTGTTTGTGGTACAGCAAGTGGCTACATCATTTTTGGGTTCGCGAATGGTCTTCAGTCTCGAGCACCGGACTTAACCAAGAATGCTGTGCAACGTTTGGCTGCCCAATTAAGCGCTGAGAAGAGCAATGTAGGGATGGCATTCTTGGAGAATATTGGAAAAGAAACGGCGAAAACCCCAGCGCTGTTCTGCTGACCTTATGATGATTGCACGATTGAGAATGTAGCACTTAGGCCCCAGAAAGATTGTCAATCATTTGTAGGAAGGCCTTGAACACTGGCAATGTGGTCCTCATAGCTCTCATGCTATAATTGGTGGTCCTGTACTTAGGATACAGTGCCAGTTTTCTCGAAAATTCCTGGGGAGAGTTGAATATTGAACAAGGACACGGACTCAAATTCATAATTTCAAACGTGTTCATTGTGGTTATTAGCTCGCTCCGGCCTCCATCTGCTCCCAGGTCCCATTCGCATACCAGGTCCCAGCTTTCGTGTAGTCACCACTCTCCAAGCCGTAAGCTGCAGACAAGGCATAATATGCGAACCTGAAGTACTCTGGCAATGATTCATCTCCACTCGACCTTTGCCACACAAAAGACTGCTCCCCTTGCGTGGAGCGAAAACGCTCCACATCGTTGACCAGAACACTTGTCCCAGTGTAGCCATCAGGGACTTCAGGCCAGCTGAATGTGATGTTGGACTGTGTTACATTTGAAGCAGTGATGGAAGGCAGAACAGTTCCAAGTATGGCATCACCTTGAAGCGCTGCAGCGGTCTGCAGGATTGAGTCAAATCCCCACTTGGCCACGCCGTTGACGAAGAGGCCAACGAGGATTCCCTGGTACACGAGACTTGGTCGAGTTTGTATTGATGTGCCCGGAATTAGGAGAAGACCGAGAATGTAGTGGTGTATGCGGAGTGATTCGTTGGGTATTGCAGCCAGCAGGCCAATGCACACCCCGAGGCAGACGTACAGACCCAGGTAGCGGATAAGACGACCCTCCCTCCTAAACGCCCAAGCCTGGCCGAGGAACACGACGAATATGACCAGTACAATGACAACCAAGGAAGCAATTGCGCCTGGTTGCTGGTTGATGTCATGGTCCGTGAGCCTTGACAAGGGAATGAGCTCAAATGTGTAATCGGCGAGCGCCGCGACCCAGCAAGGACCCAGCCACAATATGGTCTTTTCAAATTGGGCTGTAAGGCCAAGTAAAGTCCGCCGTATGTAGAGCGTGAACATGACCTGCGCGATAAATAATGCAGGCAGGAGATCACCAAGAGCTGTCGAGACCAGGGTATATACGTCGGTGTACGTGGGGGTAGACGTGGCAAGAGCCGACTGAAGATAACACCCAATCAAGACCGAGTAGAAAAATATCGAAGGTGATTTGGTGAACAAAGACAAGACCGCCGTGTATACAACAGAAACAGCGAGTAGCTGCCATCTGAGGTCCTTGCAAGCCACGCCACTCCCTTTCGCGAAGGTGAAGGATGATGGAAACGTTGAGTCGAATCCTACACTGGCAATACCGCTGCGAGTCACGGCCGGATAGTGACTCTGTTGACCGATGAGAGACACCACACCACAGCCACCCTGGGAGTCAGAGACGATCCCGGCATGAATGGCAGCAGAGCATATGAAGGAATCTGCCCTGTAAACAAAACCAGATGCGTCATCAAACCCGGCATTAGCGTTCGAAGTCGGCCCACCGACCACCAAGGTCTGATATATGACTTCCTGCGAGCCGACGTAGCGAGGGTTGAGCACTTGTTCGCTGCTACAGCTTGCAGGGCACCGAAAAGCAAATGAGCTGTTTGTGAAAGGTTGGCAATCAATGCCATCTAGGCCACAACCATTGTTCTCTGACCTACTCTTAAATTAGCGCAAGACGAGAAACGTCACCTTGACAAGCCCTACCAGAACGAAGCGCCGCAACTAATCAAGAATGGTGCCCCTTGGCCATCAACGTCATCCACGGCCGACGACTTGTGCAAGACTGCGCCAAACGTCGCGATCCAACAGACGTAGAAGACAAGGAGTGCAATTATACGGTGCCACTGCCGTGGGAGAAGCTTGTCCACCAGGCGGAGAGGTAAATGCTGCACGCGAGGGAGTAGTGGCCGAATTTTCCAGGCGCGTGTTGGTTCGGGCCCTCTGAGCCATTTCACAGCTGCACTGGACCTGCGTTGAATGCCATTGGGGATGCGTTGCTTCAGTGTCCTGATGAACGCGTGGCCCTGTCCCTCCTGCTCGTCGCGTCGTGCAGTCGCGCCATCGTCTGCCGGCGTCGCTCGAGAGTCAGCGCTCTTCCTGCCATGGTGCTGAGCAGAGTCGGCCCGCTTGACGCCGCTCTCGACATCTTGGGGCGTGTCCAAGGGAGCCATCGTGGTCGTTGCTTACGAGCTTCATTGATGAGAAGAGAAAAAGAGCAAGTTGCGTACATTCGTCATCGGAAACGCCCCTGCTGTTTGATATCGCCCTATTGAGTGGATCAGAGTGGCGTCGATCCAACGCCGGACATAACGCGGCACTAGAGCACTTCACGCCCGCGCCCGGTGGCTTGCGTACCACGGACTCGGGACGAAACGCCTTTTGTGACCACAGTCCATAGCGATAAGGCTTTCGAGTCGCAACGCCATTCGGGTCAAACAACCTGCGCGAGCCGGTCAAAATTGAGCACCCTTAGTTTTGTCGGCACTTGATATCATTGGGGCCTATTGACTGCCTTCCATACATGTGCATACAATGTACCCTCATGGGCCACAGCACGAAATGTTATCGTCATTTTGGTCTGCGTGCCGCTCAATTACCGAGCGTGCAGAAACATCAGAAGGATTGGCCGCGTCAGTGCATTCCTCAAGACTGCGACAAGGAGTATTTGTTACAGGCTATAAGACTAACGCACGTCCAGATAAGGTTCCAGGATAAGCACCTAGATCCAGCAGAAAGGTTATCTATCACGCAGTCACTGGCAGTCTATAGTGCAAGGGAGTCATGTGCGTGAGCATGCTTGTACAAAGATGCCAAGCACACAAGAACCCCAGACCCCTGCGCAAGCTTCGAAGATATCCTCGGCTCCCGCACCCGCCCAGCCACGTTTCTGAAGTTCCACTGCGTAGACAATTGCCGACGGGGGATCCGAGCCCAACGAACCGTACTACTAATAAGGAGCCCCTTTCGAACATTCTTCGACGCTTCTAGCACTGATGATGTCACGTCACGAACCACACAATTCGTCCACCGTTGTTCGGCCGAAATTCTACGCCCATTCTTTTACCCAGCGATCACGCAAACGTTTCCCCCCACTTACAGTACTACCATTGCAGCACTTCTATTAGCAGCATCTTTGTTAGTGCTTAATAAACTCAGATCTGAGTGAGGAGACTCTGGTCAGATTCAGCACTGCGACCATTCCTTGGCTGGCGCCCTTCTACCGGTCACAGCTTCTTCAGCGGTGGAGATTTTCTCCCATCATTACAAAGCTCGAGGTTGGTAAGCATCCGTCCCGTACACGTCGATATAACTTCTCCCATAGACACGCCAGTCTTCGATAGAATCTAACGAAGGATTTATCTGAGCTGTAATCACTGCACCAGGGCTATCACACGATCTCGCTCAACGACTAACTTGTCATCGACTTCGTCAAGTCTGTTAGTGCAACCTCATAACTCATTTCCAACATGTCGGGGCTGTACCCAATCACCAAGCCGGTTGTTCCTCCCAGTCAGGCCCCAAGCAAGCCGTCTCTTTACAACAAACCAGCTGAGGGCGTGCCCTTTTTTACTCCAGAGCAATCGCTGCCCTCAGGGACAGCTCTTGATCCTCAACCAAACGGCAAGGCCATACCGAAACTCTTCACCCCGATCACAATTCGGGGTGTGACTTTCCACAACCGCATCTTCCTCTCTCCTCTTTGCCAGTATTCTGCCATTGACGGTGTGCAACAACCATGGCACACCGCTCATCTAGGTGGCATCATCTCCCGGGGCCCAGGTCTGTCTATTTTTGAGGCAAGCGGGGTCCAGGCGAGAGGCCGCATCACTCCTGAAGACCTCGGCATCTGGTCCGACGCTCATATCCCTGGGCTGGCGCAACTTGTCCAGTTCGCCCACTCCCAAGGCCAGAAGGTCGGCATCCAACTTGCCCATGCCGGTCGCAAGGCCAGCACCGTGGCACCTTGGCTGAGCTTCGGAGCTGTAGCTGACAAAGACGTAAACGGGTGGCCGGACGACGTCGTTGCGCCGAGTGCTTTGGCGTATGCGGATGATCACTGCCAGCCGAGAGAGTTGTCCCTCAAGGAGATCGAGGAGCTCAAGGCGGACTTTGTCCGCGCCGCAACGCGAGCTGTGGCTGCTGGCTTCGACGTTGTGGAATTACACAACGCGCACGGGTACCTCCTCCACGAATTCCTGTCCCCAGTATCCAACAAAAGGACGGACAAGTACGGCGGCAGCTTCGAAAACCGGGTACGTCTGACCTTGGAGATTGTGGAGGGAATCAGAGCCGCTATTCCCAAGGACATGCCCTTTTTCGTCCGAATTTCTGCCACCGATTGGCTCGAGGAGGTACCCGAATTCCCCGAGAGCTGGACTGTCAGGGATAGCAGCAAGCTGGCCAGTCTGCTTGCTGAGCGCGGCGTCGATCTTCTTGACGTTTCTTCCGGCGGGTTGCACCCAGCTGCCAAGGTCAAGGGCGGACCAGGATACCAGGTTCCATTCAGCAAGGAAATCAAGAAGGCGATTGGTGACAAACTGCTCGTTTCTGCTGTTGGTAGCATCAGGGAGGGCAAACAGGCCGAAGAGATTCTGACCAGCGACACTCCTCTTGACGTTGTGTTTGCTGGAAGGATGTTCCAAAAGGACCCAGGCTTGGTCTGGACCTGGGCTGACGATTTGGATATTGCCATCAGCGTGGCCAACCAGATTGCATGGGGCTTCGGCGGCAGGGCGTCCAGGCCCTCGAGAAAGTCAGACTCCTAAACCTCCTGTGATCCGGCCTTCGAGACTTTAGGAGACCGGAGACTAACTGTTTTGCCAGAATGAAACTGTAAATACAGAAGAAAATAGCAACCTGAGATAGAAGGGGCATCATGCCTCAGATTTTAAAAGAGACGGGTAGAGAAGAGACGGGTGGTATGCCCAAAATTACAACGCTTGATGTAGAAGCATCCAAGAAACCTCAGAATAACGACTTCAAAATTCTCGCGGCCATCAGGCCGACCATGAAGAAAATGCACTCTTCGTCATCTTGAAAAAATGCTGATGTGCAACAGCAATCCCCATATAGCATCGTGCATGTCCTCACAGACACTGATGAGTCCACTACCGATCATCCGCGTTATCGGCGTGCTCTTGACGTGCTCTGAGCTTGTCTCGAAGAAGAATTGGACCACATGATATCACCAGGAAGCTTTCATATCGAACAACAAGCGGCTCCGGTTCCTGCATGAGGCAGCTAGCACGGGGGTGAATAACTACCTCGACCATGTTTTCTCGCGCGACGGCCCGAACCGAGAGCTGTGGAATTAGCTCATGAAGAGCCCGAGAACAAACTGGCTTGCAGCACCTTGAAGGCGAAGTCTGTGCATGCCTTTTTATATGGTCGGTGCAGGGTTACGCGCGGGAATCCGTAGAACTCTCTTACTAAGAGTCATTGACTTTCAGTTCAGGGTGAATGCGGGTCCTCGAAAATGGAGAGTTGACGAACACGCTAAGTAGTCGTGATTTTGGTGACTGAAGGCGCAGGCTACGGTGTCTTGGCGACCGAAGTTCACGATTTCGCCGCAAAACCCCGACCACATTAAGCTTTGAAAATGTACCTAGGCTCTCGCCTATGTATACGCGGCCCGCCCCGGTGTTACGGGCGGTCTATTCAACTGTGATGTGGTGGAGTAGACGGCTCTGGGCCACGGGGTCCCGGACCCAAACCGGCCCCGACAAGCACGACGCAGTGTACCGGCATTTTGTGCCCAAGCAGCATTGGACCAGTGATATGCGTCCTGATTGAGGTGGACATGGACCATATTCCATTTGTGTTTCCAAGGATTTTCTCTGATTGGCTTGATCTGAGGCGCGCTTGACATCAAGCTACTGCACAAGATGCGATTCATTGTGTGGTTGCGAGGTCTATCCCTACCACTTGCACGGGAGCCATACGTGAGGTTGTGACGGGATGTAGTTGGCTCGTACCTACACGGTACCCACATGATATGGATGTGATACGTCTCGCACCTAGTTGGACATCCAGCCCTTTCCCGGGTCAAAGATGCGGCCCGTTATGGTGAGGGGCGTTTTGCTCCAAGAAATCATATAAGGCCCAAATTTCAGCGCGTGAAAGAATTCTGTTGCACCCCAATCTAGTTTCTTACCTGAGAAACGACTTACGCAACCAAACAGCAATAGGCACACTCGGTTCTGCGTCATTGCTGTTGCGCTTTGAATTCTCGCCTTGTCATTATTAGGCTTATCGAAATGGCCGCGTTGGTGGAAACACTCGCCGACCACCAAGCTCCCAAACTGACCGGGTTACTCGCCCTAGTTTGTATCTTGGTATGGTTCTAAGCAAATAGTCCAGATACGGGGTTGGCACACACAAACTAAACTTGTCACAGGTAGTCGGATACCCTGCATCAAGAGTCATTTACAACCTCTTCTTCCATCCTCTACGGCGATACCCGGGTCCAAAACTATGGGCCGCAACCTCGATCCCCGCAGGCTTGAATATCTGGACGGGAAAGCCGCACAAAAACTTGCTTGAGATCCACAAGAAGTACGGCAATATCGTCCGCATTGCGCCGGACGAGCTTTCACTCACACACCCGGATTCGTGGAAGGAGATCCAAGGACATGTGAAGCAAGGTCAGCCTGAGAATGGAAAAGACCCAAAGATCTACGATACAAACCGTGACGCAAGTCTTGTCTCTGCTCCTCGAGACAGACACGGGCCAATGCGCCGTACGTTGGCAGCGGCCTTCTCGGCGCGAGCAATGACTGCTCAACAGCCATTGATCAACGGTTTCATCGATCTGTTCATGCACAGGCTTCGCGAGAAAGGCGAAAGCGGTGCATCGCTCAACATGACCAAGTGGTACGAGTGGGCCACGTTTGATATCATTGGGAATCTGGCTTTGGGTGAATCCTTTGAGTGTCTTCAAAGATCGGGCTCACATCCTTATGTGGACAACATACTAAACAGCCTCAAGGTCCTTCCCCTTAACCAGGCTCTGCACTACTTCCCAATTCCAGCAGCTCTGAGAGATCCGTTGTTTCTTTTATTGGCGCCTAAAGAGGTGCTCAATGGCGAAGCGTTGATCACCAACTACAGCAAGGCGGCACTGAAGAAACGAATGTCGCTCGGCTCGGAACGACCCGACTTTGTGGACGCCATGCTTCAAAAGGGTGGTGAATATGTGAGATGCCACTCTTCCTTATCACCCTCTGATGGATTCTGGTACGTTGTTCTTAGACAGCCTTGCTGACAAGTGACTAGAAAATGACTGAAAGGGAAATGATTGACAACATTCGGCTGCTCACCTCTGCGGGAGCTGAAACGACCGGTACTACGCTTGTGACAGCCACCTACTTCCTATGCAGTCATCCAGAGGTTATGAAGAAGCTAAATACGGAAGTTCGCTCGGCCTTCACGAGTGAGGATGAAATAGACATCAATAGCGTCCAAAACTTGATTTTCCTCCCGGCCGTCATTTCGGAAACGATGCGTCTGCATCCCGCGGCGCCAGCGGCATTTCAGCGTATGACACCACCGGGCGGATCAGTGGTTTTCGGTGAACATATGCGAGAAGGGGTGGGTTGAGAAATTGTAGCAACCGCGAGTCTGACTCCTTGGGCTGACATTTCATACTTAGACCACCCTCGGAATCTGGCAGTGGGTCGCCTATCATGATCCCGCCAACTTCCTCTATCCGGACTCGTTCATTCCCGACCGCTGGCTAAACGACCGACGCTTTGACAACGACAAGAAAGAGGTTTTCCAGCCCTTTTCATACGGGCCGAGGAACTGTATAGGAATGAAGTAAGGCTCCTCTGCTTGTGTTAATCTGCCAGTGTACAAAGGCGCAGTACTGATCTTATTAACCAGTCTTGCATTCGTCGAGTTGCGCCTCATATTGGCCCGTGTCATTTTCAACTTCGATATGGAGCTCGCCCCAGAGTCAAGAGGCTGGGCTGATGATCAAGAACTATTCAGCTTTTGGAACAAGCCTGCACTGAATGTGTATTTCAGACCGCGCAAAATGGAGTGATATTGGTAGCACATTGCAATGATCGAGTACTCAAGGTGGAACACGAATACCGTAGCTAACCGTTTACTTGCCACAATCCCCGAAATAAAAACTGCTGGAATGATGTGAATATGATTTGGCCCGTGAATATCGCCTCGAAATGCTTGCAATCTCAAATCGGTTCTTCACCTCGTTGCGCTAATCTACATGCTGCCCTGGAATTTGGTCCAAGACAATCACTTCCGTGCTCCCAAAAGCTTTCACAGCACATTAGCCAGTCGGGCTTCTCACATCTCATTAAAAGAAACCCAAGGTCCCACCCATGACTGGGATCAACTTCGGTGGTTTGCTACTGAAAGTCGAGTCTCGATTCTGGCCCAACGCGCCTGATTATTTTGGGAGGCGTCCTTGGATTCTCGAAAATTCCAGGTGGAAAGCACGCCGGCTTTTGTTCACGATTCCTCTGGCCTTCACTGGCAACTTGTGACGGCTGGGGGAGTCGATGTCTTGATCGTTGCTGAGGTCGAGACTGGTTTGCCATAGCAGCCATGTTATATCTGTCTTGCTGATGACCAGCTTGAAGGCTAGTGTGGGCTTGAGGGCGTTGGGACTGATCCTGGGGAACGCTACCCATCAACTCAAAGGGTTGAGTCGTCCTAAGCCCTAGACTCTGTTGCACAGGCATCTGCCCTAGCTGTCCGGTGAAGTTGGAGCGCTGCGACGCAGCTCGGGGTTCGAGTTCGTACGGCCCGGGAGTGTGCTGATATTTGGAGGTGGCATCGAGCTCAGCACGGTATTCGGGTCGAGAAGAAACACCCCAGATTTGATGGACTGCTGGACTGCTTCCCTGGACTGCCGTCCCCCGTCCACAGTGAGGGATCTGCGAGTGCTCGACTACCTCATTATTCGGCACAATGAGACTCAGGGCTCTTCCTTCTTTCTCCCGTTGGTCTCTGAGTTGCCTCTCGAGGTTATCGCGTCTTTTCTTGTCCTTCCTTTCAGCAAACTTCTTTTCATCGGCTTTCATTTCCTGGCGCATCTTCTTTTCCTTTTCCCTTTCTCTAGACCTCCAGCCAGGTGCTCTATCCGGAGGATTCGGATCATACATGACCTTAACCTCACCATTTTTAAGAGCTTCTCGAAGGTTTGGATAGCTGCGTTTCCACATTGACAATGACTGGTAGGTCGTCGATGGGCCTTGAAAGCACACTCAATGGAATGGAAGTAGGATCGTGGTAAATGAGCGATTGAGCAAAGGCTTGAACATGCATGGCGGAAAGACAAGTCGAGCGCACATTACAGGAAGTGCCCCAATTAATATACCTTTCTCACTCAATGGCGCGTGTCTCCAAATGTTTCGCAAATACCGCCATCCGCAGTGTCTTACAAGATCTGTCTTGAGTTGTGTTTGCCTGACACAGCTGAATTCCTAGGTATCACGCTTTGATCACATCGGTAGATAATCTCACCAGTCGGGCTCCCAAAATGCTCGCGCAAAGGTAGCATTTACTGCTGTAGTATCACGGGTAGCACAGCCTAGCATCCACTCCTTTATTGTTCTTGAGGGACCGAGTCAAGCACTTTGCTCCCAAATCAAGTAGGCAGAGAGCAAACATGCTTTCTGAGCGGAAGACACGTGTGCTGAAACGTGTCATCGGAACCAGCCGTGTACTGGGTAGGACATGTTCACGGAGCGAATCACTTCACCCAACTGCCTCTTCCTGCACCACAGAGCGAGCCATGATATGCTGAGGAGTTCAAAGCGATTGGGATGTACAAAGCGCACAAATATCCCCACACGCTGTCAGAGACTTGGTTCACACGATCGAGCACCACAGATTGACAGGAGGTTGGATCTGTTCAGGCGTGCTGGAGTCCGAGGGCCGTCCAAGTGGCATCAGAATTCTCCGAAAGAAGGAGGAAACCATATTCATAAAGAAAGAGATAGGACGCCACTAACGAGGAAAATTCAACTACCCAGAGCCTGTATTGAACACTTATACAATTTTGGTGGTGCCATTCTGCGTTCATTTTGGCCTAAAGATCATTTCATGGCTATGTATGCCGCTTCTGTTCCGAGGCAAGTCATGAATAGTCCTCAGTCCAGCAGGGTTTGGGTTTAGATCTAAATTCACGGCAAACCGGCTCCAGCTCTGTTATCAAACCATCAACTACTGGCCCGTTGCAAACTCTGACGGAAGCCCAGGCAACACAAACAACAATCCATTCAATAGGGTGCCGCTGTGTCGTGGGGCAAATGCAGGGGCGACGACTGCGCCACTATCGTAATGGGCAGACTACCAGAAGACATCCATGTGTTACCACACCGCTCGTCCGCACCTAAGAGAGGTCTGAAAAATTGCTAGTGCGGATCCTCTCAACAGTCTCACCTCTGCAAGGCGTGAGTGACTCTCTTTTCCCCGACCAAGGCCGTCCTCCAACCTATGTGGAGTGTTATTCGAGCAAGGGTTAGGGCTCACGACATTCTGGGGCTCCCCCCTCTGCGGATCATGAGGTGGGCCTGACCAGGATTTGTTGACATCTGGACGAATGCGCGACTGACGCGACTCAAAATGGAGCTCGAAGCCCTTGTCAGGAAGCTCGAGCCACGGCGGTGAGAATTCTTATTTCAACGTCGAAGAGGTGGAGAGACTAGAGAAGAATGTGAATGCTGGGACATCTTCCTTCTCCCTCAACACCTCCTTTAGCCTGTCTACCCTCGTGCCACTTCGCGAAGATGACAGACTTCGATACCCTATTCAACATCGCAGCCTTCTTAGCAGGCTTGTCGCTGCTTGAGCGCGGCGCGAAGCTCTTTGTGAACAGTGCCACCACGTTGGCGAAGCGTCTCCGACTGCCTGAAGTCCTCGTGGCTATCCTGATCGCCGGTGCGGAATGGGAAGAACTGGCTGTTGTCTCTCTCAGTATTGCCCAGGAACGTCCCGCGCTGGCTGTGGGAAATGTCATCGGCAGCTCTGTGGCCAACATTCTGGGCGCCTTCGCCCTGGGCCTTCTCTGCTCCACGGGGGAGTGGGATAGCTTTGACAGGACGTCGAAGATGGCCACCCGAGGGCTTCTGGCACTGACAAGTGTTGTGGCTCTATTTGCCTTGGCTGATATCGTATGGAACCGAATTGTGGCGAGCCTGTTGCTTGTTGCCTTCGTGGGGTATCTCTTCCTTGTGCTGTGGACAATCTGGCAGGCAATGTTCTACACCGAGGAGCACGAGAGAGACGATGTCGAGTCCGGGGCCGCTGCTCATGATGATGCCTCCTCATCAAGCTCTTCTTCTTCTTCTTCCAACAACAGCCACCGTCACCACTTTCTAGACCGCCACCGCCATTTCGTGGACCGTCACTTTCTGCGCCGTCATGCAGACGAGCCCAACGAGACCACGACCCTCCTTGGTGTGCCCGCGCCAGGCTATAGCCCCAAGCAATTTCATCACACCCTTGCCCCAGCACTGCAGGTTCTGGGCGGATTTGCAGCCCTCACTTTGAGCGGCTTTATCCTGTCGCGCTCGTCGACACGACTCGCTTCAGCGATCAACATGTCCGACAGCGCTTTCGGCGCCACGTTCCTCTCCCTCGCCACGACCCTGCCAGAGAAGTTCTTGGCGGTGATGAGCAGCTCTAAGGGCCACACTGGCCTCCTCGTTGCAGACGCAGTTGGAAGCAACGTTTTCTTGTTGACACTGTGCCTTGGTATTGCGGCATGGAGCATCGCAAGCCACGACTGGCATGATCACCCGGAGGAGGGTCCCAGCTTTGTGGACATCTCTCGTATCGAGGCATGGTGGCTTTGGACAGCATCTATTGTACTAGCGTTCATTGTCAACGTTGGCGGCAGGCTCTTCTGCAAGTTCGCCATTGTGAGGCAGTCGGTCGGACTTTTGATGTTGATGGGCTATGGTGGTTTCCTGGCGCTGGAGTTTACGATCCTGCGCGACGATTAAAGCAAGGGGACAGGTTTCGGGGAATACGTACCGGAACGGTCAAGTCAGCATATTCTGGTACTTGGTCTACGCAATCTAGTGTGAGCTGGAATGAGGCGGCGACTCGTCGCGGTACGCTTGGCCGGCGAAGTCGACAGACGCAGTGATGCAGGACTGGAAACGTGGATGACAGGAGACTTTGCCCGATTTAGTCAAGACAGGATAAAAAGACGGCCCCGTTGAGGTTGTCATTGTTCTCATAAAACATCGTCTACCCTGTACGCTCGACTACTCCAACCCAGTTCTGCCTGACTGTCTGTAATCATCACAATAGCTGGGCCCAACCGTAGAAAATGGCCTCTGATAGCCCCTGCTTTGGTCTTCCAAAATAGACGCCCACTTTCTGCACCCAGCAAAGACTGCCGTTGTCATAAACGGCTGAGGAAAGAATTGAACGGGAAATCTCCGGTGCAGGCCGCCTCGTCCAAAAAATGAGCCACACAAGGCTGCTAAAAGTAGATTATGTCGTGTCTTTGCTTTACCAGGATATGGCCAGATAACCGAAGAATTGACCAAAAGCACGGGCCTGTCGGATATCCCTGACTGAATAAAGCGTATTACTTTGTCGGCGAGGAATACATTCAATCAGATGACGATACAGTGTTCAAGGCGGTTTCTAAGAGACCCGACGCATCCTCCACCAACACCGCGTCCTCTCCTCTAAGAATCTCGAACATCAAACACTCTATCTTCGATGTCTCGTCCTTTCGAAGGACCATCTGGTTGCTGCCTGGGATGGATTGCTCCATGGCAACTCTGATTGAAGTCTGCTTCAACTGTCCTTGTCTCGTTTGGAACTCATTGAAGACCCGGGTGAAGGCGGCGAGAAATGCGGTAAGATCTGCCATGACTGCCTTGTACCCCTTACTGCTTGGAGAAGAGTATTGCGGATCACTAGCCCATTCCGCGCGCCAGGCAAGGAATTCTTGAGTGCTGTGAGAGGCACCATCGCGCTCCTTGGATGAGATCATCTCCCAAGGGTCAAATCTTCCATGGAAGGCAAGAGACCGGACACCCACTGCTGGAGATAGTTTGGCCAAGCCTTCCACCGTCCACTCAAGCTTCTTGGTAGTATCCGTGGGGATCAGTGTGAACCTTCCAAGCTTGTCTTGATGGTCAAAGACGTACTCTGCCGCGACAGTATTGAGCGCAAAGTTGTATGGGTTTCCGAGTATATTGAGCTTGGAGTTAAACGTTCCGCCCTGTTGGTAGTAGTGAACTTTCTTGCCCAGTGAGGGCTCCCTCTCGAGCAGCTCTTGTAGTACTGTTAGTGACGCTCCTCCGAAGAAGATCACTCTGTCATGTTTCCGGATTTCACTGAAGAGGTAGTCGTAGCTGAGGTCTTTAAACGGAGTTTCGCCACCGAATTCCTCTCTCTTTCTCTTGAGTGCTTTGCTGTACCAGTCCCGAAGCTCTGTCCTTCGCTCCTCAACCTCTGGCCCCTCAGAAGTGGGCATTTGCATGATGGCACGAAAATCGTCGAGCTCTTTGGCGGAGCGAGCCACGAGCTCATCATGATAATGTGTCTTTAGATTGATAGGACTCGCCAACTTGTCCAAACAAGCCACATCAATGTACGTATCAAAATGACTGCACCGTGCTCTCATGGTGGTCAGATAATCCAACGCGACAAGCTCTGCGTGTTTGATGGAATCGTCTCTACTTCCGTTCTTTGGCTTGATACATCGCATAAGCTGAACGCACCGTTAGAAACTCCCGTGCGCCATAATCCGCAGGCTTAACATGCGACTGATGCGATTTTACTTACCAAGTCCCGCTCATCGTCATTCAGCGGCCGGCCGTCGACCTGCCTGCTCTTGATCATCTCCTGAGTCAAGCGACCAGCGAGCACCGTCGTCAAAGGGGGGTCACCACCTTCCAGGGGAGGCTGCAGCCTGCTAACGAGTCCAATACACCGCCCAAAGTCACTGCTTGTCATGTAGTAGCCCAGGTTGACCCAGCGAGGCTCTGCGATGTAAATGCCCTTGACTCCCGGATTGCGCTGCAATCCCCAAGCCCATACCTCAGCCGAGGCCTCATTATCAGAATCTGTAAAATCGTTGAGAAATATGGACAGCAGGGACTGGCCCGTCTGCCCGTCGGTTGATTGAGCGGTCATGGCGCTCTCCAGAATGGCCTCTTTCTGCCTCTTGGTCCTCGATCTCGTCTGTCGCGTCGAGCGCCAGTTGCGAAGCTTCTTCAGCGGCATCGGCGAGACCAGCGGCCGTTTTAAAAGCGGCGCATTTATATTTGGGCAGGTTGGTGTGGGGCGGCCGAGTCGTTGACCAGGCTCTGTCACAATGAAAAGGTGAAGAAAGGATGTGAGGAATGAAGTCAAGGTCGAGAGTGATTCAGCCCCGGGATGCGCCCAAGCTGACGGAACATTGCTGGGCCCCGCTTCAAATGGCTGTTCTAAGGCAGCTTGTGAATCCCTGCCTGGGCCCGCTAAGCCTGTTTGGGACTGGTGCAGGGCGGAGGGGGGTGACACAGAGCAGTACCAGATAATATTAGATTGCAAGAATGTAAATACACATTGATCACCCAGACGACAGTCATCTGCAACCACGTGGTGAATTAGCAAGGCAGCCTGTGAGAACGGAGCTTATATTGATAGTCTATTTCTTGTCTCAGGCTTAAACGCAATAGGTATTGAAGGTGTTTGAGGGTGTTCTAGATGGTCGTGTTTGGCAGCACACTGACAGTGCAGGGGAACCTTGGTGTTCACAAGGCAGTTTGATCCCGTTACTATCTGTCAGCATCATGTTGGAAGGCACAGTTCGAGGGATGCTCCTTCTTCCTCGGAGTGGGGAGTAGGAGGGCAATCAACGTTCGTGTTGTGCTGACCCTGTTTGAACTTGTAATTTGCATGCGGACGGTAAAAGACGAGTCACACAATGGACTGAGAAGCACAGTTCTATCAAGACAGTACAAAGACACACGTAAACACCCATCATGATGGCATCTGTTGAATGATACACCACTTGTCAACCTAGGCTAACCGTGGATAAATCAGCTGATGACACTCCAGACTTGAAGATAAGCACGGCGCAGAGTTCACCCTGACTGGAGCCACGCTTTACCCTTTGAAGTGCTAAGATGGGATGCAACATTAGTGAATGGCCTAGCAAAGTGATGGATCGCTGGCAGACTCCGATTTCAGAAGCTGCAAAAATTGGGCCTATCCCACAACAGAAACTTGCTTGCATCAAGGACGACGCTAACGTTTGACGCAAGATGTCCATTCAAAGTCACAGACCTCATGTAGTCTTTCTTGCAAGGCTTATTGAGTCACATTTGATTGATGAATGAAAAACGTTTATGCAACCTATGCGACGTCGCCAGAGTGATAGCATTTGCAACCTTGACATTTAACACCAGACCTCATGCAAGTGGACAATCTCGATGGGTAGTATTGAATTAAATCGGCACAACGTAGACCCAGTAACGAACGTCGTTTGTGAGACCATTGGGTTGGGTAGTCAGTTGGGTCTGGATGTAATTAACGCCATTACGGTAGTCTGCTATGCTATCAGCCTCTGACTGTGACTGATCACAGTTTTGACCACATGTACGTTCATGAAACTTACTCTGGATATCTTGAGTGTTAGGGTCCTAGTAGCGTACCGCAGAATCTGTAAGGCCCAAGTACTCGCCGAGGAGGGAGATCGACTTCCGCAGTCTAATTTCGCTGTAAGAAAATGGTTAATATCTCAGTCCGACTAATTTACGGCGAACACGAGGAAACTGAGCAAATCGCACTGGCCAATCAGGCAGGCATCTGCGTCAACTTTATTGCAACCTCCAAATCAGTACAGGCCTAATCATTCGATGGCAACCGCAATCTGTGAAAGCCCGTCCAAACACCTCGCAAAAAGAAGAATAAAAGTGAAAAAAGAGAGGGTCGTCGAAGCAAAATTGAAACATCACTTCCTGTGGGAGAAAGACCTAATGATGTTTCAATATTGACTTCGCTGCATTGTAGTGACAAATACACCGACTGCAAGCTCTTGATTACCCATGCCAGCATATACTGTCAAGTGAGTACATGACCAAAGCAGGCGTCTACAGTGGACGAGACGATTATACAATTTTGGTTGTGATTGGAATGATTTCCTGCCATATCACCCAGCTACGGGCCCTACAGACTGATCACAATACAATTTTACATCTGGCGTTATACACCACATACACTATTGGAATAACACCGCTACATTTGGAACAATGCAGAAACGTCATTAAAGAGCCCCGTGTAGCTTACGTCCCCTTGCAGGTTTATTCTACAGGAGATCATCCATGGCTGGTTATCCTATAGCTCTCCCTTATCCTTTGACTTGTTCATCCCAGAGGTACTGTGGCCACGAGGCGGATACCCGAGCTTAATCTCGTTTTATCCAAGGACAGAGACTCGTTCCATCAATTTCCCCCTAGAAGCGGACAAGTCACAGGTCAGGGCCCAATAAATAGCCAACGGGCATGGCATGTCTGTGTCCCCAGGCTTACTGCTGAATGACATCTGTGTCATGAAAATGGAGTATCGCACGAAGCCAAAGCATCCAGAGCATTGCATGAAATATGCATTTGAGGTAGAAAATTATTGGTTTCAATTCCGTAGGTGCATTCATGATCTTGCTGTTACTTCTTCAAGCTCGTCTCGTCCTGCATTAGACCATGGCCGGAATGTCGATCTCAGAAATGGTCCAGACCTGACCTCCATTACTAGACGTCAGACCCTTATACGTCCCTCCTGCAGCGGTAGCAATGGTGCTACCGAATGTGGTGTCCGCACCGGCAAGCGTAATGACAGTATTGAGGTACTTTTGGGCCGCGATAGTCCCAGAGCAACCACCGTCGCACTCCGTTCCTGTACCATAACCCCTCATGTAAGGACCTGACGCGTGACTGTAAGTGCTCAGTGTCGCGCCGGTGTCCGCGTTCGTCACCGTCTGCTTCCACGTCTGCCCATCACTCTGGAGCTCATAGACAATCTTGACCTTAGTAGTCCCTGAAACTGGAGATGCATCCCCGTCGAGCTGACCGAACGAGCCAAAGACTGACGCGCGAACGCACCACTGCCCAGTGGTAGCTCCGCACCAGGAATTATCAGGCCACGACTCTAGTGTTGTCTGGACGAGGTCGCCTGTGCCATTGGACATGCCAGGCCAGAGGAACAGCTCGCCGTTCTGGGTCGAAGGGGCAGCACCAGGAATGAGTGTGGTCACCGCCTTGGTGATTGTGCTCTTAGTAGGACCCAGAGAAACTGATCCGCCCCATGTATCCACCCGACGATCCTTGGTGCCTGTTGGGGTGTTGAGGTCGAAGCTGGATGGGGCGAGGGGGCCAAAGGGCGAAGCAAGCGCGCCCGCTGCAAAGACGGCAAAGGTGGCGAGGTAGAAGTGCATTTTGAGGCACTGGAAGGGAAACCGAGTGTTGCACGGTTTTCGAGGGATTTCAAACTGTGGTAGAGAATCCGAGATGTCAGGCAAGGCTGCAAAAGATGGGATGACATTCAATCAACATGGCTAGGAACAATATGCGTCGTGCAAGGTGATTATATATGATCATGGGCTTAAGCGGCTTAGCTAGTTGGTCTGTTTCCCTCTCCTCTCATAGAAAAGCATCTGTTTGGCGGAACAGTGGCAACGGCCTCTAAATCTCCCATCCCCACTGAAACGGGTCAAGCACCCGAACAGGGAAATCATTTCCTGGACATTGTTCAAGTGACGGCTTCTTTTGGCCTGGTCAGGTAGCGGAGAAGGTCAGGATTGGCTACCATTCCGTATTCATAGTGAATGGCAGTCTATTACGGAGCAGGACAGGCCGGTCGCATTGAAAGAGACGTGGGATTATTTTCCACCTCTAGTTTGCGGGTGCTAGGTATTCAACAGATGGTCCGTCCTCTGAAATTCAGGGGCACGGGGGTATATTGGAGACGCTATTGGGTGCGGAGATTCCCAGGCTTCCTACCAAATGGAGCAACAATCGAGGATCTATGTTCATAGCTGTTCGTGAAAAAAAGGCTTTCTCTGTGCCATTATCGAGATCCTAATCGAGATGAATTGAACTGCCTCAATTCGTTCTCGTCGCAGTGTCAAGCTTTGACTCCTCGGCAGCCAAGCCTACAACGCAGGCGTCAAATTGAGACCACAAGTCTGTCAAAGAGCGTGACGTGCGGAGAAACACATGAAATTTGAGGGTTACGTAAATGTGCACTTCTTCGTACGTGAGGACTCAACGAATAAATTGTTTGTAAGAGATCTACAACACGCGCTGAGGTACTCACTTGCTCGAGAAGAAACCAACCCCTCTCTCTAGGTTCACATTTGTAAAAGGCTTCCCACGTTCACTTATCCTTGTTACATTATACTACACCGCTTTGCAGGATAGGACTTATGTTTTGTATACACTTTCTGTTCTTCTTTGTGTCTTCTTCTATGTTCGTATATTAAAGCTACATATTGAGTCAGAACCAACGCTCTTGTAGTCGAAGTTCGCAATACTTTCTACATGTACAGTGGTGGTTTAATTTAGACACTCAAAAGAAGATCCAGAAGCTTGGGGTATACGGGTGAACTGTTTCAGAATAATTAGCACACGGTGGCCGATGCTCCATAGGGGTTCTAGGTGCACTCACCCTAGTCCGGTGACAGGATCCCAGCCGGGAGCAGCTAAGAAACCAGTGGAATGGCAGTTGGGGTTGGACCCGTTAGTGACATCTGTGAAGACCTCAGGATGTGCGTACTACAACGTATTAGTCGACAAATCAAGCTTGACCCTGCTGCAAGGCAATCTTGGTACAGAAACTCACCAGAGTCGGATTCACGAAACCGAGGGTGCTCTTTCCAGCCGCGATTCTCTCCTCGTTGACTCTGGTCAAGACGGCTGCCCAGATTGGTGCAGACAAAGACGTGCCACCTACGCGGCCCCAGGAGCCCTGCGCGCGGACGACATAGTCATCCCCGATAGCTGACACGTCAGGATATCCTCGACCACCAATCTTGTAGACGCCATCGCCAACAGTTGAGAAGTTCGTGCCTGGATCAGTGTAGCCAGTGAAGTTCAGCGTGACCGTGTCGAAATAAGTTGCGACCTGGTCTTTCTGATAGTCGGGCGTATCAAAGTAGTCTAGGCACATTTTCGTCAGTATACTCAGCAAGATCATTGTCTCACGGGTGCATCTGAACCGAACTTCGGCCCATGAACCCATTCAAGGAATATGAGAGTCTCAAACGTACTGCTGAAGCCGCCACCAGAGGGGAATCTGGCTGTGGCACTCTCGACATACTTGGGCGTCGAAGAATTTCCAGACACCTTGTCCAACTGCAGGGATCCAACTGCAAGAACATAGGGGCAGGTGGCATCACTGGCGGGGTAGAAAACCTTCCCTTCGGGTCCAGCGCAGCCGTTCGGGCCGCCGTCACCCTCAAATGAACCGACACCGTCGTCACCAGAGCTGATCACGACGGTAGTTCCCTGCAGACCCAACTTCATAATCTCGTCGCACTGCCTCTTGGTGTAATAGCTGGGGACATCAGATTCGCCTCCGCCGTACGAAATGCTGATCACGTTCGTGGGCTCATAGACGCCGCATTGGAGCTGTCCTGTGTAGCCACCTGGGTTAGGATCCGGGTACGCAGGGTCGAGGCACTCCGGGAGAACGCAGTTGCCCGTCTCGCCATATGCGCTATAAGTGCAGTAGCTCCCGTCCAAAGCATCGTAGAAAGTGTTCCAGAACCCTTTCAAAGGCGTGTCTTGAGCTGTTTCGTTTTGTTGGTAGTACTCATCATCTGTTTGGAAGAGGATAGTCCTCTGGGGCCAGATCAGAGGCTGGGCGGCTTCGAAGTCCAGGTCGGACTCGACACCAGCCGCCTCCAGAGTCTTGGCAGCACCATAGGCACCGTCAATGCCCTTCTCGATGGGATAGGTACCATTCGGGATTTCTGAATACAGCGTGGACCAATAGACATCAAGATCGTTCTGGGCGTAGTGATCGCCTAGAGACTCAAACACGCCGAGCTCGTTACCTTCGGCAGCCTTATCGCCCTTAGGGATACTGTACTGGGTTCGGATGCACTCTTGTGTGACGTATGAGTCGCACACGGAGCTGTTCAGGGGCGGCAAACTTGAAGCATCGGGGCCAATGACGTCGATTCCAGTGTTCATGGCCTTCACCGCGCGTTTTCCAAACTGCTCGGCCTCGGCACGGCGTTTGAGACTGCGAACACGACCTGGATCGGCACGAAGACGGATTCCCGGGGTGATGTCTAGGGACCTAATTAGTGTCCAAGTTCTCAAACGCAAAGACGGTGTCATTGCAGCATGGGAAGTCCGTAGGGGTACGACAGAAACAAGGGGCCATTTACAATCAATATGGGTCTGCACATGGGCCGGAATGTGATATTCCTCAGCTGCAATATTCTCGGACCCTGTTGGGCTGTGCTCCCAATAATAGTAGTCGGTAACAAGGAGATTCTCGACTTCCGCGGTCGTGGCGTCGAATTGGATCCACTGCAGGATGTGAGCTCAGTGTGCCGGGCATGTAGTGAGTGCATTTGGATGCAGCATACCTGCTTGTTGACTGACTGTGAGATCCGAGTGACGTTGATTCCACTAGCAACCAGCCAGTCCCTAACGACCTCCACACTCTCCTTCGGGGGTGCGAAGAAGTCAATGACTTCACGGGGAGTCATGCGCTGGCCATAGTACGGGGACAGAGGATTTGACCTCTCCATCAGAAGGTCGCGACCTTCCTGAAGCTTGGCCTCAGCCTGTCGCAACCCAATTCTCATGGGCAGTACAGCAGACTTCTTGACCTTCTGCTTCTTCTCCCAAGTCCGGGCCCAGTGAGGCATCTGCCTCTCGTGACGGATATGGGTGCTAGGCACCTCCCTCTTGCTGAGGAGCCGGCCGCCATCGAAGGGGCTGGCAAGGGCCGAGTCGATAGCTGCCGCACCGCAGAAAGCGGCGGCGACCAACTGCTTGTACAGCATCGTGGGATGTGTCTACTTGGCAAGCTGCACCAGCAACAGACAACCGAGTGGAGTGAGGTGGTGTCGCTTGTGGGAAATGGAAGGGAGGACGTGGCCAAGAAGACCTAATAGTTTCTAGGGCAAAGAACCCGCCCCTTGGCAAAGCTTTTATATATCTGCCGTCGCCAACGCCCCTGCCGAATGGGACCCTATCGCGACGACAAGATAACATCGCGCAATTGGCAGGGGGACTCTAGTCTGAACCGAGAACAGGAGACGAACTCCGACCATTCATTTTGACAGGGGTCGTCTTCCCCGAGTGGGGACCTCCTGTGATCGTCATGGAAGCTTTGAGGACGATTGAGCCAAATCTTAGGCCTGGTGGGACAGGACCCGAGCGGAGGCAAGGTTGGAGATAGACACTCGAGCCGCACAGCAGATTTGGCACAGCAATGCAGTGCAGCTTGCTGTCACCTTTCCATTTCGCGCTCGGATCATGCTGCCGCGCAGCCAGGCAGCATTGTTTTGGTTTGCATGATTTGGTAGAACAAGCTCCGGACAGGGGCAAAAGTGTCTGGGGTTCAGGATGGGCGGGTAAAAGCAGAGGAGCTGGAGCTTCCGTACTGGGGATAGAGGGGATAGAGGCAGAAAGCCGCCGTATGCACGATGTGCGAATCATCTGCACTTGAGGACCGGGTGTGGGGACCAACAAAGCTTAAAACTTTATTGCGTGCTGCCCTGGCCCGCATGAATCTGAGGGAGGGGTTGACTGTGGTTCAAACCAGCTGCATGGACCCAGATAGAGTGGCTTCGGCTGATGCTGCCCTGATCAGAAGCTGGGTTGGAACCTTAGAAAGAAGGGGGTGGTCAGAGTTGTGCGTGACCGCTCACTGCGAAGTTCACAAGACTGTGATCGACATTGGACTGCGAGGGGTGAGAGGGGAGGGGTTCAGAAGGCACAACGGCGTCAAAGCCACATACATCTTTGGCGTTGGGAATCCAAGGCATCTGATGAAGTTCGGATGGACACCAATTCCAACATGACGCCACTTCTCAATTGTTATCTTGTGGCACGCCAGTCACGCTCACCGTTCTTTTAGCTGGTCTAGCTGGGTACCTGGTAGCTTGAGATAGCGGCGTTGCTGTCCCCCAATAGGAAGGTGAAAGACAGGGGCAAATGGGGCAAAACAATGCTGTCACACCCTGTGCACATTGAATATGTTCAATGATGAAATAACTTGACATGAAGAACTGGCGCTTTGAAGAGCTCATTTCCTGGTCTGTCAACTTGTGGGGTAACCTTGTTGAAGTGATGAGCCCATGACCCTGGCAGATAAGAACGCGGTTGGAGCCTCAGCAAATCAAGTGTTCTTGTGAGACACGCTTTCTGCACCCCCAGTAAGACCGTAAGGTTAGCCGGCATGCTAGGCCCAAATCAGCCTATATAATTTCTCTTTCTGGCCAGAACACCAACCAATCAGACATCAGTCTGATATTTATCAGGTCTTGTGGTCTAGTGGTATGATTCTCGCTTAGGGAAAACCCTAATCAATAATGCGAGAGGCCCCGTGTTCAATCCACGGCAAGACCCTCTTATTTTGCCACTTTTTCCCCCCCTTTCTTTTTTTTGGATTAAGCTGAGAATAAGTATTCTGGTTTGCTATTCTGATCATGAAGTGTTCATTAGAGTAGTGGTTGGCTCATCGTATGTGTCTGCTTATATAAGCGTGATTATATCAGCCAACCAATCACATAACACGCCCGCCCTCGCCTGCTCCCTGGATATGTGACGAAGTGCAGCACTTCGGTCGAATTGCTTTGCTGATTTGTATCATTGCTTCGGCGTTCGTGGTGTAGATCACAAACTGGAAAAATATTCAAACATGAGATTAGACCCAGGAGCAGAGCCAGATATATTTCATCTCCCTAAATAATATGTTTCAGACGGACTCGGTGTCTGGGTAATTATATGACCCTCAAATGGCCAAATTTACCTTTCTCATCGGATTTTCCCAACCCTACGAATCTGACAATCTAACTTGCACAAGAGTTGATTCGATTTCTTGTTTTCTTTGACCCTAGACTTGACTGACTTCAAGGATGACATAGTGCCAGTGTTAGCTACACCGATAATCTGGTGTCGCTTCATATGGACGGCTTTCTCGACAGGAATATCACATGAGATTATTCTATAAGAAGTCGTCTCATCAAAGTGTATTTTTCAAGAGATTACTTTACAGGTGAACATCATACAAGAGTTCATCCCACAGGTCATCATCTGGGTTACTTCATAGATTATCTTACAGGGGGGGGGGGGCATCCTATAACAGGCCATCCTTTAATAAATCATCCTATAGAATGTAGTTTTATGAGGGTGATCCTCTATAGCATTATACAATGGAACGATATTCTACAGAATGGTCTTTCATAATTCGATATCCTACAGAATCTTGACCCATAGGAGGTTGTGTCACATGAGTTTCTCTTAGAAAGGGTATCTCATGAAAGTCATCTCACAGGGAGATATCTCACAGAAGGATGCAATTCAAGGAAATGTGGCAGTCGGCTCATACTTGGATGTTTGGGATGACTGTAAGGTGTAAAGATAACCATATCAAACCAGAAACATAGCGCATATCGCATCCAAATTCAGCACAAGCAGCACGTTGCCCAGCTCGAGAAGTTCTTGGATCTGCTTCTCTTCTACCGTCAGACACTATCTATAGCTTCCTTAGCTCGCTCTCACCCGGAACAATGCCTACGAAACAGGCTCACGCTTGTTCGGCAATCTGAAGTTCCAACTCCAGTGCTTTTGTGGATTTTGGATCAGTTCCCTCATGTTCCTTGCGAAGGGCGCGTCGGGCCCTCGCATCAGTTCCCCTCTATCGAGGCATCTTTGTGCCGCCTCAAGTGCCAATACTGAGTTCCCAACACCGTTCCACTCGATCGCGGCCCGATAATGCGCTTCATGTATGCGAGTCTCCACACCCTCGAGCTGGTAGAGCTGCACAAGGAGCTCTGCTTTCTCGGCCGAGCCAGCAGAAGCCGGGGAGTAATCGTCGAGATCCCTCCACAGAGCGTGTATCTGCTCAATTCTCTGGTCTGATTTTGCAACCAATTCCGGATCTGCGGTGCAGTGCTTGCATGTGCATTGGAAGCCCCAGTGAGATTGCAGCTGATGCCGCCGTGCGGCACGGGCTTGGAGTGGACTACCAAATGTTGTCAGCATGCATGGAACGTATCACATTTTTGTCGCTCGTACTCATAGTAGGCAATGCTTAGTTCTTCTCCGGTGCGAATGTCGCGAGCCGCATAGACATTCTGTGACAACGTGGACGCATCGAAATGATATCCACTGTTGGGACGACAGTCGTGGTTGAGTCGAGACACTGCGAGTCAAATCGTCAGATTCGCAGACTATAACATGTGAACGAATAGTCAAACCTTCAGTGAATGTGGAGTGGAAGTCGTTTCCATTGGTAAATTTCGTCCTGAAATTGTTCGTGGCGAAAATTTTGTATACCCTTTCTTCAAATGTAGCAACATCATCATGGGTTGACAGGCGGAGATACTCCTTTTGATGTCCCTGCGGTAAGGACTTGATTGCTTGGGCGAGTGCCTGTGTGAGATGAATCGTGCTCAAGTTGTTGAACGCTGTACCATCCACCACAACTGCCGGAGTTCTGGCCATAATCAGCTCTCCCTGTGTGATATTACGATTTGCAATCAACCCAACTCCCTTTCCCGGTATTTGCTTGGCTTCGTAAGACGGCACGGCAGCAACACTTCCATTCTCGGCGTTGACTACCTCAGAAGCAAGCATCGATGACACGTCTTTGAGTATCGCATCCCTGGTGACAAATGATACACCAAGGCCACGATTGAATCCCGGATGGGTGAAAGTGCAGAACTGATCCGAGCCCAACTTGTGGCAGGCATCTCCCTTTAACCAGCCGCTGTCCAATGAATTCGAGGCCCAGCTCGGTACAGATGCACCGATGGGGCACACAGCATGTTCGTGCGAGTCAAAGTAGGGGAAGAGAGGACACAACAAAAGAGCTTCGGATAAGCTCGAACAGCTAATAACTGTCAGCAGCCAGGAAAGTAACATCGCCTTCTGCCTGAAGATCATGGCAGGCAACGTGAGTGCTTCGCATGTTCTTGCTGCTGTAAGATTCCGTTGCTTGGGGGTCTGCAAGGCGTGTTGTTGGATTTGAGTTCGGGGTCATCAAGCCACGGTGACCATGTTTCAGATAATGCAGTGCCCCTGAAACCATCCGACGACTCCTTCTTATTAATCAGACGGGCCGCCAGGGGCCGAGCACTGACCCAAGCATGCCGCATCTCTACGAGGCAAACCCCATTTGATGTCGATGTCGCGTCTTGCACCGTATGTGAGCTCGTGTTCAGATCACGCGGTCCATCATCAGGACAACCATGATGGAATCGCTGACATCGACCGGCTCAAATACTCAAGCTTGGCCGTTTTGTAGTTCGACGCCACCTCTTCTGGCGATGCAACACACAGATGCAGGCTTCACAAACATAATTGGACGTTGCACTCGCTTTCTGGCAACGGTCGATGCGGGGACGTCAGACGGTTGTGTGCTGGATGACAGCTGTGAGCTCCTTGGTCGAGAACCCCTCTGTTGCACGTCGAATGACGTCCAAGTGGTCATCTTGCCCCAAATGAGACTCGGCATGACGACTGACGGTAACGTCAATATGCTCGTCGATTTTCTCGCGCGCTGCTCATATGGATATATATGGTGGGAAGTCCCGACTGTCTCGGGCCCGACGCTGAACAGATCCAAAGTACTGCTCGATTTCTAATTGAACACACCAAACCCTATTCGATTGATCACATAATCATAAGTCACCATGAGCGGAATCACCGACAACGCAGCTACCCAGGCCCACGACATTGTGGAGCAGGCTGAAGTCGAAGAGCAGAAGGTGAGTCGCTGCCCAATGTTTGCGCCACCCACTTCACCTGCGTCAAACTATTGACACATCGACACGAAGGTGCAGGGAGACAAAGCCATTACTGGCGACCAGACGGCTGGTGTGGGCGTTGAGGGTAGCAGCACAGCTGCCACCGGTGACCAACATGCAGAGGGCCAGAACAAGTCCAAGCTAGACAAGGTCAAGGAGGCGCTGCACTTGAAGAAGTGATCGCGCCTTGGTTTCCTATTCGAGTGCGGGCGCTTAGGTGGACGGCTCAGTTGGGGGGTTGAGGTCCAAATTGTATCATGCAAGGTGGATGTCGGTATCGCAAACTGCAGCACTGAACGCCAGGTCAACTGCGCAGCCACCGCTACCGGTGTGCCGGTAAACCGGTAGTCATCAGACTGAAGACGCCAGAAGGAGCTACGCTGTGCTGCCCAATTCGCAAGGGGGGGAACGTGGCGCCGGCGCATGTAATAAGTAGTCTAAATCCTGAACCCCCGGTCATTCAGCCCTATCAGTCTTACCCGCAGGCAGCCACGGGCTTTTCCCATGCTCGAAATAGGATACCTCGTGATCATTCTAATCCATGGCTTCGCCGAAGCTTCCTTCTCTGATGTCAGCTCACGGAGCTCGGTCGACTCAGGATTCAGCCCTAGGGCCGCCAAGTCAGGCACCCATTTTCCCGTTCGAGTCACCCGGGCCGTAAGACGTCGCAGCAGCTCGCGTGTATTCGGTCTGTCGAATGAGAGCGGATACCCACCCCTCAGCCCGTAAGCCGCCCACCCTAAAGCCGAAAGGAGACCCGACTATTCTCGAGACTGCGAGGCGCATTCTCTATCGGATGCGCCCGATCAATCTTTACGCCCGCCCTAGTCAGCAAAGGGGTGGCGGCTGAGAAGGCCGGCCAAAAACGGGAATAGAATAGTTTTTCTGGTGGACGCCCGCCCATTTTTCGACTTCTATCCCTCCTCTTCACAGCTTTCGTATTCTCTTTCTTGGCTATTTAGAGATCAAGTCACACGGCCATCGACGTTGACGCCTCGGCAATCGAGGTCCTACACCGAGAGCATTTCGAGGCTTGCAGGTCGATGGCGCACCCTCCTTCGTATATCACACCGCAAGCGAACCGAATGGGCCGCCGGCGTCCATGGGTAACACGAAGGCGCTGCCAACGTGCCATAATTCTTATCTCGGCGTCAGTGACGGGCGAACACATCGCCAATACGACTTAGCCATGTGCCTGGTGGAGCCTTCGTGGGGCCATTTGGGGGCGGTTGGTGCAGATGAATCCCAGGGAGGATCATACAACCCTGCATTTTCACTCCACACAACATCAGAGGCTCGTGGGGTTGGCTGCAAGTGCAGACATCGTGGTGTCCTGGGAGGGTGTCGCGAATCTATCGGGGGCCGCACGTGCACGCCGACCTTATCCGACTCGAGTATCACATTCGGACCGCGCCTCAGCAGGGAGCGGCCGTTCTACCCGGTGGATACCTCCCGCCGGAGGCGGATGACTGGTTTCTGGGGCACTGCTCAGGCACACCATCTCTCAATGTCCTGCCTGATTACACAGTCAGGAATGAGGCGATGCCACGAGGGAGCCCCGGAAGCATGACTCCTTTGTGAGCCTCAAGTTGACGGTGGTGTGGATGCCTTCTCGGTCTCAATGGTCACGGCGTCGTCCTTTAAATACGGGAGGGTGTTCATGGTCATGCCTGGCTTCGAGTGAAGTCAAACAGATCCTCATCAGCAGCTTAAATTATATTGATAGTTTCAATATTGTTGTTCTTCTCAGCCAAGTGAAAAAGAAAATACTTGTCATTCAGCGGCAAAGTTAGGAGTTGCCACTTCGATATCAGACTCTATTATCTAAGCCAAGATGGCGAACCTTCTTGTGGTGACCACCCAGAAGTTGGAGGGCGTCAACTTTCAGTCGAGAACTGCATCTACGGGCGTCCTGATCTTGCTCTTCGTTGTGTTATATCTATCGATCACGAGGTTCATGACATGGCGTCGACTATCAGCTTTTTCAGGACCCTTCCTCGCTTCCATATCATACCTCCCTATGTTGCGGATCCGACGCTCCGGTCGATCTCATCTCGAATACTTTGAGCTTTCCAAGAAATATGGCTCCTTGGTCAGAATCGGCCCCAATGATCTCCTTGCATCTAGCCCCGACCACCTTCGCCGGATGTCGGCCGCACGATCAACCTATCAGCGGAGCAGCTGGTACAAGGCAACGAGACTCGATCCTTACCATGATATGATGGGGAGTGTTATGGACAAACAAGCTCACATGTCCCTCCGGGGCAAACTAGCTGCTGGGTACATGGGCAAGGACAACCCAGGCCTCGAGTCTGACATTAACTCTCAAGTCCAGGCGTTGGTCGGTTTGATCAAGCGTGAATACTTGTCAGAAGAGTCACTCAAGCCAGTTGACTTCGGCAGATTGGCAGACTTTTATGCTCATGACTCTAAGTCTAAGCTCGCGTTCGGCAAGCCCCTGGGCCTGCTTGAGACGAACAAAGATGTCCGTGGCATCATTGCTATTGTCAAGCTGGCTTTGGAGTGGATCCAAGTGTTTACCGACATTCCACCTCTTCAGAAAATTTTCCTTTCCGATACTGTGCTCAAGCTCCTCGGACCGAAGCCCACAGATAGCTGGGGTGTTGGGTACCTCATGGGAATGGCCCGGGAACTGGTCGCCAGTCGTCTTGGTCCAGATGCCAAAGACCAGCAAGACCTGCTGGTAAGTTGTGACAACCGCTAAATGAGTAGAAAAGTACTAATTGCAAGTACAGGGGTCATTCCTGAAGCACGGATTGGACCAACGGTCCGCGGAATCTGAAGTCATGTTCCCCATCATTGCCGGCTCAGACACAACTGCCAACGCAATCAAGATGACGATATCTCACATTGCATCTAACCCAAGAGTTGCCAGCAAGCTTAAGAAGGAGATCGACCAAGCCATTGCCGAAGGTGCCATCTCTCAGCCCTCAACTAATGAAGAGGCAACAAAGCTTCCTTACCTAGAGGCCGTCATCTACGAGGGACTTAGGGTCAACCCTCCATTTGGTGGCCTCATCATGAAGCAGGTTGGTCCTGAGGGGGATACTTTCAATGGCCAATTCATTCCTCCTGGGACAAGGATAGGACACAGCACTTGGGCCGTGGCGCACGAGGTGTCCGTTTTCGGCGCAGATTCCGACATCTTCAGGCCCGAACGATGGATCGAGGCCGACGAGAAGTCTAGGAGCATCATGCGAAAGCAAACGGACCTCGTCTTTGGCACAGGTAGATGGGGTTGCCCTGGAAAGACCGTTGCTTTTATTGAACTGAACAAAGTTCTTGTGGAGGTAAGCTCAAAATCAAATCATTACGTCAGGGCTGTTTTGAAAATGAATATGCTGACTTGGGTTATAGTTGTTCCGAAACTTTGACTTCCAATTCATCAATGACCCGTCTTCGCTCAAGAATTACCAACAACTCTTCATGGGCGGGTCGCTGCCAATGAGCGTGACACGTCGAACTGCTGAAAGGCCTCTCATCTCCAATTAACGCACGAAGGGACGTTCTATAAACTTCCTGTGTATCTCAATTTGTATTTTAGCGACAAGCTCTGGGCTAGCTTGAACATGCCTCATGAAGGCAGGACGGGGATTATCATTTTATAGCAGAGGCGTTGTGGGCAGGCTTTTCTTTTTACCTTTGATACCCTCAAGGCTGGACCTGATCAGAATGCTGAAGATTCCTTATCAATTACAACAGAATGTGACAAATACCAGAAGTTTTGGTCGAAATCTCCTTATTCCCAAGTGCAATCATGATTGATATGTCCCCCATCTAGACAAGGGGGGGGGGTGGCATGTGCCAAGTAAAAACCGCGGAACAACGAAAGTCCTCTGAAGGTAGCATTGATGACCATGCCGCGTCGTAGAAGTACGGTATGAACTGCTTGTTTTACGGTTCCATCTCCGAACATGGAATGGCAGGATTGGAGCAACAGTGAGTGGGGGCTCAGAAAGCTGGTTAAAGGCGTGATCCGATGTGTCACATAAATTCTGTAATTGGTCTAGAATACAGATTTGGACCAAACACAGTACCGAAATTGCATAGATTCTGGTTCCAGCAAAGATGCAGGTGCCCCCTTTCATTTAACCTCAACACCACTTCTCATAAGAATACTCACAACCCTCCGCGTTATATAACGTCCAAAGACTAAGGTGTTTTCTGTAAGTATGAGTGCAGCCTTCTCAACCTCAAATTTGATCTTTTCATTGAATTTTTTTCTGATTCAAATTCCCCGGAAAGGAAGATTAAAATCCACGCAATCGACTCGTGGCTTTTGACACATTGCAGAAACACGTCGCCTGCATCAGCACCACATTCAAAACATCTCTGATCAACCAAACCGCCACTTCTGTTGATCTTCTAGAGCCAAATTGATGCTGACCCAGATCATCTGGTCCTGTCATTTACCGAGATGGCATTGACACAAAGCATGCTAGCCAACACTTCCGACGCAATAAATTCGGGGGCGGGACAATGCTCTCAAACAGGGAATAAACACGGAGATCTGTCTTGGATGCAGATTACCAGCACATGCTTTCTGACCCATAACGAGCAACAACGTCTTCCATCTGCTATGAGAAAATACAGACACACCTTGGACCTCTTCAAAGGTATGCCAGGCGTAGAGACATGAAGGCCATGGAGATTGGGTTTAGACTTTGCCTGGCTGCATATTAGGCACCCAGTGGGAGAGGACAGACCAATCTGGAAGGTATCTGATAAGTGGGTGCGGGTCGAATATCGGTATTAGCGGCGTGTGCCAAATGATTTTACCCGGACTGTGATTGCCAGCACTTGCACTGCAAGCCCTCAGAATTGAGATGACCATTTGCGATTTGACTTGGGCAGTTCAACGACGAATCGGTTTCAGCAACCCACATATTTAAGGTAATTAATATGTTCGAGTGCAGGCACTGACCTTTATGTTCCGAGCAAAGTGAGTACCCTCAACATCAAGGATGTATATTACGTTGGTGTGTAGGTAGCCATGTGCGACATGGGATTTAAGTGGCTTGAGCATACCCACATGAGCTGCACTGTCGTGGGTGAGACAATGTAGGCCAAGACCTTCCGGTCTGGGAACAATGTACAAATTGACCTGTGGAAGCAAGTCACAATCAAGGTACATAGAGTTGCAATATGGAAAGGCCCGCTGGGAAGGAGAAAGGCGGCAAGGTGATATTCATGACAACTGACTGCTGACTCTATTCAGATATTTGTGATGAGATGGTGGCTCCGAGTCTCTCAGGCAGGTGGCTTTCCTTCCCGTAATTCCAAGTATAAAAGAGGCAGTGGGCTCAAACACCAAGAGAGTAGAGACCCTTCTGGATCTTCCAACTTTACCTTGCTGAAGTTAATCCAGAATGCATATTCCACTCTTTTGGCTTAGCTTCACGCTGTGTCTGTCGCGGTTGACTCCCGTCTCCGCTGGTTTATACCCTGAAGACGCTGTTGATCGTCTCGCGGCAGCTGGCCTCAATAATCTTGGACACTATTTAAATAATCAATCATCCAACACTCAATGTACTCTTAAGACAGCTGTGGAACGAAAAGAATGGTATGCTTCTGACGACAATCCACGAGGATTGCTGCAGCTGCTAACACGTCTTCAGGAGCGATCTCGGTCTCTCTGAACGGGAAGACTACATCAACGCGGTCCTCTGCCTCCAGTCGCTACCGTCCAGGCATGATAGTGCTAAAGTTCCAGGAGCCAAGAGCAGGTTCGATGATTTTGTCGCAGTGCACATCGAGATGACGTTTTCGGTACACGGGACTGTGCGCTTGAATTCCTGTCCATTGCCCCACTCTTACAGTCACAATTGATGTAACTATTAAGACTACAGGCGAGCTTCCTGGGTTGGCATCGAGTCTACCTTTGGCTGTATGAGAAAGCTTTGCGAGACGAGTGTGGCTACAAGGGTTATCAACCTGTAAGTGACTCTCGCTACGGCACAACACCCAGGTGCTAGCATCTCCCACTTCTGACCTGTTCATGAATAGTATAACAATTGGGCCCGACATGCTTCCGATCCCATAAAATCTCCTATCTTTAATGGAAATGCAACAAGCTTGTCTGGAAATGGCGCCAAATATCCTTACGACGGAGTGGTTGTTGGTTTTGGTCCCTCCGGACTTATCCCTGCAGATGAGGGTGGCGGTTGTGTGACTGATGGGCCCTTTCGAAAGCAAGTATAGAATCTCTACTCCTGCACACGATAGGAAAAAAAGACATGTCCTTGAGAGCTTTGCTAACTGAAGACATCCTCAGTATGTCCGTGAATTTAGGACCGATTGCTCCTGGCTCAGCTTCCCTCAATGTACCAGCCAATCCTCAAGCTGACGGTCTGGGCCATAACCCTCGTGAGTTTCAATGACCAGCCCCATAGGCTTTGCCCTGCCACATAGCCACTGTTCACACAACCAAATTAAAGACTTAAGCTCTTTGACACATCCATCCAATTCAAATCTCTCCCTTGTATTTGCAAGACACAGGTCAACTAATCATGTGTCTAGGATGTCTCCGACGGGACGTCAACAAATACAGTGCCGCGAAAACTGCTGCCAATTATACAGAAGCCCTCATAACAAACAGCAGCGAAATAGGATCCTTTCAAAACAAAATGCAAGGAGTTGGCCTGCAAAACGACTGGGGCGTTCATACAGCAGGTCACTACACTATTGGCGGAGACCCTGCAGGTGTAGGTTCAACAATCCTCGGCCGGGGAATATTGCAATGGCCACAGAAGCTGACGGAGAGTCGATAGGACTTCTTTGTGTCTCCCGGAGACCCTGCCTTTTACTTGCATCACGGCATGATCGACCGAGTTTGGTGGATATGGCAAAACCAGGACCTTCCAGCAAGGCTGCGCCAAATTTCGGGGGGCACCACAATGGGCAACTTTCCACCGAGCAAGAATGGAACTCTGGATGACGATCTCGAGTATGGGGTGCTTGGGGACAAATTGAAGCTAGGCAATGCACTCGATACTCTGGCCGGTCCTTTCTGTTATGTCTACGTCTAGACTTTCCGCGAAGGTAACCAGGTACTCTGTCAGTAGCTGCTCAAGTGGGTTGCCAAACACGAGCAGGTTCGGGTACGGATAAGTGTTTAGCTCGGTCATTGGTATATATACGATGCCTGAACGCGATAGGGAGTTAAAATGATAACGGGATATTATGTTGCAAGGCCTTCTGGGACTACATGACCTATTTGACGAAATCATGAGCGTCGTGCCACCGGCAGTCCTATATCAGCACCTACAATCAAAGCTACAAGGCAGAAATGGGATCTTAGTAAGGTAAAAGCAGCTCATATGCGTGTCCAACATCTGATACGAGCCCCATGATTTACGCATTCGAGTCTCAGCACATGTCGAATCAGAGTACCTGCAAAGCCGTTGTCCTGCTTCTCCGACCACGTAAAGAGAAAGGCACTTTTCTTCATCACATCACACACTCTGTGACATATTCTGGTTTTCCTCGCGTGGAATAATTTCCTTCGGGAAAGGTTTCACAATTCTTTCCTTCTTTACACTTCTAGCCACTCAATAACGACAATCGCGCCTCCAAGGAGACCTAATCACACTGGCCGTGAGCATGCCGCACTCCCCGAAAGAGCAGCGTTCTCGGGATGAAGCTCTCCCTGCAGGAGGAAGGGAGCTGAGAGAGCATATGATGAAGTATGCTGTGTGGGAACGAGCGACGCAAGGGCCGCGGACGAATATTTGGACATCTCTGTTTTCTTTTTAACCAAATCATACCTGCATCTCAACTTCTCTACCGGATAAACAGGCCACCTACAGGAAATAAAGAAAAAGAAAAGGAGGTTCCTTAAGACAGTGACCAGGTAAGAGTCCCATTGCTGCCTTGCCCTTGCGAATGGACGAGTCGTGACGGCCGGAATGAAGTGATTCATGTCGTTGGCATGTTAATCATTATTAATTTGGCCACCTTAGATTTTACAAGTGTCAATTACCATTCGTTTCCTCTTGGTGGACTTTGAGAGCGTACAGGCGACTGGCCACCCGTCGACCGTCAGACCGCAAGACCAGACAAATTGAATCGATAATATTCCCTCAGACATCGGAGGCACTCCTGTCAGACACCGGATCCTCTCTTACCGCATTGCAACAAAGTCTACTCTGCCTGGATGGACGTCACAGATCGAGAGCTGCGGATGGCAGCATGGAATGTAATTTTTGTCGATCGCTTTCGAGTACCTTTTGCAGGGCTTTATCAAGACCCAAAGAGGCCTCAAGTTCTCTTTAGAGATGCCTTGGACCAACTTTTGCGATCTACGACTTTAACCATGGACAAATGCACGGGATCCCCTCATGAATCATCCGTCGGTCTTGCGTGGGCTTTATGGCCCCTTGGCGGCTTGTGTTCTGATGGAGTTACAGCAGAAGCCTTAGACGGTATGCACGGCAACATGATGAGGCCGATTGCTCTTGGTCGCTACTACTTCGCCCGCCACTGCAACGCTTGTTGCAATGTCAAAGAACTTGTTGACGACGCGATGAAGACCTTTTCTTGTGGTCATATCAAGAGCAAGTGGATCCCCTTTGATGAAAACCGCAGAAGACGGCAAGCAACGCATGGCTCAAAACACCCAATGTAATTGAGTTTCCGGAGCTGGAATCACACCAAACTAACGAAATATTATGTTGTAGGAATCTGTGTTTGCTGTCTATGTGGCTCCGAACCTACCACCTTCAACGAATTCCGAAAAGATCCGATGCTCTGTTCTCCCAGATTTTCCAACGGTGTATCGACTTCTAAGGCTATGGGAAGTCCTCACACGCCTGGACTGTTCCATTCAGCGCATGAATACACATCACTTGCCCTTGTGGTCTCCTTGTCTAGTATCGCCGCCAGTGACCCGAAATCAAGAATAGAAGTTGGGCTGTCTCAGGAACTGTCTCCTCCTTGTTGCGCGATCTCTGGGAAGAAAGTTTTCTGGAAGAATGGCTGCGCCCCTGGGCTATTCTGGTACAATGTACTTGACCCTGGACCCAACACAACTGTCGCACGAGGTCCAGGTAGTAACATTGGTGGAAAGACATCGAACGACCCAGAAAATACCAAAATTGCCATGTTGGCACATATTTACGAACTTTGGGCGGCAGGCCTCGTAGCCATCCATCCCGAAACATTCCTCGTCCGCTGTTTTGTACCCTCGGACGTGATCAGTGATTACGACGGCAAGGGAGCTAGCTTCTCAGACTTGGAGCTTCCAAATAGAGGGTCCCTCCGCCTTCACTACGAGAAATGTGTCTGGGTAAACACAACGGCGTCCCTCCCTCGGATTATCCTTGAATTGCCCTTGATAGCCAACAACGACAGCATTATCCATGGTACCTTAGAGACAACCATCGAGAATATAAAAGCTCTAGGAGTCGTTGATGCAACATGTCGCGAATACTGTACGCAAAAGTGCCTTCTAGGACTGAAGAATGGCGATCTATCTGACGAGGGATGTCCCAACTACGTCAAGCACAATTGGCCTCAGAGAACCAAGGACTCACCACAGCAACTCAATGACAAGTCCTTCAATTTCCTGGTTCAAAAACAACTCGAAATAGACCAAAGTCGTTTCTGTCAACAGCCTGCCGTGTCCAATCAAGGCCATTACGCGGAATTCTTCAAGGTGACTCTTGCAGGTTTCGGATATACCTTTTGCGCCAAGGGGGTAGCCGTGGACGACCAACACAGGCTGATTAATGAATACATAATGTACCAGAAAATGGCCGATGCTCAAGGAGTTTGTGTACCGGTGTGTCTGGGACTGTTCGCCTTACAACGTCCTTTTGGGAGACAGGCAGTCAGCGGTCTGGAGATCACACATATGCTTCTGATGTCTAACGCTGGCACATCTGTCGAGACAGAACTTTCGATGGTAGATAAGTGCGGCACACCATCGGAGGATGTTTTGCAGAAGGAGTCTGATCGTACAATGAAGGAAATCAGAGACACAGGTGTCGATCGCCACGACGGGCGCAGGAAGCGTCTATACTGGAATGCGGAGCGCGAGCGTGTCTTCTATAGACTTTGAGAAAAACAACTTGATACAGGAAGTCGATTCTAAGACCGCTTAGGGCTCGGATCCGACAAAAGATGGGCCGCATGTGAAAGAAATTATGGAGGGTCTGCAGCCTGACAAGACCAAGGTCTACCAGCAACAGTTGAGAAGTGATCAGGTTTTTGAGAATGCGATGCAACTAATGAAATCCAATTTGAATTAAGTGAACAAGTCTGTTTCCCAGATTTAATTCGCATCTCTAGGACATGGAAAGCCTCGACTTCTTGCACGCCGATGTGGTGCTCCCACCCTTAAGATCAAGCCTTACTCTTTCTGCCTAAGAATCCACTCCTCAACCACATGCTTGAAGTCTGGCTTGTATAACCACTCTAAATCGAATTCTTCCTTATGAATCACGCTGCTTTCTCCAATGACAGCATCGTTAACAGGCATACGCCTCAAATCAATTTGCTTGTTCAGCTCAAACACTTTATCCACGCGGTCTTGTCTGTACGACTGCCAGAAGCTCAGCGCATCCTGTAGATTCATAATCTCACTGGTCCTTCCAAGCAGGAGGGAAAGGATGTAAACATCTTCGAAAGCCTGATTAATGCCCTGGCCGGCCGAGGGTGGAATGGCGTGGGCGGCATCACCAAGGATGATCACGCGCCCCTTCTCTGAGGCCCACCGATCGAGCTTGGGTACGACAAAAAATGGCCAGATATTGATTTTGTCGGGGTTTATCTGCGAAACGGCGTTTTGAACAATCTCTGGAAATTGCTCCTGGCCCTGCTGAAGGAAGCGCACAGCGTCTTCCTTGTCTGCCAAAGTCTTTTCCCAGGCTGCGCGGTCCTGTTCTGATACCCTTCGTTGCTTCCCGATGAGGACTTCCGATCCGTCAAGCTGCTGGGGAGCAATAACGAAGGCGCCTTGCGGCGAGGTAATGGTGACTGGCAGGTGGTATCCTTCTGGTAACTTCAGCTGAGCCGTGGGAACGGCGGCGGTGGTTGCGGCCATCCCGATGAATTCTGGCTCGAGATCGGGGTAGAGGTACTTTCTGACTTTGGAGTGTATCCCGTCCGCGCCAACCAGTACGTCGGCCCTGCCTGTTGAACCATCCGTGAAGGCGAATAAGACTGCGTCCAAATCCTCATCAATGACATGGGTGAATTTGGCATTGAACTGTATGGGTATGTTCTTCCGCTTGAGCTCGGCCAAGAGTGTATCAATAAGAACATGCCTATAAATGCGCAGGGCTTCGTAGCCGTACTCATCTTTGTTGCCAAATTCATAGGTCTCGAGGAGCTTGTTGGAAACATCTCTGTACTGGAGATAGCTGAAATTCCATCCTTGAGTCTTGAGACCGTCGTACAGGTGCAACGCGTCGAGCACTTTGAGGGCGTTGGGAGATAGCATCACTGCTCCGCCAATATTGAGGGGACCTGGACGAGACTCATAAACGGTACAGGAAATGCCCTGGTCTTGTAGGCCAAGAGCCAGTGTGAGGCCTGAAAGACCAGCACCGACGATGGCTACATTCAACTTCTCGCTCGACATAATGAAGCCAGTTATCGCTAAGCGAATAAGAAGTGTAAATGTTGTCGAATAATAGGTTTTGATGAATTCTGAGGTAATAGCTCGTTCCCCTTAGCAGCGATACTGGGCGCATCATGACATTTTAAAGTATTCTCAGGCGTCTCGTTCTGGCTTCTTGCTTAGACATCAAAATGCCGAATACACCGAAATTTCTCGGTCTTTTATGCACTTCGGACTAACACTAACACTGAGACTATTCCCCGTCTAGGTAGAACCCGCTCCTTCAGCACTCCTTTCCTGGGCAATGGATCCTTCGCTCCCTTGAAGCCACTTGTGAGCAGTGTAATAGCGCCGCTGAATTATCAAAGCTATCAAGATCTGATCATTTGTCAGAATCTCAACATCGACGACGGGGGGCTGATGCGAGGTGACATCGGCAAAGTACGAGAACATAATACCAAGGTAGCCTAAAAAGCATTGAGTTCTCGGACTCATTTCATGTCTGCTCGCAAGCTTTTGTTGCGACTGGTCATATGCTGCCACGTAACAATCTAATCCCGATCGATTTCACCCTGATTGAGGACCGATGGCTCCCATCTGCAGTGGTAGCCGCACAATCCAGAGCTTCATTTATGTGATTCATTTGGCCAGGCGAGGTGTTTGGACAGCCAAAGAGAGGGGGCCACAAGTCTTTTCTGCAATTGTTACATTCTCATAGCACAATGATAAATTGCTGCGGCATGCTAGTCATGATACTCAATGATTCGATAAGGTTCATGGATTTGGCTATTTTGTTCCCTCATACTTCCCATTTCGCAGAATAACACTCCAAGTCTGCCACAACCCAAGTCTGCGGATTCTTTGATTTCCGAGCATTGATGATCTCCCTTCGAACCGCTAAAAACGCCGTTTCTGTTGTGCTTAAAAGACTCTCAGGGCCAGAGACGTACATCCAGGCTTTACGACTAATTCCTGGGGCAGCATGGCGTCCTTGCCCCTCCGAGAGAAATATCCGGAGACAACCCTCCGTATCTAAGCGACCGGACTCAGAGCTGACATGGACCCGGAGACTCATATTTGGGACGGAAGCAACCATTTCCTCTAGCTGCTGCCACTCGCGAATGTTGGTCGTACTGTTGTATCGCACTGTCCATACCAGCTGGAATTCTGCCAGGGCATCTTGACATCGGTGTTTCAACCACCACACAGCGAGGCTGTACGCCCCAGTAAGCCCTGTGCCGCCAACTATACAAATTACTTTTGAGGCGACCGTGAAACCGACATCGCTTGGGTAGTATGGGCCCTCAACCCTCACTTCAAGGTCTCGTCGGCTCCCAACTTCGGGCACAATTGCACCAAGCTTCCAAGTCCACTCTTTTTCTAGCTTCTTGGATATTTTGCCTTGTGCCCGTTGCAGGAGGAAGCCAGGGCCCTCTGCCCCAGCGCCAACCTGAGTGGCTGTGAAAGAGTGGTTCTGTGTCTTGCTGATTTCTGGAATGACCAAGCTGTAAGACTGCAAGGGGTGCGTGATTGTCGATTCCTTTTCCACGGCACACGTCTCATCGATCATCTTCGACGCGGCGGGCAGACTTATCCTATACCATCCGTCCCCAGCGTTTTCGATTGTTCCAACGACCTTTTTACCCAAGCCGCCACTGTGACCTCGGAAAATCCTCCAGCACCAATCAATAACCCACAGTATAAGTCCAGGGAATAGGAAGTAGAAGTCGGTGCTAGCGTGTACGCTCAATGCAACAAAAGCCCAGAAGCTACAGATCAAATGAACGTAGTAGAAAGTGTTGTAGCTCTTGCGTCGCAGAGCCGGAAGCGAAGTGATGATGATTGCAATCACCAGCAGGAAACCTATCATCCCAGACGGCAATGTAGCATAGTACCACCCACTGCCATGTTCCGCTTCAGCCATAGTTTGGGTTGGATTGTCGATGTTGAAAGCTTCTTTTCGCTCTGACGAGGCCGGGCGATACGCGCCGACAAAAGTCTTCCACAACGGTCATCAATGAACGATATCCGGATGAGCGAGATCCCATGACTTACATAATATGCCGCTCCATGTGCGAGAGCCGCAAGGAAAAGTACATAAGCGATCAGTTTGTGCGCATACAGGAGCGTGCTCTGGTGCAGCTCGAACGCTTGGCCAAGGAAACTGTTTCTGGACACTGGTATTATGACCAGGCCCAGCAGCAAATCCGCATGGTGCCCAATGATTCCAGTCACAGTGAGGCGTAATTGTGCAGTTGCCCAATCCAATGGATCCGACCTTCTCGCCCAGTACTCCAACAATGGCCCTACCCAAAATCCCGTAGTCGCAAGACTCAGTCCAACAAGCCAGACCGAGATGACGATTCCACCAAGGCTGACGCGCTTCCCGAGGATGGGAAGTCCATGCTGAATGATGTAAAACTTGCTTGCCTGTCTGGCTTTAGTGAAGGTAGCGCGCAAGTATAGCATACTGCCAGTGCTGGCAAGTATGGAGAAGAACGTTACAATATGAAGGCGTGTTTCATATGGCAGATAGGATTCGGAGCAGAGGGAGGCATAACAAGGGGCATAGGTGAGTCCAAGTGTGAATCCGGCGGAGATGACAAGGATGACCAAGAGAGCGAGGATTTGATCACGACGCTTCATGATCGATATGGACATTCAGGCACAGATAGACTCGATCCAGGCGCGGCGGAGTCAGTTCATGCTCCCTGTCATACATGCTTTCTTCGGGTTCGAACAATACTTTACGACTTGCATGCTCATGGCTTTAATGTAAATTATCAGATCGCCAGTCAGCGCTTAAATATTCCGCGGGAAAACTACTCGATATCCTTTGTCTACTGACCGTTGCTCGATGGTTTTGGGCTAGTGATTATTACGTCAATGACTCCCTGATCCTGCGGGCGACTTTAAGTGCCCAACCTCTAGTCCCTGAGACAACCGCGCCAGGGCCCCTTTATCGCTCGCTAAGGCACGGCTCCAAACAGCTGGGTCACGCTTTTTTTAACAGCGGCCTCTCCTAGTAGATCATCTTATAGAGAAGTATGTGTCAAGAAAGCAGGCTTCAGGGTGGTTTTTGAAGCTTTAATAAGCAACCGCATTCGCCAGTTTCGTGCTCAGAGTCCACGGAATTGACGTGGTCACTTGACCTGCAAACGGTTGCGACTGATATCCCTTACATTTTCATGCCTTGAAGTCTCTCCTCGAAAATTGATTTAGACTTGCACAGAGAGCTGACAGTTGCAAACATCAGGACTGTGCCTGGCAGACGGGCGAGTTGATGTTTCCTGTAGTGAGGCTGGACCTTAGAATTCGACAATAGAAATCTGTTTATCCTTGAATCTTAGCAGTTTAGAAGTTTAAATTTATCTAAATTATTTATAATAATAAAGTCAAGGCTAGTAAATATAAACACTGTTATTATAATGCTAAAGGCTTACCCGATTAAGCTGGTGTATTTGGGTGATGAGGATTATGGAAGCTTAATTCTTTAGTTATAATGGAGGATATTCTATCACACACATCCATTCGAGCGCCTCATCTATACGCTTCACGATTAGCTGGAGCTTGTCGCCGTGCTAAGCTGCATTATACACAATCCACCCTGACTGACCGTAGTGTATTCTTCAGCGGGCTTCTACGGTCGTGATCAATACAAAAAGCAAACCAACAGCAACGAAGCGTTCACTGATAACAAGATTCAAATCCATTACTAGCGAATCTTTATTGTTTCTCAAAAATGCTGGAAGTTGGAAGTCAGAAATCTAGAAAGCCAACAGATAGAAATCAGCTGTAGATGGCAGCACCTCGCAGCTCATTTGTTCTTATAGCCTTTTCTTGTACCACATTACTGCGTGACTCGGTGGAAATCACCCATCCGTGTGCGTTGGTCAATATACAATCAGGCCTGAACGTTCCGTCACGTATGACTTTGAACATGAGCCGCTTATACTGCTGGTCCTCTTCAATGAGGCAGAGATCACGGCGATGGTTCAAATGAGGAATATCAGCCGTAATCAGGTCCACGTCCCCCGACGACGACGACAAATTCACAGTGAGCTCCTCACCTACCACTGCCTTGAGGGTATAAACGAGGGCATGAGTCAGCATGAGTGCATCCCTGACTTCCGTCAGGGTATAGCTGACAACTCCCCACTGGTTCGTTAGGATGTCGCCGGCGGTTCCTGAGCTGGGCTTGTTCTCTGTCTTGTACAACGTCGTCTTCGCGTCGACGTTGGCTGCCACGTAGCGGTCCCTACTATTTGCTCCCACCTTGGGACCGCTTGTTAGGTCCAGAACTAGAAACCCAACGAATTGTGTCCCGCAGTCAACATCACAGCGCATTAGTTGCCACGGAGCTAGATGAATGATAGTGGCCAATTTGTTTTGCTGATGCCAGGCCACGGGCTTCACGGATTCATAGCTATTGGCTTGATGTGAGTAGGCAATGAGAGAAGCAAAACAAAGTGAATACTAAATTGATACTCGTCGCAGCTGACGGCACGTGGCGGCCAGTCATTCAGCCAGGTGATGACGAGAATCTTGGACCAGTCGCTGTCCTACGTAAGAAACCATACAAGTGAGACGCTTCCGTAAAGGTGGTAAAGATGACTATGACAGAGCATCTTATATCAAACTAATATTTTTATTATTTATCTCTTTAAGCCCTTTCCCTCATTAAATGTTGTTCTAAAAGAATTATACATTACATCTTACTTTATCATTATAGTATGATCTTTCTAAGAGACATCTAACACTACAGCACAGCAAATCATATTAGCTGCTCGAAATGAGTCTAGAGTGGCTTGGTCAGCAAAATCACAAGTTTTAAGTGGTAGACTACTGCAAATAAACTTAGCGTGCCCAGACTGCAGGTGTCCGCCGAGCAAAGCTTGTGAAGCTTGTCATGCTGTCCCGATGAGCTAAGCCTGTAAGGGTACTTCTCAGCGCGCATGAGGAAGTGGGTACTTGGGAACCGCGGTATAACGTCACCGCTGCACCTGTTGTCAGAGTTATTACTAACAACATGGGAGAACTACGGCCTACACACGTGTGTACCTCCAGTGGAGCAGTTCATTAAGGACTATTGAGTTCCTGTCGGATCTGGCGCTGCCGTCTGTGTCAACTGGTGTGTGACTGACTCCCTTGAACCCCGCGCCGTGCAGGACCCCGACGCACTCAATCCGGAAATCGGCCTAGAGTCCCTGATAAAGGTCAGCCCGAGCCATTCTCTTCTTGGCAGGTGTTTGAACAGGTTGGACGCTATCCTGTGCTTGCCCGGGCTGTGTATAGGGTCTGTTGGTTAGTGTTAATGGTCCCGTGCTGATTTAAGCAATGACTCGACAATCATTCGTCATCCAGCGACTCCTTCCAACCCTAAGCTTGATAACACACCCTGGGTATTTGATCCTTTTGGCGCGCGGGGAAGGGTTGGTGGTGCTGTGGCGTCTTGATTTAAAGCATGGCATTGGTCGATTGTGGCATTGGTCGATTGGCGATATGACCATGACGATAATGGCCCCGGAGGGCAGGGGCCGGGATGAGCAACCCCGGTTTGGGCCACCTTGGAAAGCTTATCTGGGTCACTCTGGGTGTCAACTCGCAGGCCCAGGTTCGTGCAGCTTGGGAGAACAAGCGCTGGCCATATAACTATCGCGTCGATCGCGCCGAGTCTCTCGTTCTGCCCTGTCCTCGCGCTTCCTCCTGCATCTCGCGTCTCCAATTCCATTGGCCTGTTCGGCATCGCATTGAGGCTACGGAAGCTGTTGGCTACACCTTGGCTACTTCAATATGCCGTTTAGCATCCGGAAACCGTTCGCCCGGCGGACGACTGATCACCCCGTGATCGAAGAGACTGTGCCCGGCAACGTTAACCAAGTCGACGCTGATGGGAAGGCTGTTCCCCCGATCGACAGCTCTGGGCAGGACGACGGTGCTATCTCTTCAAGCGTAGATCAGCTGAAGAAATTTAAGAAGACGCATCAATGGGACTACAATCTTGACTATGACACTATTGTACGTTCTTCTATCCTTCTATGCGAGTATACGATTGCACGTCAACGCCGCTCATAACCGCTCGTGGGCGACGATGTGACCTGTAGACCCAGAAGAGGACCACAGCAGGCCAGGCGACAGCGAATGGTTCTTGGATTTTGTTTCCAACGAGATCAATGGCAAACGCTTTAAAACGAGTCGCGAGTGTTATTGATGCTGACCGATGGACAGGAAGCTGCCACCAAGGTTGCCGAAACCGACGATGTCGAGAAAAAGGCCAACTTTGAGCATGCCTTGCTTGAGGAGGACTCACCTTACTTCGAAGTTAGGGCCACAGTACGGAACTACGACGAGGAAATGCCTGCAAACACCATCAGGGCCTGGATCATTGGGCTGACAGCGACTACGATTGTCTCTGCCGTCAACTTGCTGTTCTCTCTTCGCAACCCCTCAATCAGCATCTACGTCTACGTCGTGCAGTTGCTCGCGTATCCGGTCGGATGCGGGATGGCTCGTGTAAGTCTTTGCATATCCTCTCCGCATAAAGATACGGTATCTCACAAGCATTCCATGCAAAGGTCCTACCGAACCATGAATTCAATACGTTCGGCTTAAAATGGAATCTCAACCCCGGCCCTTTCAACATGAAAGAACATGCCATCATAGTCATGATGTCGTCGGTATCCATTCAGGGAGGTGTCGCATATGCCACTGACGTCCTCCTGGCTCAGCAAGTCTTCTATAAGCAGAATTTTGGCTGGGGCTTCCAGATGCTCCTAGTGCTCACGACACAGTGTGTCGGGTTCGGCATGGCCGGAATCGTGCGCCGATTCTTGGTCTGGCCCGCCGCAATGATCTGGCCCCAGACCTTGGCCCAGACGGCTCTTATGTATACTCTCCACGATCACAAACCGACAGATCCCGGTACGGCCAATGGCTGGAGCATTGGTAGATACCGGTATTTCCTCTACGTTTTTGCCGGGAGTTTTACATGGTACTGGTTCCCAGGTTGGATCGCCCAGGGTCTCACCTATTTCGACTGGATCTGCTGGATCGCGCCTAATAACATGGTTGTCAACCAAATCTTCGGCAACAATGCCGGCTTCGGTCTTGTAAGTGGAGTCATATATAAGACATCCCTTCCCAAGCACTACTACCGTTTGTCGGGCCACAGCTGACCGTACAGCTCCCAATCACATTTGACTGGACTATCATGACTGCCTTCATTGGCAGTCCCCTACCCTACCCACTGTTCTCTATCGTGAACACGCTCATCGGTGTCTTCATCTTCTTCTTGGTGGCCGGGCTTGGCGTCTTCTACACCAACACTTGGTGGGTTCAGTACCTGCCAATTGCGAGCGTAAGTCAATCGCCGTCATGGTTTCCACCCTTCCTACGTCAAACACTCACTTATGTATGTGACCAACTTAGACCCACTCTTTCGACAACACCGGTTCGGCGTATAATGTGACAAAGATCCTGACCCCCGAGAAGACACTTGATGTCGCCGCTTACAAGGAGTACTCGCCTCTCTTCTTGGGGACTTTCTTCTCCCTCACCTACGGTGTCTCTTTCGGTGCCCTATCATCCGTCATCGTGCATACGATCATTTTCCACGGTCCCGAGATCGTGGAACGTTGGAGATTGGCGCGAAACCAGGATGCTGACGTTCATCTCAAGATGATGCGCAAGTATAGAGACACACCAAATTGGTGGTACTATGCATTGTTTGCTGTCTTGTTCGCCTTGTCCCTCGTTACGGTCCTGGTCTGGGACACCCATCTGACGTGGTGGGCGCTGATCATTGCGTTTTTGCTCTCCATTGTCTTCCTCGTCCCCATCGGCATGGTTCAGGGCATCACCAATACGCAGCTTGGACTCAACGTGCTGACCGAGTTTATTGTTGGTTACATGCTTCCGGGACGACCAATAGCCATGATGCTCTTCAAGACTTTCGGCTACATCACAATGGCTCAAGCTCTGTACTTTATTCAGGATATGAAATTCGGTCACTACCTCAAAGTTCCGGTAAGTTTACATCCGACTTATCCATTTCGTTTCCACTACTCTAGCCATTGCTAACTGGGCTGCCCTCTCCCCGACAGCCGCGTATTACGTTCACGGCGCAAGTCGTTGCTTGTATTTGGTCCTGTATCGTCCAAGTCGCCGTCTTCAACTGGGCTCTGGGCACTATCCCGGGCATCTGTGAGTCGGACCAGCCCAATGGCTACACCTGTCCCGGTGCTAGTGTTTTCTACACTGCATCCGTTGTGTGGGGTGTCATCGGCCCGGCGCGCGTGTTTGGCGCCGGTGGCATTTACTCGTCTCTCCAATGGTATTGGCTACTCGGCGCTGCACTTCCTGTCATTACCTGGTTCCTCGCGAAACGCTTCCCGCGTAGCAGCATTCGGTATCTGCACTGGCCGCTTATCTTCGGCGGTACCGGCTGGATCCCGCCGGCTACAGTGTATATCTACCTGTGCTGGGGCGCGGTTGGCGTCTTCTTCAACGGCTTCATCAAGCGCCGTTTCAGGGGCTGGTGGGCGAATTACAACTACATCACGTCGGCGGGCCTCGACACGGGCTTGTACATTTGCACGTTGCTCATCTTCTTTGCCCTTATCCTGCCCCAGAAGGTCAACCCTCCACAGTGGTTCATGAACCCGCCCGCCGACGGCAACCCGAATATCACCAACGCCTTCAACAATCTGGATACACAGGGTGCTTCAATTCCACTGACCGTCGCTGATGGAGAAACTTTCGGGCCGACCACCTGGAAATAAACATACTCTTAGGAGCTTGGGATGTTGTCTATTGTTCAGAAAGGCACCAACAAATCTTGACCCGCCTAATCGCAGTTGAAGGCGCGGTGTAACATCGATATTGTAGACCAATTTATTCTTGCACTTTCTTGGAGACTGCTAAGACGTTGCTGGAATGTAGCATGTGCTAGAGGGCTATGGGGAGGTTGTTGAGCCATTCACTGTGCCAGCATTAACAAGGCTCCTTGACTTAATAACGAGGCAAGCATTCGCCATCAAATATGTTATTCAAATATACAGAATGCCGAGCCTGCCAGTTGGTTTTAGAGGTACCCTTTGATACGAGGAGGCTTGCCTTTGGTGTTGTGACTACTCGAGCCTGCCCAGCCTCTGGTCTCTGGAGGACCTGCGCCAAAGGCCCTAGATCGCCCGCTAAGGCACGGCTCCAGACAGCCGGGTCGCGCTTCTCCTCGTATTAAAAAGGGGGGTAGAAATCTTGCCGGAAAAGCTGTAGTGTGCGATCGGCTGGAACGGTTTTCTGCTCCAGATAAGCCACAAGCCACAAGCCACAAATGTCGGTGGTTGGGTGGTGGCTTTGAGAAAGGTAGGCAGGTGGGTAAGGTTGAGAAGCGCTCCAAACTACTCCATTCCCCACTGTCTGAATTCTCGAATCCTTTGATGCAAACGCGTCATATTCTCATTTGAGACTTGATACTGGACCTCCCTCAGCTGCGAATGTCAAATGTAGTCAGCCATATATGCACTCTGCATGTTAAAGAGAGAGTTAATGAGTACTAACAGTCATACCCAGCTCAAGCTCTCCTATAAATGCGCACAGAAGTTAGTGTCCATGCTGTGTACAAGAGCCATATTTTTAAAGAGTACATACTATTGTCTTCTTTAAGAGATCCTTCAGGATAGGTACGTGGTGCCTGTGGTTACGCTCGAATCGAAAGAATGGGACGCGTTCGTTGGAATAGAAAGTTTCCAAGAAATGAAACCTCTCTCCAGGGGGGACCCGTGCGTTCAATTCGCCGCCAATCCCTTGTGTGCGAATGAAAAGCTCACTCGAAACCACAACTGGGGGCCAACTTTGCTTGTGGAAAGTGGTGATTGGAAGTAATTTTGCAGGTGCGGATTCATGGCCCATTGGCACGGACGAATGACCTAAGGTCAATCGTGTGGCAGAGCTGGGTCAGGAAGGCCTGCGGCTGAGCGCCGTAGAAAGCAGGCAGTCTCATGTTGCCCACGTCGGTCCATTTCGCCTCGAGAATTCGGGGCTCGAAGCCGATCTCGCAGAGCTCGCGCCAAATCTTGTCCAAAATCTCGTTGGGAAGCTGAGACATGGTGGATGTCGCGGGTTGGTGGTGCTGTGTGCCTTTTTTGGTGTGTCAGAGGAAATCGATTCATCGCCGCGGATTGCAGCTATCTCGACTGGTTGAAGATCTTCACGTAAAGATTCGAGACTGGTGCTTGGCTTAGTTGGAGTGGGACGGGGTCCCAAACGGAATTGACTTGACTAAGTTGGTATTTGGACTTTGGCCAGTCTGACTGCAGTGCTTGGGGGGCAGCTAGATGCGCGCTGAAGATGCCACTGATGAAACAAACGGCGGAAGTGTCTTTGATGTCTTAAAGTAGCTTAAGCAGCCTGTGCGCACTTTTTGAAAGTCGGTCGTCCTATCTTCGAGGCCCTGTGAGCTAACAGTCCACCAGGCAGAGATGGCGACCTCAACTTCATCGACCATCGTGTGCAAAACGTACGCGGTCTGGCAGTGTCTATCTGGATTTTTTCTCGATTTTACCAAATTCCCGTTTCTATGTCTCTGTCTGACTGAGCAAGGGGCCTTGACGGTGGCTATCCGTGGGGACCACCCTGGAACAGCAGACTATCATGAGGCTTGTCAAAAGGTACACAGATATAGAGGGTACAGTATTCTATAAGATATCAATGTTCACATTGACTCCTATCCTGCCTTCGAGAAGAGGTCCCATAATGCAGCTGAGGATGCCAAGAAACGCTGCCATAAGCCGCACCACGGAGTGCTTGGAGACACGCTGCCTGGGAAGCATCCACAGACATGAAACTCGACCAATACAGGCTCACTCTGTCCAATATCTGTGAACTTCTGCCATAGATTTTCTCGTACTGAATGCCTGAAAACATTCACGTACATATTCAATTGCCCGGATCTCCGAATTAGACGTCATAAAAAGGCCAACCCAGAACTCGGCAGGTGCATACTGCCTCGCATCGGGAACAACGAGCTCAAGCTCGGGTGTCCGTTTCGCAGCCATAGTATCTTTGTGGTGAAAAAGTATCAGAAAGACCAGGAAATTATTGGATATAGGATAAAATGCTACGAAACAATCTTCTATGAGACAACTTCTCTTGTAATTACTTTCTTTAGGATAACCTGCCTTGAAACAATTTCTCTTCGGATAACTCCTTGTAAGTACTCCCGTTGGATAAACAAGCCGCGAGGGGTTCCACAATGACGTGTTGCAATTTTTGAGAATTTGGCAGTGTCATTCCAAGAGTACATGTGAAATCAAGCCGACAAAGACTGTTTCGTGGACTTGAAGGCCTCAGGAGGTGAAGTTGGGCGTCGGCTGAAATTCGGCACAGTAGTCACAGTAGGCAGCCCCTCGGGAGACTTCCCCAGCGGCCGCTCACCCAAGATGACGTGCATCTGCGCAACCGACGATATCCAATAACATCTTAGACGTGGATTACCTCCAAACGTCGTCCTAAATGAGGTTTGAATCCAAGAACAAAAACCTCAAGTGCTCCACAGAGATGCTACGGCTCAACTGGACGGGAAAGCAAGCGAGGACCTCCATCCACGAAGCTCCCCAGCAAGTCGAGTGCAACCATGGAACAAGCCGTGCCTCGGTATCCCGCCGCAACGCGCGAAACACTGCGGGGTCGGGGGGAGACGATCTCCATCGTCCCCCTCGACCCGAGCGGACACACTTGTGACTGGCCGAAGGTGTTGGTATTCGTTCACGGCCAGCTCACAACATGTCGTGCGGGCCACGGGCATCGTTAAAAAGACCTGGCCTGCCCGCTCGTCTCTAGGCAAGGCCCAGAGCCGAGAGCAATCCCCGTCATCCACGCGTCAGAGCTTCGCAGCCCAGAGTGGGCCGCGGTAGCAACGGAGCAAAGCACCAACTTGCGCAGGTCCAAGTGGCCCGCATGGACGGATACTTAGATCCGATTCAGATTCCCAAAAAGACTCCCGGCTGTGATTAGCATCACCTCCTTTTTTTTTGAGTTTGGATTTTCGGCGAAACTTTATTTGGGCACCGGGTGCTTGGTACCTCTTGCCCGGATCACTCATCAACCCGACATCAGAGCGCAGCAGACGATGTTCATGATTCGTGCGGGCCCTGCTCCTGTTCTGAGATACGTTGCAATCAGCCTCATGGTCTTCTCCTACGTCTTGTTGCTGCTGCCACTACTTGCTCTCTGAGCTGTACACTTGAAAGGAAATTTGTTAGCCCTGTTCGAGCAAGCTTAAACTGTTGTTGGATCTGCGAAACGCTGGGGCTTCACGATGGCCTCCACAGTACAGCGGGGGCCCGGCGGCAGCGTGATCTACAGGGCGGCCGAGCACCTGGATATACCGAATTTGGACCTCCTCACAGCGCTCTTCGGTAAGGAAAGCATTAGCGACTTCTTGCGCAACACAAGACACTAAAAATGTTATTCGACTATCAGACTCGAAATTGTGCGAAGCCGACGACCAGATCATCGTCTCCGCCGACGCCGCCGACCCGCAGCACAAGCACCTGACCAGAGGCCGCACGAGGGAGCTAACCACACAGCTCGCACACGCCCTGAGACATACCTACGGCATCGGGCGGCAAGGACGCAGCAAGGACGTCGTCCTCGTCATGGCCCTAGGTCACTACATGCTACCGACACTCTTCTACTCGACCGTCGCCGCGGGCGGGATCTACAGCGCCCCCAGCCCTTCGTCAACGGCGAGCGAGCTGGCATACCTGGTGGGGCTGGTCGAGCCCACGGTGATTATATGCGACGAGAACACGCAGGCCGTGACGGAGGAGGCGGTGCGCAAGCTCAAGTTCCCCACGGAGCGCTTGCTGGTCCTGGGCGGCGACCCAGGGCTTGAACTGAAGGTGCAGGGGAGCGGGAGGAGGCTGGAGCTATCGCCTTCCAGGACGCTGCGGTGGGAGCGCATCTCCGATCCGAAGGAATTGGAAAACACCGTCATCTGTATCTTGTTCTCCAGCGGGACGACCGGCCTGCCCAAGGGTGTCAAGCTGAGCCATTCGATGTTGTTTTCTGAGGCGTATGTAAATATGGAGCCGGCCAAAGAGTGGGTGGCACGCGAACAGCCGGGACTCAAATATATCACGCTGGCACACCTGCCAGCCGCGCACATCGCAGGTGTCCAGGGGTACCTGGTTAACGTCCTGTACCGCGGTGGCACGATCTATTGGATGCCGAAGTTCGACTTCCCAAAGTTCATCGAGTACATGAAGCGGTATAAGATCACGAATTTCTTCAGCGTCCCGCCGATCTACCTCGCTCTTGCGAAACACCCTGGTATCACGGACCAGTTCGACACGATTGATCACGCATTTAGTGGAGCTGCGCCCTTGGGCTTACAGATCCAAATCGAGGCGGCGAAGAAGATGGGCAAGGGACAGGCAAGGTTGACGCAGGTCTGGGGGTTGACCGAGACGACTGGTGCTATCACTGCTATGCCGCCTGGCCAGACCGAAATGACCGGGAGTGTCAGCCCGCTCGTCGCAAACCATGAGGCGCGAATCGTGGATGACGAAGGAAAGGACGTCGAGCCCGGTGAGAGGGGCGAGATATGGGTCAGGGGGCCCGTAGTAACGAAAGGGTATTGGAGGAACGCGAAAGCGGATGCCGAGAGCTTTGTTGATGGGTGGTTCTGCACGGGCGACATTGGTTTGTTCAAGGATGGCATGTTCTATATCGTCGACCGGAAGAAGGTAAGTTTGCCATTTGTCCCTTCTCGTACTTACGTCGGGTATTCGACAGGGTGTGACTGTGGTCGCTTGAATCCTGAGAGAACGGTTGTGCCGGGCGGGGTCAAGGTGCTGAAAATGAGAGCTAATGGATCCTTGGAAGGAACTCATCAAGTACAAGGGTATGCAGGTCGCCCCAGCAGAGCTTGAGGCCACGCTTCTGTCACATCCGAAGATTGTAGATGCAGCCGTGATTGGAGTCGAGAAAGACGGTACCGAGGTGCCACGGTAAGCAACCCGCAAAATTGGTCCCTGCACTTCGCGATCCTGTGGAGTTGTTGCATTACACACGATGCGGCCATACAGTTTCCGAAATAATTCTGCCCTGGGGAGACCTAACCAGCCGGCTCTATCCCTCCTGTCGCAAGATCCTGTGTAGTAAGGTTGCTAACACGCATTGTCTTCTCTTTTGCAGGGCATATGTGGTGCCGGGCTCTAAGGATCTCACAAGCGATCAGATCGCCGCTTGGGTGGACGAGAAGGTCGCGAACCACAAGAAGCTGCGAGGTGGCGTCGTGCTGGTAGATGCTATCCCCAAGAGTCCTGCGGGCAAGATATTGCGCAAGATTCTACGTGATAAGGCGAAGGCCGAGAAGCCGTTAGCTAGGCTGTAAGACGCGCATGATTTGATTCCGTTTGTTCAGAGATGTGTGGCTGGTAGAGGACATGGAAATCGAAGCGTCTTGTTGAGTTAGGTTGTTATGATCATTCGTCTCCAGCCGCGTCCAGAAAGCAGCCAACTGGTGACTCCCAATCGACAATCGCAGGGTATGAATTGTACCGGATTAGCTCATCTGAGAAGAATCGTAAATACGGCGATGTCGGTCAAGGCGCAGGAGACTGGGTGTCCAAGCAAGAGAGACTCAACGCGTTCACCGTTGATCGTGCGTAAGCGACGCGTCTCCAACGTCGAAATTTTGATATCCTGGCCGATTGTATTGATGAGATTGGGACTCATCAGCGTCTCGGAAATCGGTCCTGGCTGCGGAAGTCGGTGTTGCCTTCCCGGCATGACAGTGACGATCCATGCCCAGCGTGAATCAGACCGCAACTGTCGGAACGATTAAGCCGTGTTGATTCCCTCGAAGGTGTTCATGCCAGAGAATCGGACGTCGAAGCTCGTGCCGCTGACGGACGCCACGTGCCCCGTATATGCACACCTGCGATGCAGTAGCAGATGGAAGATGGACGGTCACACAGCAGTCGCAGAGGTGACATCTGCAGAGACCGGCTTGAAGCTTCTGTACTGTACCCTCTGGGTGGTCAGCCCTGGAAGTGGGTCCAGTGCGAGTACGGGGGGAACCAGGGGGCCTAATGACAATGCCGCCGAGCCGCAGCGCCTGCCGACGAGGTGTCGTCCCAGGTTGATGAGGTGTCGCCTATTTCCGCACACAACGTCTTGGAGCCACCAGTGAGCTGGATCTGTTGCTTGAGCAAACATCTGGAGGAAGCCCTCTGAGTGTGTATGCTCGCTCACAGCGGGGTTGGAGGGGCTCGGGCTATGCTGAATGGTTGGTTTGGTACTTGTCGATATTGACGCGTGGGATACATCCATTCACTGGTGTCGCTGATCTATACAAGGCTGTGGGTGGCCTCAAGTGACATGTCCAGATGCCCTGCTCGACTCGAAGGGCTGTGGTCGTCGTAATCTGTGGTTCGTTTCATCCCCTTTCTGGATGTCAAATCATCCGCATTTCTGCTGGTGCAAAAATTAGCACAGCTTGCATTGGACGTTCAAACCCGGTCGATCCAGGGGCTTGTTGTGGGTCCGAAGCGAGCCAGCCGACTAACAGCAGAGGCCAAATCCAGGATGGAAAAGATGGATTGCCCTGCCCGCCACACAGGCTGAGTGTTGGCCATTCTCCATCAATCTGGAGTCTGGGCCGGCTCTTGATGAGGTGAGGAGGATATTTGGCGTGACATGACGACCAGACGTAGGACATCCCAGGACCAGACTGGACCCTTCAGCAACGAGACATGTGAGATCAACAATGTCGAAACTTGAACTGACTGGAGATCGCTGCCCAGATGCCCAGGTATCTATTGTGCAGCGTCCAGAGTGCAGTGCCAGGTGCTTTTTGGGGGAGGGAGGCGCCCACGTCCACGCTTGCCGTATCAAGTTAATGACCGACTTCCACGATTGCAGTTGTCCCGTCCAATTGGAGGGGGTTGCAGCGACCCCAGCTCACCTTCCCTCTCCCGCCCCTGCTGCCCTGGTCCCCTGGTCCCCTGCAGGACGGCCACTTCCCAATCTTTTCACCCACCATGACGACACACCTTCCCAGGAGCATCCACTCTCTGCCACTCAGCATGCCGCAAAAGGGAATTTCGCATGTGGGCATTCTCCAGCCTGCCATGCCAGTCTGCAGGTCAAGCAGCCAAGGTACGTACTGCACAAACTGACAGAGTAGAGTAGGGGACAGTTTGCGCCCGGCGGGCTTTCGTAATGGAGAGGGGGGGCAGTTGTTCCCACCTTGAAAGGTTACGCGTCGCTGCATGTGTGTCTTGTCTCGTTCTCTCGGTGGGTCAGCGGTCGCACTCACAGCCTCTTCTCTTCTTCCGTTGCTTCTCGAAAAGGATTCCAGTCCAACTAAAAGGGGAATTCCCAATGCAATCAGCATTGGCGACGGTACGATCTTTTCTTGCTTGGGAGTCTACATCCTGTACCCAATCCCCCGCGTGGCTCGAAAGAACTGATCGTGGCATGATGCTTTGAATCGAATTCCGTCTCTTCTATTCTCTTCTCTCTGCTCTCTTCTTCCTTGAGCCATCGTCCTTCCTCCTCTTGTTCTCGACTCTCCTTTTCAGTCTTCCATATATACACCTTGTCTACGTCTCTTTGAATCCATATATGAACTCACTAGCGCTCTTTTCTGTCCCTCGATAACCCAAACCCACGGCGACCAACAGCCAAGGCGGAGGAGCAAGACTGGATTGCCAGCACACCCTTTGGCTCCCATCGCATCTCTCCCATTTCTGCCATACTTTCTTAGGTTATCTCCTGTCGATACTCCCATCTTTTCGCAGATCGATAAGACGACAACCCCTTCAAATCTCCAGAAACACACCTTTGACCCTTCTATCCTGTCCTAAGTTCTCCACACCAGGGTGGAGGGACCCCTCCATCATCTTCTCCCGGCCTCCACTGCATCGGTGCCGGTGGAGGAGCTCCCCTATGCCAATCGGCGCTGTACCCTGCTCGAGAAGTTGCCAGCATTACAGTTCGTGCGCCTCTCCAGACTATTAAGTCCTCTGTCGCTGGCATCTCGCACACGCCGCCTGCCTGTCATCTTTTCTTTGCGATGACAGTAGTTTGACTTGACCTGCCTCCGTCGACATCGGTTCCGTTGACTCCTCACCGGATCAAGTCGTCTTTCTGGTTTAGCCGAGCCTGACCCACCAGACCCTGGCCCCATCTAGGTTCAGGTTCACAACATGCGTCGCTTCAATCAGCTTCCTGCCGTCCTTATCGGCAGCCTCGCCGTCGGAGCCGGCCTCGTGGCGGCCGAGGAGTTTCCCCAACCATACATCACGGATTACGAGAGGTACAATGAGGGCTACTATGGCGTCCACCCTAATCAATCATTCAAATCAACGAACACGCTCGGCTTGCTTTTCCAGGTAAATCAGTGGTACCCTGAGAAGTCTGGGCTTAGCAAGTATCTATTCATGTCATCAGTCGCTGGCTCGCAAGGAGCAACACCATTCATCATCGACACCACAGATTTCAGCATGGTCTATGGCGACCCAGTATGGCCATCGGCAAACAACCCCAGGATACAAATGTTTAACGACAAGCCCTATTTCACTTTCTGGGAGGGCAGGGACTACCGTGGTCACGGGTTGGGCGAATGCTTGCTGTACGACGACTCGTATCAATTAGCTTACAACATCTCGGCCAAGATGGTTCACACCAAGGCCGATTCGCACGAATGTCAACTGACGCATGATGGAACTGCCCTCATCACGGCTTATGAGAGGATTCCCTTCGACATGACCAATGCACCAGGTGGCGGTCCAGAAGATGGCTGGCTGCTGGACAGCATTTTTGAGGAGATTGATATTGTAACAGGCGAGCTGAAGTTCTTGTGGCGCGCCAGCCAACATTTCGACATCAACGAGACTGAGGTGAATTGGGGCACTGGAGACTATGGCGCACCCACCGAAGAGGTTGGCTGGGACTTTTTCCACATCAACAGCATGCAGAAGACCAAAGAAGGAAATTTCTTGGTATCTGGGCGTCGCATCAAATCACTGGTCTACATTAATGGCAAGGACGGGTCAGTGATCTGGCAGCTTGGCGGGAAGAACAACCAATTCACCGATTTGAGCGGCGGCAATGCGACCAACTTCGGCTTCCAGCACACGGCGCGGTTCCTCAATGACGAAATGACCGAAATCACCCTTTTCGACAACCACGACTTGAATCCGGGCAACCCCTCGCCCGGCTGCCCCGAAGGCACTTGTTCCAGGGGCCTTCACTTGCGCATCGACACGGAGAAAATGACCGCCGAGGTCGTGCATGAGTACTATCACCCAATGGATATCGCATCTTGGGCAATGGGGGGAATTCAGAAGCTCGACAATGGAAATGTGCTTGTGAGTTGGGGCACGACACCGGTTATTACTGAATACACAGAGGATGGCGAGATCGTCCTTGATGCGATGCTGGGTCCGTGGTTTGACGAGTCTACCAACACTCAGCCAGTGTATCGCGCGTGGACCATGGACTGGACGGCCCACCCCATTTGGAAGCCTAGCATCGCGGGAGACGAGAATTTTGCATACGTCAGCTGGAATGGGGCCACGGAGGTGCACTCTTGGGATCTTGTGAGTTAAACCCATGCATCGCGGACATGTTCACGCGTAGCTCAGCAACGCAGACCACTGACCGCGAACGAACAGATGGAGGGAAACCGGAGGGAAAACATCACTTTCACACAGAATGTGAAGAAACGTGGCTACGAGACAGTCATACCACTCAAGTTCAATGGCTCGTACCTTGTCGCGAAGGCATTGGCTGCGGATGGTACAGTGCTTGCCACCACGGATGTGTGGGATTTGGCCCTGGGAGCAACTGTAAGCAACTTAAAACAGATAACCCTTCCTTTCCACAATTCACCCCTCGAAATGATCTTCACTTCACATCTCTTGTTCTGCAGTCGCACCAGTAAGGGCATCAAAGCTAACGCAAATAATTTCCTCCTCAAAAGCACGAAGCTGGAGCTGTAGGCTATTGCACGATCGGCTGCGGCCGTCTCGACGATTTTGACCACATGATTTTGCACCTCGCAGGCTTTTCTGCAGTGCTGCTAGTCATCATGTGGGTGGCCCGGAAAAGGACCTTGTGAGACGCACCCGTCACACCATAGTCAAATATGTCTGCTACTCCGCGTAGCATTTTCGCGTTACAGCGGCTTCACGTTCTTGTATCTTTGCCTCCGCGAAAGAGATCTTTCCCATATCATTTGATTTTCATTGGCGTTCAGGAAAGAGGGTGGGCGACACCTCGAAGAGACTGCTAGAATAGCATTGCATACCCGTCAACCAACAGGCGGGGAGGAGTTCAGGATTTGTGAGATATTCGGAAAGACTTACAGGGCGAGGGTTAGAATCTCGCACTATTTGCTACCGCACGCGGTGGTGTTCATGTTCATATCGTAATCAAGATATTTAACTCACCTGTCCCTTGAGGCCATTAGATTTGGTTGCACCATCAGATGTTGAACCAGGTTGATGCTCTATCGCTCTACCAATTTACGAAGGATCCGGCTTGTAAGCATCTTTTCTTGGCTGCTTATTCGCGTGCTTGGTCATAGCACTGTGTTCGTACTCTGAGTTTCGAGAACAGCCTGCATGGAAGCCCATGCTCACAGAACCTGGCTCAGCTGCTGCAGTAATCGACAACAAGCTTGAAAGGATGCTCATATGTCCTAACATCTGGTTTCAATGGCGACACTGCGGAAACGAATCGTCACGGTATAGAGGTTGTGAAAGCTTACGGCCTCCTGCTGTCGCAGAAGAAATGCAGGGTATGATGACGGGCATTCAGGTAATATAAACAGGGACAAAGTCCGAAGTCTTTTTGTGCGAGTTTATTGACATGCATTGACAGGAAGCAAAAGGAGGTGGCGCGTCGGAAGGATTCTGAAATCCAACGCCAAAAACGGACACCACAGTTGCATTTCGATGTTTGCTTGGTGGGAAGCTCGTATGGCTGGCTAGGCCTAGCGTGCCAAGCAGGCACCGGCTGAGAGGGCATCCCAGGTCTAACTGGTGCGGCGGGTAAATCTCTGTCTATAAGCACGGCCTCATTTCACGAGAGCTCGGCGACTGTTTGTGGTTCCCTTCGTGTGGTCGTGATCTGTCTTCTGTTGCGTCCTCTTCTTTGTCTCTTTTGTCTCTTTCGTCGCCTGATTGACAGCACAATTCGCGGGAACATTCAGCCGCTCTAGAGGGAAGGCTTTGCTTCAGTGACTGTCCACGCTCGTTCGTCACAGTCATCGCTCTTTTAAAATCCTAAGGTGCTTGCCTTAACGTCTGACTGGGGTTTTTACACCTCTTCCCCTCCTTTCGCCTCCCAATTGCCGACGCTCGCCACGGCGTCCGAGCTCACAATGGTCACTTCTCTCGCCACGGTACTGTCGGGGTCGTTGCTGCTGCTAGGTATTCTGCCTGGCGCGGCGGCAGAGCTCAAGGTCGATTCCCACGACGCTATCGTGGAGTCATCGAAGTCGCTCGCAAAGGATGTGATGACTTTTTACACCGGCGAAGAGCCCGGCAATATTCCCGGTCTTCTCTCTTGGCCTCCGCCCAATGGTGATTATTACTGGTACATGGGTGCGAACTTCTTCGCTACATATCTTGACTACTGGCACTTGACTGGAGACGACTCTTACAAGGACGCCACCACCGAAGCGTTGCTCTTCCAAGTAGGCCCGAATGACGACTACCTGCCCCCTAATTGGACCGTTTCGATGGGAAATGATGACCAGTGTTTTTGGGGCTCGGCCGCGCTACTGGCTGCTGAGTACGAGATCCCAACTCCGGAGGGCGAGCCGCGGTGGATCGATATCGCAAAGAATGTTTGGCAGACTCAGGCGTCCCCGGACAGGCACGACGATCAGTGCGGCGGTGGCCTTCGCTGGCAAATCCTGCCATCAAATGCTGGGTATGAGTGGAAAGCAAGTCAGTATTTGCAAAGCTTCGCTTAGGTGTCTGTTTGAATACTCACATGCATATCTCATAGCAAGCGCCAACGGATGTTTCTTCAACATGGGGGCCCGCCTCGCCAGGTTTACCGGCAATTCAACGTTCGCTGACTACTCTGAGGATACCTGGAACTGGCTGACTGGAGTCGGTTTTATCGACGAGGAGACCTGGGCTGTGTATGACGGTGCGCATGTTGATACCAACTGCACCGATATCAGCAAGTTCCAATGGTCTCAAAACGCAGCGATGCTCACCCAAGGCGCCGCATTTATGTATAACTACGTAAGTTCTCCTCAATCCACCAGGGAACAAGGCACAGGAATCCCCCCTCTAACCCAGCCACAGACCAACGGCTCCGACATCTGGCGCGATCGTGCCGAGAAGCTCTCCAACGCTCTGCTGGAGACTTTCTTCCCAGACGGCGTCGCCTACGAGTCAGCCTGCGAAGGCATCGAAAGTTGCACCACCGACATGATTTTCATGAAGGGATATGTACACCGATGGCTCGCCTCAGCGACACAGGTCGCCCCTTTCCTTGCGGAGAAAGTGCTCCCCGTCCTGCAGACCTCGGCAGAGGCCGCCGTGAAGCAGTGCGTTGAGAGTGACAACGGCACTGTCAGCCACAGCTGCGGCTTCTACTGGCGCAACCAGACGTTTGTCGACCCCGCCGAGACTGACGGCACCACCGGCGCCGGCGAGAACTTGGACGTGTTCGCTGCGGTTTCCAGCTTGCTCATTGCTGATGCCGCGGCGCCAGCCACTGACGCGGGCGCTGACAACTCCAGCGACTCCAGCGGAAATGGCCAGGGCGGCTCGCCGAGTGGGACGTCGGACACGAGTTCGCCGAGTGGCACGGCTGGCTCGAACTCCGGAGCGGGACGGCTCGGCGCAGGCGTGACGAAGTCCCTGTTAGTTAGCGCGATGGCAGCTTTGGCCTGGGTTCTCTGAGATTACAAATAATGAGTGTATGAACTGGTCAATGTCGTAGTTTCCTTAGGGATGAGGTGATAATTATGACAATGGTAGTACCTACTGCTTCCCAAACCATAGCCTCAAAATGAACTTTTTAGCCGCTCCATTGATACAAAAAAGAAATATGTCATGTAAATATTGCTACCTAGATAATACCCGGATGTCAAGCTAGTAACAGTATATAGTGTGTCCGGTGACATTGAAGCAGCGTTGACAAAGCTACAGGCCCACACATCAGCTTTAAGAGTATTCAGATGAGCAAGCTCTCACAACACTTTAAGAGACGAGTGGATATTCTCAGCGATTTTGAACATGACCATATGGTCAGGAATTTCGCAAGCTTCACTATTGGGCACTTCTTGTGGTAGTGAATAGGGGGTCAGTGAATTGGGGGTCCCACGTCTTTAAATAGGGTGCCCTGGGCCCTTCTGCCCTCAGAATCTAGCACACACAAGCCCACTTCGAATACAAACAATCGCATATTTGCCAGACCCAGTCTTCCCTGCCACACTTCTACACACTAATGCCCAGGCAGGCCAAGTTACAGCTGGGTAGAAGGCTCGAGAGAATTATCGTAAGAGAGTGCTGCACCTATGAGGATGCCGTCCTGCGCTTGTGTTATGAGAGAGCTTTGGTCTTGACTAGTTAGGGTCCTCGTGGCTGACAGAGAACTTAGATTGCTTTTCACTGAAGGATTCGGCAGGGGTAAAGTAAGCACCGATTGCCAGGCATGAAGTCTGACAACGCATGCTCTTTCCCCACTCCTTTCATGGCTTTACTCTTTTTCATCGGAAAGCGTTCAGATAAAATGGCAAGCCCGGCATTCTCATCCCCTCAATGGTACCGCAACCTCAAGGACACGGACATCAGTACCGATATTGGTCGACTTACTATCTACCATCTGGGTTTCAAGCAAGCAGCAGATGGTACTCTAATATTCCCGCCATTAGACTTCTCTACCACTCCACGAGCCGTACTTGATGTCGGAACTGCAGACGGCCTATGGATGCGCGATGTTCAATCCTCGCTGGCCACGCCGCCCCACGGTACACATACGTTCACCGGTACTGATCTGAACTCTTCATTCTTCCCAAGCCCTAGTACCATCCCCCCAAATATGACGTTTGTCAAGCAAGACATCAACACAGTGCTTCCATCATCCTGGCAGGCATCCTTTGATCTCATAAATATGCGCATGATTCTTATCGCCGCTGGATCCGGTGCAAAGCAGCGTGCCGTCGTTAACGAGCATATCAAGCTCGTCAAGCCCGGTGGCTGGATTCAGATCGGGGATTGCGATCGGATTTGTCCGACGCCCGAGGAGAACCCGCGCTACGACGACATGTTTACATGCATCCGGGCGGTATGCCAGGCATCTGGGGCGGATCCCCTAGAAGCGCCGAAGATGAAGACGTGGTTAGAGGAAGCCGGACTTGAGGACGTGCAGGAGCGGAGGGTGATGCGGGCAGTAGGAAAGAGGAATGTGGCGGATGAGGATTTGGGCAGGAAAGGCATTGTAGCGGACTTGATCATTGCGCGGGCTTTTGCGGGAGCGGCAAAGGGTGAGTAATCGATTGACATCTGCTATATGTGATGATATGCTAATTACTAGTATGGTAGCTCTGGATCAATCTCTAAAGCCGCTGCCAGAAGCGCGATTGGATACATTGGAGGAAGACTTGAAGAAGGAGTTAAATGAGATAGGGGCATTCTTTCCAATGCGCTTTGTTTGGGGCAGGAAACCGTATTTATCCTGAGGTAGTTGTACAATATTTTAGTTGACTAATCTTAAATTTTCATCTACCTCGCCCTGCGAAGTTTTGCCCGAACAGCCGTACCTGGGAAATCCCGAGGGTCAAGTTCGTTCGAAGGGATGATCTGCCTTCAGTATCAGCTGGTACAGAATCTATGTTATACTAGAAGGAGGGTCACTGCATTACCCAATACTTTGTTCCGGCGCAGCTTTGGTCTCCATCTCCTCCAGATATGTCCTCAGTTTCGTAGATTGCCCCCAGCTGCCAGTCCCCTGCCCGTATAGATGAAGAAGAAAAAATGAAAAAAAAAAAAAAAAAAAAACTATTACTATTTCAGTCGGGAAATACGATTGGTTCACCGACCCAAATACCAGAAATGCACGAGTTCTTTCACTTCGTTTTGCTCTTCTCCCGAGAATTAGGTGGCGGTTGCGTGGCGTCCATTTTCAATACCTTCGAGAATTTGAGATCAATAAAGTGGACTCCAGAACGAACTAGACGAGTAGCGAGTGCAGCCGATGAGTGGGCTTGCATAGAGGGGCGAAAGCCCGCATTTGAGCATAGTATATTGTAAGATTCTAACCCTGGTGGCCTTCTGCATTCACAGCCCCACTGTCTGCCACCCATCACACTGTCCATCCACCTGCGCAGAGACAGCCTGTTACTGTCTGGCCAGTTAGGGAACGGTGATTTCTGATCGCTTACCAGATGCTAGAGTCAAGCTCAAGGCCCAAAGCCACACGCAGGGAGTAGCGGCGGAAGGTTCCGAAAGTGACAGACAGCCCATGGCAGGAGGAGACCAATGTCACGGAAAAGCGGAGGTGTCAGTCCGGCAAATTACATCAGACTTGCATGTGCACCACATCACCTCTGCCACTTTTGAACACCTCTGACGGTGTCAGTAGCTCACGATAGCACCGGCCAAGATCCAAGATGCAGCCCACAGCATTGGACAATCGGCCGCACAAGCTACACAACATTGAATCTCTCGTCACTCCAAGGTACTGGCCCCGACCCAGGCGACTGCCCACTTCCCGAATTCCCGACCTGAAGGGGCAACTGTGTAGCCTACCTGCCTCCACCCTCTTCTCCCCCTGTGCAAGGGCGTAATAGTGATTCCATCTAGCATCACCTTTGCACTACGCTCCTCCCCAGACTCCATCTCAGCCAGTCTCTCTGACGTCAACCGGTAGCTGCTCGCTGATGATCCAATGCCTGCCTTTGAATTTCCAATATGTCCCTCACTCCCTCTCCATCCTCCAATGTGCAGGTTGCATATATGAAGCTGCGCCCTGCGTCACTTGGTTTTTCTCAAGCACCTACTTTGATCCATTGAGCTTCCTGTTTCTGAAAACAGTCAGTGAATTCGATTCTCTGTAGTCTTTCTATGGCTTCTATCATCCCTGATTCTGTGAAGTCCGCAAAAGACGCTATCATGGGTTCCGGAGGGGACAAGATCGCCGACCTGGCCACGGACACCAAGGAGCCGTCCAACAAGACTAATATCACCTCCGACTACGGTGTCAAGACGCCCAACCCCGAACACTGGTTGTCCATCTCCAACGAGGACCGTCAAGGGCCCAGTCTGATTGAGGACCCGTTCTCCCGCGAGAAGGTGGGGCTACTTTTTATCAGTTACTATTTCCTCACATGTTTCCAATCACTGAACCTTTACAGATCACCCGTTTCGATCATGAACGCATCCCAGAGCGAGTGGTTCACGCCCGTGGCACTGGCGCTTTTGGAACGTTTCGCATCCACGAGAGCCTTAGTGACCTCACTTTTGCCCCAGTACTGACAGACACGTCCCGCGAGACGTCTGTATTTCTGCGCTTTTCGACCGTGCTTGGAAGCCGAGGCAGCGCTGATACTGTGCGAGATGTCCGTGGTTTCGCCGTCAAGTTTTACACTGAGGAAGGTAACTGGGATATTGTTGGCAACAACATTCCTGTCTTCTTCATCCAGGATGCTATCAAATTCCCTGATATCATCCACGCCGGCAAGCCTGAGCCCCACAATGAAGTACCCCAGGCACAGAGTGCCCACAACAACTTCTGGGACTTTGTGTTCAACCACACCGAGGCCACACATATGTACATGTGGGCCATGTCAGACCGTGCCATTCCACGATCATACCGCATGATGCAAGGGTTCGGTGTCAATACGTACACACTCATCAATGCTCAAGGCAAGCGCTCCTTTGTCAAGTTCCACTTCACCCCAGAACTTGGCGTGCACTCGTTCGTTTGGGATGAGGCTCTCAAGCTTGCCGGTCAGGACCCCGATTTCCACCGCAAGGACCTTATGGAGGCAATCGACAACGGCGCTTTCCCCAAGTGGAAGTTTGGTGTTCAGGTCATCAGTGAGGAGGACCAAGACAATTTTGAATTCGATATCCTCGACGCCACCAAGGTCTGGCCTGAAGATCTTATTCCTGTTCGCTACGTCGGTGAGCTGGAGTTAAACCGCAACGTAGACGAGTTCTTCCCACAGACAGAGCAGGTTGCTTTCTGCACGAGTCATCTGGTTCCTGGAATTGGTCACTCCGATGATCCTCTTCTGCAGGGTCGTAATTTCTCATACCATGATACACAGATCAGCCGGCTGGGTGTCAACTGGCAAGAGCTGCCTATTAACCGACCAGTCTGCCCCGTCATGAACTTCAACTCAGACGGCCAGATGCGCCACACAATAAGGAAGAGTACTGTCAACTACTGGCCTAACCGGTTTTCGAAGAACCCTCCCGCCCAACCCAACGAGGGCGCGTATATTGAGTATCAGCAGAAGATTGAGGGTATCAAGCAACGCACCAAGAGCAAGAAATTCAGAGAGCACTTCAAGCAGGCCATGCTTTTCTATAACAGCCTGACCCCCTCGGAGAAGTCTCACGTCATGAACGCTTTCGGATTTGAGCTCGACCATTGTGATGATCCAATTGTCTACGAGAATCTCGCGTCGCGTCTTGCAGACATCGACATGGATCTGGCCAAGGACGTCGCCAAGTTGGTCGGCGCGCAAGTGCCGCAGAGAGAAAGCAATCCCAACCATGGCAAGAAGTCGAAGGGTCTGTCGCAGTTCGACTTTCCTCCGATGAAGACCACCATCGCCAGCCGACGCGTGGCGATTATAATCGCCGATGGGTATGACTCCACGGCTTTCACTGCAGTCAAGACAGCTGTCACCGGTTCAATGGCTACCCCTATCATAATCGGGACTAAGCGGAGTGAAGTCTTTGCCGCGGGCCAGAAGAGGGAGCAGGGCAAGGGCGTTCGACCACACCACCACTTGGAGGGCTTCCGGTCGACCATGGTCGACGCAGTGTTCGTTCCCGGCGGCAGGGAGTCCATCGACACGCTCAAGAAGAGTGGACGTGCCCTTCACTGGGTGCGTGAGGCATTTGGCCACCTCAAGACCGTCGGCGGCACTGGCGAGGCTGTCGAGCTTCTGCAGGCGGCATTCCAACTGCCGGACGTGCAGCTCTCCAGCGGCGCCGAGGCCGTGGAGAGCTACGGCGTGGTGACGCTTGGCCAGGTCAAGCCTGACAGCTTCGGTGAATCGTTCACCATCGCAAAGGAGGGGGCTGGCTTTGTAGGCACGTTCTTGCATTCCATCTCGCTACACAGAAACTGGGACAGAGAGTCGGACGGGCTGAGCACTCAGGTGGCATACTAAAGGCAGGGCAGAGTAATCACTCGTTCTGAAACAGACCTGCACGAATCTTTTTTGAAATTGAGCGATTTAATTCTTAATGAATCACGAGTCCTTGGAAGCTTCTTGCACTGGCACTTTACTGGCATGATCTTTGTGGCTACTCTTGTGTATTGCGGCTGTGTTCCGAGTTCACTCCCGTAAATTTGCCAAGCTCAATCGTCTTCGTCCGCGCCTGCTTCGTCTTTGGCTGGGCCCCCATTTTCATCAACCTTCTTCTCAGCCGCCACCAGCTCAGGCCACTGTGAAGTAGTGACTTCCACCACCAGACAACACCTGTCTTCGTGGCTGCAGCCCGACATATCGACGTTCTTGACCATGAACTTGTCCTCATGGAATGCGTACACCATGCTCCTTGCTACGTCTGCTGCTTTCTGGTAGTGAGTGTTGAGGTCTGTGGCGGAAAGCTCGTCGGAGGTCATAGACACGTGGCATTCGTCGCAACCCTTGTGGTGGCACTCGACTGTTTGCCACGGTGGTAGGCTGAAACCATCGGCTTGTATTGGGTCGGAGGCAATACTTGTGCCTTCCGCAGGTGGGTCAGTCGTTTTGCGGGATGGGGGAGCAGTGGGCGGCCCGGAGGGCGGCTCTGTGGCTTCGGTGGTGGCATCTCCGTCGGTGTTGGCTGGTTGAGAGGTATTTGGAGGTTCGGTTTCCTGCTCTTGGTGGCTCTCCATTCTGTCGGAGTCTCGGTGTTGTCGGTACTCAAAAGGGGAGAGCTTGACAACCGGCTGAGGACATCGCGCTTTTATATGTGTTGTGATGCTTGTCATGGACATGGCTGAGTTGAGCCATGCCTCACTTCATTCACTTGTTTGCTTGTTGAAGAGTCACTTGCTCTAATCTTTGGTAACCAGAACCTCAAACGAGAGCGATACAATATTTCATTTCTTAATCTCCAAGAACCAAAGGCTTATAACATTCTATCCGTCCGCTCACGAGTGGCTGAGCCAATGACACGGCGCAACATTCCAGCAATAGAATCCAAACACGACGTTTGATCTGAAAATCAACCCACCAAGAATGATCATCCGAATTGATACAAGCTTATGCTTCGACACAAACCCAATTTGAACGCTAGGCCACCTTTTTTATATTTTTTAAGATCCCATGTCATCTCATCCACCAACATAGGACCGATCTTTCCAATGTACGCCTTCAACGCCTTCCTTTAAATCATATTCCAACAGTTTCCACTATGCTGAATCGTTTCTCAGAATGTAGGCTTAAACATAGTAACGAGTTGTAACTGTATAACGAGTGGTGTGTCTTGGACTGCGGCTCGACCGGTGTCTCCGGTTAACGAGCACGACCCCGTGGCTGCTGTTGTTTACGTTGCTGACGGTGTTGGCATAGTTGTTGCCATAGTAGGAGTGGGTGCAGTAGTAGCCCGATGGGATGTAATATCCACAGTCGTAGCAGTAGTAGTAAGAGTTGTTGTTGTACGAGCTGCCGGTCGTCGCCGTGTGCGCCATGGTTCGATTTGTTGTTGTTATGGTTATGTGGATTGTCTCGTGATGGTGCTCGTTCGCGAAAACTGGTCTTCCAATGTTGTAGTGATGAGGATATGGTCTGGAACTAACCTTCGGCCTTCGGAGGCTCTCCTCGCCTTTTTATTCTCGCCGTGTGCCACCTCACGGCCTAGGGCGGCCGACGCTTCATAACGCTTGGAGTCATTCGGAGGATCTGTTTGCCGGATGCCTCCGGACTTTGTATAATTGAAAAATTCTAATCACAGGACTGAAAAGGAAGTCATGATACCCGTCGTGGGGCTGAGTTGACGCGGTCAAAAAAATGGTCGGCCTAGCTGCTAAAAACTCGTGGCTTGGCGGGTGATTTGGTAGTGGTGGGCACAGCCGCACGCGTGCCTGTCATCGCGCTTATTGCAAGCCATGTGGGAAGGACGCTATGAGAAATTGACTCATCTTGGAGGCTCTGCTGCGGAGTGCAGTAGCTTCAAACCATGTGGTTTGGGGGCTGTTTTTACACTTTCGGTGAGTGGTCGCGTCCCCCTGACCGGCCGGCACACAGGCTGCCTGTTGGGGTCACACCTTCGAGGCCAAGGGTTTCGATGTTGTCCACATTCATAGTATTTTGTAATTTTGCCCAGCTGCATGGAATGAAGTTGATCAACTCCATTGATTTGAGCTTCAAGATTATCTATCTTGATAAGTGGTAATCCGATACCAGGTACAGGACAGGCGTGATAGTCAGTGTGAATGTGGTCGCTTTAAATCTAGTGGAGGAGGGAGCATAGACTGTGCCGCACTGACTGAATGTATTGCACACGAAATATATAGGTGTGTGTGTGGGGGGGGGGGGGTGGGCTTCGAAACATGCCAGACGGATCTGATCACATCCCTGTGCTGCAACACGACACAATTTCCTCCTCCCACCATTCAGTTTAACCAGCCCAATTCATTGCAAGACGACTTGATTTAATTTATTCGCAAAGCACGTTGCCTTGAATTTACGAAGTCAAAGTCGATGTCGCTGGCAGATTGAAACCACACGTGTCGACGACACGTGACGGGTCGAGGCAACTAATACAGGGAGATGATGTAAGACGAAGGTCTTGAGGAAGCCACCAAATGCTGGTACACCCATGCCATACGGCTAGATGGAAAAGAAGTTTAAGAGTATCCTTGCAAACGACAAGAACAACTGTGCGGAAATTTAGTTACAATGCCAACGATTTAGCTAAAGCTCAGGAAGCCTTTTATTAAGTTAAACATAACACATCGAACATTCAGAACTTGAAATTAGGTGTAAGAATTACCCTTTCCCACCCTACTACGGGTTGTACTTCGTTCTCGCCCGTTATGAGAAGGTCTTATGGACGCAGCTGTCACTGCCGATGCTCTTGTTGTGAGATCTTCCAACCATATCAAAGCATGCCTTACAAACACTCCGTCCTCTGACTGACTAGAGGTAACACATTGGCTGGAAAGAAATAAAAAAAAAAGAGGCCTGAGGGTCAAGTTGGATCACAAACACTATTAGTTTGACTTCGCTCTAACGAGAGACAGTGCTATGCGATCAGGATGGGTGTGAGAAGGACTATGTAGGAGCTTTTCTAGGCGATGAGAAGAAAGGTTTTGAGAAGATGGTCGATGGGTCGAACGTGAGCTATACAAAGTGATCTGTAGCTCATATAGTGCTAGTGATTCGGGTCGAAATTCTCTCAGCCGTGGAAGTTATGGGGCCCACTTCTTTCCTCGTCATTGTGACATACGCTATGGTCACGCGCGTTCGGGATGTTGTTCTACGTGCTCCTCATAATTTCGTTGGACTTAACGTGCAAGACATGACTCGGAGTGTGACAAGATTGTGATAATACGACCTTAAAGATGTGGACCAAGCACAACAAGGCAGTGGTTGCCCCGTACCAGGGTGAATTCTGCCGATGGCACCCGTTGAACTTGTCTTCACGCAGATTAGATGCTAGAACTGTTTGTTTCACCATTGCATCGTGACTTCCGAGCGGCATGATGAGTTATAGGCCACACGAGGAACGTGTTTTCGACCTTGTCAGCCGACATTGCCGACCAACGTTGTATGCTGCTTTCGAGCAGAGTCGCACCCATAAACGCACACAGCCGCCGCCACTTTGCCTTGTCATTTGTAATGAAAGAAAAATATTCAGACCACGTAAGGAGACTTGTCTCAATCCATTATTCCCATCATATAGCTAGCATAAAGTTATATTCTCGAGAGACACATTTATGAATGTTATTTGTCTAAGTGGCTGATGTATTCTACAGTGGTATTATCCCAATTCACATTTCTATTGCCCTCCCGGAACTGTGCAACACCGTATCTCGCCTCTGAATTCTCCTCGAACATGTTTTGGAATAAGTCTAGAGCTAAAGTGTCCATCGCGTGATCATCGGCAACGGCCTCCGCGAGCAACTTTTTGATGTTCGTGGATGCCTGGGGTGCGACGAGCATCAAATCCGACAATAACCCTTCGAGGGCATTATCCAGATCTAATTGGTCCTTTGCGATTCCGTGAATCACCCCGATATTCGATAACGCTTGCGGTTGGACTTTCGTTGCCCTCAACATGGCCATTCTGACCAGGCTGATCCCCCATTCCCGCAACAGATACCGGCACACAACTGCAGGGCACAATCCTAGCTTCGCCTCACTCAGGCAAAAGTAGGCATTTTCCATTGCTAGACGTATGTCGCAGACCATAGCCAAGCCAACGCCTCCGCCGAAGGCTGGTCCGTTGATAACTGCAATCGTCGTCTTTGGACACGTGTCGATAGCCTTGAAGAGATCTTGGAGTGCCGAACCTCGGTATGCGGGTGACGTGAACAAGTCCTCTTGGAGGTGCATTCCAGTGCAGAAGTACCGCCCTCGAGCTGTGAGGATGATACGATGGATTGAACTATCGCTAGAGTATCTCAGAAAAACCGCTGTAAGGTCGATGGTAAGGTCGAGGGTGAGTGCGTTTCCCTGGTTTGGCCGATTCAGAGTTATCATGATCGTTCGGCCCCGTCTGGAAACTTCGTAACCGTCACCATGCTGGACTTTCGCCCAAGAGACGTGGTCTCTAGCAGTCTTGGATTCGGATATAGGCTTGGTCGCATTATTGTAATTGACTGTCGGGTCGTTGGGAAGTAAAGAAAAGACTCGTCCAAAGTGTTCGAAGTAAGGATAGTATCCAGCCGAACCTAGGCTTTGGGCAGCCCAGTTCAAGCCGCGAAGAAATGACATCTTGTTCTGCAATGTTCGTATCAAGTCTTTGCCGAGCCGCTCAATTTCAGATGCTGAATCTTGTAGAGTGATTCAGGAGCTATGTCGAATAAAAAGACCACCGGCCTATGCACCGGCGCTACAGCATGGGGCTGATATGCCGGCAAAACGAGTCAATTTTAGAAGTCCCTAGTCATGTATCGGAAGCATGCCGTAATTTAAACTTTCAGACTATCCGCGGATACCGCGTGCTACCTGGTTATCATGTTACGAGTCGACGATTGCAGATGGCGAAAAATGATGTGCAGCCGAATTCTGAAGCGCCTAGTTTTTGTACCCTGTAAACCTTCTTCAGCTTATGCAGGTCGAGTCACACCTCCGATGATCAACTAAGCAATAAATCTCTTCGATTGCCTCACCTTATCTTCGATCAGGATTGGAATGGTCTGGTCTCAAAATTCCAACACTGGCCCTTTCCAACCTTCTTCGTAGCACATACTTTGTTGGTACTGCTCTTGAACAATACCTACAGAGGCAAATGAATAGGCTTGCTTCTTGGGCAATGGCTATGGATTATCTTCATCGGGCACTTGCCCTATCGGGCGTTGTCGGGCTTGTATATGTAAGTGGCAATCTGTTATATGCCGTGGCGTATGCTGCCAGGGTTCGTCCGTGGCACTGGTAATGTTTTTGCCACCCGAAGTTCATCCGTACTGACACAAACTTCTCTCGCTCAGGTACTGAGTGTTTGCACATATCGACTATGGTTCCATCCTTTATCGAAATACCCTGGACCGGTCCTGGCGAGGCTCAGCAACCTTTACAGCGCCTACTATGCATGGACTGGCGACATTCACGTTGACATGTGGAGGTGTCACGAGAAGTATGGTACGTACGGACCAAGAACTGAATTGTTGATTTGATGCTATTCCAGGGGAATTTTCTATCTGACAGTTGTTAGGGGACTTTGTTCGTTATGCTCCAAATCGGCTCCTCGTCAACACGCCCAGCGGGATGAAAGGTGTGTCAGTTGATCGATTCCCGGCTCTATTTGAAGAAGAAAAAAACAAGGGACACCCATTGACTTCGTTCTGCAAAACAATTAGAGATATATGGACACAACAAGAGTTTCCAGAAGTCAACGGCATACCATGTCATGGTTCATCGGGCCCCAAGCACGTTCACCGCGACGGACCGGAAGCTTCACGCGCAGAAGCGACGCACGCTCAGCCAAGGTTTCTCCGCGACAGCGATCCAGGGCTTTGAGGAGAAGGTCCTGGAGCGTGTCAAGGCTCTAGCGGATCAATTAGCGCCGAAAGAGATTACTGCATCCAAAATGGAGAATGAATGGTCGCCCGCACACGACATGTCGAAGTGGGCAAGTTATCTTGCTATTGATGTCATACTGGGCATTATCTTTGGAAGAAACGTGAACTTGATCCAATCGCCAGAGTACAGATTCGTTACGAAATGCATAGAAGATTGCAACATTCGCACCGGTGTCCTATTCCAGGCCCGGGAGCTGACGACCCGTCGAATAGACCGGTGGTTGTTTAAAGGCTCAATCAACTCTCGCAACAGATTCATTCCTTTCATCAGTACTTTGCTGAAGTCTCGAATGCAATCTTCAACGACGAGACAGAACGATATTTTCTCTATACTGCTCGACCCCAAGGGCACCGAAGATGACATGAGGACAGAGAACTTCCCAAGTCTGTCAGAGTTGGGGGGAGAGTGCACGACCTTGTTGATGGCAGGTTCGGAAACCACTTCAACAGCCATCTCAGCAACCTTGTTCTACATGATGAGAAACCCTGCGGTTTACGAAAAAGCAGTTCGCGAGGTCAGAGAGCAGTTTTCGCATTCCGAAGCCAACGTCCGTCTAGGAACTGCACTCAACTCGTGCACATACCTCCGCGCATGCTTAGACGAAAGCCTTCGGCTGTCACCGCCCGCTGCAAGCGCGCAGTGGCGCGGTGTCCTCGCCGATGTCATGGTCGACGGGCGGCCTGTTCCGGCTGGCTGTGACGTGGGTACATCCCTCTATGCCATCCAACGCCATCCAGCCTATTTCGACCAATCTTCAGTCTTTCAGCCGGAGCGATGGACGGAGAGCGATGACGTCTTAGCCCTTGAACGAGCTCAGAGTGCCTTCTCTCCATTTCTTCTCGGCCCTAGAAGTTGCGTTGCTAAACCGCTTGCGGTTGCCGAGGCAATGTTGACGCTCGCCACGTTATTATGCCGTTTCGACATGAAATTAGCCGAAGGGCCAGACGGAGAGATTGGCGGCGGGGGATGTCAAGGTGCAGTGTATGGAAGGCATAGGAAGGACGAGTATCAGCTTTGGGAACATGTCGCTGCGGTCAAATTTGGACCCTTGATTCGATTCCGGGAACGCAAATGAGCCAAGTTTCCGCGACCGGAAGCTGATTGCATAATTTGTGACACCTTCTACAACCATGTCTGCTAGCTTGCATCTAGATAGCTGAGCAAGATAAGTGAGAAGCTCGTGTTTCGAAACTATCTCTCCTTTGCCGTTCCAACAGAATCCCTTGTCGTTTCGTATCCAAGTCTCTGTCAATCACGCCTTGTCAGGTCCCTAGCATTCTAGAGATTACAGTGCGCTTTACGCTTCCGCGTTGTGTCTTAGTTCTTTGGTGATCGCCCTTCTTTTGACACAAACATTAGAAATCCGAGCTTCTTATCTGAACTCTATACAATTCGTCTTCATATTCCAAACTAAGACTTTTGTTTCACATGTCGTACGGACTGCTAGTGTCCACTCGTTCACACCGCCCTAACATTAAGCTTTGCTAGGTACATAAATCGGCCCCTTATCCCTGGGCCTCCATGACTCCGTTCCCTGTTGATGCGGCACCTAACTTTCAGTCGCATTGGCGTTGCCAGCGGCATAGCTGCCTTAGTTTATAGAGCACGGGCGTGCTTGCAGCTCAATGCTCGTTGTCTTTGAACTTGTCTGCATTCCTCAAACCAGCTCTTCTGTCCTATCTTATCACGGTGATCGAGCTCCAGATATGGGCAGTTTCGGGGCCTTCGGGTCCACCACCCCCTTTGCTGAGCCGCTATGGTACTCACGGACAGACAACCCAAACTACACAGATTCCCACAGGCGGCTAAGGCAGGCTATCCGCCACTATGTCGACACCGAGATAGTTCCATTTGTATCTGAGTGGGAGGAGAAAGGTGCTGTTCCGCCAAATGTGAGATCAAATGCCAGTTCCCGAATGGCACATGTTTATTCCCTCAGCCTCGCTGAGGTGCTCTTAATTCACTAATCGGGTCCACGTAGGCACTCAAACGCCATTCCGATCTAGGATACACGGCTGTCTCACTCGACCCCTCTGCTCTAGGCAGACACCTTCCTGAGACAACAACGTTGCCAGGTGATGTCGCTCCAAACGAGTGGGACAGCTTCCATGATCTCATCGCCATGGATGAGATGGCACGCTGTGGGTCGCTGGGGACCATATGGGCTTTAGGATGTGGCAACTCGATTGGATGCCCCCCTGTTATTCAATTCGGAACTGAAGAACAAAAGTCCAAGTGGCTGCCGCCTGTCGTCCGAGGCGAGGCGAGATTCTGCTTGGGTTGCACTGAGCCACAGGGTGAGTGAGAAAGATGGTCTCAGACTGATAGTTCACTCTACGCGGTTTTATCCAGTCTTCTCTTCGTTCCCTTGCTGTGATTCTCGCCCCTGCTTTGTACCCTTAGACGTCGAGTCTGGTCAACTGATTACGCTGCTGTTAGCTGGATCTGATGTTGCTGGCATTGTGACTACAGCCGAGCAAAAAGGAGATGTCTTCGTGGTCAATGGCATGAAAAAATGGGTCACTAATGGCATGACCGCTGACTACTGTACGGCTGTGGTCCGAACGGGGGGTCCTGGAAAAGATGGCATTTCAGTCTTGGTGATCCCTCTCGACTCGAAGGGCGTCACTCGGAGCGAGATTCGCAACTCTGGGGTCGAATTAAGTGGTAAGATTGAGACTCTAAATGTGGTGACCAACGTCAAATATAAGAACCTGTTGATTAACGGCTTCAAAGGTTGCGCCACTCTCGGCTTTGAAAACGTGGAGGTACCTACCAAGAACATAGTTGGCGAGCTGAACCGGGGTTTCCGACTCATCATGACATGTGAGTATCACTCTCGTCGACGACCATTTCCCGGTCTCGATGGGCAGAGACACGAAGCGCAATAGAAATTACTGTCTTACTCATCTATGCAGGTTTCAATCACGAGCGACTTTGGATCGCAAGCAACTGCCTTCGTCTGGCTCGAGTATGCGTTGAGGACGCATACCAGCATGCCATCACCCGCCACACATTTGGAAAGCCCCTGATCGAGCGTCAGGTTATCCGGCTCAAATTCGCGAATATTGGCATGCAGGTCACAAGTACGTATGCACTAATCGAGTCATTAGTCCAGCTTTGCAACAGAACCCGCTTGCAGGGCGGGGATGAGGCTGGCACACCCATCGGCGGCCTATGCGCACTGACCAAGGTCAATGCCGCGAGGGCACTCGAGCTCGCAGTGAGAGAATGTCAGCAGATCATGGGTGCATTGGGATACACCCGTGGCGGCCCTGGCGACCGCATCGAGCGAATTAGTAGAGACATGCGCGTGCTTGTCATTGGCGGAGGCAGCGACGAAATACTGAGTGAGATGTGTCTCATGCAGGAAAGCAAAGATTTGCAGAAAATTATGTCATCGACTCGAACCTAGCAGATAAAGGACCGCATCAAGATGGAAGAAGGACCACAACGTGGCGAGGAAAAACACGTCGAAAGCAGGCACAATTAAGCAACTGAACATGTAATTGATAAAAACAAGCAAGCCTTTCCTGGTCAGTACTGGGAAATCTTGAAAAGGGAAGCTTTTCTTACATTTGGATGGGTATTCAACAGAAAAGAGAACACAAGTAATCGCAACACATCGAAAACTATATGCTCTCGATTATCTAAATTTGTGCAGGGAAACAGTGTCAAGATAACAAATGTTGTTAGCTGCTCTCACGATAATTTCCCAATTACCTGGTTTGTGCTGGGTGCCAGTAGATGAGGTCGGGAGATCAAAGATTGGTGCGCTGATTATAGTCGTTAGGTATAATTTGCGACTCGAGCCCCAATACCTTCACGCGTCGAAGACAGAGATTGATGAGCACCGTCTTGCGTACTAAGTGGGAATACAAGCTTTTGTGGATGAACTTATAGCAGCGCAAGCTTGCTTAGATCTTCCAGGGGGCATTCAAGTCGGGCGGCATTCTCTTCGACAGAGCCGCTGGCTAGACCGAAATATCCGCCTTCAGCTTTGTGCTGGGCTAGCAGCAGCATTGTAGGATTTTGAATGCTTGTAATTCAATCTACAAGTGTGTACTAACATACAAAGTTTCCATTCCTATGATATAATACAATAAAATCGTGTTAAGGTGTTAGAAAAGAAGATTTATAGTAAACCATGCGGTATAGACGGAGTAAGTGGATCGAATAGGGGTAGGACCCACTTGTGGTCGACCAGAATCTTTGTGGTCATCAGAATCCAAGGAACAATCACTGTCGGTGGTCCATCCGCCAATTTTCCTATAGTCCTCTCGTACGTGGCCTTCCGATTCAAAGATTTTGCGGCTGTGCGAGCTCAAAACCTGACTATCGTGGTCTGGTCGGGAATGCTGTAGAATTTGCTGTACTTATCAATTGTGGGAAGTATCAAGTCGCGCTTCACCAGGAACGCTTTGCAATTTGCGACAATGGGCTCAGATGCCGTGTCGATGCTTGTGTGTTGGGCATAACCGAGAACCGTCGTATCCCACGGAAGCGTCTTCACACGGACCTTTGGGTTGTTCTCTGGACTATAGCCCTTGTTGACCTCAAGACAATCTCAGGGGCTCCGACGGTCGGCAGTTAGGATATGGTGGCATCAAGACCACTCTTTCGATAGACGGACCTGCTGAGGACTTCAGCTTCCCGGCATCAAACCCCGGCATTAGAAGGATGAAGTGGCCGATAGTCCTCTCAGTGGCAAAAGCGGAGTTGCATAGAAGCCAACAAAATGAGATGGAATTTCGACGCTAGCAAGACAGCAATGTGGGGCTGTCTTAATTCGACGTCTCCAGCAGTGACTGGCTTGAACGCAGTGTACAACAGGCGGTGGCCTTCGAACTTTGTAGCTTTGACTTTTTGTGCAATCACAGTGCAAGCGGCATCTGATGTTACCGAGATCAGACTGCAGTGTGCCATTAGCGCCATAGTCACCCACCATCGGCCCAGGCACACAGCGTTTCTTGGCGGAAGCTTACATGGCGGGCGGCCGTGTACTCAGACTACTGCAGGTCGAGCATGGATGAACTGCAATATTATGGGATGATATCGGCCTTTAAGGTGTCATCACCCTGAAAGTTCGTGAGCATCTCTAAATTGTGGAAGGTATTGCAGCCTAGTTCGGTGCTAAGGGGAAGACGTGTACCCGAAAGGTAGTTTGCAATGGCGGCCCGAACTCATGCTCGTTCTCATATAAAGAGTGAGTGATCGCATCGTATGCGATGAAATAGGCCATTGAGGGGTAGAAGAAGATGACAGCGAGAACCGACTGAAACCAACCAGGTAACTGCACCGCATTTGCTGTAATAGCCAGTGAGATGCCTCCTTTTTCTCTTCAGCTGCTATGCGCAGCACTGGCTGTTGCGCTTTCAGCGGCTTATCACAACCCAATACGCTATCCAGGACCGGACCCGTCCATGGTCTACGTTGATGGTAGCTACTTCATGACCCACACCTCAGACACACACATCGAGATGTCCAAAGCCAACACTCTGGATGCCCTTGTATTTGGAGAGACCAAGACTATATGGGAGGATACCAACGTCACCCGCAGTGCTCACATGTGGGCACCAGAGATACATCATATCGACGACACCTGGTACATGCTGTACTCTTCGTGCCACGCGAATCAAACGTGCTGTGATACCTGCATGACGCGTATTTTAAGAGGTTGTGATGGTTCCAACCCATTTGATTGTGATTACGAGTTTTTAGCAGACCTCGTGCCTCCGCCGGGAAGACGCGGTGGACCGGAGAAGAACCTGACCTTTTCCATCGACGGAACGTCAGTTTGACCCCACAAAACAAGCGCTTATGTCCAGCTTTTCAATCCCTGACTCCAAGTCCTCAGATATCTGGAAGTGCCAAATTACGGACGATATCACGTCGTGAGCGCGATGGATGAGAATAACGACCAGTCCATCCAAATTACGAAGCTGGACACAGATTCATGGACAGTCGAGGGTTGGAATATCATCTCGCAGCCTGACCGACCGGTGAGTTTAGAGCCTCCAAAAGCACGAAAATTCCCGGATCATGGGTAGAATCAGTGGCTGATGAATAAAAGTGGGAGCAAAACTTGACGAACTTCCAAGGTAACGTGACTGGCGTTCCATATGCACTGAACGAAGGGCCACACGTATGTCAGAGTGACCCCTGGAGAGGAACTATTCGAGTATTCACACTAAGTGTCCTCCGTAGCCACTTTACTACCAAGATAACATCTGGCTGACATACTCGGGTTCTTTCTGCGGGACCCCAAACTACGCCCTCGGACTGCTGCATTACTTGGGCGGTGACCCTCTGGATAAGTCTTCATGGCACAAGACTGGCCCCGTTCTTACACAGGCCAACGGGAACTTTGGCACGGGCCATAACTGCATCTTTTTGTCTCCGGATGGCACGGAAATCTGGGTAAGTCAGATTACTTGTTAAAGAGTTTCCTCTGCGACCCTGGCTTCAACGCTCCTTAGTAGACGGGGAATCCTGATGGCTGATACATATGGGATGAAGAATGCTTTCCACGCAACGGTCAACCCTGCAGGCTCATGTGGCGACGACCGGTTCACCATGGCTCAGAAAATAGAGTTCCAGGGAAATGATACACCGAGCTTTGGCATCCCTCAGCCACTTGGTCAAATGCTGACACCACCTAGTGGAGAATAAGGAGCTCGCCAGGATGTAACAGAATTCTAAACAATGAATCTAGAGTATGCCTACTTGTAGACATATTTGCGGGCACTCAAATGTGTCCAGATGCATGTGTTTGAATTTAGCTCGTAGCGCACTGTTGAACCGAGTGCCTTCTCGTCTTCGACCCTGAACCCGCTGCCTCCTCCTCTAGCCCGAACCGACCACCTCATGCCCCAGCTTGAGACACTGATCAATATTTCAGGCTCAGCTATTAGTCTTAGTGATTCACTTCTCTTTGTCTCTTGCTGCTAAAGGGAATAGTAGCATGATTGTACTATTCCTGGCATCGATGAGTTCCAAAAATGGCTTATTGTCCAGGAGTCAGAGAGCCGCGTGGCGCGAGAATGCGCAAGCATTCGTCGTAGCGTGACCGGAATCAATTGGCCTGGAAAGGAGTCATTGACTCCGGAGTAGTCTCGGGGCCGATGGAAAGTTTTGAATTCGCGGAGAACAGCCGCGATGATAAGACGCATCTGGTAGTTAGCCATGTTGCCGCCAGGGCACCATCGAGCACCCAAACCAAAGGGGGCCGTGAGGCGGCAGACTTCAGCCAGTCCGTCCTCTTCCACCGATCTGGGCGGGTCGAAACAATCATAGCATAGTTTGGAAATGGGTGGGTGGTCACGACCGTGCCTGCAGGGATGTCGTAGCCAAGAAATCCGATGCTTTTCTTGGGCACGACTCGGCTCCCAGTCAATGCAACGGGAGGGCGGAACCGCAGGCCCTCGCTGACACATGCGCCCAACAGCTTAAGATTTTCAAGATTATTCTTATCCGTAGTGGTGCGCAGCTCGTTGTACACGCTCTGCTGAAGGCTAGTATCTTTAGCCAGCTCATAGAACATGGGTGCCAGGGCAGATTAGGTGGCCTCTGTAGTAGCGAGGATTCGACCTGCGATTTCGGTGCTGCTCTCGTTGTGTGACCATTGATTGCCCTTTCCTTGCTTCTTTATCAGAGTCAATCAAATATTAGAACCTCATCAGGGTCTGCAGGGTCGGCTTTCTTCACCTTGTTGGCGATGTTCTCGCCCAATTCGAACAGCAGCTCACCGGACCTTATTCGAAATCTCGCGTGGCTAAAAGGACTGACCCTCAGTAACTCAAAGGTCCAGTTAGGGAGACACAAACTCCATACCACTAGGGAATTGCATTCCCCAACAATTCAGGGGGGGTCCTCTGGCTCAACTTTTGTCTGTGAGCCCGCCATGACGACTTGGGAGTTCAGCAGAGTGGCGATACCAATGTGATGAGCAACCTCCTGGCATATCGCCCTAGGGCGCGCCTAGGTTGCGAATCATAGTTTTGATGTTGTCTTCAAAGATGGGGTGCCAGTATCTTATTGATTTGGTGGTAGTGGTGACCACGACAGGCCGAAGTCGTTCACGTTCAACGTCATTTTGAGGGTAGCTGACAATTCATTCATGGCCTCCAATGCGGCTACGATAAGTTAGCTGCGAGAGGCTCAGAACAAGGAGAATTATATGCGTACAGCGCTCGAATCGCCTTGGGAGCTGTGTCGATGTCCTATCGAGTGAACAGCGCCTGCAGCAACAGAGAGTCGTTGATCAGGACCATTTTCGGGTTTTTACGTACTACAAGTCGATATCGGCGGAGCAGGTCATCGGCCGTGAAAGATAATCGGCCGTGAAAGATAATCGGCCGTGAAAGATAATCGGCCGTGAAAGATAATCGGCCGTGCCACCGCTGCCAGCGAATCCAAAGAGAGCTTGCTGCAGGAAACCAGGGACCAGGACCAGGAACTTTCTTTAACGCGTGTAACCTGGAGAAGTAGATCATTCTGCCTGTGTCCAGCAAAATGAAGACGAAGATAAGAGCCAACATCGCATAGAGTCGGCTGGGGCCCGTTGGGGCGAGAAGTGTATCAAGCATCTTGGCGTTAGCGTTTACAAATATACTCAAGAAACAAGATGAGAAATAAAAAAAGAAAGACCTCTGCGACACCCACATAATAGCTAGGTCCTCGAAGAGCCTCTTTATAGGCGGCTGAGCCCGGCAAGTCCGGCTTATACGGATATTGGGGGAATATGCCCCCATAAGATATGCGTGCCAAGCACGTACAGGAAGGTTCATCCATGCCTTTGGAGAAAATAATAGCGACGAATGAGACAGGATATCAACCAATGCCACCCGATTTGAGTCTCCTTGCTTTGATGATACCGCTGCGTCCCCGCAGAGTCCAGGCATGTTTAGTTTAGGTGGGCTTGATGAATTTTCTCCAGCTGGCATTCAAGTTATATCGAGAGCAGCCAGGAATCTAGATCAACGGTAAAGATCTGTTGTAAACATTGGGCAGTGTTACTAGGTGCGCTGCGCCAATAGAATGATGGTCTTCTGATTACCGTACAACCAAGGTCCACAAAACCAGTCACGAGATGCAGCGGGAGAATCGGCATCGGTTGGGCTCCTATGCGCTCTGGGGATCTGTCTCGGGGACTTGGCTGTTCGAGATCTCGCTCTGAAAAGAGAGTTTTTTGTGGTCTCATTCCGGCAGTAATACCTCCATGGCCGCTGCGATTGATTTTGAAGATAACAGCTTCTCCCTGCCCGTGCTTATCAAGGTCACGTAAACTTACTTCTACCCGAACTAAGGCAGCTGACGCTCGAGGAAGCAAGTTGTTTCGTCCTAGCTGTTGTGGCCCACAAGTGAGGCAAATCATGGAAAAATATCGCGTTGACCTAGGCAACGTCATACGCTCGGTAAGCTTAATGTTGACGGTAGTTGAATTTATATATGGTCTGCGTTCCTTGACACGGCAGGTGTGGGATTTTGCAGGACACGATAGAGCTGTTATTGCTTCTGTGAAAGGCACCGAAGAAGAAAAATTCATTCACCTGCCGACGTCGTTGTTTGAATTATTCCTATTTAAGAGTTTATATCCGTGCTCGCTTCCATATTTGGAACGACTCAACTATCTAGGCATGATCTGTTGGGTCCGCTTGCTGAGGCTCACTCGAGCACCGTGTCTTTCTCAAATATTCCTGACAACTTCACCGTCATCCTGCCAATCCTGCCATGACTAGGGACACAACGTAGCTCAGAGTAGTATCCAGCCCTGGTAGTCTATAAGGTTTCTGTAAGTCGGGGCAGACACCGTTTCTGTCCAGGATCAACAGGCAGTGATTTCGAGAGAGTACTAGCCAAATTGGGAATGCTTTGAATGAAACAATAAGGCGGCCTGAGACGTGACTGACTTGCATTCTACACTAATGGCCTAAGTAGGCCTCGTCTCGAATCCCCGGCCCAATGAAATGTGGGAGTATGTGTTCACACAACACACGTTCGCTTGTGTGATTTTCCATATTCGCAAAAATGTACTTAAGCAGCAAAATTGGGGGTACAAGAAAACAGATATTCCACATGTGTGCTACAATTTACACTGGCAAAATACTACATAGACGCTAGACTTAGATAACTTTGTTAGTCTACCCGTAAGTCTCGCAGAACCATAGCCATGTCCGAATTTTCACTATTGACTAACTGGAGTCGGATGTTACAGACGTGAGACTGGCAATGGACAGAAGGCACGTGCTGTGTCCAGCGCTCAGATTTAGGTCGAAGTCAATTTCTCACCGCGAATAAAGTTTTTGTTACCCAGCACATGTTAAGGTTTCGGCTATGCGAACATCAGCTCACCAGCCCTCATGATGTTCTAGTGTAGCCTTCAGAGATTGTGCAGCAAGATCTGAAACCCGGAATCTTGTTCATCCCACTGATGCTTAATGCCAAAGCAATCTGATGCGTCAAATCCGATCGTCTGGGTTGCTTTCGATGATCCCATTCTTCAATTCTGGTACACGCTCGCCTCATATTGACGAAATCTTACTTCACCTATCATATTCGTCACACGCAAACACAGCCCTGACACGTCAGGCGGTCCACTGAGGCTGATGTTACGACGCCCAAAGACGCCACCCAGGTAGATTCTAGCCGGTTACTTATTAGATACGTGGCCATTGTTCCCATGAAAAGAAAATTCGTATCAAGAACTCAGCGTATGTGGCAAATTGTTCTGCGGTTTTATTGGTCCATATGGACCCAAGCTACTCAGAGTATCACCTATATGCTCAGCTAGCCGGAAGGGCCGGTGAAGGAGGAGGATCAACGAGTATAGCCTGCGGATCTGCTACGGTACCATCGAAGCCGTATTAGAATGGCCTCTTATGGGTTCTAATTCACTGATCATTTTTTAGAAGCCACACAACCTACTAGAAATTTCGTTCGGAAAATGCGCTCCGTACGCAACAGAGAAAGTCTTCAATCGATCCTTCAACAAGACCTAGAAGTACGCGAGCAGTTTCTCGATCACTTCCTTGTGCATTCACATAGGGGTTGAAAGAAGTCAGCTGTTCGCCTCTCTGCATATGTCTGTGAAACATGGTTAAAGTTACTCAACATTGTATACACCAGCGTGACAAGTAGGTATCCAGGTCCATTAGACCAAGTGCTCGACTGATAAAGTTTCCATCGAATTGTCGGCAGTTCCTCGGCATGAACACTAATGTCATAGCACGATGCTCAAATCAAGGCACTGTTGTGATTGCCATCGGGTTGCATTGCCGATCCTGTTCGTAGCGGCGTTCCTGCATGTCCTCGGCCATCCTATTGGGTTTTCAACCCCTGCTGTGCTGCAGAAGATAGCCAAAGCGTGCGCGCGCAAGCCTCGACAATTATTGCCGATCAACAGAGTCCATACTTCGATGGCAGTATCCCGAATTATGTGGCGAGGATCGAAAAGTATTAATTTTAATGCTCATCTTCAGCCCTGGCGGGTACATCGGCAGGAAACCCTAAACCAAAAACTCGGCAGATGTTTCAAAAACTAGCATACATCCCCAGGGATTCTAAACTTTATTTTTTTTTCCGGTGAAGTTGCAGCAAGACAATTAACATTCGGGATGTTTGCAGAGGTTTACGTTTTCATCCACGATTCTGGAACAGGCTGTAGACAGCTAGGTGGGACACCACCATGCAGCGACACAGACGCGTTGGGCTTCCAACGCAGCGTCCTCGGGTATTTTTGAGATGCCATTTCCTTAGAAGACACATTTCATTCCGGCGCGGGAATATCGGACACTTCGTTTGGAAACTGTTCTGAATACAAGGGAGATGCCGGTGAAATAACCGCTGTGGTTCCTGAATCTTGGGCGGAGTCGTCCAGAAGTAAACTTGGTGATGTTGCAGTCTTCATCGGCTGGCGAGTGGCTCAACTCAAAACAAACCAATGACCAACCTAAAAAGGCAACCTTAAGAGGCATTAATGGGCCCAATCTGCTCTTCAACGAAAGCTACTAGTAGTTATCACCGGACTCACCAGACATCCTAAACTACGTCTTCGATCTATATTTGGATAGAATTGCCCGTCAAACAACTGCCTGGATGAAGTCCTAGACCGGATTGCCCCCTCGTATGGATCGAATCAGCTAACTGATTGTCTCCTCACTTCATACTTCTCTGATACCATTTACTGAGTTTCGAGGCTACTAAACCCAGCGTCGACCATTTCAGCAAGACTTGAAGGCTGTGGATCTTGCGCATTTTCTTAGTGGGCCACAACCACCAGATGTTGTAGTAATTAACAGTATACAAGTCACGATTTCACTCGAGCTGCAGACAACTTCTACATCGCACATCTGATTCTTTTTCAACACTGTTAAGAGCCTGATACGTCCCCCAATGAGCCGCAATGTAAGCAAGACGTGTTCAGAAGCTGTCTAGCAAGCCTTTTATGTTGACAGGTCGTCCAAGAAAGCTCTCCAGCATCTTCAGTTCTCCCTGGCTATATGCCCCGCCCCACTCAAGAATGCTTCGACGATAATTATCCCATACCTGTTTATCGGCTGGGTCCTTTGCAAACATTGTCTGGTAAACATCCTGAGCGTATGCTTCGGCGCTGGCGTTATTTCAAATTAGCCAATGGAGATGTGTGTGGGGTGCGAAGAAAGCCGGGGCAGCTTGAACGGGGGGTCGACTCACGCCAAGTAGCTGTAGCTCACCGCATCGTACCCTCTGACAATGATATGAAAATTTGGATAAGGATAGCTTTCATGCCCAGGGTTAGAGAGTCCTCTAATCTCACAACGGATTGCATTGTGCAAGTCGCCAATGTTCGTTTCCACGAGTGCTTGGTGGGAGCTGGGGTCGTGAAATTCCATATCGAGGAGCGCATTGGTCCTGGGTTTGCGACCACAGTCAGCTTCTTTCTGGTTAACGAGTTTAACAAAATGATCGATTCTGCCTACTTACAATTGTACTGTAATCTGATTTAGTTTCACCCAGCCTCGGGCATCTAGGAGACTTTGGATGAGTTCATCGGGCATCTTCACCGCTGGTGTTTCCATATTGGGATGTTGAGCTCGCCACTTTTTAAGATGTTTGTCTCCCACAGCTGTATAGTGGTGACTCATGTCCCGGAGGATATCTTTTCGCCAGCACCAATTCTCCAGCATGACACTTGGCATTTCGCAGAAGTCATCTGCTAGTCTTGGGCCATGAAAACGAACATATTTGGTTTTAGATACGAGATCATGAATTGCATGTCCCAATTCTGACACATCTGTCAGATAAATGTCTTTATATGAAACCTTGTGCGAAATTCGTACTCACCGTGAAACAAAAGAACTACATCACTGTGCGCAAGAGTGGAACAAGTATCCTCGCTTGGGGCCTCAAAAGAGCAGCATAGCAACGTGGATGGATAATGCCGAGTTCCATCCGTCTTCTCGTACCCCTGAAGTTGAGTTAGTTAGCACGATATGCGCTGGTGGGACGACTATCTCCGTTAGACTTACACATTGAATTTCGTGGTTGAAGTACCCAGGACTCTTCTCCTCCCGCCACATCAAGTCCAGGTAAAGATAACCAAGGAGTGTGGCAGGATTGTGCCGATGGTCCCAGACTGACCAGACCTCAACATTCTCATGCCAGGTACACTCCGGAGGAATGTCCTTGTCAAGAATCCGAACGAAATTAAGACCGAGGAAAGATGCAAATGCATTCAGCATGTACTTAGTGGTGTGCTCGATGGGAAAGTACTCGGCCACTTTTGCCGGGTCAACATGCATGCTTTCTTGGATCAGACGGGAGCAGTAGGAAAAGTTCCAAGCCGCAAAACCTTCACCCTCACTTCCCACACGGACACCTTGCTCTTGCTGGTCTCGGGCCAGCACGCCCTGAACCTTTCTGATTGCCTCGGTCTGTTTGGGCAGGATTCCTTCTTTCAGATCGCTCAAGAAAGTCTTGACCCAATCCGTGGATTTGACGGCTGTTGTGAGCGACCGCATGTCAGCATGGCTCGAGAAGCCCAAGAGCCGTGCTTGACTATCGCGCCGCAGAAGGAGCTCCCTGATGATTTCCGAATTGTCATCTGGGCCTTTCTCATATGCGATTAGCATTCTCTTGCGTGACTCTTCAATCTTGGCGAATCTCAAGACCTGCATCCATCCACCATTCGAAAATGGCACGAAGATCTTCCTTTCGTTGTTCGAAACATTGTTATGACCGGTCGTTGCTTCTCTCCACCCTGCGATCTTGTCATCAGGAACACCAGCCAGCTCACTCTCTTCATACCAGACACCTCCTTTTTGTTGCTGTAAACTCTGAGAGAATCTCGAAAGGAGCTGATCGATCCTGGTCTGGCTCTGCTTGAATTCCTCGATCTGGGCCTCGCTTAGTCGTCCATGGCCCGCAAGCGTGTACACAAACAGCTCCTTCTCCAGCCAGAGCTTCGACTCGGGTTCCAGATCTTCGTTTTTGCCATTGACGGCGTCCAGGAGCTTGAAGAGATCACCTCTGGCTTTCCATTCGTTCTGAGCTTGCTTCCAAAGATTTCCAGCTTGAACGGCTTCACTGGATCCAGTGACTTCTTCCAGGACGTGAATTGCGCTGACGGTCCCTTGGATGAGATTGTCCAGCTCGGCCAGCGGACGCACCACATTGTCAAAGTTGGCGGTCTCGAGAGTAACAGTCTTGACCAGATGATTGCGAAGGTCATCATGTTCGGCGATAACAGAGTTCATGGCCGGAATGATATCATCAGGCTTTGGGAATCTAGGGAGGGGCTGTAGTGGAGACATCATGTTGAATATGGGGGTCAAACTGAGTAGAGAGTCTGCAAGGGGTCAAAGACAAGTGATTGAATGGGTTCTGTATGCTGTATGAATTGGTTGTCTGGTTCCAAATCCTTATACCTGTCACAAAAGAGGCATTTTTTGCTGCCTGATATTGAATCTGTACGACGCAGGCGCCTCACACGTGCAGTGGATGTGAGGAGGTAGCGCTAACCTGCTAGATGCGGTTAACGCCAGGACTGATAAATTGTTGCGACAAACCAACGTTTCAGGCACCAGTTTTCCGTCTGTTCAACGACTCTGTCTTGTCAGGCACCGACTTTGTGCACCGGCAGCTCTTCTGAATCACTTCAATTGCTGCATAGTAATTGGTGGCCTAGTGCCAAGTTGTTTGCAGGGGATGTGAAGGAAATATGACAACTTAGATTTCCAGGATACACAAGGCGCTGATCATCGATACAGTCTGGCTAGACTACAGTGCAGCAAACATCACGAGCAGCTTGAGCCCTTCAATTCCTATCCGGGAGGGAATCTGAAAATTGAAAGGCGTCAATAGTTTGAGGCCGAAGAGGGACGTCCTCCACACTCCCCTCCTCATGAGAAGAATGCAGCGTAAAATATCCCTGTATAGAATGATAGGAAATGGGTCTCTCCTTGAGAAGAATCCTAGTCAGGCCATGTAAATTACGTTGAAGGATTATATGTGAGTTAACACTTTTGGTACCTATCTCAACCAACCTTCGACAAAACCCATAAATTTCGGGTTCTGGCTCGGTGGTGTACTACTATTCAGTATCTCCCTTGCTGGTATCACAGGATCTTCTTGCGAAGTCCCGACGTGCACCTCAATCTGCAAGCCAGTTGGGCAGTCTTCCGGGTTCCGCCGCACAGCATTAATAACCTGGTGAATATCGACAGGAGCGACCTCTAGACTTTTGTTCAGGCTTTCCGGTGGCGGAGGCGCATTGAACGCGCCCGCCCTGGGAGTAAGTCGGTGGTGCTTTACGTCGACTCCGGCAGCCGCCAACCCAGCTGACACCAGGCCAGCTTTAGCGCTGAGTGTCTGCGTACGCCTGGTTCTGCTCTTCTTGGTGAAGGCTTCTGTGCGCTGCTCGCCTTCATGATGCAGATGCAGAAAGTCTTCGAAGAACTCCTGATCGCCGGCAAGTCCGGCCTTGACCCAACGCCACTGCATACGTCTTGCTCGTCGCTCCTCGTCCTTTTCGTCGTAGTACTCGTCGCCTGGTTCTCTCGTTCTTTCCACTTCCTCCGCATCCCTGGCTTTCGAGCTCTTCTTCTCCTGCTTTCGCTTCCTCAATCTCCGAATCGGCGCTAACAAGGGTGAGAGCTTGTGAGCTATTACAACCACAACCTTGTCAGGAGTTTTCCTGATCAGCGCTCCGATAGGGAGGACCAGAAATCCGAACAGGATTGAGAACCCCCACTGAGAGGCAGAGATGGGTGCAACTTGAAAGGCGTCTCCACCTTTGAGTACTATGGTGACCTGACCGGCGAGGGTGAGGGCCTGAACCCCGAGGAACCAAGGGTTACGGAAAACGCCCTCATAGATGTGCAGGTTATTATCTACACGTCGGCAACTAATTATTGACTCGTCAGTCGGCTTTGCGCGAATACTATACAGGCACACACAAACCGTCTTGCCGCTGTAACGGGGGTTTTTGAGGACTTACTTGGACTGGTTGAACAGGCATATGAACATGTACGTGTTCCAGACAAAAGTCTGGAGCTGGTTTCGCTCGTATTCAGTAGAAGCAGGGAAGAACCTGTCTCCGGCGTAGTGCAGCACGAAGATAACAGTGAGCTGGTAAATTGTCTGCCCAAGGATCATCTTCCACATCTGTATTGAGATGATCGACGCATTTCGAGGTTCGGGGCGTCTTCGCAATGCATCCCTGCTCGGATTTCCCGTGGATAAGGCTAGTGAAGCGAATATGTCCATGATTAGATTCAGCCAAAGAAGTTGAATCACTGCAAAAATCCCCGAATCTGGGCCATCGACGAGGGTCGACACGATGGTCAGAATAGCAGCAGTGATGTTGATAGTCAGTTGAAACTGTACATTTTTGGCGTAAAGTCAGCCAACCACTAGCGTTGGAAAGGGAAGCACATGGTTCAAGTCCAGAAGCCCTTCTAAAATTTAACATACCTGGAGAAACTTTTTTGAGGCATCGTTGACCATCCTGCCCCAAGCAAGCGCTCGAACAATGCTTCGGAAGTTGTCATCCAGCCTAACGGATAAGTTAGTCTCATATCTAAACAGTGAAGTGATTGCTGATTCCTCACAGTATGATTGAGCTTGCTTCCTTCGCAATCTCTGTACCCGAAACCCCCATGGCGAATCCGACGTCGGCCGCCTTAAGTGCAGGGGCATCATTCGTTCCATCTCCAGTGACCGCACAGGTCTCACCCATGCGCTTCAAGTGTCGTACCAAGACCTGCTTATCCTCTGGGCTCGATCTCGCTAGGACTTGTAGCCTGGGAATTACAAGGTCCAGTTGATCGTCGCTTAACTGTCTGAACGTCGGTCCATCCATGGCAATCCCACCGGCTGTGTAAATACCGCTCTCGGAGGCTATCGATTTCGCGGTAAGGAAGTTGTCGCCAGTGACCATGCGTACAAAAACGCCAGCATCCTTGCATTGGCGGACTGATTCAATGACCTCCGGTCTGAGCGGGTCACGAATGCCAAAGAGGCCCAAGAACGTCATGTTCTGGCTGAAAAGATTGGCGAAGTCCACTGCCTCCGTCTTGCCCGCACGGCCTCCTTTGTCGCTCATCGGCGGTGTGTCAAAGTCTCGGTACGCGAGTGCTATCACTCGAAGTTGGTCACCCGCATATTCCCTCGTCAACTGTGTCAGCCGATCGCGTGTTGTAGATGTCATGTCTGTAGTCGCCAGTCCTTCACGTGCATCTTTCAGCGCGGTCGAACAGTTTCCAAGGACAACCTCTGCGGCACCTTTGGCAAGCATGCGATACCTGCCGTCGTGCAACTTGACCATGCTGGCCATCCACTTCAGCGTGGAGTTGAAGGGAAACAACTCAACGACATTTGCATTGGACCTTTCCTCAGCTACTGGCCCCATACCTAGATGCTGGCGACCATACTTGAGAAGAGCTGTCTCTGTGCTTGAGCCGACGAAGTCTCCTGTCCCAGCACCGTCGTTCTCGAAGGCTGTAGAGTTGAGTACAACGCTATCTTTGAGTAGTTGCTTGACCTCTCTAGATAGTGCCTCGGTCAGCTTCCCAGAACTCAGAACTTTTGACTCTTCGGCCTCTGTCGCGGTCGTGCCAAAATCGTCGACAAACCGAGACTCCCCTACAACACCCGCAACAATAGTCATATCATTCGTTGTTAGTGTTCCGGTCTTATCCGAGCACACCGTCGTGGCGTTTCCCATTATTTCGCATGACCGAAGAAGTCTCACCAAATTCTTATCCTTCAGCATCCTCGTTGTTGCGAAGGCAAGGGCCACTGCGACAGCAAGCGATAGCCCTTCTGGCACTCCGATGACCACGAGGTTCACCGCCAGCATGAAGATATCGAGAAACTCTTCTCCCTTTTCCTGTGGCGAAAGATGAGATAGTTCGCCCCGGCTCATCTGCACGAGCCAGCGAATGAATAAGATCAGGAAGAAGATAATACCAATGCCAAATCCGATAAAAATAAGGTACTTGGCAAGTCGACCAAGCTTCTGCTGCAATGGAGTCTCTTCGACATCGCCTCGAAGGGAGAGCTGGATTCGACCATGCGTGGAGTTCGGCCCCACGGCCAGGGCAATATAATCGCCGACACCGTGGACAACGCGTGTGCCGCTGAAGATGAAGGGATCCACGTCCTTGGTGCTACGTTTCCGGTTTGCCTCGTCGATCGATGCGGCTGGCGTCTTGTCGACCAGGTCTGACTCGCCCGTCATAGGACTCTCGTCGACTTGCACACCAAATCCGTCCACCAGTATGCCATCCACAGGAGCCACGTCCCCGGCCTCGACACGGAGTAAGTCGCCAACGAGCAGATCGAATACGCTGATCGTCACATGCTTCCCCGATCTCATCACCGTGACCGTCCGCTCTTCCTTCTTCTGATTGAGCTTCTGGAACTTATAGTTCTTGTGGTAGTCATTTAGTGCCTGCACGAGGATGATTACTATGATAGCTGCGACAATAGTCACACTTTCAACCCATTCGAGGCTTGCACCAGGTGCGCCGCCTTTTTGCTGTATCTGTACAGCTTGGTAGATACCGAGAGCAAGAGATACAGTGGCAGACGCCATGAGGAGAAAAATGAGCTTGTCGTTCATAGCGAGCCAGCAGAGCTGCAAGAACGACCTCTGCCTCGGCGGCGGGAGTCGGTTCTCCCCAAAGATGCGGCGCCGGTCCGAGTATCCCTTGTTCTCTGCCGGTTCAAGACGCAGTTGCTCAGCGAGGCCGTGAATACCATGTCCCTCGCTGTGGCCGCGTCGAGACAATGTGTCGTGCTGCACTTGGAGTTTGGGATCGGGTGTGAGGATGCTGCTGCTGCTCTCCTTGCAGGCGCTCTGGGCCGAGATGAGGCCTTCGAGCTTGTCCTCGTCCAAGCTCAGTCCTGACGCGGCATCGGTGCGCAGCCCGTAGGCAAGCCCTGTCAGCCCGCCGAATGCCTGCAGCGCGGCAACGCTCCGCGCAACGGCCAGTTTGTGCAGGTGGCCTGGCGCGAAGGCGAAGGGATTGTCAGGGACATTGTCATCACTATTTGCAGTGAAGTCAATCTCGAATCGAGGAGCATTTTTGCGGCTTGTAAGTGACTCAATCTGAACATCCTTGGACTGCGAGGGCGATGTCAAGGTCTTGTGGTCAGTCATCTTGGTACTGACATCTCGCGTGCCACAGGACAAAGACCCTCAGCTGACTGGGAAGTGGATCAAGCAACAACTAAGTATGTCAACAGAGTCTAGATTCTAAGACAACGACCGGCATGCCCGAGATATTGCCAAGTCACGATCTTCACCACTGATCGTGTCTGCTCGTGCATGGGAACCCACTGGGACCAGCCAGCGCAGCGCCCTATGGATCCATTGGGTCTATCTGGTCACACTTCCAAGACAAAAGAGTGGTAGAAGTGACGTGATGAGGCTCTGGGCGCAGTCTTTTGTTCCCTGCTAGGGAAAGGTGCCAAGACTGGCCAAGACATGCCTGCATGGTATCCAGCCGCCTTCAAAACCGGGCAGACTCTCTGTGCTCTCTGGCACAGGGGCTGCGGTGGTCTTCATTGCGTGTACTGTAGGAGTGCAATATAGCAGGCGTGCCATCAAGGTTCGAAAAAGAGGAGACACCGAAACGCGAACGACCGCCGTATACGACGTGATTAGTCGGCAAGTCTGCCAGTCTAGCGGCTCCAAAAACGGGGGCTAAACACGTAAGCCGACCGACCAGCTCGGTGTTAGGGCACTGCTCCTCCGCTTTCTTGGCCCGGTTTTGTCTCCGCGTTTTTGCGGCGCTTTTGCGGGGACTGTTTGTTTTTCTTCGCGACTCTTGCTCGGGACAGAACCTTGTAAACGTCAGGAAATTCATCCAACAGTCTAACCGAGCTTTGCATCGAATGACCGCGTCTCAAAAGCCAATTTGACGCACAATCCTCCAAGCCAAATGTGGAGCCACCCGTGGAACTTTTATCAAAAGATCCATAGAAAGAACGAGTGAATATCGAATCTGGTGATGGCACCTTTGCTCAGATTTGGTTCACTTCACAATAGTGATAAATGACAACTCCGAAGGATTATCGGGTAACTAGTAAAACTGAAACAGATCTCGGTATGCAATCATGCTATGCATGGTGGAAAACGCAGTTCATAGGATGCTGCGCCTTTGTGTGGAACAGTGAGAATGGCTCCCTGTACGATTCCACCATTTATTGCCTTTGAGAGTTTTGCTGTCCTCGAGCATGTAGATGTTGGCCTCGTGGGATTCCAAGAATTGAAGCATGGTCGTAGACACTTGCCATCCAATACGCGACGCTGTTCTTGCAATGGATGCAATTCTCACCATGTGGTTGATGAACGTGCTTTGAGTCATTCTCCAGACTGTCTATCTTTTCGAAGACCCACACAAGCATCATACCAAGGCAGGCCGGCCGAGCAGCCGGGTCCGACAATCTGGAGTCGTTAGGAAATTGAAATGTGAAAACCATGTAATGTTCCTGAGGTTGCATGCATCTTGAACCATAGAAAGTAGCTGCGCATTTCTGGGACTCTGCCTGGATCTTGCCTTTCCCGTTATGCAACGCTCGTTTCCTCTTCCAGAATGCACTGGGTATGCTGAGGCTCGTGACACATCACGTTCCTGGCACTGCGTCCGTGACTGGCTCAGACCTTGCGGCGGAGGAAATCGTCTCATCACACAGGCAATCAAGCCGCGCAACACTGTACGGTATCAAATTGCACAGATCAGTGTTGTATTTTGATGCTCTGCATATCAACATTATCACTGGTAGACTTCTTGAACTCGAGTACACCTTGGTTTCCATGTATACTGCCCGTGACAAAGTGACCAAAATGTTGCCAACCAAGCAGACGATGCCGAGACTATGCCGAGACTAATTTTCGAGAGAGCGACCTGGCCTGGTACGGTATTTGACAAGGTATAGGCGAGGCTGAAACTAGCCGACCACGAGGTTGTGGTAATCCACGTGTGGAGAAAAGGACTGTGCATTCTCTGATATATTGCGGCGGAGGTGTGATTGAGGCCTTGAGAAGCAGAGAAGCCGGAAAAAGCCCGGCTTCGAAATGTTTCCACCACCCTGTGGATGTCTTCGGTCCAACCTTACCGGAAGTGTTCAGGCCTCACCCCACAAATCCCCAGGTGGATTGGAATGCTTGTCCGGGCTTCTAAACGTTCTGCGTGTCGGATGTTCCATTCCGACTGTCCGTGTATTCAAGCTCGCCATTCAGGCATTTAACGGCAAACCGCAACGGACCCTGCCGAAGCAACGGTGCGAAAAAGGCTGTCTCTCCCGTACTGCACCCGAATGTAACCGATCATCATGGCCGATTATGGCAACTACCTCGCCATAGAGAGACCTAGAAGAATCGACTCCTCGTGCTCCTCATTGATGGCATGCGTCTGCCCTCTACATGTAAGTCAAGAATCCAGAAGCTGCACATAAGAGTTTGATGATTCGTTATGCAGCCTTCGGGATGCTCACGGTCAACAGATCATGTGCTTTGACTTCTTCACTAATCGACATGGCTGGGACGGAGGTGAATCCCAGTAGGCGGTTGCTTCTGGCGAGCAAAAAGTAAAACTCTGCTTGGATTTCCCCCCATCTAGGCCAAGTGCCATAAAAGTCCTCGTGTCACCGTAAGAACATGTCCAACCGACCTTTAATTTTAGCAGGCGAGAATCGGAGATTGACAGTCAATAGGCTCTGCAAGACGTAGAGTGACAATGCCTGGCAGTGCCATCCGGCATTCCCGGCTGCCTGTTGTGTGTAGGATGTCGGCACCTGAAGAATGGCGAGGTTGCTTTTCAGCCCTGATTCCAATCCCGACTCACATCATACGATCTGCTCGTGGGAAAAACGCGGAAGAAGTACTAAATCTTGCAGCAGGGATCCGCACCCCAGACCATTGCCCCTGGAGTCAGTTGGGGGACTCAGGGCCGTCAGGGCTGTCAGTTCCCGAGGTCCGTGGGAATTTTGGACCCTGAGCAGCCGGCGGTGGGGCTAGAATCGAACCTTGCAGGGCTCCAAATGCGCGTGGTCTCTATCACTGTGGATGCCCAACTGAGTCGACGTCATGCCTTTTTCGCTGCGGTAATTACCAGAGAAGCCTTGAGCTAGATCAGAAAACTTCGATACCACCCAAGATGGCAAAGGCCACAAGAAAGTGACAGTTGACACATCTCAGCGCTTCGGCCCCCTCACCCCTGCTCCCCATCGCCTAAGATCTGTCTCCCACTAGCCCATCATCGCATCCCCAATCCGCTTTCCGATGAGATATCAGTCTCGCCAGAAGGTCTGGAGACTATGTCGACCCATCCAGACGCTGGAGCCCGTTTTCTGTCGCAAACACTAGAGAGCCGATTGTGACATATCATGTCCCCAGATCTGAGTCTCCTTCCCTAAAGCTAATAGCATGACTGGGTCCACTAGAAATCATACGATTACGCCGGTGAAAGTTTTCCTAGTAGCTTCCTCAGCGTATCCAGAGCACTAGCATCTTAAAACGGAGACTATGGTTCCTGTTGTACTTAAAGTGAGAATGCCGTTGTAAGAATCAGGAAGAGCCGCTCCGATTTGGCGCATCCTGTTGAGCTGAGGTTCACATCCTGGAACTTTTTCATCCCTGATCCAACATATATCTACGGAAATATCCTCATCCTCGTATACCTCATTCGATTATTCCACACCTTGGTCATGTCTTTCACCCTGTCTTACCAGCAGATGAGGCTGGTCAAGGCCACGATCCCAACTCTCCGGGAGAAGGGAGAGACCATCACGACAATTTTCTACAGAGACATGCTCAGGAATCATCCAGAGCTCAACAATTTTTTCAACTCAGTAAATCAAGCCAACCACAGACAGCCTCGAGCTCTAACGTCAATCATTCTTGCATTTGCGAGTGCCATCAACTACGATATGAGTGAGCTCATCCCAAAGCTAGAGCGCATGTGCAACAAGCACTGCTCCCTCGGAATTAAACCAGAGCATTACGAGATAGTGGCCGTCTACCTCATTCGGGCATTCAAGCAGATACTCGGTTCAGCAATGACTCCAGACACAGAAGTAGCATGGAATAAAGCATACTGGATCCTCGCCAAGATGCTCATTGGACGGGAGAAGCAGATATACACAGCCTTCGGGAAATGGTCAGGATGGAAGCCATTCAAGATCGAGCGCAAGGAGTCTGAGACTGACGACATTATCTCGTTCTATCTCACGCCTCAGGACAAGAAGCCCTTGCCTGGCTTCCTCCCAGGACAGTACATATCGGTGCAGACGAGCATACCACACGTGGGATATTTCCAGTCGCGGCAATTCTCCCTCAGCGATGCGCCACATGAGAGCTATTATCGCATCACGGTTAAGAAGGAGTCTGGCCAAGCAGAGTATCCCCCAGGTGTCATGACGAGTTTTCTGGTAGACGCCCTCAGCCCGGGCGACTTCGTCGATGTGACACACCCTGCGGGGGAGTTCTTCCTCGACACCAACGACTGGTCCAGCGTCCCCGTAGTGCTAATCAGTGCCGGCGTGGGGGTGGCACCGATGGTCAGCATGCTCAACACAATGATGGACCTCCAGCCTATGCGGGAGGTCAGCTGGATCCATGGGGCGAGGCGGATGATACCGTTTTACAACCACATCAGGGACGTCAAGAAGAAGATGCCGAACCTGAGGACAAACATCTTCAAGACTCATCTAGCCGAACAAGACTTGGCTGGTGTGACTTATGACTACGACTTCCGCGTCGACCTAGCAAAGGTCAACCGAGAAGACTTGTTTCTGCACCATGGTGGCACTGAGTACTTCATCTGCGGGCCTGAGCAGTTTATGATCGAAATGGCGGATTACCTCAAGATGCAAGGGGTTGGCATACAACGCGTCAAATTCGAGCTATTCAGCACCGGTGATATGGTTGAAATCAAGTAACGCTACGTTGGTCTCTGAACAATATATTGGTTCAATTGGAACTAGACATGGCCAAAGTCTATCATCCTAAGCAGAAGAAGACGAAGACTCCTTGGGTGCATGGAACTTAAACACGGCAATGGCGGCAGGTCCGTCGAAGTACACCACTCTCCTGGCACAAAAGGAATAGGGGCCGCCACTAAAGGGGTCACGCGGGCTTATCGCCAATCGCAGTTTGAGTATGACAGATCACACGTGGTACTCGGTTCACCGATGGCAAATCGTCAGGTCCGTCAATCGAAGATGTTTCCGGTTGGAATCAATAGATCAGGATGGGAATTGGGTTAATGGAAAGGCGGTCAGGCGAGAATCGAGCGATACTCTTACGATAGAGCTCGGGGTCACGAGAATTACTGGACGAGACGTCGATGGCATCAAATGGTACAAAAGTGGGGTTTGGAAATGGATAGGCATTTGAGTCATTTGCTTCGGTTAACGTTCAGCCAAGCTATCTATGCGGTGTGATTGTAGAGCTACGCGATCCTCGCCTACACACCTTGCTTTACATCACCAGAACTTTCTTTTCTCAGTTCATAATCGCAATCATTGTACTACTCCAAACTCAGTCGATCTATGGCACACAATTTCTGATGTTCGAGACAGGATTCAGCAAAGATCCAAGCTCGTGACAATTGCCTTGTCAAAGAACTATCTAATTGTGGCGACAGAAAACTTGAAGTATCAAGCTGGTACAAAGATCTTGTAGGCTCAAGGATCAAGTCAGGTCTTTGTGGCTTCAGTCTCGCTTCAAAGACCGCAACCGGGTTTTAGACGAGCACTAGACTACGGCATCTGAGGGTTAGAAATTTGGTGAAACTAAGATGAGTTCATATATGCGAGATCATATGTCTTTGGGATCTCGGCCAGCATCGTCTTTGATTCTGTGGCGATCTTCCTGATCCGGTAAACAAATATCATTGTAGAGAAGAGCAATAGGGTATTGTAAGCGACGCAATGAAATAAATTGACCAATCGTGGTATCACTGCTGAACACAATTCCGGAACCTCAGGAACATGACTCCTCGAAAAAACATATTTAAGGGGGTGGTGGCCCCCTTCCGTCTCCCCCGCCACCTGGGCGTCTGCCCGGTCCGCCAGGCCTACCGAAACCTCCCCAGTAATTATCTCCGTCCCCTCTTATGCTCGACGAGTTGGCGCATCGGGGTGTGTCATAGTCTTCCTTCGTACCAAACGGCCACATCGGGATAAGGCACACCTCGTCCACATCACATTGAGAACAGCGCTTGAAGCGGGCCCATCCCAGGTACTCTACCAAGCTTCGGATAATATGCATGGTATCTGAAAGCTTGGACGTTTCCAGTCCAGCAGCATCGGAGCTCTTGCTGGACAGGATCTCCCTCGCGTCAAATAGCTTGGTGCAAATCTGTGATGTGACACTTTTGATCGCAGCATGTATCAGATGGTCTGCTTTAGTCTGAGGAGAGATGCCATGAAGATAAAAGTCGGTACATCGATTTATGGCAGAAGGTATTTGGTCGACATCCTTGCCCGAATAGTCAATGTAGACGGTCAGAAGGTGATTGATCTCGCCAAGCAATTGGTCCGCTGAGGTAACCTTTTGGGTCATGTACTTGAATCTGTCCGCATACCGGGTCACAATGAGGTCTGTCACATCTTGCCAATCAACAGTACGACTGAAGTTGTCGGGTGTCTCAGAGATGATACGGTTTAGGTCGGCTTTGATGGCAGCAAGCTCCGCATCAGTGACGTTGGCAAGACGTGGCAAGTCGGGTCGCTTGGGGTCTGGATTTGTCAAGTTGACAGGGTAGAAGAAGGCCGACACCATTGTCGAAAATTCGATAGTTGTCCTGGATGACCCGATTTCGTAGTAGCGTTCAGACAGAGCGCGCATGAACTCGAAATTTCTCACGTCCCCGTCCTTCCCACGGTCACGATCGGCAGGATCTGGCCGTTGTAGGGCTTGTATTTCCTCAAGACCGTCTTGGAAATCGCAATGTATGATTTCGAAGCCAGCTTCCATACGTATTATACCGGATAGATCCCAGTAGTAACACATCTCGCAGAGCTCATAAGCCCGTCTCCTTTCGTCCATTGGTCCACCGGCCCTCTTGCCCATGTGCGGTGGCTTGTCCATTGTGTACACCGTGGTTTTGTCACCTCGGAGCAGGTAGTCTTGAGTATCCAATGTCCCCATAGATGTTTTGCCACCGCTCATTCCGTCGACATATAGATATCGTAACGGCCGAGTTGTGCGATAAGTGTGAAGCCATCCACCTTGGCCCTCCATGTCATGGACATCCGATGGAGACTCAGCAGGGGGCTCATCGCCCATCACATGCTGTGATGTGCCTTCATCCTTCATCCGTATCAAGTCAAATTTGCTTTGCGCCTCGCGACTTCCAGATGGTGGTTTCCTGTCGTTGTTTGGCGGTGGAGGATGACCATCATCAGGAGGGCCTCGACCACCGCCGGGTGGGCCTCTTCCTGGAGGTCCATGTCTTCCGCGTGCGAAGCCTTCGGCGTGCTCGATCTCGTAGGCAAGCCACTCTGGGCCATCTGGTGATGTTTCGTTGTCATTGCCGTGATGGAAAATTACACCCTCAGGGACCGTTGCTAGATAAACGGACATGCCATTGTGGTGAAGAGACGAGCCCCATTGTCGCATGGCATTATTGATAGCGTTGAAGATTTGAGATCCACGGCTTTTGGCATCGTCGAGACTGGGGCCGAAGCCCTTGGGCAGAGGAGGTTCGTTTATCGCCGCATGGGTCAGACTCGAGGCGACGAGCGTCACGGCCAGAATCCGGGATGCCATGGTCCCACAAGAGCTCTCGAACACCGGGGAAAAGAACACACGACAATGCTAGGAGGACAGCCGTTCTGAAGTCATAGGAAACACAACTAGACATGAATGAAAGGAACAAGTACAAGCATTTAATCTTTGGGACCATGCTTCAGGGCTCAGCCCATGAATCAGAAGTCGGACGGGATCGCCCTGGACGCGCGGCCACGAACGATTGGCCGCGAGCGGCGGTCTCCCGATTACGTATCGCCGAATTCTACCGAGCCGAGTCCAAAGTGCAAGATCTAATCTTATCTAGTCAATCGAATCCATGCTCAAGCTGAAAACCCCCCGGGCGATGACAATTGCTGCAGCATGAGGACTGCTTCCCGTCTAGACTAATTTGAGCATCAATCTACCATCTCCGTGGTGCCTTTGTTTTTAATGCAATTCAGAGGCAGCTTCGGCCATCGAATGGCACAAGCCTTGTAGACAATGAGCAGGTAAGCGTGGTCTAGAAATAGACAGACAGCGCCTGGGAACAAGCCTAGGTATCGACACAGTACAATGCGGCCGCTTGTGGCCTGTGACAAACCGACCGGGCATTATTACGACCCGATGGTTGACTCTCTGCCAGCCTGAATAGACAGCTCAGTAACACAGATCCCTTTCAAAGATCAAAGCATGTCATCGCATTAAGCTTAGATCATGTGACACAACATACAAGCAAGGGAAGGATGGAGTGGCGAGAATTCTCGACTCCAGCTCTACTTGCCACCAGCGAGCATTCCCGACAACTACCCTCCTATACTCGTACATTCAGGCCAAATCGAGCCACAACCTGAATGTATGAGCACAGACTATCATACCAGACATGTCAAACACAGAAACTTTCAAAGTTATCATAATAGGCGGCGGTCCGACCGGTCTGGCCCTGGCACACATGCTTCATCTGGCTGGCATCGACTACAAGCTCTACGACAAACGCAAGGACCTCTGCGAGCGCCATGGAGCAGGACTCGCTATTCAACCACAGAACTGCCGCATCCTAGAACAACTAGGTATCTTGGACGAGGTGATTCAACAAGAGCTGGCGCCTGAAATGCAGGTGCACCGTGAAGTCAATGCCGATGGAAATATCCAGGCTGAATATCCCTTCTTCCACTGGCTCAAAGAGAACCATGGCTACACTATGTTGCTTTTTGAGCGGTGGCAGTACCTTCAACTTTTATACGACACTCTACCGGACCGTGAGAGCCACATTGTAATCAACAAGACTTTCCAGTCGCTGTGCATGATTGGGGACGCAAAAGTCGGAGTTAGGTTCACGGACGGTTCAGAAGATGAAGGTTCAATGGTGATTGGTGCTGATGGAGTTTATAGTAGGGTCAGAGATTGTGTGATTCACCAAGCACCCAAATCCGTCTTCGAGCACAAGCCTTACAGGATTTCGTTCAGAGCTTTGTATGGTGTTGGAACTCTTCCCGCAGGGTTGGATTCTGGTGTCGTGCGAGAAATTCCTCACCAAGGATGGTGGTTCCAAATAATTTCTCAACCTCAACGGGTATTCTGGATGCTCTACCAGGCCCTCGATCGGCCAACGACACATGCAACTTTCTATAGAGAAGAAGAGGCCGAAGCTCTAGCTGCACAACATGGAGACTGCCCCGTCGGAGAAGGCTTAACCTTGAGAGACCTGAGGACCTCAAAGACGTTTGAGAAGCTTGCAGTACTGGAGGAAGGAATCGCGCCAAAATGGTACTGGAAGAGGGTCGTGCTCATTGGAGATGCCGTGCACAAAGTGGTATTTATCCATATGGCCTAGACTTTCAACATCTGCGTACAAAGACTGACATTTCTGCAGACACCAAATCAAGCCCACGGCGCCAATATCGGACTGGAATCAGCCGCTTGTCTGGTCAATCAACTGCGATCCCTGATCAAGCTCAGCCCCAATCCAACTGAGACACAGCTTGAGCAGGTCTTCCACGCATATCAGGCAGTTCGAGCACCAGCGGCAGCGGCATACCTTAAGGGAACCTCTTTTCATCTACGCACGTTGGCAGGGGTCGGATTGAGTCCATGGCAAAGATTCAAATCGCAATACGTCTTGCCAAGGTTGGGTGCCCGATGGATACTTGATCACCAAATTTCCCCACTGCAAGCCCAAGGAGTCAAACTTGATTTCATTGATCTAAGCAATGCTCATGACGGCATACGAGTTCCATATCGGGACACTGAGCGGCGACGGGGCTGGTCAATCTGCACCAGAATCATGACGAGGTTGGCTGATTCCAAGTCTAAACTTCTTTCTAAAGATGCTCAATAAAACGCTTACCTACTGAAGGTGTCGTCTTAATGATCAACTATAAGCCACCCAGTCTGCTTCGCCGCCTTTGCACAGGGCCTTTAAGAGCCGATGGACTTGGGATATCAAGCTGCATTCCTCTTTTTCTCTTTCCTTTTCTTTCTCTTTCTTATTTGTTTTCCTTATATCGCGTGCTTTGCTTCAAAATTACGCGGTCGGCATCAGACGTAAACGCTGCTCTTCAACGCCCCCGCCCCTGACCACTATCTCCCAAAAAGACTGCCTAATGCGCCGCAGCTTCCATGACTACCGACCAGGTACTACTTCCATCAGATGATGCCTAGTATTAACTAGTGATCACGAGCATTGCATCCAGACTTCCAAGTGCCAAAAGTAGCCCTCCCATGGTGAATGCAACTGAGCTCTGCCTGAAAGTGTGTCGATCAGGTGGAGCAGTCGATGTAGTCCCAAAGACTCATGTTTCCGTCACTGTTCTTGGTTTCCACCTTGGTATCAGTTCCAACAGCAGGTCCTACAGCGGGGCCAAGTTCTGGGAGGCCACGCTTTCGATAACCACGGGGGTCGTCCATCCACTTCTCCACCTCCTGCACGGCTCGTCGAGGCTCCACTCGGAATTCTTTGAAATATTGCTGAAGGAGGGCAGGGCTGAATTCTTTTTCCCGGATCCTCGCTGCGAACTCCTCCGCCAGGCGCTTTATGTCTTCCTCGGTCCAGTCCTCGACCTGGGGGTTGCCGGGCTGATATGGGGCCCAGCGCTCTCCTGAGTAAGCGTGGATGAACATGTCCACAGCTTGTTGTTTGGTCACGTTGGTGAAGGTGACAACAATGTCGGCACGGCCGGTTCGGATCAAGGCCTCGTCGAGAACCTCGATATGGTTTGTAGTCATGATGAGGATTCGTCCTAGAAAAAGCCTGGTTGTCAGTGTCTCTATTTACCAACTACCATGTTCAAGGCGGTTTGGATGCCTAGCGTACCTTCCGCAGCTCCAACACCATCTATTGCATTCAACAGTCCAGAAAGTGTCACGGTGTTCTTATTCTTGTCGTCGTCATCCTCGTCGTCATCCGCCGCAGGCTTTTCCATTGAGTTGGCCCTCGTGAGAGGCCTGGTAGCGTCGATATCTTCCAGCAGTACAACACAGTGGAAAGGTAGTTCTGAGAACAGGTCCGCAACACCTTTGTCAGTCAATTTGGGCAGGGATAGATTGAGGACCAAGACAGGGAGGCCAAAGTGTCCAGCAAGCGCAAATGCGAGGGATGATTTTCCCGTGCCGGGTGGACCACTGAAAAGATATCCTAGGCGACTGAGGAGTGGGAGGCGTTAGCAGACGACGGCAACTGACTAGACTTTTCGTGACAGTCAGAACATCTTACACTGGAAGTCCCTTGCGGCGGTACCAACGTACTCCAGCAGAAGACAGAAATGCTCGAATATCAGCGACCATAGTGTCCATCTCACGCCGGTTTATAAGCACCGTGTGAAGAGGCCGCTTAGGACGAAACCGGTTGAAGGTCCAGTCCCAGGTCCTTCCTCGAAATGGGGACTTTCTTGGGCTGAGAATTCTCGTATGCTCTGAGAATTCGTCATTGTTCTTCTCGTCGATCATCTTTAAGAAATCTGTCATAGGCTCTGATTTGTAAAGGTTAGTCCACTCTGCACCGTGCACAACCTGGAACGCCAGCATACGTTTTTGGACAGCATGGATTGAGATAAAGGGCGAAGCAAGTTGTTCCCGAAGATCACTTGCTTCAGGTTGTCAGGTTGGGAGCTAGGGTACTTACTGATGCTCAGATTCCAAGTAAAACAGTAGATGTCCAAGTAAATGTCAGGAACAACGTTGCCATTGGAAGAAAGTCTTTGATCGTTTCGGATCTTCAGCCAGAAGTATGCTCCGTTGTGCCAGAAGCTGATCGTATCAAGTGTTGGCTCGAGTGAGACGGACTACAAATGATTGAAATGAACTGTTAGTATGTAAAAACTCGAAAGCCTGGTGCTTTGGCATAGCCGTGCTCATTTTAGGAAAAAAATTGAATACACCCACATTCCGTTTTCTGATCTTCTGGATATCGTCGGTAGAATTTGCTCCATCAGGGAAGTCAATGCCCGTGTCATTCAAGCTCTGACGACGGGTTTTCTCAGATGCTAGAAAGAGTCTGCCATCGCGAAACTCTGGGCTTCCATTCACCCAGTCACAGACTCGATCGTAGGAGTCACAGTAAGTTGGAATGGAACACTTGGTGTGCCAATTTGCAAGAACAATGGCTCGCAGAGACTTCCAGACCGAGTTCAACAAGTAAAATAGCACTGCGGAGCAAACGGTAGCACCAAACAGAAATCCATACCATGAGGCGAAAAAGTTTTGAATGGCATCATCGACCCAATGTTCGTGCTGGGAAATGAATCGCTCAAGAGAGGGTACGTAAGAGATCACAGAGCGCCAGTTCATCAGGACTGGCCACACAGCGACTGAGGACAGGCCCAAGTCCCGCAGAGATGTGATGATATCAACTGGAGACATCTTTCCCTTGAATGACTGCTTACTTGAGTTAGATTTCGGAAGCTTTCTGAGCTGTTGTTCGTCGTACTCGTGTGCCTGGCAGTAGAAGTTGAGGAGGCTAGTAGAAAGCAGCCTGCCCAGGTGTTGAGGATTTTGATTCTTAAGGACTCGGTGCTTCCAAGTCACTGGTCCTTGCTGAGATCAGACGACCTGGTCAGAAAGAGCGACTCACCCCGCCAATCAAAGGACGAGAGTGATAGGATCTGGCTGGCTGGTTCTTGCTGTTGTTCAGCAGATGGGGGCTTCGTCACAGACAAGAGTTGTAAGCACGGGATACCAAACTTGGGTTGGCAAACACAAAAGCTGATGGGTTTATTGGGCCTACCGAATTGTTTTGTAAAATAGTAAAGTGGTCATGATGAGTTGGACTGTCTCTCACCCTACTTGAACTCCATTGGCAATTGCAAACCACATCTTGCTGTTGTTGTTCCCTGTGGCTTTTTGGTTCACCTCCAAATTCATTAATCGGGAGTTGTGAGGAGCAGTGCCAATTCCACGCAACGAAGACTGGTCCTACTATGAATCATCCGTCAGGGTCACTCAAGCATTACGACGCCACCGGGTGCTTTCCGAATCATTCCTCAGTGGCATCTTGACTTTGGACTTTGTGTCACTATAAGAATCTTTCCCCTATTTTCCTTGGCAACATCTGTTGTTCCATTGCTGAGTTCGTTGGGCGAGGACATTCTGGAGGGAACCATGTGGGAGACACTACTGTAGGACTTGGCAAGTGGAAGTAGCTTAGATAGGTCAACTGCACCCTGCTGGGATCGCTGCAATGCGGGGGCGGGGCAGACTGTGGACACCAAACATCTGCGCCTTATCTCGACAACACATTTCCTCTCAACCTATCTGCTCGCACGCAACAGAGTCCAGCATTCGAAAGCTTGCTGGTATAAACATCAATGGAAGGCATCTACAGGCTTCCGTTAGAGCTTCGCGAGGCTATATGGAGAGAGTGCCTGCCGGACCCAGCCAGCTCAGAAGTCTATTTTTACAACCGCAGCCACTTTGGGCCAGAGTCGACAGCGAGCGCAGGAGACGGACCAGGGAGCCTTGCCAGGTTCAAAGTAGTCGTCGACTATCCTGTCATTTTGCATGTCTGTCATGAATCTCGCCACTTCGCCTTGAAGGGCGGTATTTCCTTCCAGTGGTTCCGACGGCGTCTACTCCTCCGATCGTCTACGGAGATCGCAGCACAGTCGAGCCACGTGCTCCTCCCTTGTCGGCAGTACCGGCCGGAGACCGATATCTTCTTCCTCACTGAGGATGTCCTTGGTGACATGTTGGAAGTAGATGAGCGGCAGCAAAATGACCCCGCTGGTATTTTCCAGAGCATTCGCCACCTGGCATTTGGATCTTGGCACTTGACGGACGATGTGGCCATTGACTTTTGGCAGGCCGACTTCCTCTGCACTCTTCCCTCTCTACGCCTCGTTTCGGTTGTTTTCGACCACTATTGGGGCCTCGAGGCCTCGGCAGGTGTGAAAGAGTATGAGACCTTCCGCCATTTCAGGCTGGCCCCCTACACCTGCGACACGGCCATGATTTGCCCCGGTTCTGAAGAGGATGGGCTTGAATTCATCCCGGAGCTGGGCCTGAGGAATGTGCCAGATTTTATAAAAGATCTCAACGAACGACTGTCTTCGATCGATCCTCATGAGGACAATGCGCCTTGGAGCAGCAAGTCTCACAGGTGGTTATTCAGGTTCTTTGCGAAGAAGTTCATTCTTGCTCACGACTAGCCACCTGGAATGTATGAAGCGCACTATGGACAGGTACCTCTACCCTGGGAACGGCAGAACCGCAGGACTCTTTTTCCCATCTGTACCTACAGCCCGAATACCGAATTGAACAGCATCCTTCGGCAAATTCACCGTTACATTTCCCACTTTCCCAACGTCGAGGCTGCGCGTCCACTGTAATGCACCACTAGGCCTCCAGACGAGCTCATAGCTCGCCACCAACGGATCGTTGCCCGTCACCCACGTGAATTGGCTATCGTTGCTCACCACCTCGAGCGGCGTCTCCTCGCTGGCCGCAGGAAAGCCAGTAATCTGCGAAATAGTCACGTTCTTTGGCAAGGCCGGTGCATTCGCCGCGCTCCACATGCTCGCGAGGTTGACCCGCGCGACACGAGCCGTGTAGTCAAAGTCCACGTATTCGACGAGGTCGCCATACTGGACGCCGTCTTGCATGCGCACGTCCTGATGTTGGTGAGTAAAATCCTCCACGGCTTCCGTGAAGCGAATTGCAGGGAAGCCTTGGGCCAGGAACGACTGGTGGTCTCCGCCTCGGAGGAATCGGTCAGCCCGGTATATAAGAGCGACCTGCATGTCGACCTCTTCGGCGGCACCGGCTGCAATCTCGGCGATGAAGCGGCCCAGGTTGCGCGCTGGGGAGTCGTTCTCGTACCCGATGTTGCCAATCCGCTGCTGATAGGCGGCAGTGCTTGCGTTGGGATACAAGATGCTTGCGCCGAACAACCGAACCGTGTAATTGTTGATGGGCGAGAAGGGTGAAAACTGGCCTGTGCCGACAATATCGTTGTTCCAGTTGCCCTCAACGTTGTAGCCCTGCGCCTTGAGCGTCTGAGCAAGGTGCGCACTGCCGAAGAGTGACTGCTCTTCTCCCGCCACCGCGGCAAAGAGCAAAGTCGCTGCGGGCTTCAGCTTGGCGCACACCCGAGCCATCTCCATGACCACCGCGACGCCACTGGCGTTGTCGTCTGCTCCGGGCGCGTCGTTCGTGTAGTCTGACACGTCGAGCCGACGGCTGTCGTAATGGCCAGTAACCACGTAGACACGATTGGGATCAACTGTGCCATTTATGCGCGCCACGACGTTGGTTATGTTAACCGGAAATGGTACTCGGGTTGCGACAGGCTGGATATAACTGTTGAAGAAGACGTCCATGTTTCCATCAGATTCGGCGGCGACATCCTGCATTTGGTTGTAAATCCAGTCTCGCGCGGCTCCGATGCCCCTGGTTGAGGAATTCTGAATCGAGAGCGTGTGCCTCGTGCCGAAATTGGCCAGCGTCGTGACGATGTCCTCCACGCGTGACTCGTTGATGGCCGCGATTGCTTCAACGAGCTGTTCGTCTGGCTTTTGCGGCGTGAGTGGCTCACCGAGATCCGTCACCGGCCAATTCACGTACGCCCATTGTTGTTCCGGAGGGCCGTAAAGGCTGCCGGGGAGATTTGCCCATGCCTGTGCCGAAACAGCCGGTAAAGTCGCCAGCTGAAGCAGCCCCGCGACGAGGACCTGGGACATCATTGTGGCTAACGTAGTTGGACTGAACCCTTGAGAATATCCCAAATCCAATTTTGCGACCTCGACTGCAGCCAGCCTGCTTTTTAAATCGTCAGGGAGCCGATTTATCCTTCATATAACCTCACCATCTTCTTGCATGACGATATCGACAGCTCATCCATGTCGTCGATCTGCTCTACCGGTATCTCGTCACGGCTCTAGAAGTGCACAAGACAGGGCCAAGGTCGCCAGCGCCGTTGCATGCGGGGTCGATAAGGTTAGGTCGGTGCCGAAATAGGCAGGTCAATGTCATTTCAAAGGATCTTAACGTGTAAAGGAAATGGGTATTTGTTCGTCTACTCTATCTGTCTATATGTATGTACAGTGCTGACGTCGTTGAATTTTGATATGTACGGAGCTGCGACTAACCAGCTTTAGGTGCCTTGGAGTGCCATAATTGGCAGACACCACATGTTGTTGCTCTCTACAGGCATTTGCACCTTCGACGATGCAGTGGAATCCGTGGTGTTGCACTATCGAATGATGCAAGAGGGACGCTCTTGCCATCATTTGATAGTACCCCTCAGATCCGAGTGTCGGTCTTACTCATGGTGCCAGTGTCTTCATGAATCCGGCTGGGAATGATGTCTACTCATCCAGGAGGAATACGTTGTGCTCCAGAGCACGAGCGTTGATCTGCGAATGAAGACATTAATTAGCCAATGATCAAACTCCAAGACAAAGAGTCGAAGAGATCTCAGGGAGCACTCACCACCTTGCTGCTCACGTTGCGCAGGTCAGTCACGCCGGCCTGGGCGCCGTCATGGACAGTCTCATTCTTCAGGATCTGGATCGCCTTCCTCACGCCGTCGACGCCGAAGCAGTTGGCGAACATGAACGGCCGGCCCATGCCGATCATCTTAACGCCCAGGGCGAGCAGCTTCAGAACGTCGGTTCCATACCGGATACCAGAGTCGGCCATGACATCCACAGTCGTGAACACCTGCGGCGCGTTGCGGTGGATCTCGTACGCGATCTCGAGCGAAGAAGGGCTGTGGTCTAGCTGGCGGCCGCCGTGGTTGCTGATCCAGATTGCAGGTGCGCCCTTCTCGATGGCCAGCAGCGCGTCCTCGACGGTGGTGATGCCCTTGGGGATGACGGGCAGCGAGGTACGGTTGCGGATCTGGTCGTATAGATCCCAGGTCAGCGCCGAGGTGACGCTGTTGGCGTTGGTGGTGTCGTAGCGCGCCGCGCGGTGACGAGTGGAGTCGCCGGGGGCGTCAATGGTCCAGACGAAAGCCTTCACGCCGGCAGCCTCAGCGCGAGCCATATTATCCCAGGTAACGCTGAGGTTGGAGTTGGAGTAAATCTGTTGGAAGATGACCTCTAATATGTGTTAATCGCTTGCTACGGAGCCTAGAATGGTGCATTCTGGAACATTCCAAAACACAATAGACAGGGAACCGTAAAAGGAGAAAATTTGTGCTCACGTTGGCCGTTCAGGGTGCCGTTGTGCTTCTGAGCCTGGATCTCCTCGATGGTCTTGGAGGCGTAGAGCGCTGCGACATAGAGAGTCTCCTCGGCGGCACTGGCGTCGACAAAGTTGAGCTCTCCCCGCTCTGGGTCAGCGTAGCCGGCACGAGCTGCCGGTGAGATGAAGAATGGGGCAGAGAAGTTGTAGCCCAGGAAGCTGGACGGCAGTGTCTCGCTGAGCTTGGAGACATCGTTCAGCTGACGGGGCCTGAACTTGACCTGGCTCCAGATCTCCAGGTTGTTACGGTACGACCATTCACCACCGTTTCCGGTGCGGTAGAAGGAGTATTGCTGGTTGCTCAGGTAATGACGGGCAGCCCAGTCAAAGTCGGGAATACCTCGCATATCCTTGAGCAGGGGCAGCTCGCCATCGGTGTAGTTGGTGCTATAGAGGTAGGTCTCGAGTCCCGTGTCCGGCTCCTCGAGGAACGGCCGCTCGGCCAGGACAGCGGCGACGAGGAGGCTAATTTGAAAGAGTGAACGCATTTTGTTAATGCCTACTGTATATACAAGCAAATGAGTGTAAATGCGGGACGAGCCTGGAGCAGAAGATCGGGACTGTCTTCCTCAGAATCAGTCCTCGTTGGGCACCTTATTAATCTTTCCCACGGGGCCCCAAACGCAACCGTGATCACCGCCGGCGTCCACTGCTCGCTTGCTTGCAAAGCATTATCAATCTTTGGCCCACGACATGAGTAATGCAAGAATGGATCCCGTTGTGTGCTCTCCTCCATTCTCAGTGCCACGATGCTCTGTATAGTGGCTTTCTTTGGGCCCCTTAATCGGCGCCTTGCATGACTTGAATGAGGGCTTTCAGCGGCCCGATTGGGCAATCCGAGACATACGGCCCCGTCAATTCTTGGATACGGCATGGTGGAGGTGGATTCCGCAAGACTGGCAACGGCCTATGAGAGCATTGCGACGGTAGGTTGTGACGGAGAGGCTCATCTCGCCGCTTGGTTGACTTCCTATATAAGCTTAATTGGGATCCACGACGATGCTACCCAATGATTACATCTCCCTTAGTGCATCTGTCAACAGGGAATGCATGCTCCTCCAACCATGTGAGTGAGTCCAGATGCGGGATACCTGCCTGATTAGTAGTTTTTTATCTACTTGTGCGTGGGATGAACCCAGAGCCAACAGTGTGCGCAGCCCTTGGCAACCAGCTTAGATATGCGCATTGCACCCGATGAACAATCTAACGGGGAGATTTCGCTTCCATTTGTTTCGAAACAAACGGGGACCGAGTTCGACTTCCTTATGCGGATGCCCTGGAAATTTTGGCCGGACCAATCAATCCGACACAGGGCGAGTATCTCGCCAAGGCCTGTGAAGGACTGGTTGATCCCATGATGCCATCAGCCCTGTCCGGACTTCGGATGATTACCGGTGACCCTCGAGGCGATCCAGGGCCAAGGAGCAGATTTTCAGGACGAGGCCAAGAGCTCTACGCGACCGAACAAGCTGCATGGGGTGCATGCAAGCGGATAGCGTCTCATGGCAACTGGGCCAGTTCCGATGAAGGATGAAAAAAATGTTTCGGTTACTTACTCGTGCAGCCGACTTGTCACAATTTGTAATTTTAGACAGCACGCGATGCCGAGGATCATGCATAATCAGATCTGATTAGATTATGGCTAGTACAAAAGGAACTCCTCAGTCTTTACCTGTCCAGCGACTTTACCTCTCTCGTCACGCTGCCCTCAACTCCAGATGTGCCGACCCAGGTCCCTCCTATTGTAGATGGTCACCTCCACGATGGCCCCCACTACTACCAGGTTGCCAATCATATGAGCGATAGTATTCGGATGAGTCATATGGGTTGACATGGTCAACTCCAGCATAGAAATTTGTCTCTATAGTTCGCTGGCCAACTGTTGCCAGAGTATATACCTTCGTGCTCTCGAAGACTGATGAACCTGTTCCGATTATAAGGCACATCGAAAACGGCTTTCTTCTTGTGTGGCGAAAATTAGTATATAACTTGAGTACTGGTTGGTACTGTGGCTTGATCCATTCGAGCCTTGGAAGCCCAGGACAGTAGAAAATATTCGGAAAGCTCCTCTTGATATCCAGAAGGCATGAATTCCGGTCGAATCAGTTAGAAAGTACATTGCACATCTTCAGTCATGTTCACTCATGTAGCTGGCCATCTAGTGGATGTGAAACCACTCTGTGTGTTGTATCAATTTGTTAAATATAAAATCACATTGGTATCTTTGTTACTACACGCGCATCGCAGAATTCCCGGCCAAATCAATCCCCACGGAAGCAAAAGGACGTCCAAGAAAAATTCGTCAAGGCCATGGCCGATTGTTCACCCATCACCTGTTGACCAGTTGACACCATCAGCTCATTCACTTCTTGAGTTCACCCAGCCTCTCCGCAGCTGCAAACTGAGCCTCCTCGGAGAGGTTGTCGTTGTGCATAGCACTGCATCTTGTCAGAATGATCGTCTTTGTGGTAGTGTGTAAGGAGAGAGTGAGAGACATACCCCTTCAGGCCAGCTTCGACGCGATCAAGGTCCTTGGTCTTGTTGCCATCCACGACAACTGTCAGGGAAAATGTCAGTACACACGATGGGCTCTACAGGGCTGGATCTACGTCGCTGCTTACGATTGAAGTTCTCCTTCAGGATCTCCTTGGAGTGATCCTTGGCCTCATCAGAGGTGTTGGGGTTGTGGAGGTTGGCCTTGTGGCCGGCGATGACATGAGCTTCAGTAGTCATTTTGGCGATGTTTTCTCGTAGGAAAGGAGGTGTGGGTACGCCGTGTCAAAGCAGTGATATTCTCTTGAGAGCTTGTGCTGTTTTCGTTGAGTTGAAATCGAGAGTGCAATAGAGGCGAGATGATGCAGGAGAGGGATGGGAAGATGTTGAGGTCTGAACTTTGGAAGAGGAAGTCCAGACTTTTATCAGAGAGCCATTTGTTCAGTGTTTCCCTGCAAACGCACCTTCCGTTATCTGTCGAGGCTCACTTTCAGCGTTGCTGCCTTGGACTGACGTCACTTGTTTACATGCACGTGTGGAAGTAGGCACGGTGCAAACTGCCGCAGACAGCAGACAGCAGCTGTTTGATGTGTGACAAAGACCCCAAGATGACGTCTAGCTGGGCACGCCTGGGTAACACCATGGCTCTCAAGGAGTCCCGCGTCACCGGTCATCTCGATGTTTTGGCGGGTTTTGGAGATGTCTCTTGACGGTCGTCCTAAGGCAAAAGCAAATATTACCATTCTGACGTCCATGTGTGGTCTGGAAGCCTGTGATCGACACCAAGCCCAGACAAACGTGACAATTCATTGGCCATCTGCCTGCTTGTAAACAAGAGGGGGGTCGCGTTTGACGTGGCGTAAGCGGCGCTATCCACGGGATGACATCTGCACGTCAATGCGTCCCACTGTGCCCCTTGTCCATCGCTGTTGATCAGGGTCTATTGACTAGGATCTATCTTGTGATAGTCAAATCGCGCCAGATGCTTTTGGGGAAATGCCAGGCCGCCAGGACACGATTTTGACGCGACATCACGTTAGCAAAAGACACATGTGGCAAGAAAGAAGCGTCAGTTCCTTACGTGAAATCCCATTATGTACATGAGAGGCATCATGAAACCAATCTTGCAGTCCGTGACTTTCACACTCCCTCCGCTAACTGGTTTTGACGGTTCTTAAGGTGTTTGATAATATATATATGTCGATGCACAGGGCCCTCGAACTCCATCTTCCTACCACCTTTCCTCAAAGATTGACAGGACTCAGGTACACTGGCAACGGCCCCTTGCGCCACAAGAAGTCAGCTCTCTGCTTGCCAATCCAGTCCGTCTCGGGCTCCACGAGCTCCATGTCAAAATTCAAGATCATACGTGCCAGAACAAGCCGCATCTCCGAGTAAGCGAGGTTTCTACCCAAACAATTTCTCGGACCGACATTGAAGGGCTGCAGTAAATCGAGTCGGTCGGCCGAGTATAGGCCAGTGTTGTTGGTGTATTTCATGTCTCCAGCATAGCGTGGCCCAGCAGAGTCCTCCTGCAGGAACCTTTCTGGTCGGTACTCCATAGGCCTCTCCCAGTGCTTCGAGTAGTGGAACATGGGCCAGTGCCACACAGCCACATCTGTTCCTCCCGGCACCATATGGCCCGCGATCGTGACGCCGCCCGATCCCTCCGGGACCGTTCGGAGGGGTCCGATCGGCACGGGTGGATACAGGCGCAGGGCTTCGTCCAGACAGGCGAGTAGGTATTTAAGCTCGAGGACCGAGGTCAGTGTGATTTCGGAGTCCGATGTAAATCGTGAGCGGACTTCTTGCTTCAGATTCTCCATGACCTGCGGATGCTTGCATAACAGGTAGGTCAGGCCGGCTAGGAGGGTCGCTGTGGTCTCGGAGCCGGCAATGAGCAGAGCGGCTGCGTTCCCAAGGATCTCGTCGTCTGAAAGATTCTGGAAGTGACACATTGTTCAGCATAGAATTTCGAGCCTTGTAAACAGCCAGCATCTAAAGATTCCTTACCCAAGCGTCCTTCTTCTGTAGTATCTTTTCGACAAGGTCCGGGTCTGCCATAGTCACTATGGGATTTATCGTCAGCTTAAAATCCATGCTAGGCTGCTTGATAAATTTGAAGCGTTGGATTGTGCTGTCTCTGATCCTTTCACGCGACCTGCGCCGTGACGAAAAGGGTCCTGCAAACAGAGCCCACTTCCATTGGAACCAAGAGTCTCTGACAAGAGATAATAACGGAGTTATGACTTCGTCAGTAAAGAGGTTTTAGGCGCTACTTACTGCCTACCCTGCGAACAACCTTCTCGGCGCTCACCTTCCGGTCTATATCACCCATGGACAACGTCAGCTCTGACCCAGCACTGCCGCCACAAGAATGAATTTTCTTGAGGATAGTAGAATTTCGGGTACACGTACGATGATTGCGGTTGGTGTTCATGAAGGCCCTCAGGAGCCGGTTGATCAACCCATCAAACCCCAAGTAAGCCAAGATCTGAAGGGGGATAAAGTCAAGAACAGTACCGTTCATGGCCTCGATCCAAGGGTCGCGCTCGGCACGGTCCAGGCACCCAGATGGCTCCCCAAAGGTCAGGTGGCTGATAATATCGACAGTCACCCAGTTGTACCACGCCGTCAAGTTCATCGGTTTTCTCCGCGCTGGAGCGGCCGCCTCCTCATCCGCCGATGACACGGAAAATCGCTTCAACTGCCCTATCAACGTGTCGGCATACCCCGTGATCACCGACTCCCGCGCTCTGAGGTTCTGGTCACTGAAGCCGTGACTCAGCACCCGCCTGACCAGCCCATGGTGAGCGCGGTCTTCCTCACTGATGATGTTGGGCAGGGTTCCTCGTGTCCGGTAGAATCTCCTGGCCTTAGGGAGCTCGAGAACGTTATGATTGTTGCCGACGCGATGGCCGTAGATGTCCTTCCAGGCGTCTGGGTGTGTGAAGGAGAGCTCATCTGGAGCGATGCGGATTACTGGCCCGTACTTCTCGTGCAAAGGAAGAAATGTGAATGTCAGGTCGCCGCGGGCCATGTGATAGAGATATGGTAGACGGGATGTCCGATAGATCAACGGGCCTGGGAAACCGGATAACGGGTGCAGAAAGGCATTGTAAAGTAGGCGCAAGAACGAGTAAATCAAAATCTAGGAATTTTAACAATGATCAGCTCATGCCTTCACGAGGAACTTTAGAAGCATTTACCGCAACAGTCACGATGCCGCCAACAGCGGCGTAGTCGGTGGGTAACATAATCACAATGAACGTTGGTGTTAGAGGTGTGTCTACGTCGATGTTATGATCGTGCGACATCTAAATGTCATTTTTCCACATCCATATTTATGTTATCAACTTCAAGAATTACTCCTCTTCGGACTATAGCCGATCAGGTTTGTTGATACCAAGTTGGGCCTATCGGGCCCATTAAATTTTGTGTCCAGATCATCGCTCGAAACAATTATCGCTATTTACTTGCGTCGGAAGTGATGGCGCTAATCAATAGTCAACAAAACAAAGTCGTATTATTGATATCGTGAGTCGCCTATATCCGACATTGTTACTATGAAGACTGGTGCGGGTAAGCAGGAAACAACATCAGATGATGACATCAAGGATTAACGCTTGATACCGTGGCCTTGCCCTTCAATTATTCCCGGCCATTCGCGAGTTTGATACGTGGATATAAATACGGAGTGTGTGTCCCATGTGGACATAATTGGAGGTCTAAACACCCCCAGGGCTAATAAAGTTTACGCCTAGAGGGTTCAATGGCACTTTGCCATTCGGCCCGCAGCGCAAGAAGCAGCGAAAGCAACCGTTCCAATTATTGTAATCTGATGCCGTCATGATGGGCTGACAGCGGAACAGAGACGGTGAAAATCGCCGAAGAATGCAACAGAATTACGTATGCCGTCAATAAATACCCAGGAGCAGACATATAGACCGCATGCGAGAGACCAAGATACAAGAGCAATGGATAGAGATGGATAGATGGAGCCGTCGGCAAATTTAGCCTTGACATATCAGTAGCAGTGCGAGTTACAAACTCTTTTGTTGACGGTTGATAATATATATGATAGTCATCACTGATCTTGCACAAGGAGGCGTGACATTGAATCTTTTCAGTGCTACATTGCCGCTCTCCATCGAATTCCTAGAATTGAGTTGCCACAAAGTCCGAAAGTGAATAGAATTGTATCGAGTAGTTCACCAAAGTAGTCTAATATGGAAAATATGACACAACCCTGGCCCTTATCGTTGCCCTTCAGGTGAGGTGCATGATATTTCAAGTCGCCGACGGTTGATTGATTCACTCTCGTCGATCCGCACCCTTCAGCCCGTTCACGCCAATCTTGAGGAATTCAACATCTTCAGCAATTGTCTTTCTGATCTCATCGGATTTCAACTCGTCAACGTCCCATGAAGCCCAGACGAAACGCCCATGCAGGAATCGAGCCTCAGGAGAGGCGAGCCACACAGCCTCGGAGCCGGCGAGCGAGACATCATCGAAGGGCAAAACAGTGTCTGAAATCCCAGCGTCTTCCCATCCGCCTGCGTAGATAACACCAGGATGGTAGCTAACGACCTGCAGCTTCTCAGGATCGGCCTGAGCAGCAATCTGCTGGATCAGGAGCGTGCCGGCGTTCTTGGTCAGGCCATAGGCTGGAACCTTTGATGAAATGATAAGCACGGATTCGTCCATCATGTGTATAGCTTGTGTGGCGACGTTGATGAGGACCTTTGGCTTGTCACCGCCCTGCTTTACGAAGGCCTCGGACAACATCAGCGGCCCGCGAACGTTGGCTTCGAACATGGACCAGACTTCGTCGGACCCTAGATCGAAAAGTGGTGTCACGGGTGAGAATTTGGCCGCATTGAGAACTAGGACGTCAACTTCAATGCCCTTGTCCTTGAAGCCCGACCACAATGCCGCGATCCCAGCCTTATCCGTGACGTCAAGAGTCTGGTGAAGAACTTGGGTTGCCTTTCCAGCCTTCTTCGCTACCTCCTCGATCGCCTTAGCCGCATCGGCGAGAACGTTGGCTCTCCGACCAACAATGATGACAGTCTCGGCACCTGCCAGAGCGAAAGACTTCCCAATTGAAAGACCGATTCCAGTACCACCTCCTGTGATGAGGACAGTACGGCCAGCCTGGCTGAGCTCAGGACGCGTGGGATCGATTGAAGGATACGAGGTTCGATGGGTTGTCTTTGTGAAATTCGTCGAGAGACCGGCGCCCTGCTCGAGAGTCTTCTTAAGAAGGTATTCGAATTGTTCAGCCATGTTTGACACAATGTGAGGTAATAGAATTTCTCAGATGAGTATATAAATAATACACTTGCAATTTATTTATATGTAGCTAAGATGGAATTGCTTGCATGTGCCAATGATTCGATATCCTGGTCTCTTCTGGGAGTGAGCTCTCGATGCCGTCTTATATCCTCACCGATGTCCATCTCAACCGTCCACTCGGCCACATTCTGAAACTCGGTCCATGGATTCGTCCACGCGGTAGAACAAGATTCTGACAAATTGGTCCGTCGCGTTTAGGGTCGGTAATCCAGAGGTGGCTTATCTGCTCAATCTCCGTTGAGTACATGTGGTCTGTTCTTGGCGCAGAGGAAGAGACTGGCTTTACCATTGCGACTGGTGCCCAGAGGCATGCGGGCACCGTTCCGAAACGGGTTTGGCGTCCGCTTCCTTCACACTTCGTTGCTGACAGGTTTCGTTGCCGTTCTGTAACTGTTTGTCCGCTCGGGAGCGGCAGCGCTGACAAACGGGCGGCTCCTTACGACAGCTTCATCTGTCTACTGTCCGCAACGCCCGATTCCCCCCAAAAGCCTATTTGCAGCAGTGTAACATTCGCACAATGACTCCGATCGACATGACGATTGAGAGCAAAGCTTGTCATGCATGCGCCCGAGCCAAGCGGAAATGCGAGAGACAGATCCCAACGTGCAGTCGGTGTCAATCCAGAGGCACCCACTGTGAATATCCCTCTGCCGCTTATCAGCCCTTCGACCGGACTCAAATCCGCGACCAACAGGTCGCCGTCTCGGATGAACCATTGTCCCATCTTCTTTTTGGTCTCTCCGATGACGTGATGTCTGTTGACGACTATCTCCCCCACGACTTGGGCACGATCATCGGGAATCCCAACAGTATCGAGCCGAATCCCAAACCCCAGTCTCATCCACTGCCTTGGTATCTGGAAGAAGACTCATGGGATATTGATCACCTGTCATCACATAGCAATGCACCTTTCTGCAGCGTCGTCCTAAGCAGCTATATTGAAAACGTCAATGACTGGCTGGCCCGCTGGGTCGACACAGGAGCCTGTCCTTTCATTCACCAACGAACTTACACACACCATATTCCACGATGTGTTCAAGACGCATACACTGCATTGTCAACTTACCAAAATATGAAAAAGTCAAATAAGGCGATCATAACGACGCTTCTAGAGCAGAGAATCAGACAGCTGCTAGCTGATCAGCCGAGCCCGCCCCCAGGGGCTAGCAGTGATGAAGTTGTAGGAGCGGCACTAAGCACCTTCGAGCACCTCGCTCGTGTTCACGCTCTTCTCACATACCAAATCATTTGCTTGTATGACGGGGATATCCGACTACGGCACATTGCTGAGACACAGATACCGACTTTGAATTCATGGTTGCGGCAACTTATATGGTCTGCCCAGAGTAGTGCTGCCCATGGGCCAGAAACGTTCATCTCATCTCTCGTCACGCCTCCCGACCAGCAAAATCCTCTCATGAAGGCGAACACAGCTGAACAGAACGGTGGCAACGATGGCGTGGAACACGTGACCCTCGCGGGGCCTCTCCTGTCCCAGGAAGACACAGCTTGGTACGCGTGGCTATTCGCCGAAACTATCCGCCGGACATGGCTGGTCGCATCCTGCGTGCAGACCATCTATCTCACTTTGCAAGTCCGCTGGGCACCATGCCCCGGTGGTCTACCCTTTACCACGCGCAAAGATGTATTTGAGGCAAGGTCCTCATTCGCTTGGAGTGCCCACTGCGAAGGGCACAAACAAGGCACTGACTTTGTTCGGAGGCATGGACATCGGCTGTTTGAGGAGAGGAGGCCAGAAGATATAGATGAGTTCACGGTGCGCTTGTTGGAGATTAGCTATGGCCTAGAGAGGATGGAGCGGTGGAAATTTGGGAAGTGAATGAGGCCATCGGAAGGCGTGTGGTTGGGAACCAGTGCGCATGCATTGAAGGATATCATCGTTTGATGACGACTCTGAGCTATAGAGAGAGCTATATGTCTATTTAATTATTGTAATTACTAGAATTAAACTTTTCGCGCTCTAACTTCCTCCACAGCGGCCAATATTACCTCCAAGCCCTGCGCAAGAACCTGGCAAGCACTAAGTTTCCATCATTTTTTGTATTGTTGTTGCCTCCGTATAGAATTACGTACAATGAACGGATCCGTCCGAGTGTGTGTGGCAATTCTGCGGACCATTAGCAACAATGTGGCAGTCATCGGCAAAGCACGTGACTTACCTCTGGCAGGGCAGTCTCCGAGGCAGCTGTTTCCGTGCTCGAAGCCGTGGTAGTACTAGTCGCACTAGCAGTGGCCGAAGAAGCATCTGTCGATGAGACGGTCTGAGAAGAGCTCGTCTCTGTGCTTGGCGGGCCGCTTGGTCCGGGACATCCTTCACCAGGGAGGATGATGTCGTATGCATACACATCCAGAGCAAAGTACTGCAGCCCATCAGAGTCATGCGTGCTGTTCGGGCTGTTGCTGGTAGCAGATTCGATGATACCCTCGTACCCCTCAGAATAGTGGTCGATATATTCCTGGCCGAACGCGGGAACATGGTAGAGACGGTGTAATAAGTCGGATGCCCAGTAGAGCAAGCGGGAGTGTTCTCGGACATTGTAGCCTCGCGCGCAGAGTGTAGAGAGTGGCCGGCGCTCAAAGAACGATGTAGGGCAAATGACTGTCTCCTCGGTTGCGTTGTCGCCGCGCCAGTGACCAGCCCAAGCTTTAACATGGTTTTAGCCTTGTGCTAACAGTATCTGGGAACATTAACTATACTTACTGGGCATAGACGCACAGTTCCCGTCCGGATCATCGCAACGGAAAAGAGCATTTGCCTTGTTCCCATTCACGATGATGTCGAAAGCACCGATGACTTCGGCTGTTGGTGAATTTCCAAAGTACTTGCGATAGAACTCACTGCTGCTTCCCCAGCGGTTGACATGATCTTTCGCATGTTGGGCGAGCTGCACCGCCTCGTCAAGACCTTGACGAAGCTGATGAGCTTGTGAGGCATTGCAGCTGGGATGAACCCGAAATTCGGTAATGCCTCCGGCGTTCCATGGCTGCTGCTCAGTGACCTCGAAAGCAGCTTGTCTTCCTTCGAGAGATGTCGGAGCTGCTGACACGGCGGTCAGAGCGGACAAAACCAGAACCAACGGAGAAACCATAGCTGTATTATGTGACCAAGCTTAGAGATATTGACTGAGGTTGATCAACGACTCTATCATCCATCTATTGTTCGTATCAACGAAAGACTGAGAACATTTTATATAATGCTAGAACGCGAATATTGGAGAGTCACTCCAGCTCTTCATGAGGGGATCGCCGGCGCCCACCTTCACCCAAGATCGTGACCATGCCAAAAGCAGGGACATTGTCATCCAACGACCTTGGCGAGAACCTTGATGGTTCTGCCAAAAGTGAAGAGATTTTCTATAGAATTCCGTGTGAGGAGGGGCGGAGAGAGCAGCGTTCGGAAAACCACGCCTTTCATTACGCACCACACGAAGATGTTGGCTCGACAGAGTCATCGCAGGGCTGCAGACCAAGAACCCCGCCTAGTCTCCACTCAGACGATCACCCGATGACGGAGTAGTATAATTCAGGCATGCAGGAAACATCATGCTCATTCCTTCAAAAAAGCCACACACGAGCTGCGCAGAAAATGACGCTGCAGAAAGAGAGAGAGGCAAGGGCGGCCGCGCCGAGGCTCGCTAGGCCGCAGGTGGGCTCGAGAGAAGAAAAATACCAGCCCCCACTTTGCGGGCGTGTTGTGGGAGAGTATTGATTACATTCCTGCACTTCAGCAAACCAATACGTTATGAATGATATCGAATGCTGGTGTCGAGGTTTGCCGCCAAGCAAGAAACGCCGAGCAACGACCCCCGTTATTTACTTGGCGATGCGGCGCAACTAGAACTAACGAAAGATCATCCCACCGCCTGTCCATCAAGGTTCTCGGACATGCTCGTACTAGGGCTGGGCAAAATTGACTAGGCGATTTCTCACGGCCCCCTCCCCCAGGAAACCACGGCCGAGGGAATCGGGTACGTATTTTATAGGACCGGGCCATCAGTCGTTGATGCTCACAGGGAAGTGGATTGCTGCACCCAATCCGCCGACAAGATGTTGTCTCTGAGAGAAATTTGCACAAACTCTTTGCTATGGACCATTTCCATATCTCTCGTGAGCGGCCAAAGAACGACATACACAGGTTGCCACAACCACACGGAAACTTCTGTTGCCGTTGAGTATTGTTACGGTCCGGATGGCGCAGAGACAGCTCGTGCCACACATGCCGTCACTGTGGCTACCAGCCTCCCCGAAAGCGTGAGCGCTTCAGCGACTGCAGAGGCCCAAACCACTGCTGTGACAGGATGCCATAGCCACGAAACAGCAGTGTTTTGCATCAACGGGGCGGGCGACGAGGTGCACGTTGAGGCTACTCCGACAGGAGAAGTCCCTCCAGCGTACACTGGCTGCCATGCGCATGGCGCTGAGATGTAAGCAGGCAATTTGCTTTACTTTTCTTTTCTTTCATTCTTCCGTTTGATATACTGATGATTATTCAGGTACTGTATGGACCCAGCCGGCAACGACGTCACAGTCCATGCCGAGGGTGAAGAGGCCGCAGAAGAAGGGCATACAGATGCACATGGAGAATCGGAGGGGCAGAGCTGCCATTTCCATGCAGGTGTTGAGTATGTTCCATCTGATTTGCTGTTTGATTCCTAATGCTCACAGTAGCTCCAGGCATTGTGTCGGCGGGAGCGAAGAAGTCTCTTGCGGCCTTCGCGAGCGCGAGTACAACGTAGGACTGCGAATCGGGTCGCTGTTCATAGTCCTCGTTACCAGTGCTATCGGTGTGCTCGCCCCCTTACTCTTACACAAGCTCGTGATCGGCAAGATTGGAGCGACTGTCTTGATGGCCGTCAAGCAGTTTGGCACTGGCGTAATCATCTCTACCGCCTTCATCCACGTGAGTCCATAGGCTCCAAGACATCCTCTGGCATTTTTTCGTCCTGCTCATTGCTTGTAGCTATACACCCATGCACAGTTGATGTTCACAAACGATTGCATCGGTGAGCTCTCGTACGAGGCAACCACCAGCGCCATAGTCATGGTCGGCATCTTCCTCTCGTTCCTGGTCGAGTATGTCGGCCTCCGTATCGTCGCTGCGCACGCTGCCCGGCACCCTAAAACGTCTACGACAGAGACGTTCGGAGAGCGAAATAAGGCCAATTCGAATACCCCACCCCCTGAACAGAACCGAAACGCCTTCGTATCGCTCGACCACCATCATGTCGGGCCCAATAGCCATCTATCCGTTTTGGTCATGGAAGCTGGAATTCTTTTCCACAGCGTTCTGATTGGCCTCACGCTCGTTGTTGCTGGGGACTCGTTCTACCAAACACTGCTCATAGTGATAGTCTTCCACCAGTTTTTTGAAGGTCTTGCCCTAGGGGCCCGAATCTCTCTGTTGCCGGGCTCTATCTTCCCTTCGAAGCTTGTCATGGCTACTGCCTTCGCTCTGATTACTCCAATTGGGATGGCGATCGGTATTGGCGTACTAGACACGTTCAACGGAAACAATCCTAGCACGGTCATTACTTTCGGTACGCTAGATGCCCTGTCTGCGGGTATCCTCATTTGGGTCGGAGTCGTCGATATGTGGGCAAGAGACTGGGTCATCGAAGGTGGCGAGCTTCTGTCGAGCGGCATCTTGAAGACACTTGGTGCCGGGGCTTCGCTCTGCGCTGGTATCGTACTGATGGGTGTCCTTGGGAAGTGGGCTTAGCTCATTCCTCTTCATCCTCCTCTTCAGCCACCTCTGTACCTATATGTCGCCGAAATATAGTAACATGGCGGACTGTGATGGAAATACTCTAGATTGCATCGGTGGCACCACGCCTTGATCAATAATTTCTCATCAAATTATGAAATACGTGCGGAGTAATGTACAAATACTTCGGCGGGACCAATCGCCCTCCGAATATGAGCATCCTTGAGTCCTGGCTCTAAGGTGCTACCCTTCATCGTGATGTTGTCACAGGTTCGTACCTCCAATCTCAGGAGTTGACAGGGCTCCACGATGTGTGCGGTTTCTGAATAGGGAGGTTGAAGTCATTCGACGGACCTCGTGAAAGGGGCCTTGGTTGGAAGTCCAATTCCTGAGATACGTCGCCTCGCGCTCCCGAAGTGTCGACGTTTAACCCCTTTTGCACGGCCTTTTCAGGGGCAGCACTCGTCACAGTTACCGAGTATGTACCTGAACTGGGATCGAGTTTGTTTAACGACACAGTGGTCTTCGGGTTGTCTGTTGAATGGCCGAATGTTTTTGAAGATATCGCGGCATGAACCTCTTGTATGAACGGTCGCAAGACAGGGATACACTGGACGATGATGGTTCCAGTAATCTCGGCCGAAAACCTAGTGTTATTGTCAGTACATGTGTTCTCCGGTTATTGGTTGCGAACCGTTGTCGACGCATTGTGGGCGTCGCGTAGTGCAGTCCACAAGGCCATCTAAAACCAGGTAGTATGTGCTTACCATATCATAGATACACTTCTCCTCCCTGGAAAAGAAACGGTATTAGTGAGACTGAGACAACTTAGTAATTGGGGGGTGAAGGGAAACATACAGAAGTATAGTGCATCTTTGTCCCCATAGACATCCCGTCCCACCCACCACGTTCTGACAGCAGACATAATGGCAACGCTGCGTAGGTTGATATATCAGTATCACGGCCAACAAGTCTTTCTCTTGGTGCAAGACTCACAACATTCCCAAGCTCATGGTCAATGCAAGACCAATTTTCTCATACTTGCGCATGCGCAACTTCATCGTGATGGCCCAAGGGAAGAGCGCCAGGACAAAGTCCATCAAGATATTGTAGACTGATAACACGAGTCAGCGAAGTCCCTTTGCTCGATTTCGGCCCAGGCTTACTATTTCCACCTTCCTTGAAGTGATCAAGGAATTTAGAGTCGACGCAATAGTGCGGCCGATACCACACGTCGTAGTCAGTGTCGTCACATTGCCTGGCCCACTGAAAAAGGACTTTGATAAACATGTACGAGTTCATTGTGACGATGATGAACCACAGAATGTATTGTTGCCATCGCTCGGTCATTCGGAGCAGAGACACTGCAAAGGCTGTCTTGGATATGGCCTGGCCGACGAGGGTCCCGCAGGATGAGATGTTGATCAGTATGTGCATGCGATCATCCCATTCCCCCTTGGTGACATATCCGGTCGCGAACTCGACGGAGATCAAAATATCGTTGAAAAGTACGACGACCTAGAGAGGACATTAGACTGGTCTGTCTCTTCAGACGATGGGACACTTTGGTATTGGCATACCCAGGAGAAAATGAGAATGTAATCATCCCACCACAGCCCATGTCTTCGGGTCATCTTGCACCATAGGCGGGCGGCCAGGAAGACGGTGGTCGTGGCGAACAGGCTCCATAATCCCGCATTGACCTCGTTCGTGGGATCGACCAAGATCACGCTGTCCTTGAAATTACTACGAGTCGAAATCATTGTCAACAGACGGTGCAGAATGTTGCAACCGGCCAAAGAACAAACATTGAGCTGGCTGGAAATGAAGATTTTCGGGACTCTATGTAGGAGACATGGGGGCCGCAGAATGACTTAATCCAGGAGCCACCTCGAGAAGTGATACCAGCCTGCGCCCCCATGGATTTCATTGAAGTTTTGTATCTTGCTTCAGCCCGCCCGGAGCCGTGGCTCGTACCCACAAGTATCGTCAGCTCATCCCGGAGGCGTCAGTCTCGGAATAAAACACCTTGCGTGACATGACTCGGAGCCAGGATCCCGCCAGCCAAGCCGTTGGGTTGGGTACCAAATTAATTGCGAGTTCGTTGGCTTCTTTTTGGCAGACCGCACCTCGCGGAGAAGTTACCGGTTTCGTCGAGGCTGCCTCTGGGCTCTCTGGCCGGTGTGTCGCCAGCCAGTGTAGCGTGCAGGCGGCCGTGCTCCCTCGCGTCCACTCTGCGCGGAGCAACCCGGTAGCCCCTTTCCTGCAACAGTGTCATGCAGGAAGCCACTTTCGCTAAGGATCGTAGTGGCTGTCATCGAAAAGTATGTCTCACACATTGGTGCGTGGGTGCTACACATTGGTGCGTAAAAAGTGCTCGCTCGTGGCCGTCGGCGCAGAGCCTCGGCCGGGCTAACGTGCGTGGCGCTGCAGCCATCAGGGCAGGCTGGCAGCTGGGTGGTTGTAACCAGGTTCCATGCTGCAGATCCAGCTGTTTCTGAGAATCCCGGGTGCCCCTTGAAACGTCCTTGGAGCGGCACCACGTGCTTGGATGTCACCTCGTCACATTGCAGAGCGGAGCTGGTACGAGTCGAGGGCTTCCAGTGCGAGTCGTCGGATTATTTATGGAAATTGTTTCGGTTAAAAGACGGGACATTTCGTCTTTGGGGGGGAAAACCTCCGGTCCGCCATGTCGTTCTTCACGCGGTCCCGGGATTCCCCAGAGTTCCGTAATCTGGTTTTTGGGCTTGGCGAGAACTGCGTACGTCAAATCGAATGCCCGTCATGGGGTTCGTCCCGAATAGAACCATAGGGGTTGGATCCGACCTGGTGGGACGACTGCCCACAAGCCTGCAACTCTACCGTTATTGCGGCAGTAAGTGACAAAGTTCTGCCCCGCTTAAAAGCACACTTAAGAAGCTAGGCTAGTTCTTTCCATAGTAGTAGATCGGCCTAGAAGCAAGCCTCCATTTCTGCCCATGTCCGTGACAGGATCGTGGATGCAAGGTTGGTCTTGGACGAAAACTCTCGCGCAGCATAGCTACCGCGCTACAACGAATCGACACACTCGAGTCCGCAGAATTTTCAATAACAGAAACAAGCATCCCTGCAAGATAAGGAGTTGCACGATGAACCTCACTTACACGGCCAGACCTGCAAGAGAAGGCAGCATCGTCAGTCACAGTAATGTTTGGGAAAAAGAATACTCCAAACGGGCCTGTGCACCGTGACACCCTTGTGCAGATGACCCGTCGAAGGCCACAATCGCAGAATAAGCGACGATTCAGCACAGCATTGTTCCACCTCACACGAGCATTGTTGATATTTGTGCCTTCTCTCTTGTGGATCTCGCGGGAAGAGGGGCCGCATGATGATTTACAAGTATGACACGCTTCCGTCGAACCCACTTCAAACATCAATTGCACTGGATTGTCCCATACACATTCGTACGCCCACTGTCTCCGGATCAACCTCATTGGCCACGTGGAAAAGCGCTAGCGAGAACGAATGCATGCTGTAGTTGTGGCCACAAACAATGTTTTGATTCTGGATACACACTATCACAATACATTTCGCCTGAGCTCGTCTTTTTTTTTCTTCTTCGTTTTTTTTTTCTTGAAAAAAGGTTCCTCGGACATGGAATTTGTTCTGAGGCACTCATCATTGAAAGTGGCCCTACACCAAGCAGTACCCTTTGTGAGCTCGCCGGATTTTAATCATGAGTCCAAATCCAATTTTCGGTACGTATACTGAGACTAAAACAAAAAAAGACTATGCCCGGGGAACTGGGAAACCCATTGTAAAGGGTGCAAATATCTCTTTTTAATATTTGATCTGACTTTGACACCTCCTTTAAAATCAGCCAGCCCCTTCAGCTACCTAGTACGTAAGCTTCCACAATGAACAGTATTGAGACGAGATTTCAAGAGCGGCAAGACTTTTCGGGCTCGTTCCATCTTTCAAAGTCAGCCCCAGTCTCCAACCGCCAAGTTCAATGTCCTTCACATTAAGAAACAACGTTGAGCCTTGGCAATAGTAACCATAATCCTCAAGGCGCGAGGAGAATAAATATCATAAAATACGTAGATTTCCGATGTGATTCGATAAGATGAGGAGATGCGAAAGGAAACCGTCGCTTCCGAGAGGAAAGAACAGTTAGTGGGGGCTTGGCCGGCCCATGGCCGGGGGCCTCTCGTCCGGTGCCGAGGTTATGCACCGCAATTAACGCACCTCTAGTGAGTAGCGTTACCCAGCATGACAACATATCCCCACCGACAGTGCTGAGGGCTTCAGTCAAATAGTATCCTATCTTACTCACTTACCAGGCAGTCCATTTCAACACTGTCGAGGAGGCCAATTCGCCCACACAAGGACGCACGAGAGCTCTTTGGCCTACGTGTAAAGTCGGGTTCTCCGTACAACATTTTGCAAACGCCAGAGCCATGGGACCGCTCAAGCCGCATTGGACACAGCCGTCCCACCCCCACTTCCTACAAGTCATCGTCAGTGACAGTGAGGCCGAATTCACCTCCAAGAGCGTGTCCACGGCCGCCGCGGCCCCCTTCAGCGTCGTCGCCAAGCTGTCCTTCCCCCCGTGCACCCTGGCCGACGAGCCGACCTACGCCACGGTCCAGGTCGACTGTAACAGGCACATTAGCCTCAACAGCGATCTGCTGTATCTCAACCACTCCTGCGAGCCTTCTCTGGTCAGTCTCCTCCTCTTCGAAAGCAACCCGGGGGAGAAAAGAGCTCGGCCGGTTCTGAAAAGACGTGTTGAAGAGAGCGGGGAGTGTGACCATGGTTGAGAGAGATGCTTTTGAGAGGAACATTGTCTTACGGTACCGCGGGGATTTATTGACCTAGAACGCGCACCTGTACAGATCATTGATACCGCCAACATGACCATCCTGGCTGGCCCCCAGGGCCTGAAGCCCGGCGATGAGCTGACTGTTTGTGTGACTTCGACCCCTTTCCCCCGTCCCACCCTTCCCCTTCCCAATATTGTCTTCTGAGACGGACGGGTCAACTTACCGCGGGCGCTTCTGCCACTGAAAAATGTATAGTTCTTCTACCCCTCTACGGAATGGGACATGGCGCAGCCGTTCGACTGCTTCTGCGGCTCGGCCGCCTGCCGCGGCAAGATCGCCGGCGCCAAGGACATGAAGCCCAAGCAGCTCGAGGGCCTGTGGCTCAACGGCCACATCCGCGAGCTCAAGGACGAGCAGGCCCGCGAGGAGGCGGCCCCGGCGGCTCTGCCGGGCTACGTCGGCGCTTCTTCCCCGTCGACCGGGTCGCTCACGGCTGGGGCTGCGCGTCGCGGCCCCACTTCTCGCGAGCTGAGCGGCGAGATGGGCGGCGACACGTTCGTGGCTTGAGAGGGGGCCGGGGGGGGCGCCGTTGTGGGGGGTGGGGGGGGAGGCTGCAGACGTGGGAGATGCGAAGAAAAGTGTTGTTGCGCGTGTGGTCGGCACTCAACTCCGGCCCTGGATACGGGGACTAACTTGTTTCGTGCTCGAGCTGCTTTGTTGATTTGTGCTCAGTTGTGTTTGCGTTGCGATAGGATCTCAACATCCAGACATGAATAAAACGTTGTCCACAGAGGGCTGCACGAGTTCATGACTACACCCCAGGCATGGACTCAGGGGTATGTGTACTGCAAGTAGCACGCTCTTGTCAAATCACATTTCCTGAGATGGAAGCAGGCAGGCAGGATGACTGGCTGAGTTAGCTAAGGTTACATCGCGTGGAGCTGCGGCTGACCGGCGGCCTCGTTGGCATATTGGCGCCCCTGAGGCACCCTATCGCGTGGTGAGTGCTGGCCTATATCAGGCTGCGAAGCAAAAACTCTTACTGTAGAAACTCATCCTTTGTCAAATACCCCTAGTCGTCGCAAGCTTGAAAGTGACCTTGTACGCTGCGTATCGCATACTCGGTTCCGAAGATGCGTCTTCTCAACACCACAACGTTCGAGCTGGTCTCCAACAGCCCCTCCGTATTCAGTCAAGAAGGCTACGCAATCCTCTCGCATCGATGGTTGGGCTCGGAAATCACATTTGAGCAGCTCGGGCGACATGTCAACGCGCTCCAGGCAGCAGGTACCACACCCTTGGAATCACCTCAGCAGGACAAGATCCGTGGCGCATGCCAAACCGCCAGGGCCAAAGGGATCAAGTGGATGTGGATCGACACGTGCTGCATTGACAAGTCGAGCGCTGCTGAGCTGTCTGAGTCGCTGAACTCTATGTTTCGGTGGTACCGCGATGCCAAGTTGTGCATTACCTATCTGTCAGATGTCATCAGAAAGGGAGCCGGCGCGGAGGACTTTATCAACGAAGCAGGTCATCCCTCCGTATGGTTCTCCCGTGGCTGGACACTGCAGGAGCTCCTCGCCCCGCGCCACCTCGAGTTCTTCGACAAGAATTGGGACCCAATGGGCGACAGGGCCGAGTTGGCGGAGCACATCGAGAAGATCACCCGCATCCAGAGTATATACCTCAAAGATGGGACGAAAGAGGACTTCAGAAGTGCATGCACTGCCACCAAGTTCAGCTGGATCGCAAACCGCCAGACGGAACGCGAGGAGGACATGGCGTACAGCATGTTGGGTCTCTTCGGCGTCACGATGGACCCGCGGTATGGAGAGGGCTGGGGTGCGTTCAGACGGCTGCAGCAGGAGCTACTGTCAAGCTCATCGGACGAGTCACTGTTTGCGTGGAAGATGGTGCAAGCAGACGCCGGGCTGCAGCTCCTCTCTGGGGCCAGTACACAGCAGCAGGAAGACTTGGGGGAGAACGAATGGGGTCTTCTAGCGGCGCGCCCGGAGTGGTTCAAGGATTGTGATCAGATGACGATCAAATGTCCGAGGAGTAGAAAACAGTACATCGAGAGGCACGAGGGGGGTTTCTTCATGCAACCGAAGGGGGTGAAGATCAGCGTCGGGGCCAATTTGGGGCTACGTCACGAAACTGGACGTGCTAGCATGGCCGCGTTTATCATTCTCTTTTATGCGACTTTTGGGATGCTCCTTTGTATGCATTTAGCATATGACTCTGCTTCGTTCAAGAGCGACTTCCGGTATACCCTCAACTGCTGGGACCGGGATGAAGCCGGGGGTGTGGTTCGCGTCCAAATTTGGCTGCGTGTGGCCTCCGGGAGCAGAATGCGCGCAGGTACAACCATTTTGAAGCGGGTTAGATGTACAGATGTGATTCAGGATCGTGACAGGAGACGGCCGAGTCGCACGGCATTTTCGGCCATAGTATTACAGCCATGGCCGTTGGCACCATAGCGCTGGAGCCGCGCATGCTTGAGCAGGGAAAATCGAACTCATTTGTCTATCCTAACTACAGCGAACTGCTCCTCGAAAGACTCACGCAAAAACAGTAGCATGCGTTGAAATCTGAACCTTGAGTCTGACTGCTTGTTCAAATTAAAGCGAGGATGGAAATGCTGATGCGACTCATCGAAGTGATGCTACCCTGAAGTTGATCATTTCACTTGTACAAATGACAGGCCTTGTCACAAAATCCAGGGGTTTGGTTGAAATTTTACTCATAGCAATGTTCTACGACTTACGTGATAAAAGCCTTCTCATATAGCTGATTTATGCGAGTTTTGAACAATTCCGTAGAACGTTGACTTCACAATATAGAATTTGATCAATCCTTTGCAGATCCAAGTACATTTTCAGCGACAGCGATTGATTCGTGTTACTCAGGTGGTCCCGGAACGAAGGAATGCATGCACGAGTAAAAGATCTGAGCTTACGTGCCTGGCCCCCAACCCGAGCTGAGTTGTCAGCGTGGCGTTCAAAAATGACCAGGCCTCCCAAGCTGCAAATGCTCACCTTGTTCTATCGTCAATCTCATAAACCTCAGGTGCCCCTCTTGACTGTCAGGCAGCTCCTGAAATGAATCAAGTGATAGCTGATCCAGCTCGATCTACTAAATCGCAAAATATGGCTCCTACTAGTATACCTGAGAATTGAAGCCTTCCAGAGGCCATTCTTCTTTGGTTTCTGCAGGTGTTAGGCGCGGTAACCGCCATCCTTTTTGGAGCCTTTGGAATTATGTCGTGGCAAGTTGCAGACGAGGCGAATCAATTGTCAATGAACGCAAACTCTCAGTCTGATACTGCAAATCTGGTTGCTTTAGTAGCGCTGTGTGCCCAACTCGGAACGGGAGACGATGTAAGTCCATTGCGCTCAGCGAGAGTGCCTACAATCACGAGAGATATGCTGAGAATATATAATCCATAACCAGTCTCTCGTGGGTCTTTGCAATGGCTTGCGAGTCGCCGCGGATTCAAAGATATCTGCCATTGCCTCATCATATTTCGGCACAATCATACCTACTACTACTACCTCATCAACACCAACGTCTTCCAGCTCGGTTTCGTCCTCGCAGCCTTCTACTGAGACAGCGCTACCTTCGGCTAGCCCTGGAGAATCCTCAGGAGCAGCAGGCTCATCTCTAAGCTCTGGTCAGAAACTCGGTCTGGGCTTAGGCCTCGGCTTAGGTTCTGTTGTAATTTTCATCAGCGCCATGACGGTGTGGGCCATGGTTAAGAAGAGAAGATCTCCTCCAAAAGTACCACCGAAGACCCAGTGATGCCTGGCATGAATTGAGGTAGACGATACTGGCCGCATGAGGCGGGGAATGGAATAAGTTGTGAAGTAGAGCTGACAAGAACAACACAAAAGAGACACACAAAGCTGGTGTCAAGAGGATGAAAGCCAAGAATTATGTCATCCTAGGTGATCTAGTTCAAGGTGCTATGCATATATGGGTGTCAGATGCGCGGACTGTGCCATCCTGGGCTTCGCTGAACTGCTGAACGGGTATTACCTGATGTATATTCGGCTATTTCTGAAGACCTCAGGTCCGCAAGGCCGAAACCAAGCTCGTCGAGTTGTCATTGAGCTCAAGGTTTGTTTGGTCACGTTATTAATACAATCAAGGCTTATAATAGCGTCAATTTGTGCTGTGATGTTCATCATTGACGTAACTGTCCTTGTTGTTACAATGTGTGTAATTAAGATAGCCTGTCCTGGATTATATCACGAGTGGGGGCTTATTCGTGGATCAGACCAATTCAGCCGGTCGACGAGCAAACTCAAATCGCAGACCTCGATTACGTCACGGGAATTTTCATTTCTGTAATTAATTTGGAAGGTCACCTGAATGCTTGTGGTGGGTTCCTCCACTCACATGGTGTTTTCGCGTGCCAAATCCTGGAGGACTGACCAAGGTGTGGAAGTCCGACTTTCCAGCCTTTACTGAATGTGTCCTAACATGTCTACTGAGGCTACACGCAGCAATTTCTAAGTTCTCACAGAAAAGCTTTAAAAATAAATTAGAGGTTGCGAGATATGGCTGTCTGAGGCTTAAACACGAGGCATAGCTTTGCGTGGGACTGAGGCACGCTGTTGCTAGTAGAGGTATGAATCCTGGGTAGCAATACGCGCCGTTGGCCTATGGGGCAACATCTTGGGCTCATATGTCATCGAAGATCGTGTTGGAAAAAATGAAAGAAGACGGAAGACAGTGCAGCGATTGCACAATGATTCACACCGCAAGGAACTCCCAGATATAGTGTGTTTGTTGTCACATGAAGCTTTGTTTCGATGCCCAGCTCAAGAGCCTAGAACAACGCTTGCGTAAACACGCAGGCCCAGTCATGCTGAACTTTCCGATCGCAAACGAGCACAGCTTCTGTCTCATTGAATGATTGGGCAGGGTGGAGAACATTGTTTGGCGCATTGAAGGCTCAACGTCGCTCAAGAGTTCGCCAAGGCGGCTGTGTGGTCTTGGGTACGCTGTGTGGTCGGCTGTTTCAGCCACCGCCGGCGCCTGGGCGGCGGCTGTCGTTTGCAATGATGTAGCCATCTCACCAGTCTGGTTCCTTTTGGCCGTTGCCGCAAGAATAAGGTTCGAAGACTGGCCAGCTTCCAAGCCGTTGCTATAGTAAGCACGGCCTGCTTGCGCGAAGACTCGGACCCTCTTTGCAATATAGCGATCGGCGGACTGGCCTACGTCAATTCTTCAGCTTAGCACTAGCTGGGTTATATTGCCTAGATGAGCTCTACCAACTCTATACAGAGTTGGACGTCGCCCCGTGGGCTTCACCGGCGGCTGTTCAGTCTTGGTAGGAAGGCTGAGCGTATGCAACCAGCTTCTCTTGACTATCGTCGAGCTACCAGAATAGAAACCACGAAGCGCGGTCACCGGGTATAAAGACTTGGATCCTCCTCACCTTGATGAACAGAAGCCAACTTCTATCAGTATCATCCAACAACTAGACGTTCTCAGTAAAAGTCATCTGATCATCTTGCTTCTTCTCCCGCACAAATCTTCTCCCTCAACATCTTCAAACAACATGAAGGCCATTCTCGTCCTAGTTTCACTTTTGGCGTCTGCCATCGCCTCTCCCGTGCAAGTCCGCCAACTTCGCAAGGACGAAGCCCTCTCTATTCGGGGAGGTTCTCCTGAGTCCGTCATCGCACGGCATCTGCCCATTGCTCGACAGGTTATAGAGGAAATCGATGAGGATACTGGACTTCCAGACTTCGAAGATGACGAAGATAATGACGGGACTATTGACAGCCTGGACCAGGATCTTGATGGCGATGGAATTTTGAATTCGGTTGACCCAGACGATGACAACGATGGTGAGCCAGATGTGACTGATAACTTGGACCGTCGGGACGACTTGGACCTTCCCGACATTCCCGACGATATCGATTTGAACCCCTTCGACAAGCACTAGACTGCTAGATGGGAGGAACCAGTTAGGTGATGTGGTCACGTTCTGGGGGAAATACCGAATGACCGAGCTGCTTTATTGCTTCCATGGAGTCTTGGTTTTCTTTTCCCTTCTTGAGTTTGAGGTGAGGGTGTCTGGCAGTATGTTCAAAGTTTACCTCTCTCGCAAATGACCCCGGGTGGTGGGATGCTTTCAATTGAGGGATGTCTCTCGCGTCATTCGCTTCGGCAGATACCTAGAAATTCAACGTCAATGACAAATCGGAATCAGTCACTACCGCCCAGTCAAAGCGCTACAAATGTGCTCAAGCGACTGGACACTTTTGCAGAGAACGCTGTAACTTCCGGTCGATCTTGTAGGAGGTCGGATTGTCAGTGCTAAGCACATAGATATGGTGGTGGACTTCCTGTCTTGGAAGCAAGGGACCAAGTGACAGCCGTGGGAGAAAATGCTAGCCGAAAGCATTGGCGGACGAGGCTTTTCCTCTCAATCTGGAACCAGGGCGCATGGTATGAATTACCATGAGACAAGCTGAAAGCGCAACCCGAAGACAGCTCCTGAGGCTGCACTCAAACCAGCTGGCGAAGCAAGCAGTTTGAGAAGACAGTCACTAGTTCGCCATCATGGGGCGTAGATATCGGTGCGCTTGCCCGAGGATGAGCATGTAAAAGCTGGGGTACACGTTTCAGAACCATCAGTGTTCGAATCGGCTTGAGGCATCGTTGCAGCATGCGGTGAGGAAGCCCGAGAGCTGAGACGAGAAATCAAAGCATGTGGTGATTGGTCTGCGAGGGGCAATTGCGTAGCGGCACAAGACATTGTGTACCCAAAAATAGACGGTGGCAGCATCTCGCGGCTCGTATAAAGTGATTGGGTGCTGTAGAACGTGGAAATCAATTCGGGATGAGGTCTCGATAGATAGATGTCTATCGAAGATCGCCTTTGCAGACTGGGCATAGCCAAGTCCAGCCTGACGGGGGTTTCAAGGATTCGATAATTCTCGCTCGTGGCACAATGCTCCTCACATCACTCGTACAATCAGATTCAACATCTCTCATGGCTCATCTCTCTTTCCGTATTACCACATGTCTTGGTGTCGTCTTGGTTTTTGTACATTCCTCTTCCATGCCCGAGAACAGGCTCAGTCATACTTAGTAGAGCCCGTAGCTCGCGATGCAATGTTGACAGCGTCGAACAGCTCGGAGCCAAGTTGGTAAATCATGTAGGAGGGAACGACGAGCCAGGCACCACTGCAAAAGGGCATTACATTAGTCCTAGATCTTGTTTGAAGACCAGGAGGAGGCGGGGTTTAGAAACTCACTTTGGAATGATCCATAGAAGAATAAGATCCCAAGGCTTGTTGTGCCCAATATTGTCAAAGCCGGAGAAGTATTCATTCAACCAGTACAAAACAGTCTTGCTGACTGTCATGACACTGGCCGAGAACCCAAGCAGCACGGCCAATCCAGCCTGATTGCCAGCAATCCTCCTCCTCTCCTTGGCATCCCTCAGCCCAAGACTGCCCGCAGCGCGATACCAGATTATGAAGTAGGCAATGTACATAACGGTCTCGATGACGTTCAGTGTGCCTTGGGCCGCGGTGAAGCCATTGCCTAGGTTGAACTGCTTGAAGCCGTACATATGATCAACCTCGCCGTACAAGGCATAAGGAGTCCAGAATGGTGCGTGTGCCCATCCTCCGGGCATTGTCGCGGGGCGCCCTAGGACGTAGCCGGTGTCCCATATTACGAGTGGCAGGGACACGAACAGCCAGATAAGGGTGGTGGTTGTTGGGGCGTGGGACCATCCGGCCGGAGGAGCGGGCCTCGGTGCTCGTTGCTTGCGTGGAGAGACTCTTAGGTCGGGGGCATCCATGTCGAGGCCTGGAGTGAGGGCACGAGAGGCGGAGCGCGTTGCTACCATTTTTGCTGGAGTGCGTGTTGTGGCCTTGAACTCGATTTCGGTGAAGGTCGTTTGTATCGTACACACGTGTCTGTTTCTTGCCTCAGAAGACCCTCGCAGAGTAAGAGGGTGTTGTGTGGAGGAAAGCAGAGGCAGAGAGACGCGTGGGATCTAGATCAACAACACCAGAGATGGGTTGAAACGGAGGGACGGGATCTCGAGCTCCCCGCGACAGTTTCTGCTGAGTAACGGAGATGGAGCTCCGTGATTGGCCATTGAGGTCCCCCATCCCCCCACTGACAAGGGTCTCGTGCCTCCTCACGTCGATGCAACATTGGGACAGTCGTGCGGAACTGTGATATGGTGTGAAAATGCTCCTGTTGCTCGATGTGTGCACAATATGACCGTTGCTTGTGTAAGTGCACAACGGACTGAGATAGGAACCGTTGCTCACAGCCTTTGACTTGGTCTACTGTGCAGACCGTTTGCTCTAAGCTCTCAAAATTGACGTCATAAGTGCGCTCACCCACGAGAGCGAGCTCCTGTGGATTCCTTGCGTGAAAGCCTGCCCACACGGGTGCATGGGATTGGGTTCAGCGATGGCGACATGGTGGAGTCTCCAACCGTCGACTATGATCTCCCTTGATGCCTCCTTACACATCTTCGCACTTGTATATGTCTGTCCGCAATCGACTGCAAGCAATCAACCGACACATTATGACATCTGCCCGCCCAACACCAAGCACAGTCGCCGGGCACTTGGCTGGCACCAGTCAATCATGGCATGGCAAGGTCACTCCTGATGGGCCGTTCAAGCCAGAGAAAGACCGGTATCGACTATACATTGGTAGCTTAACCCTTAGAAAACCACATGAGAGAAATATATTCTGGCTGTCAAGAGCGTTCGTCTAAGCGTCATCGCAGGACTCTTTTGCCCTTTCGCCCATCGCGCCAACATCGCTCGCCATCTCAAAGGGCTGAAAGACATTATTCCTGTTACAGTTGTCAAGCCATATCCCAAAGGCGACGAGAACGGCTGGCCAGGCTGGCAATTCCCGTCCTCCGACTCCGAATATCCCGGAGCAAACGTCGATCCCCTCTTTGGTGCAAAGTACCTCCATGAGCTGTATTTCAAGGCTGATCCCGAGTACAAGGGCAGATATTCTGTACCTCTTCTCTGGGACACCCTGACCAACACCATCGTCAACAACGAATCCACCGACCTCCTGCGTGACCTGCAGACTGGATTCAATTCCATTTTGCCTGAAGCAGATTCCAATGTGACGCTCTATCCGGACCATTTGCAGGGCGAGATCGACAGGATCTCAGTCTGGATGCAGCGCGACCTCAACGTGGGCGTCTACAAGGCCGGCTTTGCGACGACCCAGGAGGACTACGACAAGAACGTCCCCGTGGTCTTTGCCGCACTGAACAAGCTAGAGAAGATCATCGCCCAGCACGGCGGTCCATTCATCCTAGGGAAGGATCTAACCGAGCTGGATGTAAGAGCTTATGCGACGGTCATCAGGTTCGACACTGTCTATGTACAGCACTTCAAGTGCAACTTGGGTACTATCCGGCATGATTACCCCCAGATTAATAACTGGCTAAAGAACTTGTACTGGAACGTCCCGGCGTTCAAGGAGACAACTGATTTCAAGCATATCAAGGAGAACTATACCAAGAGCCATGGCGATATCAACCCGCGCGCAATAACACCTCTGGGCCCCTGGCCGGCGGTCGAGGAGGGCTTCGAGAGGGATCTGAGCAAGGTGCCGACTGGAGGGGTCAAAATGCCCCTAGTAATCGAGTTGGAGGAGAGTTTGTGAAGTATTTCAGGAAGGTCAATATGAGTTCTGCGCCGACCCTCGGTCCTTCCTCAACGCTCATTCGGTTTGTGGGAGTGCGATCCTAGGCAGTAAGAGCCGGCCAGCCGGCCAGCTGTGTCTAGGGTGGATCTAAACACGATCTTAAACCTAATTGATGAATCGATGATGAGCTTGGAGTGTCGCCTGCATCTTAACTTACCAATGCCGAGGACCCATAGCTTGCCGCTGCAGGCACCAGCTTAAACTCGTTGGTCATTGGTGGACAGGCCAGCGCTCCCCGGTGTGGTGGTACGCCACGAATGTCAAGCATCTGACTCCTCAGGGGGCTATTTCGCTGTAGCCTATGGACTTGCAAGGACCAGCAGGCCATTACGCACCGCCCCAAACCTCATGCGGCTCCAGAGACATGGGACATCACTCACCCATGTCTTGCCTTCTGCCATCTGGAGAGATCTTTCTCCTTTTTACCCTGCCAGCCAGCCAGCTGGCCAGCAGCCAGCAGAATTCAATTTTGCTGAAGGATTCCGACCCAAGACGCCGGGATTCCCGACACGGTTACAAGCGTACGTTAGAGCCCGTCTAGCCCGTCTATTTTTGCCGCAGAAGCATCAATTGACTTCCTCTCCCCGGGGCAACTCCAGGGCAAACCCTGTGTCTGGCCAGAAGTCCTAGGGAATGAAAGAGACTAAGATGTGAACAATAACTGCCTCTCTCTCTAAACTCCTGCAGACATCATTGGCCATTTCGTGTAATCCTCCCCCCTTTGATAATATTGTGGCTTTGAATGGAGGGCATCCAAGCCCGGAAAAATCGGCCTCGACAGTCAGCTTCGTTACCAAAGGGCCATCTTGACGACTGGACGAACCGGGCTGTGCTTGCAGTATGCTAATTTTCGGGTAGCGGTAGTGCCGTTACATCAGATCTGCGCATCTCAGTAATCACCGGGACCGATATTACACAGTAGGAATGTCAAAGCCATGGTCCAGCTGTGGGTTTCTGAATAACTATATTACTTGCCTAGTCCGTACCAGCTCGAACTGGCCGTCATGTTGTCCACACCTACTCTCAGACCTGTCAAGAGCAAGTGCCAAGAACTGGCCTAGCCGATCCCTAGTTCTTTCATCATGGTCTCCTCACTTCTCCTCGTCGCCGCCGGTGCAGTGACTGCATCGGCAGCACCAAACCTGAAGCCAAGGGCGGACCCGTCAGCATACTGCTCTTCATCGGACAGCACTTATAAGCTCTCCTCGTTCGACGCACCAGTCTCAGGCGCCGGCAATGCCAATGGCATGTCAACATGGCAACTCACCATCGACGACACATCGGCGGGCCACAAGCAGAAGATCACCGGCTTCGGTGCTGCCGTCACCGACGCCACAGTCTCGGTCTTCAACAGCCTCAGCGACTCAGACCTGTCTCGATTGCTGGATGAGTTGATGACTAGCAGTGGCGCCGATTTCAGTCTGATGAGACACACCATCGCCTCTTCAGACCTAAGTGGTGACCCGGCTTACAGCTACGACGACAACAGCGGCAACGTGGACACAAGCTTGAGTGGTTTCAACCTCGGCGATAGAGGCAATGCGATGGCTTCTCTGCTCGCCAAGATGCGAAGCCTGAAGTCCGGCCTGACGATCCTCGGGTCGCCGTGGAGTGCACCTGGCTGGATGAAGCTGAACGGTGTCCTGTCCGGGACCACCGTGAACAACAACCTCAACCCCAGCTACCGGGATAGCCTAGCCAAGTACTTCGTCAAGTACCTCCAGGCTTATGCCGCCGCGGGAGCCTCTGTCGATGCCATCACCATTCAAAATGAGCCGCTTAACAGCCAGTCCGGCTACCCAACCATGTACGTTTACGCGGATGAGAGTGGGGACATCATCAGCCAGAATGTTGGTCCAGCACTCTCTGCTGCTGGCCTTGACACGAAAGTCTGGGCCTATGATCACAACACAGGTGAGAATACTTCAATCTTGTATGACCAACGCTCCAACCATACTGACACGCCCCAGACGTTCCATCCTATCCCCAAACAGTCCTGGACAAGGCATCCGCCTACGTGCCGGCCGTAGCCTGGCACTGCTACGCCTCTAATACAGACTGGGCCACCCTCACCGACTTCCACAACACAAACCCAAACACTCTGCAATATATGACCGAATGCTGGACGTCCCCCTCGACCAGCTGGTCATCCGCCGCCGACTTCACCATGGGACCCCTCCAGAACTGGGCGTCGGGCTCGCTAGCCTGGACACTGGGATCGGACAGCACCTACGGCCCGCACCTGTCCTCTGGCGGATGCGACACGTGCCGCGGTCTGGTCGTCGTCGACACCTCAACCAGGACCTACTCGTACGCCATCGACTACTACATGATGGCCCAGTTCTCCAAGTTCATGCCCAAGGGCGCGACTGTCCTGAATGGCACGGGCAGCTACTCTTACAGCGACGGCTCCGGCATCCAGAGCGTGGCCACGCTGAACCCCGACAACACGAGGACGGTCGTCATCACCAACAAGTTTGGCAACGATGTCTATGTCACGGTGTCGACTCAGAGCGGGGAGAAGTGGAGCGGCCGTGTGTTCCAAAACTCTGTGGTCACTTGGGTGCTGCCCGCTTCGGGCTAGGATTCCGGGGCCGTAAGGCGCCACTTGACACTTGTTTGGGTAGTGGGCCTCTCTGCTCTCCTAATCATGGTTTGATTCAATGTAAATATAAACATAAAAGAAGAGATTATGTCAATCTATAATTTGACACTTGAAAGTCCTAGCAAAGATGACACGGGCCGACCATCGTTCTCCCGTCTAGCCTCACCATCAGAGCCGAGGACTATAATGACCTGCCAAAACAGTCGTAGCACTGCTTATTCGGGCATCAAGAAGGCCTGAGAAGATATTTATTAATGCAGACTCGTGTCTAATAGGCAGAACTTTCACTTTAAGCACCCAAGGCTCAGTATGGCCCCGGGCTCTGCTTCCCCGCGCCACTGTAGTGATTTATAAAGTCAAATATCTCGTTGTACCACACCATTTGATTGGCTGGGTTTTCAATGATGTGGCCCTCATCAGGAAAATTGAGCAACTTGCTGGGCACTCCATTCTGCTGCAGGAGGTTGAAGAGCATGATGCCCTCGGCCTCGGCCAGCCTGTAGTCTAGCGAGCTGTGAACGACGAAATGCGGCGTCGCCCAGTTTTCAACGTATAGGAGCGGGTTAAAGTCATAGTATGGGTTTCCTGGCTTGAAGGCGGTTGAGTTTAAGGGTCCCAGGAAGTCATTGAACGGGAAGTCAAGCTGATCTGTCGCGCCCTGTGCTTGTGTAAGAGTGGCTCCCTGATGTGTGACCAAGGCTTTGAATCTGCGACCGAACTCTTGTCCTTGGATCCTGTTTTGAAAAGACTGTCAGTATTGCTGTGGCCTGACAAGATCGAGTCATCTGAGATGGCGTAGAATAACTGACCAATTGGACATATAGCCCCCAAAGCTGGCGCCAGCATGGATGCCGTTCTCCACATCGACAAACGGCAAGTTGTCCTTGACATATTGCCAGCAATTGATGATATCCCAGAATATGTACGAGCCCCAAGTCCCGTAAGCGGCGTCGGTCAAATTCTGACCCCATCCCCAACTTCCGGTTGGGTTGGGCGCAACAACGACATACCCCTGATCTGCCCAGACCTTGAAGTTAAACTGTCCTTCAAAACCCCACATGTTGAAACTGGCAGCCTCCGGGCCACCATGGCTGATGAGCGCCAGTGGATATTTCTTGGAGGGGTCAAAGTTCCTAGGATAGACCACCCAAGCCTGTTGCTGGGTTTCCGAGGTGTTCGTGGTGTAGTAGAATTCCGAGGCGATTGATGAGTTCAAACCTGCGGCAGAAAGGATCGGGTCTGCCTCATTTGCTCTAAAGTAGGTATGTTTGACTGCTTTGGCATCAAATCTCACGCTATAAATATCGCACGGAGTCCAGAATTTGGTGTCGGTGATAAGCAAAGTGTTGTTCGGTAGTGCGTACGCTCCAAGCACTGTGCTGCCGTACGTAAGGTTATAGGGCTCATACGATTCGTTCGCGGTGATAGGCAGGGCAAATATAACTCCTGCCCCTCGGTCTGGTGCACCTGCGTAAATCCACTCCGAGTCCAAACTCCAGCCTACCTGGAGCGGAGACCGGTCCCAATCGCCAGCAAGTCGGGTTATATTAAAGTCTGCAGTTGAGCCATGCAGGAATGTTCTGTTGGAGACTTCGGCAACATATATCAGACTCTTATCGTTTCCATTCGTGATGCTGTTCATCTGGGTATAGAGAAGCTTCGAGCCATCCGGAGAGAACTTAGGAGACGACGACAAGCCCTGCGCCTCAGGGTATGCTGACGCATCGCGTGGGTTTACTGGGACCGCGTCAGCCGCCGTACCATTAAATGGAACTACATAAACTTGGGAGCTTGAGTAATTTGCGAGAGGGAGGTAGATATCCTTGGTGTTGAATGCCACTAGAGTACCGTCAGGCGCAAGATCATAATCGTTGAGGTCAGCTGAGCCAGAATCCCGCGGGCTTTCGGCACGGTTAATGTCGCAAATCCCCGAAACGTAGTTGGTGAGCTCGCCATCGAGGCTATAGGTTCCATTTACCAGCTTCAAGGTACCACCGAAGACGGCGTTTCGTTGAGGTGCGATCCAGTGATTCCAAACACGGACGTAGCTGCTATTGTAGATCCTGCCGCTGCTCCCACCTACCGAGACGGGGTCAACAACATGCATTGGATTGTAGGCTGACCCATCTGGATTGGCCTTGGAGTACAGTAAGAAGTTTATGCTACCGTCGGCTGCTTTCACAGCCTTGAGGCCAGCGTATGGCGCAGGTAGTGTCGCTAAAGGTTGAGGAGGTCCCAAGGGAAGCGGCATCTGCTGTATATAGGCCCATACTGCCGTCGATTTCTGCCTGTGAGCCATTGATGTAGAGGATACTAGTACACCTGGGGCCAACGAAGACAACCTCTGAGATCTCAGAGCCAAGATACCATGTCGAGATATCGCCAGTTGTCAGGTCGAGGAAATTCCAAAAGACAGTGATCCCAGTGATGAAGCCGCTGCCTTCGTCAAAAGTGAAGTTCGCGCCATTGACTAATGCGAATCTCTTCTGCAAGTCAGCCGCTTTAGTCTGAAATGTGTGGTTCTTGAGGGTCGTTTCGGTAGAGGGGACGTTGAGGTCTTACGCCAGTGGGGTTGGGAATAGCAGGCTTGTATCCATTGGTAGAGAGCGACTCCAGGGGCGTCAGAGCAAGAACATTGTGAAATAGAAACAGAGCCGCCGCCCCCTCTCTCAACGTCCTCAACATTGTTAGCCCTTCATTCAAGTCAGGCCCTTGCGTTCGTTAGAACAAACTCTATCCTTTAGAGTCATGGCCTAGGGTACTGGAAATGATGATCTTCCTTAAATACTTTCATTCACATACTTTAAGGGCTTGGTTTCTCTTACGGCATATTTGAGAAATTTCCACATTATCGAATTTACTCGGCTATGCGATGCGTTCCAGCTGAAAGCCACCTATACTCTGCATCACAAACTATTGTTACAGTTAGGGGGCACGATTTACTGAGTGAACTTGGAATGCATGTTCAGTTATTTCAGATGAGCGCCATGTTGACGCTCGGAGCAGTTGGATTCCACCTCGCTTGATTCTAGAAACTTAAGAAAATTTGGCAGATGTCTCAGCCTAGGTTTACGTGGCGTGCAGGAATGGCGGCTGGAACACCTCTTCTGGAGGGAGGCAACAAACCAATAAATTAGACCATTACATGATTGGGTATCCCTTCAGTCATTTAAGTCTTTATTTTGTTCTTCAAGATGGTTCAAACTCGGAAACTACATGCTCTATTGAGAACCAAGACAGGGAAGAAAATGCTTGGCCCCTCAAATCTACTGGACCCAGGGTCTTACCCTGCAATGGAACAACTTTGACCAGAAGTTTGAAAGTGACCAATTTCAAGGCACAGACTCCTTGAATCCTTTCCTTGCCTTGAAATGGAAGACACAATCTTCGGAATTGTAGCTGAGAATTGCGAAGCCTCAGAGAGGAATTCGAGTGACAATGACATATTTGCTAAACCTGAGAACAAATGGGAATTCTTGAAAGTGATTTATTTAGTACTTATCATTGATGTCTCTTTTTTCCCCTTGAATTCATTCAGCTTTTAAAAGCCTTCGATCGAAGCCAAATTGACCTGCAAACCTGAACTGCATATCCATGGATTGAGTACCCGATTGTTGACCGTAGAAGGGAAGCGACCTCCAGGATTTAAAAATGTTCAGCATCCGCAACATAAATTCCAACATCACAATGATGACTATGGGAAAGACAGATTTTGCTTCGGCATCCTCTGACTTGAAATTTGGGGTCGGATAACACGTGCAGGTTGCTTCCAGCCAAGGCCAGCTTCACCTGCATCATGCGGGGTGGGAAAATAGCTGACTGACGAGATGTGTTTGGGAGTTGCTATATTAAACTCGGGTGGACATCCAGCAATTAAACCTAAATGCAGTCAAGCTTGGACTGCTGAGAGCTGAGCTTGCAATGTGAATTGTGTGTGGTAGCCCACGTCACTGCCTTAACCTACTGCATTAGGTAGCATTCATGGTTAGAAAGAGCTTCTAGCCAACCATGTTGAAAGCGGCCGCCAAGACGGCCGAATTCTTGCAGTGGTTCCAGGACTAAGTACCCTCGTGTCCACGGCCCGTGACCTTGAGCAGCAGCCGACGAAGCAGGTGTTGTTGTAAAGCAACACCACAACACCCACTTGCTTCGGGGCCCAGGGACCATAATAAAAACAGTCCCTACGCTCCCTTCTAACCAAATACACTGGCTACATTCTATCCTACCTGCAGACACGTTGTACTACGGCGACTTTATTTGCTTCTCTGCGCAAGCGCGGTTGCACCTCACCTAGACTTCAAGCTGTTCACTCGCCGTTGGACCGTGGTTGCCCGACTCGACCACTTGCTCCACGATTGTACGTCGACTTGAAGACATGAAAATTTGCGCTCTGTCGTTGCTCGTTGCGGCCGCAGCTACTCAAGCGGTCCCTCCCAACATCACACAGCCTACAAACCCCCTCCCCTTTAACGGATGGTACGCCGATCCCGAGATCCGCGAGTACGATTCTGTTTTCTGGATCTTCCCCACCACCTCTATAGTTTTCGAAGATCAGAAGTGGTTCGATGCCTTCTCCTCGCCGGACCTGATCAATTGGACCAAGCACCCCAACGTTTTGACGACCGCGGCCATCAGCTGGGCTCAAGATAGCCTATGGGCGCCGGCTTCCATCCGCGGCAGAGATGGAAGGTACTACTTCTATTTCAGCGCCAACGGCCTTCGAAGTCAAGATGCCACTGCCGGTCTAGGAGTTGCGGTCGCCGATGTCCCCGGGGTGAGTTGTCTCTTTTTTCGCATGCGCCTTTGTTGAGCCGGGAGATGCGGAACGGGGAGGGCGGGAGTTGTGTGTCCGTGCAGGTAACGGGATCATCCTGACTGACGACAAGCAACACACAGGGGCCTTACACGGACGCACTGGGCCGCCGTCTTGTAGACAGCATCATCAACGGGGCGAATCCGATGGATCCGGATGTGTTTGTCGATGACGATGGCGTGATCTACTTTTACTTCGGCGGCAGTGCCGTAAATGTCGCACTTCTAAACGAGGATATGATCAGCTTCCGGCCGTTTCCAGATTCCAATTCGACTTTCAAGGACATCACCCCATCCACTACCTTCGTAGAGGGCACCAAGATCTTCAAGCGCAACAACATCTACTACATGACGTGGTCCGAAAACGGTTACGGCGATCCCACGTATCAGGTTGCATATGGTACATCTACTTCACCCCTCGGACCGTTTACGCCGCGAGGTGTTATCCTGTCGCAGAACCCGAATGTCGCGGTTGCAACTGGTCACAATGGCATTCTGAATCTACCGGGGACAGACGAGTGGTATATTGTCTATCACCGTCGGCCACTGAACGAGACAGATCCGAATCATAGGGTAATTGCTATCGATAGGTTGTATTTTAGCGAGGACGGGGGGGTTGAGTCTGTGGTGATAACTTGACTGCAGTGAGCATGCATTTTCAAGATATCCTTCTTCTCTAAGCGGGAAAAATTCCGGTAAAGCAAATGATGATATAGATAGCGTCCGTTTCAAATACACTACTAGGACAACACCGCCACACTTTCAAAAATCGCAACACGTCATTGCGGAACGCCCTGTAGCTTACTTACTTCCTCGTCTAGAAGGTTGTCCGACAGGAACGTATCCCGCATGAAGTTATCCCACTGGAGGTTATCTCTTATGGGACGTACTAGTAGAATCGTCTTCGAAGTTAGGAGATTGAGAGTGTTGACAAAAGCCCATTTATGAGTTTAGTATATCGTGGAAGAGAGTCGAATTGCAAAATTTCAAAGAAATAAATGCGCGTTTGTAATGATACCCACATATTTTTGTTTATGTAGGGTAGGTACAATTGAGTACATGGCGTTCTAGACTCTTGCAACACTCCGTTTCCCAGCAACCCAAGGCCCCAGACTACCAGATCTTCAGAGAAGACTAAAGGAACAAACCCCCGATACTTTTAGTCATTCCGCCTAGCAAGCAAGAGAAGCTGTTGAAATTCGTCAATTATCTCTGGTCAGATGTCCGCGAGGGCGCGTGTTGGGAGATGGGAAAATGTGATATCTTGACAAATTTGTGCTTGTAATGGGAAGTGAAGGACAGCAGCCTACCATCAGTGCGTGTGCAAGAGCCGTCGCTGTTGTAGCTATAGTTGATGAAGCCACCGTCACCTTGAGGGAAGAATGTGTTGCCTTTTTGCATGAACATGCAGTCATAGCTGTTGCGTTGTAAGAAAATGGTTTGGAGTACTTGATTCTATAATTAGGAGGAGGGGTAGTTTACATACTCAGTATGAAGGCTACCAGATTTCAATTCAACCGTAGTGACCTCGGAGTGGTCGGCGTTTGCGAATTCATAGCCCATGTTGTAGCAGATAGCGGCGATATATGTTCCCGGAGAAGGATTCTCAGACCACATTTGAGCTGTGACATTTTGTGTGAATGACTCGCGAGCATCGGTCCCTGCTGCTTCGTTAGCTAATGAACATACTCTCGGGCTCGAGCAGCGTGAGCATTTACGTACAATCGCTCACGTCTTTGATGAGGTCGATAGCTGCATCTACAGCCCTGACGGCTACTTGTCCGACAGCAGCCGTGGCTGCTGCCATGATGAGAGCCTCCACAACGACTCGCTTCTCCAGAGCAGCATCAGTAGCCTTGACCTCGTCCCTGACGGTGAGTGGAGCGGGCACGACCAGAGCCGAGACGCCGGTCAACATGGAAGCGACAATGGAGAAACGCATGTTGATATCTCTTGAGGAAACGTCTAAGATTTGATTGTGGGAAAGGATCTTCTTTCAAAAGTGAGCGACGTTGATAGGATAGTAATAAAACGATAGACCAAGCGGCACCGAGATTTGTAACAAATTCTCAATCTGAAGAAGCGCTATTTAGTAGTATTCAAAGAAGAGTAAGCGGATGAGTGATGAGCAACAGATAGCTATGTGAGGCAAGCGATGGACAGGTTTTATATAATATTTCAAAGTTGTTGATGGTCTGAAGATCACGACTCCAATCTCTAAGGGAGGCGGATCCGAAGTTACGTCCATACACTCACAGACCGACCGCATTCTAACATGGCCACGATCCAAAAAGACGGATACGGCGCTGCGGTCGGCTCTTCCGATGAGAGACATTGGACTTTTCATGGCATTGCTTTACTATACTTTCCACTCTGTCCGTTGATGCAGCTCAGACTGTGATGATTGCTATCCACAACAAAGGTACTTACCTAAGGAGCCTTGAATCAAGGTTTCGTTTAATCAGGGTTCCTCCCGCATTGATGGGCAACCGTGCCGAATGGAGCCGCCAAGGCGTCTAGATTTCTACACAACGACAAAAATAAGACATTCTCGTAAGTTCAGATGGTATTTCTACTTTCGGTTGCATGTCCGTTTCCGTTACTGCATTAATTGTTTGTGTCATGATATCTATGTTGTTTGTGCGGCTGAGTGGTCTGTCTTCGACAAACTTTCAACCTCAGCATTCCTCAGTCGACTTTGTCGGCGGGGTTCTCTATGTGATACTTCACAAGTATACTTCATAATGGAACATTGGGCGAAAGTCAGTCAGTTGACTTATAAATAGTGCAAATAGTCAGTTGCATTTGTCAAGTATACCACTAAGTACAATACTCAGCTCGTATAGTCATATTGCTGAGATGCACTACTAAGAAAATAGAAGATTAAAAGTAGATTCTGTTCATAGGCATGCATTCGAGAGCATTACCGCTCCACCAAATACTGTTGAGCTATTAGTAACCAGTCTTTCATACAATCCTTCCTCGTCGAAAGACGCCCCAAATAGTCTGAAATCACCCTTCTGCATATCTAAACTAGGGCAACCGGTGCCGACGAACTGAAGCCAAGAGGTAATTGACAGGCAAACCACCTGTCAGATGTTGTATTGTAAAAAGAGTCTACCGGGATAGCAGTGTCGAATCTGGACAGGCACTGCCTGAAATAAACTCACATAGGTATCCGCACCTGTCCATTGGAAATTTGAGGGAAGCGGTACTCTCAGTGCTGGGAAGATGATCACCTCAGAAATCGCGATGAATCGTGTGATGGAAGACATCTTCTTGGCCCTTTCGAATAATAAAGATAATAGTGCGAGGATCCTGGTGGATACACGAAATGGACCACACAGAGTCTAAATTGAGAACACCGGTCAGGCCAGAATACTGAGTTTGCAGCGATCATCCCCGTCCAAATCTAAACCAGCATTCTTCCCCAAATGTGAAACTTCGTATCTGAAGAACACACAAAATATACTGATATATCTTTATTTCACTGTGACAGGTATGTAAGTGAAGTTTGTGCAAGGGTATCGAATGCTATCCCTAGATAAGTGTTTGCCGTGTTAAAGAGATCCATGTGCAGGAAGAGGCCATCGGTAGATCACAAACGAGTGATGGGACAGAGGTTTGGAAGTTAGTGGGTTGAAAATATCTATATCAACACCAAGTCTCACCGCTCAATTCGATTTGTTACCTTCTAGCGCGTATCTGAGTACTGAAATAGTGGTCCACAGGACACAAGACCCGTTCATTCTCAAGTTTCTAGCCTGCGCCATTTGCATCATTTCCAGGAATCATCATCTATGCAGACGCTGAAGTGTCTGCTTTCTTCGTATACAAGAAGTCATTCAGGACATGAATAGAGTTCCGCAGAGCCCAGTACCTATTTTGCCAGGAATTCATGAAACATCGCAGGGTAACGATCACCCGAGACCTCGGTCAGCCTCACAGCTTGCTCTAGCTCAGCTAATTCAGCATCTGTGAGCTCGACAATTTTGCAGTTTTCGATCACCCGTGGGGGCTTAGTTGCACCAGGGATAGGCAGCACACCCTGTGCCCTGACCCAGGCAATCGCAACCTGGGCGCTTGTGCAACCCTTCTTTTTGGCAACCTGCTCGACACGCGCGGCCAATTTAACATTCTTCTCAAAGTTTCCCGGCTGGAAGCGAGGGTAGTGCCGACGGAAGTCGTCAGCAGGTAGGTCGTCGAGAGTCCTAACTTGTCCGGTCAACCAGCCACGATCAAGCGGACTGTAGCCAACCAGCGGAATGCCAAGCTCGCGGCAGGTGTCGGCGACGCCTCCCTTCTCGAGCACGTGTCGCGAAAATAGGCTGAGCTCGGCTTCGACGGCGGCGACCGGGTGAATAGCGTGGGCGCGGCGAATAGTCTCCGCGTTGACCTCGCTGAGCCCGTATGAGCCGATCTTGCCCTCCTGGATCAGCTGTGCGAGCGTCGCGACTGTTATCTCGATGGCCACCTTTGGGTCGAGGCGAGCGCATGCGAAAAGGTCGATGGACTTGGTTCCGTCCAACACGCGCAAAGACTCCTCGACCGAAGCACGGACATCTTCTGGGCTGCAACGAGGTGTCTGAGTAGCGCCGTCGTAAGCTCCCTTCACGCTGAGGAATACGCGTGAGGCATCCTTGGGGTACTGAGTAAAGTAGTGCTTGAGGAGATGAAGAGAGTGGGCATTGGGTGGGCCGTAGAATGTTGCCTATACTCTTTGTTAGTAGATGGGGTGCTGACCTGTTAGTGCTGATTGCTAAGACTTACGGCATTCCAGAAGTTGGCACCGTTATCCAACGCCGTCTTCAAAGGGGCGGTACTTTCGTCATGAGAGATATTGCCGAACAGTGTCAGGTCTTGCTTCTAATTAGCTATGCACCCCTGACTAAAGCTGCCTCATTTGTCAGAAAAACTCACTCATCATGCCGTAACCGACGGAGCCCACAGGTCTATCGGCGATCGACTTAGGAGCAGCTGCTAGAGCCATGGTAGCACTTGAACAAAATCAGGACAGCAGTATTAAATATGGGTCAATTGAATTTCGCCAGTGCAGTCATGCTGATAGATTTCATGGGAATGGACTCGTTTTTGTTATTATATACGTTTGTTATACACGTATCTCTAAATTGTATGCGGGACGCGGATGGGTTGATGCCAACCGGAGATAAAATTTGGCGGAGTTAACTCCTTTGTGTTGTATTATTCGACGCCAGAGAAGGGCCCGCCACTAAAGGCCTTAACCTAAAGCAGACGTCTTGTGTAACACGCGCCTTTGGAGTTAGTGTCCTGAAAGCGCGAGTAGGATTTCTCGCTCTATACGATTAATATGGAAATCTCAGTGGCCCAATATGTCGTTCACAGCTTCTTGTCGGCTTCGGGGTCGGTCTCGGTAACCTAAACTCCATGACGGATGTATAGAGGTTCTCGATAGCGGGAGACGTAGCTTCGGTTATAGGTTTCATGACTAGTATATTGCTTATAGTGGACAGTATCGTATGACGGTATCAACCTTTGTGGTTAGTGTTCAACTCCTTCGGCAGCACCAACTTTGTAAGCGCTGTTCAATCTCTATTTGCCAACCACTCGCTCGCAACCATGGAAAGTTATGCCCACAATATCGGAGCGATGATATACTGCAGACCGTGACAACTCAGATCTAGCAGTCCTTTGGCGAGGAAGGTCTGTCGACCGTTCTGAGTGTCTGCATGTAGGAATCAGGGATGTATTCGCCTTTGCTATCGCTGGCGCAGCATTTACTTTCTTTCCAGCTTTCACCATCCCTTTCAAAGCTTCCGTCACCAAAGAGCAAGAAACCAGGCCTTGGTAGCGTCGGATCAGCCAAAATTATTTGCGGCTCCGGGCGATACGCTGTGCATACCCAGGTCCTGCTTTGATTACCTTTTCAAGATAGATAAGTCAATACCATTAGCCCAGGTGCCAAGTAGCTGAGAGAAAACAAGAGCTAGTTTCAAGCCTGTCGTAGGGAAAATGTAGACCTCGTCTTCTGATCACACTTCAGGCCCGTGATATACAACGGTAAATCCGGGAAATGAGAAAGAAAATGCCATAGTAATATTATATGGTGCTAGCTACCCCCTCCGCGGCCCCCACCTCCCGGCTTCTTCTTAACGGGCCCACGTCATTCCCTGGCTGCCGAATATCATCATTTGAGCAATCGCTGGGAAAAGGCCGTCAGAGGTTGAAAGGTCTTGAGTATCTTCAGTATATCCCTTAATAACCCAAGCCGTCATTGCGATCCGGGACATTAGAGTACCAGCCGACTAGATTCTCCAAACGCTTTTAGCCGCATGATCACTGGTCCAGTTGCCGGCAGATCTTCAGCAACTCACGGGGACGGGCCGGATGAGCCTAATTTGTTTGGCGATCTCTAAACTGTAAATGTCAACAATAAGCTTCAGTTTAACAGAGCTTCTTAACGTACTCTGGGAGCTGCATGATATCATCATCTACTCAATAGGTAAAAGCTCGGGTAAAGAAGGCTTCAGTCTTACACAGTGCATTTATCAAAGACTCTAGGGATAATGTAGAAGGAAATCGGTGAGTGCTGGATCTAATTATGTCTCGTAATCTACTCGCTTAGCCAAGTCATCCATGCCTTTGGCAAGACCGAAGTGCCTGAATGTGCTCCATGGCATTCCTTTGCTGCTATTGTGTTCCTCGTTCACTCTATTGCAGCGGATGGGCTATCTGTAATCAGAAGGTGGCTGGCCTCGGGTACTTACCCTTTCCAATTAGCTAGTCTTTATGCCTAACACTGGCAGCGGGCATTGTGGTGAGAAGGTCTTGTAGGTGAAATGAATAGGACGAAACGGGTGGGTGTGGCATGAGTAATTCACATGAAATTTCCTGTGATACAAGCAAGTGTGTGACATTGTTGCTCTGGTGCAATAGTCTGGGGCCTGAAGCGCAGCACCTCGGTCAGCGGTGAGGATTTGTGAAGGCATGATTTGAGAGACGTTAGTGTCGCTGGGAGACATTTGAAGTGCATTGCATTTGAGGAGGAGACTGTTTTACGTAGCGAGACCTGAATAAGATTGAGCAACGCTTCGGCATCTTCAAAGAGACGCCGGTTACTCTTGGAGCCCAGGAGAACGAGCCTTCAAACTCGCGAAACTTGAGACACGAGTCCTAGACACTGACCGCGTGGCCTGGGAGGGTGGCTTGATTCTCCGTCTGGACTATGAGACACTGACGTGTGAATGGCCACTGGCAGTACACGCTTACACCAAATTGCTCATCACATTTGCACGGAGGTTCTCGAGGTAAACTGCGGCTGGTGGTCTTCGTCACAACTCTGAATGAGGGCATTGACATTCGCTGGCATTCCTGTGGGGCAAAATTAATCAGACCATAGTCCACGAAATAGACCTGCTCACAAAAAGCCCAGGAGTCCAATGGTCCTTGTGTACCTGAGAGGTGTGATCTGATGGCGTTTGCATGGTGCTCAGCCCGTCCAGAGAATGGATCATATGCCAGCTTCGACCTTGAACCGCAGCTGTGCAGGAACAATGCAAGTCTTGCCTCTATCCCTTTTTGTCTTGGCTGGCCCTTCTCCAGAACAATGCAGCTGCACAGTTAGCTGCGACTTCCAAAGGGGATTAGCCACGTCTTCTTGACCACCTTTACACTTGGGCACCCTCGACCACATATCCGATGGATTTTGAACATTGACTTAACCTTTGTTTGATTACAACGTAATACAGCTTTCCACTCGCAGCCACACACGCACCTTGATGCTGTAGGTGACCCACTCGTGACCATGACCGAAAAAACGACCGCCACCATTTCCGGTGATAAGAATCCTATGGTCTGAAAAAGTGATGGTCTGCGATATCGAGCACCGAAATTTCGGGCCGTAGCACCAGCGCGATGCACCACGAGCAAGACAGCGCCTAGCCAGACGAATGGTTCCATTTGCCAACACACCAGCCCTGGTCAGAATGGTGCGACTTTAGACCAGCCAGTACCTTGGCACTTTTCGGCGACGACACGTTAACAATGCCTAGGACTTGCCTGGTGCAACATCAAGCCCTTTTCTTGAAGTCATCCAGTCATCCCATCTCGATGCACTTGTCATCCAAGAAGCATCGCCCAACATTCTCACACGTCTCTTGGTCAGAAGTGACGAGCGAGTGTCATGACGAAACAGAGACTCTGGGATGATACGGAGCACCCCGGGGCGGCAGGCTGTTGGCTACCAGCGCGGCAGCGTGCGAGACTGTTACGCATGACCCACGAACGCTGGTCAAGCTGACAGCGGAGCACAGCGGAGCCTTGAACAAAAGAGTGCACACACTCGTGTCCGTCTCCACTCTACAGCTCCCGTGCGATTAGATGGCCTTGAGAGGATTTCCGTCGGTCATTCAGCAGAATTCTGCGAAGAGGCCGACTTACAAACAGCAGCGACTTGAGTCGGCCACGCCAGATATATTAACTAGTGGACCCGATTCGTGGGAAGCCGTCGGCTCGGCACCAGCCGACAGATTGGAAATTGGTTCGGCACCTTGCCGGAGATAATAATAGCACCAAGCTACCGGCGACGTCGGTGAACACCCCATCAACAAGGCACCTCTGGCCTTCTGGGGGTCTTTCGGCATGCAGATGCCCCATCTGACCTCCTCAGCTCTTGGGCTGGTCGTCGGTAATATTCCGGAGCGATGACACTTGAAGGCTCACCTCATCAAGACCGTAACGCAGACGTCCAGGTTCTTTTTGGAAAGGAGAAAGTAGAGAAACACGTTCCAACGGATGACGAGCACTCCGGCTTGGTGTCAGTGGGACTCGACACCAGTGTTGGAGTAAAGGTGGAGAGCCAAGACTCGAAATGCGCTACTCCCATTGCTCATGTCTGATGTCCGGTGTCCCGTGTCGCAAGGGCTTAGAATAGGCCCTGGCTAAACTGGTTTCGGTCCTTGGACGTTGGTTCTGCCGCTACACAGGGCTGCTTGCGCGTTTCACATCCGACCGCCGCTGCAGCGTGAGTGTGCGACGCTGCTGTGGCGTGCCGGCAGCCAAACAGCCAGCCGCACGTCGACCAACCTCATTGTTGCATTTCGCCAAACCCAAGCACGCAGGAGTGCAATCTAACGGGGAAGCAGTGCAGTCGTGGATTGACAGCTGTGCGCGTCAAGGCGGCAGTGAGATGGGAGGGTCCGAGGAGTCAAAAGAGATAGTGGACTCAGAAGCCGCGCACTCCGCCCCGCCACTGTCAAATCACTTCTCGAGGGCCGCGCGTACTTTCACCCGCCAACATGACAGTCTACCACAATATTCCGCCCTTTGCGGCCGACCCCCCTGAGTGCCGATGGCCATGGGCCGCCTCTCACGGGACCAATGTCAACTGCGCCAACGGGCAGCGCAGCGGACTGGGCTGATCTGGGTTGCAATCTCACCCTATCCTAGAAGCAAGCGCTTGCTGCCTTGCGGTTCGCTACGCGAGACCCATGGCGGCCGAGCTGAGCAGCGAGTGAGGCAAGGCAAGGTCCCTTTCGAACGGGAGTCCGTCGCTCGATTGGATACCAGGAAGTGATGGTGGGATCTGCGCAGCGTGTCTCGCTCGGCTATCCTGTCACCTTGACCGTCCGAAGCCGTGAGCAGTTCACCAAGTACCGGTGAGTGTCCGGACCCTCTCTTTTTTGTCTTGACGAGCTGCTATGCAGGCAGGGATAGTCCGGTACTTGACGTCGACCTATGCAAGCACCCATGTTGCCTTTCGTCTCAAGTCCCCGGCCTGCATGGTCGGAGTATTCCTTTTAAGCATCCCTAAACATCTGATGTCCTGGTCTCCGAACTACCCTCATCCCCGATACAGCCAAGGCGATCTTGGGTCTGCAACTCGAAGCGTGCCGCTACCACCGTATCCGTACTCAATACACCCTCTGCTGTGTGTTAGCCTTACGCTCAAGCGACGTAATCCCCTGACAGCATCCCCAGCTCCCTAGTGCCCCCCAGTTCACCACCCGGTCTGTGAGACTTCCCAAGACGCTTGGCACCACTTCGGCCTCGTGCACTGTGGCTTGGCTGTTGCCAGGCGTCTTGCATCGCACCCTCGGCGCGGACCTGATTCATGCTCCTGGGGGCGGAAACCAGACCGTGTCTCTCCTCTTGTACGCTGTTTCTGCGCTTGGGTCGCTGCGACAATTCGCTTGTTCGTTGATACTTGACTCTCTCGGCACCCCTTCCCCCATATCCAAACCTTGAAACCCTCCTACTCAACTTCATCTCGAATTGCTGCGTTCTACAATATTCTCCGGAGCGACACTGGAATCGGCAGAGCTGTAAATTAGAACCTCTTAACCTCAGGCCAGGTCAGACAAAAGAAAAAACGATAATCGCCACGGACTGGGGAAAATTGTCTGGGCGCAGTCATTAGGTCCAACGAATATCACCGGCCTTACGTACGAAGCCCACGAATATTCTCCACTCCTGACCTGCGCCGCCACTTTCCGACTTTCTTGGTATTTCCCAGGTTATACAATACAGCAACACCACCCCAGATGATATAGTGACTTCTCTCTCATCTTTCCCTTCCCCAACCGCCCCGTCGGGATCCCGCTCCGCTGTGAACAGCTACTTCCTGGCTATTACGAATATCTCGAGTGGAGGTTCCACAGACGACCACTATAATGAAGTGCACGACGTTACTGGCCCTCTCGGCCACAATAATATCATCAGCGGAGGGAATCGACCTACGAAAAAGAACAGATGGAGGATCACCAAGGGTAGTGGGTATGCCCACTCAAAGGAAGACAGTTACGAATCCACATAAACGAGACCAACTACGGAGACGAGGAACAGTAACGGCCAATCTCGACAACGAAGAAACATTATACTTCATTAACGCCACTCTGGGGACCCCGGCACAGTCCCTCCGACTTCACCTCGATACCGGCAGCAGTGACCTGTGGGTAAACACCGCGAGCTCAGCATTATGTACACAAACATCACAACCCTGTGCTTTTGCCGGCACATATGACGCCAACTCCTCGTCAACATATGAGTATGTTGGTTCTTGGTTCAACATATCATACGTCGACGGCTCCGGAGCAAGCGGTGACTACGTGACGGACACGATGTCAATAGGCGGGACGACAGTAAGCGACTTCCAGTTCGGTATTGGCTACACGAGCAGCAGCTCCCAGGGCATTCTGGGAGTGGGCTACGCGGTGAACGAAGTGCAGGTTGGCCGGGCGCAGCTGTCGGCCTACGACAACCTGCCGGCGAAGATGAAGTCCGAGGGCAAGATCACGTCCAATGCCTACAGCCTGTGGCTGAACGACCTCGACGCGAGCACCGGCCAGATCCTGTTTGGCGGTGTGGACACGGACCAGTTCCAGGGCGAGCTCCAGACGCTGCCGATCCAAGCCGAGGGCAGCGTGTACGCCGAGTTCCTGATCACACTGACCGGCGTGTCGTTCAGCGGCGAGACGATCGCGGAGGACCAGGCACTGGCGGTGCTCCTGGACAGCGGCAGCAGCCTGACATACCTGCCCAACTCCATGGTGGAGACCATCTACGACCGCGTGTCGGCGCAATACGACAGCAACGAGGGCGCGGCGTACATCGCGTGCAGCAAGGCCAACGACAACGCCACGCTCGACTTCACCTTCAGCTCGCCTGTCATCTCGGTCGAGATGAACGAGCTCGTGCTGGACCTGGTCACGGCCTCGGGCAAGCGCCCGCGCTTCTCGGACGGCACCGAGGCGTGCCTGTTCGGCATCGCGCCCGCCGGCTCCAGCAGCATGGTCCTGGGCGACACCTTCCTCCGCAGCGCCTACGTCGTCTACGACCTCGAGAACAACGAGATCTCCATCGCCCAGACGAACTTCAACGCCACCACCAGCAACGTCCTCGAGATCGGCTCCGGAACCGACGCCGTCCCCAGCGCCACCGCCGTCGCTAATGCCGTGGCCGCCACGGGGCTCTCCGACTCGACGACCATCGCCGGTGGCTTCGGGCTCAAGAATGCGGCGCCGCGGCTGACAGACGGCGTTGCGCTTTCCGCGGCCGTTGGGGCCGTCGTGGCTGTGGCATTCGGGGCCGGTGCCGCTCTTTTCTAAGGCGAAAACAGCTCCAGCGACCATCTGCCTTGTATCTTACCACCATACATCACGTCTTTTCACGTTTGAACTGAGCGGAACCCGAGACCTTGCATCTGGCATGTTGGACACGGATCGAGACATGAGCGAGCGTTTTCATGAAGCGATGCATGATTGCATGATTTTTTTTATTTCTCTTTAATTCGTCTGACATTTTGCATTTGTTATGGACATACACAGACCTATACAGGACCCAAAATAATGGGCATCATGGCATTGCATGGCGTTCATGGTGGATGGAATGAGTGGTCTCGTGCAAGACAGAAGAGGTGGAACAGGAAAGACAAGGCATTCTAAAAGAGAAATAGTTGAGTCACACATGTGACCGGTCTACAGAACAATTCCAAACCCAATTCTTCAAAAGACTACTCCGTGTCCAAATGTGCATTGTGATGAGAGATGATCTGCAGACGCTGCCGGCCGCGTTTCCTGTCCACTGCCGAGCAAACAGTTCGGGGAGACGCACATGTCGTTGGGGAACATGCGGCTCGCGGTCACACAGTCACAATCTCAAAGTCGTATTCGGGATATGGCCACAACCCCCCAGCTACCGGCTCCGAGCTACTGGAGCAAGTTGTCCAGGAGGAAGGGGGGAGGACTCGTCACCCTTGTGAAACATTCAACCCGGGGAAATAGCCTTGCTCGAGGTAGAGTTTAGATCTGATGCGCGCAAATAGATCGGCTTGCCATTCGAGCCACGCGTGCTCTATTGTTGGGTTTGATTTAAGGGGCATCTCTGTCCTCTGCTAAGCCACTCTACATGAGCATGCTTTGCCTCTCGCTCCTTGTGGGAGGACTGAACGTCAATGAAAGATGTGAGAGTCGAGAGGCCATCTCCGGAGGATTGGCCACGGCCGATATCCCCGAACACACCCGAGCCACGGCTCCAACGCCCCGTCACGCATCAACAGCCACCCCCGTCCCGTCCTCGCCGCGCAACCTCATCTGAACATCCAGAACGTCTCGTCCGACATCTTAAACTCGGTGATCTTCCGCCTCTCGCGAACCACTCTCTGGACCTGACCGACCAGAAACCCCCCACTGCACGCTCATCCCAACCCCTCCCCTCACTAACTCCGAAACCTCAGCCACCTGCCGCGGCCGTCTCGTCCGGGCCGGCGGTAGCGGCGGCGGCGGGAGCAGGTATGTAGCGCCTCATAACATCACGTACGTAATCATCCGGCAGCCCCCACTCGGCCGTAGCCTCGTCGATGCCCAGGTTCATCCGCGCCACGTACTCGTCCTTCGGCGCCGCGGGGCTCACCCGCAGCCGGTCGACGTACACCAGCGCCTGCACCGTGCTCTTAGCCCCAGCTGCGTCCACCAGCTCGACGTCCAGCACCAGGTCCTCGTACGCCCAGGGCACGCCCTCGTACTGGTCGAGGCGCCTCTTCTCCGCGGGCGAGCCGAGCCGGTAGAGGACGCCGTACACGCCGCCGCCGCTTCCGTCGCCGGCCGTCGGGGCCACGTTTGCGTATCCGCGCTCGTTGATGATGAAGTCGTAGCCTGGCAGGAACGCCAGGCCCGTCGCCGCCGCGCCCGGGCAGCGGGCGCGCATCTGTGTGCTGCTGAGGTTGGAGCCAAAGGCGAAGTAAAGAAGTGTCTCATTGTCGGTCTTGGGAGTCATTTTCGATCCGGTGCTATCGAGCCCTTTGTGTGTATGTGTGTGGAGGGGGGAGGGTGTATGCCGTTGATGAGTTGTGCCAGTCCTTCGTTCTGAGTACGAGTAGTGTTCGTGAGTAAAGGATGGGTAGGCTAGGCAGCAGGTAGCCTCCACGTAACCTAAGATATCTCGAAGCTGTGCTGAGCTTCTCGTCTGCTAATGAGGCGGGGTTCGGTGATGGTGGTGAGTGCGAAGTTGAAGGTGAGGCGGGTTTGCCTGTATGACAGACATATGTCCCTGCAACTTATGCCTGCCTGCCCGCCTGCCTGGAATTGCGGATGGTCGCTTGTCAAGCAAACCTGCTTGCATTCGAACGGGCTACGATACGACACAACCCACGTACCAGCCGCGGTCGCCTCTCAGGTCTCTGCCTCCCACAAGAGGTTCTGCCTCAGCAATCAGTGACCCGACGGCACAGCACGAAACATTGTTCACAGTTGATGTCACATCAGAGATAGGTTCATGTAAATGATAGCAAATATGTGTCAAGATGAAGGTGTTCGTTCTCTCAATTTCCAAATCGTACAGAGTCGGATGAAATAGTACGAGTACACGGCCAACAATAGCTTTTTGTCGCACCCACCAGGGCAAGCTTCGCCATCCCCAGAGCATTATTACTTTGTCTCTCCAGGATAACCCTCCCATCCACATGCAATACATATCCAGTAGGTATTCAGTAGGTCGTTCGTCCTGTCTGTCTTTGTGATCGTGCCTCGTGATACCGGTACACGTAGTAAGTCTTGGTCTATCTATATACACATATAAAGAAAGAAGAAAAGAATTGCCGTACACCAACTGTTTAGGTGATGGGCGTCAAGAAAGGATGGACCATCAGCTCGTCCGCGCTGGGTCGCTTGTTGTGGTCCAGCTCAAATGTCTGGGCGAGGAAGTCCTGAGCTTCCTCGCTGGCGTGTTCAGGGATCGTCGGCGCGGCCTTTGACCCGCCAATTTTGAAGATGGCCTGCAATTGTGTGCAGTCCGGGAAAGGATGTGTCCCCGTCATCATCTCGACGACTAGACATCCCAGGGACCAGATATCCGCCTTGCGCGTGTAGCTAGTCTGCTTGACGACCTCCGGCGCCATCCAGTAGACGGAACCCTGCAGCGAGGGCCGGTGCTTGTTGTTATTTGCGCCACTGAGGATATTGGTGGCCTCGAGCTTCTTGGAGATACCGAAATCGGAGATCTTGATAGTGCCCTTGTTGTCGACCAGGATGTTGGCTCCCTTGATATCACGGTGGATGATCTCCTTGCCATGCAAGTAAGACAAGCCCGTGAGGATCTGCCGCACGAAGCTGCGCACGAGCGGCTCAGGCAGGGCACCGTATGAGTTCAACATCGTCTGGACAGATCCGCCTGGAACATACTCAAGGAAAATATTTAGGAAGTCCGAGGAGGAACTGCAGCCAAGGTACTGCACAATGTTGGGGTGTCGAAGGTCTCGGAGCAAGCTGATTTCGCGCTTGAGAGCCTCAATCATGCTCTTCTTGCGCGAGTCATTCTGCGAGTTGGCGCCGGGAGACGGAGACTCGACTTGCTTCACAGCAAGAAGCTCGCCAGTGACAGCGTGCAGCGCGAGGTACACGCAGCCGAAGGATCCTTGGCCGATAAGGGCGCCCTTCATCCATTTGTTGTCGTCCCAGGACTCGCCCGACAGGAAGCTCTGCAGCTCCTCGTCGGCATCCTCGCCGTCGTCATTGAGGGCCTGGTTGACGTCTCTGAGGGAGCTCGAGCCCGAGCCACCAGTACTACTTTCGCCATCGAAGTAGCTGTGCCGGACGACATTGCCCTCAGGATCCGTCACGCTGACGGCAGCCGTGTCAGACCCGCTGTCGGCAAAAGACACATACGACTTCCTGTTGGGCTCAACAGGACTCGATTCCTCTTGTAAGGTGTCAAGAACAGAGGAAGATACAGAGTCCCTAAACATGGGCGTCATCCGCCCATGTATGCTCCGTGGCTGAACTTTGGCGAGTTGGGTATTAGCATTGAGCCAGCTGTCGGCAATGGTAGGGATCGGAGGCGCATCTTGCACGCTCGAGGCAAAGCTGAGGTTGCTTGCAACACTGAGACGACTATTATACTTGCTGAGTCGTTGGGATCTCCTCATGGACAGCCGGGCGGTGCGGTCGATGTCTTCACGGGCGTGGTCCGGGAAGTAGGATGTAAGGTCGGATGCAATGAGCTCACTGGGAGGCCGTAGCCCGCCAAACTGTCTCAGGACCTTGCGAGTCCTAGGATTTGGTGACTTGGCATCGTTGGAGGCAGGCCTCTCCAACTCCCGTGCGGCATTCTGAACATTTCTTTCTCGGTCCTGATACGTCACGGGCGACAGCGGAGGCTGAATTGAGTCCCAGTTCTCGCCCAGTACCTTCTGCACCTTGGCCTGGCTCGTATGGCTGATGCTTCCGAGTGCCCGGTGGTGGTTCTGCTGGTTTTCCTCCATGGCAATCGCTGCAGCCCGCTCAAGCTCGCCGCGGCCGGGTTCGCCAGCCGGCACCCTCCTGAGGATGAGGCGATTCCGCTCCGGCCTCTTTTCATCCTTGATAATCTTCCACAACTCGGTATCGCCGAGACGGCGACACATCTTGGGGTTGGCGTCGACGCCAACCAGTATCCAGAAGCAATAATTCCTCTCGTGGTCTTCGCGTAGCGCAAACTTGCGTAGCGTCAAGCGCATTACTTCGGCACAATTTCTGCAATCGGCGATCTTAACCACCTTTGTGACACCACCGGTGGAAATAACACGAATGACATCCTGGTTGTGAGGCAATGCCGCCATGAGGGATCCGTCGGCACTGGAGCCGTTTCTGTGGTGCGCTGTCGGACCGGATCGCACCTGAGGAGGGGAGGTAGGCGGGCGAGGCCCGGCCGGTAGGCCATGACCCACCGTCCCCTGTGCGTAAGCCTGACGAGCTGGCTTGTGTTCTGTGCCGGGAAGGGGAGAAGTCGGCCTGGAAGAGGGCTTTGCAACGTCGAGGGGCACTGCCATGTCATATTGCCTCGAGTATCTCTTGTTCAGCAGTGGTGTAGGCTGGGACCGAGACGCCGAGTTTGGGGGACGAGGGGATCCCGATGATGATGGCGTGTATTGCTGAAGGTCCAAACCACCGAAAGAATCCTAGTTATCGCTGTCAGTGCCGTGTCAACACATTCCTGAAGCGGTCCAGAGTTTACTCACCCTATTGCGCTTCTTTTGGTTGGCATATGCCTGAGTCCTCAACTTTTTGATGCCCAAGAACAGACGGACTCTGTCACCGACTTTGTCGATGCCCATCTCTTTCAGGACTTCCTTGTCCATTTCCAAGAGGTTCTCGCCATTGATGTGATTCTTCCTGAACAAGTTCTCATAGTCACCGCACTTGACGGTCCTCAGGTAGTCGCAAACCCTGTCTTCATCCCAATACTTGACCGAGTCGGGGCCATCGCCCTCGGAGAACTCGGATTCAGTGGGGCTTGCAAAGGACTGATTTGTCATGGGAATCGTTGCGGCTCTCCTCGGAGGCGGGTAGGAAGACTGTGTCGAGCTCGAGGGGACAAGTGTCGACTGGTTGGAGCTGAGGGACGCCTGGTAAGGCGACTTTGAGGCCAACATGGCCATGGTGGAAGGTTTCCCGAGGCTGTGGGGTCCAAGGCCTAACAATGTGTGGTATGTATGTATGTATGTATGTATGATCCTCGACGAGGCGTGGAAGGCAGCCGTGTCGTATCTTGAGTCTTGTTCGCAGTGGATCGAGCCGGCCAGATGCACCACGGTGGGGAAGCAAGACCTTCTTAGGCGAGGTAGGCCGGAGCTGGTCAAGTACTCGGGGCACAAAGAATCCAGAAGTCCCAGCCGTCACGGATTCGGATGGCAAAGCGAGGAAGGGGGGGCCGGGAGGTTTGGAGGTGGCAGGCTTTATCTGCTGACCAGGTCGCGGCCGTATCTTGTCGTCGTAATGGTCGGGGTCAGCGATGGGTCGATGATTTAAAGGCTGGCAAATAAGATATGGCCCGAGCCTGTGTGGAGGCCCATAGAGGGTCTTTAAACGTGGTCACCAGGCACAGCAAGGCGTCCTGCGTAATAGGCGATGGGGATGATGGGTAGATAGAGGAATCACTGCAATGTACAGTGCGTAATGTTCGATGCGTGTTCGATTAGGTTCCTGGGGGGGCAGATGCCCAGACGGCGTGCAAGTCCAAAAGGGGCACGATGGTGGTATATTCGAGGCGTCTGCCGTGTCACGTTCGACCTGTCATTGCGTTCGGGGCGGGTTCATTCTCTCGTCAAAGAAGAGCCGGGGCGGGATATCTTTGTAGAGGAGTGGGCAATGCAAGAGGCGGCGGGGCGCGAAGCAGATGGAAAAAAAGGAGAAACAAAAGTCGGCGGAAATGTGGTCTGGTCCAGGTTGAGGTTCAGGCCAGGGATAGGACAGGATGGGTAGACACGAGCGGCAGCAGGCGGGCAGCAGAAGGCGGAGGCGGAGACGGATGAAAGTGGATGAGGTAGGTGGAGGAGGAGTGGCATCAGGCAGGAGTAGCAGTCAAGCAACACGCTGGGCGAGGACGAGGACGAGAGCGAGGGTGAGGGTGAGACAGGGGACGGGGGGGGGCCAAGAAGCGCCCTCTGTGCAGCGGCGCGAGCAACTGATAGGCAAGATGATTTGACTGCAGGAGTTGGTGGTGAGGGTTTGTTTGGATGGGGCAAGGCACTGACTGGGGCACCTGGATGGGGCATTACTTGGGCCAGGGGTTCGATTGATGCTCTCTGCAGGCTCTCTCACACTGACTCTCTGTGATGCTGGGTGCTTTCGTGCTTTGGTGCTGCTGATGCTGCTGCTGCTGCTATTGCTGGTGCTGGTGCTAATTGCTGCTGCTGATGGTTTGGGGGCCAAGTACAGCAAGTCCCCACACCTTGCAGCAAGCGGGCAGCAGCCCAGGGCACGATTGGACTGGCGCTGGCAGGGCCGTGGCTCGGTTTGGGTCTGATGGATGCAGCTCAGGAGGGCAGCAGCCAAACAAACAGCACGCCAGTGGACGGCTGGGCCTTGTGGGCAGGAAGTCCCTGCTGCAACGGGCGGTAGCTCGTCCAGTGGCGTCCAGTTTGAAACGTGGGCTAGGGGGGGCAGGGGGGGCCGTCAACTTGGGGGCCCTGGGGAGGGGTGCCAGGGTGCACGAGCCCCCCCTATTTTTCATTCCCTCTCTTCCAGAATACGACTACGGAAACTTTATCCACGCTCCACAGAAGCCATCACCAACCTTGGTACAGGAACACATGCCAAATCAAACACGACACGGGTCAACAAAGGCCAGCTATTTGCGCCCAAAGTGCCAACGCCCACACCCCCCCTCCCCAAGGGCTGTCATGAAACAACCCGACTGACTGACTGCCCTTGCCAAGGCACACAAAGAAGACAAATCCACCTCGGCATCCAGAAGTCGAGTGGCCCAGTCATAATACAGTAATACACACAGAAACAGAAACAATACTACACGGGACGGACGGTATAGCACAGCGCAGCATAACATAGCATAGGATAGCATAGTTCAGGCATTGTCAGCATTGCACGCACCCAGCCTGCAGCCTGCAGCCGATGCGTCCGGCGTGTGTGGGTCACAGTCACGTTGGCGATGACTTCGCAGGCCTGGCCGAAACATTTGGATGCCGCACACAAAGCATCTGCCATCCATCCTGCCCATCCAGCCGACCTGCTTCCCCCTCTCATCCGAAAATTTCTTGCTCAGAAGGCTCTTTGACCACCACACTTCGGACGACAAGCTTGGCTCTCCTCTTTCTTTGTTGCTCGCTCCGCTTTGGCCAGCCAAGCTGTAGCCGCTCCTCTCGCGAGCGACCCACCTGACAGGAGCCGCCTTCTTGTCGGCCCGTCAGAGTTTGCCCGACTCAGTTGAATCTGGTTGACTGACTTGACTTGACTTGATCTTGGTCCCAGTTCCAACATGTCGGGACTCACTTTTGATCTCGGAGTATCTCTGCCCGCCGCCAATGAGGACTAATACTGTAACAACGGACTGGCAGCTTGGCCCACGAGTCCGAGTGCAAGGGCAAGGGGCCATCTTGCGCTTAGCACACCGTTGTTTGCGATGAGGCTCTGGCAGACAAGGTACCACTGCCTATCTCTTTTCGCTCCCGTTTCGCACACCCTTATCATGGGAACAATATGGGCCCTCCGACTGGCCGCGTCCGCCCATCTCTCCCTACCACCCGCCTGAAAGCTTGGCTCGACTGCCCACTCGCTGTGCCCAGGACTGCCAGTGCAGGGCTATGACAGCAGCAGCCAGCCTGATCAGCCTCTGGTCGCGAGGATGCGACCTCAAAGCGTGCTCAGCTCGCCAACTTGAAACCTGGGCCGTCGGCTGACGGCCACTCACAACTTACGAGCCTGAGCCTGGTTGGCCGCCTCGGGACGTACCCGTGATGAATATGACGAGTGTAGTCGCTGTTAGTGCCTGCTGATCGCGGGTGGCCTCTCAGCTCCCCACACGCAGTCCTCATCCCATTTTCCATATCGGGGGGTACTCCTTCGCCACCTTGCCTATCATCTCACCAACACAAAAGGTCTTCGGGCCGCATTGACCAGCGGCCAGAGGGAAATGGTGATAGTCGGCAGGTGAAGTCATCAGAAGGGATAATTGACGGATCAGCATCATAACGTGTCCTACTATTCAGCCATTCTGACGCATCTCGCATCCTTTTGCCCTCGTTCCGACTCATCCTCCCAGTCCTCCGGGACACAGAATGAGCAGATTAGCAGGCGATATCCGACACAGGATAATCGACTGGTACGATAGACGCTGACGAGCATGGCAACACTCTCATCTCCCGATGAAACCCCTGAGCCAAACCATGCAAATCCATGGCCAGAGGGAGGGAACAAAGACCGACTGAGAGTGCCTTGTGGGATCACCATCGCTTTGGGCGTTTCCTTTCGGCGTTTCTCGTTTCAGCCAACGACGTCGCCGTCGTCAGCTCCAGCAAAATTCTCGCGCCCGTGGATGAGGCTCAGATGCTGATCTACTTCTCCGCTAAACACACTTTGCAGGCTGCGACGTCTTCTAGAGTGAGTGGGGCGGGCATCCACAGAAGCGAGTCTAATACTCCAAATACTCCAAGCGCACATGGTCCGTCGGATCTCAGCATCTGATCGTAAATCCGACCCGGAGCGAGAGCGGCGGGAGTCAGGGCGTGCTGCAGCTCATACACACACAGCACACGGACGTGTGCTTGGACGCTGCCGGCGACAATGGATGACTTTTTTTTTTGCCCTCTTCGGAGAGAGGAGTAATCGTGGCCGGCGCCGTATCATTCGCGATGGGCGTTTTACGAGCCTTGGCGCTAGAGCGGTGGGCGATTAACTCGAAACAATTGGGAGGCATCAAAATGCGGGACTATTTCATGCCTCTTCCTTCAAGCGATGGTAGACATGCGCATGCTCTGTGGATCACATGGAAAGTGCTGTACAATACGAACTCTGCGTCTGAGCTGCAGGTTGGTTGAGGCTACGAGGGCGAGGTGCAATTGGAGCCTGGCAAACCAACAATTCCATGGCTTCGCGGGGAAGAGCCGCACGGGCAAAGATCCGGTCCAGCAGCAGGACAACCCATGGTTGGCGGTTGTTAACATCCCCAACTTGGCTTTGATGCGGGGTGCTGCAGTGTCAAGATTCACATCGTCAACAGGAGGGGAGGCGTGATGTGCGTGCCAGAGCGTACAGTATGATACGACGCACTCGCTTAACATACTCCCGCAGGGATCCACCGCTTGGCTCGTGGGGCCGATTGCACGTTTCCCCGTTATGCACCAGCATCTCGGGTCAAGTGATACTGTCGTATCAACCGGCGAACCTTACCAAGTTGTCGGCCACAACGACAAGAATTTTGCGTGCTGTGAGTGAAGGGCAGCCCTGACAACACGACGCCAATAACGACGAGAGGCTCGGCCTTCCACAAAGGGGGCACGCGTGCCTTGTGACCAAGAAGCTAACGCTGTTTCCGAAACATGCCGACAGATCTCTTGCTCCGAGTAATGTCGGGCATGGAGATCGTAGAGGTCGGCAACGCGAATATATGTTCCGTAGTAAATTGTGGGCGGACAGCGGCTCCAAGGACTATCAGGCAAGATGCATGCCGCACAACACGAACCATGTCGCCATTACCCCATCCGGAAACTCGGATCCCGTCACGGTCCCACGGGCCCCATGTCCGCCTGTCGCGCGGGGGCAAGGCTCTTACTGGGGATTTTTGCTTGACCGGGATGTGAGCGTGCGCGCGTTTCTTGATATCGGCCTCTCACCGAGTGGGCAGCAGTCGCAGTAGCAACCAGAAATCGGACATGGCACAACAGACGGCGGCGTGCATTCTGCATCCAGCACAGCAACACAGCAGAGATATGGGCAGGGTAGCACGATGGCTTGACCGCCCCCAATTGAGGTTTAACGTTTCATCGCAAACAGATAAACACACACGCGCGTCCGATGAGATCTGCGTTAGCAGGTCAACAAGTTATCATGATGAGGTGGCTTCAGCACTTATCCACATGTTTCCGTCTCCCGCACGTTGACACAAGCCACGACTCCCCACAGACCCTTAAGCCACAGTCCAAACATCTGCCTCTGCCGCCTGCTTACCTTACTGTGGCACAGCACAATACTACTTTCTGAAAAGGACTTAGACCTAGTATTGTTGCAGTTGGAGACCGTCTACCCCACACCAGTAGTTCACTCTAACCCATGTCATTGATCGGGGAGGGGCCGGGGTCATTCCGAGCGAAAGTTGGGCCGAACATTTTTTGCCTCCGCCGAGCACCCATCTCCATAAGGCCTGTAGGCTTGTGATGGCAGTGATGGATGATGTGCATTTTGTTGAGGAGTCTTGACGCTTCCAGGCGTGACAGGTCAGCATACGACCAGACAAGACAAGGAGCAGCTCACATGTGCCCGTCCCCTCACTATTCTAAATCCCCGTCAGAAGCTTGCTGGGCTGGCTGGGTGGCCTCCTGTGCCGCCCCGGATGCGGCGAAATATCCCAGCACTTTTGGTGATCTTCAAGGCCAAGCTACTGGAGCTACCCGGGTACAGTTCCAGCCGGCGTGCTCCCAACGCCTCCCGGCGCCAGGCTAAGTGGCCCTTTTTGACTTTTGCAAAGTCCTGTACTATACTCGAAGCAAATGAGTGACGGCTAGAGTAGGGTACAGCACGGGTACGCGGCCGTACCTGAGCACTCTTCTTGCGGCGTGGACGGGAGAACCCTGAGGGCGCGCGACGATCCTCAGCTGGACTAGAGCACTGCGGTGGAACTGCATTGCGCAGCTCGCTCGGTGGCCGGCGTGTCGCACGGGGAAAGCCACATGGAGAAAGGTGATAGCTCAGTCTATGAGCTGTATCATGATTGAGCCTGGATTACGTGTGCTGGTCGTCGTTGAGGCATTAGTCTTCCCATTTGTGGCCCGTGGAGCCATGGCCCTTTTTTTAATATATTAGTGCTGTCATGATTGCTTCAACGACAAAGACCAATGCGGCAACAATAAGACGTTCACGCCACGAGACAGGGTTGGGCGGGCTGGCAACAGAGAGAAGAGACGAATTATACGATATGGTTGGCGGTGCAACACGAAGTCGACAAGTCGCTAGTAAGGTGCTGTAGATGCCATCCCGTGTGTCCCGTATCATGGATGGTGTGTCCTCCCAGGTGGAGAGGCATGGTGTGCATGCGAGGCGCACGACAGGTCCCTCGGATCCTCCCAAAACCGTCCAGGGCCCGCCACAATACCCGGCTGGGATTGGGCCGTGCCTTGAGGGGATCTGCACACACGATATGGTACCACAGTACAGTCATACGGGCCGGGGTGGCCTGGGCGATGAGCTCATTGGGCAATGGACCCCCGTGCCGGCATGGTCGACGTGCCCGCAAACAGGATGATAGCTGGGTGGATAACATCATCGCTGCTGGGTTGTCCCTCGGTCAGGCCATTGAGAGCCCAGCTTCGCCCGCCCCAGGTGCGCTGCACTCCCGCCTTGGGTTGCTTGAGTTGCAGCCCCAATCCTTGATATGATGCATTCTGGCGACAAGAGCCCATCGACAATGGTCGACTGATATGGCGAATCCAACTTTTCCATGCTGACGATTCTGCAAAAGCGAGCGACCCTCTCTCCTTCTCACTCTTCTCTTCTGTTGATGATCAGTCTGCCTCTACCTACTGTACCAAATTGACATTTCTTGCCTAAACTTGCCTTGTGAATGTACAGTATTGTACTTTCAGGTTCCTCCATCCATTGCAGGTAGTGCGGCTATCCATCCATCCATCCCATCTTTCTGGCGTCTGCATCGCTTTAGCATCCGCATTCTCTAGCTGCTTTCAATCTCCCTCCGATCCGTTTTGCACCCATTATCTTCTGCAGTATCAACTTCGCTGCTGCTGCTGCTGCCGCCGCCACTATTGTTGCTGTCTTGTGTGAACCAACCAACAGACTCTCTTGCTGCGGCTCGGAGGCAGACCGACCTGTTGTATCTAGACTTGGTCGGCGGATCTGGCCACCGCTACAGTTTTAGATCCCGCTCCTCCTCGCTCCTACGAGATCCCCCTTCTCTCCTCTCCCCCAGAGCACCAAAGCACGTCCCGTCTCATTTCTCAACTTGTGCAGCTGCCGGATCGAGCTGGGTCGACTTTAGGTACCGAGGTGAGCCGTCGGTACGCCCAAGCTTGACTGCCGGTCCGTGGCCTGGGGTTTCTGCAGACAGCTTTTGTCTCACACGCAGATCACCCTCACCGTCGGAGCTGAGACCAGCAGATCGCGCCTTGGAGAGGTGGTCGGATGGCCCGTCTGCTGCGCTTCTGATTCCGGTGGCCTCGACGGCCCGGGGAGTTCAGAGAGAGAGGAGTGTGTGTGCATGTGTAAGAGGTGCGAGAGAAGGCGCCGTCGTGTCTTGACTCGCCTCTAGCCTGCCTCTTCACGAGCTTGTTGGCGGTGGGCTCAACAGCAAGAGTGCTCGGTCTTGAATGCGGTGCCCCCCAGCCAACATCGCCTTATTCCCTCGCACTACCCACACCTCGGCAGCTTCGTCACTTCCGAGACGCATCACTCCTTGCCTTGTGCAAATCCCTTGACTCCCTCAACGTTGCATTGTTTCTATATTCTCCCATCAACTGTGGATCCTAGGACTCCCTCTCCGTGCGTGGTACACCAGGCAGAGAGACACACAGAGAGAGAGAGAGAGAGAGAGAGAGAGAGAGCTCCCTGATATCTCTTGAGACTCCCGGACTGCACCGACATCATCCCAATCTCTCTTCTGGATATCCACCCTCCCAGCTGTCATAACTACTTGGCACCTCTAATCACTTTAATTTTCCGCACACACGACCCACGACCCGCCCGGGTACCTGTTGCAGAGGCTCGGGCCACGAGGTGCACCTGGTCGGGACCCAGGCTGACGTCAATCCTACGAGAATCAACCTGAGCTCGACTGATATAGCTCTGAGTGGGAGCAGTTTTGCCAGCCTCTCGGTTTGGCTCTTTGATACCAACTGTAAAAAGAAAACTGCAAGCAATTTGGGGAAGCAATCATCATGGATCTTCTGAAGTGGAAGCGGCAGAGCTCAGCTCCGTCGCTGCCAGGCTTGGCCCTCGACTCGCCAACAACCACAAGCTCCAGTCCCGCCGGCAGCTCACCAGCAAGCTCGATACATGAGAACAGAAACAGCAACTTCTTCACTACGGTAAAGCGGAGCCTCAGCCGAGCATCCACGGCACCGTTGTTGGAGGTGGAGGATGCCCCGACTCTGGGTTCACCAGGACGAAAGGTCCTACACAAGCAAAGAGGGTCGTTCTCCTCTTTCGACAGCATGCAACGGCGTAGCTCCATCACGTCCTCGGGGACCAGCCGGATATCCCGAACATACTCGATGTCATTCAGCTCGTCCCGGTCCTCGACGGTAGGAATCGATTGGAAGACGGCCATTGACTGGAAGACACAAAAGGTCGAGGCCCACTGCGCCCTCGAGGCGGACCCCCAGGTCCTCCGCAGCAAGCCAACATATCTGGTTGTCACGCAGGACTACATCGTGAAGATGAAGACGAAGAACGAGGCTCTCACGACATTCCCTCAAATCAGCCCAGGCAAGGAGAACACCAGCTTGGTTCCCCCGCCCGAGCCAATGCTTGTCATCCCGATCCACATGGTCGTGTCGGTCTTCCTCGCTGAGAGCTCACGACCCTCTTTCGGTATCGAGATATGGTGGAAGTCCAGCTCCGCCAGGACTGCCTACAACAGCACCCAGATATTCTTCTGCCTCCCAAATGAGCGTTCGGAACATATGGCAAAAGTTTCTCAGCAGCTCAAGGCGAAGGTACACGAATTCCCGGAGGCATCACTCGTCCCGTTGGAGGTGGAGGCAGAGATCATCAAGGTCTTTGCGGAGGAGGAACCTGGCTTCAAGACGTGCAAGCCCGAGATTTTCCCCGTTGTTAGGAGGACGTCTGTGAAAGATGATGCGCACTCGAGCAAGCTGGATAGGACACGGAAGGTCCAAGACGGTTCCTCGTGGTATCTAGCGGTGGGCAGGAACCTGTGTTACCTTGCCGAGGCTGGACCGGGCTCACCGCTGGACTTGAGGTATCAATCCTTTGGCTTGGTGAACTTGGAGGCCTTCCGGGCAAATTGGATGGTTCACGAGGAGCGATTCGTTCTGAGTTTTCGGTGAGTGGTGACTCCCAGTGGATATTGACATGCCAAGACCTCTTCTAATGCGTCACAGTGAGCCATTCAAGCCAGCGGTGACACTGGAGCTGGCCAGCAGATATTATCGTCAGATCGTCATCACTTTTATGAAAGCAGACAGGTTTTTGAAGCCGTGCTGGCCAACAACTCTGCAAACCATGGAAGTATTCCGGGTAACGGGGCTCGCGGACCCGCAGCTGCTCATCCCTGGAGACAATTATGGGGGTCTCAGGCGGACCTTGGACGCATTCCTTGTCGCCTACCACTGCTCGCCAGTCGAGTGGGAGATCAACTGGAAGACTGCACTTGCCCCTGAGTTCCGACTGCTCCCGCCCAAGGCTGGAAACACATACACCAACTTGCAGCTATTGGCAGTCATGAGGTCCTTGAGATACAATGGATACTTCAACTCGATTTCGTTCAATGGCGTCGATCTCACTGGCTTGTGGGACAAGAACGACCCCCAAGGGAGGCCGTCTGTCCCATACATGAACCGCAGCTGTGAGTCTCCTTCCACACCCTTATTTGACAGCTTTCCATCCAGAGCTAACCAATTGGCAGGCATCGCGCTCAACGATGACGAGCTTGGTCCCGTCAAATTTGGCTCACTCCTGCACCAAGAGCTGCATGGACTAGCATTCTGCTCCGAGACCGTTCGCCAGATAGAATTCACCAACTGTTTCCCCGAGAATTCTGTTCGCAGGGAGATGTCATCGTCCGGCAAATGGCCCGCCTTCCTGTTCCCCATACTAAACCTGCTGGAGCTGGGTCTAACAAAGTGCAACCGACTGCTGCTGAGCGGGAACTACCTGCGCTCAGCAGATGTTGAAGCTCTGAGTAAGTGCCCCCTCATCTGCCTCGCTTTCGACGCTCTGCTGACTAGATGGCACAGTTGAGGCACTGATGGCCCAGACCATTGAGATTCAGAGTCTTGACATCTCACAATGCGGTCTGTCTGACCTTGCACTGCGAGACATCTTCGAGGTGTTGTTCCATCAAGGACACTCCTTGCAGTATTTAGATGTGTCCGACAACCGCGGTCGCCTCCACGCTTCGGTGCTAGCCAATTTGCTCCAGGTCATCTACGATCTAAGGAAGCTCAATGTCTCAGGCATACTGATGGGTGACATCCCCGGTCCTTTGTTCTCCTTCGAGACACTCTCACGCTTTGAGAGCCTCGAGGAGCTGGACCTGTCGAAGTTCAAGGTAGGTTAAAGCTTAAGATTCCTTCTTTTCATCTTGGGATCAAATTGGCTGACCATCTCAGATGAACGACGCAACCTTACATGTCCTAGAGGCATTCCTCGCGCAGAAGCCGCTTCCTTGCGAGCCCAACTCCCGCAACAAGAGCCCCATCAACCCAGCCTGCACCATCCGCAAAATCGCACTTAACAACTGCAGCATCAACGGTCGCGAGGCAGCTCGCCTCATCCGTGCCCTGGGCAAGCACACCAACGCGCACCTTCACATCAGCGGCAACCCGCTTGAGGATGGGATTGAGGACCTCTGCCGGGCTATCTCCTCGACGCCAGGACCAGCCGGCTTGCACATGGACATGGTCGAGTTCCGGGAAGAGGCGAGCTTCGTCGCCTTGATGAAGGCGCTGTCGGTGAACCGGAACATCTCGTTTTTGAGCATGGCAGGGACGGCGCCGATGCCACCAGCCGACGCCCCGTGTGGCGCCGAAGTGTGCGAGGCGCTGGAGAGTTTCTTCGCGAGGAACACTAATGTGAGATTCCTGGACCTTTCCGGGTACAGCGGCAAGCTTGATGAGGGGCAGCTAGGCAAGGGCTTTGCTCGCGCCTTGCGGGGCCTCTCGTTCAACACTACCCTGACGCACCTGAGAATCCGCAACCAGAACCTCCACGACGACGTCGGCACGCTGGGCAGCGTGATCCGGCAGAACAACACGCTCAGGATGGTGGACTGCCAGGACAACAGCTGGAACTTGACGAGCATTCAGTTCCTGGCCAAGAGCCTCAAACTCAACAAGAGCGTGGTAGAGTTCCCGTTCGAGCAGCGGGAATACGACCGCGTCTGGCGGCGCGTGTCCGCGGACGTGAGGAGGCAGAGCAGCGTCAGCAAGGCGGCCATGGCGACGCAGAACGAGCAGGAGAACGCGCTGCGCAGGGCGCTGGAGAAGCAGGTGCAGGAGCTCAAGGACACGGTGCAGCGCAACCAGCTCGCGCTGGAGCTGAATTCGCCGTTCGTCATCGACCACGAGGAGTCGTCCGAGACGGGCGGCGGCAAGGGCTGGCCGAGCCTGGAGCTCAAGATCCCCAACAGCAACCAGTCCCGCCTGCCGCCGCACCTGACCATCGCGAACCAGCAGCTGCTGCAGCCCGCCACGCCCAGCCCCTCGCGGCTGCTGGATCTGGACCTCGACTCGGACCTCATGAACACCCCCGTCGACCAGCAGCAGCAGGCGCGCAAGGCCATGCGCCTGCACACGGTGCCGGTGCCGTGCGCGATGACGCCCGCGACGGTGCGCTACGACGCCGTCGAGATCGACGTCGACGTCGCCGCGCCGTACCACGTCGGCAGCGACGAGGGCATCCTCGAGACCCCGCCCGGCGGGCTGAGCCCCAACGAGGGGAGCGCCGGCGGCGCGAGCCCCGAGATGCCCGTCAGCCCGCGCACGCCGCCGCCGACGGTGATGTCGCTGCCAGACAGGACCAAGGACGCCTCGCCTGGCGGTTCGGGCCTGGCCATCTCGGGCAACTCGCCCCGGGCAGTGCCTGGGTTTGACGTTGGGCCCTTTTTTGGAGGGCAGAACTTTGTCGGCAGCAGGTTCAAGGTTATTGGTGGGCTGGAGGCTCACATGGAGGAGTAAGTCACTCGATTGGTAGTGTGGCTTTGTGTGTTTTCAGCTCCGAGGGCTGAAATTAATGACTGCTTTAATGACGGGATGTTATAATACGTGGATGGACAGATGGCTGGGTGCGTAATGCATGTGGGATCTCATGGCTGGCTTATTGCATTGGCGTTCATTGGTGTAAAAATTGCTCCTGATTTGGGTTCATGGTGCGGGATTTAGAGATACCCTTTAGATATGTCATGATTTAGGAATTCAAATTGTCTCTCTACAGTGCTGTCATATATGATTGGCTATCATGTGTATTGTCTTCGGAAAAAAGGATGGAACAACATACATGGCTTACGTACGGCCTCGTGCTATTCATCATCTTATATCAACAGCCAGGAACTATGTCTGTTCATCATTCTGACCATCATGCAGGATCCCAGAGGACACCGACGAGATCCTCTCCTTCTCGCTAGTACCTCAGCAATACTCGGTCCTTGGGTGCTTGGCCGTTCTTGACATTGTTATGTGTCCGTCGTGGGGGTTGACGCGCTTTCCACCTTAATTCAGCCCTCCCGAGGTCGGTGAGTCTCCTTGCTCGACCAGCTGGGGGTTATGTTCTGGTACTTGGGTTCATGTCTGCCAGTTAGAAATAGAGCGAAGAAATTGTGGAAGCCTGTGTTGTCGAGGTATTCTTTTTTTCTGGCCGTCATCTTACATAGGATTTCTGCGAGGTACTTCTTGTCTGAATAGTGTCAGGAAGGTTTGCTCGAACGACAACTGTAAGAAAGTGTAGATGGCGGTTTCAAGAGAACATATCAACACATGAGATCTAGTCACCTGTGACTTACGTTGATGGCTCCTGTTGAACACTTATACTTACAAAATTTCCTGGGACAATCGAACAGCTGCTGGAAACCTTATCATTAATTTAACATGGAAAACATAACTTCGTGTTAAGCATCAGTCAAATCCTCTAATTTCAATTTAGACTAAAAATCCGAGTCTTGTTGTGACACCAAGATATGAAAGGGAACAACGCGACCGAATGCTCCCAAGGAAGGTTGCGAACGAAGAATTAGATATGTCAAATGAAATGGAAAACATGTCAAACTAGAACCGTATCTTCTGCACTGAAACATTTTCATGGGCGAGTATCTCTCTCCAGGAAGTCATAAGGATTATATTTATGATCGGGAAGCACTGAAAACAACAGTTTCTGCGTCCCAAGTGGAAGAACATCTTGCAATTTGAAAGATCGTTTTTGATGAGACAAGTGTAGATAGGTCATATTGGTCAGGTCTTTAACCCTTCCCATGCCAGTTGCTGTACTCCAGTGTCATGAGTAGTATGTATGCAGTCCACATTTGGCCCACTCGGGCGGTTTCGCCTGATTTCTTTGAGTACTCTACATTCTGGACTGAGTCGTCCTTGGTTCGGGAAAAATAAAGATAGAAGTGCTCTGTGGAAACAACTGACAACTTGCTACCATCAATCTCTACACACACGGGGACCATAATACCCAGGCCTGCCTATTCAACAATCTGGTATGTACCTCGCCGGTCCAGTAATAGTGCGTACAGCGAGACATCCAAAGTTGTGCGCGCACACGCCTCTTATTGATACAGACGATCGAGAGTAGGAATTGAACAATTCATTTCTAGCAAATTCTATTAATTTCTCCAATCATTGCGCTGGTGGTAATTCGAATGTTCGCAGGTATGGCCTGCTCTTGAGAACCTAGCGCGTGCCTACAAGAGTCTAGCCTACCACAGATAGGCTAGATACTAGGAAACTGCATGGACATGTGTTTGACTCGAATCCCAATCTTGACTTGGTGTAAGAATTTGTTGATGACTCTGATATAGCCTCTGATCTAGCCAATCCAGACCTCCAAGCAACCTGTCTTGAATCACGCCTCTGCTCATGATAAACTTCGTATGATCGGGTGGTGATGCGTCTGTCCTTCTCAATTCCAGAAAAGCTTAGTACGCATTGACTTTTTCAAGCTGTTCACATTGCCTTTTCGCTTTGAAGAAACTAAAACGGCGATGCGAAAAAGTATCGCGAGCTTGTAATATTGTACCTAATAAGTTTTTGTAGCTACGTAGCCTGGAACGTTGAATATACAAGTCTGTCCCTACGTAGACCACAATGCTGCCTAGACATCGCTGATATCACGCGATAAAACAACGTCGATAAGCAAATTATTTGTGGATTTGATTGGGAGTCTGGAAAAGGATCATCATGTTAGAGGTGCCTGTACAGCACACGAGACATTGCGTCACTGTCTGTACAGTAATAGACAGAGCTTCAGTGGCAGAGTGGATGCGAGTCAAGAGGGGTGCCCGGTGATCTCCAGGCTCGCCAGGGTACAGGCAGCCCACGTCGCGGCTCGGTACCTGCTGACAGGGGTGTGTCATGCGGCAACGCTTAACGCTTCGCTTTCGCGGGGTGAGTGGCTCCACTAAGGGGACGGAGCAGGACGGGCAGCTCCATCTTGCCCCTCCTTTCAGCTGTGTGGCCCCCCACGCAATTGCCGCATTCCAACGAGCACAGGTGCAATCACAGGCAAGCCCATCGTCATCATAATCGCTCAGCCTTGCGACGTCAAACCACAACCACATCCACATCCGCCTCCGCCACGACCACCTCTCCACCAGCCCTGTCAGCCTCGTTGCCTCGTCCTCTGCTACCCACTACATGAGCTCCAGAGCCTCGCCCTTCCCAACAGCTGCTGATTCTTGAGGATGGAGAAGGCTGCGGAGCCAAAGATACCGCAGGAGTTCATCCTCGACGCCTTCGCCGACCCCACCTCAGTCCGAGATGTCGTTCGAGGTATATCATCCCCGGCTCGCAGCTGCCCTTCCCTGGGGCTTCTAGGCCATGCGCGCACAACGTCGCCGGAGGCTCAGCCTCGCCCATCGCGGTGCTATGCGCCATGCTCTGGATCATATAACACGTTGACATAGCCCCTCACTCCCCACCCCTGCCACCTCAACACCACATACAAACCAGAACTTCCACACAACTACACATATCCCAAAAACAAGGCTGATTGAAATATACCCCAGGCATCCTACACACAATATTCTTCCACCGCTACTTCCCCACAATCACCCCGCAGACACACGACGTGCTAGACCTGACCCTCCCCTACGTCGCCGAGCCCGAGCTCGAGACGCTCATAGCCCAGCGCACCGCCACCCTCATGCGCGAGCTCGACGCCGACAGGACCCAGCAGCGGTCCTCCTCCCCGGCCTCCCTGCCGCAGCAGGCCCGCGCCGTCGTGGGCGGCTTCCTGGGCTCGCCGAGCCTGGCCTCGGGCGGCGGCGGTGGAGGCGGGGCCAGCAGCGCGAACGGCGGCGGGCGCGGCCAGGTGTCGGTCCAGTTCATGGAGAAGACGCGGCGGCGTAAGATGTGGTACAAGGGCGACGAGGAGGTCTGCTGGGAGAGCTGGACCATACGGGTCACAGTCGCGGAGCCCAGGACGGAAAATGGTGAGCCTCTACTACATACGTAGATACACACATCATACATCCATGCACCTGGATATATATATGTGTGTGTGTGTGTGTGTGTGTGTGTGTGTGTGTGTGTATGGGCAACAGATAGCTAACTCAAGATAAAACAACAGAGCGCGCCAAAGTCCGCAGGGCCATGGAGACGACCCTCCTCACGACCGTCATGAAGATCATCACGTCCGTCAACAGCTTCAAGGACCACATCCCGCCAATAACCACCACCGAGACCAACCCCTTCCCCTACACCATCACCGTCAACCAGAAGGACGCCGTCGGCGGTGCTGCCGCCACTGGCGGCGGCGGGTGGGGCGGCCGCTTCGGGGGCTTGTACTGAAAGATGGCTGAAAGTGGTAGCATTACCCGCGGTTCTTTTTTTCTTGTCGTCCTCTTCCCTTTACCAGCTTGCCGCCGTCGATATGTTGCGGCGTTCATTCTGGGTTGGAACACGGCAGGGTTGCGGGCGTTCATGGCGTTTGCGTATAGAGCGAGGGCATATACACCTGAGCATCTCGCCTCAAATGATAGGACTTGGGTCACATTTTGGCCTCGTCTGGGTACGGAGGGCGGCCCTGATGGCTTGGTTAGATAGGAGGTAAGCTTCTGTAGATACCCGTATTATCACAACAAGATGATATGCTTCTGTTCGGTACTTGTGCAAGCCCCCTGCTGTTGCCAATGTTCCCCGGCTTGACAGAGATCTTCAGCCACATCCTCTCAGTAGAACGTAGGCAGCTTAGAGATCTGATCGGCACTGTGAAGACATGGCACGGCCTCATAGAAAGCGATTTTTGGTCAAACAAATAAGCTCGATTGTCTCTGCAGAGGCCAAAGCAGGCCAATCCAAATCCATTGCATGTTACTGTACTCAAACCCTTAATCCATTGTTGTGGTTGCCCAAGTCCTATACCGCGAAATACACTATCCTTGCCATACCGATTCGCACAATGATGTACCTTCCATTATCCTGCGGTCCCTGTGTACCAAAAAGGAGGGTATAGAAACCTTCCGTATGTCCAGGACTCCGCGCGAAATTAACAGGAGGAAAAGCAAACCAAAATCAAATCAAAGATGTGGCTCACGGCCCATAATACTCAAAATACAATGTGCTCGCTCGCTGATACCCTATTTCCGTCGACTATGACCTATGTGTACGTCAAGGACACCCATCAAGGCCTATCCCTGGCAAAAAGCTGTCGTGTGCCTCGTGATGTTCGTGATATTACTGTGACTCAGCATCACAGTCGCTGATAATGTTTTCAAGCCTCTCCGGCTTACCAATGCCCAAAGCTGTCGGCAGGCTCCTAGCCAAATCGACGCAGGGTGGCAGGTCCGTATGCTTCAGCACCGGTGGGGACTTCGCCTATGCTTCGGAAAGTTTGAGTAAGATCCAACGCGTTCGAGTCATCGGACCCGAAGTTTTCAAGGTCTAACTCGGCATCCAAGCCATTCTCGGTGATGATCCAGTTCTCCGAATCATACTCCGGAAGTTTGCTAACTTCAGGCAGGTATTTGCTTGGCGAGGACAAGAGCTTGCTGGGAGAAGTTATGTTCCATGCAGTGTTCTCGTCGATGGGTGGGAACAGCGGGAAGGCCTTGAGAGGCGACGCGAATTTGAAAGGGGAAGCCGCAGGTTTTCGGTTTCGCTTTTCGCTCATTATCTCATCAAGCATTCTTCCGGCCGAATTGGCCAGAGGAGAGTCAGATTCTGGCGCTGATGCTTCATCCTCCCAAATAGCAAATGATGCCTTGCTTTGTCTCCCAGGGAACTTCTTGTTATAGTCGCGAACCTGCTGTGGCGTTTCGAGCATCTCTCGAATGTTCGCCCTGAGTTTGTCGTGCTGACGGATGGGAGAGGTGTTATACTTTGAAGTCGTCTTGGGCGGTGCAAGTGTTGTTGCACCTGTAAGGCGTGCGACAGACTTCTTCCCATTGATGGGCGTCTTGACAACCGCCGATGTCTTAGAAGGCGAGGCTCGATAACGTAGCGGAGAGCCCTTGCCAACAGGAGAGGAGGACGGCGGAAGCATGCGAGACTTGGGTTTAGAAGGACTGACCGGCGAAGACGCCCGCAATTTTCTGATGGCATCCTCGGCACGGCCACCACCTTGGAAGTGGTGGATGTCCGCTTCGGAGGAAAACACAGGCGCTCTTTGCTGTCCGTACCGCAATATGGACGACTCAATACCGGTCATGTAGCCACTATCAACCATCGAGTAGCGCTTGCGCTTGCCCGATGTGCGACCGGACGAGCCGGCAACTCTGTTTGTGCGGGTCGGTGTGTCACTAGGAATAGACACATGCCCAGAAATGGATGGGGGAGAAGAGCTCAACGTAGCATCGAGAGAGTTGTATTCCTCCTGATGGTCATTCGTTGCTTCAGGCTCCTCGAAAGCTTGGTCAGAAGCAGGAATGGTGGCGTCCGACGACGGCTCGGGTTGGACAGGTGCTGGTGGTTGCAACTTCGGGAGGGGTGGAAGATGCAGCTGGAAATTAGATGACTGAGGTGGCAACATTGGCTCCTGGCGAGGGGGAGGTAGAGCTGAGGGTTCCAGCCGGGAGCTTGAGGGCACTGCCATACTCTTGCCAATCATGGCCCCCTCAGTGCCCGACCTCTCCTTCAGGTATACGTCGAGCAACTCGCGCTCATTTCCAGGAATGATCAGCCAGTAGTTTCCCTTGCCGGGGTCGTCCTTGGCCCGCGCCTGCTTTTCGAAGAATTTCTTGTGAAGGCTCAAATTGTGTCGAATGCTGTTCTCCCAAGTGTCATCTTTGCGATAGTAGCACCATGTCGTCCTGATAAAGTCGTAAATCTGAGCCAAGGTGCGGCGCCGCGCAGGGGCTTTCCAGATTGCCAATGCAATCATTTGGGCATATGTGTAAGGCGGCTTGTTGTTTTCCTCTCCAGGGTCGACAGCTGGAAATGACTCGGCATCAGGAATCGGAACGGGCGAGCGGTGGCGTCCGGGCTCATCCGTTTTTGATCTCTTGTGTGCCTTCCTAGGCGAAGTCGTTTCGAGGGTGGGAGAATCGGGCAAGTGGCGCTTGACAGCATTTGCATTGGGGTCGCGTTGGCCAAGGGCGCGAGGCGGCGTTTTCACGCCAGATGGAGCGGGCAGCAAGGGCTGGTTGCGCGACGCTGCTGCCGCTGATTTCGATCTGATAATCTTTCGTGGAGTTTGTGGCGAGTTCTTGTTCATCGAGTCTGTCGTCGGCGTCGGACGATTTGATACTGGCGGGGCCAACACTGGACCATTCGAAATGAAAGGTGAGTTCATCTTGGTGGGATTAGGAGCGAGACCCGGATGCGAAAACGACAATTCAGGAGCGCTCATAGCAGCGAATTCTGCGCTGTTGTACGCAGTTGGCGCTGTCTCATATGCGGGCAGACCGTGGGCCAGGTAATGTTCAGCAGAAGGATCGAAAGAGCCCGGGAAGCTGGTCGCTGGTAGTCCAGACATATCGTAAGGCGACGCAGCCGGATCCATGGGATTAGAGCCTTGCTGGTGGTCGAAGTGGTGGGCGGGCATTTGGTAGTTCATGTCACCAAACAGGGAAGGCGCCGAAGTCGACATGAGATCGAATGACGGCTCCGGGAGAGGTGAGTATGATTTCTTATGAGAGCTAGAAGAAGCTGGTTGTGATCGACGTCGCTGACCCGAGAAGTTGCCCATGGGTGCGCTGTTGGGGTTTGAGCCGGCAGTGAACGACTGTGAGTGGCATCTGGCGCCATGCAACGACGGTCGCGACGAATTGGCGACGCCGTCGCCGTATCGCGATTTATGAGCCATTTCTGGCGATGGTGATGGTCCGGCACGTCTCAGCTCAAGTCAGGATGATGGGCGTCGATCCAGATTGATAGGGCGGTGATAGTGATAGCTGATAGCGACGAGAGCGGAGAGAGATGCGACTTTGGGTTTCCAAAGTTAGTAAGTGGGATCAATGAGTTAATAGGCAAGAAGCGAGAGGTCACTCTGCTCAGAGGGGAAATACTTTTAATTAGCAGCTGGCAGTGGGGCGCCCCAGGCAAGGGAGGAAGTGCCAGGCGGTGGCGTGGTCCGTGTGGTAGGCGATGAGATAGCGGTAATGAGCAGAGGATTGGATGTCTCGGGCGGGGCGGTAGAATTCCGGTTCTTTGGACGGTTCTGGCTGCAATAGATGGTGACGATGGCGGCTGTCGACGGTGTGAGCAGAAGTTGAGTGCGAGGAGCAAAAAAGCAGCAGCGGAACGGGGGGATGAAAGTGAAGTGAAGTGACGAGATGGTGGGTGGAATAGAGGAGCGAGACGGGAATTGTGGGAAACGGACGGTACAGCGTGGTATGGGGTACTTGAGCCGGGCTGTAGCAGTAAAGTGGGCACATGGGAACCTGGACACCTGGTACAAGTCGCGCTGTCCAAGGATACCTTTCCTATGCACTACCTGGACAGGTACCACGTAGGGTAAGGTAAGGTTGGCACTGACCTGGGCGGCAAGGAAGGGAAACCTGGCCTGCGTTGAAGCGAACCTTGGAAGCACGAGCAAGAGGGGAGGGGAGGGGATACGGCCGCGGGAGAAAGACCAGGGGCCAGTGCGGGCAGATGAGATTGACGAGAGCTAGGTTCATGGAATAGCGAGGGAAGAGGAGCCAGGCGTCCGACTCAAGGCGGGTCGAGTCGGGTCGAGTCGGGTCGAGTCGAGGCGAGGTGAGTTGGGTCGGGAGAGTATGGAGTAGATACTGTGTTGTGTGTATGGGCTTTTGGATTTGGGAGCCGACAAGAGAGAGATGACAAGAGACATGGGGGAAACCTTCTTTGGGTGGAGCGAGCAAGCCGATCAGGCAAAGGCCGAGGGGCAGAGCAGAGCTGAGAGCAAGACTGCGACGACAAGAGTGGACAGCGGCACTTACAAGAACAAGACCCACTGTTCAGCATTCCAACAAGTCCAACAGGTCCAGGATTGTTCATCCAGTCCAGCCTGGCCAGCCTTGAGGTTGAGGCCCCCGGACAGTCAGACAGACGAGTCTACCCACAGTAGACTGACTGGGTTGATATTCTATGGTTGTGCTCTTGGCAATTTGTTCTTCGGTGGTGCACGATGGTTTGCTGAAAGCAAGCGAGCAAGTAGCAAGCAGTCCAAAAATCGATTGAATGGATGAGGAGTGAGAACGGGAGTGGGAGGGTGTGCGCGCGTGGGAGTGTGTGTCGAGAGGAAAGTTGCGCGCGACAGCAGACCAGATAGTAGATGTCGAGATATCTGACCCGTCCAATCGAAGTCCACTTCCAGGTCCAAATCCAAGTCCACCTGCTGCAAGAGCCCAGTCAAGAAAAGAAGCAGGGACGGGCGAGACAGCAGTCGGGATGGTTTGATGGATGTTGGATGATGTGAGCAAGGAAGGAGCTGATGAGCGCGAGCAGCAAGGGCCAGGGGAGTGGACGACCTGGAAGACTGAAGACTGAAGACTGGGTGCAGGGGACGGTGCAGGGTGCAGAAGGCGCAGGGTGCAGGGTGCAGGGGGGGGGGATGGCCAGGCCCGGTGGGGAAGGAGCTGCAATGCGTCACCCAACGATTGGCTGGCGGGGACCCGCTGTGCAACGCGATAGTGCATGCCGTTCGTGACGGAATGGTGTGGGTGGGCGGATGTGACGAAAGAGAGGAGAGAAAGAGACGAGACACAGAGGGCAAAGTGCAGCAGCCGCATGCAACTCCAAGACACACAAGGTGGGCGCGCGCGCATGAATACAGGCGGCTGTAAACCACCAAGGACAATGACGAGGAGGGTACGAGGGCGAGGGCGAGGCCAGAGCTGACTTCTTAGCCGACGATTCACTGCAGTTGGCGCTCGTCTGTTGGGACTTGCGACGCTGCACTGGGCCAAGTAGTGCAACAATTATGATCATCGGCTGCTGCGTGCGACCTGCCTGCAATGCACTGCTCTCTGCTCTGCTGCGTGGTACAAGCGCTTAGACACACATCTACTGTACAGAGAGGAAAGAGGGAGCAGTAGCAGCAGCAGGGCCTCAAGGGACGAGGGAATGAGGGGCCGATCCAACTCAACCTTGAATTCTAGAATACAATTAAAAAAAAAACCCTAAGTGGTTGCATATCTCTGCCGTGCAAATCTCCTGGCAAAAGTCGCCCATGTAACCAAACCGTCTATCCTCACGACTCGCGAGAGCCCTCTTTCCTTAGCATTGCACAGTCTGACAGTACACCTTACCCACGACGTTTCCCCCTTAAGCCCAAGCCCGCCCCGTCAGGTCACTCCCGAAGGCGGGAACCGAATGGGCCCCCATCATGTTGCAGCGCGCCAAAACACTCTCGTCCACCTTTCCGGGCGCCATCTCCACGAGCCATGCGACTCTCTCTACCGGCGCAGGTTCCTGCCATCCTACCAGCCAGCCAGCCCATCTGAAACATATCCATCCTCCTTTGTCTCTTTCCCGTCTACTACGATATAGTGTCTACTTGTTCTCCCTCTCTCTCTCTCTCGTCTTTTCAGGCCTCCTCCTGCCAGCGCATCGGGACACGGATAGAAACCCAACAGTGGATAGGGTCTGTCGGCTGATTGCCAGACGACCAGGAGTCCAAGGGAGACCCCCGCGAGGCGACCCCTCCAGGCCATGCCATTGCCCCTCCGAGAACGAATTCGCATGTTGGCACCCCATGCCGAACTCTGTGGCCCGTTGGATCGAGATCTGTTCATGGTCGGTCTTCATCAAATCCCATGCTTGACACCTGCCCAACCTGCGCAGATCCCTCCCCTCCGGCGCAAGGGGCGGCTTGCCCATCGCCACCTTGGCTTACCACCTAGCCTTATTAGCCCAGCTAAGCTGCTAAGCTGGCTTCTGGGAGATTTGGGAAAATGCTGTCCTGTGGTCTAGCACCCCATAGACCATGTCTTCCGACCAACTCGGACTATATGTCCTAGTCCATTTCATGCGTTGGCAACCTGAGCGGTGACTCTTTCCAAGCTTTCTTTCAGAGATTTTTTTTTTCCTTCTCACTTTTCGTTTCTTCGTCCCCGCTTGGATTCTTCTGGTGTCTATGCGCCAGGAGCAAGTGCTGCTAAGAAAGACCCCAGTTCCTGCACGCACGCAAGTGTTCTTGCTCGGTATCCACCGGATCGACGATCGCTCGCCCGGCTGTGCCGTTGTGAATCGAGCCCGAGCACCCCCAGCCGAAGCCCAAACATTCCAAGGCACGTGCAAGGTTCTGGAATTCTGGAGTACACTACGGCAGGGGTCGGCAGGCTAGTTCTCTCACGGTGATCCACTCTATCATCATGGAATCATGTAAGAGTCATCGTCTGATGACCCCATCCTATTGCGCCTGAGTAGCGCACAGGATTTACGACAAACTCGACGTAGATTCTGGTCGGATGGACCCAAAGAACTTGAAACGCAAACCAAGGGTGATGAGGGGCCGTCATGGTTGCATTATCAACTCATGTCTGGGCACACAGACACCCACCCGCACCTGCATCTGCACCCCATCTCCGTCCCGCGAACTGGGGCAAAAACAGTGTCAGAGCGCACATCTCATATGCAGCCTCCGACTCGACGTGTCCTGGGGCCATTCGCCGTCCCTTGTCCTGTCCTTGCTATCACAGTTGCATCCGTGCCCGAAGTTTCGACCCCGAGTGCCAGTGCGTCCCTGCAATCAATATAGCGGCAGACCTCAGACTGGCGATCCGCCAAAGTGTTTGCGTCGTCCGTGGGAGAGAGAGAGAGAATATACGAGGGTGCGCCGGCCGTTTCATACCGACAGAGCGGTGAAGTAGTCGCAACCTTATCTTATTTGTCTCTTGCGTAGGAGCCAAAATCATCCGGCCGTAGCATGTAAGTCGGTGCGCAATACCATGCCATGCATAGTTGGCGTGAGCTGGCAGCTGGCAGCTGACAGCTCGCCAATGCAAGCTGAAACCACTGAGAATGGGAAGAGACGACTTGTAGAGGGCGATTTCGGACTCAGTGGATCAGATATATCACACTTTGGAGACTCTGCAAGACGTAGTTCGCGGGTTCACATCTTTGTTATTCCAATGTTTACTCGAACCAAGGAAACGAGACGCGTGGATTCGACTGCCTTCCGGGCCCCCTATAGCTGCAATAATCTTCGAAATATATGTCTTCGAGGTTTCCCGATGGTTTGAGAGGCTCATGCATCCATCAGACCACCCCCATTTGACCTCGCTGCCGCTCACTGCCGAAGACTGTGACGTTGGACCCCGCAGAACAGTTTGAGATGAAGTCTCGCGTCGCGCCCATAAGTCGCGACGCGTGATCTTGGCGTGTTGGCGCGAATGCAAGGGATCCCTGCTAGCTCGCAGCGCAGGAACACCCACCTGGTCTGCTGCTGCTGCTCCTAACCCTTTGACTGGGAACCAAGTCATGGGGGGTCCGCATTCAGCCCCATGTCAGAGGGCAGTGATCACCAGCATCGCTCGTCACTCAATGACATCTCATGCGAGCACTTAACCTAAAATTCCCACGATGCCTGCAGGGACGCAAATTCCCCGATCAGGGCAATCGGCAGGTTCCTTCTTCCTCTGTGCCACCACGAACAGGATGCATTGGACCCCTAATTTTTTAATTTTTTTTACCCTCTCGCGAACTGCCTCGTACCGTTCTGCACATCGACTGGATCCTTTGCTCTCCGCCTGTGCCGCATCAAATTTCACGACGATCCATCCAACTGCATCAAGCTCGTTCCTTCGTACATGGTTGGAAGTAACAGGTGCGGGGTCGCGCAATAACCTATTTAAATCCTACGGGCCAATTGCCACAGGCAGTAGTATATCTTCAAGAAGGATTCCAACAGTCGTACTTTGCCTTCAGCCCATTACGGCGCCCAACATTTGAAAAAAAGTGGTAATTTCACCGACATGCGCCACATCAAGAGCTGAGCTGCAAGAGGGCGGGCGCCCACCTACCTGGCGGCAGGAATGTTGCTGACGCAATTGATTAGCGAGGAGCAACGGATTTGCAGATACCGGCTCGGGACCGAACGTCGTAGATGTAGAGCAAGCGTTTGGGTCGGATGATTATCTCGTAGCTCAACTAGCCCACCAAGAACAAATATTTCCCAACAAGAATATCAGTACACGATATGCGCCCAGCCAAACGGCGGTTAGAATGGGACAATGGGACACCCGAGGTAGAATTACAACTGTAAGCAGTAGGCTGCCTATACTTCCGATCGGCTCTAGATAGATACCTAGGTGAAGTGCACGTCTGGTCGCATCTGATGACCAATACCCACTTCCAGCTACCTAAACCGTACTTGGGCGGGCCAGGACCATGACAATACTTGTAAACATTGTATTGATGCTATATACACGACACGCGAGGCAGCAACAACATTGACAATGACAACAACAACAACAAAGACACAATAAATGCAGAAACGACAGTCTGGTCCTCTTCCTGCTCGATTAATCCTCTATTTCTGCATCTTCCAACCCTCCTTCTCGATCCCGTGTTTGCCACAGAATCTAAGCAAGGCCATGCTGAGAGTGTCTCCCGTCGATGACAGGCGAGGCCTCTCTTCCTGAGCCTCACGGTGGACCGCTTCATGTTTGTCGTCGACCAGTTCCCTCGTCTTGTCAACACAGGCGAGGTACTTGCCGACGTCAACAACCTCCTCACTGCCTCCAGACAACCTTCTGGCCTCATCTACACAATCAAGATAATCCTCAATCTCGACAGCCTTACCACCGTCCATGTCCTCACTGTACTCTGAGCTCTTGAAGGTCACCTTCTTGCGGCTGCTGGGTGGCGCCAAATCACATCTCTAATCCAACACCCGTCCAGCAACAGCCGCCTGGCTCTTGTCCTTTGTCGTAGTTTTCTTCAACGACCTACCCGCCTGGATCTCACCAAGGAACCCGGCTGGTCGCCCACCTGAGGGAGCCGGCGGTGGAGGGCCACCGGCTGGTGGTGGCGGAGGTGGCGGAGGTCCCATTCCTGGGACAGGAGGAGGCGGCGGTCCAGGAGGAGGCGGCGGCCCAGGGGGAGGCGGCGGAGCACCACCTGCCGCTGGCGGAGGGGGTGGCGGCGGCGGAGGTGCGGATGGGGCACCGCTTGGTTCGGGGCTTGCGACAGCAGGCATCGGGGGTGGTGGTGGCGGCGCAGGTGGTGCGGGCAAGTCGGTCGTCTCGGGCGCCGGATCCGAGGCTGGTGGAGGAGGAGGTGGTGGAGCGATTGGAGAGCTCTGGGCCGGAGAGGCACCCGACTTGTCACCCATAGCAGACAGCGGCCGAGGAGGGCCCATGGTGCCGAAGAGGATCGACGCCAGTGCCGCAGCGCCCTGGCCTGGCCTGTCGTCGTCATCTGAATCATCGTCGTCCTTGTCATTGTCACTTCCCCAGTCGTCACTATCGGCGCGTGTGCGAATGAAGGGCTTAGGCGGCTCAGCAGGGGCCGCAGACTTAGCCTCCTGGGTCATCCGGTGGAAGGGATTGGTGGATTCCACAGGTGCAGATGGGGCCTCCGCCGGGGGCGGCGGCGGCGGCGGGGCGGCAGGAGATGCCGCGGTTGAGTCGGATGGCTGTGTCATCATCTTGAAGTATGGGTTGCGACTCTCTGAGTCCGTGGGAGGGCTGACCACAGGAACAGCAGGCACGCCTGGCGGTGTGGCCTTAGGCTCCAACTCTTGACTGGCGACAGTGGGAGTCGACGCTTGAGGCGTGATCTGCTGAGGATTGTCATCGTCGTCAGAAGAGCTGTCGTCGTCGTCCATGGCCTGGAGTTGGCGCTGAAGCTCTTCTTCGCGCTTGCGGGCTGCTTCGATCTCGGCACGTCTGGCCGCAAGCTGAGCCTCCTTCTCCTTGGCCTCGGCAAGTGCGGCCTTCTTCTTGCGCTTCTCTTCGTCCTTCTTGAGCTTGCCTTGACGGACTTGCTCCTCAAGGGCTTTGAGCCGGGCATCGGCAGCGGCCCGCTCCCGGGCAAGATCGTCTTCTTGTTCCGCCGCTTGTTGTCTGCTATAATTAGCACAGGTTTTCAATGAATTAGGATCGTGATGCACATACTCAAGTCCTTGCCTCTCTTCAATCTCCTGCTGGCGCTCCTGCTCAAGACGCTCCTCCTCAGCCTTCTTGTTGGCAGCGTCTTCCTCAGCTCGCCGAGCAGCACCATCATCCTGTTTCGGTGCAGCCTTCCTGCTGGGAGGCGCTGGTGGGGCCTTCTTGCCGTCGGACTTGGGAGTTGGCACGCCCATCTCCTGGTCGAGCCGAGCTTGACGCTCTGCATCTCGGCGGGCATCCTCTTCCTCAGCTTGCTTGAGCTTCGCGGCCCGTTCGGCACGCTCACGCTCCATCCGCTGGGCAGCAGTCTCGCCCGGCTTCGATGGGGCCTTGATCCCAAGGGCTGCCAGACGCTCAGCCATACGTTGCTCAGCTTGCTGTCTGATGAACGCGGCTCGCTCCTCTGGGGTCTTGTAGGCCGAGTACGATCCTCCAGCAGTCGGTGTAGCAGTCCGAGAAGCCGCGCTTGGACTCTCAACAGGGGCCGCTGGCTCAGCAGTACGAACGGGTTGGCTAGAAGCAGGCGCCTCCCTGCGGCGGTCCTGGTTACGCACACGTGCTGACCTGCTCTCCCGCTGAAGGTCAAAGATGAAATCTCTGACCTCGTCTTCCACGCCGAGAGCATCTTCCCATCTGCGCTTTTCGTGCTCATTCGAGGCACTCGGTGCACCCTCTTTGAGGGCGTCCTCGAGCCCCTTGGCGAAGTCGCGAACACTGTCTTCCACGTCGCGGACCATGCGCTCATTGTTCTCTTTTTCAGTACGGATTTTGAGGTTCTCCTCTTCCAAACGCTTGGGTGCATCTCCATCATCGGCGGCAGTGTCGATCTTCTTGCCCGTGAGTGCTGCCGTACGTTGCTGCATCATGGCCTTTGCACGGGCCTTGAGTCTGTCAGATTCGGTGATGGCACCTCCAGGACCGGTGCCGACTATATTGCTGGCGCTGCCTGGGTGTGCCTTGGCATCCTTCAAGCGGAACAATTCAAGACGTGCATCAGCGATGGCCTTTTCAGTCTTCCTGACCTGTGATGCGAGATCAGGAATTTTGTCGGTGAAGTTCTGGAGTTGACGCTTGAGAGCCCTCCTTTCCGCTTCAGAGTCTCCGCCGACGGCTTGGGCATCAGGGTGGGCATCAATGTCCTCTTGCGTTCTGCGAATGCGACGGTAGAGCTCATCAGCCTCACGACGGTCTCTCCGATCTAGAACGTCATCCTCTTCCATGTTCTTCTCGTCCTTGAAGTCCAATGAGTCCAGAATGACCTGCTTCTCTCGTAACTTCTTGCGGAGCTGATCAAGCGACAATTCCTCGTTAGACCCCACAGACGCCGGTGACTCCGGCCGAGGAGATGAGCCGCCTCCCATTCTACGACGTGCGCTAGATCGGTAGCCGACAGCTTCATCGTTATTTTTGAAGACAGTAGCATCCTTGCGTCCACCACCAAAGCCGCCCCCAGCACCACGGAAGGAGTGCGTCTTGAGATAGCTAACACCCGTCTTTTGCGGGAGCAGTGCGGCGCCAGAGTTCTTTCGGAACTCGGATTCGTCATTCAACATGTTCTTGAGTGTGCCGATAGATTGGTTGAAATTTTTGGTTGACGGCGGCACAAGCTCCGGAGGAAGCTGATTTGGCAGGGGATACCCGTTCAGTTTGCGGTAGATCAAGTGCATGGCGACGGCGAACTCGTCCAAATTCAGCCTGCCTTTATTGCCATGGTCCGCGAGGGTCCAAACACGTTCCAGATCAGGCTTCTCGAGCCCACTCTGGCCAAAAATCTCAATAGCTGCGTCACCGCCAATAAAGCCCTTGTGGAGACCATCCCAGGCGTTGAACAACTGGTCGTATCGCCTCTTTTCTTCCTTGGTGATAGCCCACGGAATCACAGCATTGCCTTGTAGGCCCGCAGTTGTGAAGTTCTGCTGCTCACGTCCTTGCTGTGGCATCATCCTCGCTTGCAGGGCGTCAATGTTCGGCAGCCCAGAAGCTGGAGCGTTCACAAGGCCCCATTGGCCTGGCATCCCCGTGGGCTGCGCATTCAAAGGCGCTGCCATACCGCCGGGCGACAAGTTCGACCCATATCCAGTGGGCATCGGAGGCATGGGCGGCCTCGGCCCGTTGTAGCCCGTGGCCTGAGGAGCTCCAGGAAACCCGGTCTGCTGGGGCTGGAGGCCCGTGGGCTGTGCCATGAACCCGGTCTGCTGGGGCTGCTGTTGCTGAGGGAAACCCGTCATCTGAGCCTGCAGCAGCTGGGAGTTGGACGCTTGTGGTTGTGGCGCCTGAATCGTGGGCGGCGTCGCAGTATTCTGTCGTGCTCCGCCGTTCGCCGCCTCCTCCGCCGTGTTGAAGTTGATTATGTCGACCATACTAGAGACTTCATTCTTGATAACATCGGGAAGCTGTGGAGGAAGTTGTCGCCCAGTCATTTTTAGGTTGCAGAGGTACATAGCCAGAGCGAACTCGGGAAAGTGAAGCTGTCCGGAACGTGTGGTGTCTGCCAAAGTCCTGTGGGGTCTATTTTAGCCTTGTACTTCCTTTCGTGCAGCTCTTTTCTTCATCAACGTACCAGATATGTGATAGTGCGTCTCCGTCCAGCCTGGATCGCATGAGCAAGTCCCTTGCCTTCTCGCCCGACATGGTGGTGTCGTTGTCGCCCACTGCCGACTTGAACAGCGTCTCGAACTTGACTTGATCAGCCGCCGTGATGAAGCTGAGTCGGATGTTAGGTATCTTGTTCGACTTGGGCGCCGGTGCGCTGCTAGGAGCCGCCGCCGAGGCGCCGCCAGTCCGGAAGGATGCAGCCATCTGGCTGAACCCAGTCGGCTGGGGCTTCATGGGGGTCGGCGGCGGCTGCTGAGCAGCAGTTTGCTGCTGGGGGAGTTGGGTGGGAGTGGCATTGAAGGAACTCGGAGGCTGCTGTTGCTGTTGCTGCTGCTGCTGTTGAAACTGCTGCTGAAACTGCTGTGGGATAGCAGGCATAGGCGGCGGGGCGCCGGTCTGGAAGGGCTGCTGCTGAGGAGCAGCCTGGCCGGGGAAGCCGGTGAACTGGGGCTGAAGCTGGCCGGGAGCTTGAGGCTGCGGTTGCTGCAGGCCGGGGTATCCGGTATACTGTTGTTGAAGAGGAGCCTGGGGTTGACCGTAACCGGTGGGCTGAGGAGCGAACGGACTCGGCTGCTGCTGTCCGGGTTGCTGCCCAGGCTGCCCAAACGAGTTCCCGTATTGTGGCTGGGGCTGCGAGCCAGGGCGGAAACTATTTCCTCCGCCGAGGAAGGAATTGGATTGGGAGTACATCTTGTCGTCGTTGTCGCCCAGGAGAGGATGAACGGGGGACGGGCGGATGGAGCTGTCGCAGACGAGAGAGTGGCCAGCGGTGGATCTGGAACAGATGACGATGGGAAGAGGGCCTAAAGGGAAAGACAGGGTACTAGAAAGGGCAAGTAACAATGCTCGATAACAGAGCTCTAATGCGGCTGCCTGCCTCCCAAATCACAAGGCACCACGCGATGCGAAGCACGATAACCCCGAGATGGTGAAGGGGAGAGGAAGCAAACCAGGAATAGGAGATGGATGGAGGTTGGGTGTGATTGGCAAGGCAGAGCGAATTGGACAGCTTCTGGATGTTGCGTAGCCTAGCGAGATGGCTATTGCGTCGGTTGTTTCCTCTTCTGTCCTAGCATGCGCACAGGTGGGCCACTTGCCAGTGACTTCCCAGTGAGGTGGGCTGCGACTGCCCAGCTGCCCACGCTGCCGGCTGCCCAACCAGGCCCCAACCAGGCCCCAACCAGGCCCCAACCAGGCCCCAACCAGGCCCCACTACCACTTAAACCACCTGGGCACTAATACGGTACCAGTGTACATATCGATCAAACACTACATAAACTATCATCCAGAGACCGTTCGTTGCACACATTTACTATAAGAAAAATCACGAAAGACTAATGTGCAAGTGTACACCAAGACTCAACTAGTGGGTTAGAAGTCTAATAGTGCCAGCCTGTTAAAATATAAATATGCAGAAGGCGCACACATTCAAATCGACGAAGATGTTTTTTTGGAAAGCAACTACAACACGCAGAGCACGAGAGGCACCGACATGGACACGAATACAGACCGCAAATTCCCTCCTGGGGGCTGGCATTCTTTGCCAACTGAGTTGATGACTATGATAATCGAGATGCTCGCATGGCCGGATACAAAAGCGCCTGTGATCGAAGTAACACGCCCGCAGACGGCCCCGGTCTTTGCTCGGTACTCAACCATCTCTAGGCAGTGGCAGAGTCTCATCGAGCGGATCCTGTTCAAACACCTCATTCTAAACCAGCACGACATGGACTGCTTCGGCAGAACTGTCACAGGACCGCGGACGGCCTTTGTGCAACACATCTGGCTTCGGATAGTTCTTCCCGCATACGACTGTAAGAGTTGCCGCAAGGAAGAATCAGAGGAGGAGATCGTGAGCCACAACCTGGACTACACCAACGCCATCTGGCAACTTTTTGGATTTCTGTCATCCCCAGCCTGGAACGAGAAAAGGCACCATAGCGCCAAGGGCATCACTCTGGAACTGAGCGCTCACTCTCTGACTGACACGGCCCACTTTGGGAAGGATCTCAAGATGCGCAGCAACGACACAGCATGGGGAGACAAGAACGAGCGGCGTGTTTGGATCCCATGGCTCACACACGACGATGTTATCCACGACTGGCAGGAAGGGCGAAAGTGCCGATCGGTCGTGCCAACAGGGGCCAAGCGCAGGCTTTTCGGACCACCTCGCGGGCTGTGTCTTGACCGCGATGCATCGTTCGTAAGACTGAGGGGCGCAGAACTGCCCGAGGTCAACGCAATTCACGCCCTAGTCATCCGGCGCCAATTCTACCGGGCGTTCAGCATCAGAAAAGGCCTGGCAAAGATCTTTCGCAGCCTACCGCGGCTGCAGGAGCTCGTGTATGAGCCGTGGCGAGGCCCTCCTGCCGATCTTTGTGGGCTCGATGGCATTCCCGCTGTCCAGAACGATCCCAGCAGACCACATGCGCAGTTGTTATATATGGATACGGCTCGACTCACGAGGGATTTCGACCACATGCACTTCTTTAGTAAGGTGTTGAGCGACAAACCTAATCTGAAGAGGGTGTCCATCTTCGAGGACGTCGATGATGTCTTCTTCGAGGCCAATCCGCGCACTATGGCCGACCCTAAAACTATCAATCGTCACCTGAGATAGCTCGGTATCTCGCTAGGTTAAGTCAAAATCTGGAGGAATTACATGCATCACAGAACGTGGACGCCAATGACTTCTTCGCTTCTCACTCGGTTCTCAGCGGTGATGAACGTTTAGAGTGGAAGAGCCTGAAATACTTATCACTTACCAGCACGCGCCTCCCGAGCTTAGCATCGAGGCCGAACATTGGCGATTCGGTCATCTGCTGGGCAGCAAAGGCGGCGGAGCGGATGCCACGGCTCGAGGTAATGGAGCTCTGGAGCTCTCAGAGATTCGGGTTCGCAACCATCTTCCGTTTTGAAAGGCGAGAACGCCAGCCTAGGATCCAGCTCTTGTCGACCAGGCCTAGCCACCTCACTGAAATAGAGGAGGCGCACTGGCAAAGGGTGGTGGACCATCTTTATCCTGGGCTCGGAGTCTGGCTTGAGGTCGAGGTGACTCTTCTGGACATGCCTACGATCCTTGGACCGGCCTCTGTGATTGATCTATTGATGCTGAAAGACAGAGTATTGCATCCGGTTTCTCTTCGGCAAATGCATATAGAAGACCAGCGGCGGAAGGTCACCTATGAACTATGATCCGCTCAAATTGATACAAGTGATTGATAATAACGAAGCAGTTTTTGCTAAAATATCCAGCAATGAGACACACAGGCAGAGGGAGAAAGATGGACTGAATCAAGTCGGGGACAAAGTATGTCCAGCTGCGTGCCGGTCCTGTGTCACACCAAGAACAGAGCAATTGGGCTGATCCAAGAGCCCTCCGATCCGAAGCATGTCAAGTGTACACCAGTCCAAGCCCCGTCAGGAAAAGCCAGAAGACAAGGCCGAAAGTGAACGCCTTGTTCTCCGACCCAGAGTAAGAAACCAGGATGCTGATATCAGCAAAACCAACAAGGCTCCAGCACATGATGAGGATCCCCAGCGCCCTCCTCTGCCCGTCAAAGGAGAGTATCAGGACGGCAAGGCCAGCGGCGATGTTGCGGCCCGCGGCCGCGGGCCACATGAAGAGCATCTCGTTCGTCGCGTCCGGGATGCCGAAGTGAGGCGCAACTGCGGAGCATATTCGGGTTAGCTGGAATTGGTCTTCTCATGAATATCTGATTTTCGACACAAGATCCGGGGCAGAGAAAGAGGCGGGGGTCAGGTCATACTTGCTGAGGCGTCCCGTATGCCCCAGATTCCGGTGGAGATGAGGAGGGCGCCGATGATGTGCGCGAACACCGTCACTGAATTCTTCAACACGGCCATTGCAGAATAGTTTCCTGTGATAGAGGTGATGAATGAGATGGATATCTATCGACTAGGCACACAGCCAAGTACGTGGACAATGTCCGAAGTTATGAAGATGCCGACAATGATAGACAGCTACCGCATATGGCTCGGCGTTAGGCGAGAAAGGCAATATGCTCAAATTACAAGTTGCAGATTCTATTTACCAACACATATCTAGTCCTCGGTCACTATGCTTGCTTAAGTCCGTGATCTCCCCGACGGAGGTTCTTGTGCAGGTGCTGTAGCCTGGACTCCAACGGTCGCATTTGTCATCAGCACTATGAATGGTTTCTCTGCTGACGGATGGTGCCAGGCGACGAAGGAGAAGTTGAATGATACGAAATCGAGGGCGCTTCAAAAGAAGGCCTTAAGATATTCAGGCGGACTTCACACTGCTGTTGGACACACAGTTCTTGGCGCGTGAGCATCATTCGTTTTCGAGTCATCCAACTACGTAGACTGATCATCATAACCCGTCCACCCCCACCCTCCTATACACTCTAATGATGCCTTTCCGAGAACCTCATCATCGTCATGTCATCTATATCCGTAATCTTCATGGCCATGCGGGCCTGTTCATCACATTGGGCGGTCAGAGCGTGTGTACACTCCCTCGATAGCCTGCAATAATTACCGCGGTTCAAGCAAAATCCAAGCAAGTCAATGGCCCCTCATTCAAATTGTGGTGGGAGGTCTCGTGACAATGAATTTGCTTCCACTTTGAATATGGCCACATCCACTAGTCTTTCCTACTGATTAGGGATGGAAGCCTGGGGGAACAGGGTGGCGTTAGCCTCCTGCCAGGCCTTCAGGTCAAACTTGGCCGAGGCCAGAGCGCCAGCCAGGCCAAACTGGGTGTTGATACCCTCCACGCGGTGGGTAGAGTTGATGTTCTTGACCAGAGTGATCTGGTAGCACGTGGCGCTACCCTGTCGGGAGATGATGGTCGAGTATGCAAGGAAGTATTCCCAGATCTATAAAAAGAAAGGTCAGCAACAATGACTTCGAAGGTAGGAGCAATTGTGGCAGTTACTTACGCGGAACCACCTACTACCGTACTTGGCCTCCACCTTGTCCTTGTTGGCCATCCAGTTTCTGTACCACCTCCAGAGAGTAGCCGAGTAGTGCACTCCGATGGTATCGATGTGCTTAATCTCAAATCCAGCACCCTCCAGCTTGTCGACGAACCAGCCCAGAGGAGTAGAAGCGTCGGCACCTGGGAAGACGTACTTGTTCATGAACAGACCCCAGATAAGGTCCTCGTACTGCCACGACTTTCGCAAACCAGCAATCTGCAAGAAGAACACACCATCGTCGTCCAGCATGTCATGAACCTGCTTCAAGAACTTGGAGAAGTGACGGACACCAACATGCTCGGCCATCTCCAGACAGGTAATCTTGTGGTAGCCACCCTGGGGAACTGGGATATCTCTGTAGTCCATGCACAGAATGTTGCTCTGCTCCTCACCGACACCGATCTTGCGCATGGCATTGTTGCCCCAGGCAGTCTGATTGCGACCAAGCGTGATACCAGTGGCCTTCGCGCCGTAGTTGGCGCTGGCAAAGCGAGCAAGAGTGCCCCAGCCGCAGCCAATATCCAGTAGCCTCTCACCCTGCTTGAGACCGATCTTCTCGCACACAACAGCCAGCTTGTTGTCCTGGAGCTGCTCAAGGCTCTCCTCGGCATTGATATCGGAGATGATTCCAGAGGTGTAGATCATACGGGGGCCCAGGAACCAGGCGTAGAAGTCGTCACCACGATCGTAGTGGTCGCGGACCTGCTCCTCATCTGTTGGAACATACTGTTAGTACAACGCTGGAGGCTGACGGACGTCTGGATGTGCAGAACTTGCCTTGAGACCTGGTGTGCATGAGCATCTCAGGGATCATGCCAGTGAGGAAGAACTTGATCAGGCTGATGGTGAAGCGGAAGTTGGCCCAGTCGTGCCTGTACTCCATGATCTCGAGGCAGTCGCCGTTGAACTCGACATCGCCGTCAAAGTACATCTCGTGGAAGGTCTCCATGGGGATCTTGTTCTTGCCATGGTACTTGGCCTTGTCCTCGGGCTTCTTGAAGGTGAGGTAGTGCTCGACGGGGCGGCCTGGGTATTTAGCCTTCTCGTTCTTGCGAGGGCTGACGGAAGAGACGACCAGCCAGAAGCCAGCCAGCAGTGGAATGGTGGTGAAGAGGGCAAAGAAGAGGGCGGTCTTGTTGCCACCGCCGACCTTCCATGACAGCCAGAAAGGAGGAATACCCAGCACGAAAGCCAGGGCAATCAGAGAGAAGCTGTCGTTACCGGCGGCGTCGGCTGGCAAGGGAGCGTTTTTGATGGCGGGATACTGTGGAGGAGTCCGTTAGATATAATGTAGACGGCGCGCGCGCAGAGACATGTCGACGTAGGCTTTGCATCCAGACCTAGACCTCTGGACGGGAGCGCTTGAAGAACACGACACAGGCGGCGGCGAGTTTGGAATCAACATACCGAGGTGGTTCGCACACCACATTCCTCGAACTTCTCGAAGGAGGGCGTTGGGGCTTTGGGAGTCTCGATAAACTCGAACTCGGACTCCGAGCCGTTGGTGCTCTGTGGTTTGGACATGATGCCAACAGAAGCTCCCCGTGGCTTTTGCGGTAGAGGATCACCAGCCGGGCCAGATGGAGTGTGAGGTAGGAGAGGAACAACAAGTAGATAACGAGACACAGGGAGAGAAAAGAAAAATGCGACCAGCTCCCTTGACCGCTGCTTGCGACGATAGGCCAGAAACCCTAGCGACCAGATATGCCGGAGAGAAAGGAAAAAAGTGGGCGAAGTAGCTTGTGCTCTGGCATGGAGAGTGCCCAATGCTCGGCCATGCATGAGGAGGGACCTGGATCTCGACCGGGGGAGCTCAGGGTCCTCCCTGGCGTGGGGAGCTCAATTGGGGCGAGTGATTGGCCCTAGCTCCCTGGGCCCCTATCGTTCCGGCTAGCGGACATCTGAGGCACTCTGGGGTTCCAAGCTTGGGTCTTGATCCGGGCCTTGTTCCTGAAGAGTAGAGGTGAACTAGCTGTCTGTACACGAGGCTATCCAGATCCAGATCCTGTCAGGACAGCTGTAGAAAATACCACAGTAGCTATCATCCCGATGTAGGCGGGTTGCAGTGCCAAGATGAGGCTGAAGTGTGTCCTACAGCTTGATGGGTTGATGGCCTTGTGCCCCAACAAAAACGTCATCAGATAGCTGGGTAGCTTCACGTAGGCACTTAGACAGATCCCTTAGGTACTAAAGGTATATTGCAGCTTACAAGCACGCTCTCAGAAGGCTGAGATGGCAACAATACTATCACAACTCTCAGATCAGAGACAAAGATAAACACAAGGTGCTTCCTTCAACATATAAATAGTGGAGGAATGGGTGGGAATGCAGAATGTGGCTCAATGGGCACTGCAATCTGACATCATCCAGAACATACAACACATACATAGTCCACAGTCCACACGGCGTGGCCTCAACCGACGCCCTCACCCCAACATTATAATAACAACATCAGCAACACCCAAGACTCCAAGCCATGAGGCCACGAGAGAACCAGAACATAACATGACAACATGAGGCCAACCATCCCTCTGCGCCCACTATGGCGCCACAACCACCCAAGGCGCACCATAACCACCGCCCCAGGCACCTTCGCCAACATCCGCTACGAGCTGCTGGCCCGGCCGCCAAAGTGCTACTACGACTACCTGACGCCGACCAACTCGCACCTCCTCTCCGTCACCCTGGCCGACCAGCTCGCCCCGCTGCAGGCGCGCAGGCCCTACCCGCCGCCGACCTCCTCCGACCTCGACCACTGGACCCTCCCCAAGGTGCACCACCGCGGCGGCGATGCCGCCGCCCAGCCCCTGCCCCAGGGCCACCACCTGGTCTACTTCCCGCCCACGCACCCCTCGTCCGCCCTGCTCGCCGACGGGACCGACGCCGACCACTGGCCCGGCCCGCCCTTCACCCGCCGCCTGTGGGCTGGCGGCAGCGTCTCCTTCGCCCCGCACTGGGCTGACCAGCTGCTCCTGGACAAGCGCCGTGCCGCCTGCGTCGAGCGCGTCGAGGACGTGAGGCTCACCTGGACACGGCCCGCAGCCGCGGCGCCGGCTGATGGAGCGGGGGAGGACGGCGGCATTGCTGCCTCCCAGGCCGCGGGCGACAAGGTCTTCGTCGACGTCGTGCGGCGCTACGGCTGGGTCGGGCCGGACGAGGACGTCATGGGCGGGCGTGAGGTCGTGCGGAGGGTGGAGGGGGACCCGGCCATCGTCGAGCGGCGGACGCTGGTGTTCCTGCCGGGCAAGGCCAATGAGGCCAGCCCTGGCAGGCGTAATGGCACGAAGCCAAAGCGTGAGTTTAATTTCCCTTTCTGTGTTGCTCACCGTGTTGAGGGGTCTCTTTTCGTCTACAGCAGTCTATCTAACCACTCCAGGGGGAAGGGGGAAAAGTCTACCAAGACCCGGAGTTCTCCATATCCTTCACGGCCTCGCCAGCCGTGTTGTTCCGCTTCAGCGCATTGAGCTTCAACGCCCATGCCATCCACCTCGACTCAGCCCACTGCCGCGCGGTGGAGGGTTACGAGAAGCCTCTCGTCCACGGGCCGCTCCTGCTGGTTCTCATGTTTTCCGCCCTGAAGGCTGCCGGGGCGGGCAAGGAACTGACCGCGACCAGGGATCTTGAGTACATGAACCTGCAGCCGTTGTTTGTCGGCGAGGAGATGAAGGTCTGCGTCCAGCCGGGCAAGACGAAGTGGCATGTGTGGATCGAAGGTGAGGATGGAAGGTTGTGCGTCAAGGGCTCGGCGCAGCTTGTATGATAAGAGTCGCGTGGGTATTTACTGGTCAGTAGATGGGAGGCCCGGCGCAAGTTGACTGATGTCTCTGAAACCAGCCATTCTTGTCTCTGAAATGGCGACTCCAACACGGAAGCTTTCAAGATCGTGGGCCAGCGTTGTCCATCAAGCTCTAAGCTTCTTGGAATTAGACATGATCTGAAAGAAGTGTATCCAATGCCGCAATATACCGGTGTCCTCTACTATAGAGGAAGATCGAGTAACGATACGGCGTGCATGCTTCCAAAATGCCCTTTACGAGCTAGCTCCCTCGGAAGAGGACAGAAGAAACCGACACCCAGTGCATTTCACAAGTGAAACAAAGTGTTCCCATGTCGTCTGATGTAATCGGTGACCCTTTATCCGTGGATTTCAATATTCTATTTCGCCTCCAAAATGCATCAAGAAAGCTGTCATCACGGGCAGCCATGTAGCCGCGTCTCAAACTAGGTATCTGCCACCAGGGTAAAATCTGCCCCGGAACGCTAACAGTCGAACCAGATGGTAAAAACGCCCGCCCATCTGACAAGGCAGGCAGGCATGCTAATGTACGTCCTCTTCAGTCGACCCCGGATATGTGTCCGACCACCACGACCATCGCTCAAAGCGCCCATTCGGCCAAGTCCTCGTCCGTCTTGACAAACGGCTCATCGATCCTCTTGATGGCAAACTCACTGCAAAGAATGCTGTTCGGAAGAGAATCCATAGTCAGAAATTCGTCCATATCAAAGGGGATGAAGCAAGGTTCATAGATAGGTAAAAAGGAAAAGAGAAACTCACCAGGCCGAGGCAATCAGCCCGTCCAGCTCCTGAATGACTTGCTCCCTGCGCTCGCCCTGCACCATACCTCTAGTAATCTGCAGCTGGCACTCCCTGATCCTGCGGCCCCTGCCCACGCCGGCCTGCTTGATGACCTCCTTGCCGAGGCAGTCGGAGTGGAATGCGTGCTGGCAGGGGAAGACAAAGAACTGCCGGCTGAGCAAGGGCAGGCCGCATGTGTAGCACTTCTCGCCGGGCTCGACGATGGCGTAGCGGTGGTCCAGCCCCGCGATGTCGAGCTTGATGTTCGCCGCCGTGTGCGACGACTCGTCCATCTCGCGCTTGAGCCCGTCGATGTTGCGCGAATAGTCCTCCAGCGCCGCGCAGATCTCCTCTTTGAAGTCGTCGATCACCACAAAGTCCGGGAAGAACGGGATCAAGTCCTCAATCTTGAGCAGGTCGTTGCACTTCCTCAGGAATTCGATCGCCCCCTTGATCCCGTTCGACTGGCTGATCACTTTCTTGGCCACCGCTAGCCACAGCCTCTTGCGCAGCTGCGGGTTGCTCATCGGTCGGTCCGCGATCAGGCTCGCCAGCTCGATCTCATCGTGCGACAGCGCAAGCTCCACAGCCTGCAGGTATTGCCCCATGTTTGTGTAGATGTGGACGCATGATAGCACCCGCCGGTGCTGGATGCACAGCCGCAGCGCGAAATCCCGGTCGAAGTGCGGCTCATCACCCTGGGATTCGAGGTAGGCGAGGAGTGCACTTTCGTCCTTAGACGAATGTGAGGCGTAGATAGAAACAAGGGTATTGTGAACAGCTGAGTCGACCGAGTTGAGTTGGTTCACCACATAAAGGAGGTATCGCACTGCTTGGTTCTGGGACAAGGGCCCCTTAAAGGTCCGGTCGTATTCGAGGAGCGCTGGTATTAAGTTTCGAGGCTTCAAGTCTGAATGCCGCATTAAAATATCAACCAAATCTTGTGCAGTGTGTGTCATTAGCACGCTGCTAAAGCGGTAGAAGACGGTCGGGTCCGTTTGTCTCTTAAGGACGGTGAGCGTCTCCGGCCACCTTTCTCGTTGGACCCAGTAGGATAAGACGTAGTTGTAATCGTTGACGGCGTTCGCAAAAAACAACAGTTCGTCCTCTCTGCCATGGCTGCTGACAATCTCGTAAACTGTCTTCTTGTCCAAATCCGTCTTGTGTCTATTGACGAATTCCTGGTATTCGCTTCGGACTGAGTCAAGCTGTTCTTCCGACTGGGTAGTATTTAGATTTTCCGCGAGTTCTGCCTTGGTTATGATGGTGTCGTCAAGTGTGTTCAGCTTCGCCATGAATATCTCAACCAGCCAGGTCGCGATCATGACCCGCTGCATTACTGCCGATTTCTTAAATGTGCCGAGCTTAGTGAGAAGGTATTTTCGTAGGGCGTCGTGCTCATTGTTGTCCAAAAATGTGAGGGCCACCTCTTCAAATGGCTTGGTGCTCTTGCCGTAGACACCGGCGGCATCGCTATACAGCCCCTTGCTGATGAGGTAGTCGCCAGAGGCCTTGGCCACAGCGTCTTTTTGCGCTGGGGAGTGCGCGTACTGCAGCGCGGCATCGAACTGCTGCAGGTCGAGCATAATTTTCCAGATGTCGCGGTCCTCCTCCCTCACAACGATTTCAAAAATTTCCTGGGCTGAGAACAGGAAGAACGTGTTCTTCTGCATATCAGCACACAGGCCGACAGCCCTTTGCCCTGGGTCCAGAACGACTTGGTCATAAACCACATTTCCAGTAAGCCGGTTCGCAGCAACTACCCGGCTGCCAATCAGGCTGATAACATGCCACTGCGTCAGTGCAATGGTCTCGATGTTGTCCACCGTGCTCCTCCTCCTGATGTCTGAGTTCGAACTAGCCGCGAGCTGTGCCTTGGGCAAAAGCTTGGATTCCGCAAAGACCTTGGCGCCTAAATCAGCACCCCCCTGCGGGGAGCTCAGGAGCAGCTTTCCATGGAAGACGCCTTGAGAGTTCAGCCACGCGAACACCCTGTCGGCCGCGACGGCATCGTAGGGGTCCTGCGGCGGGTCCGGGCTCACCACCAGGCTCGAGGTCGTCCCGCCCGCCGTTGTCCTGCTCAGCTCGTGGATGACAGGCTGCTCTGCCTCGAACAGCCTCGTGTATATAGAGCCGCTGCCATCTGGGCCCTTACCAACCTTCCCGGCCAGGTGGAAGAGCCTCGTCTGTGTGGCCACCATCACCCTCCGCGACTCCGCTCTGCCGGGCAGAACGTCCACCCACAAGCCCGTAACAGGGCCATCGGGCAGTTTCTGTAGCACCTTCAAGAACTTTTCCTCTTTGCGGTAGAACTCGTTTGCCGTCTCAATGTACGCCTCGTAGATGTTACCGTCGCTCGCACCGATCAGTATCTCCCTCGTTGAGGCGGTGGGCAGTGCTGGGTTCCAAGCGATGCACTCTATGGAAACTCCTCGGAGGCGGGCCAGAGCGCGAGGCTGGCGGGACTGAGAATGTAGGTAATAATTGTCGCCGAGCGATGTGCATATGATTAGGTGCGAGGCAGTCGGATCGAGGAACATGCGGCGGATGACGCCTATCTCCGAGGGCTTCTTGGGTAGGTCGATGTCTACAGCAGCACGGGCGGGTCAGCTACTCGTGGCTCGACAACAACACCGCTGAGGCTGGGGCTGAGGGTTTCCACCTTACCATCTATATCCTCCGGCCGCTCAAGGTCTATCCGTAGTATCCTGCCATTCGACAGCGCCAGGATAAGGACATCGTTGGCCACCTGGGAGGCGACAAAGTCGGCAGCGATCGAGAACTGCAGCTGCACGTGCTGGACGTCGAAGATGGGCAGCTGCGCCGTGTCGGCCAGGTCGCTGGCGACGAAGCCGTTGGATGTCATCCTTTTCCGCTTGTTATAATCTGCGAGCCTTCATAGTTGGAGCCGGTTGTACTGCCTGGTCTGGACTGATTTGTCGACGTCGACACAGCTTAGGAGGGAGGAATGGTAGATAGATCTGGCTGCTGCCGAGGTCAGATGTGGGCAGGCAATCAATACACGTTATTGAGCGATCAATTGGTTGAGCTTGGAGCTCTCCCGATACAGACGTCAGCGGTCTCGGCGCTACGGTTGGCCCCCTGAGGGCCTGCTGCGTCTGCGGGGTCCAGGGGGCTTGTGCTTGCTGTCTTGCTCGCTGTCTCAACAGCTCAACAACACAATTCAGGTTCTGCATAAGAGGTGCAACACAGACTGGACTGGCTGTGCACGAGTAGGTTTTCTTTTGTCACAATATTTTATTGTTGTATTACCGTATTCGCATTTGAGACTGCAGTACCTATAGGTCAAATAGTCTAATTGATTGATTGTCTTACTTGTATCAGGGACGCAAAGCCTTCCTCCCGTGGGATTGTCTGCTTGAGGTATGCGCAGGCCCTCCCCCATATACAGCCGCGCCCCTCCCCCCTTTCAAAAACAACACCGTATGATGTGATGAAGTTGACGCCCGCAAAAGGTATAATGCACGAGTGGGTCGCAACAACAAGAACGCCTTCCAGATACAACACGCAGCCAACTTTTGTTCCATGCAGGGAACGTAATCGTCAGATCCAAACACTGGCCCAGGACAAGCGTACGACACAACGTGCCCTTGACGCCTTAGCCGTCTCTAAGAATGTGTTCCTCTTCAGCCCCCTTTTGGCGGCAGAGTGCATGAACGTGTCACAGCATCGTCTGCGCCCCCACACCCACCTCCTCTATTAGTTCTCCACATTGAAAGCGGTCCAGCTCCAAAGCTCTGTTGTCAGCATCGCTTATTTGGCGTTTCTCTTGAAAGCCAGCAGCTCGGCCAAGCTGCTCATTGCGCATCCGTGCTTCAGGAAGTCATGCTCCAGAAGCTCTCTCGCGGACGCCCTGGACTTGACATCCACGCACAAGCACACAGACAGGAAAGCCTTGAGCTCCTTGCTGAGCTTCTCCGGCTTCTTGAGGCGTGGCGTTCCGTTCGTAGCGATGAGGTACAGGGCCTTCAATGGCTCCTCGTTAAGGTATGGTGGCTCCGACTCGATCATCTCGATCGCCATGATACCGAGCGACCAGATGTCGACTTTGGGGCCGTATTCCTTCTGCTTGACAACCTCAGGTGCCATCCAGTACGGTGTGCCCACCATTGTGGCACGCTTGGACTTAGTCTCCGTGAGCTTGGCGCAGAAACCGAAATCGGCTGCAAACAATTGTTAGCCACCTAATTTTCATGGTCATACAACGTCCAGGGCTAAATGACTTACTAATCTTAACGTTACCGCGTGCGTCCAGGAGAACGTTGTCACTCTTGATATCACGGTGAATAATGTTCTGCGAGTGGAGATGCTGCAATCCTTGGCAAGTCTGCAAGATGTGTGGGTTAGCCGTGTTCCTTTCTGCTGCAACTTGGCGGAGCATCTCACCTCGAGGCAAATTGTCGAAATCTGATCCTCAGTGATGACAGGGTTATTGTCGATCACGTCAGTCAGTGCACCACCCTCCATGTACTCCATGACCACCCACAGCTCGGCGTTGTTGTTACGCAGGAAGGCATCCAAGAAGTTGACAATGTTCTTGTGCCTGCTGTCCTTCATGACCATGATCTCGTTCACAATAAGCTCCTTCCGCGGCTGGTGAGCCAGATCCATCTGCTTGATAGCAACCTGGGCCCGGATTCCTTGGGCCCGCAGCAGGTCGCGGGCGACGGCCGAAGTAGCCGTATCCTTGACCTTGGCAACGTACACAGAGCCAGACGCACCCTGGCCGATCTTCTTCTGCTTCGAGTACGACAAGTTGGGGTCCTCCTTGGAGACCGCCTCCTTGAGTTTCTGCATGACCTCGCTCTCGGACATGGTGGACATGCGCACTTCTTGTTTCTTCTTCTCCTCTTGGGGTGTAGGCTTGGCCGAGAGGGCGGCCTCGGCGGCCTTGACAGCATCGCTCTGCGCATTGTTCTTGTTTCCGACATTGAGTGGCTGAGGCTTAACAGGCGCTGGCAAACGTGATGGCGGTTGGGCCTGGGCGCCGTTCGTCCGGGGCTGTGACGAGGCACCGATACCGTTGGGGTACCGAGTAGCAGCCGGGGATTGGGGGGACTGTTGGTCTTGACGCTGTGCTCGTTGCTGTTGCTGGGTCTGGATAGAGGACGAGCTCTGCTGGGTCTGAATTGGGGGTCGCTGCCCATTCGAAGCACCGGATGGAGGGGCGGGGGCGGGTCTCTGGGCACGAAGAGCTGCTGGGTTCTGTGCGGCCTTTGGTGCGGAAGGTGCAGGCCGGCTGGGGTTGTAACGATCCTGTTGGGGAGAGCTCGGGGCAAAGCCGCCGATCTCCTGCTGCGCAATCGGGACTTTCTTCTGGGGGATGGAAGCATTATAAGCCTCCATATCCCGGCGGTTCTGCTCCTCAATCTCGCGCATGCGATCTCGCTGAGCCGTCTCGATCCTTTGCCGTGCCTCTTCCTCTTGGCGAGCCCTGTCATCTGCACCGTAGCCAGACGACGCGCCCTGCATGTTGGGCCGCTGATCCGTGGGAGATGGTCTCTGGGGCTGCTGAGGGATGCTGGACTGGGAAGGAGTCGACTGGTAAGGAGGTCGCTGCTGTTGAGGCTGCGGTGCCTGGCGAGGGGGTGCGATGGATGAGCCAGCTCCATAGCCAAGCTGCTTGTTTTGCATGTTACTCGCAGGGGGGGTAGGGGTCAGGCTGGGGTATTGGTTGGGGTTCTCGGCTCGCTTCGTGAGGTCGGAGTAGAAGTCAAGGACTTCGAAGACAGCCTGGGGGTTTCGCTCGTAGTCCTCCTTGGTGATGGCAGACGAGTTAAGCAGCTTCGACCACTCTGGGGGCAGACCGACAAACTCGCCGGTCTGCGGGTCGAAGCCAACGTGGACAGCGTGGGAGAAGTTCGTAGGGTTGCTAACACCACCCATACCTGGGCATCGGGCATAGATGAAATCTATCCACTCATACAAGTCATCATCGCTCTTGACTCGAATCTGAAGCGTCTTTGTTGTGCCATCGTCGTCTCCGGGACTTGTCGAGGACCCGTTCGACTGTCGTTTGACCTCGAATATGGTGCCCGCAGCCTCAACTCGCCCTACGTTGATGACATCCTTGAGGAACAAGGTGTAGGCGACTTTGCTGCCCTCCTGCTTGTGGAAGTCAAGCGCCTCTTTGCGCAGGACGAGGAACTTCTGTTTCCATGGTTGGATGAAGTTCTTGCTCTCCTTGACCTGTGCCCAGCCCTCCTTGATGACCGCCACGCCGCCCATGCCATCGGAATTGCCACCTTGCCGGCCAAGGGGTAACGATATCGTGGAGCCGCTGTACTGCGAGGGGTTCCGTGGAATGGGGGACAGGGACATCTGAGACATGCTTCCTGGCAGGTTCTGGGCGCTTGGGGCCTGGTTGTTGAGACGAGGCTGCTGGCTGACAGGTGGTCGTGGTGCTGGGCCAGGGTTCATAAACTGACCCGACGAGTACATGCTTCTGCGAGACGACGGAATGATTAGCGGGTTGGACAGTTTTAAGCGGATGCGCGCAAGAGGCGGTGAGGTACAGGAATAACCGGGCCTCAATCAAGGAATAGGGGGCGCCGGATAAAGCAGAGTACAAAATGCTGGTGAATCCCAGGCTTCGTTCAGACGTCGCATCTGGGGCAAACAGCACCGCTCATTCTCAGCTATTCAGGCATTTTGGAGCGGTAAGGGCGACGTGGGCTGGTGTTGTGAGGAGCAAGCAAAGCACTGAATTGGAGATTATCATCATACCCGTTCTGAGTCGCCATGTTGGACTGCTTAGCGACGAGACTCGGAGGATTGGGAAATGAAGTCTGCGAGACACAGGCAATGGTGTCGGCTGCTCGCCGCAGCAATTAGGACGAAACAAGGCGAGACTTCGTCCAGACTGGGGCTCTGGGTGATGGTAGGGCTGTCCAATCGCTGAGCGAAAGCGATATGTGCTAGGCCCTTCGTTCCTGTGGGCTCAAGTGATTTGCAAGCGTGTCGGTATTCAATTGCCCGGAAAGAGTGGCACCATTGAGGGAGGCCAGCACCACCAGGGAGTTGCGGGAGTGGTTGATTGTGGGAGGGTGTTTAAGGAGGGGCCCCTCGGTGCTTTCGCAGGGGGGGTTGGTTCGGCAAGAGTCCTGGTGGTTCAGGGACAGGCGTGGGTTAGGTATGCGTATGTGGGATATCGAGACATGCAGGTGCTGACGTCGAACGAACCGAACTGCGCTGCACTGGACTGCACTGGACTGAAAAGGGTGGCTGTTTTCGAGTGACGAAGTGATAGAGCAGTGGCTTGCCGCCGCCCTTTGTGAGGTGAGTGCAAGAGGGTCGACGTCGAGGAGCGAGTGATTGATTGATTGTTTCAAAGGCTGGGCTGGGCTGGGCTGGGCCAACTCAGAACTGGGCCAAGAAAGCGACGTGAGTAGTAAGCAGGGCTCGACCGACCAAACAAGCGCTCTCGATACTCTCGGTAACAGACCTGCTGGGTGCTCGTGCCGGCCAAGTTGGCCAAGATGTAACTGCTGTAAAGACAGGATATGTCTTGTGGAGGTGTTGAAGGAGGCAGAGAAGAATAGTCCTGCACCCAGGTATCTATGCAATTATGGACCAGGTAGGCCACAACAGACGGACAGACAGACAGAACAGAGTAGAGCAGAAGATGGGACAAAGCAGGAGGTGGTTGTCCAGTCGCAAGTAGGGTCAAAAGAGAGGGCCGTCGGTTGATGATGGCGCATCGGGCCAGTCTGGGCTGGGCTGGCTGGCTGGCTGGCTGGCTGGCCAGGCAGGGGGGAGGGGGAGGGGGAGGGGGTAGGAGGTGCGAGGGGTGGGGGAAAAGGAGAGCAGCAGGACTGGGCCCCGCCTGCTTTGGAGATAGACTGCACGTTGGAGGCGTTTTGCCTTGGGGGCTCCTGTCCAACGCACCAACGAAGCCTGCCTGGCAACCCTGCAAATGCCCTGGTGAACCTGGTCCTGAGCGCTGGGAAATGGATCCATCTACGGTAGCTCCAGGCGGTTGGGCCTGCACGCCACCTCGCCCATCAATCATCCGTCCACTTGTCCACCAACCCAACAACAAACAGCATTTGCTGTGTCTGTCTGTGTCTGTGCCTGTGCCTGTGATGATCCGAGGGGTACTTCAATTTCCGCCCAACTGCCCCCACCGACCGTTGTATCTTCTTGGATCTTCTGGTTTCGGCCGGCCCTGGATTGGAGCTTGCCGGGTCTCACTTCCAATATGGACTCTGGTGCGGTAAGGCATGGATGGTATGTTATGTACAGTACTGTAATGATGGAATGATGGATGGTTTGCTTGTGCCCTCGTGCCTCCATTCTTTCCTCCGACCCCCCTGCCTCTCCCAAGGAGAAAATGGCTGCCTTCTCTAGCTTTTCATACGGTTATCAATTGCTCCGTGAGGCAGTGTCGAATAAACACCATCAAATCATCCTCGTCCCTTCGACTGCAGGCCCGCCAAAACAAGTCGACAAGTCAGTTCAGCTGAAAGCGGGCGGGAGTGGTGATGCTTTTCCGGCATTGCAACATTTCAGTCGGCTCTCGGTAGACCGAGCAAATCAGCTGTGCCCTGGACCCTCCATTCCAGTCCCTCGAAGCCCCTTTCTCATCTCGACGGTCCTCCCATATGCGTACAGTCTGAAAGTATGTCTAGACTAGACTCCAGCATTGCAACATACAACATACAGCATAGCATATCTACCATGTACAGCACGATTGACTGGCCCAAGAGCCTCACCCGGGCATACAGCGCACCCACCGACACGTCGTCTTCCTCCTCCCGTGCCGTTGGTCGATGGGTGGCGCAATGCAAATCCCAGACAGATCTTGCGTTGTCACCCTTTTTTTTAAGCTATTCATCTACCTGTGCTGAACGCAGCTGGGCTTGTCGATCATCAGCAGTGCTGTTTCATGTCTACCCAGATGCAGCCGCTACCGAGGCCCTGCATGCTGTACCACAATATGTCCGAACATGTCTGCATGTACGACACATACAGGCTGGCTGATTCAGGTGACAGTCTGTGAGCTTCACAAGATTTTAAGCTTTGGACCCAGCAGAAGCCAGCGCACCCACCACCGGCCCGAGGTCGAGCACAGGACACGACACGACGCCCTTCGACTCGAGCCCGGCCTTGGCCTCATCAGCTATGGCCCCATTTCCCTCTCAGGGCCCTCTCAGGGCCCCCCTATCTAACGCCTGCTGAGATGAATATGGACCCGTCTATATTATTCATGCCCGGACAACAGGGCTGTTTCATCCGAATCAACGCCTCAATACCCTGCTGCTCCTCCGGGCTGCTGTGGGTATTGGGAATTGTGGTATTATGGTACACACGACCGGACTGCCTGACTGGCTGCCTGCCTGCCCGCCCGCCTACCTGGCTGTTCCGTAACCAAATCTCGCCGATCTCCCCGAGAACGACCATGGGAGGGAAGAAACTGCAAGTACAACCGCGTTTGGGTCATCCTGCTGCAAGAGAGCCAAGCCCGTTATAAACTTTCCGCAGTTCGGGAAAACCCCCACGCCAGAGTCATTGTTCCTCGCGAGTACCTGCATCAGTTCGCCCGCTGCGTAAATGAGCTGTAAATGAACTGCTACAGACGGAGTAAGCCCGGACTCTCTCCTTCAGGACCTGTAGAAGACACGATATAGCATCCTATCTCTATGCCATCATCTCCGAGCATCCACCAAGAAAAGAAAGAGAAAAAAAGTCTAGAAAAGACGAGAATGATTAGTGGGGCACCGGCTTCTCGAAGCCAGGGAGCGACGGACATCGTCATTGAAACGCGGTGGAGGAGCGAGAACGAACGGCTGGGCGGCCGCTTTGCCCTTTCTTTGTTTCCAATGTGTCACAGAAGTTAATGGGGACGACCTACCGGCACTATCCGCCACCTACCACACACACCCCCTTCCGCCGGTGGAGCCCCCACCCCCCAATATGCGTTGCCCGATCCGTACATGTATGTGAGTGTGAAATATTCCGGTCAATGTTTCCTAGCTAGTTCCCTGCGCCAGGGCTCACCATTCACTCACTCCCTGCTGACATATGCTCACGGTCTAGGCAGCCATTTATATCATCTTATCGTACCTCACGGGTGGCTATGATTCAGTTTTAATATTGTATGTAAGTAGTAAGAACATGATGTTTAAACTCATGGCGGCCCATTTTTCAGCGGTACTATGGTAGGGACATTAAACTCTAGGCTGCGCAGCTCGTAGCGCGGCCTCGCATTGTTCCACTTGTGCAGCTTGCCAAGCTCCCGCATCGCAAGTTGCTCACCATCCAGCCGTGGAGGTGGCGGGCCCGGGAAGGGCATATCACTATCTTCATCGTCTCCGCTCGAGTGGCTCTGATCCCCCGACTGTCCCCCTTCGTCTTGCTGCTCGTCTCCTTGCTGCCCGTCCTCATCTTGGTCTGCATCGTCGTCGGGTGGCGGGTCTGACATTTCCCTGTCTTGGTCATCGTGACCAGCATCGTCGTCGTCGTCGTCGTCGGGGGGAGGCATTCCATCGGGCCCGTCTCCTGCCTCAGTCGCGTACTGCATGCTGTAGGAGAAGGGCATGACTTGTCGTGGTTTTGTCCACGACATATCCATGTCGTCGTAGTACCCAGCTGGTTTAGGTGTTGGGTTCCGGTATTGCGCAACCCGCCGCTGTGCCTGAGGAAGTAAGATGTCGATCAGGAACCTCGGGCTGGGAAACGTCGTGTCCAACGCGTCCCCTAGCTCCCGGACAGTTGCCTGATCCTGGTTCGGCCACTCGAACCGCTGCAGCATCGTAATGAGCTCATCCGAGTACGGCGGCGCCGAGGGCGCCTGGTTCACGTCCTGCACGAGCCTGCAGTTCGGCCGCACGTTGAGCTCGAAGCCCATGGTGGGTGGGAAGTGCGTCATGCTCATGGTTCGCAGGATTTCTCCTGCAGAGCAGATGTCTTCCCAGGGTGCCAAGACTGTCTCATCGTCCTCCTCGTCGTCGTCTGGGGCTGGGTAAATGCTTGGCGGTAGCGTCGAGGGGTCATCGCCTTCTATTGCTGACATCCCAAAATCTCCGACTACGATTTCCGGAAACGCGTTGCTTTCCATGCCTGCTTTTGGGACGCGGCCTGATCGTCTGGGCGGATAATTTATGAATGTGTTGTTCGCAGTCTGTTGCAACGTGTTAGGAATCTAGTAACTCATGGGGCAGCTTCTGGCTACTGACCAGGTCACGATGGTATATACGGGCCCAATCACCAGGCTCATAGGATTGGTCGTCGTCGTCGGGATCGGGTTGCCTTCCAAAATTCAGTGTTGCCAGTGCTAAGAATAGTTGTTCTGCTACAAGCCTGCCATTGTGGGCATGTTAGAGGAGAACAGCCAGATATGCTACGTGATTGTGGAATTGGGTCCTACCAGATAAAGTGCTCGGGGATAGCAATCAATTTGGCTTGATACGCGTCAATGATATTCTCCAATGTTCCTCCATTGCAGTATCTACGACACATGATCAGCATCTATCCCAGTGAGGTGCGGATACTCAGGTTGCTTACTCAAAGTAGAGCGAATAGACTGAGCAATCCGCTTCCATAGGATCATCCAATTCCTGCCAGAAGCGAAGCTTGTTGAAATAAAGCAGGTCTGGTAGAAGCCCCTTGCGGTGAAAATCGTCGCCTCCATTGTTCGGAAGGTCTATATCAGCGTCCCCGGTTGTGTGAGGATACGTAGACACTCTCAGTTCGAGCGGCGGAGATGATGTCTTAGTGCTGTCATTCCAAGGCCGTTCCATAAGCTTATTGATGAATAATTCACCTGTTGATACAGACTGGACTATGAAAATGCTCTTGTCTGATACTCTATTGCCAAAGACGTTGAACTTGCCGTTCATTCCCATTTTGATACTCTTGACAAAGAGGAATCCGTTGTCCATGAATCGGTCGTCTCTTGCCACTCTACTGTCTTCCATAACTCGATCATCATCGCCCTCGCTCTCGAAGGGTAGGAAGACTCCTATCTGGTTGTAAAGTCTTTTCGAATTGCGAAGCAATGACATGACAATCATTTGTTTTAATGGGACTCAGGGGTTCAAAGGTTCGATATTGAATATAGAAGGATACACGACTTCTCCGAATTTGGACTTCGTGGGATCTGCAAATGCAATTCTCATAAGAATTACCATACAATTTTGCCAGCGTCAATAGGAAACCAATATTTTAAGCAAATAAGTCCATTCAATAGGTTTAAACTCCAATCGTGTCATTGTCCACTCGGGCCTGTGAATTTCTTTCTGGGACGCATCGGTTGGTCATTTTGCGACTACTAATCAACGACGGATCCGGATCTGCGTTTTGCTTTGTGCGCGCTCTTGCGGCACACTTCTACCGCGGCGAGTAAAAAGCTCGAATTCAGTCTGACAAGTTCCTATGGAACTATCACATACGCAAATGCACCATAACACAATTGTTCTCGAAATTGGAGAACCAGGCGACGGCATACGCGGGCATGCAAGGTGTGAGATATACAGATAATAGTACGCTGAGAATAAAATCATATTTATTAAGCGTAGCAAAGAGTGACCCGCGCTTCCGAGGGGCGCTCTTTACGGAGCGGTCTCCAAATACGGTGAAAGCGCTTCTTTGAAAAGCTCGGAGGCTTGAGATTGAGGGTAAATACAAGACTCTATGTTGTTTGAAACCCTGGGCAAGATTGATAATGTAAGTTCAGGCACCAGCATGGCTATTCATCTCGCTGCTGGCATCGCTGCGCTCATCGGGCAGCAGCATCTCAGTTAAACGCCCGAAGAAGTTCAGGCTGTGATTGCAATAACGGCGCTTCCTATCGAGTGGAACGATGATTTATAAAAGAGTAGTGTAGTGATATCTTTTGTGCCATGTCATCCTCAAATACGCCCAAAATGTCTCCCAAGTCTATACATACCAGTTTTCCAGTCGCTGCTATCTCTGCCTAGTTTACATCTCGTTTACCGGACAACAAAATTCTCTAGGCCATTGCTGAGCGAAGAAGTGATGCGACGAGTGTACTCAACCACCCCACCCAAGAAGTTGAGCATTTCTGTTTCTGCTAATTACAAAATGCTTTAGACCAACAATGCGATTTGGAAGATCTCTTACCCTTAGGCTTCCCTGGGATATTGGTTCCCATGTACTCGGATTTGGTTTGGGGCAACAGGGTTGCATCTCCGATGTTATTCACCAGCTCGCGCCATTCTTGCTCGGCCTCTGGGCGAGGGTCTATGTAACACTTGCCATGCTCCCGCAAGTACACCAGCGTATCGCGAATCCAGTCTCCTTGAAGCTCAGCGCAAGTAGGCCCGTTGCAGAACGATGTTGGTCCTTGTGGCCCGTAGACGAACAGTGCGTTGGGAAATCCGGCAGTCGTCATACCGAGGTGCGCCGTTGTTCCCTTGGCCCACTTCTTCCTCAGCGACTGACCATTCTCGCCCTTAATATCGATCGCCAGGATACCTCCAGTCACCGAGTCGAAGCCTGTAGCCAAGACAAGAACATCAAGCTTGTGTAGCTTGCCGTCTGCCGTGAAAATGCCGTCCGGAACGACCTCAGTGATGGCGTTCGCCTTGGCGTCAATGAGTTCAACGTTGTCCTGATTATAGACTTCGTAGTATCTCTGCTCAAGGGTAGCCCGCTTAGTTCCGAAATAATAAGGCTTCTTCTCTGGGGCTAGCAGCTGTTGCATCGCCGGCTTGTGGACCCTCTGTAATACCTTGCTCCGCCAAAACTCGTACGCGTGCTGGTTGGCCTCCTTATCCCTGATGACATCTTGGTACGTGCCGAGCCAGAAGGAAAGGCCGCCCTTCGCCCAAAGCTCCTCGAAGAACGCCTCGCGCTCTGCTGCTGTAGATTCGCCGCAAGCGTGGGGTTTGAATTCAAAATCGAGGCCCGCGAAGGTTTTCTTGCGGAGCTCGTAGAGCTGGCGGTAGGTCTCCTTCTGCTGATCCTCGGCGGACAAATGTTTCTGACGCATGGGAAGCGCGTAGGTCGGGCTGCGTTGAAAGACCGTGAGGTAGTCGACCTCAGAAGCAAATTCCTGGATGACTTGAAGGCCACTTGAACCGTTGCCAACGACGCCAACGCGTTTTCCCTTGAAGTCAATGCCCCCCTGAGGCCACTTTGAGGTGTGACAGGATATTCTGGCGAAAGAATCTAGACCCTTGAAGTCTGGGATGTTGGGTTTTGCAGCGAAGCCAGTGCAGAGAATGAAAAACCGGGAGGTCAAGACAGACTTGTCACCGGTGACAATGCTCCAGTGGTTTCCGCCCTCATCGAATTCGGCACTGACGACGAGTTTGTTGAACAAAAAGTCCTTTTTGAGATGGAGTTTGGACTCAACGTGGTCGAAGTAGTTGCGAATTTCATCCCTTCCCGGATATCTCTCGGACCAGGTCCATGGCCTCCAGATCTCCTCGTCAGAGAATTCGTAGAGAGGGACAGATGTATCGACACGGGCTCCAGCATAGCAATTCCAGTACCAGACACCGCCTAGGTTCGCTGCGTCGTCGATGACCAGGGTCTTGAAACCAGCCTTGCGGAGTCGGTCGAGGGTGTAACAACCAGCGAAGCCACCACCAACGATGATAGCATCATATTCAGGAGTTGTCAGGGAGCCCATCATGAGATAAAGTGTATAGAAAGTGAAGTGCGAGAGAAGAGCATTCCAGTAGATGAGAAAAGCGGACCACCACGCTTTAAGGCATCGTTCGCAAGAGGCCAATTAATTACCCAATGGTTTCGCTGAGCAACCAAGCGCAGTGACCTTGACATCATGATCCACTTCATCCCTTCTGTGGACCACATTTTGCAAGTAATGCACTGATTTCGGATGAATCACATCAATTATCTGTGATGTGCCGTAGCGTGGTTGTGGTGCCTTCTTCACGTGTGTTTTCGTAGGTGGATGGACCCACACGCAGTGTGGACCGGTGGCTACGACGGACGGACTAATTCATCACGACAATGATTCCATAACAGCAAGGTCCGTTCAAGGAGGCATGTGACTTGAAAGAAAGGAATGTCTTGGAATTTTACAAAAACCTGAAGCATAAAGACACGCTGTGCTATATTCTCCACCTTCGCTCAAAGTTCATTCTCCAGCCTCAACCATCAAAATAAGTCATCGGACGAGAAACATCTGCTTGTACACAACTACGATCAAATCATGGACAGCAGAGGATTTGTTCAAGATGCTGTCAGTTTCACATGATATCACTTTTTTATGAAGTGAAACGTCTAATGTAAACAGGGGCAATATGCCGACGCTCGGAAGCAAGTCGAGTTTCTTCACATGCCGCCCAGCAAGGTCAGTTATTGATTAACCTGCACGAAGAGACTTCGCTGAAGTTCTCCACAAGTACCACAAAAAAGAACCGGATAAAGAAGAGCAAGAAGTGATGGATCAACTCTATCGCGGCTGGTTACACTACTGGAACAACGAGTCGCGAGACGACTACCACAATGGCATGGTCGGCGCCCGACGATTTTACGACTTCGATGATATGATAAGCTATGACATGTTTGGCAATACGATCCGGGGGAGCTTCAAGAAGCATTTTGACTCCATCTTCCCATATTGGAACGATGGCAACATGGAGTACAAGGATGTTGAGATCACAGCTCTTTCCAAGGAGTATGCTTATTCGACGATGATTCAGCACACTTGGGGCACAGCTGGCGGTGTGCCTTTTGATACTGCTTTCAGAAGGACAGGTATCGCAAGGAAGAATGGGGAGGGGCAGTGGAAGTGGATTCATGAGCATCTCAGCTTTCCTACAGATATGGCTACCAAGACTGCCGACTTCACCAGCTCGCTGGATCCGTTGAAGGCGACGAAGATGACCTGATATTCTTGCGCCTAAGCAAAAGGTAGATGAGAGGTCTTATAGGGACCCTAAATCAGCTTTCATAATGCCCCGGGATCAGTGTGTACCTTTTCCAACTTTGGCGCCTCGCGAATATAACGAAGCCCGAGGAATTGTGGTAGTTCAATCATATCCACGATCGCGGATTGCAAGCCTTAACGTAAATCAACTCTGAACTTTACATAAACGACGCCCTATTCAGTAATGGCCTGATTGTGTTACAGCCCTTGGTATCTACGGCTTACAATCACAGCATACTGCTAAGGCTACACTGTAAAGTAAACTTGATCACCTTGAAGTTGTCACAGAATTTTGGCAAATTTTGCAGGAGGAACATCGTCAAACTAAGAATGACAACGAGGGCCAGTCAAGACGGAGTGAGGATAGTAAGCTGTGAAGTGGAATCGGTCTCGAGGTCCTGACTGGTGTCATCGAGATGTACATGATTGATTCAGCAAGCAAGATAACCCCCGTCAACATTCCAGTGTGCTGCAATTCACGTTAGATATCAGTAATGGACACACAATAGAGCGCCGATATTCATCTTACCTCCCGTCACGTATGAGGCCTCGTCACTCAAGAGAAAACAAATAATCTTTGCTATCTCGTCAGGTCGACCCATGCGACGCAGCAGAGTGTCTTTGGAAAGCATCTCGGAGTCGAAAAGCCCCAACGCCTCGCCGTCTCGAAAGATATTGGTATCTACAGGCCCTCTTTACTCAGGCATTTAGTCAAGCCACGCGGAGATTGAGCACGGATCTCGGAAAGTATACTTACGGCAGTAAAGCATTGATTCTGATACCATCCTTGGCGTATTCCCCAGCAGCTGATTCGGTCAGCCCAATGACTCCGAATTTACTGCTGGCGTATGCAGCGCTGTGTGGTAAGCCCCTCCGGCCGGATGTGCTTGAAACGTTGACAACAGCTCCACCTGGTCTGGACAGCCTCGGGAGTTGAGCTCGCATGCAGTTGAGGACCCCGGTGAGATTGACGCCGATGGTAAAGTTCCAGTCGTCTTGAGACTAGAATTGTATAATTTTTTAGCGTGCAACGATCTAGAAATAGGACGGATACAAATACAGCGGTAACTCATACGATTGTTTCTATAATCGTTGCTCCCATACCACCGACCACTCCAGCAACATTGGCAGCCCCGTCGAGTCTGCCAAATTTAGTGCAAGACTCCTGAATCCAAGAATTCACTTCGTTATCATTGCGGACGTCGACTTTGGTAGCCAAGACTTTTGCTCCGACCTTTTCACCTTCGTGAAAATATTAGCAGTGATAGGGCCAACAGACAGAAAGCGACAAAAGCCCGTACACTCTCTAGTAGTCTCAATTAAGCCTGTGAAATTTACATCGCTGATCGCGACAGCGGCAACACCTTTCTGCGCCAGCAGGATTGCTGTTGCTCGGCCAATGCCCTGTGGATTAAATTTTAGCTTTTCCCGCCAAATAACAGGCAGGGGGGATGAAAAATAACAAAGAGATGGTAATGGCTAGAGTTCACCGATGAAGCACCCGTGACACAGAACACTTTTCGCGCAAACATATCGGATCCTTGGTATTATTTACGCTCGTCCGCGACGCTGATCGATCGCTATGACCACTGACCAGTCCGTCGTCTTTCTTGCGCGCGAGCCAGTGCTTTATGACCACTCGAGCCGGGCTCTTCAAGTACGGTAAACAAATTAAGTCTTGGACAATTGCGCCGTGTTTACTCCAAATCCTAATTTCGGACTAATATGCAGCCCAACTTTCCAATGCGGGCGAGCAAGGTAGGTAAGCGGAGAAAGCAAAGCAAAGGAACCCTCGCCACAGATGGCCTCCCATACTCGAGACACCGAAGATGATCTCCCTCTATGCCTTCAAATACACGCCCAAATCACGTTCAAATGAAGGTTTGCCCTGCTGTTGAAAAGTGTCAAAGTTTAGTATCAGTTGAGTACTGCCGACAAACCTTCTTCCATCAACGAAAATTTCAAGCTTTTGTATCTTATACACCCAACACGTCAAGAGATGAGACTCAAGAGACAATGCAGGGACTGCTCTCTGGGAAAGTGGCCTTGGTCACTGGTTCTTCGTCGGGAAGTGCGTCGCCATGAAATCTGCAGTGTTAATCATAAAATATGCTCAGAAAAATATGCTCACAATCAGGTTTGGCAGTCGGACGATCAATTGCAATTAGGCTAGCAGGCCTTGGTGTCAAGATTGTTTCCGTTGATCTTCGTGACTCGCCCAACTCCAGAGGTTATGAGGTAGACATCGACAAAATGACAAGCCAGGTGATCTCTGCGGCAGGAGGAGAAGCCATCTTCTTGGCAGCGGACATCACGGACACCGAAGCTGTTCGAAAGTTATTCAACAAAATAAAAAACGTGAGGCTGAATCTCTCCCAGATATTTCCCCCGGCCTCTCTGACTCATTTCTCTTCCAAGGATTTCGGTCGCCTCGATATTCTCATAAACTGCGCGGGATACTGGGCTCCTTTCGACCTATTCGCAGACGAGTCGGAAGAACTTTGGTCGAAGATGACAGCTGTAAACACGCTTGGTACAGCCAGAATGTGTCGCCTCGCAATCTCTCATTTCCTCGAGCAAGACGTCGACCCGTCGTGGGGCAGCCGCGGACGCATTGTCAACATCTCATCTTGTGCAGGCGTCGTTGGGTTCCCCTGGAGAAGTGGCGTATTCAGCGACCAAGGCTTCGATCAATCACATGACCCGGGCAGCAGCGCTGGACCACGCCAAAGATTATATCAACATTAATTGCGTTGCGCCGGGCGTTGTGGCAACTGGGTTGGCAAGGGGAAACCTGGAGAACGCCAGCATTCACAACTTGATGCAAAAAGCCACTCCTTGGCCTAGACTAGGGACAGCAAAAGACATCGCTGACGCTGTGCTGTTTCTGTGTGGGCCAGAATCACAATGGATGACAGGCCAGATACTTGCTGTCGATGGCGGCTTGACCATTGGTGTTGCGCCTGGTAGCTAATGGTCCATCGGAGGTTGCGATACCAATCACACTAGATAGCCAACAGCCCCTGACTGGCTGCAGTGAGATCTCGGTGACTTGAGGAGGTGTTGAAATATGTCGGCTGCAATGCGGCGGGTTGTAAGCCAAAACGCATTGCCAGTTGACATCTAAGCGACGAACAGAATCAATTATCTTGCTCCATCAGAGTGCCTGCCAAAAGCATCTAGATAATGTCTTTCGTATCTTCGATTTTGTTCCACTCTCGAATGCGTACGCACTCCCATTGCCAAACCACATTTTTCAACGAGAAACTTCAGCTGTTCACACTTCTAAACTTGGCTATCTAAGAAGTACCATAATTCCACGGCCCGAATCCTACCACTATTCGTAGTGAACATAATTGACAAGCGTGCCTATCTCTGATATTTCGATCCTCATGTCGTCTCCGTCGCGCAAAATGATTGGTGGTTTTCGCATGATACCAATACCGGGACCAGTACCAGTCATGATAATGGTGCCTTTTTCCAAGGTCGTACCTTGGGATAGGAAAGCGATTATCTGTTGAATGTTGAAAAACATTTCTCTTTTCCGGGGCCACTGTTAGCTTCGACACTTGGCTTGCAGAATGTGGGGGACGAACCTCGTGTTTGAGTTCTGGACAACTTCGCCATTGTGAATAGCTTTGATTTTCAGAGAATGTGGATCTGCCAAAGAGGAGTTTGCGACTGGCACGGGGCCTATGGGGCAAGATTCATCAAGGCCTGTTTTGTACTCTTCAGCTTTACTCGGTAACATCACTGGAACTGAATGTTCTGCAAGACCCAGCTCACCTTTTGAGAAACACCATTGGCTGTTCTTGAATTGCTGCTTCCGGGCACTAACATCGTTGCTGCAGACCTGCACTGGGTTTATCGCCTTATTTGAGAATGTTAAAACGTTCAGATCAGGTTTAATCTAGTCTCTTTTCCGCCACTCAAGGATCCAATGTGAATGCTCTGAATTTGTCCAGAAAATGCTCTCCTGTTCAACTAACAGCCTGTATAGGCGAGATAATTCCATTACAGCAAGCTGGAAATGTAGGAAGGGGGATACAATGGAATGTTCTTATACTATAGTAGCTGTCCAAGCATAGCCATGCTTTCCAAAGAGATGACCACTCGACCTCCAAAAACGTTGCCACGCCCATTTATCAGCGACGACTCACGAGTCTACAGTTAGCAAATCGTGTTTGCAACAATCATATAACCTTCGCGATATTCTCAGGGATATTGTCACCGAGGTTGCCAATCTGCAGATAGTATCCAGGTAGTGGGAGTCATTCCCTCCCTAGCGAGTGTCGATTGATTTTCCTCCATCAGGGCGAAGCGAAGGTATAGTACTATGTACAGGAAAACGGAATATTTACAAGCAAAGGAAGCTCTCGTTCCGCTCCAGAGACAACCCTTGAACAGTCTGGGTAAGCGAAGGAGCAGCCGGTGTTGGCCGCCATGAATGCACAGCGAAGCCCGCTATAGACTCACTCCAGAGTCAAAAGAGAAATAACACTGAAAGGATTCACCATTCCATGCCCCAGCACTTCCAGCCGACGGCATAGCCAGACTAACATGAATCTCAACACCACAATCAGCGGCGCTATCCCTGCTTACAGGGACAACCAGGTAAAACAGTAGCGAAAACAACCCTAACATCACCATCGTGATGACCGCCCTGACAGAAATGCTTGAAAAGACCGTGATGAATTGTAAAAGAATACCGACCACCAGCTTTGCGGTCGCTCTCATCGAGGAGGAGCAGCGCTCGAGGCGCCCCAGAGTAGCGGCATTCCTGTCTACCAATCGCCGTGGGACGAGCGAGGTCAGAGACCTTTTGAAGAAAGAAAGTGGTGAGAACGACAGCTCCGCGTGGATCTAACCCACCTCCACGGAGAATCAGGAGATGGTTTGTACCATCAGAAAGTGAGTCTTTATTACCTCAGGAATCAACACTCTCACCCAGATTCACGCCCTCGGAGACATCATCATCATTGTCGCCGTCCTTGTTGCTGTGGCTGCGTGCTGGCTCCGATTGAGCAATCGCGTGCTGCTCGTTGTCGTCGTCGGCCCGGAGCTCGACGAGGCCGGGGTCGCTCTTCCGCCCCGCAGGCAACTGGGCCTGGCTCACGGCCTGGTCCTTCGTGCTCACAGTTGCCGAGGAGGTGGACGTGAGGCCGCCGATGGTGACGGTCAGCAGCTGCGGATTGGAGTCGAATAGGCTACCACTCTGGTCGGCGCCGTTGCTGGGCCCCACGTCGTCGTAGGGGAAGGCGTACCCCTTACGGTCGGTATTGGTTGCGTGGACAATGCGGGCATAGTGATTAGTTATGGCGTTGGTGTAATAGGTAGATACGACCTCATTGTCGGGCTGGTCGCTGTTGATCAGCAGGGTGGAGCGGTTGAACGCGGCTGCAAGACGAGCGGCGATATTGGCCATCTCGGCTGTGGGCACGGCGAACGCGCCGGTGGAGCAACTGAATATGTCGGCCGCCGATGGCTGGGGGAAGGATCCAGCGTCGCCAAATGTGAGATTCGATGACGAGTCCACCTGGCCCGAGACGACACCGTAGCTGGCCTGGGTGTCCACCTGGAGAGGGGTTGCGGTGTATTTGGTCCAGACTTGGTTGACGTAGGGCTGGAAATAGCCGTTGAACAGAGAATTGTTCATCACGATTCCCGAATTTGGACTGAGAGCACGGAGGTTCGCACCTGTTGAGCTTGGGACAATGAGGGATTTCCAGCCGGCGCCGTCCACAGCACTCTGTGTCGTGAGCGCGGAGCAGACGGTATCGAGTCCATTTGACGGCATCCCTGTGACCGTGGTCACGACGCCTGAGGTATTCTGGAGCTGAAGGGCAATGGGCAGGCAAACGAAGTCCACGTAAGTGATGTTGATAAATAGCTGATAGCTATTGTACGTGAACTCGCAGAAGTCCCAGTAGATGTTGTAATTCGGATCGCTCACATTCGTCACAGATGGCTCGACCAGGGCTGGGCCCGGGTTGAGCAAGAAGGTCAAGGTTGCGTTTTGGGAAAACCAGATCCGGCCTCCGGCAGTCTGCGGGATTGTTATGGTTCTCGTAGTGCCCGGTGCCCCAAGCTGTATGGCTGTGTTGGCTGCTAGGGCCTTGCCTGTGTTATCAGGTGATGTAGGGTAGTAGACTGTGGTGCCATCACTGATAATCTTGTGTTAGATCTATGATCTTTCAATGCGTAGACAATAGCGTGTGGCTTCGAGCCATGAGCTCACCTTTGCAACATGAAGACAGCATTGTTGTTATTCAAAGCAAGCCCGGATATGTAGGCATAGACGTTGGAGGAACTCGTGGTGTTTACGAGTGCAATGTCCAAAGTCGGGTTGGTCTGGGCCGAGAGCGACTGGGTCTTGATTGAGGACGTGATCTTCGGAGCACGAAGAACATTGGAGTCCGTCTGGACTTGGAGGGCTTCCTCAAGATTCGACATCTTGAAGAGGTCGTTGTTGAACAATGCGTGTTGGTACTTGCTTGTAGTTTTCAAGGAAGGTGTTTGACGAAATACGCAATGAGAACAAAAATCATCTGTGTTGCAGGGAGTAATATTTGAGAGCAAGGACTGGGGAAAGGGTTTATCTATCTTAATAGCTTCTCTACTATTAATCAAAAGAATGACAGGAACGAGTAGGGTGCTGGTTGTGTTGAGAGCCCTTGCTCAGAGCGCTGACCTGGGCATGTGGTCCTCAACTCGTCGTCAAGAGACATATCGCCTGACCACAGTTCGGGGGCAGGCCAAAAGGACTATATACCCTGCCGGCAAACCGGAAACGCTCCTTTGCAACGCTTTACCTAAAGTTGCAGTGCCAGGTTGGGTTGCTTCCCACAAGACAAAGACAATCTAGACGCCGCGTCGTTAGCAATGTGACGGCGGGTGCCGAGTCAAGGCCGAAGGTGCGGCTGAGACGGCCAATATCTGATACCTGCGATCCTTGTTGACCTACATCTGGGCGATACACAGTACTGCCTTACGCTTCTTTGTGGACACACTGCAATCCAACTGGCATTTTCCTGCCGGGGATGACATACAAGTCGCCCGCGAAGTGGACCCTCGGATCGCCCCTTGGCGGGCCGAGACCATGATAGTAGCCAGGCATGAAAGTCGAGGTGGAAGTGAAACAGGATAGGCAAAAGTACAGGAATGACTGGTGGTATTCAGAACAAGAATCTGGGACCAACAGTAAACGCCCGTCCCAGGGGCTCGTCCTGTTTAGGGACGGGTAGCGTACCGAGCCTTGTGTGTAGGGGTGTGTCGAATCACATGGATGGGCCATGGAGTCGCCCCTGTGGCAGTTGATTCATGGTGTTTCTAGATCCGCCCCAGAAGGTGCAGGGTGGGAACCTACCGAAAGAAGGCTTGAACAGAGTCTGACATGGCCTCATGGCACCGTAGCATCTGGCCCGGGAAGTCGTCGTTGGCAACAGTGTCTTGAGTCTTGATGACGATACCCGTTGCGAAAGTGATGCAGGCTGGCACATGGTGACGCACTCTCGAGATCAAGAAGCGGCATGCTGTGTCTCTGAGCAAGATCGATGATGGAGAGGCGGTCCCAAGGAGGGCTCGGATGTACAGCCGACCATCGTTACATCCTGTCGTCCGCAATTGAAGCGGCGTATGTCAGGTTCATGGCCGCGTGGCCACATAGAAGAGTGCTGGTTGATGTGGTGGCTGGGGTGGCCAAATCCGTGTGTCGATGAGACGGTGCGAAAGAGTGGTATACGACAAGAAAACAAGCGGTTCGAGGCCCGGATGTTTTTCCGCGTCGTCATCCTCCGGCACCATGCTGTCCATCAGAGACCAAACCCAAATGTCATCGACCAATCCCAAAACGATGTCGTTGGTCTTTATGACCTCCCCTGTCCACACCGAAACGGGCTCCCCCGCATCGTCCTCGCTCGCCTGCGCGACCAAATCGGGCCGTGGCATTGGACTAACGGCCGATGGTGGTGCTGCATGGCGTCGGTGTCGTCTGGTCTTCTTTTTTCCTGAAGGCGTGAGACGTCGAAGCTCAGTGGCCGCGGGATAGAGTGAAGTTGACGGCTGGCTACCCCATGTGGCCAATGAGCTCCCTCACCTCCTGTCAGCATCAAAAGGAGGTTGCCAGGATCGCGATCACAAGCCTCGGCATCCCTGTTGCGCGCTCCTCCCACCTCTCACCACTTACATGGCCATATAGATGTCTTGTGGCTTCGCGACTCGTGAATAAAAGTACACATCAGAAGCAACAAAGACCAAAGCTACTAGACGACATGGCTGTCCAATAGTCTGCTCGGCGCCTCATGGCTGCAGAACACTATGCAGACTTGACAGCCAAGGCAACACAACATCTGGGGAGTAGCGTGGCGATGGCAGGCCAGGAGAGAACGTGCGAGGAAAGTCGGGGAGGGTCTGTACGTAAGAGCAGCCGTTGCCAGCTGCTTGTCACCTCTCACGTGATGCTTCCTCGCTCTGATATACTTTCCAGATGAAATCATGTGCGTTTTGTGTGAGACGTCGCGGTGTTGAATAGATGCTGCCGGGCAAAATGAGAGGAAAGCATGTGCAATTGAACCCTGGTCCATAAATTGCCAAACCTGACGAGACAGATCCAAGCATTGCTGGAACTTCAGAGCCGGCCTGCAAGTCATTTCCTGAGCAGTCAGAAAACAGCGCATTTCGGGGCTCACATGCTCGGACGCTGGATCATGTTTCACGCCACAATCCTGTATGATGGTGAATTAATCATTGTCGTAGGTACTGTGGGTTTTGATTTTACCTGAATTTCTGTCCAGGTCCTCTTTTCCCAGTGCCAGGTCCTGTTGCCGAATCGCCACAAGAACCCAAACCCAATCATTGCCAGGACCACCACATATCCTCCGAGCCTGACTGTTGCCGTGACTTTGATCATCTTTAAAAACCATCTCACAATCCAGAGTGACGTACTACTCGAAGTCTTAGAGCAGAACCCCACAGCCGGTCATCAGGACAGACACAGCAACCCACATCCATGTGAAGTACTGCAAGCCCAGTCGCCCAATAGCCCCGTTCTCATCACCACCGCTCACCCCGTTATCAGAAGAAACTGTCTGGTTATCCGTCATATTCTTCTGGCCAGTGAAGAAGTACCCAGCCGCACTGTCATTATCCGCCGTCACAGCCGGTATCGCGCATACCGCCCCCGCGGCCGCTGGGTCCTTGCACCTCGCCGCGTAGTCGCCCTGCCTCGCTTTTAGGGAGCTGTTAAAGTACGCCTTGACATACCTAACGTCCATAACCGCGTCCTCCGCAGGCGGCCCACCTGACCACAGGGCGTTGCCATTGCTCCACTGGTTGAGGGAAAGGTGGCCAGCCGTGGTGGGGACAGCGGCTGGGTCGTTCATGACCGCCAGGACCGCTCCGTCTGCATAGAAGGCGACGCGGCCCGGGACGAAGTCGAAGCGGTACTCGTGGAAGTCGGCACTTGGGTTGAAGGGGAGGTAGACAACTTTGTGGCTGTCGGTGCCAGAGGCGTCGAAGCCTGCCTGTGCGGCGGCTGGGGACTGAAGGACGAGATTTACTGGGTAGCTGGAGTTTTCTGTGCGGAAATCCTTGGAGAGGAACTCCATGTCGATCTCTTGGGTGTCATTAAAATACTGGTGAGATATGTTAGCATTGACGCTTGGATTCCGTTCGGCTCTTGGGTCCATTCAAGGGGCGAGCAGGACGATGAGCAGGACAGGCGTTTGTTCAGGAGCGCTTGTGCTCCTGTGTACTCATCCGTCAAGCCTTCACTCTTGAGGCCAACTAAGCCACATCCTCCCACTGACGCGGACTGACCATAACCCCGAAGGCATCACGAAGTATAGCCACTTACCCAAAAGAAAGCCGATACCTAGCAAATACAACTCGTCAGTAATTACATAGCGACGCCGCATACAAGCAGGGTACCAACATACCGTCCCACCCACATCTGTCAGCTTCAGACTGCTTCTAAACGAGCCATAAAACACATCCAGGCGGGCCGAGTCGATCTCGCCCCCGCTCAGCATATCCTCCACCACGTCGCTCCGGACCGTGATCTGCAAGCCATCCCCTCCCTCCCGCGCCTCGACGTTGTCCACAGCAAACATCTCCCCATAGGTCCCGCGCGCCTGCGTCGCGCTGGTGTTGAATTCCTGCCGCACCCAGTCCGTATTCTTGGAGATGTCGCTGACGTTTGCGAAGTTGGCCTCTATGAGGTCGGTGAAGACAAAAGACTGTTGTTGTTGCTGCTGTGTGTCTGTAGTGTTGCTAACTGAGGTCGAGTAGCCGCACTCGCAGTCTGCGAGGGCATGTTGAGACAGGAGGATCGCGCTTGCGAGCCAGAGCACCGTCCTTCCGATCCTGGTAGTGGCAATGCTAGGCTTTGAAGGCCACATGGTGTGCGTTTTGATGATTATGAAATAGAAGAAAAGTCTGTGTATCTCGGCGGCTACTGCTTGCGCCCAAGACGGCTTGATGTCTCAGCGCGATGTCCTGCGTACTGGTGCGCGTATGTCTTAAAGCTGCTGGGCAGCGCCAAAGCAGACGCGACGCGACTCACAGCCCAAGCAATTGGTGACTCGCTTCGAGATCGTGAATCCCAAGTGGTGACAGTCACGTCAGGGTCAGAGCAATCAGCTCACGAAGCGATCAGCAAGTGATGAAAGATTAGCTCTCGCTGCCGACCACATGTGAATGCCCCCGCCCGAACATGCAGATCGTCCGATGGCGACTGTCTGGTCAATGCGAGACTGGGGAGCCTTGCAAGCTGCAAGCTGCAAGGGCAAGAGAAAACCGACACCAGTTGGCTGAGAGAAAAAGAAAAGGCCAAGGAACCACGGGTGGTGGCTGCAAGAACCCGCGGTGAGTTCCTCATATTGTGTTACACAAGTGACGCTGATTTCTGCATCCTCGAAAGCGAGAGAGGAGTCGACGCACGTCTAACAATCGGCTTGTCTCCAAATTTGATCGTAACCCTTCAACAGGCGGGCGTGACGGTGTATGCTTAAGCTCGAACTCTGTTTGGTAAAATGCGGGCACCGGCCGGGAACACCTGGATAGACTTAGACGACTTACAACAGATAAGGCTGCCCACAGTGGGAGACAGTCTTCCGGGTTCACTCGCATAACAGTATCAAGTGCAGCGGATTTCAGTGAAGAGAAGCGATATTCTTTGAGCGCTATACTGAGCTGCTTGACTTTGTACAATTCACCTCAAATGAATGCTGAGAAATCCTTCATTAAAGCAAACTCATCACGAATCTCAATCCTTGTATTGACCTGGCTGGCCCCCCGACTCACGCCCAGCCCGACCACTCCCCTTTCTTGTTCATCATCAAGCCTTCCCTGTCCGTTTCTAGTACACCATATGGAGATAATGTGAAAGCATCGCAAGTGAAACAGCAGAAACAAGCCATGGGTTGAACAAGGTATCAGGCGCAAGGAAAAACGGAAAGGAAAGAAAAGAGACAACAGAGACGTAAGAAAAAGCAGACGACAGAATTAAAGTGGCTGCTAGGGGTGACGTAGCTAAAAAAGACAAGGAGAAAGAGAGTTCCCCGATTGGGACCAGCCAACGATCCGTGTGCGCAGCAGCGTATTACCCCGGGTAGGTTTCGTGTGTGAGGCCGGTAGCTCTTTGTGGCCCTCCCCTTTCCCACCGATTTGAAAAGGACCAGGACCAAACGCGCAACCGTTATTTTGCCAAACCTGCCCCTCCCTGATTATGCCAGAGTCCATTCTTGAGACGCAAACGCAATTGCAGAGAACATGACCGGGAAATTCAGAGAAGGAAACCTTGACCCCACGCCAGAACCAGACCATGAAAGCAGAAAACCAATGACGCAAGAGGTATATGCCGAAGAAGAAGCCCTCGAATGAAACATAGAAAGTCGAACATCATTATTCATCGCCGAAATTAGTACACGCTGTCTTCGTCACCGCCCTGAGACATCGAAGGAGTCGAGACATTGTCTGACATTTCAACGTCGTCGACGTAGCCGATGAGCGCCTGAGCATGGAAGCGGAAGGATTCACCCATCAATCGGGTAATTCTGGCGGACAGTTAGCATGATTCAGTCAGGTCAGCCTCGGGACTGTACTTACCCCCAAACAACCACCTCGTCCAGCATAGAGCCCCACAGACGGGCCACAATGGTGCCAAGTTGTGAAATGTACGGCTGTTCAAGATCCTTTTCAAAGAGCTTGCGGATCTTGTTGTACATGGCCATCTCCTCCTCGCTTGCCGGCTCATCGTCATGTTCCAGACGGTAAAGCCAGAGGCTGAGGATGATCATGAGGTCCATTCCACAGAGGGGGTGCTCAATGCTCCAGTTGGTTGGCGAGGTGCGCGCAACCCAGCGGACACCCTGGACCACCGCCGTCTCAATGCAGTTGTAGCACTCTTGGATGACTTTGATCATCTCCGAAGAGCGCTTGACACGGTCCCGCGCCCCTGACATCGCCGCATGGACTTCGTACGGGTCATGGTAACGAAGAGCTTCCTGGACGGTCTTGAGGTCGACTTCAAGTCGAGCTCGGGCATTGCGGAACATGGCCGTGGCATTGAAGATAAGGGGGTGGCCCTTGTGGGGAGAGATGACAGGCACGGTAGCAGTCTCGGGCTCGCATAGGTCGACGGATTTCTCCCAAGTCTCCAGAGCGAGTCTGAGTTTGTACTCTGTGACAACATCTTGCAACGCTTCGGGGCTGCGCTTGTGGTACCACACTTCAAGGAAGAGAGCGTTGATCATGACACGAGTCGCAAACGCGCTGTACTTGATCGTTTCGCCCTGGAACAGCTTGTCGTGGGCCTCCATAAACGTCACCCCGGTAGAGGCGGTGAGGTGTTCCTCCCAGGTCAGCTCATCAGCCACCTGCAGGTTCCAGAGAGCCTCGGTGGAAGGCAGCAGTAGGTCTTCGAACTCGTTAAAGCTGATAGCAGGCGTGTGGTTGTATGAGAGTGTGAGGAGGCCGAAGAAGATGTACACCGCGTAGTACGTGCGTCGGCATTCTTCATCCTCTACCCACTCGTCCCGGGTTGGCGATCGGTTCTCGCGCGCCTCCTGTCTAAGCTTCAGCTCATAGCGATTGCCAGCAACCATGTTTGCCAAAAGACTCTTGATTGAACAAGCCCACTCGAGCCCCTTAGGATCACCGCTCCAAGTGGCGAAAATCATGTTCAGCAGAGAACTTTGCATGGCCCAAAGCGGACATTTGCGAGAGCTGAAGTTTTCCTTGTTCTGCAGGAACTCGTTGATGAGGACCTTGCTACCAACGTGCATCATGAACGCCTGCTCCTGATCAAAGGCGTAGAGGGCACCTATGGAGAGGACCGACAGCAGAAGCGGCGAGGACACCGTGGTGGGGTCAAAAGACGCCGGATGCAGGAAGGGCAAGTGATGATGGAACATGCCGAAGTAGGTTGACAGATAGCGGTTCAGACGCTCAAGGTTGGGCATCTTGAATCCGTCCGGAATCGCGTGCTCGGTATCGCTGCCGTGAACGTTGTCCAGAATCATGTTGCGCTCCACGTCGGTAGTCACCTGGGGGGGCTTGAAGCCCGCCGAAGTCTGGTGGGCCTCTGCATGGTTGTGAGCGCCGTGCGAAGGATAGGGCGACTGAGAAGTAGGCGTGCCACTAGCAGACGTCTGAACGGAGTTGCCCATTGACTGAGATGAGATGGACTCGGGACCGTTCTCTTGTCGAGATGACGTGGCGGGCAGTGGCTGGATCGTGCTGGAGCTGGCGAAGGACGGCTGGGAAGCGAAGGAGCCGGAAGCTGAGGACAGCGCGTTGTTCTTGGGCTCACTGTGAACGAACGAGTCCCATTGAGGCAGGCCGATCGTGCCGTTGGGATAGGTCACGGTCGGGGGGTCCATCAGGGAGTTGCCGTTCTGCGCGAACGGCACGGTTGGGCTGGCCTCGAAGGGGCTTCCATTGGATTGCATCACAGCAGTGGCCTTGTGATGAAGGTCAGCAACAAGCATGGCCGCAGTCTCGACATCGAATATGCCCTCGCCGCTAGCCTCGAGCTGCTCCAGCGCGGGACCGTCGAGGGCGAGCGAAGGTTTCGCAGGACCTGCGACAGTCTTGGGCTTGGGGCCACCACGGCGCTTGCCATCGCTGTGAAGGGGAACGCCGCCATCTTTTGCGTGAACGGTCCGGTCATGTCGCAGGAGCAAATCGCGTCGGACGAATGTGCTGCGACACTTCATGCACTTGAAGGGCCGCTCTTTTGTGTCTGTATTTGGTCAAAGTCAGCAAGGGGCCTGTTTGGGAAGATAAAAAAAAAATTGAGTCTCGTTTGTGTAACGCTGGCTGACTCGAAAATTTCTCTTCCGAGTCCATTGAGATTGTTTTAAACATGACAGTGATTCTGTCAAAACGCGCTGAAGAAAGAAAAGGACGTACGTGATCGCTCATGTCTACTTCTATGCTCGCTTCTGCTAAAAGCTCGGTTGCAGAACTGGCACTTGTACTTCTTCTCTGGTGCGAGGGAGGTCTTTCGCGAGGCCGGGGCTGGGGACTCAGCGGCGGGCGCAGGCACAGCGGCGACGCTTGCACCTGGCATCGTGGAAGATTGTCTGTCGCGTGGGTGTGGTCGAAACAGGTTTTGCGGCGCGAGAACTGGCGAGCTCTAGCAACGGCAAGAACGCAGACGACGACGACGAAGGCGGATTGACAGCGACGGTTTGGCAACGACGGTGGGCACTCGGGAAAAACGGGGTTGGCAGCCTCCCAGAACGATAGTTGAAATCGCTCGAACTCCTTGCTCGCTCGCACGCGCTCCCGTGGGGTTTAAAGTGTGTCGACTTGACTGTGAGGGGCGATGCAGTGCATTTGGGTCGATGTGCGGGTCATGGAATAGACCAAGAGACGATGGGGATAAGATGGCTGCAAAGGCCAAATATGGTCTGGAGGGGCTGAGGAATGGTCCTGCCTTGATGCAGGATGTGCCGTGGCGGGCTGGGGTCGGTGATGCGTCGTCGCTGTTGGTGATGGTGATGCGGGAATGAGATGGAGTGGGAGGAGAGAGAGGGGTGAAATTCAACGAGGGAGATCGCAGAGAAAAAAGGAGGGCGGTTTGGCAGCCCTTGCTGGGGGGGAGGGGGGCTCGCCCAGCCCCAGCACCTGGCCAGCACCTAGCACCCAGCACCCAGCACCACCCAGCAGGACAGTGTGGCACCCTCCAAAAGGCTAGTGCAGGATGGTAGAGATTAGGCGGGGTTGGTACATGGGTGGAACGTCTCCTCCCCGCCACCGCATCGCAGACTTCAAGTAACCCCATGGTAGCCAGAGTTCACAATCCCACCCGCGAGAACAGAAAGTGGGGTCTTGCAAGCTCCAGATGGGCAGATGTCAAGAGCAGAGGGGTCGCAGTGTTCCTAAAACCACGAGGGGAGGGGGAATTGCCCAGAGGTTCGAGGTACATGCTCGCTTTGGTCTCACGAGCCGATTCCTGCAGCATTTGCATCGCATCTCCTCCTCGGCTTGGAGAGATCATCACTTCTGTCTTTCTCTCTGCATTGTTGACTAATGGGAATAGAATACATCGACATCCAGACCCGTCTCGAGAACATGACACCCATTTCGACTCACATTGGGACGACCTGGTCTCTCTAAGGGGAACAAAGAATGTAGACGCACACGGGGAGGGCCGCCCAGCCCCCCTCCCTCCACCGAGTACATGTCTTGGTATGTAGCCTAGTGTTTTTTGCATGTAGTCCACGTACCTCACTTCTCAGGTGAGCGTCGAACACGAGGACAAGCCGGACAGGAGCACAGTGCCAATGTGGACACCGTTTGCTCATCAGCCCAGTCTGGCCCAGCCAGTTCAGCCAAGCCAACCCCTCCATCTTTCTCCGCGCCCTCCCTTTCGTCGCCCTTCTGTGCTCCAACCGTGTTGAGGAGCTTCCCTCGGATGCCGTTGCTGCGTCCGATCCTGCTTCTGCTGCTCATGCTTCTGCTCATGCTTCTTTCTGCTCTGGCTGCCACTAGTGGGAAGAGCCGGCCTCTTGACGGGAGATGGTGCTTGACTTCCCTACTCGAGCATCTGATCGAGAATGACTCTGTAGAGGCTAGATACCATGCACTGCTTGCTCATAACAGTCTCCATCATTGATGTGCATTCAGATTGTCTATTGTAGATGCATAATTCCCTTCCTCTTCCGGCTGGCTGGCAATCAATAAAGAAGCGGGTCGAACATGCAATACTGCATTGCTTTGCTTGGCTATGCGAGCACGATGACATTCATCGTTCTTCGATCTGAACACCCTAAACCACAGCTTTGAGCTGTGACCTTGTCATGACGCCGGGCAGAGGCAGTAGATCCAGGCGGACACAAATAGAGGAGAACGAGCCACGTTGCGCTGGGATCTCACCATCAGGAGCAGCTCCCAGCTCCTAGCTCCCAGCTCCCGCCACTTGGTCCTCCTCGCTCTCCCTACGCCGGCATCCGCGACGCGACGCTACAGAGCACAAAGCACTACCCAGACCAGGTGCCTAGGTCCTGTTTGCTGACCAACATCAGCCACAGTGGTCGTGGTGCATTGCAGTCGGACGAAGCTTCTTGTCAGCCACGACTTTGGTGAAGCCTCGTCCTCTCCTTTTCCCCTCGACGATTTCCGGAAATAGCGGCTTGGTGTGGGGGTGATACCTCGACAGGTAGCTTGTGAGCAAGCGAGGAACATCGCTGGCTGACCTGCATGCTCATCTGCAGATGAAGTCAATCGCTACTGCAGCTCAGAGTGAGGCTGGGACCAGACTGCATGCCAGTCTTCCTGGCCCAGTCAACGACCGGCCATTGCCATGTACCCCACGCACTATGCAGGCTACTCCAACCCAACCTTCTTCAACCGACAGTCTCCATTCTCCAGTCACCAGTTGTCTCCTGCCTCAAGCTCGCTTTCCATTCCGTGCTCACCGGATTACAAGACCTTGGCGGGGCTCATTGCTCGAATCTGGAACGAGAGACGTCTTTGTCTCTCCTAGCGGTCCTGCGGCTGCTCGAGGCTAGCCGCGACCAAAAGACCCACATATCTGCCAGCTGCACAGGATGTGCACAGTAGCAATTGCTGCGGGGCAAAGCGATCGAGCAGCACCTGATGGATGAGCATTGGCATGAGAGCACGAGTGAGTGAGGGGTTCCAACTTCCAGCAGCGTGGAATCTGCATACGGCCGTTGCACCAACCGGAGCTTATTAGACTGCTATTAGCTGGTGCATCCCACTCAGCCCATCTAGCGGGCAAGCAGGCGGGGAGGGGGACGCTTGAATCAAGACCTCGCCGAGCTAATAACGGCCGCTCCTCTGCTTGAAGCTTCTTCTCTGGGGATCAGGAAGCCTTGTGGGGTCCAGCGTGCCGCATCACGAAATAAACCCGGATCGCTCGCTTATGACCGATTGTGACGGTCAGTTGTCAGTCAACGCGGGCACAGTGAGGTTAAATGAATTCAACGTCATGGGGAAGTCTCTGCTCCTGGTTGTTTGCAACCAAATCACGGGCTGGTATTTCAGGAATCACCTCCCTGACACCGTTCTCTGCCAACCCTGGCAATATTGGTCGACCTATCGTTTGTTGCAAACCACCTGTAACGGGCACCGTGTTCTCGTTGAGGACGGCAGAGAGCCAACCGAGTCCGGCTTTCATCCATTGATCTCGGAATGGCAAAGCACGTCAACTTCGAGAGGTCTCGGGGCTTCGACCGGCGCCTGACTCTTGTCATCGAAGACGTTTTCCTGCATCCACAGGCGTGGTCTTGCTTGACGTTGCAGACGTCTTCTGGCCGGTAAGGATCACGCACAACTCCCAGGGCTAGGCACCCCGTGAAATTGCGTGTCTCGGAAGGCCCGCCAAATTACAGGCAGCCTTTGCCCCATCGAATCCTGTTCTGGCACGGCTGTCAGACCCGACGAGTGGATCCCTCCACCATTCTTTTGCTGGTGGAGACAAACACGGCAGCTGCTTGCGCTTGCGAGGTATTGTGGGAATTTTCGGTGCGCATGAACTGCCTGGCGGGGTTGCAAAGGCGGTGATGGTTGTGCTTGAAGTCCACGCCTCATATCCAGGGCTCTTGGGTAGCTATTTGATCAAGAGACCGCGAAAGTATCTGAGCTTCCTCGTCGAGCTCTTGAAAGCCTTGCCAACGATGCCAATAACCTCACATCAAAGTGCCGGCTGGACATGGCCAGATTTGGCGACCACCCGCCACTATTGCTACGTGCAGGGAACCAACAAATGGCGACTTGATCGTCAGCCTGCAATTCCTCTACGGTAAAAAGAGAGGTTCCCTCACAAATTCTCGCGCAAACAAGCCCCTGCCTCAATTGATCATTTCTTTCAGGTCGCTCAAGCCTCTGGCGTCAAACGGACAGACACCCACGGTCCTTGTGGGATGGTTGGTCTTGGTGCTCTCATTTCTCGAACTGTCGTTTGAACTTTTGCCATCCCAGACAACACTCCGGGCTGACGGGTAGCCCCCTTTTTCTCATTTTTAGCTCTCTGTTTCAGCGGAGGTACTATGGAGGACTGCAGCGCAACCGCAGGCGGTGCTCGCTCCAAATCGCCCTCGGCTCCCTCACCTACAGAGACTATGCCTGTCATACAGGCGGGCGAGGGAACTTACGATAATGGCGGTCTGCTTATCGGCGTGTCAGCGCTGTTCACCGATGCGCGTCGACGGGCGCGGGTGGTGCAGCTGCACCGCGTCGAACGGTGGGGCCACTATATCGACAAAATCCGTACAGTGCATTGTCGTCTCGCGCAAGTGGTTCCCCCGGGGTTTGCAAGCCCACCTACCAGGCCCGCCCCGCGAACCAGCAGGGACCAGCAAGCCCGCGGAAGCCCTGCCGCATGGACTCTTCCACGCTTCCGGACCCGTTCCCCGAGCAATTGACACATGGCCGCCAGAAATGACCCTTGCTCGTTCAATTTCATCCTGCAGCACCCAATTCCATGCAAGTGGTGGGTGGGTTCTCAACCCTGTCTCATGCATCACGAAGGCCAACGAACAATCGAGGAAAGTTTGGTTGCTAAACAAGAAGACTGTTGACCGTCTTTTGCCCTTGAAATGGGAAAAGGAAGACAACATTGTCGACTGGACGTGGTCTCTCCAGAGCTTCACCGTTTGTTCTGCTCGACCGGACTGGTCTGGCTGGCTGGCTGCGCGCCGATGTCGATAGTTGCTACTCTAAGCCAAGCGACGCCTCTCGCCTCTGGCCTCTGCGCCTGCAGCTCAGCTCCCCTGACGATCAAAGAAATCCCCCGCGGCGTTGCATTCTCATTTCAGCCTCGTTCCTTGGCCTAGCTCGAAAATCTGCACTCGGTTGATTGCGCCAACGCGAACTATCTGCAATGACGTCCCTAGAAGGCACCACCCAAACAGGTCTTGACCACTGATCTCCGGATCGTCAATGGAAGCGATGGAAGATGATCAACGCGGTAACCTGGAACGGCCTCGGGAGGTCTAGGCGTCCCGAGGACGGCACGACTAATTGCTGCGAAATATTGGACACGGGTGTGGCTGCGGGTTCCGTGCCGTGTTACTATGGCTGTATTTGCCACGGCCGTGATGGTTTCCCCTAATTTCCAACGAGGTTCGTTTTCAGTTAAGTGATGTTGCGAACTAACTGAATGACGACTTTTCAATTTATTCTGGACCGGCCTTTCTTTTACTTTTCTATTCCCCTGTCACCTACCCAGCACTGCTCTGCTACTGCTTTTTCCTGTGACTGAGTCACGGATCACGTCCTTTTACGAATGATTCGCGCCCACCCTGGAAGACGAACATTCCCAAGGAGCACAAACCGGGTGGCAGAACTTGAATATATCTAATGCTCGTGGGTAGTATCTGATAAGTATTGAGGTTCACTTGGTTCTGTCGACCAGTAGTGAAGAAGCGAGTTGTAATCAGTATTACACTCGTAGCAGTTTGTAAACACATTCACATTCGCACTTAGTCTCTGAAGTCACAACGCATCTAATGCTCTTTTGTTCTTCCTGTTCTGACGTATGCTCCCTACTGAAGACATGTATTGACGCAGTAGATTCTCCTCCCACCCATCACACGTCCCGCAACGCCGCCGGCCACGGCTGCTGATTGAGAAGCTCCACCAACGATCCTAGTGATGAAGTTGGGGGAATTACCATGCCATTACTACGAATCACCGCTGCCGAAAGGAGTAAAGCAGCTTGCGGACGCTGAGAACGACGCTCAGGCCGATTTTTCCCACTCGTTAAGAGGCGCGTTTCGAAGATGCATGATCGGTCGTATGCGCAGAACTCGGTGCCGCCGAGTGATATCGGCCCAGAAGCTTCGCGGTCATTGTCGTGGTCCTGCTGAATGTTAGTCAGAGCCTGGCAATCACTTGTGATGAAGACATTGTTGCTGCTGTCGTAGGCAAACGGCCCGCCTCTGGCGCCTGGCAGAAGCCCGCTGCTTTGTGGCTGAGGAGAGGACCGATGTGTTGAGCGAAAATCAGCTCTCGCCGAAGTCCGCGCAGACGGTCGCCATGATGGTGAGGGTGTCCTGAGAAGCCAGGTCCCCAGGACGCGCTAGGTGGTGCTGTTAGGGCTATGGGCATGCTGGTGACTTCGTGGGTGGGGAGGTGGGTGAGGAAGGCCGAGGGACGCGAGGATGATGAGAAGCTTTCTGAGAGGCATGTGGACGGTCTGACTGACGTTCTGACAGCCGAAGGAGCACAACAACAACGAGGAGAGTTCAAGGGAGAAAGACGCCCGTGGATGGCGCAACCTGGTTATCAGGATGGCAAATTGACCATCAAGCCTGTCTACTCTGCCCAGCATCGCTCAAGAGATGGGCTCCCCGAAACATCGGTCTGGTCAGGAGGAAAGCATGCCACCCCTTCTTCGACTCGAGGCCATATCAGCGCGGCCATCGAGAGAGGCCCTCTCCGCCACTGCTTAGATATACTTGCCTATCGACAGTTCTCAAAGGCCGTTGAGGTTCCAAAGCCATAAAAATCCGGTGCAAAGTCAGTGTCAGCTCGAGGAGGTAAAATTTTTGGCGTTGAATGGAAAATATGGCGGCCCGCGTTGTCTGTCCAACAAATTCTTAACAATTACCAGACCTCGGCGTGTTGCTCACGCTTCATGTCCCAGAGACTTGATCTGCATATACCGATCGAGGGGATGGATGGCACTGACTGGGCTCCCTCAGCACTGGTTTGCTCTCCTGGCAGGCTACCACCACCGAAGAATCTGGCGTCGAGAGGCTACGTTCTGAAGATTGCGCACGAAAACCTAGAAACGAAAACTCAGAATTATCCGGTGGCAACTCGTCAATCACTAGCATGCGAGGCTCTGGACCAAGTGGTCCCTTCGATTAGAGCACAAGCGGTTTCTGAGTTCATCAGCAACTCCGCCAGTCTCTTGTCGAATCCTTTACCCCTTTCATTTTGAGGAGGACTCATCCTGTGACCGTCTACGGGGGCCGGGCTGGTATGACGCACCACGGATGATCTCGAGGCAGATCTTCACATCTGAAGCGGCCGTTCAGGCCTCCAGGGAGGTCGCCAGGGGATGGTGACAACATTGTTCGTACCTATACCTGGGTTTCCCTTCACGCTTGCGTACTGGATGTGCCGAAGGACATGGAAGGGGATCAGCATATGAAAGCAAGCGTTGATACAGTGGATATGGACCGGACTTGCGTCTGTGATCGGTAGTGCATCGTTGGGAACATCTACAATATACAACACTCTATTTCACGATTGAGCACATGGCTGGATGAGAAGAAGCACATAGGTTGTGCTTTGTCTGGGGTGCTGCCCATCACGAGAGGCCTGGACAGTGGGCCTGGGTCCATCGATAGATACGACGGCAGTGAGAGTCCGCTGTATAGGGACTTGGCTACCTGCTTTTATGCTACATTCATCTACACGAATGGATGTTCTAGGTTGTGCAAGAAGCTGGCTTAAACAATGACCCACGATCCTCCTGACAGCGAGATTCGACTATGTGACCAGGGGACAGGCAGGAGGCATCCATCGCAGTGCCTGGAGGCTCATGCTACGTTCACCTGCAGGTGGATCTCGCCCAGATGGGGCCCCCGTCGTAATACTTTGTTCTGATTCCCTCTTCGGCATGTTGGGACGTTTGACGTGGATCTCGACCTTCCTATCTCGGCAGTCGTCGAGACAGAACAGCCGTGCCTTCGGCTCCTCCTGAAGATAAACTGTCGCCCTTTCCCCCCTGGCTGCCCCGGCAGCACGTAACATACGTCCATCGAAAGTGGCACTCTCAGCGCAGGAGGTCGTGGGGGTTAGTGTCGAGATCGCCCACCGCGGTGGCCTGTGGGATCCACGAGGGCGGACACTGCTGGGCCCCCCGTCTGGGCGCCGCGGGCGTCATGTCCCACATGCTCGGGTCGGACTTCCAGAAGCTGTCTGGAAGAGGAAGGAATGTCTCGCGTGGTAGATTGCGGGAATGAGGAGCAACTGGGGATGAATGGATGAGATGATATGTCTCTTTTGTTTGTAGATTACAGCATCGTACAACGGGCTTCTTTGCTGCGGACACTTGACGCCGTGAGCCTGGGTTTCATCCTCGCTCTTGTCAAATCCAGGCAGAGTCTACAGCGAGTGCAGGAATCGTCTAAACTCTGCACACTGAAGAGACCCTGGCATCGAAGGTGAGGCGAGTGCCGACCAACTGGTTGCTAGCATAAACTTAAATCCCTCGTGAGGCATGGGTGAATTCCAAAGCTGCGGCGCGCCGAATACAAATTGCCATAGAGGGCACAGCGCGCAAGGGTGTGGTCTCGCCCAGGGAAATCGGTATGGTGATCAGATGGTAAGAGGGTGTACTTTTGTTCTAGAAAGTTTAGGAACTGTCAAGGGCTGAGAGGACCCTCCTGGAAACCCTCCTGACCCACGGTGGGATCCTGCCGTGTGTTATTGCTGTCGGAGGCTTCTCTCAACAGAAAATACAACGGCCATTCACATTTTGACATGCCATGGATGCCGCGGCGCCATGGAACTCTGGCATGGGGGCACTTGTCGTTGAATGCGAGTCTGACACCACCCATCAAACTTACCGGCCAGATGGTCGCCGTTCATCAAAAAGAAGACAGCGATCTGCCGTGACGTGCCATCACCGCGACCCTCGCTGCCTGTTAGGGTAGGTTTGAGAGGCTTTTGTGGAAATGAAACCACCCCACACCGGTGAGAGCCGGGGCCAATTTGCCTTGGGATGCGTTATCTAAATCCGTAGTGATGATACGCAGGGAGAAATGGGTGTGAAATTTATCAGATTCTCATCCCCGGCGGCGACCGCTACCGTTACCTGGCTCGAGCCTGGGAAGAGTGGGCCCCACCGCCGATGCCACGCGGGCACACCACCACGCTCCAGCGCTCATGCCCGGGGTAGTGGTGGTGGTCAGGATTTGCGGAGCCATGGAGAGCGAGCGTTCGGTATTCTCAGCACAAGCTGGCACTGACTCGTCCAAGCCGTCGGCATCGCATGTTTACGTGGTGTTCAACGGTCTTCCGGTAAGCAGTAGGGGTCCGGAAGCAGTACCCTCAGCGGGCGATGGTGGTGTGCAGGCGATAGGCGCCCCAAGGATAGGACAGAACAGGACAGGAAAGGGCATAACAGGGTATAACTGGGCAGGGGCCCTGGCTCGGTGAGCGTGGGCGTCAGCGTGGATGTCAGCGTCAGCGTGAGACGGGCCGAGCAGTAGGAGTTGGCGTGCTCGCAACCAGATTTCCCACGTGTGGAGACATACACTGTGTGCCGTGTAAGCACGAAATACCGAGGCGTGCTGCGGACTCAGACAGCGCTTGCCGTGCCGTGACATGGGCTGCGACCCGTCGGACGCAGGAGAGCAGACTATATGTTTGCCAATATTGCAGCCGGCGGGCGTGTGCCGTGTACGCACGCACGCACGCTTGCTTTCAAAGTTTTGGCCTGGCCTTGGACTGGGAAAGCTTGAGCAGGGAGAACGGCCCGTCTGTACGGATTACTGATCCTCTGGAAGGTTGACGTTGAGGTGGAGGTTGAAACGATATCAGACGGCGTATGCCTGGGAAGAAGTACAGTAAAAAAATTAATAAAAAAATGAGGCTCGAAAGGGCAAGAGAGGCATCTGATTCCCCATTCTCCATTCTCCGTTCCCTCTGTTTGGCACGGCAAGGATCTGGACCAGCAAAAGCCAGGGTCTCGGTGGGTTGGATAATGCAAACGCTCGATCGACATGCGTTGGAGGGCGGTACCAGGATTGGACAGGTTTGATCTGATGGCCCAAGCGTCTGAGGTTGATGAGGATCTGTGCAAGTAGGTTGATTGTGGCTGTCATCCACCTGTGCTACTACTGGCTGCGTGATACTAGATGCAGTGATCTGGACTGAGATGGCGGATGGTGGATGCTGGCTGGATGCTGAACGCGGACGTCCAAGTTGCCGAGTGCACTGCGCCCTGGATCCTCATACTGGAGTTGTCTCTGCCTCTGCAGCTTGGGTTCTGCCACCTCGAATGCCTGGGCCGGGCCCGGCCCTGGACCTGGGCCGTTCTTTGGCTGGCAGTCAGGATGTTGCCTGCACAAAGCGCCGTCTGGGCATATCTCCACGTTTGCTGGGCAGATGCGAGTTTCCCTTTTCCCCCTCCTCCTCCAACGTCCCAGCCCGTCCCCAATCCAGGGTAACTCACTCGGGTAAATTCCAAGGGTTGCAACCTCACCTGAACAGGGAACACGGTCCAGGCAGACGGACGAGCAAGTGTCAGGTGTGTGAGATGGGGGATGGCCAAGCTGCCCCAAGGTGGGAACCACACAGCCGTAATAGCAAAGAGGGTGGGCAGGGCAGGGCAGGACAGGGCATACACGGAAAAGCTTGAGGGGAGACGAAACAGCTACACAACTACAGAGCAAAAGACGCAGCGGCCGAGTGCAAGAGGATGAGAGAGAGAGGGGGGGAAAGGGAGAGAAAGAGAAAGAAAAGAAAAAAGCAGTGCTATGCTGCTTGTCTTGCTGTACCAGTTCCACAAGTGCTGGATGCTGGCTGCAATCTCTGAGACGGCTCGTCAGTAGACTAGATATCGATGTTTCTAAAGTGGTATGTTTGTGGTGTGGTGTGGGTGGACAATGTTTGCATCTATCTCATACTATGCATCCAGCAAGCAGCAGCAGCAGCAGCAGCAGCAGGAAGAGGTATTGTTCTGAGGTAAACGGTTGACCCACCACCTTGGGCATGAAAAAATTGGCTGCTGTCTTCCCTTCCAGCCTTTCAGTCTTACGATATACGGTGTCTGCCTCTCTCTGCTCCTTTTACCACTCTATGCATTTGCCAGCTAAGGAATATGTTACTGCCGTATCTGGATACCTAGACTACCTTCTACTGAAGGCATGCAGCACGGTTTAGGTAAATAGATGCTGTATGTAGTGTAGCTCTGCCATCACTTTCACCTGCAACTTGCCTGCTCCCTGCCCCCTCCCCCCAGCTCCCTGCACCCTGCACCCTGCACCCTGTACCCTGGCACCTTAGGCCTGCACATGCACCCCGCTCCCTCAGCTCGAGGCCACCCCCCCTGGCCCAACGCTGCTGCTTTTCCGTCCCTCTGCCCAGAGAGTCCCCTGAAAGCAAATTCCCTCGGATCAACCAACCGTTGCCAACTGCAGTGGTTGCATCTGTACTGCATAGGCGAGAGCACTGGGAAGTCTACCTCTGGAGAACCCATGGGCCCTGGACTCTGGACCTCTGGACTTGGCCCCCTCTCTCTCGGATCAGATCGATAGATGCGAGCACACGGTTGAGACATACCACCACCGTACCGTGCTGACTGTGGACGACGCTTATCATTCCCGTTCTGGTTTCTGCTGTTGTGCTGCTCCCACTTTCGCCTTTCGCAGACACGAGGTCCCATCTCACCATCTCACCATCTCAGCCTGCTCTTGGCTCTTGACAAGGCCTTCTATCCAGCCAAGCGGGCGCTTCTTCTTTCACCTGCTCCTGCTCCCCCCTCCACTCCACATCCCCTTTTATGTCCTGTCTACCTCACCTAGCCCGACTGGAACAGGACTGACTGGCCGGCCTTGGCTCCATTGGACTGGAGCACCCTGCACTAGACGAAAGCACCCGAAGCCCGTCTAGCGAATTGTGCCACTCGTCGTCTATTTCCTTACCCGCCCGCTGAACAAAGCTCCGGCCACTCACATCCGCCTCTCGCGCGTCAACCGCTCGCCTTCAAATCACCGGGCCACCAGCGCCCGTCACCTCTCACCTCCCGACGAGAACGGAACCATCCCATCGTTCCTCGACGACTCAGCCTGTCGTCTCCTTCGCAGGGCCTGCAACGCCGCGACACCTCCATCCCAGGCCACCCCCTCCGCTCGACACCGCTCGACTCGAACTCCGCCGCGCCCTGCCCTCCATCCAAACGCCCACCCTATTTTCGAATCCCAGAGTTACAAACGTCTTCCGGCTTGATGGCTCGCATCTAGGTCTCCGGCCTCTCTTCAGCGCATCTCAAACAGGCTGGCCATTGCCACGATGCTTATGACGCAGACCGCAGTCTCCGCACTTTCTCAGGGTCAGCAGAACAATTCCTACGCTACACGCGGTCAGCCTGCGACCGACGGCTTCGGCTTCGACGCAACACCATCCAAAGACTCGACCGGCCAGGCGTTGGTCGACGTGCAACCGCAGCAACAATACCAAAATACCAACTACTCCTTCCAACCCTACGCCATGAACGGAATCGTGGGTACGGCACCCCCGGGTGCCATGTACGTCCGTGCCCTCTACGATTACGAGGCCGACGACAGGACGAGCCTGAGCTTTCACGAGGGAGATGTCATACAGGTCATCACACAGTTGGAAAGCGGCTGGTGGGACGGCGTCATCAACGGCGTCCGAGGCTGGTTCCCGAGCAACTACTGCCAGATCATCACGAGCCCAGACGACCTCCCCGACTCCGAGCAGCAAGACAATGCCTTTGGCGAACAAGTAGACGAAGACATCGATGAAGACCCGTACGACGATAACGACGAGGCCGACATGTCGGAACTGGAGGAATTGCCGCTGGAAGGCACAAGTGCTGGCGGTATGTCCAAGGCAGACTATTGGATCCCGCAGGCCACCCCTGACGGCCGCCTCTTCTACTACAACACCATGACAGGGGAGAGCAGCTCCGAGCTGCCCCTGGAGTCGCCATCATCCGCCACCGAGGCTGGGCCACGAGACCGCATGAACGTCAACATACCCGACAGGACCAGGCCGCCCCCAGAGATGATGGCCAGGGGCCTGACCCAGGATGAGGATGAGGATTCCGAGGCAACTTCCGCGTCTGAACTCGAGGGCGAGAACCTCATGTTTGGTCGCATGGTAAGACAATCCGCGGCTATTCCCATGGTTTCGGCCGGGGATGAAGGACATCTACTGACCAGTTTGAAAATCATCAGGCTAGAAATAGGCGGTCTATGAGCAAGGACGGCATATCTCCTGCGCCATCACTGGACTCCATCCATGGCCAATACTCATTTGGCAAGGGCAATGGAGCTCCAGCTGGGACGCGAACAACAGACTCGGCGCCGACGTTCACTGCTGGTGCAACCTTCAACCTCCCGACGGCCGCAACTATCCCCCGCTCATTCTTCGATGATGGGCAGACACCCCCTCTTACTTGGAGCCGACTAGTGTCCAACATGAAGAAAGCGATTGATCGCTATCGCGAGGCGATCAACAACGGCAATAAATCAGAATATGTAAGCCGAGCAGAAGACATCTCGGATCACTTGCGACTACTTCTGGCGGCCGGCTCCGGCACGACAGACAACCACTCTGGGCAACCTTCTATCATCTCCACGAACAAAGCGCTGTACCCGCACTTCCGCGACATGATGTCCAAATTCTCCAAGCTTGTCGTCTCGTCCCACATTGCTGCTAGTGATTTCCCGGCCCCCGAGTCCGGTCCAAAGTGTCTTCAAGAAGCCGACGGGGTCTTGCTCGGTGTTTTCTCTTATGTGGAGGTCGCAAGGCAGCAACGAGGAGAAGAGATTCCCCGCCTGTTCCCCGGTTTTGTAATAGGAAGCACAACTGGAGGCAGCTGGCAAAACAACGGGTTAGGCCCTCGCGACCCCATCACATCAAATTTCCTGGAGGATGAGGAAGGTGTAATAGAGCCCACGGCGATACTTGACGGCAAGCTCCTGGAACGACTGGACGAACTTAAGCGCATGCTGGTCTCCGGGATTCGCGAGCTGGACAAGCAACTAGTGGTGCCAGACAAGATTGTTACGCCGTACAAGCACGAGATTGTTAGCAACAATGTCTGCTCTGCCGGAGGGAAAGTGATTGAAAACTTTAAACCCTGGATAGCCATGATCGAATCTATCGACCTCTCCTCGCTGGAGAATAGTTTCCAGACCCCTCAGCTTACCGATTTCAGCATCAACAAGCAAAGCCTCTACGACAACATATCCGACCTGATCCTGGGCTGCCAGTCTGTTGCAGGGCCGCTTGCCGATGAATGGGCCGAGGTTCGCGGAGAGGCATTGGAGAACAGACTCGAATACGTCAGGCAATGTGCCCGGGCTCTCGAGACCAATTCATCCCACATCGGCTTCTCACTGCAACTGTTGTCGGAGCAGGTCCAGATCAACCTTCAACAGCAGGCCGAAACTCGCGCTAGGGAGGAGCAACTTCAGCGACAGCAGTTGACTCGAGGAGAGACAATGGCCTACGGAGCGCATGGGCGGACAGACTCACGCATAGCAACACGACCACCTTTGATGACTTCTCAATCCTACACTGAAGGCGACTCCAACATTGCGAACAACTTGGCTAGAGGGGCCGGAACATACTCCAAAGTCAAAAAGATATTTGGTGAAGACCCCACGCCCCAACAGACGGTAATGGACGAGACACCAGATTACCTGCGACTGGAATACGAGCATGAGCTTGCATGGGACTTCAAAACGTCACCCCCTACTCTCAGGGGAGGGTCTCTGATGGCCTTGGTGGAACAGCTCACTCGACATGATAAACTCGACTCAAATTTCAACAACACCTTCCTTCTCACTTACCGATCTTTCACAACCGCTCGAGAACTTTTCGAGCTGCTAGTACACAGATTCGGCATCCAACCACCTGAAGGACTGTCGCCATCCGACTTTGAGAATTGGCGAGAGAGAAAACAGAGTCCAATCCGGTTCCGCGTGGTCAACATCCTGAAGAACTGGTTCGAGACTTTCTGGATGGAGGATAACCAAGAAGAAGACACAAAAACGTTGATACGTGACGTATACAACTTTGCAAGGGACACAGTCAAGTCGACAGAAACTCCTGGCTCAGCACCACTCATGGCTGTTCTGGACCAACGATTGAGTGGTAAGGATGTTGGCAGGAGACTGATCCAAACACAAAGTCAACCAACACCCGCACCGATCATGCCGAAGAACATGAAGAAGCTAAAGTTCCTCGACATCGACCCTACAGAGTTCGCCCGTCAGCTCACAATTATTGAGTCGCGATTATATGGCAAGATCAAGCCCACGGAATGCCTCAACAAACGATTCCAGAAGAAGACGGTCGAGGGGCAGCCACCTCCGGCCCCGAACATCAAAGCACTCATTGACCACTCCAACCAAATGACCAACTGGGTAGCTGAAATGATCTTGGCTCAATCCGACGTTAAGAAGCGTGTGGTCGTCATTAAACACTTTGTTTCGGTCGCCGACGTACGTGCACTCAAACGATTCTTGCAGTAAAGACAATTGCTAACCACCCAAACAGAAATGCCGGCAATTGAACAACTTCTCCACCATCACATCAATCATCTCAGCACTGGGCACTGCGCCTATTGCCCGTCTGAAGAGGACCTGGGATCAGGTTCCTCAAAAGTCCCAGGCCGTGCTTGAAGCGCTACGAAAGCTGATGCTTAGCACGAAGAACTTCGCTGAGTACAGAGAGAGCCTGCACATGGCAAATCCTCCATGCATTCCTTTCTTCGGTAAGTCTACATGACGAAGCGTTCTTCTGTCTGCCATCGCCGGTTTCAGGTGCTGACTGTTTCTCAGGTGTCTACTTGACGGATTTAACCTTCATTGAAGACGGTATTCCGTCCATCATCAAGAAGACCACGCTCATCAACTTCGCCAAGCGGGCAAAGACGGCCGATGTGATCCGTGACATCCAGCAGTATCAAAATGTGCCATACTCCCTTCAAGCGGTCACAGAGCTGCAAGACTACATTTTGAGCAACATGCAAGCCGCCGGAGACGTGCATGAGATGTACGACAAGAGTCTGCTGATAGAACCACGTGAGAGAGAGGACGAGAAAATTGTTAGGTATGTGGAAATGCGGGAGCAACAAATAACCTACGGACGCATGGCTCTGGCGGGCGGCTTCTGAAGCCACCCGTTTCAGTATTATAGCCCAATCTTGCGCTACCATTACATCCCCCATCACTACCCTAGACTCGTCTCTGATAGGGTCATTGGCTGACTTGATTCATCTGTGATGCAGGGTACTTGCCGAGTCTGGCTTCCTATGAGAGGCATCAGCCAACCAGACGGAAGACGGGAGCCTCATCATGGGCCCCTCACCCGAGCTTTTTGCTGTGCAACGACGACGCTATCCAGCGGAACGCACGAAAAGGTTCAGCGTGCGCCGCGCCCGTCCGCTGCGTTGTGCCGAGCTTGTGCATCAGGAAAGTATGTGCCATCGCTCCAACAAGGGCTGCCACCACTCAACGGTATCTTCTTCGTCTGAGACCGAGCTGCAACTACCAGGCCTGCGTGTGGAAAGCATTGTGAGATCATGGCGGACTACCCGGATCCTCGGTGCCTCTATCCCAGCCTGATGTCCTTCCGGGTTCCACAAGCCCTCGCGTCGCGAATCCGCAGCCGCAAACAAGACATCCGCAATAGGAGGCTCTGTGGCACAAGAGCAAAGGATCTCGATACTCGGGATCAAGCTAGCAGCAACAGAAACGTGGTCAAAGGGCGGGATCGGAAGGAAAAGGCATTGACCGGGAGAGGGGGTTTGGAGGCAACGGAGTTTCAACGGGCAGCTGGTCAAAAGGTCTTCCCCTCACCAAGTCCCGTTTGCCGGACGGGTGTCTGCAGCTGAGAGAGGGGCGGTGATACCTCTTCAAACTTTGAACGGGCAAGGTCGGAAAACAGGGGGGCGCGGATCAGGTATATTCTTGGATTATATGAGAAGGAACTCGGTCAAGGACCTGGAGAAGCAATTAATATCTGCGCTGGCAGCTGCAGATGCTTAAACATTTGATGTTGATCACAGCGCGGTGGTAATCCTGTCAAAATCAATGACCTGTGTGTGTCTCGTATTGTGCTGTGCCGTGTCGTGCCGTGCTGTGAATCAGACGCCAACGTGTGTGCTCGACCGCTGTCTGCGGTGTTGCTGCTGTCGCGGTGTCGGTACAAGCCAGCGCTCGTAGTCGTCTACCCGTTCCTATGCTCCGCTCGCTGCGACGCTGGACGTCTTGCTCGAGACGTTCCTGACGAGGCCGATAGAGTCCTCACTAACAAGATGTGAGCGTAGAGGATGGCTGGACAAGTGACAGCCGATTCGGCAGGAGTCGATTGCAGGTTCGAATTCGGTGGGTGATTCAATATCTGTTAACCTTGAGAAAGTGACCGCAAGTTCGTCCTGGCTGTCTTCACAAGTCGATATAGCATGCTTCTTTTAACTAGTGGCCACGCTGGAAACTTGTCGCTTTGCTAAGGACTTGTCCCCGGTATTTTGATCATTGGTGTGTCTCTTCATACTGTAAATTCACGAACTCGGCTTTCCTTCTTACAATGGAGTGCTCGCATGTTGATTCTGATAGCGGTCGCTCTAAAAACCCAGCCGAACACTTGTGAGGTCTCAAGCCTGGAGCAAGTTGACTCCACTCAACGAACTGTGCCCAGGATATCAGGCATAATTCCATAATGAACAAGAGCAAACTGCATATACACGTTTCAACAACTTGATCTTCACGATTACTAGGGCTGCGGGTTCTTGGGCAAAGGTAAATTGAAAACTTTGTATCATTGTTTAGAAACATGTTCCTATGGGATATCCGTGTTACGAACCCCCGCACTCCCTTACTCCCTGCCTTCACAGTGTTGCTGCTTCAACTCCTCAAGCCTCGCTTTTTCAGCCTCTTGCTTCAAGGCCAGCCTCCGCTCCTCTGCAGCCCTCCACGCCACAATTGGGCCAAGGTAAGTCCTATACGTGGCAATACTATGGTGCTTATTCCCCCTATTCTCGGGTCTGTCATTTCTATGCCACGAAGGCAATACGAAGTTCTTCGCCTGTGTCAGGCTAACCCGTGTGCCATGTACATATGTAGCGCCAGGCCCATCCTGTAACATGTCAGCAGCAATGGCGAGCAGCCTCCTCTTGTCCTGGACAAGAACTGGGTCAAGACTGTATACCATGCACTCGAAGACCACGAGGCCGCTGCGGCGGAACCGGCTGATAACCACGGTGTGGTCCCGGCTCTCCTCCTCAGCCTCCTCCGGCTTGGTCAGGTCTTCTTTCTGCTGAATGCAGAACTCCTCGCCGTTGCGCCCGCATCGCTGGCAAAGCGCGTCGGAGCCTAATAATGCGCAGCGCATGCCCTTGATGGCGCATCTCAGGCACGGTGGTGGCGAGCCTGGGCGGTTCAGCTTGCGCCGGCGGAAAAGAGGCCGGTGTGTCTCGAGGAGGTCGTCGATGTTATCTGGGGAAGATCTTTTGGCAGCTATTGAGGACATGTTTCTGGCCTACTTACCTGGCTTGTGGGCTGTGTGTGTTGAAGGGAGACCGAAACAATGATTATGCCTTCTTGACTGCGAGTTCGTCAGGTAATTGGTTTGTAGCAGAAGCGAAACTGATGCCTGCTACGGTGATATCGTTCATTATCATTGCCCTTATAACTGGAAGGTCCGCCTCGTGAGAGCAGCGAGACTGGCTCTTTCATCTCTGGAAAGTCCTCTTAATTGTCACAGTCCGACTTTTTTGTGGCTGACGCATCTCGAGACAATCGAGTCAAAGACAGAGGTCTATGAAGTCGAAGCGATATGCGGGAGAGAGTAGAGCAGAACCTGGTCATGGTCAAAAGTTGATTGTGGGACAGCGGTGATAGATCAATAGGAACAAAGGATCGTCTCCGTCATAAAGGCTTTGTTGCAAGACAATGGGTGGATTGAGAGACGAGCAATGGCGTCCGTCGGCAGAGGCTTTCAAGGAAGCGAGCAGCTTGGTGGTATAGGCGCGGGAAGACGGAGCAAGACTTTTTCGGAGTGGGCAGAGCGAGTCTTGTCCCTTTTGCTCGTCAAGCTGTGACCGCCTCAAACTCAAACCACGTATTCACGCGATTTCATCCCCAGCTTGTTCATCCCGGCCAGCGAACATGGCACTCCTCGCTGAAGGTCCCAGCAGGTCTGCTTCAGCAGAGGTCGAAGTCCAGTACTTCATGCTTCTCGAACAAAGAGTTGGCCAGTCGAATCGTTTTATCTCTAGTTGTCGACAGTGGCAGCATTGAGTCAGCACAGTCATTCAACATATCCGACCTCTGTATGCTCTCGCGAAACATACTCTGTCAGACACGGGCTTGTTCTAGAAGAAGTTCGTCATTCATCACAAAGGCTCAGTTCGGGACAAGTCTTGGATTGTCAAGATAATCTTGAATTACTATCAGAAAGTATGCTCTTCGAGTCTGGTCGTCAACCAACACCAGGCGGCCAGTCGCGTCCATCACTTCGGCCGGTGAGGCGGGACAGAAAACAAAAACAAAATGCCCCTTTGTATATACAGTGCCGCCGACCGACGAGGACCGACCTCAAGAGGCCACCCTCTCTTGCAAAACGGACCTGCCATTACCATTAAGCCGCGGGTGCCTCCGCGAAGCTCTTTCCTAGGTGCTCGCCTAGCAGAGGAGACAAGACACCTCTTCTCTCCCTTTTTGGTTCTGACCAACGCCGTGCCCGCCCCAGGGGGGTAAGAGTCTCTGACTTGATGATATGCGTGCGTGCGGTTTCGGTGAGGTTGGATGAGATGGGGATAGTAATACAGGTCGGAAAAAAAGAATTTGTGGAAAAGATTATCATCAAAACAGGCCTCCCCTCCCTTGGATCTGACTCGTACTCCGACCGCAAAAGATGCTTTCAATATGGGGGTATCTCCTCTCAAATATCCAAGAAACTAAAAAAAGAAGCTCTCTCCTGCATGTGATTGTAGCCGCCAGCGCTGCTCCCTTTTTGGTCTATGCTGCAACGTGACGGAAAAGAAAAATATTCAAAATGATGACGCTGGATGATGCTGACGACAACAATGCAGGCGAGGTTGTGGTACATAGTTTGTATGTGCGTAGGCGTGCGCGGGTGAATGAGGCGGTTGTTTTTGGCGCCAATTAAGCCTCCTGGGGTAGGCATGTGACATCGCCTTTGTCGAGAAGCAGTATAGGGAAATATTCTATATCCTTTCTATGCAAGCCGATCATTCCGTGGCGTGAAATTTCGTCATTGAGAAAGGAAAACCGGGTGCTGCCGCGCGCTTTGTCCCGAGGCAGAGCGACTCGCGTGTTGCGGATGTGGTTGAAACGTCTGGATGATCGACGCATATTGGGCCGCGAGCAGCGGCTTGGCCCACGAGTGTGAAGCCAAAATTTTGAGACAGCAATGCGCGACCATCCACCGCACCAAGCGCATGAGTTGGTAGCGGGTTGGGAGTCAAAAAACTGGTCGTCATGCCCCGCAAACCCTACTCATGTCCTGCCCCATCCCTGCTTAACTGCCGCGACGGCGAGACCGACGACGGCACCAATGATCAACAGCCCCACGACAGACATGAAGCGGTTCAGTGTCCTCCACCACTTCGCGTTCTCATACCGGAGCTCGTCGACATTCTCGATGTGGCGCTCGAACTCGTGCTCGCGGGAGCGGACGCCAAAGTCGCTGATGCTCGAGTACCTCTCCAGCATGGCCAGTGGCGACGGTTTTGGCAGTGGTAGTATGGCACCTATCATCCAGGCGAAAGGGAAGATGAAGCCGAACACGAAGAGAACAACCTGCACATTGCGACGCCCAAACATGCCGCTCTCGGCTGACCATGAAACTGATGGTGGGTCCCAGACGCTGTATCGATCGCGCGCACGCACGTCCCTGCGCAGATGTGGTGACCACACGCTCGAGGTTATCCGCCGCAGGCCTCTCCGGATTCCCAGTTCCTCTTGTGCCGGCGCCGGCTCGATGTCCATGCTTCCAGCAGTAGACAGGCGCTGGGTTGCCGAGTCGGGTCGTGCTTCGTGGGGTCGACGCCGAGGGCTGTAGATGCCCAAGGGGAAGTGATCCGTGGTTGGCGATCCACTGTTCTGCACAGATCCGGGGCGGCTGCCAGTGCCAAGGTCGGACATGCTCGAGATTGACATGTTCCGCAGGAATTTGCGCTCGCCACTGCCGTAGTAAAGTCTAGCCCATGCAGGAATAGAGTTAGAGTTCAAGCTGCTGGTGTGCGACCGCGAACTGTGAGAGGAGTGCAGATTCCGTTCGGACGAGTTGCTGCTCGCGAAGAAGTCTGACAGTCTCTGGCGAGAGGGTCTCGGGGTGATTTGCTGCAGATCCGCCAAGCCATCACCATCTTCATCGTGGTCTCTAACCGTGCCGTGGTAACCGGCGCGGGGGTTGAAGACCGGGCTCGGTCTCTCTAGGGGATCAGAGTCGGACCGGGAACGGGAAGCGTTCTCCAACTCGGCAGCCAGGGACGAGGAGATGCTCAGCATCTGTCTACTGTGCGAGCTCCATCCCCGGCTGCTTCGTCGGCCGTGGCTACCTTGTTGCGATCCAGATGCCAGAGAAGCAGATCGGGTGCCGCCGCCGGAGCTCCCGGGCTCCGTCTCGGACATGACGGTGGACAGTTGGGAGCTCCATTGGTGCGGCGTGGTTGGCAATGCCATGGGAGCCTGCCCTTCTTGCTCTTCGGCCCATGAAGCCGCCTCTTCCGCCCTCTGTCGTTCGCGCTCGCGTTGCTCGTCGAGTTGTCGCTGGCGCTCTGATGGCCCTGCAACTGATGGGGGCTCCCACTGGCCGGTTGGCTCATTCAAAAATGCCTGTCCAGCAAAAAAGTCCTCGGCGTCTTCGTTGATTATTGACGAGACCGACGTTACTGATCTCCAAGATTTCTTGGTCCGCAAACTTTCCAAATTCTCAATCGATCTCGACCTCGATCTATAGTACCCTAATCCTTCGGAAGACGGCTGCCTGCGAAGCTGAGACGGTCCTGCTGCCGCGCTTTCTTGTGAGTATCCTCCTCGCCCGGGTCGGACGGCGGTACCTGGCGGTGAAGCGTCGGGACTTCGGTTCGGTGACGGGTCGGGAGTGGGATCGCCGTGGACTACGTAGTTTGTCTCGTTATCGGAGTTGCCGGAATGGCCGCCTTCTTCCTCCTCTTCGTCAAGAGAATGGCCCGCGGTGGGCGAAGACGGGCGGAGGAGCGGCGCGTATGAGCCGGAAGGCGAGGGTGGGCTGAAGCTCTCGACGGATGCTAATGTCGCAGGGCTGGTGCGACCATACACCTGCCAATTGGCGGCTCCCGAGTTTGTTGAGGCCGCAGAAAGGAATGACGGCGCCGGCCTGAGCTCGTTTGTTTCTTGTGGTGTTTCTGCTTCAGGGACTGGTGGGAGACCTGGGCTGCTGGGCCCGTAGACTCTGTAGTTTGTGTTGTCGGAAGTCGTCGAAACCCCTGACTGGACGGATTGAAAGGATGACTGCGTCTGGAGCGGTGGGACGAATTGGCCGCTTCCTACGTCGGATGGAGCGCCTTCAACAGAGGGTCTTGGTAGCGCCTCTTCAGACTCTTCGGATCCGCTGTGGCCGTAGATCTTGATGTTAGTAGACTCAAACTCGGTAGACACGGTTTGCTGGGAGTCGAAAGACGCCTGTTCCCGAAGATCCGGACCCAATTGACTGTTGTCTGGTGCCCCTTCTTCGTGCTCTTGGGCGGCGTCAGAGAGCCCAGCCTCGGAGGGAGCCTGGCTGTCGGCCTCGTGAACAATGACGTTGGGGTCGGAGCCACCCGAGGGAGTGTTAGAGTTAATCGAAGCCTGCTCTGCCCCGATTGAGTGGGTTTCCGACTGGTCGTCGCCGGGGACACGCGATGGTGACGTTTCCGGGACCACAGGCAGTGGGGTCTCTGTTGCGTCGGAAGAGGGCGAGTTGTCGGACTGCTTCCACTTGAGGTCGGGTGTCTTGGGGACCTTGCGGAGTCCACCCACCAGGCGATAGGTCGGTGGCGTGGAGGAGGTCTCGGGGATTGGATCGTCAAACTGTTCGTGAACTGTGGAAGAGCCCGGAGAGGACGGCACAGGCGTGCTGGGGGTTATGCTTCGGTCCGGGATTGTGCCCGTGGAGGTAAAGGCAGAGCTGGGACGATCATATTGACTGGACGCATAAGACGTGTAGCCTTCATGCGAACTGGCCTGGGAGACTCTGGGGGTGGATGGGTAGAAGGGTAAATGTGGAGACCTGAAGCCACCGCCCGGACCGCTGTAGTCAGACAGGGCAGACGAGGATCGTGGGTCCAGGGAAGGCTGCGGCTCTGGTTCCGGATCTGGCCGGGGTCTTTGTGGGACGAGTGAAAAGGTCTTGTCCTCGTTCAGCACTGCAACAAACCCTCCGCGGCGAGAAGAGGCGGGCCGGCGCTGGCCAGTAGAGGGCGAGCGTGAGGCCCTCGACGAGGAAGAGGGCTCGGCATCGCTTAGATGAGATGATGCAGAATGTCTGGACGACAAGCTGGTGTGCGTGGTGTAGCTCGAGGCAGAGAGACGCCCTCGTGTGGGAGGTGCATGTAGTGCATTGATGGCGGCGAGGCTAGCGACATTGGATGGCGGAGGGCCAGCAGGGGCTACCGTGGTCGGACGATGGTATCTTGGGCCGTCTCCTGATGTACCTGCACCTGTTGCAGATTTGTCCCCTGAAACACCGTCCTCCCGCCTTGCCAATAATAACCGCGACTCGGGTGCAGACGGCAATGCGACAGGCCCCTGGCCGGGCCTGCCGCTGGTGGTTGTCTTCTCGGAAGTCTGGTTAGTCCGCCTCCAGTTGGATCCATAATCGTCCTCATCGTCGTCGTCGTCCGGGCCGTAGTCCGAAAGCTCTGCCGCGGCACCACTTTGCGGTTGGGGGTCCTCGGAGGAGTCGGCGGCACGTGGAGGTGAGTAAGGAACGACCCGGATGGCACTGGGCTGCTGTCGCAAGGGAGTGAGGCTCGGACGGTCTGGGTCCGGCGCCGACATTCTTCGGCAGGCCGGCGCCTAGGCGATGGCCTGAGCCTGGAGCTGGAGCTGGAGCTGGAGCTGGGCCGAGGTGGCTCAACGTCTTCTTCTTCTTCAGCAAGATGACGGTCAATTCCGGGCCATATCGGCTTCATGCGGGCTGAGTCCACGGGACCTGGGGCCGGATGGATGGATCAAGGGATGGATGGCTACCTGGAGGGAGGAAAACGCCTGGTCCTTGGGAGGTCGGTACCGCTGGGTCGCTGGAGACCAGGTCGAGGCCGACGAGGTCAATGCCGGCTTTGGGGTGAGGTCGGCACGGTGATCTGCGTTGGGTTACCAGCGTGACGGCGTCGACGTCGGTTCGCGTTGGTTCGTGGAAGGTCCTGTCCTGGTTCGCATGCGACAGTAGACGGACGGCACGGAAGGATACGAGATTGCTTCTGGCCGGGCTGCTATGGGATGCCAGCGTCTTGGTCAGAAAGAAGCAGCTGCTATAGACAGTGGGCAGCAGATATGGGCTAAGCCAGGAGGACCATTAAAAGACGGATAAAGAACAAGTCGTAGGAGCAATAAGATTGGCAGCTTAAGCCGCGAAGAAGAAATGAGATGTAACGAAGGGAAGTATAGTAGGGTATGGTAGGGTAAATTGAGTAGTAAAAAGAAGAAGAAAAAAACACTGATAGATGGAGACAGACAGAAGAGAAGAGACCTTGCTGGCCAAACGAGGGTGGTCACACGCCTGCAGAGAGGCGGTAGAAATGCTGCGAGATTAACGACAGGCGGTAGTTGGCTTCATCAGGGGGGGAAGCGCCCTATTGGTATGGGTATGGGTGTGTTGTAGACAGATGGGCTGGCCGGTAGCAAATCGACAGGACGAGAGCGACTGGAAAGGCATGCAGGAGGCAGGCGGGCCAATACCGTGCATGCTATGCGCTCCGGCAAGGAGTGTTGTCGACACGCAGGCGAGGGATGTCTGGTCCAGTCGTCGGTGGCAGAACAAGAGGTGAGAAAAAAAGGGCAGAACCATGAAGAGGGCGAGGAATAGCCATGCCGATGCCGACGGGGGGCCCACATGTTGTGATATGATAACCTGCGTGTTATGATTACGAGTGGACAGCAGCGGGCCTCAGCGACCGATGGAGGTTTAGCCTGGGATCGAGGGGGCGATGGGGCCCTCGCCAGGCCCTCGCCAGGCCCTCGCCAGACCCTCGTCAACTCTCCCCTGCTCAGTGCAATCAATCTGCAATCTGCACACCGACTGGACCGATTTGCTGGTCATCTTGGTGGGATGAGGTGGAGGAGGAGCAGCATCTGGGATGGGGGACGACGACAGGGGTAATTGTTGGCAAGGAGGGCGACGACAAGAAGAAGCCATCCAGACCTCAAGGTACACAAGGTACACACTACTAAACCATGCCATGCCATACAATACCATACAATATAAGACTATAGTCCAGATACTGCATAGTCAGCTCGAACAAGTCCAATTCGGGCGCGTAAAGAAACGCGGACGCGACTTGGTGGCCGCAATCGAAAGACCAGACCAGACGACAGACCATGCGACAGACCCAGAGAAACAAGATCTGCGCGCGCCCTGGCGGCGGCGCTACAGCAGGTCCAGCTCTGCTAGACTGCTGGCCTACAGCAGACTACAGCAGGTCGACCATGCAGACATGCTCGTCCTACTGCAGGCAATCCATAGTCCACCTGTTTGGTTTCCTTCCGCCTGGGAACAAAGTGGGGACCGTTGGACCGTTGTAACGCTGTTAAATGAGGCCTTGCTACGAACTGCTCTGCACCCTCGCAGGGCCTCATTTGCTGCAACATTTTTAAAGCCATTGCTCGCTCTCACCCTCTGCATCGTGAACATTGCACGGTACCTCGTTCAACATGGCCACAGCCGTCGCGAGACTGACCTGATTGCCTCACCGCCGTGATGTTGATTTTCACCCACAATACTTGAGTCGCGAGATTTGACAGCTGTTCGCCGTGGACCGGGTACGCCCCTGCACAGACAACGTGGGCACCTTGGCAGCTTCATCTTGCTCTGACGGGTCTCTCGTCATCAATCTCTCTGCCTCAGTCTCACGGGCCGCCGGATTGGTAATCTGCAAGCTTTGCTGGCCCTGCAGCTTTCGGGCGCCTCTTCATTTCAGGAGATGCACGCCCGAACCCAGATTTCAGCCCTCCTCGCAGGCCTCACAGCTTTCTCTCGTTCTCTGCGCTGCACGCACGGCATAAACGGGTCCAGAGGTGACAGGTGCTGTCGCATTCAGGGGAAGCACTGGACCGGACTGCAGCACACTTGGGTATACGCGCATTGTCGGCACAGATTAGACGCTGTCTCAACAGCCGCCCAGCAGCAGCCGTGGCCCAGTCTTTCAGGCCAGGTCAATTATGCTGCGACCATGGGACGAGGCGGGACAGACAAGCGCAGCAACAGACAAAGAGAACACAATGCCATGCAAGCAAGCGCCCGATTGACGATGCAAGCGCCGCCAGCTCCACCGGCAGACTGCATCGGTCAGGACGGACTGGCGATGATATCGTCAAAGACTGAACCCAAAACCTCCCCCCGGCCCGTGGAGCAGCCCACTTTTGACACGTTCTGACATGTCTCTTTTTTCTTCTGCTTCGCCCTCTTCCCAAGCCATGGGGAAACCTGGCACCTGGGACCTGGGCAGCCAGCCCTGGCTCATCGCATCGTACTGCAATAAATCCACACGCCCGTCCGAATGCGGCGACCAGGAACAGAGATAGGGCCAGCCCCCTGCCGTCTGCATAAACTTTCGCAGGCGTCGAACCAAGACGGGCAGGACGGGCTGCACCTTGGGATGAGATTCAGGGGCTAGCCGGCATCCTGTCTGGTCCCAACCAGACAACCAGAGAGGGCTGCAGGGGCTGCATTTAAGCTACCGGGGCGCCCAATTTGTACGTTCATGCTTGAAAAGAGTGAAAGGAAACGCGTCTTGTCTCGTCTCGCCTCTTCTATTCGTCAATACGCGTTTCCTTCAATGTAGCCTTCCACCTCCAATTGCCCGGTTGGCTACCTCGGTGTAAAAGTGAATGAGGTAGTGCCTGCTTCGCCTCGGTACCACCCACCATCCAGCCAGAACGCGTGCCCATTACCCAGTACGGCCAGATCGACGGCATGGGTATCAATTCTCCGAGCCAGATATTCACGAAATGCGACGCTGGTTCTAATTTTGTATAACCTTCATGGCATTACTGTGGTACAACCTCAATTCACTAGCTGTAGGCCTCTCGACGGCTATGGCCACGGTCCGTCTACCATCGAGACCCTGTGCATGGTTCCTAGCCCGAACGGTCCCATGCTTTTGTTCACCCTATAAGTCAGTCTTGCATACCGCGAAAACCTCACTTCGCCGTTCTCCTCGTATCACAGTCAGCGGGCAGTCCGAAATTGCGGGCTGTTGATAAGTGAGATGACCCTGGACAGCCACGGCAGATGGTCGAGCCCAGCAGCTGTGGGCGCCTTGTTCAGAGGTCTGTCAAGTCAAACAGGACTCAGCGCGCAGGTGTGCGCGCTCTCTCGTATGGTTACCCTAAACACGAGACCTACTTGGAAAACGCCGAAGTGTTTCGTCGCCCCGAATCAGCCAGGAGCGGACCGCGAGCATCCACGCGCCCATTAGGACTGCCCATGCGTCTGAGAAGCGCCAGTAGAGACGAGCACTTCACTTTGTTTGTCTGGGTCACAACGAGCAAGACCACCTGGGCCAGTCGTGAGGGATCCCGCAGCCCGAGACCGGGCATTCAGCCATCGTCGGTCTTGGATGTAGAGCAACCCGTGACTAGATGCGCTGCTCACAGCACGTCCGACCAGAATGAGGCGTCCTACCACCACTTGGTCCATGTCTCGGAAGGCGGGTGAGTGTGAACACAAATGATGGCCCAGGTGTTTCAGCAATCACGTTGTTCACCGCATTCTGATGATTCTTGAGGGGGTGCGTCACAGCTTTCTCTCGCCAGCAGCTCGAGAGCCTCCTCGAAGCCAAAATGCCGGGCGACATCAGCTGGCGAATCCCCATCACGGTTCCGGAATGTGTAAGCTTTGGCACCATGCGCAAGCAGCCGCCGTGTTATGGAGAGTCTCGTGAGTTGGTTCTGGTTGGCAAACGAGTTAGGGTTACACGCCACATGCAGAGGCGTGGACCAATTGTTGTCTATGACGTGCACAGAGGTATCAGGATGTGAAAGCAGAGTCTCGACCACCTGTTCAGTAGACCAGGCGGCGGCGATCTGGAGGGGACTACAGCCCTTGTCATCTCGCAACATGGGGTCGGCGCCCTGGCGGAGGAGTTCTTCGACTACTTGAACATCCGGACAGAAGCAGGCCACGTGCAGGGGGGTCCCGCCTCCGATTCCTCTTGCGTTGACGGGTGAGCCTTTGTCTAACAGCTTCCTGACGATAGAGACCCTGCTCTGTCGACCACCCAGACTGGTCCAACAGGCTCTATGGAGCGGGAGTAGACCATTGGTGCTTATGATGACATTCGCCCCATGCTTGAGCAACACGTCAACAGCATTGACATCTCCTCTGCCGGAACCAGTACCTTTGAGATCCTTGCCCGTGTCTTGCTGAGGAAGCAAAGTGCTGTTCGAACAGGCCACAGTCAATGGCGTCCGACGTTCCAAACCAACAGCATCAATTTGAGCGTGGTGATCGAGAAGTAATTCGATGATATCGCTGCGTGGCACCAAGATATCGTCATCACTGGTCGGCTTGTTGCCTGAAGACCTATCTGCCGACCTCGTGGTCATACAAGCTAAATGCAACGGTGTCCTGAGCAAAGAATCAAGCGCGGAGACAGCGGCACCATGCTTGAGAAGCGCCGAAACACCGGCTTTGTTCTGATCGATGACTGCGAGGTGTAGAGCAGTCATGCCGAATCGATCTCTGCTTCGCAGTATGTCTTTCATTGCCACGATTGAGTCCATCGAGCCGCGGTTTTGTGAGGGATGACGCGAAAGATACACTTGCAGCAGCGCAGCATACGGCACATGGGCTAGGGAAAGGAGAATTCTGCTGTTGGTATCCCATGCATATGCCGCCGAGGGAAAAGCGTCCAAAATCTTTTCAAAGACTTTGATGTTTTCGTGTCCGATGGCCTGTTCTATGGCGAAAACGGCTTCCTTTCTTTCCCAACCGCCGTTGGCCCTGAGCCAGGAGGACAAGCCTAGGTCGGCCGCGAAGTAGAGAATTTCGGTCCACTCATCTACATCTTCCCGCAGTGCTTTCCAGCGGCGCCAGATACCACTGCGCAAGCGCTGAATGATGTCGCTTGGATTTGAGTCTTCTTCATCGGCCTTTCGAGCATGTGTGAACAGTTCGAACGTCGCGTAGGAGAGGAGGGCTGGGTAGGCTTCCAGAGTTTGCGAGCAGCCTGTGACTGAAGCACGAGAGGACGTGTGAGTAGCGGGTTCATCGTAGTAAGCTTGGTCTGTCACGCATTGGTGTTCCATCCACCAGCTCGCGAAATCATTAGCTCCGGCCGGCCCTGATTCTCCCTTCGAGCTGTGATACAAAGAGCTCTGATCGTCCGTTCGCGAAAGGTAGAGCATTGAGAACGGATTTTCACACAGGTTTTGTCTCTCGCTGCTTTCAGCAGAGGCGTCTTCCAACTCCCCCTTCCATGTCTCTCTGCGGTAGGTCTCCGTCTTGACTGGGGTCTGTCCCCCATCGTGGCTGCTTGCTGACCCAAAACTGGCTACACTCGCACGACGACGAGGTCGTCTGAGTTTTCTTGATTGGCGCAAACTGGTCGGCATCGCCAGGACGTCCGTACGGTGGGACATTGTGAGAAATGACATGGGTGATGTCGATAACGCAGGTCTTGTTTTGTCCCAGTTCTCACTTTCCGTTTGGGCTTGCTGATTTCCCGTGCGTCGTTGGGCCTGGTCCCGTGCTTCCACGAGCGCATCTAGCTCGGCGATGAGAATGTAATCAAGACAGACGCTCATTATCGAAAGATGAGCATGAGCCAGGGGCTTGTCTGCCAAGTCTGGATTTAATACAGCAAAACCTGGGCCCTCCATAAAGTATTGTCGGACAGACTCATGTATGACTTGTATCACCCGGGTTTCCCCAGTGTTCAGATCAAGAGAGCCCGCGCCGGCCCGGTCAGAAATTGACTCATCGGCAATTTCATAGCTGTCAGTAGATTTGGTGTTGAAACCCAGCAAACCTCGAGATAGATGTGTTATCCGCTTCTCCAGTTGCTCGTCAGTCTCCGTATAGGCGTCAGACTGCCGCCATTGATGTAAGCTTGACGGAGGAGTGTCGCTAATGAAGGCAAGTATATGATGCCACTCATAGAGACGCAGAGGTTTGGTTGAAAACAACGCCCATTGGAACATTCTGACAATCATTGCTGAAAATGGCTCTGCAGTCAGCAGCTGACAAAATAAGTCCTCGAGCTCCCGTGGGACAGAATCCAGATGCTTGAGCAATGATGACAGTCCTACTCCTTCATCACTTTTCCGAAGAATGTCTTTCAAGACCAGAGAAACCCAAAGAAACACTCCTCCAGACTTTTCCAAGATAATCTCCTGTATGGCTTGTTGGTCTTCACGGCTGCCAGTCATGCCAAGATTGAGTCGCCGCCCTACAAATTCGATAATGTCTGGGTAGTTGTGGTTCTCCATGATGACTTCTGGACAGTCATTGACCGTAATGGCAGGGAAATGCCTACTAGACAAGCAGACGCTTAATTGAACGCCCGCACGGTATGCCATTTTTGTAGTTTCCCGCCAGAAATTGGCTACATCCCTCGCAGAGTTTGAGTCGCACTCGTCGATGGCATCTATGAAAATAATAAATCTTGTCTTCTGGCCGACAATGGCTGATTTGAAAAAAGCTTTGAGTTCTGCTTCATCCCAGGGAGCCATATCTTCACCGCATAAAGCACGTCTGCTCCACGCAAACCCCAGTAGTGCCTTCAGGAGGTTTTTATTTTGGGAACATACTTGATGGAGGATAGATCGTAACATCCCAGTCGACGAATGTTCCAAATCATCGCCCTTTGCATTAAAGAAGAATGCCGCGACGTGGCATTCGGAACCGCTCATGTCCCTTGTAACCCTTGAGAGGGCTTCTTTGAGCAATGTCGATTTTCCGGAGCCTGGTTTGCCTCTGAGCCATAAGAGACCACAGGATCTGGTTTGTTTCTCGTTGCTGAGCCAGTCAGTAAACGATTCGTGCTCGAAAAGCCAAGAGCAAGTTCCGTCGGCCGGGTCCTCGAGATTCTGGATTCGCTGATTCATATTCGGAAATATCAGAGATCGCAAACACTTTCTCTCATCATCACCAATATCCCCCACCTTACTCTCATGAAATGATATTGCCAATGTTTTGGTGGTGAGTGATTGGCTCCCCCCAAGATGTGCTGTCATGGAGTTGAGTCCAGCGAGCGAGTCGTAAATTGGGGTTATCTCCCCACATATCCTCCTATAATTCGGATCGTCGAGTCCAGTAAAACGACACATGTCCATGTGGTTAGCTTGGATGGTCTCGGCTCGCTCCCGAACATCACCAAGCAAGCTCGAGATGTCAGGGACGACCTTTTTCCCGAAAGGCCCAAAGTTTAGTCCAGTAAGTCCAAGTCCCTCCTGGAAGGTCTTGACACGGAAATCATGTCGCCTCCAGACTGTAGAGAAAGATTCTTGAGCTCGCTCTAAGTCCTTTGTCTTGAGTCTGAGGGCATCCAATATGGCAGGGTTTGTTCTCATTCTAAACGCACTGATCATACTCCTCGCCCTGTCTCCTAGGGTAGCAAGGTCAGGGCTGCCTCTATGCGGCGTTCCCAGGAATATCACGGCAGCTGTCGAGGAGACGACATTTTCTAGCCTATCTTCGATTGAGTTTGATGAGCTAGCAAGCATCTCTTTGACAATTATGCCTCCAAGACTGTGCGCAATGAGAATCAAGGGACGATCAAGTTTGCGATGAGCCGCAAGGGAAGAGAGGAGGTCTTTGCCATGAGAGTGGATAGAGTTTTCGTTTGTTGATCCCGACAGATAGTTTGTGACCCTGGTGTCGTAACCGTATACTAGAATTCGTGCATTTTGGTATTGGATGGGAAGCAGGTCGTTTGGCCAAAAGACTTGGGCTTGCTTCACGCCTCTGCTATCTCGGCTCTTCTGACTTGAATTGGTTTTAACGGATGATGGATCAGAGAGCCTTCCTGAGAACCGTGGAACAATGCGGTGGTATGATTTCCGACTTCCGCTTTCATCATTGAAGGCCTCAGTGCTGGAGGCAGCCGTTGATTTGCATGCCCAAGTCTTATACGGGTGTCCCTGTAGGCCGTGAATGAGGACGATGCTGTAAGGGAAATCAGTCGCAAGTCGCATCTACGGCCCAAAACACTCACTCGACAATAGGCAAGCGCGAATCTGGCTCATAAATAACCGTCAGCCCAGTATCGCGGACGAGCAAGTCCATGGTGCTTGAACTGCACCGATCCTTGGTGGTTCGGCACAAGAGCAGGCGACGTCAGCGATGTCCGCATCTTCGGCAGTAAAAGAAAAAGGTCACAGGCATGCTGTCGGCGAGGCTGTCGGATCGGGGCCTAGTGAGTTGTTGACGAATGGCGATGGACAGCGGCGTGCGTGCGTGCATGCATAAGCATGCATGCGCGCACAGCGAGTGCCCCCTGGACTTCTTCGTGCGGAGCTGAACCACACGCAGCTCTGCAGAGGCAAACATCACACCCGTCGCCAATAGCTCATGACGAAGTCCTACCCACCAGTACTAGCATTCCTGCTCAGACGTGCGGACTGCTGGGCTGTGGACATGGGCTTTCCGAGCAGTGATTGCTTTTACGCTGTTGCCACGCCTCTGAGCTGCCAGGGTTCAACCCTCTTCATTGACAGAGCTGCTACCTAGCCATTTGGCTTGTCCCTTCATAACCGACTCGTCCTTTTGGCAAGAAGGCAGAAATGAGCAGCTTGCGAAACTTAAGAAATACCTTCTCGAGAGTTTCTAGTCTATGCGTCGCCCAGTCATACAATCGTGATACCGTATCTTCAAGGGCTATCAATGCAGTGCGCCTCTGTGCTGTGCCACATGTAATTGGATTTTGTGACGCCAGCTCTCTCCCGCATTTACGAATGGCCTGCACCACTGCTGCACACAGGTCTAAATGTCAGCGTTGTGTGCGACAATACCCCGGCACGCCTGATACCTCTCATGATGGCTTACCGGCCTTTACGCGATCAAGATCTGGCAATGTGTGGCTAGATCTGCTAAGGGCAGCGCGTCGGAAATAAGACGAGATGGTGTGACGCAGCAATGACATTGTCCCGAGAGGTGATCTGCACACCTTCATACACCTTTTGAACGGCCGATTTGAAAAGGCTCCATCCATCCTAGGGAGCCTGACATGTAACAAATCTACAGCTCCTGCTCATTGATCTGAATTTTGGCTCACCTGGAAATGGATCGCTTACTCCTAGCTCCAGAGCCCCTCATCCGCGCCATTCTCGTAGCCCTGTGCGACAATGAGCGGCTCCAGGCCCGCAGCCTCCTGTACCTCGACCGATTGGAGAAATCACAAGTGACACAAACAAACACAGGAGCCACCAAACCCGAGAAATCCTCTGGTAGCCACCCGCAGCTCGCAAGCACAATACCTCTGGGGAAAAGGAAGGCCCCCGAGCCACCCCCTCCACAAATATGCATCCAGTGCAAGCTCGCCTTCCTCTCAAATTCCAACAATCCGCAGGCCTGCGCGTTCCATCACGGCGCTATGGAGATAGAACCGTCACACCGTGTCTGGTGGAGCCAGGATGCGCAACATGCGCTACAGAACAACAACACCGAGGAAAACCGCGAGGACAGGCCCGAGGGATTCAACTGGTCTTGCTGTGGGAGGGGCGGTGCTGGTCCGGGCTGCACCGAGGGTGAGCACCTCGCCATCAGGGCAGACGACCGCTCCAAGCGGCGGCGCGTGGACCCCGCGGCGGACCCGGACTCACTGCGGTTGTTCGAGGGGAAGGTTCTGAGGCCGAACGAGTTTGTGAATAACAACCTCTTGGAGAGTAGTAGCTCGGACGACTCAGAGTGGAGCGAGGCTGTCGAGCGTGGTGATGCGATTCCCGTGGGTAACGACGGCGGCGAGTTGCCCTCGGAAGCAACGGAGAGGAGTAGCGGAGGTGGTAGTGGAGGGTCAGATACTGGAGGTTAAGGGCGTTTCAGCGTCTGAGGGTATTTGCCTGTCGTCTTTAACAGGCTGTGGTCTCGAGTGCACTGTGGACTTGAAGGAAATTCTTAGGATAAAACGGCCTACACGGCACACGTGCTTCGGAGGATGGAGGCATGTGAGTGACAAGCACTTGCTCGTCAATGTAGACGGGATGCAAATTGCTGATTACCTTTGTTCGAACACAATCTGGAGTACTGAGGCGGAAACGTGGGGAATCACAGGTGATCTAGAACATCTGCCAACATGCTCGATTATGTACGGGGTATCATTAAATATTGACCTCTTCCAAACGCCTTCATGAATCTTGACCAACTCCACTTCCGACCAAACTTTCCGATCCACCCTTTCGATTATTGATTCAACGTCTAAATCCAGTTGCTTGACCATCTACCAGTCCTGGTGGTAAACAGGCTTGGGAGGAGAAACCTCGCTGGAGCTTGAGATGTGCCTCTCGACCCTCACGACGCCGTCATCCATATCCTCGTCCCTCAAGCTTTCACCATCCACAGGTATTGCGCCATTTCTCTCTGCCGCCCATACCCTCGTGCGCACGCGGCCGTCAATGGTGGGCGGATTCCAGCTCATTTCGTGAGCATCATTCGAGAATTGGCTAGGGTGATACTTCCCCATCGCTGATGGCGCTTGGGTAGTGTGGAGAGGGTGTATGATGGGTGTAGGAGAGCTGTTCCCGGTCAGTGTGCTCATGGCTCTGCGCCTCTTGCCTCCGAAAATGCTGCCTATGTGGAAGGTTGATGGAAGCGTGGAGAGGAAGACCCATGGGTCTCGCTTGGGTAGCTGTGGCATGTGATCGGATGAGCGTGCAGCATCTGTCGTCGAGCGAGCCGCTTCGAGGTCCAAGCTGTCCAGGCGGATGTTCAGTGGCTGTATGTCGTCGACGTCGCTGACCTGGACTGTTTTGGTGTTGGTCTTTTGGCTTGTAGGGGGGCTCCTTTGTGATGTTTGTGTTGACGAGACAAACGCAGAAGCTCTCTTTGCACGAGACCACATGCTGCTCAGGCTTGCAGGCGGCTGGTCGGATGGAAACCACTCCTCGTTGAGCTTGGGGATGATCTTTCCGAGGCCCAAAGCTCGCAGGTATTTACGGTACAAGTCGTGCGCATCCTTCGTCAGCCCAAAGTAGAGGAATATGATGAAGACTCCGATGGCATAGGCGTATGTCCCGTACATAATGGTCCATGGGACGGTCGTAGATGGGGAGTAGTCGATCTCGTTCCAGCCTTGGCGGTGGAGGGTTGCAAGGTCAAATGGTGCCGCCCAACTCATCCCCAAACTGATGTTATGGTACAAGAACACCAGCTGCAAGGGAAGGTAGGGTGTGAGGATTGTCAGCGTCGTAAAGTAGAGTTTCCTCCGGGCCCTCGCGTTTCGTGCTTGAACACTGGTGTTCCTAGAATTCCACAAATTTTGTCGGGATTCCGAGTCGACCTGCCTGTATCGCCACAATGTGTAGACTGAGGGACATAAGTTAGCCAAAGGTGACAGTGACAGTGTTGGAATATCAGCTTACCTGCGTAATATCCAGCGGAAAGCGCGAAGATTGGGCATGGAAGGAGAAAGATGACCAAAAACACCCAGTTGGTCTGGTAGACGGCCTGGCATCCGATGATGCCTGAGATGTTGTACCTCATCGCAATCACGAAATAGTAAAGTATTCCTTGCAGCAACGGGACAGGGAAGATGATGAGGGCGTGTACGAGGTTCTTTCTTCGCTTCTCGTTGCCTGTGAGCGCCGTCGCCCGCAACGAAGAGATTTGATTCGCCACGTTGCGCAGGATCGCACAGATACTGGCAGCGACCAATGTTTCCAAAGGGCATGCAGAGGCAAGTTGGACGTCACACCATCCGTAGCCGCGTGGCCAGTTGGCAATGTCATCGTTGTGCCAGAGGAGTGCGTTGATGAACTGGTAGAAGTTCATGATGCCGCTAGAGATGACCAAGACCACGCCAGCAAGCTCACCGCTTGCGGAAAAGAGCTGCAGAGGCACCAGACATACCGCGACGGCTCCGAAGTGCAGTATGCATTTGAAGATGATGTTGAGAAGTTGGCCGGTAGATGGGCCGTAGTTGCCGCCAACGTAATCGATAGCCTGCTCGAGATGCATTTTGCAGATTGTTCTTGGAGTACTGGGGATGGGGCAGAGAGTCAATTTCTTGAACTAAATGGATGCCTCAACCGAGATGCCGATAGACTGGGAGATCGTTCCTCAGTGCGCCTCCTGATGAACATCCACAAAGAAGGCTGGATGGGTATTTTGAGATGTGACTCCTTCGTGAAGCAGGGCTAGTTCCTGTAGCGGTTCGTGACACAGGCCGACTTAAAGCTGCAAATGAAAGCCTCGATCATTGCAGGCTGAGAGACGAGATCAGGGGCAATCTTTGAGAAGAATTGTATTTCTCGAGCATACTTAAGCTGGGGCCCTGAATAGGGGCGGTGCCAAAAAGCCATTGAGAACTTCTGAAGCAGGGCGCCTATTCAGAATCAAACAATTGAGGCCTGTCATGTTATTGAAGGGGGGAAATGTGAGATAAGACGATCTATTGTCTGAATAAGGAGTGTTGCAGCCTGTGGCAGCAGACAGTGGCCTATTGAGAGATGTCGTTTGGGTGAAATTCCTATTCAGAACCGAATTAGGAAATTTTCCACCTTGGTCAGCCCCACCCAGTAAGACAAATGAGAAAGATTTCCTACATCAAGCCCAGGGGAGAATCAATCATCAGGCAGAGCTTTCAGAATAGGTTTTGCCATTTAGAAAGCCATGGTCACAGTTTGGTCTGCTAAGATCGAGCTGCAACACGACTTGATGCGGATGCAAATATTTCAGTGAGGAGGTGAATGTGGACATCGTCAGTAACTTGTTACGCTTGTTCTATAGTGACGTCCTCAAATTTAAAGTAGGTAAAAGTAAAGTTGAATGCAGATTCACACGTCGATAGGTCTGGCATACATAGGTACCTAAAGATAGAGAGAATTCCTGCATGGGTGCTGCCGGGAGCACGCCACCCAAAGCTCACAGCCCCCTTCAGCTCTTTCCAGCTGGACGCAACTGAGAACCCCTTCCTCTCTCACCTCCTTTCTTATATGAGTGAGGATTCGAACACGATTCTAGGAAGTCGAGAAGGACTCCAGAGCATTGGTCGCTGCAGTCCCCTTTGTTGCATTCGCTCTCGTATTCGTGTCTTCGATTTGATGCTAGAGCCGTCGTCGTTCTCGCTCTCGTAGGTAAAAGTTCATTTACCTGCAGTACTTAGTTGAAAACTATTATATATCTCCTTTCCAGGTGAACTCTCATTGTTGTACTCGGGCGATTCGGGACGAACCCTTCGTCTGATCTGAATATCACCCGTCCCAGCCCTTCTAATGCAGATTGACGAAAGGCAGTTACCCGATTTCCTCAGGGCTTCGTTGATGTCATTACGTGTGATCTATACATGAATCACAGCTGGAAACTGTCTCTAGTCAAAGCTAAACGAATTTTGAAGAGCATCTGAGTGAAGAAATGGATAGAGATCATGCGCATGCATTTATGGACGGGAACTGCGAGCAAGCCGAAAGAGGGAGGCAGCGGGAGCAGAGGTTCCAAGTTCTCTATCAGCCATGAGATACACTCGAGTATAAATACGACAAGAGGAACACGATGGTGAGAGAGTTGATGTGGAAGAACAGAGCCATCGGCTACATCGCTCCTCAGTTGGAACAACTTGCGCCTCAGAATGAAGACACTTGCAATTCTGGCCTCCGCATTGTTTGCGGCCCAGAGCGGCTGTTCTCAAGAAGATGTGTCCTTTCTCGATTCTCTGGGCTCAAGCTTCGGTATTGCGGGTAATGCAGCTTTTGACTATGTTGTCGTCGGTGCTGGTACCTCGGGCTCCACCATTGCTGCTCGCTTAGCTGAGGATTCGGATATCACTGTCGCTGTGGTCGAGGCTGGCGGCTTCTACCAGATCGAGAATGGCAACCGAAGTGTCGTTCCAGGATATTCGGTCTTCAATTTTGACATACTCAGTGCTCCTGTCACTGACTGGGGGATTATATCAAGCCCTCAGTCAGGACTGAATGATCGTCAGGTTCAATACTCCAGAGGCCAGGCTTTTGGCGGCTCTTCTGCCATCAACTTTTTGGTTTTTCACAGGTAAGCTCCGTCCAAAGTCTCTGTTACGTTGACTGATAACATGACGTAGGCCAACTCGGGGTTCGATGGACTTATGGGCAGAGGAAGTCGGCGATGACAGCTACAAGTGGGATACTGTGCTGCCCTACTTCAAGAAATCCGCCACGTTCACACCACCGGACCCTGCGACGTTTCCGGCGAATGCCACACCATCGTTCAACGAGTCAGCGTTCGATAACTCTCTGGGAGGTCCGCTTCAGATCTCATATGGCGGCTACACGCCAGAGGCCCTTGTGCCATTTTTGAATGGATTCAACGATATCGGCATTGGCCCGGCTGAAGACTTCAACTCCGGAGATTTGCTAGGTGCCAATTGGGTCACAAACAACATCAATCCGGAAAACAATCATCGGTCTTCGTCACAGACTGCGTTCATCAATCCATCTATCGCGAACGCCTCAATCACCTTGTATCCTAACACTCTGGCTCGTCGCGTAGTCTTTGACGGCACGACAGCCACAGGAGTAGAAGTTACCACCGGTAGAGCAACCTACACACTTTCGGCACGGAAAGAGGTCATTTTATCTGCAGGAGCTTTCCAATCTCCTCAACTGCTGATGGTTTCTGGCGTTGGCCCAGAAGCCAGGCTGACAGAGCTCGGGATTCCTCGCGTCCATGCGCTTGAAGGTGTCGGCCAGAACCTCCAAGACCACCCAATCTTCACCGTTTCTCAGGCTCTAAACATCCCTACCTCATCCCAATGGAACAGCTTCAGTGCCGCGGGCTACGCCGAAGCGGAAGCACAGTACGTGTCTAATCGTACGGGACCTCTGTCGCAGAACAAGGCCGTCATCGGTTGGGAGAAGCTCCCAAATCGCGATGGGCTCTCCGATGCCACCAAGACTGCTTTGGATGCGCTCCCAGACGACTGGCCAGAACTCGAGATGCGAGTTTCTCCCTATTACCTTGGGGTCACCAAGCCAGACCCCGCTGCACAGTTCACGACTGTCTTCGGGACCATCATCTCACCCCTGTCGAAGGGTTCGATTAACATTGTCTCCAACTCGACCGAAGACCTCCCGGTTGTTGACCTCGCCTACTTCAGCGACCAAGGTGATATGGAACAGGCGATCGCGGCTCTCAAGCGCATCCGAGACCTTTACGCCAGCTCATCCTTGACGTCTCTTCTGGATGGGCCGGAGTTCGTGCCTGGCCCAAATGTTACAGCCGATGCTGACATCGAGAACTATATCAGAGAAAATACTGGTACGATCTTCAACGCCGCAGGAACGACTAAAATGGGCAAAGCAGACGACGCCATGGCTGTGGTGGACCCGCAGTGTCGTGTGTACGGTGTCCAGGGGTTGAGAGTCGTCGACACAGGCAGCTTCCCGTTTGTCCCTCCTGGCCATGCACAGAGCACTGCGTACATGCTGGCAGAGAAGATCGCCGATGACATCAAGAATGGAAACTGATCATGGATTTCCGAATATTCAAATGCGAATGCAGATGATTTTATGTGCAAAGGGCGGCCGGTCCGTCAGACCTGAGCATTTTTGGATGTCTGTTGGATGGTTTGCACCAACATGGTCTTTGACCCTTTCTAGTCTGTGGCGCACGATGACGGCACTGAAGGTCTACACAGACCAGGTCGAAACCACATGGAAACAATTTTCCTTTCGTCTCTATATAGCTCATCAAATGAAGGCGGATCTTAGACCGCGACTTGTATTATTTTATAGCTGCCGCTTACCGTGACCCTATTACAGCCAGGTTTCAGGAAACATAATCTCAAGTCTACCTCTCTTATAAGACGAAATTTGCAGAATTTTGTGATCCTATAATTTTCAACACAGCAATGAATAAAAGAGATAAAAAAGGCTGATAGACCAAGAAATTGAACACACTTCTTGCTACCTGACTGAGTGTGGCTGCACCATCCCTATGTCACTCTTGAGGTTCCTCTTATCCCAATTTCTTGAAAATTGTCTTAAAATGGAATCTAAAAATAGCCATGAGCGGGAATATACATTGAATATGACAGATACTAGCCAAGATTCACCGAACCTTCCCTTTTTGAACTTGCATGTGGGTTTCGGCGGCCGCAGCAGATACATACAGGCTATTCTGCCAATCCGAGGAGAAGAAATACAGATCCACATATCGGCACATAGCAAACGGCTTTAAAGTTTTGCCTATGTCATCGGTATCTATTTGTTTCCATGTGTGGAAGTGTCAATTAGTGATTGCTAGGCCTGAGATGCTGAAGTCGATGGGAGTTTTTGACTCTCTAAACGCATAGCGAGCAATGTATCTCTATAAGAGAGCTTGACGTCCGCATAAGTCGATATTGGAGAAGATGCATTTAGAAGGTGTGGTACAAATGCTCTATCCCTGTCAGCCCCTACCGGCGCGCGTCGAGCAGACGCGCGATCACCCTTCAGCTGCAGCTGTCGCATTGGATCGCATCGCATTCAAATTTCCCGACTTTCCTTTTGCCCTTTGCCCATATTAAGCAGGAAGTTCCCCATTTACGTGCCCTCAGCCACCCGAACACCGTACCTTCAGCCACTCTCACCGCTGTCGCCCTTCTCGACTCAGGCCAACACTCGATTCAATCCATCAACATGTCTTTCCTCGCTCGCCGTGCGATCGCCGCCCCGCGCGCCGCCCGTGCCTTCAGCACGACGCCCGCCCGGCCCCTGGCCAAGATCACCCTTGTCGGCAACCTGGTCCAGACGCCCGAGCTGCAGGCCACATCGACTGGCCGCGAGATCCTCAAGTACGCTGTCGCTTCCAACGTCGGCCGCGGCGACAACGTCAGGACGTCCTATTTCAGGGTTACCAGCTTCGAACAGGAGGGTCCACGCCGCGATTACTTCCAGACTCTGCCAAAGGGGTCAGTGCCCTCACCTCGCTCCGTGATCTTGAGAGAATCTGTTCAATGCTAATTACTTCCCGATTGCAGGACTCTTGTCTATGTCGAGGGCGACGCGACGAACGACAAGTACGAGGATGCCGAAGGCAAGACCCGCACTTCTCTGAGCATTGTCCAGCGTGAGCCATTCCTGAACCCTCGCCGCCTTTTCCGCAAGAGTTCGACACTGACCGCGATTGATCCACAGGCAACTTGGAGGTCCTCCGCAAGCCCCGGGGAGATGCGCCCTCAAGCTAAAAGGCGCCCCGAAGTAAACGAATGACCGCCTACGGCGGAGCGCACCTCTATGTGTCGATATGTTTGACGTTCTTGCGAGAATTGTATTAAAGATACTTGATGATTACGAAGGACACATGAAGAAATTGTACGGGTCTTCCGGCCCCGTCACGATCCCCACTCTTCCACGGCTGCGCTTTCATATGTTACACGTCTCTTCCGCGATACCACCTTGATAAATTTCCGCAGGGGCGTATTGAGAAGTCAATGCAAATGGTTGCCGATCTAGAAGCTTTGCTCGCTCTCGCCTCCCAGTCGCTGCTTTGATATTGTCGTTGATGCATGTGCAATATCGGTACACGCGCGATAGTCCTTACGGATCTGAAGCGCCCAGATGTACGGCAGTGGCGCGCAGGACATTGGTCTTCTACAGATCCGCGAAAGCCACAGATCAGCGGCACGTGTTAGCTTTCAGCAGCACTAGGCTCTAAGACATTTATTACAGTCTATCCAGCTCGTTCTGGCCTAATATGTAAACACATACAGCTCAGCCAAGCCCACCTTGATATGCCCGGCGCGTAACCTCTAGACTAAGTTGCAAGAGTCCATGCAGCCAAAACCCGCCGCAACACCTCCCTCTTCACTCTGGTCCCCCTTGGTTCTCAGCAAATACCCTGCCTCCTCGTTGTGCAGGATCTTTCCTGTGCCCTGATCCCAGACACAGCTGCCGTAGATGCCCAGCTCACAGATCACCCCTCCCTGCTCGAGCTTCCCGTTCCTGAGAATAATGTTGCTCACCGGCGGCGGCGTGATTAGCTCCATGAGAATGTATGACTTCCAGTGCGCCTCGGGGAGGTCCTTGAGGAACGGCGGGATGGAGGTTCTATAGCAGTTGTTGCCGCCGCCCTCGCGCTGCGGCTTGAGCACGTAGCGCTTGCACTCCTCCGGGTCGAGCGCCAGCTTCCGCGCTGCCAACCCGGCCTCGCTGTCGTCCATGGGGAAGATGTTGGTGAACGTCTCCCAGAGGTCCTTCCACGCCTGCGAGCCCTCCGGCACGAAGCGGCTCAGCTCGTACGCCGAGGAGGGGCTGAGCCTCGGGGTCGCGAGGACCTGCTGGACCTTCTTGGCGCCTGCGAGTTGCGTGAGCACGGTGGGGCACTTGATCGCGGCCGAGCGCTCGAGGTGGTACCGCGCGTCCCAGGCCGTGGCGTCGGGATAATCTGATGGGCCGTAGCCGGCGCGCATGTAGATGACGGCGACCTCGAACTCCTTGTCTGGGTTGCTGGGCAGCCGGTAGAGGAGCTGGCGCTTGGGCGTGTCGGCTATGCGGGTGCGCTTGAGGGTCTCGCTGAAGGGGAGGCGGAAGACGGGGATGCGCGGAGAGGCGGATCTCTGTAGGGCGTACTCGAGGTGCCGCTGGTCGAAAACGTTGCGCTCGCCGTCTTGCACAAGGAAGATGATACAGGTTTCCAGACCAAGCTCGGACTTTGGGTACGCTTTGAAGGCTGCCCTCATACCCCCTGCTAAGCCCTCGACGCTGTCGTTGGTAGGTAGGTTCAGACTGCCGTGCGCCCCTGGCTGCTTGAGGGAAGAATACTCTGTGTCGGCAAGAAACCTAGACACTCGTCAGTTTCAAGGCATGTTTTGGGATGGAGTGATCCGGTCCTACTTATGGAGTGAGCAGGTGGAGGATGACAGCCCCCCAAAAGAAGAGGCAATGGTGTTGAACTCGACCTGCTTGACTTTGGGTACAGATGACGGATCTGCCGAATCCTTGTGAACCATGTAGTCGGAACGAAACAGTCCCAAAGAGAGGCTCTGTAATCAAGTCAGTACGTCATATCATTAAGTTCGCAAGTCGAACGCAGGTGAACATGCCTGGACATAGCCCTCTTCCTTGACTCTGGAGTGGACCTTCCATAAGTTCCCGATGAACTCATCTCCGTCCGCAACCCTGCGCCGGTCAGTGTATGGCCCCTTCAAGTCCAATGCTGGATATCTAAGCTACTTACTCCTTGACCATGGCGGCGAGGAAGCCCTCATCTTGGCTGACCTTAGCGTAGAGCTCGTTGTATGCCTTCTGCACCCCCTTTGCCTGGTCGAAGCAGACCTGCGGGAACGGACTGGGGAACAAGGTGACGGGGACATGGGTAGCCAGCACGCCCTCCGGGTCTGTCTCGGCAGACACCAGCGACGGTGGTGGGCGGACGGCAAGTCCGTTGGCGATGGCCCAGTCTTTGATGACTTCGACAAGCCTCTCTCTCTCGGCACCGTCGACATTAGGAGGATAGCTCTCCGTGGTGAGAGCTTGTGCCACCATCTTTGCAGGACCTTTATATCTATATATATATTAGAAGTAATGCTGTAAGCCCGGGATGAGATCTAAGAGGCTTGTCAGTCAAGTGGACGAAGCCTTGGGCCAGTCCGACAGTGGGCCTCTGTTGGATATTAGGCCACTTCTGCTGCGAATGGGCTTGTTGAGATTTCTCCCTAAGACATACATAAGGACCGCCAATCTTCGGACCACTCCCTCAAGATCGAGTCAAGACAAAGCAGAAAGTTGTTGTTGTAAGTAGTGTAGAGATATGTCGGCATTATTAATCCCCTAGCTGGCTCCCGAGTCCGGAGACACGATGACCTCCAACCCCCCCACGAGTCTAGGAAAGGATGGCAACCTGTACTTCACAACGAGCCAGACCGCACCTACCCATATCAGAGCCTCTCTGCGTATTAATATGTCACTTCAGAATATTTCAACACACATATCATAACGCAAAATGCACCGTTTTCAACAAGCTGCTTGTGTTAAGAAACTTTTCCTTGCGCAGGGCCTCTTATTTGGAGGGGCTGCTAGTACCCTTAGAACCCTTATCGTTGCTGCCGCGGGGTAGCCTTGGTCTTATCGGCCACCCCTGTCAGGCACCTCTCAGTCACTCAGTCACGGCTCGACCCGCTGCAGGGCTCAGTCACTCACTTGGCAGCCCAGAGAGAAACTTCACGCTGTCGCGCGTCACCTACCTCCAAAGTGCCCAGGTGCGACGCGCTGTGGGCAGACAGACATTCAAGGTTTCCCTCCAAATTGGCAACGCTATCTGCTGTTGCGACCTGTAAATAACCTTCCAGCTTTGTCTCCCTGTACCCGATTTCCTTCGACTTCCAATACTTTCCTTCATTTCGTCCATCTTTATCTACTTTTTCCACAGGCAGCCCACCTGGGCAGCAGGACCCCCTGCTGTTTCGAGACGGTGTCCATTCTGTGGACAACCCTGGACTGCACACCACTGGACACACTCCCATTGTCGACGACTACCACGAATACGACCGCCTACAGACCAAATCCAACGACGCAACACATCTCTTCTCACTTCTACAGCCATCTCGATTTCAGATAGCCAGTCAATGGCCCCCTCCTCCAGGTATCTTGACCCCTTGAACAAACGGCTCACCTGCAAGTTCTCATCTAACCCTCTCCAAGCTGCGCCCATCCCCTTCCTCGTCAATGCCAGCCTCAACTCGTTCTCGAATCCAGCGTCCTTGTGACTAGCTAGGTAAGCATATGGTGGCATATAGCCTGCCTGGATTCTTCATCCATAACTCAACCTTGGCGAAGGTGAATTCCTTCTGTTTTCTACGTCAAACCCACTTCACTGCACAATCACTCCCGTCATCTTCTTCAACCCAACCCAACCCTCAGGCAACCTCGTCCGATATCAAACATTCCCACCTTTGTCAACCACGAGTCCCAACAATCAGCTTTGTCCTCCACCAGTCACATGAAATCACAAACGAATCGGCCATATGGATTCTACCCAGGAGTGCACACCTGATATTGACATATTTCCCACAGTTGATTGTTCAGTTTGTTCAACATGGCTGAGATGAAGGGTGATGATCCCTTTGACTGGGAGATAGACCGTGTGGTCCAGGAACTATGCACCTCTAATCGCAGCTGGATCCCTACTCCACGCGCCAAGTTGCCAGGCCCAGAAGCTCTGGCACAGAAGTTGATAGATGGTGAATACGATGGGGAGACGTTGCTTGCCACACCAGAGAACGACCTTTGGAAAGACCTGGGGATCACCAAGGCCAAGTACAAAGTCAACATTCGACATGCCCTCAGCCAGTTCACATCACGAAGCCCTAAATACAAGAAGTATTTAGCGTCCATCAAAGACCAGGATGTTAACATTGACTCCGACAACGATACCACTGGGACTCTCCACCAGGCCTTCACTCCAGTCTCTGACGCTGGCGTACCAGCGGTAGCGCCAACTACTACACAACCTGCTGAGACAATCCAGAATGATGGCCAAACCATGCAAATGGATGAGCACCCTGATGAACCCCCAAAGAAGAAGAAGCGCTTAGCCGTCTCCGCCATGACCACGAACCCCAGATCGTCCATTGCAAATCAACCTTCTAATATAGCAACACTCCCAAACTATGCAGAAATCAACACCTATGCCTTGGATGAAGCGGCACAGGTGCCACCAGAGGACTCTGACATGGATGCAATGGATATCAAGCAGTGCGAGAGTAGCTCTAGGGCCTACTGGGGCAACGGCAAGCTCCCCAAATCAGGCGTATTTGAAGCCTCAATCTCAACCAATGATGACGTGATCTTCGGCTGGGGAACCCCCACATCCATCGGCAAGGCAAAGAAGAAATATGTCGCCGATAGAATGAAGAGATATCTCCGCCGCCCAAAGCAACAATTTGATACTGAGGACAACAAGATTTTACCATTGTATGGGCAATCTGATGATGAAGAGGATTGTTCTGAATGGGACGAGATCGTTGAGACTGTTCAGAGAGAAGAGTTGGAGGATGCGGAGGAAGCCGACGAAGAAGCCGACGAAGTCCTTGGTCTCCTTGCATCTGAGGTTGACAATTTGCTTAAGCAGATGGTGGAAGAATGTGCCACCAACTGGCATGAGCAACAACTTCCGAAGGAGAAGCACAGAGCTTACAAGATCTGGGATGATACCAGGAAACGTGGCACCAGGGGCAGTACGGTCAAGGAAATGACGACAGAACTCTGGAAGGGACGGACTCGCCTTGAGAAGACACTTGCGGAGATGAAGGCCAACTATTATCAGACTGGATCCGAACTTCGTGGCATGTCTGATTTCTTGAAGCCGGACGTTAACAAGATCGAGCACATCAAGTGGCTTATCAGTGTCGTCAATAGCCCAGAGGCGCCCGAACGAGTTTCCAAGTTGAAATCACCATCTCAGAGGAAGCGAAAGACGAAGCGAACACGCGAAATTGATCTCTGGAGCGGAGATGAGCAGGAAGAAGAGATGGATGACTTCATTGTCGAAGATTCTTACGATGAGGCTGACCCTCAAGAACGGCCCCAAGAGCCCCGTGAGGCTGAAGCATTCGATATGGATCACTCCGTCTCGAATACACCATTAGACCCAGCTCAAAGCTTCGGGTCTAGTACCACCGAGGATATCGAAATGCATGACTTAACGCAGATTGATGACTCGCCTTTCCGCGGCCGAGACTACGCTTTGATCGACCTGGTAACCCCGTCTAAGCCGAAGCGAAAGCCTGCAACTCCACGAGCCTCTGCCAAGGGCACGACATATAGCGCTTCGCCAGCCTCAGAGAGATTTCCCCTGAGCGATCCAAAGTCCATCGCCAACATGGGCACTTTGCACTGGGAGGAGAGAAAAGACTTTGAGCGACTCATTGTAACAATCCTTTCCAACCTTCATAAAGCCAGACAGAACGACATATTCGACAACATCATCATTCTGCAGGGCGAAGACGCTCCAGTTGGATCACTCAGGAAGGAATATGTTGACTTTGCGTGCGAGCATTGCAAATCCTCCACAGACGTGGTCAGAGGCTCGAGGGAGAAGAACCGGTATGAGACTGCTGCCACCCTCACTAGACTGTTTGCCATCTATCTCAACAAATACTCGGCATCGGCATCGGAATCGATGAATCTATCTCCCAAGTGTAAGAAACTTGATGCAGATCACATCGGGCGTGTCAAGGCGGGAATCGGACACCTCCCTGAATTCTGGGCCCTCCTCAAGACGATTGCCCCCAGCTTCGGTTATACGCAGGAAGCGGACGAGTCCCTCTCCGCTGATGACGAGGAATTAGGCTCTGACAGCACCGAAATGGCATCTGTTGCTCAACCCAAGCAAGCACCGGCTGGATCCTCGCAAAATGTCAGGGAGAAGGAAAAGCGGCGCCAGAAAGAACAGCAGCAGCGGAGGCTCCTGCTTCGACAGCAAGTCCAGGGCTCACAGCTATCACATGAGAAATCACGCCTTATTATCAACGAGTCCAAGTTGGAGGGTCACAACCTGGTGTACGTCCACGACTACATCGCTGGACGTATCAAAGACCACCAGATCGACGGAGTCCGCTTCATGTGGGACCAAATCCTGTCAGACGCGAACCAGGGCTGCCTGCTCGCCCATGCCATGGGTTTGGGTAAGACGATGCAGGTGGTCACTCTTCTGACTGCGATCCAAGAGGCAGCGAAGTCCGAAGACCCCAAAGTGTCTTGTCAGATTCCTGACAACCTGAAGGAGTCGAGGACGCTGATACTCTGTCCTGCAGGCCTTCTCAACAATTGGATGGACGAGCTTCTATTGTGGGCGCCTGATGAGATTCTCGGGACTCTCCTGTCTGTCACAGCCATCATGAGTGAGGAGGAGCGAACTGACAACATCCAAGAATGGGCAGATGAAGGCGGCGTCCTAGTGATCGGGTACACAATGCTCACACAAATAGCGAAGCGAGAAGATCTACTGACCTTGATTTTGGAATCCCCCTCGATTGTCGTTGGGGACGAAGCACACAACTTGAAGAACGACAAGTCACAGAGGAGCAGTATTGCCAATCGATTCAGGACGCACACCAGACTTGCCCTGACAGGGTCACCGCTGGCCAATAATGTGGATGAATATTATGCTATGATCCAGTGGGTTGCACCCGGTTTCTTGGGGGAGAAGCGATGGTTCAGATCAGAATATTCCAACCCGATTGCCAACGGGCTATACGAAGACAGCTCTCGCACAGACCGAAGAAGAGCCAAGATCCGTTTGGCGGCCCTCAGGAAGGTCGTGGCGCCCAAGATGCATCGCAGGACTGTTGGCACTCTCAAGGACAGTCTACCCCCAAAGACAGAGTACATTGTTTACCTCGACATGAGAAATGTCCAAAAGGCGGTATATTTGACCTACTTAAACGTAGTCAATGGGGCAGGCGTTAACCAAGTTCCGCTCATGTGGGCCTTAATCAGAACGCTCGGCTTATTGCTTGCACATCCCCTGGTTCTCGAACGAGTTCTAAAGCAGAAGCTGCAGGACAGCATACAGTCAAGCTCCAAGAAAGCTGCCCGCAATGATGGCGGCGAGGAAGACAGTTTCGCTGCGCTGCCTCACCAAATTGTGTCGACCACATTGGACGCGCTTACTGCTCAGCACGAGTATGCAGATCTCAATAGCTCCTTCAAGATGCTTGCGCTTTTCAAGATCATTGAGGAAACGACAAAGCTGGAAGAGAACCTCCTGGTCTTCTCTCAAAGCCTTCCGTCCCTGAACTTCATCGAGAAGATCTGCAGACAGAAGCGGATAGCTTATCAGCGACTGGATGGTAAAACTGATGTCAACAAGCGTCAGGACCAGGTCAAGAGATTTAACGAGGGCAAGGGACAAGTCTACCTGATCTCAACGACGGCCGGCGGCGTCGGTCTCAACATATACGGGGCGAGTCGTGTCGTTATTTTTGATTTCCAGCACAGCCCGGTACATGAGCAACAAGCCATTGGCCGCGCATATCGGATCGGACAGACCAAGCCAGTGATTGTGTACTGGCTGATCTATGACGGCACTTTCGAGAAGGCCTTGCACAACCAACAGGTATTCAAGAACCAGCTGGCATCCAGGGTTGTTGACAAAAAGGATCCTTTGCCCAAAGCGACAATCCTCAGGCAATACTTCGCCGAGCCCCACCAGGTCGAGCACCAAAATACTTCAGCTTATTTCGGACAAGATGCTATTCTTGACACTCTGCTTCTCTCAGATGAAATCCGCGAGGGAATTTCCTCCATCAGCACGACAGAGACCTTTGAAGAGGAGGACACGCAGAAATTGGAGGCCGATGAGATAGCCGCGGCAGAGGAGCTCGTGCAGCAAATCTCGCGGAAGATCAATGCGGCGGAGGATAACCTAGCTGGAATGCCTTCACAGCCATGGGAACAAATACGAGATATTCCAGGTCTTTTGCCTTCGGACTCGGTTGGTTTTGCCCCGGCGTTGTCCCCTCTACATTTTCAACAATCCCAGGCTTTCGGTTCAGCTTCAGCATTCACAGCTGCATCAATTCCAGGCTCAGTCGTCACTGCACTTGCAATGCCCGACTATCGCACAGACTCCTCACAGCCTTTGCTTGCTTCATGTCCAACAGAACACGAGTCTAGGGCAAATGAAACTGGTACTAATTCTCTGATGCAGATGATGCCCGTTACCACTGCTCCATTGCCTACCGGAATTCGTCAACACAACTTTTCACGGCCTGTTGGGGTTGATCGCAACGAGTCTGTATATACGCAATACCACTACCAAAACGCAAACGGACTGGTGGGTGCCGATACTCTTCGCAATGAGTTGGCACCGCGCGTGCTCCCTCGAGATGATCCGTTCGTGGATTTTGACAGAAGCCATCCAATGCTTGGTGCTGAGAGAGCACAGAGTTTAGCAAGAACCGCTGCTGAATCAGGCATAATGCCGGTCACTATGGATGCAGTTCAAAGCCGCAGTGCTCAAATGGCATTAGCTGATATTGAACATGCCTCTGTATCGCAAGACATGGTGCCAGTGGCGATGGGCGGCATCCAGAAGCGATCAATTCCCAGTGCAGCTGGACAGGATAGCATTGCCTCTCGAGAGTCCATGAAACCCATCGGGTTAGCTCCAATGATATCCAGGCCCTCCGGGCCTTCGGCGACCAAGGTTGATGCCATGGCTGATTTTCAGAAAGAGTTGACGAAGCAAGCGAGTTATCCTCTCAAGCAACGCGTACCGGCTCTAGTTGAGCAGGTCAATAAGTACATCAAGGGAGGGGCTTTGCTGCGGTCCAGTACGTGGAATAAGCTGAAGATGCTGGTTCAGGGACGCCAAGACCGTGCGGATAGAGTCCTCGACGGCAACGTTTCTCCTCAGGCTTTGGCCACGGCTGGCGATCCCAAAGCTGGTCTGGAGAATCTGTTGGAAGGGCGTCGCTCAGTGCCACAGTCTCAGGGCGACAAGGGCACGAAGGATCCTGATGTAGGAAATCCCCATTGAGCTTCTGGGCTCCTGGTGTTGCTTCGAAGCATGGACATCGGGCTAACGTTGCGCCATTTGCAGCACACTCAACAGATCTTGCAGCGGTCGATTAGTGAGGACGGCCAACCAGTTGAACTCAACAGCCAGAAAGCACAGGACATGGCGGCTATCCGTGAAGTCTACAAGAATAGGAAGCTGAAGCCTCAAGACGGTTCCAAGCAGCCAAGAGTCAAGGCTGAGAAGACTGGGCAACGACGGCGGACGTTGCCGCCTGATGGTCCTGGGAAGACCCTTTCGGATCCATTCATCATCGATGACGACTAATTTTCCTTATTTTCCGTTCTTAATTTGCGCTTCATGCAAGTTTCATGACATTTCATTACGGAGTTGAACTCGAAGATACCCCGTGGCGGACTGCGAATGTGCTTGCTCGGCTTTGCTTTGGTCTTGTTGTCCGATATGGGTGGACAGCTGATATCTTGGCATGGTGGAATGATCTTCGTGGTCTTTGCTGAGCTTTGGCGTTTTGGACGTCAGAAAAGTTGAAAGAGGTTGCCGTTGCCGCTACAACCAGAACTGGCGTTTTCTGACACACATTTTCACTATACGAGGCATGGCGTTGGGAATTTGCAGGATGGTCTGTTTTCGCTCATACCTCGGGACATTTTGCCCCTACTGCCCGTCTAAGAGGGAAATGAGGGTTGCTCAATCGAGCAATGCTCGTCGATGTGGCTCTAAGGAGGGCTTATGGCTGCAGCTGTCTACAAGCCGAGCAGATTTAGAGCTCTTAATGTTTTATCATGATACGTACGGCTTTGATTAGCTGCTAATTGACGATGACAGTCTTGATAAAGGGATTTTGTGTTGTATGAGAAGCCACTTCTGGGTGCTACCAGCATGCGTTTCCTCGCAGCCATGTCCTGCTGGATGACGACGGTGGTACCGAGACACGTAGGAACGAGGTCGTCAACATGTGCTGAAGAGGCTGATGAACATCTGCATGACTGGCGCTTGTGCCCTAACGCCAATGCCAGTGACTCAAATTGTGTTGCTGGGAAGACGGCACAGTCGTTTTGATGGCTGGATTATTGGTCATGTTTATTCCATAACTGGGATCGCTACCTAGAGTGTACGATGCAGTGACCTCACCGACTTGAACGTCGATTTGGCGCGCAGGTAATTTTGGGCGGCGGCACTCTGCCGCATGTTGCATTCTATGTCTGAAGCTCCTTATCCGATCATAGGATCTCGATGTGTCCGCCGTCCAGCAGGTCGTCTCCAGGACCCAGTTAGCATAATGTAGCACAACAGGCTCAGCTCGAACCAGCTTGCCTTGTGCAGCCCATACAAAGACTCTGCTAAGTTTGGACTGTACGAAGTGAAAAGTCTACACCACCAAAGAAGCAGCAAGCATGACAAGCCCACCAAAGCCATCCATACCCGAGCACCAATCCTCCCAGTTCGCGGCGCAACGTGACGGTTTGCCAGCATCAGACGCCTGACGAGACATCCAAGCATCACTGCAGGAAAGGCGACCTTCGTCCAGCCGGACGACGTTGCCGTCCGAGGCTAGTCCAAACGCAACATGGACACCAAGCTCTTGCTGGCTCTCTATCTTCCACGCAAACTCGTCGCTGGCTTCCCATAGCTGCCTCTTAGCTGGCAGGGGCGCTAGGACGAGGTCGTTGGGCAGGTCGCATATGGCTACTGGGTCAAAATAGACGAGCATGTTTACCACGCGGTAGACTACGCCTAGTCTGTTCACTGAATTAGTCTTTCTGTGACTTGCTCAGTACGATGGGGTGAGTAAAGACCTAAACCTCGCACCTTCTCCTGGATTCCCTGAATATCCACTCTTTCCAGCTCATCTCCAGTCCGTCGTTGCAGGACATACACTGCGTATGGCATGTGATATCGGCATGAGAGAGTCGTTGTATCACTAACTGCGTGAAAATATCAGAGGCCTGGCTTTTGGGTTCGAAGGGAAGGGGGGGGGGGGGGAATGCAAAGAAAAGGCGACAACGGGAGATGAGGGCTTACCGATACCACTTTCACTAACAAAAAGTCGACGTTATTATTTTCTGTCTCGCCTTCATCCAATCGCACAAGTACGTAGATAGTCAGGGCCTGTATGGCTGCTAGTAGCTCCCACTTATTCATGCTCAGATGCTAAAATTGCATTTTAGCCCCTTACCACTTTCTCATTGAAATGTTAAAAACACTGGGACGAACGAACCTCTTCAGACAGACGTTCACACTCCATCCGCACATTTCTCCAGAATAATTTCCGACTCGTTTGTAACCCGTCATTAATCAGGTGTACCAAGCTCAGACAATTAGTCAGTGGCTCCATGCAGGCGTCCTCGAAGCTGGAAGAAAGCAAGCCCTTGTGAATGAAGGGTGGAAGGTCATTATGGCGCCGGATCATTAGAGGGTAGGACTTCAAGTTGTGAAGAATGAGATTAGCAATCCTCTGTGTCCCGGCCTGCATCGTGGGCCGGTGGATGAGTGATCGGACAGTAAGGGTTGGTGATTTCGGTATCGAAGTGATAGAGGAGCTCAGGTCTTGTTGCCCTTGAGATGCCTGGGCAGAAGAGGTTATTGCGTGACGAACCAGTGCTGACGACCCTTGTGAAACGGGAGATTCATATGTCTGAGTATCGAAAATGTCGGCGAGACCGATGCCGCCATCATCCCAATCAAGGTATTCCCCTCCAAAATTTGCCAAGTCCTGGTCTGAAATTGCAAGCGCACCATCGACAAACATGTCATTTGCGCCAGTTCCTTCTGGGAGACTATTGATATCGGGAGGAATTCCCGACAACGAGGGAGACGTCCTCTTTTCCCGTCCGGGATGAGTCTCTTGACCCGAACCTTTCTTTCTAAGGTTCTTGACTGGATACTGGCATTGAATGCCCTTGTCTATGCATCTCGAGCACTTGGGCCGCTTGTGGTCGCAAGCCACCTTGCCTTTCGCGCAAGAAACACAAGATCGAGAGCGGGTGGAAGCCCCGGATCTTCGAGACCGGCAATAGTACCCGTGCCTCTTAAGGGTAGACTCTTCAGCCCCGCAGAGAAAACGTCAATTTTGGCAGAGACGAGCTTTTGGAGCGAGACCGGACAGATCTGGAGGTATATAACTCACGTTTGTCGAATGGTTTGTTACATTGTCCGCACCTGAAGACAGATGGGGACTGCTTGTCAGCTGTATCCATTTTAGATCCAAATTCCGGGCCCACAAATATACTGCGGATTCTACAAGTAGTGAGGGAAAGTGCGAACAATTGGTAAGGAATTCGAGTACAAATTTCGGATTATCCTTGGATTCTGCATTGTTTCGCAGGAAAGCAGCGCTCCCCTATATGACAATTTGTCAGCAATTATGCGTATATTCTGCAGGGCGAGACTGTATGTCTGCTGCCGGCGCTTGTCTGAATATGGACTGGGATGTCCAAGCGCCGGACGGGACAAATTGTACGGATCAGTCTCGCACAACCGACCGTTCGGCCCGCCTTGTTGACGGACGCTTAGGTACTGGTAGACTCGGAAACAGGTGTAGATATTTGCCTGTACATGCCTAGCCGCGACATGCATTCGTATTCATACACTTTTGTCTATCCCGTGTCTAATGGCAGCAGTGGAATCTATCTTGCAATATAAATATGGCATGGTCGTCGCTGCAATCATGATGTATTCCTCCCCGGCACCAGCTCGGAGACACCTTGTCAGCCCATATATTCATCTTGTCAATCATCTACCGTACAATTACCATGTCTGACGCTCCTCCTTTCCCCTCCCCAACGAAGCGATGGCACACCAAAGCACAGCCGTCCACGTCTCCAACCCGCCCGGAACTATCTGCCAAAGGAAAATCCGTGATAATTACTGGGGGTGGCACCACTGGAATCGGCGGAGAGACAGCCCGTCACTTCGCCCAGGCCGGCGCTTCGCGGATCGCCCTCCTCGGCCGACGGGAAGGGCCCCTTCTTGATAACAAGGCCCACATCGAGAAGGAATACCCCGGCGTCGAGGTCTTCGCCATCTCAACCGACGTCACCAAGCAGGGCGAGGTCGACGCAGCCTTTGCCCGATTCGCCGGCGGCGGCGGCAAGGTCGACGTTCTCGTCCATTCTGCAGCGGCCATCGGGCCAGGGGAGCGCGTGTCAGACGTGGACGGCGAGATGTTCCTGGAGGGTGTCCAGGCCAACATCGCCGGCGCGCTCTGGGTCGCAAAGGCCTTTGTCCGCCATGCTTCCCCCGAGGCGGTCGCCATCGCCATCAACTCCTGGGGGGCGCACCTGAGCGTCAACGACGCCTTTTCGTCATACTGCGTGGCCAAGATCGCCGCCTATCGGCTCTGGGACACGGTCGCCCTCACGAATCCGAACCTGAGCATCTTCCATACCCAGCCCGGCGTGATCCTCACGGAGATGAATTTGGAGGTTGGGGGCGCTGAGAGCATGAAGGACGTCCAGGTTGACGATGGTAAGTGGCACAATAGCGCGCTGCAATCGCGAATATAACGACACTAACTCTGATCTAGTATCTCTGCCGGCCAGCTTTAATGTCTGGCTTGCAAGCCCCGAGGCCCGGTTCTTAAAGGGCAAGTTTCTATGGTGCAACTGGGATGTGGATGAGCTCAAGGCCCAGGCAGAGGAGATTGAAAAGGGAACAAAACTGAGTATTGGGCTAGCGGGATGGCCGTTCAATGACTGAATGACCTGACTAGAAAAAAGAGCTATAAACAACTGTTGGTTAAGCCGCGGTACAATATTTATGATGCAGATCCACTCATGAATGCGAGTATCCACGCTCTCCAATGAAAGCACTCTAGGTAATCAAAGAATCTACATAAGAACAGTTCCAACACATCCTGCCCTTTGGACTATGGGTTGTGCAATTTCAAGAAATGGACTACATCAAAAGATGTTGCTATTGGATTAAACATGCGCTAGGAAAATTCCAGTGAACTCCTCTGTACTCATATGCCAAGGGCCGTGACTCTGTTGTTCAAATAATGCTCCTTTCGCATAAACTGGCTATGCAATCTGCCTCGATTTACATTGTCCCGGCAGCCTACCTCACTGTCGAACAGATGCAGCGTGGGTTTCAAGATACGTAAGATGTCATATTCACACACAATTTCCAGGCATGTGGTTAGAAAGAGTTTGTGGCAGTCATATCGCTCAGGAGGCGATGCCAAATAATTCATATTTTAATTGTAAGCTGCACATCCGCCGTCACATAGATATATACCCAGAGCAGGTCCCATTAGCAGTATTTGCACAGGCGCACATGGGATCGTATCTAGCGAGGACGGATTGACCAGGTTTGTTGAAGTCGGATACTTCATAGTGTCAGAATGGTAAGAATTTCAAGCAGATCATTCCCTACTTTTGTCACTGTTGCCCGCTCGAGAGAACGTAATGAGGCCTGGTGAGCTCCCCTTTCCAGTTCATGGTTGGCAACAGAGCACAAGGTTGTGCGGTTTCGCACACCAAAACACACGAACTTAGGCAACCGGGCTCACCGACCTGACCGCATCGGCCTCACGCTCGAGCAGCGCCTCCAGGACCCTGCCGTTGCCCAGCTCGCCGCCGTTCTGGGCCTTGATCTCCTTGACATTCTCCTCGATGCCCAGCTGGGCGTCCGTCCAGAGCGGCGCCTCGGCGGCGACGTCGGTCTCGCCCACGCCGATGAAGCCGCCCTCGGCAGCCCATTCGCTGGTGCGCTTGATGCCGAGCTCGGTCCAGATGGCCTCGACCGCGTTGACGAGGTGGTCACGCAGCTCCTTGGTGTGGCCAGGGGTGGGTGTGATACGCAGGCGCTCCTGGCCAACCGGCACGGTAGGGTAGTTGATGCTTTGCACGTAGATCTGGTACTTCTGAAGCAGCATGTCGGAAGCCTTTTTGGCTACCTCAGCGTTGCCGACCAGGATAGGGATGATATGGCTGGGGTTCGGGATGACAGGGATATCACGCTCGTCGAGGGCAGCCTTGACGGCACGGGTGTGCAGCTGCTGAAGTTTTCGGTCGCCATGGTAGTCCATCTGGTACTCAATGGCGGCCTGGGCGCCGGCCATGGTGGCTGGGGGCAGGGAAGTAGTGAAGATAAAGCCAGGAGCAAGTGACCGGACCATGTCGACCAGCTTGGAGCTGCCAGCGATATACCCGCCTACGCAGCCATAAGCCTTACCAAGGGTGCCAGTGATGATGTCGACGCGGTCCTGAATAGTGCCCTTGGGCCGGCCCTGCTTGTGGGCCTCGAAATCGAGGTGCTCGGCAACGCCGGCTCCGCTTGGGCCGTACATGCCGACGGCATGGACTTCATCCAGAAAGGTGATCGCACCATACTTCTCGGCGAGATCGCAAATCTTCTCAATGGGACCAATCGACCCGCACATGCTGTAGACCGATTCGAAGGCGATGATCTTGGGGATGTGCAGCGGCAGGGCAGCCAACTTCGCCTCGAGGTCCTCAACGTCATTGTGCTTGAAGACGATCTTCTTGGTCCCAGAGTGGCGAATTCCTTGAATCATAGAGGCATGGTTCAAGCTGTCTGAAAGGATGACACAGTCGGGCATCCTGCTCCCCAAGGTGGCCAGGGTGGCATCGTTGGCAACATAGCAAGAGCTGAAGACCAGGGCGGCTTCCTTGGAGTGGAGCTTGGCAATGGTGCCCTCGAGTTCCACGGCATGCTTGTTGTGGCCCGAGATGTTCCTGGTTCCGCCGGCACCGGCGCCATACTCGTCGAGGGTCTCGTGCATCTTGCGCAGAACGTTGGGGTTGCGGCCCATGCCCAGGTAGTCATTGGCGCACCAGACAGTGACCCTCTCCTCCTTGTTGGCCATGTGGGCGCGGGGGAACTCCTTGGCCAGGCGGTTGATGTTGTTAAAGTAGCGGTAGGACTTGTCCTTGTGCTTCTTGTCGAGCTCGGCATTGTAATAGGCCTCGTAGTTGAACTTTGCGTCGGCGTTGATGGGGTAGACGGCGGGAGCGGCGGCATGACGGGGGACGGCATGAGGGACATGGGCTGGACAAAGCATTTGGGTCAGCGAAGGCGTCCAGGGACCAACACAGAGCGTCTGAGCATCAACATACCCTTCTCACGGCCGGGGATGACGGGGGTCTCGACGGCGCGGGCCTCGTTGGAGCGGCTGCTGTGCAGGCAGCGCTTGGACGGCTTGGGGCCGTGGCCGTGGCCGTGGCCGTGGTGGCTCGAGATGGAGCGGGTGGACAGGCCGGCGATGCCCTTGGTGCTGCTGATGCCGCCGACCTTTGCGGACTGCACAGCGAGGGCCTTGCCCATGACGGGGCAGCGGTAGGCCAGGCCCTGCAGACGGGACATGGTGCCGCCGCATGGGGAGGACGTGGCCTTGGCGGCGGGACGAGTCGAAGTGGACAGGGCGCGCAGGGTGGCGGGAGAGGCCTTCTTCATGAAGGGGCACATGGCCTTGGACTGCCGGAGAACAGCGTCCATGGTCGCGACGTCAATTGGGTGGTTTTTTGTGGTCAAACAGTGGTGGTTGTGGTACTGATGGAAGTGTTGGTTGTGGGTTGGAGGGTTGAGGGAGGTCGAGCAAGGTCGAGCAGGAACCGGGCGCGGCAAGACAAGACAAGGGGAGGGGGGCGAATACGTGGACTATTGTAGTCGGGGCGCAAAAGTTTCGCAGCGGTGTCTGGGTCTGGGTCTGGGTCTGGGATTTGGGATTTGGAGTCTGGAGTCTGAGGTCAGACCGTCCGCGTCGTCCGGCCCTCGAGTGCTGCTAGCTGGAGCCCGCTGGAGCCCACCTGCTTGCTTGGCCTAGACTCTAAAGAGGAATGGGGCATTCCAGAGCTACTGTGGATTATTGTTACATGCCTACATGACTGACTGACTGACTGTATCCTTTGGCTTCTATGTATGGTGGTGTTCTCCTCTCTTCCATGATGCTCTCGGCTCCTCTCTTCCCGTCTCCTCTAGTGCCTGCCGATCAATGAGAACGTCAATGGCAATGTCAGAGTCAGAGTCAGAGTCAATGTTAAATGTCAATGACCACGCAACCAGCCACCTCGGAGGCTCGCACGTAGGACAACAGCACAAAAAAAAAAGAGTTCCCAATGTCGCCAAAGTCGGTCGGAGACTCGGGATCTGATCTGTCCTGTCCTGACCTGGCCTGACTTGCCCAATGGCCCAGAGACCCCACCATCTCCGAAGCCGAAGCCATACACAGTAATCAAGGGTGCTCTATTGGCCCATCACATCCTCATTGAGATCCAGGGGTGACACGGGATCCAGCCTTTGCGCACCGGAAAGGAAGCGGGCCAACTTCCGAAGCTTGTGAGTAGTGGCGACCTCGGCCTACACCACATCCGGGCGGGGATCCCAAGTACTCACTACTCCCTCACCTGGCCCTTCTTGGCTCCTCATTCTGCACTTTTACCCTCGGTCAATGTCAATGTCAGACAAAGGTCATCCACTTCGTCTTCCTTACGTCCTGTCGAGGTCCGAATCGCGGCATTTGAAATTGGGAAAGGGCTCCTCCATCGAACCATTTTGACAATCCCGCACTGATTCATTCCACATTCTGATCTCGCAAGTGCTGTTCACGTGCATCCTCCCGGCTTGGTGTTGGGCCTCTCTGCCCTCCTCTGCCTTCTCCTGCTTTGCCGTGACTTTGCCATCTCCGACAAATCTGCCAAATCTGTCACTAGTCTGACTAGTCTGCTTTTTTCCAGATGCCAAGGAGCGTATCTGGGGGGACTCCGAGGACTCACATCAGCAGTCGCACTCAGCCTTAGACATGCACTACCTGCTCTCACCACACCACAGGGTAGTCTTCTGTGTGACCTACATGAGACCCCATCTCTTATGCCGTTTCTCCCTACTCAGCAGATAAGTCATGGTACCTGCGCTAAAACAAAGTCTGGGATTCCTGGGGTCCCTGGGTCTGTATATCAGAGTTCTGACCAGTCCTATGTCGTCCAATGTCACTGGTCAGTATTCTGGGTTGGCTATTCTGGTAAAACCCGAGCACCCTGTCTTCTAATGCATGGAATTATCATCATCGCTCGCTTAATCGTATTCGCGTATTCGTGAGTACAGTCAGACACCACAGAAGCTTTCACTACTTGGCTTTGAACAAGCCTGACCTTAGCCCGCCTGGGGCTGTGGTACATCTTCATCCTTCTTCTCCTCTTCCTTGACATATGCCGGCTCCTCCTGGTAGACATCATACTTATACCTGCTCCCGGTATGGTCGTCTCTTAGCCCCTTCTGGCCCTTGCCATAGATCTTCTCCCGCGCCGTGAGCTGCTCCTCCAGCGGCTCGGGGTAGAGCCCGCGCCTCCTCAGCTCGGGCACCAGCAGGTCGACGACCTCCTCGAACGTGCCGGGCGTCGTCACGTACCCGAGGTTGAACCCGTCCACATCCGCCTCGCGCACCCACGCCTCGAGCTCGTCCGCCACCGTCTGCGGGCTGCCCACCGACACGGGGCCCAGCCCGCCGATGCACGCCCGCTCCGCCACCACGCGCGGCGTCCACCGGGGGACCTCCTTGCTCGTCGTCGTGAAGCTGTCCAGGATGCTGCGCACCTTGTGCGCCTCGAGTGAGTCGGCCGCGGTGATCTCCTGGTCCAGCGGGATCTTGGAGATGTCGATGCCAGTCCACCCGCTGAACAGCACCAGCCCGCCGACGACCGACGCGTACTTCTTGAGCTCCTCGTACTTCTCCTGCGCCTCCGCGTCCGTCCGCCCGATGATGGGCGTGAACGTCGCGAAGAACTTGACCGACCGCGGGTCGCGGCCCCGCTCCGCCGCCAGCTCGCGGATCTTCTGCACCTTGGGCCGCAGCACCGCCGGCGAGTGTGACGACACGAAGATGGCCTCGGCGTGTGCCGCTGCGAATGCTGACCCCGCTGGCGACGTGCCTGCCTGGAAGAGGAACGGCGTCCGCTGCGGCGACGGGTCCACGATGTGCCGTGTATCTAGGTTGTAGTACTGTCCGTGATGGTGGATTGTACGGATCTTGTCTGGGTCCGCGTAGCTGTCGTTCTCCGGGTCTGGGTCGATGGCGTTGTCTGCCCATGATCCCTCCCACAACCTTCCCGCCGACTTCTTGTTAGCTTGCCTCGATTCTTATTTGGTCTGGTTCTGTCCGCCGGGATGCTTGCGCGGGCTTTGACTCACTTGTAGAGCACTCGTAAGTACTCGTCCGCTTGGCGATATCTCTCGTCGTGGTCGATGGGGCTGTCCAACCCGATGGCCTTGAAGGCGGCCTTCTTCCACCCGGTAACAATGTTCCAACCCAACCGGCCACGCGTGAAATGATCCAATGTCGAGAACCGCTTAGCCAGGAGGAATGGCGGCTCGAATGACGTTGACGCTGTGATTCCAAAAGCCAGGTTCTTGGTTACTGCCGCCATTGCAGAGATGGGCTGCACATGAGCGAGGAGCAAGTCAGATCTGGCCCGTCATTTTGGTAGGCTCAGGGCGAGGCACTCACGATAGTCGGATCTGTCATGGGCCACTGGGCAGCCCTCCTAATGCAGTTGTCCAGCGAGCCCTCGTACGTGTCGTATCCGCCGTACGTGTCGGCCAGGAACAGCGCGTTGATCCCGCCTCGCTCCAGCAGCTTGGCCAGCTCAATCCAGTAGTTGAGATCTCGCTTCGTCGCCGACTTGTCTTTGGGGTTCTATATTCGCATCAGCAATAGAACGCAGACGGCGCATGGATTTTGAGCCTTTTGTGTGCACTGACCTTCCACTGCCCAGGCGACAAATGCCCTATTGTCGACATGTCGAAGGCGTTGAGGAGGATGTGCTTCCTGCCATTTCCAAGATCGTGTTGGCCATCCGACTGCGCCGTGCCGTCTGCCATTTTGAGAAGCTGGGCAGTGTATGTTGTAAATGAAAAAGACTTTTTTTTCGTCTAATGAGACGACGGCGTCACGACAGCTTGAATGCCCAGAATGAGGCATCATGATATATCCCGTCCCAGGGAGCTCCGGACCCCGCGCCGGGGCGGAGGAGCTCTGGTCATCGGATTGCACCATCCGGCTTCTGGGGCGCTCATTGCATATGTCGTGATGATATCTCCGAAACTCGGCTATCGGCTCGCATACGGTCGCCAACCAGGCTGCGCCAAGGGCACCGGCTCGCGATGCTGCCATCTGCAGTGCGATGGTGTGATGCTGGATCAGCGATATCGTGCATAATGGCCGGTTTCACGCACCTCACAACGACAAACGCGCGTCCTGTATTCAATTCATTTACATGCAGGTCAAATGAACCCCTGCTTTAACATCTCATAATTCTCCTTTCAAAATTGCTGCAGGATTTATGTAAGATATCAACTGTTCCTGGCCTAGTCTCATATTTTGTTGAGAGGCGTACAAATTCGCCAAGTGTTTGACGACAAATTCGATCTAATATCAGAGTCGTTTGCAGATACATTGCTTGCTCCTTCCACCGTCTGGCTGGAATCCATCAATCAGACGGAATCGGTCTTAGCCACATCCGTGCTGGGGACCGCAACCACGCCCTCGGTGTCTGAAGCCCCAGCCTCAGCAGTGTCTGGATCCGATCTGCAGCACGACAGGTTAGCTACATTGCTTTCACTTCAGTGATGGCGGTATGAACGTACTCTTGCCGCTTGAGAAAAATGCGTATAAAATGTGCCAGCACGATCAGGCAGATGGCATTCGCCAAGACGAAGGAGTAGCCTTTGGTAAATCTGGGTGCTTCCACGGTCGGGAAGACAAGCAGGGGAGTCCACGCCGTGGTGGACTGGGAGACAGCATTGATAAGCACCAGCGTGAAAGCACGCTGGGCCGGCGAGCCCCGTAGCTGGTGATTAACCCAGCCGTACAGAACGCTGGACATGGCCACGGCAGAGTACGTGGTGGCAAACGCGAACCAGAGGCCCGGCTCCGGAACATTCCAGATTACCAGGATAATAAGGCCGATGATGTTCCAGGTGTGCGCTACAGTGATGGCCCAGGCAGGGCCGAGGAAAAGGTCCGATGCGAAACATATAAACAGGGTGTAGAATATTCCCAGCGCCGGCGAGATGGTGCCGAGCTCATTGACCTTCGGCGTCGAGTAGCGGTTCAGGCTTTTGATCCACAGAAGGAACCCGCCGGTCGACGTGTTTATGCTGCCGTTCCAGAAGAATATGTCGAGCCACACGAGAGCCCAGAACTGCCACTTCGTAGCGAGCTGTCTGATCACGCGCCACTGGAATTTACCCGTGGTCGCGTGTCCGGCTCTCTTCAGCCTCTGTGTTGCCAAGTCGATATCAGTCTGCTTGAGGAAGATCCTGTTCGGCATATCTGGCGTCCCGGGCAAGATGAAGTATCCTAGAATGCTATTGAGTTACAGAGTCAGTTTCGCCTTCTGGAGAGATCGGGAGCTGTAAGCTATGGACCCGGGATATCCACCTCCATCACGAGTAGCTTAGATACAACTGCCAGATGTGCGTTGATGAAGACTTACCCGATAGGAATGGTGATTATGGCACAGATTATGTACATCCAACGCCAGCCAGCGAGGCCGTTGACATCGTGCAGTGAGGATGAGGCGCCAGCTTGAATCAGGCCAGCGGTCAGTGTCCCAAGCGTGAGCCCAACGTAGAACACGCCGCCCCGTCGAGCGATCTCGTCCCCTCTATACCAAGCACCAAAGATATAATGCATGGCAGGAAAGAAAGCTGCCTTTGAGAAATGTCAACCTATGCGTCTCTCTTCTACAATTCCAGTTGGTGGGGGGGGGGGGGGTCATTATGGAGTGACATGGTAGGAAGTGGGCGACACGTACTTCGAACCAGCCGACTAGGAAACGATATGCCGCCATCTCAGCAAAGCTATTGGCACGGAATTGCAGCAATGTGAATATGCCCCAGCAGACATCAAGGCACGGAATGATCCAGTTCATCGGGAACACGGTGAACAGGAACATGAACGGAATCTGGCCCACGACAGCGCCAACCACGTACATGGTCTGCAACTGGACCAGCTCGTTGCCCTTGAACCCGAGGTCATCTTTCATCCCGGAGACGTACGCATTATCTAGTTTTCATTTCCCATCCGTCAGCGAGCTGAGTCTCCACAACGTAATGTCTGGTCGCGATGAGGAAGGCTTGTTAACTCACTCAGGTTTGCTTGGTCGATGTACTTGGTCCAGTAGGCGAGGAATGCGTAAGGAACGATCAGGAGGTCAAGCTTGGCGATTAGCTTCCTCTCGTCGTGAGTGTCCTCATCCGCAAACCATTGAATCCTCCACCATGGTTTTCGTCCGTCCGCTGCCATTGTTCTCAGCTTAGCTGGGGGGCACACAACGTTAAAATTTCTGAGGATAGAAAATGAGGCTGATGTGCACTGGCAGCTGGAATCCCGATGGTCTGGGTCGCATTGTCGACTTAAACGTTCAAGAGTGCCACTGAGCCCCCACTGATGCTCCGTTATGATTGATTAGAACCGGTTCGCAAGCCCAAGGGATCACCTTGTCCGCCGCCAAAGGTCATAGTGACACAGATCCCGTAGCGACTTGTGCCACATTTCGTTGTAATAAATGTACCAATATTGCCGCGTACCTCCATTTTGGTCGCTTTCGTGGTGGGCCAATACAGTTTCCGATATGCGGCTGGAGGGATGGTGTCAGTTGTCGTGCTTAGATCGCCATACTTGGCGTGCCGGGGGTGGGGGTCCTACCCTGTGCTGCAGACGCCGACAGTGTGGAGGCGGGTGCTACCCAATATCATGTCATTGCTTTGGTGAAACTTTTCCTGTTCTTTCCGGTCTTGTTCTTCTAAACTTGCACCGGTGCTGAGGTGGGAACAGGTAATGCGCGGCGCAGCCTCGTCACTATCTCCATGTAATCCGCCTCATTGTCGTCCGTGATAATGCCATGCCTTATGAAGAAATCGACCATCACCATTGCCGTATTAGCTTTGAACTCCCCGTTCGACATTGCCCTCTTAACGGTTTCCACATCCCACAGAGAGAAAGACTCGACCTCGTCGTCCCTCGGTTTTGGCACCATCGTCTCTGCCTGGTCTGCCGGCACCTCGAGATCATAGACGTATATCACGTCTGAAACGCAAAGTCCCGTGTCGTATCCACCAACAGCAGCCTGCTGGTCCTTTCCTCCTCCACTGCCGGTTTGGGTGACGTATGTCACCGCACCCACGGCCTTAACATGCTTGCTCACGAAGTCCTCGGGTAGAGATGCCTCCTCGTCGGACTCGTGGACAATGCATTCGAGCGGGGACTCCTCAGCTTTCGTGCCTCCCGCGACGGTGTTATCGAGCTTGCCGGGATAGGTTGCCAGATGACGGCTCCGACGAGGGACCCAAATCTTGATCTCCCCCGTCTCCTTCGACTTGACATACATCGTCATGTGTGAGCCACGGTTTGCGATCCCGAACAAGGGAGCGGCAGAACGCTGCATCTGGATCAGACCATTCTTGCCTTGGTAGTTCATGGCGCCCATAATCCGAAAATCCTCGCCCTTGGGCTTCCGACCGAGCGTCTTGGGAAAGAGACCTTGAGCTTGAGCAGTGTCGATAAGCCTGGCAAGTGAGGCATTGCAGGCTGCTGCAGTGTCCGTTCCGTTGGACGTGTCCAGCAGCTGCACTGTTCGGGGCAGCTGGCCAGTTGTGCTTAGAACGAAGTCAGAAGTCCATGGCATCTGTGCAACTACATTGGCTGGAATGAAGCCATGTGGCCTGGTATCGCTAGGAAGTAAAAATGCGTAATAGTCCACCGAGAAGTCCGCAATGTATGGCAGTTGCGGAATGTCAACATAGGGAAAGCTGACATATATTAGCTGAAGAGTTTGGTGAGAGGGATTGTTGGGTTTAGCACCTGTCAGTCTCATTGATGATATCCAAGAAGCTCATCGGCGATTCGGCGACCGTCATTTTCGTCGATTATGTGTGGACTTCGATTTCAGTTGGAAGTGTACGCCGCGTTGACGAAGAAAGGCGAGGCACGAATTCTTCAGGCTAAAAAAGGTTGTGGGTGCCAGGTGCGCAAGCCAGCATGTGCATCAAAGACTGAGTTCAACAATGGATAGTGACTGATGTGTTGCAGACTGACACCACATCATAAAGTACAGGTAGACGACATGGTAGACACCAACACTTTCAGAACATCACTAGATTTTGGGTTTACTCAGGGTTGCGAAACCCTGCATGCCAAGACTGTACATCAGGCACCCCCCTTAGTGCCCCCTTCCCCCGAAGAATATCTCCAGTTTGGGAAAAGAGCCGGCAGCCGCGGCGTCTCTGGGCATTGAACGGAGCTTTCTGTAGCCTACGCCAATGCTGACAACGTTGCACGAAAGAAGAGTATGAATTCAGTCGCTCGATCCGGGATCCGGTTCCCTCAGTAACAAATCGCCGAGCCGAGAGCAAGTGAACACATCCGACCCTATATGAGAGGGGTACTTGAATTCAGTCGGCTTACACCTACATCGACTCTCACTGCCCTGATACCATCGCACCCCATCCTACCAAACCCCATTCCCAGACGAAAGTGAACAAGATGGCGTCCTTCTTCGACCTGACCAAGCCGCACCTGGCCTATTATTCTGTGAGTCTGGCAGGCTCCCTGCCCCCTCAGCAATGATGACGCATGTTGGGCATGATCCTAATGCCAGCCGTCCAAGGTGCCCGCAGCATTCGTGCTGGCCGTAGTCCCCCATACCTACTCCCTAATAGCAGCTGGGAAGAACTTTGATATAGCAAACCCTCGCAATACTGTAGAGAATTGCGAAAAGGATACTACTCTGCAAAAGAAGGTAGGTCAAGAAGCTACATATGACGAGTTGTTTTCCTCATCCCCCATACTCTGCACGCAGCACACAGTGTCAAGCCACAGTTCACTCACCAGGCACAATAGACCGCCCAACGCATCCGACGGGCCGAGGCGGCCACGGCCAACGCCTTCGAGACCGTAGGTCTGTACGCCGGTGGGATCGCGGCGGCTACTGCTGCGGGTGTCCCCGTAGAGACACTGAATTACCTGAGCGTGATGTATCTGGCTTCGCGGGCGGGTTACAGTGCCGTCTACGTCTGGTTGCAGGACAACAGGAAGTTGGCGCCTCTGAGGAGCGTGTGCTGGAACACGAGTATTGGCATTATCTTCGCTCTTTGGATCAAAGCTGGCAACAAGGCCTCTGCTTAGGCGGCATGTGAAGCACAGGGAGAGCAAAACAGCTGTGCAGACAAGAGATTGATCTTTTGCGGGTTCATTTTCACCCACATCCTAGTTGAGTGAAATACGGACTGTCTCTAGTGCACCATTGACAAAGTGAGCTTGACCGCCGTAATGTCCTGGCTGTTCTGTACGCCCAAGTATCCTGCGTTCTAGAGGTCATTGGAAAAGGCGGAAGTTCTGCTCCAGGACCTGGAATAGATGTTGGTGTGGGATGAGTTCGGTGCTAGCAGAGCAGAGGCGCATGCCAACTCCTAGCCCAGTACACTTCCCCGTGCTCAACCGCAGTGTCTCCCTGGCTTTGAGGATGCAGGTTCGATGGGAGCGAGGCGGTCCTAGAGAACATCACTTGAATGACGTCCTGCCGTTCAACAAATTAACGGGTTGACCGATAACCGATAAGCAATGCGGACGCCTATCCAGCTGGACCGCCCTAATGTACTATAATGTACGTTGGTGCCCTGATAGAGAGTTTTAGCTGGTAAGCGGATCAATTCCTCAATTCGACCACTGCAGTAATCATGATCACGAATTTTGACTGGGCCGTGTGCATTTGGTCTGTGGCAGAATGAAAGCAGTGAGACGACAGCGTTAGTAATGCAGGCCATTGCCACTTTAAGTGAGTGCACGTGTGCTACGCGGCAAGGTCGCGATTGATCGTTCGAGTGCGTCATTGCCGGTCCCTCGGCCGATTTGGGATTTAGTCCTGCCGCCTTCTCCCGGCGCAGAGGCGAACACCAGGCGACAGTCGACAGGTTCGGTCTCACCATCGCTGCCTAAATCTTTACGCTGAAGCGCTTGGTGCGCTCTTCGCCATCTTCCCACGAGTCACACTTTCTTCTTGGACTTGTCACTGTTTCTCTTGCGACTTTCCTCACCGGCCCGTGTTCTCGGCATCTACTTGGGCGCCCCGCAGGCGACCTCGAGCCTCGCCGTCAGATCCTACTCACACTTCCTTTTTCATGAATTGAGTCCACAGGTTTCACTCATCATGGCCTCACAAGAGGGCGACCATGTCACCAGTCCTCCACTGGTCGACTCACCAACTACTGATGCAAATGACGGGAAGAAGTCGGTGGCTTTTGCTGAAGTGCAGGATGCCGCCACCCCCAACTCCGACCGAGATGGAACGCCTCCCGACATGGCCGAAGATCTCGACGAAGAGTCGGCCCTGAAGAGCCTCACCGCAAACGTCCGCGACCAAGAAGACCTCGAGCGCGACATTTCGCATCAAGCAAGTCTTGCGTTAATCGAAGCCGAGGACGCCAAGGACAAGAATCGTATCGCAAGGGCTGAAGCTACAAAGTCCAAGTTCCTGACTAGGAGGCAGGAACAACAACAAAAGTTGCGGAGAGCCTGGGGAAACACGCCATTGAAGGAAAAGATTCAGCAAGAAATCGCTCGGATTGATGCCGAGATCGAGCTGATCGACAAGGACATTGCAGATTTCAACGCTCGAATCGAAGAGAGACAGACGGCCGGTGACGAGGAAGAAAATAATGCTGCTGTATCAAAAGGAAAGTTGCCTGGCGAATCTCAAAGGGAATATCTGATCCGTACTGGCAAGATTACACCCTTTGCCAAGATTGGCGGCCCGAGGCCAGATGGTGTGCAAGGCGAACTTGCTGATGCTATAATTGATGCTGAAGACGAAGCCGTCGCTGAAGAATTGGAGCTGGAGCAAGCGACTGACCAGCCGCGCTCTCACCGCAACCTGCGACTTCCTGGCTTCGCCGAGGAGCAAGATGATGCATCCGCAGCCGTTATTGAAAACGAGTTCTCCCTGCGGCCTAGGAAGAAGCGGAAGGTCCAAAGAGAAAGTGCGTCCTCCGATGAGTTCGAGCCGAGCGCTGCTTCGGCTGCCTCTCCTGGCTCTGTCTCCGAGGGCGGGTCCGAGGAGTACGATATGACCGACCTCACTCGCACTGCCCCCAGGAAAACTCCCAAGAGCTTTCAAAAGGGTGAAACGACCTTTGATTTTAGCAAAATCGATGATGGCGACGAGTCAGCCTATCAGCGGCGCCTTTCTGACTGGGTTGAACGCAGAAGTCGAGCGCGGAGGCGCAAACAAGAGAGCAATGGTTTGCCAGTGGACAGTGATGTCGAAGAGGAGTGGTACAAGCCTTCGCCCGACCAGCCCGATCATTACCTCGAGAACAACCTCAAACTGCCCGGTGACATTTACCCATCGCTGTTTGATTACCAAAAGACTGGTGTGCAATGGCTGGCGGAACTTTACGCGCAGAAGGTTGGCGGTATTGTTGGCGATGAAATGGGCTTGGGAAAGACGATCCAGTTGATCTCTTTTGTTGCCGCCTTGCACTACAGCAAGAAGCTCACAAAGCCAGTCCTCGTCGTGGCCCCAGCCACTGTGCTGCAGCAATGGGTCAGCGAGTTCCATCGGTGGTGGCCGGCTCTCCGAGTTTCCATCCTGCATTCTTCCGGCAGCGGTATGCTCAATCTTGGAAACGAGGAGCGCTTTGAAGATGAGGAGATGTGGGAAGATGCTGCTGCTCAGCCGAGGAAATCAAGCAAGGCTGCAAAGAAGATTGTTGACCGAGTGGTCAAGGATGGCCACGTTCTGGTCACCACATATGCTGGCCTGCAGACTTACGGTGACGTGCTGATCCCCGTTGAATGGGACTATGCTGTGTTGGATGAAGGGCACAAGATTCGAAACCCGAATACCTACATCACAATATGCTGCAAGGAGTTGCGCACACCAAACCGAATCATCCTCTCGGGGACTCCCATGCAGAACAATTTGATTGAGCTTTGGTCCCTTTTCGACTTCATCAACCCGATGCGTCTCGGCTCTCTTGTAGCCTTCCGCAACCAGTTCGAAATTCCTATCAAGCTAGGCGGTTATGCCAACGCGACCAATCTTCAGGTGATGACAGCACAAAAGTGCGCGGAGACATTGAAAGACACTATCAGCCCATATCTTCTGCAGCGCACCAAGAAGGACGTAGCAGCAGATCTTCCCAAGAAACAGGAGCAGGTTTTGTTCTGCAAGCTGACCGCCGTCCAACGGGATGCTTACGAGCAGTTCCTGAGGTCCGACGAGATGAATGCCATACTCAACAAGACGCGCAAGTCGCTTTTCGGCATTGACCAGCTGAGGAAGATATGCAATCATCCGGATCTACTTTTTCCACATCGAAAGAACAGACCGAACTACAAGTGGGGCTCAGCGCGTCAGTCGGGCAAAATGCAGGTCGTCAAAAAGCTTTTACCCTTGTGGAAACGGTTCGGCCACAAGATCTTGCTGTTCAGCCAGGGCGTGCAGATGCTTGATATCTTGGAAGCGTTTGTCAGGCGGCAGGGTGACATTAATTTTCTTCGCATGGATGGCAAGACCCCAGTGAAGGAGCGGCAGAAGCTTGTCGACAAATTCAACAATGATCCAGAGATCCATTTGTTTCTTCTGACAACCAAAGTCGGTGGGCTCGGCGTCAACCTTACAGGCGCCAGCAGGGTCATCATCTTCGATCCGGACTGGAACCCTTCCACCGACGTACAAGCCCGCGAGAGAGCTTGGCGATTGGGTCAGAAAAAGGAGGTCGTCATTTTCCGTCTCATGACGGCCGGTACGATTGAGGAGAAGATCTACCACCGGCAGATCTTCAAGCAGTTCCTTGCGAACAAGGTCCTCAAGGACCCGAAACAGCGCACGACGTTGAATCTCAGCGACATGCATGATCTGTTCACTCTCGACACTGACCACGGCGGTGCCACGGAGACGAGTCGGCTTTTCCAAGGCAGCGAAGTCACGACGAATATCACGCCAAAGCCCAAGATAGCACCTGGCAACGCGAATTACGACCTCGAGGACCAGCATGCCAGAATGGCTGCAAATATGTTGACAGCAGATGACAAGGAGGGTGAGGATGACAAGCTCCGAGACATCGACGGTGTAGCCGGCGTGGAAGAGTACAAGGACGGTGATGAAAGCAACTCTGGTGACGAAGACCGCATCATGGCCGGAATCTTCGCCCGGGGTGTCCACGAAGCCTTGGAGCACGATGAGATCGTCAATGGCAAGAAGACAGTTAAGGCCGACCGGACTATTCTTGAGCGCGAGGCGAATCGCGTTGCCGCCGAGGCCGCTGACCATCTGCGCCGGTCCCGCGAGCAGGCCCGCAACGTGCCCATTGGCACCGTCACCTGGACCGGTGAGCACGGCCAGGCTGGTGCCCCACGCCTGCCGAATGTCAATCGTGGGCGAGGAGGACCCAGCTCAGCCGGTGTACTGGCTGGTATTCGCGACCGCCAGGGCATCGGCGGCGCCAGTGGTGGTGGCAGCGCCACGAGCTCTCGCTCGGCTACGCCACCGACGAACGGTCGGTACGGGGTGAAGGAGTTCAAGGAGATGATCCCGGCCTTCGTCCGGCGCCACGGAGGCAAGTGCCCATCCAAGGTGCTCGTGGATCACTTCAACCCCTACTGTCATACGAAGAAGGCGACGGAGGCGTTCAAAGCGGCGCTGAACGCGGTGGCGAGGATGGAGCAGGCAGGCAGCACGATGAGAGGCATCTGGACTTTGAGGGCGGAATACAAGTGAGCCTGAGGTGGCGATGATGGAGGGTCAAGGTTGCTTTTGGATTTGCTGCGATGATTATTTATTTAAAGCGAGGCGTTAATGGCAGGATCACTGGAAGATACCGAGGTGACTCTGTTGGAGGTTTTGAACAGAGCTCTAAGACTAGACTGCTTGATACCTGAGAAGAATCGAATCTCTAGACATGCTTTCATGGTGTTACAAATTTGAGCCCTCTCCCTTTCTCAAGTTGATGAGAGTTTTGTGCCTAAGTACGAAAACTCATATCACCAATGCAGGAGCCGGACGCAACGGGTGTTATCATACAAGCACATTATCCCATCATTAGACACAGTTCACACAGATTTTGCAAATGTATGGAAGTGCTTTGACTTGTTCTTCATTGGTGTAGCTGTGCCATAAGCATCATGTGACAAACCTCCCTAAAGAGGCTGTAGATAATGGAGACCAGGCGCAAGCCGTTCTCCTCGTAACTGTCAACGCCACAGTGTAACCCATATGCAGTAGCCACCCGATCCCTGAATTTTCCTTGCCAATCCACCCAGTAGAGAGAAGATGGTGCCGGGCGCTCAGAGACGACGACCACGGCGACCACCCTTTCTGCGGGTAGAGTCGGAAGGAGTGGGGGTAACGTCCTCGATACGGCCGATCTTCATGCCGGAACGGGCCAGGGCACGGAGAGCAGACTGGGCACCGGGGCCGGGAGTCTTGGTGGCGTTACCTGTGTTGTCGCTGTCAGTGAAGTCCCATCACAGAGCATTGGAGACCGAAGAAGTCATGGCTATCAAACATACCTCCGGTAGCACGGATCTTGATGTGCAGGGCGGTGATGCCGAGCTCCTTGCAGCGGGTGGCGACGTCCTGGGCAGCCAACATGGCAGCGTAGGGGGAGGACTCGTCACGGTCGGCCTTGACCTTCATACCACCGGTGACACGGCAAATGGTCTCACGGCCACTGGAATCACCCAGAATGTTAGCCGCAGCTCGAACCATTTGAAGGTCTCAACTTTGTGTTCCTTCCGGAGGGCGCGCATATCTCTCGTTTCGTAGGCATGGTGCTTTCAAGGGTTGACGAACCTGAGATCGGTGACGTGGACGAAGGTGTCGTTGAAGGAGGCGAAGATACGGGCAACGCCGAAGACGAGTTCACCTGTGAAAATGGAGGGGCTCGTCAGTCATTGCATTGCTGCGATCATGAGGACGAAAGGAATCGCCTTACCCTCGCGGACCTGAGGGCCGAGAGAGATGTTCTCTTGCGCAGGGCGCACGGTCTTTCCCTTGGGAGGCATCTTGAGTTGGATTATTGGTGGACTGGGTCGTTGACAGTTAATGCGTGTGAGGTCGAAGAGTCAATCAAGTCAAGAAAGAGATCGCGAAATGCTAAGCTTGCAGAATCGGATGTGTGCAAAATTCAGGCTGTGGCCGTGGGCGGTGAGGCGCAGGCCCCACTTCTTGCAGCGGACCCGCCAATCAGAGACCAGTCCACAAAATTTAGTGCTGCGAGGTTTTCAAAATCTCCCCATGCAAAGAGAGGTCCTTTTCCTCTCCTCCGCAGCCCTGGGACGAACTTCCACCGCCCAACGACATTCATTCGACAACCATCTTCCAAAGGACAGTCGACGACACCGATCTCCAAGATGCCTGCGACGTATGTTTGATTCCTACGATACGACTGGCATCATCGGCCAGATGATGCTAGCTGCTACTTCTCCCCTCCCACCGCCTGGTACAAGGAGCAATTTTTTGCAGATTGTCGTCGTCCTCTCCTGCTGGGAAAGCTTTTGCTCTGTGTCCCCCGCGACACCAAGTCTGAGCAATCGCAGCCAGCTCGATCCTTCCTACGCTTCTCCCTCTTTCTCACAGGCTTGAGACACAGCCTGTAGACTGAGAGATGTTCCGTGGGGTGTTGGAGTTGAAGGTCTCCCAAGGCCTTCTCTCTTAAATGCATTGCCGCAGAGTAGCACACCCTGTGAGCAGCACACAAGCTGCCCACAGGAGACTGCCAAACCGCGAGCATTATTTCTCGATCCAATTCGAGGTGTTGTCGGATGAGATTGCACCCATCGTCGTCTTCTGCAGCGTGCGCCAGCATCTGCTCTGACCCCTGGGCTCACCGATCAAATTTCGCAAGCGAGTCAGCCATGCAGAGAATGTCGCACTCGCAACAGTTCTCCACCGGCGCTCTCTTTCATACTTCACTGAAGTATGCCGGACTACGTACTAATCTGAAATTCGACGAATAGTTCCGTCCCCACCAACGACCAGATTCTGGTCCCCGAGACCCTCCTGAAGAAGCGCAAGTCTCAGGAGAAGGCTCGCGCTGAGAGGTCGGCCGAGATCGAGAAGAAGAAGAAGGTCAGTCATGATACCTCGGAGGGGCTATGGGAAGCGAAGTGATGCACAACTTTTTATCCACGCTTCGACTAGACTACGGTCGATGATGTCCGCGAATATACTGTCTTTCGGGTCTGATCGATGCAAGACAATCTTGATGATCAACATACTTGTGGTATCGCAGACGATGCTAACCGTTGTGAATCAATAGGCCAACAAGGAGAAGCGCGGCGTCATCTTCAAGCGTGCTGAGAAGTACGTCCAGGAGTACCGCGATGCGGAGCGTGAGAAGATCCGCCTGGCTCGCGTTGCCAAGCAGAGCGGCGAGTTCTACGTCCCTGCTGAGGCCAAGTTGATCTTCATTGTCCGTATCAAGGGGTATGTTTCGCTGCCTGCCAACCCGTCCTGCCTTCAGCCGTGACTGACAAGCTATGCAGTATCAACAAGATCGCTCCTAAGCCCCGCAAGATCCTCCAGCTGCTCCGTCTGCTGCAGATCAACAACGGTGTCTTCGTCCGTGTCACCAAGGCCATCACCGAGATGATCAAGGTCATCGAGCCTTGGGTCGCCTACGGTTACCCCAACCTGAAGAGCGTCAAGGAGCTCATCTACAAGCGTGGATACGGAAAGGTCAACAAGCAGCGTGTCGCACTTACCGACAACTCCATCATTGAGGAGAACCTCGGCAAGTACGGCATCATCTGCATTGAGGATCTGATCCACGAGATCTACACCGTCGGCCCCAACTTCAAGCAGGCCGCCAACTTCCTGTGGCCCTTCAAGCTTTCCAACCCCAACGGTGGCTTCCGCCCCCGCAAGTTCAAGCACTTCATCGAGGGTGGTGACCTGGGCAACCGTGAGGAGAACATCAACGCTCTCATCCGCCAGATGAACTAAATCAGTCCATAATTGGTCGCGGTGGTGGTTTTTCGGTTGGTTTTTCTGCGGAATGGAATGGTACTCGGGGTATGGATGCACGGCGTTAAATGAGAAAAAGTCTGCTTGCTTTCCGGAAAAGACTCCAATATTCCATCCTACATCCCCCTGTACCTTCGTGTGACTGGTCACCGTCTGTTGAGAACCATGCGTGGTAGCAAGGTCAAGTAATACAATACCGCGATTCACTACCTTCTAATTCTGGGTTCGTGACGTCGTCGGTGTGTGTGAACGTCTCGCCAATATTATAGATTTCCTTTGTACACCGGCGGTGCCCGCCGTAAGAGTGGTGTCTATTCAAATCTTGATATCAAAACTCGTCCCGCACCCGCAGCTGCTCGTCGCCAGCGGATTATCCACAATCTTGAACTGGGACCCGATCAGCTCCATCGTGAAATCCACCTTGCTCCCCTTTAGTAGATCCAGTGATGGCTGGTCCAGTATGATCTTGGCGCCTGTCAAGTTGGCCGGTTGCCCCTCCTCGGGGGTATATGTGAAAATGGTGTCGTCCTCGCGCACCTCGCCCGACTTAGCGCCCTCACCCGGATGCTCACTCGCCTCGGCCGCCGCAGCAGGCTTGGTGGGGATCGACTCGGGCAGCGTGACGAGCGACATGAGATATTGGAAGCCGTGGCAGCCACCCGACTCGACTTGGATGCGCAGGGCGAGGTGGGGGTTGTTGTCCTTGGACATGATCTCGGTGAGGCGCTGTGGGTGAAGGAGCTGAGTCAGTACAGGTCTAGGCGGATACCAGTCGATCGTGGGGGACGTTGATGGGTCGGAGCCGATCAGACGAACCTTTGCTGCCCTGGGTGTGATATCCAGGTGCATGTCGTTGCCGTCCTCGTCCTGCTGGGGGTTGTACACTGCCTGGGTGTACCTCCTTCTTGTCGTATAGGCAAACGATTTTGGCACTGTCGCTGACGGTACACGGTACCCGTGCAGAGCCCTCTTGGGCACCATCCATTCCACAGCGGCTGAGAAGTTTCCATGCTTCACGCTTGTCGCTGTCTCTGCTCGCCGTGCCCTGACGGAGCTGCTGTGGAGGGTCCTCCTGGAGATGGCGGAGCGACTTCGGGGCAGTAGGAATTCGAGGACGGGCTCGGAGCTTCGCTTTGGAGCGAGCTGCACGAACAATCTGGCCGCCGACATCGAGTTGGAACAGCTCAGAGGCGACGCAAATGGAGCCATTGTGCTGGGTTTGGCTTGAGGCTATCGTGGTTGTCGTGAGGAGCTTGCCAAGAGCCTATTGCTCAGCAAAATTTCGAGTGATGTCAGTTGGGGCTCCTGGATGGGATGACTAATGGCGATGCGAACACTGGCCCGGGCTCGCCCATATTGGGCTCCACCCTCTTTCCGCCCCAGGGCTGCATGCGTTAATAACTGGAGCCATACAACAGCACACCATCGACTCAGGGACGACATGTGCATCTGTACTTTGCTCATCTACTTATCTAGTGAGCTCTACGCATACTGATAGCTCAAGAAGCGTCCTTCAATAAGCATAGTCTGATTCTTAGACACCTCCTTCAGTCCTGCTAGGATCAGATGTTGAGCTGTCCGCTCCATACACAGTCAATTGACCTGGAGAATGGCGGAACAACGATCCTCCTCCCTGCCATCAATCGGCCGTAAGATCGGAGAAGCAAACAGCCATCTCGGCCCTGACACCGCCAACCTTCATATAGACCGCTGCGTTATTACCGGTGCGGAACATGGGGCGCCCAAGGATCATCGGCTCGCCTGGAGCAAAAATCTGGGGTAACCTCCGCCATCCCGCCCCCTGAGACGTTTCTATTTGTGGAGTGTGATCATTTTTGACGGGACCAACCTGCTTCAGTCCTCTGTTCCACTGCTGGGGAATAGTACCATCACACTGCAGATCTGCTTGTCGCTACGGAAATACGGACGTCGGGACTATGCTGGTCCCGCTGCTTCGTTTACGGCTGAGCGTATCCGTACACCAAAAGTACCGTGCGAAACTTTCAACGGTCATGGCTCACAACAGCTGGGCAGAAGGCTAAGCATGGTATAGACGCTGGGACGTCATCTCCCTCGGTCGCCACTTTTAGGAACCGTTAAACAGTTCGCTCAACTATAGGAGTTCCCCGCATATACGGCTCCAAGTAGTTCCCAGGACGGCTGGGATGGACCATTCAGAGTCGGCAGATATTTGGTTCGCCGAAAGCTTGCCAAGTCATGCTCACAACCTACACAGCGGCTTCGATACCGCCAGCGTGACACAACGACGCGCAACTGCGGCGCAAAAACGTGGGCCAAAATGGCATAGTCCAACCGATGGCTGGGTTATCCACCAACACGGAAGTATCTCTGTCTGCTCAGGCGACCTCGGGAGCTTAGATCTTGGTTCCCCGCGAGCTACCGCCGGATCTAACGCACGATGGATCTGATATTCAGATTACTCCACGTTGACAAATGCTCTGGTGTTTTCGTTCCAGGGTGGTGGGGTGGTTCCTTCGGGACCTGGTTGCCATTGACGATGTCCGGGCGCGGTGTCTCATCTCACAAGGGCCCAGAGGCGATCTCCCATATATCCAGCTCCAGCTCTCCTCTGTAGACGCCCAAAAGTTCTACTTGTCATTCAACACTACCAGTTTCAGTCTACTAGGTTCAACCCTTGGTTCAGTGCTCAGACTACACAATAATGGCTGGCCCTATCGATAGGCTTCAGACAGAGAGTGGGACTATCTCTCCAACTCGAGCATTCCTCTCGGGTCTCCTACCTTTTGTAATTAGGTGGTGGTTCTTCGTGATCCCCGGCTTGATCGTTGTGCGCGCGCTGTACAGGAAATATGCTTCACCACTGCGAAAATATCCTGGCCCATGGCTGGCCTCGGTGACGAGGTTATGGAAGGTGATCTCAACAGCCTCGACCCACACCCACCTTGAGCACATCGAGCTGCACAAGAAATACGGGCCCATCGTGCGGATCGCACCCAATGAAGTTTCCATTTCATCTCCTGAGGCCGCGCGCACTCTTCTATCTGCAGGGAAGCGTTTCTACAAGACGAAGTTCTATGGTGTCTTCCCACCTCCGGAAAACCCAGACATCTTCACCGAGTACCGAGAAGACGTCCACGCCCAGAAGAAGAAGGTCGCCAACGTGCCCTACAGCATGGCGGCTATGCAGCAGCTAAGCCCTTTTATCGACGACACCATCGAGGTGCTGATGCAGAAGATAAATGCAGCTGCAGTAGGACCGGCCAATGGATATGTCAAGGAACTCTCCAATTCCAATGGCCCTATAGTGGACCTCGGCAACTGGCTTCACTGGTTTGCATTCGACGTCCTGGGTGAGGTGGCATTCAGCCGGAGCTTTGGGTTCCTGGAGCAGGGACGAGATGTCGACGGCGCGATCCGCACAATTGATGATATGCAGCGCTACAACGGTATTGTGGGACAGGTGCCGTTCATGGACTACCTCTTGAGGAGGAATCCATTGCGCAGTCTGATCCCCGGGCTGTCAACAAAGGATGCACTCATCACCCGCATGGCTCTTGAGGAGCTCGAGCGGAGAAAGCCTTTTGACAAGGAGAGCGAGGGCAAGTGGAGGGGAGGTGACGGCCGGCAGGATTTGCTGGCCAGTTTGATCAAGGGCCATCTGAAGGATCCCCAGAAGTTTGGTGAGGGCGATGTCTTTGCTGTCGCTCATGGTGCGATGTAGGTCTTCCACTCTGTGCGGTGTAGTGTTCTCCAGCCCATCCATCTCGCAAAATGTAGCCAAAACCATCCTCTAACACCGCACACAGCTTCGCCGGTTCCGACTCAACCGCCTCGACCATGCAGTCTTTCTTCTGGCAAGTCCTCTCCGACAGCCGTGTGTACGCCCGCATCCAGGAGGAGATGAAGAAGGCGGTCGCTGAAGGCACTATCCCTCCCACGGGCAACATCTCCTGGAACGAGTCCCAGAACCTGCCATACTTCCAGGCGTGTCTCAAGGAGGGTATGCGCGTCCGCCCCGCCGTCGGCCTCAACATCGCGCGCCTGGTTCCCCCCGAGGGCGCCGAAATCGATGGCCAGTCCTTCCCCGGCGGTGTGACCGTCGCTGTTAATGGGTGGGTTCTGCACCGCGACAAGGCCACCTTCGGGGAGGATGCGGACGTTTACCGGCCGGAGCGCTGGCTGGGCGACGCCGAGGAGGCGAGGAGGATGGAGAGGTATATGTTCCAGGTAAGAAGAGTCTCACATAAAGTCCTTTCCGAGGCGGAAATAAACGAGACTGACATATTTCGCTCAGTTCGGCGGTGGAAGCCATGTCTGCATCGGCCGCAACCTTGCTCTACTCGAGATCAACAAGGTCGTTCCTCGGCTTCTACGGGACTACCATTTTGAGCTCGTCAACCCGGGCAGGGAATTGCAAGCCCACGCCACCTTCTTCGTTGTGCAGGAAGGGTTGGAGGTTTACATCACCAAGAAATAGTGGATTACACCACTGAAAAATTTGAGAATTGTTCCTGGCGATTTCCTTGAATACCATTTTGGTAACCGGCGACTCGGTTGGCTTGTTTGCTTTTTCGTTTCAGGGCGTCAGCGGGTCAAGACCACACCTGTTGCTGGCAACACGCGCGAGCGTTTGACGTACAGAGATACTTCGATGTTGTTGTAGTTGGGAATGATACCATCACTTATTTCACATTACAAATTCTTCCAGCCCGTGCTCGATTCAAGCTTGAGATTACCGGGGTGGGCAACCTGCTCAGCAGACATGGTGTACTTTACGATGGGACATGCTGGCCATCAAATCAAGTTTGAGCCGCTGGATGAATGTGTATTCTTGATGCTTTTAATAGCTGAGTGTACTCTACAAGAACCCAGATATACCGATCGAATGCTCTGCTTCGCGTCTTTACCCATGTTCGTGATGGGGGACCACCGCAACTACACTTTTCTGTTCCAATCACCAACCTAGTACCAGCATATAAGAATTATCAGGGATAAGTGAGTGCCTCTTATCTCAAGGCGTTCTGTGGTTTGCTCAAAACTGAAGCGCCCGCGCCTGGTTCAGGTCCGTCTTGATTCGTAGCCTGGCTGACAGCGGTGTGACTCAAAGCCATTGCTGACACACTGTGCGTCTGCCTGGCCCGGCGCCTGCACACCACCCAACAGCCACTTGATCCGGCCTTTATAAACCAACAGCAAACAATTTGATCAGCGAAGTAGCTGCACACTTGGCCGGTATCGCCAATAGATTTGAATTCTATCCCACTTGTCTTCGGACACTTCGCTTTTGGCCAGCGCTGCAACGCGGAGCGGCCGGGTTCGAGCCCTCGGGCAAACCCCCCCTCCCCTTTTTCTTTTCTCTTTTTTTCTTTTTTCTTTTTTTGGCAAGTCTGCTTGTCTTTTGTTTTATTCTTTCATTTCACACTCGTATTTTCATGGCCTAACTGTCATGTGTTCTGTGCTTTTTCTCCTTCTGTACTTCATGTAAGACTGTACCGTGTTCCCTTTCGCATTCCTCTGGCACTAATTTTCTCCTCAAAGCCGCAGTGCTGGGACGACATAGGTACAGCGGGTCACAGGAAACTTCTGGAAAATTTTCAGTGCATATAGTATCTCGTTATTGCAGCGCTGTCCTGAATTTAATTTTCCGAACCGCAAGCACTGAGCCTTCTGAACGTTCATATTACCGAGACGGGCTCGACGTCACCTCAACTGTTTCATGGTAGCTGAGCGTCTTGTTGGGCAACATGCTCGCATGTCCCATTGCAACTTTTTTCCATTGAAAAGTGCGTGGGCTCCATAGTTTGCTCTTCATGGAGGCACCTCCTCATCTGGGAAGCAGCAACTGGACTGTGCCTGCATGGACATGGATGCATTCAGCTTCAACACACTTACACGCCCAAAGCTGTGGGGCGCATGGTGAGGAAACCTAACCCCTGTAACTTCCTAATCAGGATGCTTGATGTGCTCCTGCCCAATCGTAGGCGGTCGAGCCTCCAGCGCCAGGAAACTCATTGAGGGGGCTCCCGCCAGCGCCAGTTCGTCTCATGTTTGGCTTCTTCAGTTGACAGGTGGCGCCCGTGGCGCGCCCCAGCTCCTGCTGTGCAACATCGTGGGTTTCGTCTTGCAGCTGCAACAGAAGGCCTGGCCGCTTGGGGGACAACCATTGCTTGGCGTTTCCTTAACGCTCCTGGCATCTCACCTATCCCCCAAAAACCCAGGACCGGCCTGATGTTCCGGCCCATTGAACCAAAGCACAAGCCTGTCAAGCATAAGCCCAAGAGGCCCTGCGACCAGCTAGGCCAGCCCAGTTGCATGTTCGCGCCCTCTTGACGCAGGCGCGGCCGCTTTCGCAGCCAAAGCGCCAAACACAAAAACATCGTGCATGGCAGTTTTCTTGTGGTCAAGCAAGCTTGGCTTGAGGGCACAGAGGGTTTCTTGATGGCGTCTCAATTGTGGCCAACCCGCGAAACCCACTAGAAACATCCTCACAAAATCCAGGAGTGTGGCGCCAGCATCTGTTTGTACGGTTTGTCTTGCCTCTGGCGATGCAAGCCTCTCTTTGTATAAGATCTGTGGCCGCACCTCCCCACTCTCCCACTGCTCCGCCAGATCAGAGAAGTCGCGAACTTCTGCTATGTTTTGATGAACAAGATTCCCTCCACTCTCTTTTGTTTACTTTTTCTTCTCCTCTCTCTTTCATGAGCTCTTGAGACTCTTGTCATCTTCATTCTTTTCGCCTTTAGTCCAAGGTACCCATCTACTGTAGCAGGACTCTCTTTTTGAGCCCCTCGCTTCTGAACATTCATTTCTCACAAATCATTCAAATACATAGCATCATCAATTCATCATGATTCCCAAGCTGATCGCACTCTTCGCTTGTGCGAGCCTTGCTTCCGCCAACCCCGTAGTCTTAGCCAGGGCTGTTACCTCCCTTGATGAGTCCGCTTTTGCTGAGGCTCAACAACGTGACGACACCGCAACCAGGGCCGCGTCCAACATCAACATCAAGGTATGTCCTGCTTCTCTTCTTTATGTGAGCACGAACCTGACCACACACCCACAGACTTCTGACGGCAAATGCCTCTCTGTCGACAAGCTCTCGGGCGACTTCCGGGCCAACCTCACCCCTATCAAGGTTGAGCAATGTGGATCGACAGACGGCCAAGGATGGGACATCATTACTGCCGGGAAGCATATTTCTGCCCCTCAATCGATGCTCATTGTGAGCACTTCGACAAACGCTTGCTTCAACTTCGACCCTCGCCGCGCTGCAGGCAACCAGGTCCTTCTGTTCTCTTGCGGCGGCAGGGCTGATGGAGGTCAGTCAAACAACACCCCCACCCCTCGCGGGCCCCGCCGGACTTGAAATCGATTTCAACATGCTAACACTCAGTAGGTGGTGCTGAGACAAACTCTCAAATCTTCCCATTTAGCCAGCCAGACGGCCCTCAGTCGTTGCAGCCGCAGAACGCCCAAGGGAAGTGCCTGGCCGTAAAGGACAATGTCGTGGACATTGCCGACTGCAGTTCCGGGGATGCGACACAGGAGTTCCTCTTTAGCGGTGAGGCCACTCGTGCCTCTGGCAGTGCCTCTGGCATTGCCTCTGGAAGTGCTGCAGCTAAGGTGCCTAGAAGTAAGTCTAAGAACAAAGAATCCTCTGCAACTTCTGCTTTGCTAACAAGCTACTAGCCACCGGTGCTGCATCACAACCTCAGGCCACCGGTGTCACAGGAGTCAACACGGCCCAACCTGCAGCAGTTTCGGGTGCTGGCAACACGCTTGATCAGGCCGCAGTAGACGAGGCCCAACAACGCGATGACACAGCCGTGCGAGCAGTCAGCAATACCAAGATACGCGCTCCCAATGGCCAATGTCTCACCGTGGACCCTACCGCGGGCGATTTCAGGATGAACCTCATCCCTGTGACCTTTGCGGACTGTTCCAATCCTACGACTTGGGACTTGATCACTTCGGGCAAGCACAACGACGGTAGTGGCGGCGAGGCGGCCCTGATTGTGAGCACCGCCACTCAGGGCTGTATCTCTGTTGATCCTCGAAGGCAAGGTTTTGACCAAGTCAACTTGTTCTCCTGTGGCGGCAGAGCTGACGGGTCGGGATTGACAAATCAGGGGCAACTGTTTCCGTTCACAGGTGAAGAGAGCTTTGCGTTAGCGCCGGTAAGTGAAGGCAACAAGACCTGTGTCATCCCTGGGGATGGCAGACTAGAAGCTGCATCTTGCCCAGAGCCGCCGAGTCTGTTTACTTTGGAGCCGTAAAGGCTGGTGAAGAGAAAGGGAGAAAAGGCAGTCTTGAATGCATGTAAATTCTATGGCGCATGGCTTTTTGTTTCTAACCCGTAAAGCATGGCGGAGGTCGTTAGTCGATTCAGTAGAACCTACATACCTTTACTGTGTCTGTAAATACATTATTGGTCCTTGATGAACCAGAACTGTTGCACAGCAAGGATTCTTCAGTGTACTCGAGCGAATTGAGATGGCGATGTCTGGGGCCGTGGCGACAGACTCGAGGTACAGTGCCACGGCGCAATGATTGTCTTCCTTGAATCCTAGGCCCGGCAGAGTGATCGTTCATTTGACCAGAACCATCATCAGGTACAAAGTAGCAAAAGACTCAACATTCCAAGGCACGAGTGAGAGAAGACGCCCCACGCAAGAACAAAATTCGCATCTGTTGTTCATCATCGACTGTGCAAGAAAAAGACACATTTCTCTCATCTTGCTTGGGGGGGGGGGGCGGATCTTCGCTGCCCCTTTATAAACCTGCCAATCATCCCATTTCACACCACATGGCAGGGCGGCTAGGTCCCCGAGTTGTCTGCAGGTCAATTGTGGTCCAGCCAGGGAAAAGCTGGAGGGTGACAACCAGGGTTCGATCCTCGTCTCTGGCAATACAAAACAATTTTTTTTATTGATTTTCCTTCTTCCACAGCGGTCTCAGACTCATCATGGCAGGGATTACGGTGCTCCAGCATCGCCAGTCACTCGTGAGCAGCCACCTCCGAGGAAGTCTCCGATGAAACGTCACTCCCAACACCCTCTTTTCCATCAACGTGAGAAGACAATTTGGAGGAGGCTTCGAACTGATCAATGGCCGACTCGATTCGTGCAGGACGCCTCAGGCCCAATGCCGACTGCTTGCGACAAGACGCCTGGCGCAGACGTTCCGACTCTGCTGGCGTCAGGTTGAGCTAGACTTGGAGGTCAGCTTAAAACAGAAACTCGCCCCTCTTCCCCCTCCGCTGCGATTCGTTGTCTGCTCACATATAACTCCACGCCGACGGCGTGCAGGAAGAGCGCGGTGAAGGCCGACGCCCCGCTGACGATGGAGATGGCCACGTTGATCTCAATCGGGAGGCCATAGTAGTCGGCCCTGACGAGCACCTGCTGGTCGGGGCGTGCCCCTGTGAAATACGCTGCGCATTGGGGCCACGAGTGTTCGATCACGGACTTGGGGAGCACGCCGTCGCTGTCGATCTGGGCACAGGGCCGGATGGCTGCGTATCCTTGCCCGCTAATAGCGCGGCTGGCGATGCTTTGGATTATGCGCATTGTGATGATGCTCGCGGCCTGTTGAGTTTGTCAGTCAAGTCCATTCATCCAAAGGTACGGTTTTCCTAAGTTTGTGTGGGCCGAAATCGAACACCCGGGGAGATACGGCGCCTTACCAGAAACCAGGTTCGCAACATCCACGCTCGGTGCTGGTCGATCTGCAGTCTCTTGATATTTATCATCGCTAGTGAGAGGCAAATGGGTATTGACGCGCCAAGCAGCACGTTGGCAACTTGGAACGACATATCCCCTCCGAACGAATTCTTCACCGCCATCAACCCGCCGACCAAAGCAACTGCCATCAATATTATGACAACGTACCCGTTGATCCGGTGGAACAAGATTGCCTTCTGTCGGATGACGGGCACAAATTGGAAGAACAACAGAATGCAGCACGGAATTATCCCATAAAGGTGTAGCATCATGCCAATCTGCTCCCGCCCGCCGTTGAGGAAAAAGTAGCACTCCCCGGGTGCGGCGTGTAAGTTTGTTGTCAGCGAGTTTGGTTTGCAAAATACGCCATAGTAGTCCAGATATGGGGCCCGACTGATTGCGAAGCCGAGCAGGCCCAGGGCGAAGATGCACCAGAGGACGAAGTCGTAGCCATTTCGGAAACCGACGAGTCGATGAAGTCTCTGCCAGGAGGCAGCGAGAGCCTTAGTAGCCTGGGTGTAGAAGGCAGCCGTTCTCATCATCACAAGGAGGGGCCTCTGAGCTGCAGGGTGACGCCTGTGTCACTCTCGGAGGGGGTTACCGAAGACAAGACTTTATGAAGAGGCTCTGATGGTAGAAGCAGTATAAGGTCGCTTAAGAAGCGAGTGTCTCGGTTTGATCGAGCGCCAGGTGGGAGTTGATCGCTCGGCTATAAATAAGGCGAGCCCACTCCAGCCCTATTAGGCCAGAGTCATATTGACGGGAACACATCCCCACCCAGCCCTGGCAAAGACACGATAGCGTCACGGCGCCTGTCAGGATAAGCGGGATTCAGAAAGGGCTGCTTGGGTCGCGATAGATCCTCAGACCATTTGCTGCCCAACCGAAAGCGGTGTCTCGGTCGTGCTGCGACCGTCTTGTCATCAACGTGGGCGCCGCCGTGGAGCAAAAGCATTCGTCGAGCAGGCGTGGATCAGCAGGCGAATAACCGCCGCAGCGGAAGGTCGCCCCGCATCTCGCATCGTTCTGTATCCCTGCCCGCCGTGTGGTGGTGATGAGTGAGCGCGTGGCAGTCCGCAGGCCGTGGTCCGCCAAACCACGCAGCACGGTGGACAAGCAGGATGCGGGTGACTGAGGATGAGTCTCAACCGTCATCCTCGCTTCGGGCCGTCCAATTGAATGCTCACCGCCTCGGCGCTGCTTGGTCGACGCTGCGAGCCCGTGGCCAAGAGGCTGGATGCGTGCTCCAGACCGGTCATTCTCGTCGACCGCCTCATTGAGGCTCAGGTCATGCCGTGGGCGGTATTTGCGAAGCCATGCTGTGATAGGTCCGCCGCTCGTGGAGGTGGCCCCTGCGACTGTTGAGGCGTTCGGATGAGACATGCATTTCGGAAGGAGCCTAGCAGGCGGGAGGCGACGTCGAGCCTCCCGATCCTGGTCACGCAGCGAGAGATAGCCTCGGGTGAGACACGAACCATGGCAACGACGACGTGGGCCAAGGATGTGGGTACTCTAGCCGAGTATATGTAGCTGTAGACTCTGTTCGCCTTGGCACGGATAACAGCCATCTAGGAATTCCATGGGCCTAGTCTGTGATATGTGATGGGTCATTCTCGGCACGAGGCCTTGCTCGTTGGCCCATCGAGGCTGAGGAGGCTGGTCTTAGATGGAGCTTTTCTTCTCGTCGATATAACGACATGCGGTTTTCCTGGATGGGAGGGAATGTCAAGGCGTGAAGCTGAGGATTATGGCCGGATGAGTAGTAACATGTCGTGAATCAATTTGAAAAGTCTACTTTTCCAGAAGGCGTCGGGCTTCTGCCACATGTACCTATCTGACCAAGACCCCGTGGGAATATCCAATGAGTCAACACAACCGCGGCGCATGCCGAGCAAACACGTCGACATATGAGAATCAAGTCTTCGCAGTCAACGAGGCAGGATAAACGGGGTGGGTCTGCCGGCGGACATCTTTCGCTTAGATATATGCTACATTGAAGCAATAGGGCTGTCAATATCTCGGCCTGGTGCAACTGTGATTGGGTACGCCGCCTCAAGAGGCTGGGACAGGAAGCTGTCAGTGCCGACCTGTCCCACCGCTTGGCAGCTCAGTAATGCGAGTGATCTTGACTTGGCAAAACCGCCAGCAGGTCTCTTCGTATGCCGCAGTGGGTCGCGGGATCGACTCCTCCTGGAGAAAAGATTAGGAAGTCCTGCTTGTGGTGAAGATTGAGGGAGGCGGAATGTCAGAGGTGGGTTGATGTACATGTATACTCGGAAGAATCCATAATTGATGCCAAGTCGGCAATGTCTGGACCGAAGCCCACCAGGACAAAGACCGAAGGGCAATCCTTAATTCAACGTCGTTCGTCGCGTATCTGGCGATGATGACTAAGGGAGTCCCCTGTCTTGAACGAAAGCTTGTTCCCACTCTCCATCTCCTGGGGTCCACCGCCTCCACCTCCACCGCGACCCTTGCTGGACCCCGACTACCGCGTTGGAGACGACACAGAAACTGGACAGCACCACATGCTTCGATCGAATGCTCCATCACCAAAATCTGACGAATCTTGCAATGGAACCTTCCGTCTATCGCTGGGGCTCCGATACGAGATTCTCCGCTGCCGTCAAACCAGGGGGCTGAACTGAGGTTATTTTAGGACCGCGAGTTTGGGGCCCCTGCTGAAGCGTGGATCCTTGCTCCTACCAACAGACAGCTTATTTCCTTTCACATGCGCGCACATCCTCAGCTTCTCGCCTCTGTCTTGTGCGAGAATCCATCAGCGCTTCCTACTCGACTTGCTCGCAGGCTCCAGTCCATCACATGTAGGCCTTGGGGCTTTCAGGCGACCATAGCGCATCCTCGCCGACATCTAGAGAAACCCTGGGCGTGCTATCGCAAACCCGGCAACATGTCGCAACAGCCAGGGCCTCAGCCCGGTACCACCGCGCGAGACTTCGCAGTTCCGTTGGCGCCCATAAACACGTCAATATCAGAGCCATCCGATGCCTCAGCACCTGCGCCAGTTCCAGAGACGCCCGCCCGAACAGCACAACGAGTGCACTACGAAATGGAGGCTGACTCCAATGCTGGTCTCATCCGTCCCCCGACTAATTCACCTCGTACCGTCACGAAATCCGACACAGAGTTGCATCGACACCGAGCCATGACCAGCATAGGCTCTCCCATCCGTCGACGAGTCACGCGCGCAAATACCTTCAAGAGCATCGACGATTTCAGCGAATTCGAGCATGAAAAAGGCTGGCACCCAGGTGCCGAGCCGGGTTTGGATCCGTTCAAGACAGATGGAGGACGCGCATCGCTGCCAAAGCTCTCGGCTGCCTGTGAAATAAACGTTATCGACTTTTCGCATGACAATATCCATGTAACCAGGCTCGATAATGACAGCCTCGGGCCTTTCTTGAAGGAGCCTCAGCCGAGCTGGGCGAAATGCCGATGGATCAATATAAATGGCCTCAGCTGGGATGTGGTCTCGACTTTGGGCCAGTACAAACAGCTGCACAAATTGTCTATCGAGGATTTGTTGAACACGAGAAACAGGACGAAGACAGATTGGTGAGTGACAAGATTATTCTGCCACACGCGCCCTTCGCTGAGCTCACCGATGTAGGTACGCGAACCACGCCTTCATCGTCTTCACAATGATCAAACTTGTGCGCGTGTCAGACGAGAGTTCAAGCAGCGACTCAGATTCGGACTCGGACGTTACTAGTCGACACAGTGGGAAAAGTCGCAGAGGCAAGAAGGGCTCCGGCTTTGCGAAAGGCATCTCGTCAGCGGTCCGAAGCATGGTTGGGAGAACCAGACAGCCGAAACGGCCAACATCCGAGAAACTCGAAAATGGTGCCGAGAGCTCTCGATTCCAACTCCAGTCATGGGACACCGATCTCTCTACCGCGTCAGGAGCAACACTCGAGCGAACGGTTCAACGGTACAACTCTGGTCCCAACGAGGCGAGAGTCGAATTCATGGAGAAACATGCTGCCTTGGCATCCCTTGATCTCGCCGTGATCGCGGAACAGGTGTCGATGTTCATCACGAATGACAACACGGTCATCTCATTCTTCGAACTCTCTGCAGACATTATTGAAAAGCCCATTCTCACGCGGCTATATACACGAGACACGGTCCTCAGGCAATCATGCGACGCATCTATGGTCGGGCAAGCCATCGTAGACGCAGTAATTGATCTCGCCATCCCCGTGGCTACCACCTATGGCGATGTCATCGGAGACCTCGAGCTTGATATTCTGACGCGGCCCAATATCACCCATACCAAGAAGCTTTATATTATTATATGTGAGCTCAATAAGATTCTCAGCTTCATCAACCCGGTTGTCAATCTGATCAACGCACTCCGCGACCATAAAACGGAAATGAGCCAAGGTAAGCAATTCTGTGTTGTCTTTGCTTCCCGGTGTGTCACGAGAGTTGCGAGGCAGTGGGTACGGCATACTCGAAGCCTCCCTTAGCGTCCGCAAGCTCCGGGAATTGTCATGTCCATTAGGAACCTCACTGACACAACTTTGTAGAATCTGCTACAATTCACCTCCAGGACAGCTCAAAGGGCGTTATTATCACCCCGATGACATATACGTATCTTGGAGATGTCCTGGATCATTGTGTGCTGATTCAAGAGTCATTGAACGCCATCAAGGCTCAGGCGGACGGGCTTATCAACTTGATCTTCAATACGATTGCTGCAAATCAGAATGAATCGATGAAACAGCTCACGCTCGCTACAATCTTTTTCCTCCCACTGACCTTCCTTACTGGATATTTCGGGGTATGTTTCCATCAACTCAAATTGCTTCCACCGCGCTTTAGATTGCTGACTCTGGATTGTATAGCAAAATTTCCAACCCTTCGGTGACCTGGACCGTGGTATCACGTTCTTGTAAGTAATACCATACACGAGTTTACGAGGATTGCGCTAACATGTATGGGAAGTTGGATGATTGCGGCACCTATGAGTTTCGCAACGATTCTTGTATTGATGAGGGATCCCATCCTGGAGTATATCAAGAGCTTCCTAGTGAGGCGCTCTATTCTGCGATCCAGGAAGAACAGGCGAACTCGAAGCAAGAAGCGCCGCTAGCAAAGCCGCACAGCACGGTTTGTTACATGGCATCACCGTCCAAGATATTATAGTAGAGCTAGCTCTCAGCGTATAGCCAAATTGTATCAGCGGAATCCAGCATGTGGTATCTATCACATTTAGAAGTAGACCCCCTTTGGGTGATTGGATTCATTCCTCCAATGGACATCTTCAGGATATAGAGAGTGAGCGGGTGCTATACGATACTTTATAGGCCAATATCGAAAACGACAGGCCGCTTCGGTATCCCGCGTTTCGGCATCGGCTTGTCACGTTGAGCTCCTTGTTCCTGCCGACTTGTCCCATCTCGTGTCCCTGTTTTCGGCAGGCTACAGTCACTCAGCAGGGTTGCAGATAGGTCGGGCTGCTGTGCTGCGTGTGATCGGTGGGTGAGTCAGTCCATCTCTGTGTGACTGCAGCCGTCCGAGACTGGTCACCCGTTCGAGAGCGTGGCTTTGACCGCTTAGCACCAACCACCCTCCTCCCGCTCCAGATGTCACGGTATTTATTAGTCACTTCCCCGGTCTTTCTATCCGTGGAACGGGTCGGTGGTCGTTGGTTCTGATTGAGGGGTCCTCGCTCTCGGCTTGGATACCCAATAGAGAGACAGGTGCAAATTGTGCGCTTCACTTGAGGGGCACAGGCGAGTCTGAAGCTTTCCCAGTGCTTGTACTCGGGTGATTCAATCGCAAAAACTGTCTCATCTTTCACAATGCTCTTCTCCTCCATCCATCATAACGCTGGAAGGTGTTGGAATACTTGAGGTTGTAAGGTAGTTTCTTCGGCCAAGGTTGTCGAGATGATAGGTTGTAAATGTCTGTAGGCCCCAACCGCTTTTCCTGACATATGCATCTTGTCACCTAGCATTCTAACCAAACCAAGATGAAAAACAATAAACATTATGTGTTTGACCAGATGTGAAAGCCCTTAAGCATACTCCTCTGCCAGTGATGTGTTGCGAGCTTGAAACTAAAACTACATGACACAGTACAATTGGGTTAGCGCTCTAAAAGACTTCACTCCGTTCCTAAGGGTAATGATATTCAACAGTATTGGGAATGAGTTGTAGCTATGTCAGCAGTATAAGTTCCGAACTATCTAGGTCTTCTGTGACAATTGTGTAGAGGGAGTGATTAAAGTTGCATTGCACGGTCACTTGCCTTTCGGCTTAAATCAATATGCGACGGCGGCGAATATCTGAAATCTTGCTCGATTTCCAGTCGAGCCGGAAACGAGAGATGAAAACAAGTAGTGGACAAAAGCAATACCTAAAGGGGACAAATTTCAGGATGCAAGTTTCATTGTAGAATGACTTCTTCATGTAACTACGTCCAATCTCTTTGCTTTAGAGGTAGCGGGATGATACTGCTTGCTGTGTGCCAAGTTGTCTTCCAGATACGATAATCGGGCTCTAGACAGCGCGAAAAAGTCGCCTATGAGGTACTAGACCTCTGAGTGATAAGAATCAATTTATGCTTCGCAGTCACCTCTACCGACGAGATTGAGCCAATTCTTTTGGCACCTGTTTGGCGCATGGGCCAAGATGAGGACCTTGGAAGCACCACCAGAGACTAACATCGTGCTAGAGCCTGTGAATCAAAGCATATGACTATCAAAGCTTTAGTGTTTGAGCTTGTTTCCGTCTCTTGCGCAATTCTACCAATGTATTTATTGGCTGATGTTGAAGGAGTGATTGGCACAAGAGAGCGACAAAATTGTAAGAGTCTGTCAGTGTTATCTAGCACAGCCAGACACAAAAGGGTTCTTGTCAGTATTCACTGCCATCAGATGATTCCGTCCGATTCATTCTTCTTTGTGCTGATATAAATACAGACGGCCTTCGTTCGTCCTTAATTTTACCTTCGTCTTAAAACCACCAATCATCCAGACCCACTTCATAATTTGTTGGCAACCTAGACCGCCAGTCTACAGACGTATTCTGTTCTTTGATTATCTTGATCTACTGATCTCAAGCTAGAGACACCCATTTCGCCAACACAACACTCTCAACCAAAATGGCCGAGACAGCCGAAAAGACTCAGTCTGTCTTTTGCCAAAATACTCTAACAGCTCCTGAGATGTATCTGCGCCCCTTCATACCTCGAAAAGGCACGCAGAGACACTGCGACCACCTTGACAAGCTCCAGCCCGTCAAATGCAAGTCAAGAGAGCGGAGAATTGAGAGCCATGAAGTCGCTCTTTTCTTAGCAGCAGTTTTCTTAGAAGATGCCACTCACGGGTACTGGGTGGTCGACGGACGGTCTTCCTCGGGGAATGAATGGACCGCAATCGCCTGCTGTGAGACCTTTGAGCTCTTGGTACAATGCCCACCTGGGCAAACCATTACGTGAGTTCTCAATCTCAACCCACACCTTTTCCTCTCTCCGATTTGACTGACATATCAATCTCCTAGTCTTGGAAACTTGGACATGGAGGTCATCTTGCAGTCGTGCCTCGAGGATGCAAACGGCGATGCATTCATCCGGAAGCTTACCTCAACTGCAAAATGTTGGCCCACAGGCCACGTCCGCTTCAGGTGGCTGCTGAGAGGGACGTCAGCCGAGGAGGGCCCAGCTATGGACAGCAACACCAGCACGTCGGATGTGCAACGAAGAAAGTCCGTGATGCAATTGCTCAATCCCATTGAGAGGCTTCATCGGGCTCAATCGCATAAACGGGAGAGCTTGGTTCAACAAATGCCACCTCCTTCTGCAGTCCCTGCCTCGCAGTCCGCACCATCACAAATAAAACGCTGGACATCTTTGAGGCAGCGAAGCCCACCTCCTGGAGGAATCTGTGCCTCGCAGACCGCTTCGTCGCCGACACAGCGCAGGGAGTCCCTGAAAGAGCGAGCGTGTTCATTACTCCAATTCAAGCGACTCTCTCTCGGGTCTAATTCGCATAAGTCTCCTACCTCTTCGCCTAGGACCTCATCTTGCTACTCAAGAAGCATAGATACAGACACAACTTGATTCGCCATTGGTGTACTTGACGAAATAAAGCTGAGCATCATTTGATCCTAGAACGCACGAGGATACTATAACGCTTGCGAAGGAACATTGTGCCAAGTTGACGATGTCGCTCCGCCGATATCTATCCTCAAAGAAGTGGGATACTGGAATACACCACTCAACACTGGCGTGGCCGCAATGCAACCTAGGCTGGCGATTCCAACTGGGTTGCAAGATAAGATGCTTTGGATGTTGCAGGTTTGGCTGATAATGGCTCCATTCTATTGATTGCAGCCATGGCAGCACAGAATTCGCCGGGCAGAAAGCTATGCCGTGCTAGAGCGGCGTGGTGCTGCTCTGTGATGTCGTCAAACATGATTTGGGCAAGGTTTTCGGTTGGATGGTAATAGGAAAACTTATTCATAGCGAGCGCAGTATCTAATCATAGGAAAGCTCTGATAATTCTTAATACATATGGACATGTTGTTACAAATTTAGCGTGCGTACAAGCTGCTAGAAGCTACTATAGGAAAGTACGCACCTGCCAGAGTATCTATAAATTATACTTTAAAGGCTCGCCCTTTACTAAAGTAAACTTAACTAAAATAATAATGCTTTTATTTATACTTTACTATTTACTATATAATTTATAATACTTTATAATTATAAGCTTAGCTTATTAATTTATTTTTCTTTTTAGCTAAAAATATTAAGGATTTATAAAATAAAAAATTTATTTAATAAGCTTTTAATTACTTTTTTTATATATATTATTTAATATATTATACTATTTTTAATAAACTTTTTTTTTTATTATAAATCTAATTTAATTATACTAATAGTAAATACTAATATACTTTTTAATAACCTTTTAAAATAGCTTATAAATAATTCGCACTTATAGCTTAGCTAGTATATACTTTTAAAATTATATTATAAACTAAAAAAATACTAAAAATATATAAACTTAAATATATTTAATAATAAACTATAACTAAATTTATAAAATATAATACTTTTTTTTAAAAAATAATATATTAAGTATTTTAAAAAATAAAATATTAAATACTAAATAAAGCTTAATATATAATAAATAAGCTAAATTATTAATAAGCTAAAAAATAATATTTTTAAATTTATTTTAATATTTTTACTAATATATATATTAAAAAAACTTATTAAATTTAAAAAACTTACTATTAATAAAACTATAAAATATTATAATTTTTACTTAAAAAATATAGTTATTAAAAAAACAAATAATAGTAAAATAAGCAAAATAATTAGTAAAATTTAATTATAAATTTAAAAAAAATATAAATAAATTAATTTTTAAACTTAATCTTATATAACTTTTTAAATTTAATACTTAAAAATAAATCTTTTTAATATAGTAAGTACTTTATAATATTTAAGCTAATATAATATTAAACTATTATATATTACAAAATATACTTTATAAAAGTAAAAAGCTATATAATATAATTTAAAAACTAGTATTAAGTTTAATATAAGCTTTTTTTTAATAAATAAACTTTTAAAATTTTAAATATTAAAAGTATAATTACTATTAAAAACTTTTTATATATAATTAAGTATTACTTTACTTTAATATAATTTAAAATTAAAATTTAAAAAATTATATAAAATAAAGTTTTTAAACTTTTAAACTTAATATTTAAAAAATATAAAAAAATATTTATAAGCCTTTTAATATATAATTAAATCTTTATAACTATAAAATTTTTAAACATTTTTACTATATTTAAATAATAAAAATTATAAATTATAATACTATAAATATAAAAATTAAAAAAGTAAATATAGTAAACTTATAAATTATAGTAATACTTTTATTTAAAAATATAAAAAATATTATATAATTAAATATTAAAGTAATATAACCTTTTAAAATATTATTATATTAAAAAAAAATTAAATTAATTAATATTTTAATTATTAAATAAGTATATAAAATATATAATTATATAAAAATTAAATATAAATTATAATACTTAGCTTATTATTAAACTAAAAAATAAAAAGTAATTAATATTAAATTAAACTAAACTAGCTTAACTATTATTTATTAAAGTATAAACTAGCTAATTATTATAAAAAAACTTTAATATATAATATTTAAAATTTATTAAAAAGTAAATACTTTAATAAATATACTTTAGCTAAACTAAATACTAACTATTTAAAGATTTATAAGATTTTTATACTCTTTTATTTTTATTTTTTTTATACTCTTTATTCTTTATTCTTTATATTATTTTAATAATAAAGTTTTTTAATATATAAAAAGCTTAATATACCTTTCTACCTTATATAAAAACTTTAAAATTTATCTTTAAAATTTAATTTTATAATATTTTTCCTATAACATACTTTATTTAAAATAATTTCTCTTAAAATATTAGCTTTCTTATAATTAATAATTTATAATAATAACTTAAAATATATACCTAAATAATAGCTATAAATATAATAGCTAAGTATAATATATTAATAATAAACATATAAGCTTAATATAATATATAGCCAATTTAGTATAATACTTAGTAAATATATTAAAATACTTTTTATAAAACAGCTTAAGCTATAAGCATTTAACACTTTTTTCTTTTATAACTTTTTATATATAAACTTATTAATTATTAATCCAACACTTTTAAAAGCACTTTATAACTAAATATATATTTAAAAAAATAAAAACTTAAAAGTATTTTTAATACTATATTTAAAGTACTATATACTTATAAACTTAATAGTTTTTAATAATTACAGTATAGTATACTTAATTAATAATATTTAACTATTAAAACTAAACTCTTTTATTAAATTTATTAAAGCTAAATATATAAATATAAGAATAACTTTATTTTTAATAATTAAAAAAAAAAGCAAATACTTAAAAATATACTTAATAAAAAAATAAAATTATAAATTAAAAATCTTAAACTTAAAAATATAATAATTATAAAAAGTTTTTATATAAATATTACTTTTAAAGCTTATTTATAAAAATTAAAAATATAATATTATAAGCTTAACTATATATTATACTTTAAAATACTTAAAAAAAGTATAATTTTATAAGCACTTATTAAAAAATATAATTTAATATTTTTTAAATATAAACTACTCTTTATTTACTTACCTTTAATACTCTCTATAATTAAGCTTTATAGATTTTAATAGCTATAAAATATAACTAAAGTAATATTACTTCTAATACTTAAAAAATAAAAAAAAAAATAATATATATTTTACTTTTTAATAAACCACACATTTCTTAAAATAAATTTAAAATATATTTAGTACCTTAAATCTAAATACTTAAGAAAAAATACTCTAAAAAAACTTATTAACACTATAAAAAGAATGCAAATTAACAACATAGCATAAATTAACTGTAAATACTACTTAAAAGCATATATAATAAAGATTATATTTAAAGCTCGCTTAAATCACTTCTTACTAAAGCTTTTTTAAAGAATTTCCTAAAATCTATTTAATTTTAAAAAAGCCCTAAATTTTATAAAATAAGCTCTTATTATTAAAAATAAATAAAATAAAAAACTATTTATTTACTTTTTAATATAAAAAATAAAAAACTAAATTTTACTATTACTACAAAACTTTAAAGTTTAAGTTTATTAACGCTTTAAACTTATAATTTATATAATACACTTAAATAATAATATATTATTATTTAGCTAATAAACTAAAACTAATTATATAATATAAGTTAAAAACTTAAAAATTAAGCTTAAAATATTACTAGCAAATACTTATAAACCCAATAAAAGTTTAAAAAGAGCTAATTATAAACTTATTAAGCAATCTATTACTATAAGCTATAAAGTAAATTTACTACTATACCTATAGTTAAAAGCTATAAAAGCAGCTTATTAAATATACACTATTTTACTATATTAAATAAAAAACTAAAAATCCCTAATAAAAATACTTAAAAAATAGTTTACTTAATATTTCTATTAATATAAACTAGCAATTATAAGGAAATTTACTATAAATTTTTATTTTAATTAAAAAAGTATTTATATTTATAGCTATTAAGTTTATATACTTAATAAAAATAAAATATAAAAAATAAATAAGCGTTTATTTAAAACATAAAAGTATATTTATATAAAGTATTTTATAAATTATTATATATTTAACTTATATAAGATTTAAATTCTAATACTTAATAAAGTATAAACTATATATAATATACACTTTAATAAATAGCTTTTTTATAAAAATTTAAAAAATAAAGTATTTAATATATTAATAAAAGTAAAGCTTAATAAACTTATACTTATAATTAAAGTAACTAATAAAGTTAAAAAACTTATATATATTATAAATTTAAATTTATAAACTATAAAAAAAGCTTTAAATAACTCTAATTAACTTTAAAAAAGCAATCTTAAAAGTATACTACTTAATATAACTAACTTACCTAATATATAAAAAAGTTAAAACTTAAAAGTAAGTATACTTAATACTAAAAAATATAAATTTTATTAAAATAATATTTTTTAAAAAAAAAGTATAAATAATTAAATATAAAAACTTTTAACTTTAAAAAAAATATTTAAATTAATAAATATACTAAATTTAAAATTTAATTAATTTAAAAACAGGTAATTAAAATTACAACTTATTAACTTAATAACTAAATATTCCTTAATACTTAAATTATAATTAAATTAAAATTTAAAAAAAAACTAAGCTTTAGTAAATAAAGTTTTACTATTAAAAAAAAACAATATTTTAATAAGTAAAAATTTATTATTAAAAATAATTATAAAGTATATAAAAAAGTTAGTAAGAAATTATAAACCTTTAACATACACAAACTATTAGCTTATAATATAAAAAAATAATAAATTTAACTATTTCCTAATATTTATAACTTATTTTTTAA